TCGACACTGCTGGAGGAGCTGGTAGTTGGCGAACCAGAGGATGAGCTGGTTGGCGGGTCGACACTGCTCGAGCTGCTGGTGCCAGGAGAGCCGGAAGAAGTGCTGGACGTACCAGCAGGGTCAGCGGAGCTGGTAGTGGACGAGGTTGTGGTTCCAGCTGGGGGATCAATGGAAGAGCTGGATGTTGTGCCGGGGCCAACCGGGGGATTGCTTGAAGTTGAGCTTCCAGAAGGAGCAGACGAGGTCGAAGTTCCAGCAGGAGGATCAGCTGTAGTTGAGCTTCCGGCAGGGCCAGTCGAGCTCGATGTCGTTCCCGGTCCCACTGGAGGATCGCTTGTAGTTGAGCTGCCAGCAGGTCCAGACGAGCTCGATGTCGATCCCGGTCCCACTGGAGGATCGCTTGTAGTTGAGCTTCCAGCAGGGCCAGAAGTCGTGCTCGAGCCTCCTGCAGGAGGATCGGTTGTGGTGGACGACGAGTCTCCTCCCGAAGGGCCAGTGGAGGTTGGGTGTCCATGGGTACTAGACGAAGTCGGGCTACTATCCGGGCCGGATGAGGTAGGGTGTCCATACGGGCTCGTCGAGGTCGGGCTTGAATATGGGCTGGATGAACTTGGGCTTCCAGATGGACCGGCGCTGGGGCTGGAAGATGACGAAGTCCAAACTCCAGAAGAGTGTGAGCCCCCGCCGTGATGGCCAGATGCTGATGAGCTCGAACTTCCGGAATGATCATGGCCGCCGTGACCATGCCCATCACCCTCGTTGCCGCCAACGGGGGTTGTTGTTGACACTACCCCGGTACTTGATGCAGTCCAGTCTTGCCATGGGGCTGTCGGATATTCAGGTCCGCAAGTCCATGCTTCTGTAATAGGGCACACAGTGATTGTTCTGGTTGTAGTCACCACCACGATCTCGTCAATATCGGTTGCTTTGTTGCCACCCCAAGCGAGGGTGTGCAGCGGCAAGACTGCCGCCGCATAAAGGAGCGACCGCATAACAATATCAGTAGGAAAGGAGTGACAGAATGAAAACGAGAGGACGAAAGCAAACGCTTTCAAAAATCACGGGTGCGAAGAACGAATGTGTGAGCAGGAAGAACAGGACCGGAGAGGATGGAAGGCTTCTTGAACTTGTACATGAACGACGGCGGTTTAACGTCGGGAGAGCCGTGGTGCCGGGGGAGAGGGGGGGTCTCGCTCGAAGCAAGCCATTGACTCGATGCGATGCATGACTTCCAGGCACGGTTTACCACTTGTGAAGTGCCTTCTGCGGCAAGAAACAAGATCGTCTCCACTCGGTCTGTGAATTTTGCCAGGAGACAGGGGCTCACAGCTGATATCAGTCAAGCCGTGGCTGACAGGCACGGTTTGACTTGTGGAGCAAAGAGAGCGGCCGACTGGGGAATCATGTGCTTGCACCGCGGCTCAGGAGATTATCACATCGCAGGGAAAAGGAGAGGCCAAGCATAGGCATTTCTATGCACGGTGAGCGCGCCCACGTTGTTGGTGAGAGATGGTTGAGTCGTGGATCAGACAAGACAACAGGGGAGATTAGATCCTCGCAAGCCCAGAACGGCCAAGGCTAAGATGGACTGAGACACAACAGGCGGCGCGTCGCATACGGGACTTCGGAAACCGATAATGTCAGAACCAAGCTTTCTCTTACCGAAGATGGTCGAGCCCGGATTGTCCCAAGCGGGTGCAAGTCTTGTGCTCGTACCTACCTACCCAGAACTCGTTGGTCTCACTCGACCCCCAGGATACGCTCTGCTATCCTTCCGTTGTGCCACGGAAGAATCGAAGCGGAGCCTCCCCTCCTTCGTTGCTTCTCTCGTGCTGCGTAACTGCGGAGGGCGTAATGATGACGAGGCACCTTTGTGGCCGACTGCCATGCGGTGCGTGAGGTTTGAAAGCAAAAGGTAAAGCGAGCTAGTGCGGGCATGAACATCTTTTCCCTTTTTCCCCTGAGTTGAATTTTCCGTCCCACGTCTCTCGGTATAGAAGCGCTAGTCCCAATCTGGCCAGAGCTCAGACCCTTTTAGGAGACGCTAAAGGCCTTAGTGGGGCAAGGGGGGGCAGCCACGTTTTTCTCTTCTCCCATAACATCCCTGCCATCTTTCAGCCTCGTAACTTCGCTCTTTAATCCGTTTAGCCGAGTATCTAATTAAAGGATACAAAACATCATCATGTGGAAACGAGCCTTTCCAGCCTCTGTCACCATCGCGTTCAGTAATCCCAGAAGGAGCACACCACCTCTCCGGCAGCCTCTTTCGGTGATGTTCTGCATGAAAGCAATATTAGTTGTATGTATGGAGTAAGTGGAAATACTCAAAAATGGCAATTCAAGATCTCTGGATCTGGGGGGAAAAACCTTCGCATGCGTGCGCCTCCAGATTCAAGTGAGAGTCAGAGTACCGAGTACGGGGAACGGACCTTGAAGTGCATTGAATCAACGTCTCGAGTGGCTTGTGCTATGCCATCTGGGCACTCGAGTGCAAAAGGGAAGCGATACCTGGAGCAAAGCAGACGTGTTGTTATGACCACGATACCCAGTACTTCAGGGTTACCCAACAGAGCGAGTCAGCTATCCCAGGAATGGGCGGTATATTCCTGGAAAGCAAGGCCGTTGAGGTGCTTGCTGTGCCGTCTGACCCGCATTCGCATTGGTAACAGCCGACCTGCCACGCCAGTAAATTCTGTCGACGTCCAACTCAACAACGACGGCCAACAGTCACTCTCATAGATCTCTCAGAGGAAGAACTCGTAAGCCCAATCACCGCACTGGCCAGGTCTGCTTAGATCAGTTGCGCGTCCTTTGCGGCATCTCTACATACCCCGGGTCCGTACCGACACAGACTGGAAGTGAGACGCCAGCACGGAAATGTCACAGACTGTTCCTGTGGGAGCGCCATGGACACCCCCGTGTGGATTCAGAAGCCATCTTTCTTCTTTCCAGTGCATGGAATTCTCTTGATATCCCATCGCTTTAGTATATAGAAAAAAACAAACGCGACCACGCTCACCGTATGGCACTTGCGTCGCAGTCTGTTCCAGGCTGAGGAGCCTGACGTTGGAACCCACGATAGTACCTCGTACGGAGCTAAAGGATCCGAGTATCCGAGTGTCCGAGTTTTGATTTTGCTTACCAAGCGGCGATGACACCATCCGTGAAGTGGGGAACTCAATTCTTTCGACGAACCAGGTAGGTAGAGCAGCCGTCGAGGCAGAGCAGCCAGGGTAGAGGGAGTGAGGGACTACTCGGTACGAAGGGCTGATATCCTAAGATGGCAGGGGTTTGATTGTGATTGTGATTGCCATGCACCAAGTACTTCCTTTGCCCATACCTTCGCCCACCCGAAAGCCTATCTGTGAGTCGACTCTGAAACAGGTTACGTGCTCAAGTCAACCCCGTACCCCATGTACGTGCCTATTCGTACCGGGGATGCAATGATAAGACTGCGGAATGAAATTGCCGCTGGTGATCACTGACGTGGCCCAGCGCGAGTACGTAGCTTGCATGTGCATATATATATATATATATATCAATTACTCCGTACAAGAAGCCTCCGAAGAAGTGGAGCTGATCATCAATATCAGATAACCGTGTCCTTTGATAACCGTACGGAGTAGTAATGCTACGCCCGCCCCCAACCTTTTCGGGTTAAGGGCTGCACTTCTGTACGACGCGTGCTTAACCGAGCGCACGGTTTGGGAATAAGGTTGCTTCAAGCTTTTCCCGCGGCTTTAACATTGACATCTGATGGGAAACTTAAATCAACAACCGTGACACAGAATCACTGACTTGACTCTCCTTGCAGTGTTTCATCAACAACAAAACAACAACAACATCATCATCATCGTTGTCTATAGCAATCGCATACTCAACCATTCATATTCGAGACGTATATACATACGGAGTAATACCTATCTTTTTTTTTTTTTCATATTAGCAATCCCCAGCAAAACAATACGTACAGTCCTAGGTAAAAGAGTCCCACACAGCCAAAAAAGACAAGGGGGATAAAAAAAAAACAATCATGCCCGTCTCCCAATCGCCCTACCTCCCGCGCATAGTTGGCGGCTTCGGCATCTTCGCCTTCGGCCTGGGCGTCAACGCGCTCTTCAACCCGCGATCGGCGCTCGCGCTGTTCCAGTTCCCTCACCCGGGCGCCCGCGCCAGCTCGATCGAAGACACGCCCGAGGGGAGACTCGTCGAGAGCGTCATGATGCTCGAGGGCGCGCGGACCATCGCCCTCGGCACGGCGCTGATGTCGACGTCGTATTTTGGCAGCCGCAAGGCCCTGACGGTCATGGTGTGGACGAGCACGCTGGTGGCCGTGGCAGATGGGTTCATCAGCCTGCGGCAGATTGGCGGTGGACAGTGGGGTCATTGGGGCTTTGTCCCCGTCGGCGTCGTGATCGGGGGCTTGCTGAGTGGCCTTGCTGACTAGCTATGTAGAGGGCCGGCCGCGTCTGGATGGTCATTGAGGGTTTGCCATGTTCGGGGAGTTCATATGTGGTTGCAATATCTGATTGTCGCATTTGTTGCTAGAGGCACTTTGAGAGGATGATTAGCGAGGTCTTTGACCCCAATCTGCCCTCTGGCCGTTCACGGCTTCCGAGTCTCGAAGAAGCAAGAATGAATTCTGCCCAACGGGCCAATACGGTCTAACCATGGGCACAAAGAACTTCCTTCAATCCCCCCAACCACCTCTCATTCTAGACCTCGTCGAGCATACTTCGTGGGAAAAAAAAAAAAAAAAAAAAAAAAAAAACACAGTCCCGTCCAGATACCTGCTAGGGATTTCAACTGAGCTCTCCTTACCTAGCGCTATAAACAGGTCTTGCATCCCACTCCATGCCCTTGGCAGATTCGACCCAGTCGTACCAGTTTACCTCACCGCCCAGGTCCATACTGGGATCAATGGAATCCACCTCCCAGTTGGAAAACACGTCGACCGAGGGGTCGGCATCAGCCCACAGCCAAGCGTGGAAATCAGGCCCCATGGTACGACCATCCGCCCAGTCATCCGGGATCGTGGGAAAGGCATTGTGTGATGGCCCAAGAGTCTGTTTCAAGACCAATTCGCCCGGACCACCCGTTTTGATTGACGATTTAGGGTCCTTGATATTGGTGCTCTCTATAGTTTGGCTTACCTGCTGTCCATCCATACCCAGATGCATTGGTTCAAAGGTCATATCGAAGCCCGGATCCCTTGAGGTTCCTGTAGGAATAGTTCTTGCAGACGGTAGTTCTGGGGGAATTTGGTGCATTGGAGGGTCGGCAAGTCCAGCGTCGGGAGTTTGCGACACGTCACCGCGGTCACCCGGCTCCGCTGGGATGGCTACGAGCTGGCGCCATCGCTCACGGAAGATGTCGACACCGAACCCGGTTGGAAACGGGCCAGAGCTTGACGGCACCGGGAGTTTTTGGTCTCCCATCTCTAGCCTTGCCGCGGCCTGTGGATCTGCTCGAAGCCTTTGGATCTCGTCGTCGCGATGCTTCCGTGCTTTGCCCATCAGCTTTCGCAGTGGAATCCAGATGCGCAAGTCCTTGTCCATGGGGGCCCGGGCTGGAATCAGCCAGTTGCTGTGAAGGGCGCCCCAAGCCCTCTCCACAATCGGCGACCAAGGGCGGCGTGAGATCTCGATCATGAGGTATACAATGGCATGCCAATGAGTGTGGCTCTGATACAGCCAGCGCCAATGCCGACATGCTTGTTCGGCGTTCAGCGCATGATTGTACTCTGCGACTTCAATTGCCGAGACCAGCAGCTTGGTTCTTATCTCGTCCGAGATGCGCTCGCTTGAGGTAGAGAAGAGGGCAGGGAGAAAAACAATGAGCGTCATCTTGGCCATGACCATCCGCGCGACGGCGACTGTGACCCAATAGGCAATATTCCCTGATTCGCTGGCGTGCTGAAAGTATTCCTGTTCGAATTTCCGGTAGATCTCATTCAAGAGATGGCTCTGGTCCTCGAGGTCAGCCACCCCCGCTTCTGGACCACGGGTCATCATCTGCCTCATGACATCGACTATCCCAGCGGAGATGCGTGCAAATGTCATATCTGTCACGCCGTAGCGCTCTGTAGGGATCAGTTTGGACTCGGGGTCGATGTCTGCGTCGTTGATGTTCAACGGGATTTTTGTGTCGAAGCTGCTCTTCGCAATACCAAGGTCCGTCCCTTGGTCCTCCGCAGCTCTCAAATCCAGCCTACACAGAGTCCACCAAAGCCTTCGCCGCATCTCAATCTCAAAAGGAGTCAGATGCTTTAAATGCGCCCCATCCCGTTGCAACCCAAGGAACTGGGCCATCCTGATGACGAGTCCAGTCATCATCCACACGAACCTTGGGCTGTCATGTCGGCGAGCAAGAGATAGAAAAAGAGCGAATGCTTGAATTAGAACCAGGTCAGGGACATTGAGGAAGTCTGCCTTTGCCAGGGCATGCTCCAGGCCAAGACGATACTTGAGACTAAGGTCGGATTTTGAGGAGCCAAAGTTGGTCATAACCTATTGGGGAAAGATGATCAGTACCATCCTCAGTCATATGTCCGAACACCGGCGTCACGGCTCAGGGACGACTCACATCATCTTCCTCCATAGAGGTGACAGCGGCGTAGTAGATGGAGAATATTAAGGCTTCGTTAGATGGTGTGAGGGGAGTCCTGCCAGCGCCGCCCAGATCATTGACCATCTTAGTAAGGGTCGGGATGTGGACGATTCGCATGAAGACATTCACGTTTCGCGAGAAGACGTCCAAGAGAAACGGTACCTGTGATGGCAGTGGCCGGAACTCATGTAAATTGGGAGCTGAAGGACTCAGATTGTGTCGAAACAGGAGCGCATGGCGCTCCGCAGGCGTCCGCTCAATTTCCTGGGTGGAGGAGGCCCTTCCAGGGGATGCTTCATCCCATGAGCTGTCGGAGTCGTCTGCTACCAGGCCACGGGATTCCGTCTCCAGGCCATCTAGCTGCAGCGAGAGTAAGCAGCCATTCCGGCAAGATGGAGATGTGACCACAAAGCGCCGACTTACCTCGTCGTCGACCCGAGACCAGAAGGCGCTGCTCACATAGTGGCTGCGGCTGGAATCCTGGAGGACCAAGCGGCCAAACTGCTTGCGAACACTGCTGATACCGGTGGCGGGTGACAGATCCCTGTGGTGCTCTGCATCGCGGTTCTGGCTAGAGCTACCAGGAGAATTGACACCAGATGAGCCGCCGGCGGCCGAGTGAGCTGCTGCACGTGCACGAGCCTGTTCCAGCTGGCCGCTCAGCTCCTTAACCAACTGCTCGAGATTTCGCAACCGGTCCATGACCTTATCGAGGTCCGGATTGGCGTCTTGCGGTACCGGAGCACTTGATGCCAGGACATTGTGGGTGAGGCGATTGAAGCGGCGCGTCCACCTCGGCGGGCGGTCGGTCGACGGATAGACACAGGCGATATTTGCCCGGCGGCAGTTGGAGCAGGGTGACTGCTTGTCACAGCGAACCTTGCGATTGCGGCATACGAGACAGCTGCGCGACTTGGGCGCCTGGACAGGCGCTGTTGACGGAGCACTGGCAGCGGCTGCAGAAGTCGCGGGTTTTTCGGAGCTCGACCCTGAGACGGGCACCGACTCGGTGACTGGTATTAAGCCCTGCGACATGCTGCGGTCGGAAGAATGGGCGCTGATATGATTCTGACCGATCGATGGTCACAGTGTGGAGCGGGAAAGACTGAGGCTCGCTGTTGTTCCGCCGCCTCCAAAGTAGGGGCCTGAACTAGCCTGAAGCAGCTACTCACAACGCATCACAGTGCATTTACCAATGAATTCCGCTCCGAGAAGTGCGCGAGAACGCACCGAGACACACGACGGCGCAACCAGCTCGCCGAGTTCAGTGGCGATGTAATCGAGAGCTGGTCGCGCCTGTTGAGGAGGGCTAATATATTTCAACCATGGTGTGCTTCTCGAGCCCTTTTTTGGTCCTCAGCCATCAATCCACTATAGCTTGGACAGAAATTTCCGTCAAAGATTTAGTTCACGCTGTCTCTTGCCGAGCGAACGCCCTTGTGAAGGGGAGCCTTGTTGGTAAGCATCAAGTATTACAAACTCCTGAACACCAACGATGGATCCTTCGTGCGAAGAGTGCATCAAGGTATTGAGATCTTCGATCTAAGTCTAACAAACACGCTCCACTGACCACATTTCCCAGGGCACAATTCACAAAGGCCAACCTCAGGGCAAGGAAGAAGAGGTTCACGGTCTGAATACCTACATAGTTGGCAACTGGACTAACCCACGGGGCATCATAGTCGTCTACTTAGACATTTTTGGCTTACCGCTACCCAACAACAAATTGATCGCTGACGCCTACGCCAAAAGCGGGGAATGGCTTGTCTATCTCCCAGACTTCTTCAAGGGAGATCCAGTGCCCCTCAAGACTGCCGATGTTCTGATTCCGGTCGATGCGAAAAAGCAGTCGGCGTTTGCAAAGTATACAGGCCTCCTCGCAAGGGCGCCGTCGTTGGTCGTGTGGATGACGAGGCACAAGGAAGGGCCCACCAATAAGGTCTGCATGGATTTCTTGCAGGCATTGAGGCGCTCGACTCCCCCGAGCCAGAAGATCGGCATGGTGGGATTCTGCTGGGGCGGAAAGTACGCGATTCGAGCCGGGCTGGAGAGCAATATGATCGAGGTCGAGGGCAAAAAAGTGCCGCTCGTGGACGCCGTGGTGGCCTTGCATCCGAGCCATCTGGCCTTTCCGGGTGACGTCGAGGCTTTGGTCGTACCTGTCAGCATTGGGTGGGGATTGGAGGATGTGGGCGTGAAGATTGAGCAAAAGGGCAAGGTGGAAGACATCCACGCAAAAGCAAAGGCGGCGGGCAGAAAGTTGCCGGAGATGGAGCACAAAGTCTATAAGCCGGGACGACATGGGTTTGCTGTTAGAGGTAATCCAGACGATCCAGAGGAGCGGGCGTGTTTGGAGGACTCGATGAAGCAAGTTCTGGACTGGTTCGCTCGCTGGCTTTGACAGATCTTCAGAGGGATCTCCGAGTGTCGAAAACGATCGGGTGGATTGTGGTGCAAGGTCCATGTAATGAGATGCGGTGAGATTGGACGATTGATGATGGCAGCTTTGGTGTACAGCAAAATCCTTCTCCAAATTGGCGGCTAGTAGATATGTATGTTATGATCGGTGCAGAAAAACACAATCTGACTTCGAGAAACCTGACAGGGATGTATCGCGCTCGTAAAGGCATCGTATTCTCGATCAAGATATCGTGCAGAAAGGGACGTCAATTTCGCATATCCAGGCCAGCACATATCCACAAAGAGATCCTTTTTTGGTCCTGCACCGTCCGATATCTCAACATCTGACTCCGCGTCTCGAATGCCCAAAATTCCACAACCGCCTCAACCCTCAGGATCAACTTCTAGGAGTCCAAATCTCTTATATTGTAACAGAGCACTTCAGGGTTCGGCGTGCACGTGCAACAACGCACAGAGGCCTGTCCAGCAGATCGGGAATCGGGAACGCGTTTCTGGTTGATACTGACAACAACACCACCAACACCACCCAGAGGGGCAGCGGCTAGGGCTACCAACACCTAGCACAGCGGCAGCATCGAGGAACAGGACAGGACTGATAAAACACTCAGGAATTAGGTAGACAGCGCCAAAAAGCCATGGAATTCATGATACTCTGCTCAATCTGTAATGAATGGCACCTCTGCCAGCACTGTAAACTGTTCCGCACCCCCTTCTCTGCCAGCCCATTTAGGTTTGACATGTGACCTGACAGATCTCTGCCTGCCACCGCTCTACCAGCCCAGCACAGCCCATCACAGCACAGCCACCTCGCCTTGTTACAATATTTTTCCGTATATCGTCCGTGATCACAAAAACCATCGATATTCCGGACTAGCGGGTCCTGCGGCGAGGAGTTCCGAGGGAATATCCTTGGCTTTGATTTTGCGACCGTCTCGGGAATCCCTCCTCTTATTGTCGATGATCATCCATGCGCCCAGCAACAAGGTGAGGAGACACCCGCATGCTCCGAAGATTGCTGTCGTTAACAGGGCAGGCATGTACTTGGGAGCATCCTTGTTCTGGAAGATATTGCTCGACACCACGCCCATCATGTTGGCGAAGGGGACGCCAATGGCCGTCAGCATCATCCGCTTGTTCTCGTCCGCGATGTTATTGTTGTACCACACGTCGAGGATGACGCTCGGGGCGCTGGTGCCCCATGTCATCATGAAGCAGGCAAAGTAAGCCACGTGAAGCTGAGTGTGGACGTCGACCGCCGCATAGATGATGAAGCCGATGCAAGTGAAGGCGAAGCCCATAGCCACAAAGGGGAAGCGGAGGCGGGTGTAGTCAGAAGCAAATGCCAAGAGGATTAGCATTACCGCGCCGGAGATGTTAGGCGCGACAGTGTAAAGGTTCGTCTTGACGGTGGAATAGCCTAGTCGTGAGACGATGACGGGTAGGAACAAGGACACCGACTGGAGTGGGACGCCCAGGCAGATTTCAATCCCGAGGATGATCCAACTAGTGGGATGCTTGAATATAGCAAGGGCGGATCTGAGATTGAATTTTTCTCCCACGACTGAGGACGAATCGACCTGGATTCGGTAGAACGCGAGCTCCTTCTCCTCGGGTGTGAGGAACTTGGCACTCTGTGCATCGTATGGCAGATACCAGAATGCGAAGATGGCGAAGAGCATCGTGCAGCCACCCTCGATAACGAAGAGATACCTCCACCGAGCCAGACTGCCCGATTTGATTTGGAAGACGCCAAACGAAAGGAGGCCGCCGAACGCGGAAGCGATGGACGAGGCGGCGTAGAAGATTGCAAGCCGACGAGCCAGTTCGCCACGCCGGTAGAAGGTCGTTTGATAAAAGATGACTGCCAGAGATGAATTGTATCAGCACCACTGTAATTCCACATGTGATTTCTCCAAAAAGAGAAGGTAGGGACAACAGGGGAATGAAAGATATGGTGGGGGACTTACCGAGTGGGAAAAAAGCACTTTCTGCCATGCCCAGAAACCACCGTAGAGCAAGCAAGCCGCCGAAATTGTAGACGGCAACAACCATCTATAATAGATTCAGTCCATTAGATTCAGCCGATCGAAATGGAAAAGACCAAGAGAAAAAAAAAACCCCTCTCCGAAGGGTGTCGTGCTGGCAGCGCCGACGTGTACACGAGATGACAGTTATAGCCATGTACATAGTTAGGGAATGCGAACTGGCGAGAACTCACCAAGCTGAAGAAACCGAAACTCATCATCATGATAGGCAGGACTCTGCTGGGGCCATACTTCTTCCCAGCAACGCCGAGGAACGGGGCGGTGAGGACGTACGGCACGAAGACAGACAAAATGATGTTGTAGTCATCGCCGGTGAGGTGCAGCGTCTCTTCCAGATGGGCCGTCTTCGCGTTGCCCAGATTCGACTTGTCCAGCGAGTTGAAGAGGTACATGACGGCTAGAGGAGGGAGGATGCGCAGGTCGAATTTACGCACCAGGCGCCGCTCAGCGGCCGGATCGATGGCGACACTGGCGGACACGCGGCGCGTCTCGCCCAGCGATGTCGTCGTGACTATACCGTCTTCTACAACCTTGAGGTCCTTGGCTGGATCTGCTGTCGCGGCGGGGCTGGCGGCCTTCATCTCTTCAGTCGACATTCTGGCAGATGTGTGAGTAATTGTCGCGGCTGTCCAGACGGGGTGGGGCCGGGTAGTAGAGATGTTGTAATTTTCGTCTCCAATGGAGTCGCCAGACTAGGATGCGCAAGTTGGTTTGGAGCTTCAGGGTCTTGGTGCTGGATATCGATAACATTTCGAACTTGACTTGAGGGAGGATATTGCTATTTATGTTATCGATGCTCGAAGAGGCAGAGGCAGAGTTTTGCATGCGTGCGTGCATGGGAGGCAGCCTCGTTGGCCGTTGGCTCGCGGCAAGGCTGCGCCGTTGGGGGGCAAGTGGAGCCGCCCAAGTTGGCCGCCGGCCAAACTTTTCCACATATTGGCCGTCCTTTGGCCGTCCTTTTCCAGGCCACATCGCCATGACCTATTTTCTTCACATGCTCACTTCTCCCTGCTGACCTGGTATGGGAATATTTTTTCCCGGCTCCGATCTAGCACGCCAAGATCGGACAGGGGAATGTTCTCGACCTCTTCGCTGAAGTCTATTTCGCCGTGCAATGCGATCCCCTGCTGTTGCCCAACGCGCAACTTTTTCGCCCGCTAGCCGCCGTCCAGCAATATCTCCGCCTGGTGAGCTCCTCTCTAGCAGGCCGTTGGTCAAGCAAGACATTCTCCAACAATTCTTCCGCCGACATGGTGCTTGACGTGGTGAAAAGTTTCGTGTCGACACAGTAAATTTTCGTGCTTTGATCACGGTATAACAATAGGCTTTCGTCTTCGTGCTCGATATAGCCGCTCGACTCTCGCACCATGGAGTGTGTATCGCAGTCGAAGTGGTGCTGGGATCCAAGGTGCAGAGACTTATCAGTTCCATCCAAGCTGCACGCTACAGATTCATTGGAAACCGTGACCGACGATGATGTCTAGAGATTTGTCACCGACACCCATAGATGGGAATCGCACCGATCAAGATCGGCCTCATTTTGGACATTCAGCAAATATTGCAGCAAAAGGCGACAAATTCAGCAATTTCCATTTGTTTGGACTCTCCAATTCTTTCCCTCAGTCAGCATCTCCGCGTGGCCGTTTATCGTCAAGTTCTGGATCAGACGGTGTAAACATCGAAGAGGTCCAAACAAGTCTTGCACAGTTTGGTTCGCCACCATCGGGTACTCTGGTCGAAGCGAGCTATTGTTATCACGAACCTCTCAGCCGACGGCCAACCAGCATTCTGAAAGAGCCCTTAATATCCGCAAACAAGAGTCCAACTTATGGAACTCTCAGCGACAGAGATGTTGAATGCGACTGGGTGAATGTTGAAGCAGACACAGAAGGCTCAAAATTCATTTTGATAAGCTCCCAATGCTTCTGGTTGGTCTTTACGGTCGTCCTACTGGGATATTTCATCGCTTGTTTCGACTCGACTTTGATGCCATCCAGTCACCCTGTCATTACCTCTTGCTTCGGAGCTTCACAGTTGGCGTCATGTTTGAGTACTGTATTCCTCATCACTAGTACGGCCTTCCAACCTTTATTTGGTCGCCTGTCGGACACGATTGGAAGAAAACCAGTCTTCTTACTCGTCTTGGCAATCTTCGGATTGACCACATTGTGGTGCGCCCTTGCTGGAAGTCTTGAGAGCTTCATAGTAGCTCGAGCAGCATGCGGATTAGGCGCTGGGGGCACCATGTCTTTAGGTCTGATCATTGTGAGCGACCTCGTCCGCATTGAAAACCGTGGGGTATTCCAGTCACATATCAATCTTGCCTTCGGCTTGGGTTCAGCATGTGGCGCTGCTCTTGGTGGATGGCTTTGCGACAGTCTTGGGTGGAGGTGGGCATTCGGTCTGCAGGTACCCGTCATATGCCTGTGTTTCGTTCTGGCTAGCTCCTTTACGCCATCGATTGACGGTCCAAAGTTGAGAGGCGCTGAGGAAGGCGGCAGATTGCTCGCATTTAAGACGTTCGACTGGTTGGGATCCGCCTCACTTATTTCTGCGATCACTTGTTTCATCTTGCCGCTGAACTTAGGAGGCAACATATTCCCTTGGACCTCGCCATTGGTGGCAGCATCCTTCGCCGTCGCTATTATTGCATCATGTGTCTTCACCCGTGTCAAGAAGAGGGCGAGCCAACCATTGATGCCTCTACACCTCCTCTGCAGAGCGCCGGTAGCCAACATGGTATTTGCGAATTTGTTGGGAGCTATTGCCTCTAACACAGTCTTGTTCAACGCGCCACTATTTTTCCGGGCTGTCCTGCTTACTTCTGCTTCCAGTTCTGGCTTTCGGCTTGCGGTACCGAGCCTGGTTGGGTCTCTGGCGGGTGTATCAACAGGATATATTATCACTTACACAAGACGGCTCAAGCCCACGTTGGTATTCGGGAGTCTCATGTATCTTGTCGGGTCAGTGGCTATCCTTTTCATGAGTAAAAAGATGTCGGCCACGATGAGTATGGTCCTCATCACCGGGGTACCCTTGGGACAAGGTTTCATATTTCCCAACACAATGATGAGCGCCCTTGTGGTGTCTGATCATGCCGACCAAGCAGTGGTGACAACAACAATCGGACTGTGGCGGAATTTGGGAGTAGTTCTAGGCGTGGCTATTTCCAGTCTAGTCTTCCAGACCAGCTTGCTTCCAAACCTGAAGAGGTATGTGGCGGACGATGCGATTTCTCGCAAAGTAAGATCTTCTGTGCAGACGATTGAATCCCTTGAACCGCGGATACAAGGACAAGGTTGGTCGCCCCGATACTCTTATTGTCGACATAGCAAGAATGCTAACTCCTGATGCAGTAATTGATGCATATGCTGCATCGTTGCGGATCACCTTTTTCTGCGCGGTATTTGCTTCGGTTCTTATTTTGAGTCTTATTGTGCCCATACACCTGCCACGGCTGCGTAAAGGGAGAGAGGTAGTCGTGAGCGGAGGAGAGTGATTGAAGATGCTTTCGATCGAAGTCAGTTGACTGGTCGGCGTGAACAGGCGGAGGAGACGCCATCATTATTTTGAGCCAACACACGAGTAATTGAGCTCCTCAGCTGGTTGACTGACTGCTTGCGCTCAGATCTGGATGGCTCATGCAATGACTTGTTCCTGTCTCCTGTATTTCGTCTTGCCTTTTTTTGATTCTTGGTATCCTGTTTGTACAATGCGAGAGATTTTTCTCAGAGTCAACAAGAGTGAAACAAATGAATACATACTCTCGGACCTTGGTCATCTGGTCACCGTGGTCGTCGCATCGGAGACAGGATCTGGCTCCCATTGAAACCCATCACCTTCCCCCCACAAATCGAGGTAGAAATCCGGCCCGTTGAGTTCGGTAAGACTATGCGGGAAAAAGTCGTATGAGACACCGCTTGAAGTTGTCAACGGGCTGGTAAACGCATCGATATGGCTCGGGGTTGTATCTTCTGTAGCTCCGGTCGACGATGATGCCGCCTCGATGCCTGCTCGGGCCCCGGCTTCTGTCGCTTTGGTCAGGCTCTTGGCCATACCGGCCAGCGCCATGGCAGCGAACTTGGCGGGCCAGAAACTGACGCCGTGCGCGGAGAGGAGCGTCCGGTAATATTTCAGCCGGCTGGCCCAGTACGTGGCGCGCTCCGAGTTGGGGGATAGGCGTTTAAGACTAGCCATAAATGTGCCTGCGAGAGCAAGATTGAATCCCGAACCTGAGATTGCTGATCAGCTTTGTCTTCCTGTTTTCCGAGGCTCGCAATCGACAGGGAAAGAAGCTTACATGACCACCAAAAAGCACTCAATCTGTTGATCTGGAGGGTTTCGACTAGAGCTATCGCGTGGGTAGTAATTTCTACCGCCCGCTCGACATAACGATCCATAGGGAAATTCCTCCGATAGAGTTTAGGAAAGATGCCTCGGAGAAGCATTATTCTGGCCGTGATGTAGGCGAGTTCAAGACTTCCTGAGACCGTCAGAAACTACACCGAAGGTTTCCCCCAGCAAGAGAAGACACATCTCACCAGTTACATCCGGAAAGAACCGCTGTGTTAGGATCTGGTCGAGGTAAGTGGCACGCCAGACGGCCAGGTCGGATTCAATCCTCTCCGCAATATTGATAATATGTTCGCCGCTGACTTCTCGAAGGCTGACCACGGAGCTGATGGTGAAGAAAATTGAGAGGATCTCGTTCAGAATGACGGTCAATGCGGCCATGGCCACGAAGCAGTGTATTCCTGTTACCAATTCTGGCCTTTTTGCCCCTGCGTCCAAGGACTCCGATGTAGCCTCTTCGAAATCGGATGCTGTCAGATTAAGTGTTGTGGTGTTGGCAGTGTTAATGAACGACGGCCTCCCCAGAGCCCTGGCGAACCTGATGGCAGGGATTAGTCAAGTCCATGGAGCATAACATAGATAGGGTGCTTCGTCTACCATTTGTCTTGCATGTAAGCACCCCACCACAACCGTTTTCTCCGTCGCTTTATCCACTCGGGTATACTCCAGGTAGAGCAGTCGATGTTTAACCCGAGGTCATGGCACATGGCCACAAGACACCCAATCGCGGCATACATTCCGGGGGCACTGGTGCTCCTGCTATGATTAGCCAATCGAATAGTATACAAAAGAAAATGCACCCACATCTTTCCCCGTAAAGCTCTTTGGGTGAAAAGGATCGCTGCCTCAATAGTCTCAAGTGTAGGAGACCGTGCTTCAAGGAGCAAAGAGGCAGTCATATTCTCGATCAGAACATTGTTGTGGAGCCCTTCCAGCTCCGGAGATGTGTATTTTGATATAATGGCGATTGCATTCTTGAGAAGTCTGGACTGCTTCTGGCTTCTGATGAGACTTTCGTCAAGTAAAGGAATTGCTGGGTGAGATCTCTCTAGGAAGATCGTCTGAACTAGGGAAGCACTAGGCTCTATCGAGCGAGCACGATGGGTTGAAGAGGCTGACGCCACCGATGCGGATGAAGATGCGCGGTCCTTCCATTGATCAGATCAATCAATGCAAATGGGTGGGCACATGAATTATACTCGAAAGTAAGCCTCGTGTGCCGGATCGTTGCCGACGGGTTGGCTTCGCTCAGCCACAAAATAGACATCGTCAGTACCGCTCAACCCAATGTACTTTCCATCGACCCCATTCTTTCGTCCTTCAGTGGCATTCGCGGTGGGAACGACCAAATGACGACGACCACCAGAGTTGGCTGATGTCCCGACTGATTTTTCCGAGGCACCATCATGAACAGGAGCATTTGACTTAGTGGGTGATCTGGCTCGACGCTTCCTAGGGGATGGCTCCGAGCTGAATGTACATGGGATCGATCTTCTGCTGCATAACGCACAAGCACCTTCCGCATCCCGAACACAGCAGATGCGACGATGCCGACAATTGTCACAAGGCTTCTGCTTTCGCGATCGGTATTTCCTTGCGGCGGGCACCTCGGCTGAAGCCATGGCTGGAAGGAGTTACAACTCCTTACATGAACTTCAGTCTTGCTAAGATCAGATACAAAATCAACATGATTGACAGTGTGAACTCTGATCCATTGGAAGCGACGTGCAAAAGCAACTTGATCAGTGAAAGTCCATGCTTCTGATTGGTGTTGCAGCTGTGGGTTGAGATAAGACGAAGCCGCCCAATTGGTAGCAGAGAATGTGGCGGGCAAAGACTTTTGCAGCCTTTTCGTGAGGCTAGTCCACCCTTCCCAATATCGGGAATCCCTTGAAAAAGGCCATATACCGAGTACTTAGAGTCGCCTTCTATGATTGAGCTAGTTCTCCTTTATCTTGCCATTAAATTGTTTGTGCTTGGTCGATCGGAGACATGAAGCTAAAAGGTGTTCATAAGACTCCCTTCGTAATAGTACTGTGGGCATGGACGACGATTATGTACCTTTAGGAGATCATTGCAATGTCGTAAGAGAGCGAGGTGAAGTGGCTGATGATCGTGCTAGCTTAGATGTGCACTTGGTCCCCAGTTGCTGCATTCCAGGACGAACCTGACAGCCGTCTTTGAACTGCAAACTCGTGAAAATGTTTGTCTGACCACGCCCTGAACAGCGAAAAATATGATTTCTAGACCAAACCATGTCAGCATTTTGCCCCTAGAAAGAATTGCCGACTGAAGGCAAACATGTTGTCGAAGGTGCAGAATTCCGGAGCACCCAGTGCAAAATGAATGGGGAGTTTGGAACGATATTCTTCTAGAAAGTCCCAGAGCTCCTGATGCTGCTGGTCATCCAGACGACGTAGAATGTATGCGAGGCTCATGTGGAAGGAATATTTGTCCTGAGCAGGATGGTACATCTGAAGGAGCTCAGAGAGGCGCTTGCGAAGACCGCGAAGCCTTGCTTCATCGGCGGGAGTTGCAGGGACGACCTTCAGGGCAATGCCATCCACCAGTGGATCGTAGCTAACTATAGTCATGTGAAATGGTGCCTCGCTGCCGAAATCGAAGTTTTTGAGCTTCTCCCTGAACAGATCTGTGCACATATCCAACGACGCATCGAGCGGCAAATCTGCCGGCCAGACATGGGGCTCTCGAATCTGATCAGTAACACCTTCAAAGATCGTCATGTGCCAGCTTTGGGGTGGTAACAAAGTGTATTGCGAGGCGAACTTGTGGCTTTTAAGTGCATCGTGCAGACCCAGCATTGCGCGGTACATGGCGCGTTCGGGGGAGAGATGACAGATGATAGTGTTTCCAGGAAAAGGCAGTAATGTTCCATCAGGTTCAAACTTCCTGCCGATCCACTTTGGGTATTCGGGATGTGGGAGATCAGGCTTGGGAGCAGCCTCGGTTGGGTTAGCCATGTTGAGCAGTGCAGCTCCCTTGGATGAGGTGGAATTTGCGGTGGATGAGGCGGAGACACAGAACCCTCGTGGACAAAGGTTTGAGCTGGCTGCACTTGTGGCTGGAGAATAGAGGATAGCTGGCAGAGGTGGCTGATATGTGCCTATGAAAATGCGACGACCTTCTTCAAGGCTCAATCCGCCCTTCTCAGTGGATATTGCCCTTAGGTGGTACCTCTCGTGAGCGTTGTGGATCTATCTTCGTTCTGTGCTGATCTGGCGCCGGGAATATTTAGTAAGCGTGATGAAGTTGCATGGTCCGAAGTAATATGTCGATGGTTGTCATCCATCAACGTCTTGAAAACTGTTAGTGGTTCGAGCTTTGCTGTAAGTGTCTTGCATAAAGAATTGGCCAATCCCGTAACGGATGCTTTTTTGGCGGGAAGGAATCCCTGGCAGCACGTGAACCGACTAGCCATTCAGCGAGGCTTCCAAGAAAGAGGTAAAACAGACAAAGCCGCGGATCGAGATTGAATCTTGAAGGCTAGCCAGAGAGGCAGTAAACGCGCGAAATCGTTTGCATCGGCTGCACCAAGCCTGGAAAGTATGGAGCTTTCGTTGTCTGGTATGGCTCTGCCTCGATGAGGATGCAAACTTCGAGCCCGAAGTACGCCGTCGACCGATAGATATAATGAAAAGTATGACGCCTTTGAATGCTTCTATAAAATGCTATCCGTCATTCCATGTCGTTGTGGCGACATAGCATCTTCCCGTCACTTTTTTGGCTGCAAGATCAGCTTCATCTGCATCGCCTCGGCCATATTAGCAACCCTTTGTGGCGCAATGAGAGCTGACGAGTGATACACGAGCGCTTTCGTTTTTTCTTTCAGTTCGTCAATGTTTGTTGATCTGACTCCTCCACCTGGCATGACCACAACCCGGTCACCCGCCTGCTTCACAAGCTGTGCCAGAACATCACATCTCTGAATGGCCCTTGAAGCTCCACCTGAGGTGAGAATTGTCCTAATCTCACAACTGATGATGTCCTCGAGTGCTTGAAACAAATCTGCGGCTTCATCAAAGGCGCGATGGAAAGTGCACGGCAAAGGAGCTGCTAGCTTGACCAATTCTGAGGTTCTTGTGACATCGACGGTCCGGTCAGGCTTGAGAATGCCAAATACAAAGCCATCTGCGGTGGATCTGAAATTGGTCATGGTATCCCTCATCTCCTGAAATTCCTGGAGCGAATACTCAAAATCACCGCCTCGAGGACGAACCATGATATAGATGGGTATCTTGACCTTGTCTCGCAGGTCAGTTAGCCACCTCAAAGGTGGCGTTGTCCCTCCAACGTCTGCATTATCGCAAAGTTCGATGCGATCTGCCCCGGCATTGCCTGCTACCACCGCAGAGTCAGTATTAAAACAAGTAATTTCAAGGAGTGCCATGGGCAGATTGATGTGTCTGTTGGACAGAATTGATGTGCCCGTCTCGCCGTGAAAGGAAAGATATATACATCTGCTTAAGGAAGGATCCCCGAGGCTGTATGACGTAGTAGTATTTGCCAACACCTCAGTCTGTCGCAGCTGGAGATTCCTCCACCACCATCATTGCATGATATGCCGACTTTGGCCATTACTCAATCGAAATATTTCACCGTCGTGTCTGTGCTGATCCTGATCCTCGCTCTATTTCCAGGGTTTCCACAATATATTCTAGGTCTTCCCCTTCGACTGCTCATATATCCCTTCAAATCGACTGCCACCCTCTCCGTTGCTTTCGAGTGTCCTCCGGGCTGCGTCGCGCAAAGCACGCTTCAAAACATGTCAACATCGTGGTTTCAGAAAACCTTCACGCTTCCTGCCAAGTCTCGCGGCTCCTACCTCATTACAGACCACGTTGTGTCGTCGATACCCGAGATCAAGGAATATAAAGTCGGGCTTCTGAACCTGTTTATTCAACATACTTCATGTGCGCTCTCATTGAATGAGAACTGGGACAGTGATGTCAGAGAAGACATGAGCGATGCGCTTGATAGGATTGCTCCAGAAGATAGGAAAGGCAATCTATACAGACACTCGGCAGAAGGCTTGGATGACATGCCTGTAAGTTCAGATCGACCGTACAACGCTTGTGTTCATTCTCATGCGTCAATTAGGCACACATTAAGTCAGCACTCATTGGCGCAAGTGTCACAATCCCCATCACAGATGGCACCTTAAACACTGGAACATGGCAAGGTATCTGGTATCTGGAATTTCGAGCAGCAAAGCATTCGAGAAAAGTGGTAGCGACCATTCAAGGCCAGAAACCGTGAGGACTTGGTCACGTTCTAGCCGCAGTTCCCAAGGCATTGTATACGGGAAGTCCGTCATGAACTATCTCGCGCGTTAGCTCTCGATGGCTAGTTGTTTCTTCGACGATACCCAGTGGAACACAATCATACGCTCGAAATTCTCTGGTTGCCGATACTACCACAGGCCATCTCAAGACCGTCGGTACCATTTGCGGCGTTTCATTTAGGACAGTGGTCTAGCCTGTTAGGAGCTCTTTACCATTCCAAAGGTTAATGAAGGACTAAGGTATAGCTTCGAATGCACAACCTTGCTCACAGGCATTGGGAAACGCTGTTCACAATGTCGGCGGTATGCCCGTGGAGTTACCACTGCCTCCAAAGAGGTAGAATCTATCAAATGAGAGATGGGGCATGTCTATTGTTGCTTCGCAGCAATGAGAATGCAGTTGGTAGTGTGAACAGGAGAACGCGATTTCCTCCATATGGATGGGCGACAGCCTCTTGACAAGCGAGAATTGTGGAAGAGAAACCGTTGCTCCGTCTCGTGTCTTGTGCAGAACGCGCGACTTTGCTTAAATTTCCTACACTCGCTTTTTGTGCTAGTCCACCATCGCCATCTCCACAATGGACCTGCCGTTAACACCATTTGAAAACTTCAGAGTATCGAGAACAAGATTGTAGCAGTCCAAGTGGAGTGCAGCCTCGCAGAAAATCCTGGAGTCGGTGAAATGTTTTCCCGCAACCATGTGAGGCTCGGGATGCGTGAAGCAACTTTGGCTTTCAACTTTTGTCATCGACATTATTGTGAATTCCCTACAGCTACTCTATTTTCAAACAGCGCGCACAACCTGTGTTGCTCAACTACTACCATGAACGACTGAGATAGTTCAAATCGCAGCGCGTGTCAGTCTTACGGCTGTGTCAGTCTGAGCCTCTGAGGTTGCCGCTTTTGCTGCGTCGAGAGTTGAGGACGGCATTCTCGACCCCTCTCAAGACTTATATCCTACCTGTCCCTGCTTCATACCCATAGTGAAGGATATCCTACTGGCGCAAGTGCGATCGGGAGCATGGCAGGCTTCAGTACACCCGCTCCAAATGCGCGAACGCCGTCGCAAGAGCAGCCGAAGCAGATGTCATCACGACTGCTGAACATGAAGGTGAGTCAACTTCGAAAGCCCCCCGGTACCAACAGCCTCTGCTTCAAACCCACGGCAGACCAGATATATTAAGTCTATGGTTTGCGGATTTCCTATAGTTCATGCAAAGAGCCGCCGCCGCAACCTCCAGCGCAACATCTACCCTAGCGTCTTCTACTGTCCAAACGCCAGCGACTGAGCCGCTTGCCAAACGCCGAAGAATCGACACCACTACTTCCTCTCCGGCGGCATCTTCCCCTGGAACGCCATCGAATGGTTTTGCATACTCTGGACTCTCAACGCCAATTGCATCGCAAAATGCGGGCTTGGGCATCGCTCCAAGAGACGGAACAAGTACATTCACACGGTTCGAAGGTGCAGATACGGAATGGGTACTGGACCTGAAAATGAAGTTTCCTGGAGACAACAGAGCGAAACCGTCATCCGAAAACGACGCAAATACCAAGAATCAAGGATTCAATGCCTCAAAGCTTCGTTTCGGTGTGTTGAACGGGTGGGCAGAGGAAGACGAAGAGGAACGCGCTGAAGGAGAAGACATTTGGAACAACAATCAGCCCAGCGGCCGACAGACATTTGGCTCGTTTGATAAGAAGCGGAAACGAAGGGCTCATACCCGACAGGATCAAGGTCTGGATGACAATGATGATCAACGTCTGAGCCCAGCTTCGGACTCGGATGCAGACGAAGACTCAGAGTCAGATATGTCCGATTCGTCCAACAGATTAACATCACGACAACGTAGATGTCCTACAAAGTCTACGATGGAAATCGACTCAGACGAAGAAATGCACCGCGTTCGAATAGCAATTGAGCAGAAACACCGCAGTATGAAGGGTGTCGGGAACTTGGCGAGGACTGTGACGGGATCCGTTTCTGCCAACGCCTCTCTCTCGGGGTCCGGTCTTGCCCACGACGGCGAGAAAGGAGGGAGCAAGCGGAAGAGGAAACAGGGGAGTAGTAGTCATCAATCGACGAACAGGGCGAACAGGAACAAGAAGGCACGGAAGACAATGTGATCAGTGCTCCAGCGTGAGGTGTAAGGTGCTGGGCAATGATACTCCGCCAATGTGACGAGCATGAGCATGAGCGCCAACGACAGCGGCACCCTTGGTAACGAGCATTTTGCATATCGTGCGTGATAGCAGAGATCCATCCCGCCGGCCATGAGTTGAACGATGCCGATCTTGAATTGGTGCTGGAGCTGGAGCTGGACATTTCCTGTTACCAAGTTCATGCCTCTCTTCTTCTTGGGCTTCCCACGATCAGGGACAGGGACAGAGACAGGGACAGGGACCGAGAGAGTCGAGTCTCCAACGTCCGAAAACCGAGCGAAGAGAGACTTGACTTATTACGGTGCTTCGCGTCGTGAATTTGTTCCGTTATTGGCTTATTGCACGCCCCCTTCCCTCGCGGATGCGGAATCCTTCAACCACCAAGCCGGTTTCATAATACCCCGTACATACACCTAGGTACTTGCTGTGCCTCGTATAACGGTGTTATTCGGTACCATCCGGGGGAGGATTCAGGCGCCATACTCCCTCCACAACCAGCGCTCAGCCTCGTCAGCCCGCCTCTCCACCCTGTCCATTTCGCGCCAGATGTCGTCCTCCCTATCTCTTCTGTCCCTATTCCTTATTGATCCTCTTCTTCTTCTCCTCCTGTGCCCTCCATAGGGGTCGTCGTCGCCAAAATCACCATCATAATCAAAGTCGTAATCGTAATCATAAATGAAGTCAGGATGATACCCGGAATCATCAAAAACCAAGCCGTCGTACATGGGCTCGAGGCCACAGGCGCCGTGGCCGAAGCCCCATTCGCGGTCGCGATCCAGATCGCCCCGAGGCGGACCTGGGCGGCGTCGTCGACGTCTGCTCGAGGAGGGCCGGCGGCGGTGCTCGTGGCGAGGCGGCGGGCCCTCGTCGTAGAAGTCGTAGTCAAAGTCGCCGACGTAGCATGCTATTACTTCATCATAGGAGCCATCATCGCGGGGCACCCAGTGGCGGCCGTGGCGGCGTCGGTTGCTACTGCCACGGTGGCGATGGCGATCCCGACTCCGACTCCGACTCCGACTCCGGCTCTCTCGTGGCGGCGACCGTCCTCTGGGCCCCCTTCGCCCTCCACGTCCATGGCTGTCGTTGCAGCACTCACACAGAACCTCCACCTCGCCGTGCCGGCAGTACTCGAGCCTCCGCGGGCCCCTGGAGGGGCCGATGTCGTAGTAGTCCCAGCGGTCGTAGTCTTCGTCGTAAAAGGGACCTTCGATGTTGATGCCTGAGCGACTCCCCGGGTTGCGGGGATAGACGCCAGAGAAGACGGCCGAGAGGGCGCGTGATCCGGGATGGCTATTTTTCCATTTGCAAAAGATAACATGTCAGCGTGCGTAAATAGCGGGCCTATATTCTCGATCGCAAGGTATAGGCAGGATGGGTAGATAGATATAGAATGTAGTGGGATCATGACTGGGTACTTACTCTCCTCTCCGCCTACGCCGGCGGCGGCCACGATCACTACCGGCGCTAGAACCTCCTCTCGTCGACCCTGAGAATCTTACCGAGTGCCCTTTGGAATTGGGAGTCTTTTTGTAGCTGGTACCTTGATCATCATCGTAGCTCCTCCTATCATAGCCGGTCTCTGGGTCGTACCAGTGCAGATTACTGTCCGAGTCGACCCACGGAATAGGCGATCTTCTCAGCATCCTCGCAACCAACGCCACTCTCCCTGAGAAGGCAATGCTGGATTCGTCGACGATTGCGGTTGGCAGAGCGTGAGGCTTCACTCGGTAGGGGATCTCGGTTCTGACTGATGGCCGCCGGATCGTGTGAACTGTCTGGTCTTGCGCAGTCGACCTCCTGGAGACGAGATTTCGAAGGTGAATGGCACGGTAGCCTTTGCCGTCTAGCAAGACCGGACACTCAGGCTCTCATGGCTGGGAAATGGGGTCATTCATAACATATGTACCTTTCCTACCCTGACTATTATCATCACATGGTCTCTCTCAACTGGACCATGGGAGCACAATATCCACAATAAGGAGATTTTGGGAACGCCGTCCTCTCCGGTAGAATTAGTCCCGTGGGCGCTCCGACTTCTGCTTTGCCAGAGGATGACAGATCCATGACGTTCGCTTAGGCTGACCGCAACAGGCGCGATAAATAGAGTTGATTCATGGACATGAGTCGCCTTGTGTAGCTTGTGAGGGTACACAAGCCCGTCGGGATGGCAGAGGTATGGAAATTATACCGGCTTCCAGGCGCCCCATTTGTAGAGGTGTGGTGAGATGCTTGAGCCGGGGATGCATATCCGGGGCATCTGAGAGAAAAGAGGCTGCAGCTGGCTGCTCCATGCCACTTATGGATGATTCTTCACCATCAAATCTTCATCTCGGAACATCATCGACAAAGTGTGGAGCATGTTGTAATGGCCAGCTCACAAGAAAAGTGTCACCCAATATTTCATGCGCGCCTTAATCTGCCGTGCGCGACCATGAAACTGCCGCTCCTTTTCCGGCAAATAACATTGTGGCAGCATGGTGTATTGACGACATTGGACGATAAAACAATGCTTCCGACAAAAATTCAAGCTATTTCCACTTCTACCTGCAGACGAGTTGGAATAGGGCGGAAAAGGGTGTAACAGAAAGAGTGTTGAGCAACGTTTTCTGGGCTTTCTGAATGTGCTCTCAGCTCTTGCCTCTCTCCTCCTCTTCCGCAGATCCTTTCGTATCAAGGGGCTTCCAAACCTGAGCAAGCCAATTGCTTCGCTGCTTTTCTTGAATAACAGTGTTGCACAATACCGCTGTGGGAGCCATCGATGCGGCTCGAGCAATGGGGCGTGAGGAGGCGGAAGTAGAGGACATACCCTCATCCAGTTGCAAATGGAAGAGGACAGTATATCCCCGAAAGTTAGAGATATCCGCGTGTCAACGGCTACACGGCTCATGCTGCAGTGTGATCCACTCCGAGGAGTCTTGTGAGAGCATAGCTAGTCAGACTTGTCGCGCAGCAAACAACGGTCGTGTCACTCACCATGTGGCTCAGAGTAGTTGAGCAAGCAAAACTTCCTACCTTCAATAGGCTCAAGGAGGACAAAAAGAGTTTGGAGGGCGAGGCGCCCTTGCTAAGCAGCGATCAGAGAGCCGAGAATGCGGCACGCCTGAATGAAGAAGTGAGAGAAAGCAGTGAGGCAAGACAAGACTAGACCGATGCATGTGGACCCCCTGGGTGCGATGGTAATCTTGCAGGGAATCATAGGTGTTACAAAGTGTGGTACGAACCTACGCGAGACGCCACCGACAATTCGCCTGTAACTGGGGACGCGGCGCAGGAGAAAGGCGCTGCGGCCTGCGTGTAAAGCAGATCGGCAGTCGAACAGGAAAACAAGACGCCTGTGATGAATCAGAAAGCTTGACAGGCAATCAGGGTTTAGACAAGTCAGAGGAAGGAAAGGGTATTCTCTTTTGAAGTAGTGCATCCAACAGGAAGCCAAAGCCACAACCGAGCTCGACGTCCCCATGAGCCGGAGAAAGCAGGATTGTAAACACACACATGCGTAAAATGATTCAATAGTAACCTCCTGTCAACCGTACTGTCCTTTGTTGTTTCTCTCATTCACTCGTTCTGATTCCCCTTCCGCATGACACCGCCACAATCAGGCCCAGTACAAGATGCCCATAGACGCCGAGAACGGGTTGCAGAGAGAAGGTTGGGTTGTTGCTGTCTGTTTCCGGCCTTCTATTCACCCGCCTTGCTCTTCTTCTTTTGCTCCACCTTCAAGAGTAGTGCTCGGTTGATGTGAGGAAGGACGCCACCGAACGCGATGGTCGCTCTGATCAAGGTGTCTAGCTCTTCATCACCTCGAATGGCAAGCTGTAGATGGCGCGGGGTGATACGCTTGACTTTGAGATCCTTGGCTGCATTGCCTGCCAGCTCCAGAACTTCAGCGGTCAAGTACTCTAGGACGGCGGTGACATAAACGGCAGCTGCACAGAAAGATGATTAGTGTCTGCAGTCAATCACTTGGTGGGGAGGGCGGCTGAAGTTATGCATACCTTTGGCTCCAACTCTCATCTTGTTTTGCGTGTTGTTCTTGAGGAAACGCTTGACGCGACCGCATGGAAACTAGGAAAAGACGCGTCAGTTTTGGTCTGATGAATAAAGGTGAGGCGCAGAGCGAGTGCGCTCATGGCTGGGACAAGGATAGAGGAACGCCTCCGACCGCTGCCGAAAGAGATGACCGTGTTATGCCGCGTTATCATCACCATCGTCATCGCAGTCATCGGTCTCGACCTCTTTACGGCATCCAGTCTGAGTGCGGACTTCCATCTTCTGCCCAGCTTGTCGCAAGGAGGGTGAGCTCACCTGAAGACCAGCCTTTGCGCTGTGCGACTTCTGAGTCTTTGCCGTGGAATCCTTCGCGCCTGAGGCCTTGCCGCCGATGCTCTTGCCCTTGCCTCCTGCCATTGTAAGCGGTGTGAATGATGATATGTGTGGAAAATTTGAGATGATGCGACGAGGATATCGAAGAGAACGATCGATGGAACTCTTGGTAGACGCGTCGGATTGTTGATATCGAGGATGGGGATATGGGAGAGGGTCAAGTGGTGGAGGATAAGTGGGTGGCAGGCACAGCGAGCAAAATACCAGTCAGTCGAAGACGCAGAGGCAACCATGATTGGCCCTAAGCCGCTTTGGGTGGAGCATGCGGGGCTTGGCATATTTGGGAAAATCCCGCCACCTTGTCACTGTGGTATGTCGGTGTGTCTGGAGGGACGCCAGCCTGATCGTGACGGCCCGGACATAGGCAGAGACCACGGCTGTGGTGAAAAGGGATCCTGCGTGAAAGGGTCAATAGATCTCAAAATGTACCAGGAGACAGTGAAAGCTCCTTTCAGTGAAAGGGAAGACCATAATGCCTAACCAAACGAAAGGAGCCCAAGTGGGCAGTTTCTGCAGGCTGCTGTGAGTGATTATATTTTACCCTACTCCCTCCAGGTGTTTGGGAATTTTTTGTTTTGTTTTTTCTTTTGAGATGACAGTGGCGTAGAGGTCATTCTCTGTAACCGCCATCTGCATCATCAAGCTTCTGACCTGTCTTTCGAGAGCAGAGTGTTACTGGAACTTGTCGCGGAGTGAGTAGGAGTGAAGATGCAGTGCAGTGGTTGAGGGGGAGATTGTCTTGGCGTGTATTATGTAAACATACGTCGCTGTCATTGGCACGGTGATTGGCACCGAATCGGCACCAAATTAGGTTGTTCGTGATGGAAGCGACCAGACGAGGCTGAGGGGATGTTGGACAAAAATCAAGATTCATTCTGATCAAACAAGCAATAATCTGGTATTACTAGCAGTCCTTCAAGTGGCCTGCCGACGGATTAAAACGAGTGTATCCCATACATAAATCCCTCTCCCGCACAGTCAAAACACAAATCATGACGAGGAGACTCGCTCCGTCTCGTCCCATACCAAACCGATTGCACTATCGGTGGCAAACTCGGTATGAGCTCCTTGTCAAGCGCTCTGGCGCTCAACGCCCATAATGCACTGCTCTCTCGGAAATTCAAGTCAAGAAACAAAGTGTACAAGCCAGGGTCAATCATTCTTTCTTGGGGACCTCGTAACAAAATGCTTTATGCCGCACCCGTGGAGTCCTGTCTCATTTCGTTACAACAATCTTTTTCTGTAGTCCAATCATGCAGTCATGTAGGCTGCCCTATGCGTCTAACTTTTTGCTGTTTCCTGATAGGAGGTGGTCATGTCGTTCGTGGATCATTGACTCATCATTGCTCAGCAGAGAGCGTCATCAAAGTAGGGGGTATATGCTAAGTCTCTTCATTCGGCAATTGCTGATGCGGCCGTACGCAATTCGTCGCTGCCACGCCCGTTTTGTCGGCGGAATCCGATGGCGCTGGTTGAACTCGGTCCTCGCGACTGACGCAGTGGGTTGCTATTCTGGGAGGTGCTCTCTGGTCCTATGCTAACAGTTCGCTTGCTGCCAATGGGGGCGGTGGGCTGGTAGTTTTGACCATCAGTCCAGTCGGACCCGTTCCCAAAGAAGCTGCGTTGCCGGCGAGGGCTGGTCTGGCTGCCGCTGTTGTTAGTCATGGAAAGATTGGAGAAGCTAGAGATGAGGAATGGTTCATCCCGGTTGACACCCGCATTAGAAGCCGTCGGAGTCAATGTAGGTGTGTTGGAGCCAGCTGTGTCGTTCAACGCTTGCAGACGTGCTCCGTTAGTTTGCAAGGCAGCAGGGAAGCTCGCAGAGGAGGGCACGGGCGACGGGCTCCATGATCGTAGGTCAGCAAAGGACTTGGCGTTGCGGAGGTTGTTATCGGCATTTCTACCATAGGCGCTGGAATCCATGACGTCCAGCAGCCCAACCGAAGATTGTCCGCGGAGAGTGTTGAAGGCAGGACCTTCATATTGTCTGCCGTCATTGAAATCAGCTGTAGAAGACCTGGCAAGAGTCTGGCGCATGCCGTCATTCGACCCGAATCCCCCTGGCAGAGTCGGTGGGCTAACATTCGTACCTGGAGCTGGTCGGTGGATATGGACCTGCCGCTGATCTCCAGTACCGCGGGATGTGTGCATCAAACCCATATGGTGGGCCAAGGTGTGGACAATCCGACGATGGTGAGGTTCCAATGTTGGGGGAAATATGAGGACTTCACGAGTAGGATCTCGTCTGAACAGGGTCATCTCGGTGTAGAACTCGAGAGTCTTCGGATCATTCATGTCGACATCTAAACCTTAGTTAGGCTGATTTCCAGTGCAGCGGGAAAAGGGTCCACTCACCAGGCATTGTGCTGCGGTGTGACAGGGGGGATGGAGTGGTTCGTGAAATGGACGACAATGAAACCTGGTTATGAAGCTGCGATTGTGCCATAGGGCGGTGCTGTTCCTCCAACTGACCGCGCCGTTCACGCTTCTCCCTTTCAATACGCTCTCGCTCAGCGAGAGGCAGCATTTTCTTGTATTCCACACGCAATTTGCGACCGCTCAAGTCCATATGGTTGAGGGCTTGAATGACTTGTTCCGTCTCCTGTGGAGAAGTGAAATTGGCAAAGGCCAGACCCCGGAAGACGCCGTTGTCAAAATGATAGTTAAATGCATATGGCAAAGGCAGGTTCATATCAACCATTAATTGGACAAGTTGCTCCTTCTTGACAGCGAAGGGGATGTTCTTGATCACAATCGCGGTAGGAATCAGCTCATCATCGTCTTCCTGTTGGTCATTACGGCCTTGAGGACCCGGTCGATGGCCAACAATAGCAGGGTGCTGTTGCTGCAACTGTCCTGGCTGATCGTACCAAATCTGGGTCTGGTCAGTCAGCCGACATTTGCCGCATTCATGTTGTGAGCGACTTACGTTTGAGATGCCCACACGGCCTCGGCTGGGTTTGACACTTCGCGACGGTCCATAGTTGGCATTTTGAGGAATGCCCCCCATGCCGTTACCAAAGGATTGCAAAGAAGCACCACCAGAACTCCACGTTTGAGCAGCGCTTGCATCATAAGGGAAATTGATGTTCCCAACCCCATGGTTCTGCATGGGTGCACCGAAGCCATCCCGCATGCCGTCGAAACGCATGTTAGGCAATGCGCCCTCGGCCCCAAACATTGGAGCACCCATACTTCCGTAGGGGTCGGCCCTACCGCCCTGACGGTTCAACTGTGCACTTCGATATGCTCTTGGGGATGTACTTGAGATGTCATCATAGAACGCGTCGGAGGCGTTGGAGAAGGCTGCCATCTTTACAAAGTCCCGAGTTCAATGCTATCTCTTTCTGTTACAAGTTCAGCCTCGACCAGAATCCACCACTGTCCTTCAGGTCCAAGTGTGTCTCTGGGATTTTGAGGATAATGGAAACGATCTCCTGTTAGTGACTGGAGGCGATGAGGGACGCGCCAGGGACGAGGACGGATACTTCGAGGCCGTGGTACGTAGAAACCGTAAAATGAGTAGCGTCGGGATTGTTTGGCGATTAAAGGAGAGACGAGTCGCAGAATTAGAGGAAAAGGGTATCAGACGTCGTGAGAGCGTGATTTGCCCAAGGGCTGAAGCAGCGCGTTCGACTGCGTGAGGAAAATGTAGAGTAGGTTGCAGTAAAAGTCGAACCTGGTCGAAAATCGAGTCGAGTCAAGATCTCGCAGGCAATTCGAACGAGTAACAGGACGTGGACAGGGGCGTCTAACTCGAACAACGAGACATGATAGAGATGGGTGAACTATGAGCCAGCGTACACAAGAGCGCCGGAGGGCCAAGATGCGAGTAGTCACACGGCAAACCGCTGGATATTTGTGAGATGAAAGGGAGAGCGTCAAATTAAGGAAAAAAGAAGACGGGGAAAGATTTTGTCCAAGATGTTGTTTTGAGACAAAGAAATTAGGAGAAGTTTTTTGGCTGCGAAGAGACCGATTCACTAAAGTTAGAGAGTTAGCACGGAGGGCAGGTGCGTGCCAGCAGCCCAAGGTTGAAATGGTGGGTTGGGTCGCTCTGGTGGCCAGTGGCCGCCACCCCTGGGCCCTGGGCAGCGACTGGGGGAGGCTGCCACCTGAGAGTGGCCTGGAGTGGCCTGGCATGGCCAACCAGAGCATTGTGCACTACTAAATCCTCAGATTTCGCGGTGATTAAATTGCGTCGACAGTCCCGGAAGCCAGTTCAAGCTGGGCCTCGCTCGGCCTCGCTGAGAGGGTCGGTGGCACTTTAAGCTGCCCACAAGCTGCCCACTAGGCCGAGTTAGCGTGGTCCAGCCAAAAGGGTAAGCTAGGTAAGTAGTAGAAATCATCGACAGCCACGATCCTATCCACCCCATCCACCCCCCATCGACGCAGTCCCTCTGGCCGCAAAGCATCTCATCATTATGTTTCTCTCTTGAATCGCCTGGTGGCTGCCGTTGCAAATATCTAGCCCAAGAAGATCCCCGTCTCGACTTGCTCATGAGCTTTGCGGTTGGGCAAGAACAGGCGTGGGCGCAGGCCAAAGGGAAACGGCTGGGTCATGGGGATGGAGTGCGCTCTCTACCTTCCCTCGCTGCCGACAGCAATCTAACTCCTCCACCATCTGACTGCGTACCCTTCAACCCCTGTTAATCCCTATCCTGACATCTTCCCAGAAATGTGTTTAGCCAGGCTATTGACGCCCTGCTTTCAGAAATGCTTCGCCACGACGAAATCTCGGTTTCATATCTCCTCCATCCACTTGCCAGGTCCCGACTCCCTAATCAAGCCGTCGGAGCCTTGCGTCGAGAAGTCCCCCTGAGACCCATTTCCTCTCTCACACACTTCTGCCTGCCCCTTTTCCTTCTCCATTTGGCTTTTCCTAAACCTGGATTGCATGGGGCTCCCTTCCTTCTGAGCGACACGACTAGTCGGACCAGCAGGTCTGGTGTGCAAGCTTGGCATTATTCCTCGACCCAGCGTTTGCCTCACCTTGTGAGCCACCATCTCTACCGCCCGTGGGCGGAAGTCCGGCCCTGTCGTAGTTAGTCGCGGATTACTAGGCACGAACCATGATCATCCCGTCACGAATCCTCAGGTTTCTGTACCAACTCTTATCCTTCATACTGGACGGCGTTGGGTGGGTGTGGGACTGCGCCGGTTGAGAGAACGCATTGGTTCAAAATACCTGCTGAAGGACAGCCCAGAAAATGAGGAGTGAAGTGGCAGGAGTGGCAAGGTGCCAAATGACTGGTGAAGCGGTGTTTGGCTGAGAACAAACGTGCATAGTTTGATGGCTGCCACATACATAGATACCTACATACAGGCGAGCAGGTACGATAGGGGAGGAGGACTGAGTTTCTCGAAATGAACCTGGTGACCTGCGACTGGCAACCCACCGAGCCAACCGGAAGAGATCTGCAAGAACGCTTGATGCCGGCCTGCTGCTCAAACAGAACTCTACCCTAGAGTCTAGATTTGTGTGACCATCCGACAAGGGCACGAGATCTCCGACTTCGCTAGATCCATAGGTCCATACTTAGATACAGAGGTCCATGGCATGGAACAGATTGAGTTTCTACAGACGAAACATGCCTGTACCGTCTCCGAAAGACGTCAAAACTGAAGACGTCCATTCCCTTGGCGAGATCTCTGCGAGCAAAGAGACATTCCGCTCGGTACATACTCCGTACCCAATAGCTGGTTCAGGCGGGCATTTACGGCACGGTTGGTCAAGTCTGGGGTTCCAGAGCCAGGGGCCCATACCACAATCCTGCCAATGATTTGCTCCAGTGTGATGTAAACTGCTTTACTCGACAAACGTCAACAAATGATTCATGCTCGACTAAGGCAGTCTTCGCATCTGACAATGAACAAATCCTGCTTGAATCAGGGGGAACGCTGAATGACCTGACAGATTTTGATGGGCTACTTGACGCCCCATGCGCATGTGATCTGGATACAGTCACCACAAAACTGCATGCTTTGATTTCCTTGCCCATCTTGACGTCCAGTCAGCCGCCGAAACGAGCAGTATGACGACCTCCGCAATCTTCGAAAAGCTGGCATTGCACGTATCAGGCAAACATATGGTCCCTGCTTTACCCGCCTTCATCTACGGGACAGCATGGAAAAAGGAAGCAACGGCTGATCTCGTCTATCAGGCCCTTTGCAACGGTTTCACGGCCATTGATACCGCCGCTCAACCCAAGCACTACCGAGAAGATCTGGTCGCGGCGGGTATATCAAGAGCAATCAAAGATGACAAGGTCAAGCGGTCTGAAATTTACATCCAGACCAAGTTCACCAGCGTGGCAGGCCAAAATCCAGAGAACATGCCATACGACCCCAAGAGCCCGCTTCCAGAGCAAGTGAATGCCTCGGTCATCTCGTCCCTCAAGAACTTCAATTTTGCACATGTAGTCGAGGGAGACGACACGGCGGAGCCCTACATTGATACGCTCGTTCTACATTCACCCATGCCGACCATCAGCGAGACCTTGGAAGTCTGGCAGGCACTGGAGCAGTATGTGCCCGACAAGATTCGAAACCTGGGCATTTCCAACTGCGACCTGTTCACATTAATGGACATCTACGAGCGTGCCCGCATCAAGCCAAGCGTGGTTCAGAATCGCTTTTACCCAAGCACCAAATATGACATTGGAGCGCGTCAATTCTGTAGGGAGAAGAACATCATCTATCAAAGCTTCTGGACACTGTCGGCCAACCCGAACCTCGTCGGGTCGAAAGAGGCAGGCCGTTTGGCAAACCAGCTGGGCATCAGTCCCCAGTCGGCCCTGTACTGTCTGGTGCTGGGACTGGGGAATGTGACCGTCCTCAACGGGACCAAGAGTGCTCAGCATATGCAGGAGGACTGGAGAGCTGTGACGGTGGTGAAGGAGTTCGCGCAGTCTCACCCTGAAGAATGGGACAAGACAATGACAGGTTTCCGAAAACTGATCGGGCAGCCGAAGCCCTAGGCATGGCGACAATTTGGTAGACAAGACAGTGATCGTGATGAGCCGAGGGGGGGGCGACATGTTGAGACAGTACTTAGCTTGGTTAGTATGAACCACAAGCATCCTCATGATCCGCAAGGCTGGGACTGAATGGACGGGAACTGGGCTGTGGAGCAGAGCGAGTCAGCCACTCGGTTGGCTGGCGCAGTGAAAGCGCAATTGGCCTGCGCAGCCTAGGCAGCGTACGCGATATGTCATAGGCTCCCGCACCAGGTGGCACGGTGCAAGCGCTGCACAGTGGCAGAGCGGCAGACTGCACCACCAGTACGGAGTACCTAGGAACCTAAGAACCTAAGGAACTCACAACAGTACTGCGGACTGAGCAAACTCCATCATCAAACCAACACATCCGCTGCCTTCCCAATCTCATGCTGTTGAAAATGCTCGGACTCAATCACACCACTTGTACATTGTCGATGATATAAGGACATATTACATGTTCTCTGGGCACCTTCTTGTCGACATAGCGCACTTTGGTTTCTCCTACTCATCTGGTCGTCTTCATCGCCATCCCGACCAATATCGCACTTCAGCGCCTCAGCCCGCTTGACCACCGAACACTGCAGCGGCGCGCATCCGACATCCATCCCATTCTTCTGCGACGATTGGTAACTGCCTGACACGCGACACCTCTCTGATAGCGGCCCTGCCGGTTTTGTCTTGGCCGACCTCCCGGCGACGTCGAGCCTCACCCACGTCGCCGATTTCAGACCTCCGAACATTACCTCGTCCTGTGAATCCTCCTCCTTCCACTTACCTTGCACCTCTTCTTCCCTAACATCCCATAAACATGGCCTCGCAGGGCTTCTCCAGAAAACGTTCTGCGCCGGGTGCAGACCCGGTCTCGTACCCTGCTCAAATGCAGAATCCCGTGCCCGCATTCAACGATGGTCTTGGGCAGCAACTCTCCAATGACCAGTTCCTTCAGTGGGGGCAGACCGGTCAGCCTGTTGCTGGTCCCTCATACAATGACACTAGCTTCGGTATGAACGCAAACGCCTATCCCGCGAGCAGTCCCCAAAACGTCCCTCAGCCTTCGAATCAACTGACCCGGAGACCCATCACTCAACTCGCCTCCCGTATCCCCCGACCGAACGAAGAGGGGAATGCTTGGATGGAGCATCCCAATGGAGGTGTGCATACCGCAAATCCGGAGTGGGAGGATGACATTGCAGAGTTGGAGGCAAGAGCACAAGTCGCGAAGAGAGAGGCACAACAGAAGAGGAAGCAGATACCCCCTTTTGTTCAGAAGCTTAACAGGTAAAAGAAGAACGGACCCTGATCAAAAGTGGAGGAACGGTGCTAACAAGTGTATAGCTTTCTGGAGGACGGCAGAAACACCGACCTTATCCGTTGGTCAGACGATGGCAACTCATTCATTGTCCTGGATGAGGATGAATTCGCCAAAACACTTATCCCGGAGTTGTTCAAACATAACAACTACGCTTCATTCGTGCGCCAGCTCAACATGTACGGCTTTCACAAGAAAGTCGGCCTTTCCGACAACTCCATGAGAGCCAGTGAACGCAAAAACAAAAGTCCAAGTGAATACTCAAATCCCTACTTCCGCCGAGGTCACCCAGATTTGCTGTGGTTGATACAAAAACCCAAAAATGTCGCCGGGCCTGCCTCGAAACGAAAAGGCAAGACCGACACAGACCAGAACGAGGAAGAGGCGGACGAATATGTTGAGGAGGCACATCCCACCGATAGTCGAGTACGTCCCCGACCCGGCCAGCTCACGCTAGGAAGTGGCGAGATGGCCCTCACCCAGGAGCAATTTAAGAGCGTGCAACGGGAGTTGGCAGCCATCCGGCATCAGCAGACGCAGATTTCTCGCATGATGCAGCAGCTCAAGCGTGAGCATGAACAGCTGTACGGGCAAGCGGCGACATTCCAGGACCAACACAATCGACATGAGAACTCGATCAATGCCATCCTGACCTTCCTCGCCACCGTCTACAACCGCAGCCTTCAAAGCCACGAAAGTGTACAAGGGATTGCCAACCTTTTCCAAAATGCTATGCCTGTCGATACATCGACCCAGGGCAACGTGGTTGACGTCGGCGACTACAACTTCAACGATATCAACCTCGACGGTAGTCCTGCGAAGCCGTTCAAGAAACAGCCTTTACTATTAACCAATGGTCGCGCGAGCACATTGTCCCCCCGCTCTGGCAACAGTCCCTATCCTACGCCCAAGCCATCAACCACCCGCAACGGCCAACCGCAATCACTGCTCTCGCCGAAACTTGAAGAGGTCTTTGATCCGGGAGTTCACAGCCCCGACAGCCCCGCCGTCTCCTCTGTCAATCAGGCCCGTGCCGACTTGCCTTCCCGTGACATGATGACGGTGATTCAGAACGCTAACGCAAGAAATAATCACGCGGCAACTTCTCCCACCACCCCCGCCCAAGACTTCTCCAATGTCCTCAGCAATCTCGAAGCGTCCTCCGGCACAGGACCACTGTCCACAGCCCAGCGCGCCGACGTCCTCCGCATGATCAACAATTCCACGAACCAACCCGCCGGCAACGACAATGCGCTTATAAATGCCACTCCACCACCTGGGCCTGCGAATTTCCATCGCCGTCTGGCCAGCACCCAAGCCGACTTGGAACAACTTGCCAAGTTGCAAGCGGAGCAGGATAAATCTGTCCAAACCCTCACGAACTTACTGCAACCACTCTCGCCAACAGGCTCCATCCCTGGAATCAATGATGGCCAGTCACTTCCACCTCCGCCATTAGATATCGACGATTTCCTCAATCACAACGAATACTTTGCCGACTTTTCAAGTGACGGGAACGGAAACTACGACTTTGGCAACACAGGTCTAGGTGGGAATCAACCAGGCACTGCAGACAACCTGAATTTCGCTTACAAGGACGACGACGAGATGTTTGGAAATCTGAACAATGATACCGCGACTGGGTTCGGCGGCTTCGATGGAACCAATGTGGGAGCGGGTGCTGGCGTAGGTATGGGGACGGATCAATATGGCGGAAGTACGGGGAATATCAAATTCGACAATGCGACCCGTTACACGGAGCATGATGGCGGGGGGCACGTCGAGAGCGTGCCGAGCAGCGAAGTCACCACTCCCAAGTCAGATAAATCTGCTGCCAGCCGAACGGCGGCTAAGGGGAGAAAATTGAGCGATGCCGAAGAAAATGGGATGGGGAGGAAGAGAGCTAGAGCCTGAACGCCTTCACGACCAAAAATATACCCACTACTATATCTCTCCAGAGACGAGGCAGGCATGCGTGTTAAGGTTAAACCCACCCTACGAGAACTGGGGACCAAGGACAAGAAAGAATGGAACAGAAACAGCAGACCAGACCGTTCACGGCGATCGATCGATCGGTCGGTCAATCATGGATGAAAAGAGCTGCCACAGCCCCCTGTCCAGGGTATTGAATACCCACCTGTACGAGTGTTCCCAAGAAATCAGGAAATCAGGAAATCAAGGAACCTCCAAAACTAAACACGGTAAAAGAACCAACGACTGCACCCTACGAGAACAACAATGGGCGGGAACCTGTGTGACGAGACAAATGAAACGAACGGAGCTTGACGGATTACGGCTGGGTGGGTTTATTCTCTTGGGAAAGTTGGGGCGAACGGCAAGAGAGAAGAGAGAGAGAGAGAGACCAGAGAAGAAGAAACGAAGGGGTAAGTGGGAAAAAGGTTGCTTCGGGCATAAAATTGATACCCCTTTGCATTCTTGCAGTTTGGCACCGACGCAGGCACAGTCTTGGAGTGTTGGCTTTTCTCATCTCTCTGCAAAAAAAAAAAAAAACACCCCCCCCCCCCCCCCGAGAGGAGAGGGAGAGGGAGAGGGAGGGAGGGAGAGTGTTTGTGAGAGTCTCGTGGGCTGTGCATATTGCGTGTCTAAGTGTCTATGTCCAGCCTCTCTCGGTATTCCATCTAGTTCTAGTTTAAAAATGATTCCCAAAGAAAGAAAGAAATGCTAAGCAAAATTGGAAGTCTGCAACGCGCCTGAAGAGTATTGTAGAATTTATGTTAACATGTATATATCCTTCTCCTTGATTATTGCATACTTGCTCACTCGGCCGGCCGAATCGAAAAATAAGCGGCACACTTAAAGTCCTTCGCTGTTAGAACAGAGGTGACCTTCTTTGGTAATAAGCATTCTGTTTACCTTGAAAATAGTGGCCCTCTGTCACCCATCCCATACTGTTGACTATATTCGATATAGCGGGCGCTTAAATGTTATTGAGCAATCTTGAGGTGCCGCTCAATTGTTTTTTAACCTCTGGCTTGCCATCTTCAAATCTCAACTTCCAGATCATTCATTCACTGACAACCATTCATATTTGCTGAACGCTCGCAAACCCGTCAAGAGCGGATGCGGAGATTTCTCATTGCTTGGTCTCAGCTCTGACTGCTCTCTGTCAACGTGACAGGCAGCAATTTTTTCGATGATGAAATTGGCTAGGCTCCAGCGTGCTTCGGGCCATGAGCCATCTATGTAACAAGAGATGATCAGGGAGAGGAAGGCCAAAGAGAAGTTGGAAAGAAGCCGGCGAAGGGAGCAGAGAACCTGAATAGTACGACTGCGCAAGTTTGGTGCTTGGAGGTCTGCTAAGGAGGATTGTGCATTGGGGGGAGCTCGTCGAGGAGATCAACCGAGCTCCGCTGACCTGTGAATCATGCGGCGAAACGGATTTGAGCTTGTTCCGTTACCATCATCACATGAGGGAGCATCATGGACATTCGTCTGCGCGACCTCCGCTGGTCAAGGACGATACCAACGATAAGGCCTACGACAATGCCATCAATGGTAGCGACGGTGATGTCGTCGACGATACTGACAACCGTTTCGGTGTCAGAACCTTTCCTCATGGCATTGTTCCCTTGAGCATGTCCTATTGTCATGTTACCGCTGCATGAACCCACGGAGATTCTACATGCGCGGCAGGCTCTTTAATCCTCGTCCTCCCGTTCCCACGCTTCAAAGTCATAGGTGCGAACGCGTAAGATGTCCGGACTGTTCTATAGATACGGGATAATGAGGAGAAGGAGGAGAAGGAGCATACTGCAATACTCTTGCCGATCGAACTGGACGTAGAACTAGAACTATAGATTCATAGTTAAGCAAGGCTAGATTTATGAGCACAGGAGCACATACAGGATACTGCCAGACCATCGTTCATTCTTGAATCTGGCTTAATGGGAATGACTGGGGGTTCATCGACTAACAGTAAATGGAAGGAGAGAAGAAGTTGGCGAGAGCGCGCAGGAAGAAACTGGGAAAGTAGCTTACGAAAAGGAAAGGGCGATCGTGTCGATTCGGACCAGGGCATTTACACAATCATCTCTTTCGTTCGGGTTGATGTACTCACGCATGGGGGTGCTCCATCGGGCATAATCGTGTGCCACTCGCCCTTATTCCCTCTTCTTAACCCTCGGAAAGCTCAACCACAATCCCAAAAGCACAACAATCAGTGCCAGGATAATTGGTTGCAGCACCTTGACTCCTTTGGTCGCAGCGATAGCACCGATTGCGAAAGGAAACACCGTCCCACCAGTTCCTCCCAATGCCATCGCAAAGCCAATGCTGCTTACATGGATATGCTTCGGCAACAACTTTGCAGCCATCATCACACAACCAGGAAACATGGGACCAAGGAAGAAACCAAGGAACGCAACAGCCACGGCGGACACGATGAACTTCGGCACAAGCCAGAAGATCAGCTGCAAGGCGAGACAGAGGGCGAGGTAGATGGAGATGCAGAGCCGTTCTCCAAAACGCTCGGTAACGAAACCCAAGGCAGCGCGACCGAGCGCCATGCCTGCCCAAAAGCCAGTGCCCGAATATCCTGATGCTGATGGTGAGGCGGAGCGGACACGGAGCATAAATGTTACGATCCAGCCCCCAAGGCCGACTTTCTCGCGAGATGGACGTCAGTGACCCCAAACTTTACAGCACATACCTAGGCGCCAGAAACATATATTGAAGAGGAATGGACCGACGATGAAAGGGGAGCGGACGTTACCTTCGATGCCCATATATGTGAAAAAGAATGCAGAGCAGATCCAGGTGATTTTGGATTTGAGTGCTTCTTTCGTGCGACCGCCCGTGGCCTCAGTGTCCCGTGGATGTTCGACCCGATACACTTCGCCCGTCTTATGCCAGAACATCAGGCTGAGACCGAAGAACTCCAGGACCGAAGCGCCGGTCTGTTCATGCAAGGCACAGCACGTTAGCGTGAACATTTCTCATCCAATATCAATCACCCTTTCTTCTGAGGAGTGTGCTTTGTCGTTCGCCAGTTTGTCCCACTCACCATGAAGTAATAAAACGTGTACCAAGGCAGCTTCGCATGAACAATCATGGACGTCGCAATTAGAGGCGCAAATAGAGCTCCTAGAACGTGGTGAGTACCCATCTAAGATAAAATTCTCTGTTCCAGAATACAAAACATGATACATATGTATTGTCTGGAATGGCAAAAGATGAAACTGTATATTACCTAGGGAGTAGCAGCTGTGGAGGCCTGGACTAAGTGTTAGCCAGTCAAAGTCTCGCGTGCAATGGGAGGTCGCACTTACAGCCCTGCACAGCGTTGGCTTTGTCCATGGCTCCAATCCAGGCGCAGAAGCAAGCATCAGTGAGTCCATTGCCGAATCCAGAGACAGTGTTGATGATGACCAGTGCGGGGAAAGGAGGGTGAGCGGACAGCACTGCATAGGTTGCGATATGGCACAAAGGCGCGAGGATGGCGATGCCTCTCTGGCCGAGCTTCGTGTGTATGGTGGCATTGGTAAAGGCGGCAAGGGAGTAGCCTGCAAAGGGAGTGAGGAAGATCAGGGAAACAGTGGTGTAGTTCAGGTGGTAGTACGTCTCGAGCTGTATGAATGTGAGCAACCGTTCAAGGACAGCAAAAAGGCACCAAATCACGCACGTAGGGTATTAGGGCCTGTCATGAACGTGTATTAGCATATCTATGTCAACGGAAAGGGGAGCCAGAAGCTTCATACGCCCACAGCACCATCATTGAGCCCCGTGACGATGAATGAGAAGAAGGCAAATCCTAGACGTCCAATATTTCCCCTGGGCATATTCCAGCGCTGGATGACGGGCTGAGCCGTCGCCGGAGGAGGAACCTCGTTCCGAACGTTGTCCTCTTCGTCTGATGAAGCATGACCGCCTGCTGTGGTTGGCAAGGAGTCTTTGCCGCCCTGGACCACCCGGCGCGTGAGTTCTCGCAGCGACTTCGTCGGTGTTTTCAGACTCAGTTCGAATGTCTCCGCCGGGGTTTGTGGGGGACGAGATTCCCGCGCAGCAGGCGAGATGGTCATTGTTTGTGATGTGGTCATCGTTGCTTTGGTCGCCTCCGTACAGCAGACAGGCGGAAGTCTATGAGCGGGTACGATGATAAATAAATATGAACTGGAAAGGAGAGAAAACCCCGGATTGGCGATAGTGGTGAATATCGAAACTTGCAGGTCTTTTTGTAAGGTCCAAAGCGCCAACGTGGTCAAATCCAGATGCAGCTCGCCGTGGAACTGTCTTCGAATAGGGAACGGAGCCGGGGACATCCAGCATAAAAATGTATCAAAATGCGGTATGAGACTGACCGCCGCAGTTTACCAAGCAAGCGCAGTGGACGAAGCGAGGAGCTATTATGTCGTTATGTCCATATGCAGAGTAGCATTCACATTGTTGGTGGAGGCCTGGAAGGCTCGCCGAAGTCCGAACGTCGCCCATCGCCATTGAAGATCGACGGCGGAAAAGGACGGTCATGTTTGCCGACGAGCCGGATTCAATAATAGTCTGTCACGGAATACGTCAAGAGTGCTCAATATCGTCAAAGGGGCCGCTATATCGAATATAATTATCAGTATAGTATGAATGACACAGGGCCACTATTTCCCAAGGTAAATGGAATGCTCATTACCAACGAAGGCCACTGTTCTAACAGCGGAGGAGCTTTTGAGTGTACCAATTATTTTTCATTTCGGCTTGCCGCACAATTCATATACGTGATCGTTGTGGACACTGGTTTGGCTCTTGAGCTTCTTGAAGTCGTATTCGCATTGATGAAATGGCCCTTCAATACCTCCCACAATCAAACCATTCCGACAGAACCACGTCCATTCAACTTGTTGGAAATGAGAACGACAGAGTCCAGACTTGGTACCCAGTACGGCGCAGCCCGTCCGTTGACCTGGCCCCTATGATCCCTGTCCGTCAGGGACTCGGGGCGCCTTACTGCCTCATGAAGCCCCCTGGTGCCGATCATCCACAATGTCCCTGAAACCTCAAACGACACAATGAGGCGCAGTTCCATGCTGGGAACAAGATATGTACTATTAATGCCTTCCTCAGCCTGGTTCAACACCTGCTTTATTGCACATCTGAACTCTTCATCTCCTCTTTGAACGCTTTGTATAGAAGTGACATGGACACCGTGATTGCAAGCTTCAATTCCGGCCAGGGCCTGGGGAGCCTGATTCAATATGCCTGTATCGGCGCAAATGTCATGTTCCTTTCTAGTGCTCTCATCACTTCCTTCACGTCCTTTCTGATCGGCCCTTTTTACCACTTCGATTCGCAGCCCATTTGGATGTTTACGAGCTTTTGTTCCTTTGCAGTGGTGAGTGATTCTCGCCATGGCCGACCGCAATAATTGCCGGGGGGTTCTACATAGGACGCGGCAAAGATTAGTACTGCGGATTCTGACCCTCCCCATCAGGCTTGCTTCAACATCACTATTGTTGGAACCATCTCCTCTAGGTTTCGCACCATTGCAGACAGCGTCCCTGAACCGGGCTATGAAGACAAGCAAGCTCTCAACCTGAAAACTGCATTCTATCTCAGCACAATCCTGGGCGGCATATTTGCTAGCGCTACAGCGTTCCTGGCCTTCCTTTGGGGTCGAGCGGCATTTGAGAGTATACCTTTTATTGTGCCATGCATTTTTGGTGTCCTTGCCGTGTCTGTTTGCACCGAATCCTGTACGCTGCGTCGCGAAGGAGCTAACGCAATGATCCTTGTAGACTAATTGATGTGGCCGCGATCTATGACAACTTCAAGCGATTCAGAGAGGAAACCCGGCAGTTGTTGAGCTGGGACGATTGATGGAGGAGATGAACTTGGAAGGGGGCGTCTTAGAATGAGAATCTCGTTTAACTCTTAAGGATAGCGGGTCAATGTCACGATTGACATATTGGTCATTGGATTCCATGCTATTTGTCGCGATGATCTTTACTGTAAGACTGTGGGGGAAAGAAGATACAAAAACGGCAGCACTGTGCACACAGACATGCTCCATAGGTAGACATCGCCTGCACCAGTACTGGGTAGGTTAGCTAAGGGGCCGTAGCGCCTCACCAGCCCTAAACCCCTCCCGCGGCGCGTGCCTAAGTACAGATATTCGAGTAGCTAGGCCCACCGACCAGAGCAGTCGCTTCTTCTCCTTGTACAGGGTATGTAGATAGAGAACAGCATGCATTGACAGAGTCTCCGATCTGCCCCCTACGGCTGGCCGACAGCGTACTGTACATCTTGATATGTATCGGAGCACTGTCGACCCCCTCTTTCAGCCTTAGATCCTAAGCTGCACGGGAGGCTGCAGCCTAGCTTGCAAGTTAACCGCCTCACCCCGTCATCTGAAACCGCCAGCGCTGGGCCCAAGGCGACGAGGCTGTACGGTGGCGGTGTCTCCTCACCTCTGGAGATGACCTTTCAACACAACGACTGAACTTCCTGCTGCTGAAAATTCATATTTCCAGAATAAAGCGAGCTCTATTAACTCTCTTGGTTCTCTAATTTGTACTACAAGCGCCAATCGTCCGCCTTCAGCCTAAGGCCATCACAAAGATGCTGAAGTGGTGGAAGAATGGATCCAAAGACTTGCAGCCAAATGGCCAGAGTCAACCTCGATGCTCTAATTTCATAGAAATCGAGCGAGGAGTACGCAAAGCACGAAGGAGGGGCAGAAGGGATACGGACTTCATGAAACTTCATGCCAGCTACAGCGACCTGCAGCAATGTGCGCACGACAAGTGTAGGGGCTGCAGAGTTGTTCGGCAAGCTTTACTTCTATCACAAATCACCGGCGACGAGGTTGAGAGGCTCGAGAAAAGAGATGACCCTGTCTATGTCAGATTGTTGGGAGGAGATTCCACAGCAGAGAGGACATCTCGTCTGCAGCCGACGCTACAAGTCCGTCTCGGAGTATCGCATGAAAGCGTTATGCTGGTCAATATTGCGCTAACGGCCAATATCAACCCTTCAATGCTTGGAAATGACCCATTGGGATCGGCGGTCCCTCAAATCAAATCTTGGCTGCAAGACTGTCGTCAAGGACACGAGTGCAGCAACCTCACACGGTCCGACGAGCATCCCAGGCGGCTTATTGAGATTATCTCAGACACAACTTTGAGATTGGTTGATACCTCAGAGCTGCCAAAGGATGATAAGCGTGATTACGTCGCCTTGAGCTACTGCTGGGGCGAGGGACATTCAAAGGGTAGGACGACGCCGTGCAATCGGGACAAGCGAAAGGTCTCATTCGAGAAGTCCGCGCTGCCGAAAACGATACGAGAGGCTTTGGACTTGGTGGAGGCGATCGGATATAAATACTTATGGGTTGATCAAGTTTGCATTGCTCAAAAAATCCAGGGGAATCAATGCAGCGATCGTCAAGGAGATGGTGCCGATGATTGTGAAGGCAATGGCTGCCAAGCTTGCACTCATGATGGTGGCGAAGATTGGGACGCAGAGGCTTCGAGGATGCATGTTATCTACGGCAACGCCGTCTTTACTCTTTGCGCCTGTTCCAGCACAAGTTCAAGGGATCGCTTACTGTGGGATCGGAAGGCTTGGACGTACCGCGTTGTGCCCTTTTACTTCGAAGGTCAGTGGCTCATCAACTATAACATGAGTCTCAACGAGGTTAGAGCAACCGCACCGCTGTCGAAACGCGCGTGGACTCTGCAAGAGGAACGGCTCTCGCCTAGGTTGGTATACTACTGCGGTCAGAGAGTCTACTGGTCTTGCGTTGAGAAACAGCACACAGAAACTGCCACTCGCAGTACAGCAAAGCACGATCTCGGCAGCAGGCCTTTTGAACGTGAAGACGGATTTAAGCAGATGAGCGAGGCTCAGATATTCATTAACTATAGCTTTGCGGGGGAGAGGGTTCGCTTACACCGGGAATGGAAGGACCTAGTGGAGGCTTATTGTCCACGAGCCATAACGAAACCGACTGACAGACTTCCGGCGATATCTGGCTTGGCCGCACTATATCTTTCGACCTATATCACCCAAGACAACAAAATTCTGCAACAGGAATATCTAGCAGGGCTTTGGCGCGACACCTTTGCAGAAGACCTGGCGTGGTCAGTCCGGACAGCTGCAGATCCGTGCGAAGCTCTGGCCGAAATCGCCCCGAGCTGGTCTTGGGCATCCCTCCCTGCCAGGACTCACGTTAGCATCAAGGAGGACTTCAAACGAAGTAACGACTTTGAGTTGCTTGAAGCTTCTAAGTGGAGACGTAATTCCAGTGAACCTGGGAATGGGGCCAACGTCCTTCTTGAATGCCAGGAGGGAGCAAAAAAGAAACTTGTTTTAGTGAGAGGTCGTTTGCGACAAGTCATGAACCGGGATTCGGAAAGCATCGACTGGTCCGAGATCACAACAGGGCGTGGCGGTAAGAACAAGTACGACCTTTCAAAGAACATTGCTCGCCATGTTCACGCAAGAAACCAAGACAATGGCCAGATCGTCATATATGAGCCGAACAAGCAACCTATCGAAGGGCAATTGGACTATCTCCTTCCCTTGAACGCCAACACCAATAGCGACAGCCACGAAATTCACGTTGCAGCCGGCATGGAGTGGGATTTGTATGGCTTGCAAATAGGCCAGAAGACGATGCTTTTGGTCCAGTTCAGCAGGCGGCGGGAAACCGGAACGGACAGTAACACTAGGAGTGATACCTGGGTGACTGTTTTCCGGCGGGTAGGGATCTGTCGAAATGTGCGAGAGGCCTTCTTTGAGGGAGCTGAGTTGGTCGAACTTGAGCTTGAGTGAGATACCATAATACCGAGCCGTGAAGTGGCCATGGCCGCACCATCCTACCAGCTTCGAAAGGAGGACCGACTGTCTATTCTCAGCTGTTTTCCCTTTCAACAGAGGCAAATTCGAAGCTGACAGTTAAGGCCTCGGATTGTTGTCCCTGGAAACGTCTTTGATAACTGCTTCATTTTGTTTCCGGAGGGATGGTAATTGACCGTGTCTGCTGTCTCTGTGAATCTCCAGAATCCCCCGCAATGGTTGTCACGGCGCAGATCATGTTCCAATAGCGGACGAAGCGGTGAATCCACGCAGGGACCACTGCTTCTCCCCCGCATCGCTGGCTTCACTGAGTGTCAGTCACTATCCGAACCCATGACGGGGGCGATCCTTCAGCAGGAGAAGGACCTTAATAAGGTGAGTGGAGGGTGAGATGAAAATGAGTCGTCATCACAAGTGCAAAGCCTAATGAGTTCCAATTGCAGGCGAAGAGTGCGAGCATCTCTCCATCAAGACCTTGTCTCATTGCATGCCACGATGCTGTCTCTGGTGTCTTTGAATATCTGCCTCGTTCTCCTTATTGCTGTTTCAGTCGCTCAGGAAGTCAACTACACTTGCCTGGACCCAGCTGTCTACTTCACTGGGTATCATGGACCTTTCTCAGCTGGCAGCTTCAATCTCTCCTACCAAAGACCCCCACAGCATTGTCGAACGTGAATACAGTTCTCGACCTCACAATGGGCACATATGATTCTGACGGCCGTGTGCTCGATCAACCGTATACATGGAACCGCACCGCAAACTCGGCCACCGAGACCGTCTCGAACCTGTACCGCGGAAATCCCGTCATGGGCGGCACGGGGTTGATTGGAAGCTTCTTTTCACCCTTCGGACGACTCGTGCATCTACCAGCTATTCATACCTGCGAACATGATGTTCTCGCACTACCTCGGCCTCTGTGCAGATATCATGCTGAACCTGCAGAACCCACTCGCGCCGACCATGGCTTCCAGCATGCGGAACCTGTGATCCTCCATCCGCGTCGAGCTGCGCCAGCTGGTCGGCGGCACGGACGGTTTGGGCCTGATCCATGAGAGCGTCCATATCTGGAACGCGAGTGACTGGACGCGGCCGTGGTTCTTCTGGGCGAACGGCTTGTTTGGACAGATGGTACTGGACCTCGGGACGAGGAAGCCATACCTCTTGAGCGAGGCTTATCAATGAGAATGAGGTTCGAGTCTCAGCCCTGTTTGAAGGGGTGGGTGGCAAAGGGTGGAACGATTGAAGCTCTGTTAATTTCAGGATGACTTGTGCTATTTAGCTTGGGTGGTGAAAATCCCCGAGTTGTGCTATTGTATTGTGTGCGACTTCCTTCGCCTGATACAAAGCCCGTACTCTGTCATCATATTCTTGATTGGAGGCTGCTCGGATATCACGAGTAGGTCGTCTTTTCCATTTCAGTCAGAAGGTCGCGACATGCTGGAGATTGGTCCCCCGCCGCCTCAACATCCTGTCACACCAAGTCTCTCTCCGCGTTGAGCGCCCTGGAGGACCGCTGAGCATTCCAAAATAGGCTAGCTGAGAATCAGGCTAGTGAGGCTGTTGGCAGGCTGTTAGCCTAACTAAACTAGGTTGGCTTAGGGAGATAGGTTAGGTCTTGGCACTACCACAACCTGTCACCTATTTAAACGCTCGTTGTCACTCCAGATAGATGTTCTCAATCAATCAATCAACCTATTCCTGACACCCATGGGTTCAACAGAAGCGGCAAGACCTACATTCAAGCTCAGCTCCCGCTCGGGCCTGGTATGTGCCTTCGATACGCTTCCTACCCAGCTATCTTTACACCCTCAAGCGGCTTCCCTAGCACGTCGGATTGAATGGAGAGAGCCACGAACCGAGACCACCAACGTGCTTGAGCTGCGGTGCCCCCAAACATCCAGAACCCCGGGGCTATCTGGGGTCAGCACGGCTCGTCGAGAACTCTGTGAATTGCAAACTTACCTGCTGGCTTCATGACGTTCCGAACTTCCCCCTCTTCATCAAGTCCCCAGAATTCACTTAATTTCGACGCAAAGTCCTTTCCAACAACCTCTGCGACCTGATTTCGATAGTCGTGGTCCTGCCCGGTGGCAACCACCACTACATCTCCCTGGAGCTCGCTTCCGTCTTCGAATTTGAGGCCCTTGGAAGTGAACGTGGTAATGGGCACACCGGATTTCACCTTGATCTCGCCTCTCACAATGTGGGACGAAGCGCCAATGTCAATATAATACCCTCCGTAGCGCGACAAGATGTTGTCCATCAAGGGTGTCTCTCGGTCAACCCGGAACCCAGCCTGCTCGAGGTCGTCGAAACGGTCTTGCTCCTGGCTTGCGGCAGCCTCGTGGATTACCTTCAGAATGTCACGCAGAATCTTATTGGGGCGACAGGCGACCAAGGCATCGGCATCGGCAGTTGGGATGTTATTATTGTAGAGGCCTCCACGCTTGTTAGTCGGCAAAGCCTCAACGATTGCACGGCGTGGAGGTTCTTACCCTGTTGCCCCTTCACAATCCACTCAATTGGGTAGATCGCGGTCTTGTTGCGCTGGATCATGGTGACGGACCGCAGACCTGCTCGATACATGTCTTCAGCAATATCATGCGCCGTAGTACCTGATCCAATGACAATGCCGTCCTTGGTTGCCCAATCCCGGCTATGCTTGTACGCCCCTGAATGCAACAGCGTGCCCTGGTACTGGTCGGTTCCGGGATACTTCGGGTCGTTGTCGACACTTACACCTGCACCGGTGGCGACGACAAGGTGGCGGCAGACGAGCTTTCGCTTTTCGTTTCCGTTGACCGTGACATCCAGCGTCCAGAGTCTGCTCTCTGGAACCCAGGTTGCTCCTGTGGTGTCCACGCTCGTCCACAGATTGATGCTGTATTTTCTAACATAGTTCTCAAAACCTTCTGCGACGATCTTGCCAGGAAGCAATAATGGGTCGTTGGGTTTCCATGTACGCTCGAAGGGAAGATTGTTGTACTCGCGCACGGTATGCTGTCTCACCGACTCGTATCGTTGAGTCCAATTCTTTCCCACGGCAGGCCGCTTCTCTAGAAGCACATAGTCAACCCCAAGGGCGGCAAGCCTGCCGGCAACGGCGAGGCCGCATTGACCTGCCCCGATCACTACCACATCAAAATGATATTCGCCCTCTGATCTCTTCTGGCGGTCATTGACGCCGTTGACGATGCCGTTGCCCAGCGCGCCATCCACCGCCCGAGGAATATCGGGGTGTCCCTGGTCAGCAAAATTCTCTAGAACTGTCACGAGCATCCAGATTTTCCATTTCCCGTCTTCATCTGGGGTCAGCGAGGCGGTACCTGTACAGTTGCCGACCAGTCCGCTTTCTTGCTTCGTGGTGAAAGTGAACGGGATGTCGACCCATGAACTCGTCGGAACGGGTTTAGTGATACGACCAGCCTTCGTCTCAATATCCGTGACGTGCTGGGATTTGACTTGCCCGTTCCACAACTCCGCAATCTTTTCAGAGCTGTAGAATGTTCGAATCTGACCTGTGAGCGCGAGCCAGTCCCTCCACAATGCTGAACTATGCAGACCACTGGCGCCCAAATTGTCCAGTGTTTGTTGAGCCGACTTTTGGACTATTTCTACATCGACATCCTCTGGGACTAGTTGCGAAGGCAAACTGCCCGGCAGCTTGTCAAGGTCAAAACCTGGTGCCATGGTGAAGAAGTGACCAAGCCTTCAGTGCCGCTTACTTTGTCTTCTTAAATGAGAGATTAGAAGGAATTCTCCGGTTATATTAGAAGACTTCTATCGCAACTTCGCTGGCGAAGAACCAATTTCAATGTCAATGTCGAAATTAACTTTCGACAATATAACCATTTATATGCCGGCATGTAAGTTCGGATGGCAAATAGTCAACTGTGAATCGTCGATTAGCCGTCAGATTCAATGTGGGGAAGGGCCATTGAGCCATATCGCCCTGCGTTGAGCCGAGGCGGATCGTGGAGAGAGAATCAGCAATCCCTGTCAGACTTTCTCCGGCAGCTGACCCAAACCTGCATTGTACGAGTATCAGACGGGATTGTCGGCACACACATTGGTCCCGAGCTCCGAAGTTTGGTATCATACAAATGTCCACTCAGGTCCACGATGGATTTTATATTGCTGCAATAGGAAGGGACATGTTTGTGAAAGCCAGACTTTGATACTGTGAACGAGTGTCGACATGCTCTAGTTAATGACGCAAACAGCACACAGCGGAACGTCTGCAAGCCCGATGTTTGACATGTAAGTACAAGGGTGGTATGCGTAGCCTCGGGGTACTGTAGTTATCTATCCCTTTATTTTCGATGTCAGTATGTTGCTGGCAAAAAAGAACATCTGCTCTGATGACTGGGTCTTCGTGGCGTTCTTTGGAAAGAGAAGCTGCTGTCAGCCTACTCTCGTGCCCATTGTCCTGAAGAGTGCGCGTGATTATGATGTACCGTAGCTTGAGGGGAAGTAAGACCAAAGAATTTTGCTAACACTCGAGATATCAGTGAAGAGGACCGGTACTGGGAAGGATGCCATTTTTCCAGACAACCGGAAAGTGAACAAAAAGGGGGTGGAGAGGCGCGTGGTCGAACCAGGGAGCCATCCCCTTTTTATCACATGCTCACAGCTTTCACACCGGCAGCCTTGCCCCTTTTCAGGACCCACAGCAGAGGGGTTCGATCGAGACTCGGGGCAACACTCCCATTCGGCGACGCGGGAAAAGGCTGTGCCGCTCGCAGGCTACATCTGGTTCATACGCGTACATACGACGCACGTAGCGATATCGTGGAGGTGGTAAGGTGGACTCTACTTGGATTCCCGCCATGAAGGCAGGCAGTGAAAACAAGCACAAGTGGTACCATTATAACTAGTACATCTGGGGCAAAAGAACGAATTCGCCTGAAGGTTGGTGGACTTGGTTTTCAGCGGCACTCATCTCCGGGTCATCTCGTGAGTTTCCGAATACTGTCACCATTCTTTGTCATTGCAGTGTAACTCGTTTGCCAAAGCTCTCCCGGCTCGGACGAAAAAAACCAGAGAATGGATCAGGTCCCAGAGATTAATATCCTAGAGCCCAAGTTGGTCCATGTATTCTGTTGCGCGGCAAGCGATGAAGCCGACACTGTTTCCTGGATCATGAAGTTCGTCCCAAAATACATTCCGTTTTCATTTCCTCCGCGATGTAGAGCTTTTGAAGCATTTCGATTTGGTCATGACCTGGATCATAAGAGTTGCAACACTGCCGGACACGCAGAATAGTGCTCGAAATCAGAACGAGTGACCACCCCGGCCGGGCCGTTTCGTCGGCCTCGTTAACGATCTTCCGCTTGTAGTCGACTTGGTTGGCGTTGTCTCCTGACCGGTATTCTGTGATTGCTAGCTGCTGGTGGATGAAAAAGGCGCCGGGGTGGTACTTGACGCCGACGTAGAACTTGTCGTGGTGCTGCCACCACTTCCGCTCTGCTTCTGGACGGATGCCTGAACAACTTGTCCAGCTGCGTTGAAAACGATATCCACCAACGCATTGAGCGGAGCATATGAATAAGTCTTCTCAATGAGGCCACCAGATAATGTCTGACTGACACCCGTGTCGGTCATGTTTGTCAGGTAATTTCCAACGATTGTGCTCACTCCGTTGACTTCCTGGACGATATTTCCTAGATTGTCTATCAAGAATGATAGTGTTGTTCCTCCTTGTGTGATGGAACCGAGAAGACCGTCAATAGCCCCCACGATTGGCTCGAGCAATGAGGTGACATTGTTGATGGCAGAGATCAGGAGAGGGTTGAGGTCCAATGATTCGAAGACTCGGTTCACTATGTCGACTAGGTGGCCCAGACGGACGATCAGTTCAAGCTCTGCATCGATATCCGAAATGGTGAGGTTGACTTCTTGAATGGAGAGGGCGACGCCAGCATTGAGGGTGACCAGGGACGCGACTTGGGCATTCAAATTGATGTCTGCCCGCAGGTCGTCGACATCAAGCTCAATGCGACCGACGGAGAGAGTTGGTACGTTCAGGTAGACATCAGGAGGTGTAGAGGAAGACGATGCTGGACTCGGTGTCAGTGTCGCCGAATTTGATGGTGTGGTGCTGACACTCCCGCCGGGGGTCGATGAGGTGGTCGTTTGCGCCAGAACCTGCTGATGCAGCAGGAAGAAGTAGAGGAGCGATAGAAGCCGGAACATTGAGCGCGACATCGTGTTCCCTCCTGGTCATGGAGGAGAAAGAGGCAGGAATCGGTACACATCGCGCAATCTATATCATCAGCCCAGCCTCACTCCTCCTCATAGAGAATCCCACATGTTGGCCATGCCAATTTCTCGAGCAAGCATCGCCAAACCGCGAATTTCCCATGTCCAGGAAAGTTTTTCGCTCTCTTGTGGGCCGCAATGGTGCTGTTGGGTTTCACACTGGACGAAATTTGTGTGGAAGATCTGCGCAGATCCCTGCAGAGGCTCTGCCATCAAACCGGTTTTCTGCATGGCTTCTGATGGCTCCCCAGGTTTCAACGGCCCATTGCGGCATAGGACTGATCTGCCGAGATTGCAAGTGCGGGAACGTCCTGGGTTCCCCTGGACTAGGCCGTGCGCAAAACCGGACTTTCCCCATGTCGCGCGAACCGACTGCTCGAAACACCAAATGGGATGCCGAAAGTAACCCCTCGAGAATTCAAAAACTGGTGAGTCTGGAAATTGAAGCTTTCAAAGCGACAAAATAGGAGGGGCATTGCGACCACGGTTCTGCAGTAATTCGTAGAATGCCTACCATCTCCGTCAGCATTTGAATGAGAGCGTCTTCTCTCTCTCTGTTCTTGATGACGCTCTTTGCGACGATTCCATTCCTCAGCCTGTGATGGTGTCCATGCTTTTGTGGTCGCTGCTTCTTGCACTCATTCGATTCACATCCTCCCAGACGCTCTCCTCCAGCGATGGCTATACAGGCTACTCACTCGGTGTAACGGGCAACGACACGGACTCAGCAGTCTACGAGACCGACGAGACCGACACCTCGAACGGCGCTGTGTCCAATGCCAGCACTCCGCCCGATGTCTTCCTCAATGCGAGCGTCTCGGTCGGCGAAATCGACATCACGGTGAAGAACTTGACGGCCAAAATCAACATCGACGCCCAAGTGCTGTCTCTGCTGCAATTCAATGCCGGTGTCGATCTGAGCATCAATGCCGTGCAGTTGACGATCCAGAACGTGTCGGCGAGAGTTGAACTCGAGGCACGACTGGAGAACCTGGTGCTGATGATCAACGATACACTCAACTCAATTGATCTGAACCCTGTGATTGCCACACTAGGATCCGATGTCGGCTCGCTGCTCAACAATACCCTCGGCGGCAGCAGCACGAGCAGCAGCAGTCCCTCCACATCAACGAGCGACCTGTCCGCCCGGTCGGTGCTCCTCGACCAAGGCATCCTCTATTCGGTCAACGACTACAGCGGCAACACGCACACCAATCGGATCCTCGACCAGGCGGGCAATATCGTTGACCAGAAATTGCACAACGATGGCTCCGTCTTCTCGTCCCAGGTGGTCGGCTCATACTGGCACGACATGACATTTACAGGGCACGAGCGGGCCGTCCTGTTCAACGGTCAGAGTGCAAGGGAGTTGGAATATTCGTACACGCCATTCAACGGATTCAGTTCGATCGTTGCTATCTATCAGGATGCCGAAGGCAATGTGCTGGGGTCGAGGGTGCTGAGTGAGATTGAAGGCGGAGGATCAAGTACGATCGCTGACGACTGAATTGGATCTGGGACTTTCCCTAGTTTCTCCATCTCAGCATGAAATGAAAGAAGGATAATTCATCCCACAAGACATTGGGACTCGTGCATCTTATGTCACCCTCTGCGACGGAGCAGGGTCTTGCTGGTACCAGGACCCGCACTGCCACCATACATTGTGCTCGATCTCCCCGTAAGAAAGTGACCGAACTGGCTGCGCTTCCACATCAAACCTTCCCCTGCTGATCTCAATCACCACAAGTGAATCCACGCCTACCGCCCATCCAATTCTTTGTACAGCACGTTCGCTTCGACATGGACCCATCTTGGAATCATGACGGAGGCCCCTGCCATAACGTCCGCGTCCAGTCTTCAAAATCATATCGGTCGCAATCTTCGTGTGGGTCGAGATCCTCATCGAAGTAATCGCGGCGAGGCCCGTAATTCCACTGATCCAAAGTCGTATTCTGCTCTTCGCTTCACGGAGCCAACACTCTATCTGAGCTGTGGGGCTGGTATTCTGGGCTCTGCGACGCCAGGACACGCTCCTTTGATTCTTCATTCACAAGGTCTTGCCATCGAAAAGTTTGCCTTGCCCAGAACCTACCGCGTAACTCAGCGAGCTCCTGCACATCACCAACATTAAGCAATAATGTCCCCGGGGATCGGGCGCTGATTGCAAACTTCATACGAGCCGCCATGTTCAGCTTTGAACAGTCGCTCCCCGTCCTCCCTTGCCTGTTTCCAGCTCGCTAGGTGGCATTCATACCCAGTAGAGCACATAAGTATTCTCTAGAGATTTAGCCAGACCACGCAAGAACTTTCTGGATGCCGTAGTCCTCCCCGTGGCACTCTCTATATGCTGAACATCCTCCGCTCCCTGCAAGGCCACGCTGAAATGAGTAAACAAGATATCTGAATCGTTGCGATCATGAAAGAAGACTTTCGGGATCTTCTCGTCCTGATGGTCATCCTTTAGGGTCTTCCCTTTGACACCTGAAGCATTGAACGCTTTGTGCCCCGGAGAATATACACATCGACGAGATAGACTTTTCTGGTTGGGCTTCCCAAATCCATCAGTAGAGTGAGAGTGGAGATGGAGCCCTTGCAGCAAGGTCGACGCCTTCGAGATCGATACCCAAGACTCACTTGGCCTGCTGTAGGCCAAATTCCAGCACAAGAACAAATGCTTAGCTGGACTGGAGTACTCCTTGTCGCACACATTTTCGTACGTCGAGATTGCATAGCAATGGAGTTGCGAATTTCTTGTAGATCAGTGTCTGGTGGATGCGGCTCCGTACCCCTGGACAAAAATGATGAGATGTGGATTGGTGGTCAAGTACTTAATCTCAATTACCAGATCACCTTAACTTCTGTGAGGGAGAATTAAACCTGTGGATGCATTGGGCCTGGACAAAAAGGATTCCACATAACTGACGTGAGGATTCTTTCCTTCAGCAATCTGATGATTGGATTGCTGCAGCGGCTGGGGATATTTTTCAACAAATTCGTAGGGGGTTTTTTTTTTGCAAGTCAGCTGGCGTTCGCTATGTCTGTGTCCAGTTTGGAGTCGTGTTTACCATGCTAGAGAACAGTGACAGGAAGCAAGCCTCTCTCAGACTACGGTTCCAAGAGGATCAAAAAGGATAGTTGTGTTTCAGTATCGGGAGCGCCTTCAAGAGACATTTTATATATATTCAGTCCCATCGCTGCAGCCTCGATCTGGTGTACCCTCGACTTCGCCTGATGGGACTGTTAGAGTCCAGTGCCACCAAATTTAGGTGACCTCAGTCTCCATGCCACAGTCTTGCACAGTGATGTCTATTCTTGCCGCTCTCGTTCTATTCTAGACCTCGCCGCCGCCTCTTGTGACTTGGTAGAAAACCCTGTTGCCGTGACTTAACTTGTGTAGCAGTCCATTTGCGGACTCGTTTGCCTCTTCTAAGTTTAGGCGGCGTTGATGCCGGAGATGCTTAGGTTACGGACTATTCTAGGAGTGGACGTAGGTGAAGGATAGCGACGAGGCCGAGGTGGATTGGGCATTGAGGGCGTTCATATCCCGACTTTACGTGAGGCGATTCTATTAGCTAGGTCGCCTTACCAACTCAAAATTCGCAAGATATTCCGGCTAACTGCATCACAGCGAAATTCTTATAGAATTTGATGAGCAAAGTGTTGGTTTGAAGCCTTCCCTGGAGCCTTTCCGTCCATGTCTGGTCGGTCTGGCTCATGGTAAGCAGAAGAAGAAAGAGCCTTTAAAGCCGGGAACCCATAGTATTCACTATCATAGGGAGAAATCTTTCGATCCAGTCGATCGTATCCACAATCAATACGTTCTCCCATTGGCAGTACAGTAGTCCTGTATTTCGGTTATCTTGGTCCACCACCGCTGGAGATGATCAAGCGAAGCCCACTTTTCCAGACATACTTTGACGAAGGCATGTATCAGTGTTTCATTCTTTCTCCCTCTAGACGAGACATCGGGGACACTGAACTTGATTCTCACCTCAAGCTGTGCCTGACATTTGATTACAACAGCTTTGGAGATCATCGAAGACGAATAGCTAATGAGGCCAATTGGCGACACAATATACATGTTTCTTCACAGGGGAGGCCACACCTGGGGTGCCTGACCGACTGTCCTAGTATTTCTATGTCATAATTATGAGCACATCCACTTTCGAGCTCGATCCATTGCAATCGGTCCTCGAGGGCGTCCCCTACAAATCAACTCAATCTCAAAGTCACGGCCATACTGCCACGCCGCCTAGACAACGGGCTGTTCAAAACTCGGATAGGCTCCATGAGACAGTCTCAGGGACGTATCCGATGCCAGGAACAAGCCACAGATAATGCGCTCGACTTGGAGTTCAGTAAACGCAGCACTTTTGCATGTCGGCTTCCTGACCGATGGCATGTTATTGTTGTATCTGGCTCTCAAGCTCTGCGAGATTTTCCAGGCATAAGAGCGCGACAGCGTCGCTAATTTTCACGAACCCGTTGTCGCTTTGGTCTTGGAGAATTCAGCTTGTTGCTGGTTTCGTTGCTTTCAAACTCCATAGGTGACCGACATTAAACGTTCGTCCGTGCTCTCTCTGAGAGAGATTCCTGCTGTCTGAAAATAGTTCTCTCCTCAACTGCGTCCACAATTCCTGACCTAGCTAGACCATGCTATAGCCCAAAGAGTTTCGTAATCATTGCTCAGGCCCGTTGGGGTGACAGGTGTTGACAGCATGGTTGACAGCACTTGTGTCAGCATCCCACATCCAGATACCAATTCAGATCTGAGATTGTCGAGATGGACCAGCAACTATGTCGATTCTCAGCGTAGAGTGGTCAGAGTAGACGACGACGACGATAAGACGGAATCAAAGACTTCCTTCCCTGGTTTGTCATGTAGCAGGCCAATCCACATGAACGACTTCAAGACTCCCCGCATCTCGTTCCACGACTTCACTTGACATATGTCGATGCGTTCTCGTAAGCAATCCTTCAACCATAGGTGGTCAGATATGGTAAATGCCGAGACGGCGCCAACCATCAGAAACCAAAGCATGATCTGGGAGGAAGCCCCATCGGCAAGTTTGGGGTCTCGAAGGCAATTTTTGTAAATAGAGGGAAAGTAAACATAGGGCAACCTCAGATACTGCCACTTTAAGAAAACATTATAAGTCAACCCTAATAGGCTGAGCCGTACTGCTTCGTCAACCGAGCCTGTCTCAAAGCTCATATGGAGAAGGTGATACATGACTGAAGCCATAGTATCATAGAGGAGTCCCGGGGAAAGCATTCGTTGGGTTTCGACGGCGAGATTGACGATTGAACAGAATCTCTCCAGGACTCTCCAGGCTTCGACTAGACTCGCATCCATCTTGTGGAGCAAGCTTTCTGAGTCATGTTGAGAGCCGGTGACCCAAAAACTATTCCGAATTGACAAAAGCTCCTGGTCTGGATAAGGCACAACGGGTTCTGAAAGAGGATTGTTGAAGAAGATAGGCTCTGATCCACTTTGCATTGCCATGCTTATATCGCATCTGTGCAACAATCAGGTGCTTCTGGATCCGGCGAAATTTTAACAGGGCAATGAATGGCTGCTGCCTACCTGAACATTTCCGTGAGAAGCTTGCTGCCTCTGAAGGCAGCTATGCCTCCTCTAAGGTTGACCATCTTGCGAAGGCCCACCATATGATGCTTGAAGGCCCCATCTTCACCCATAAAAAATGCACTTACGGCCAAGGTCAAAACCACCGCTATTGTAGAATCCGAGGGTTTGGTGTTCTCATCCCCCAGTAAAAGCCTTTTGCGTAGGATTTGAACACCTTTCAAAAAATGCACAGTGGCATCTTGGTTCGTGGTAGGATATTCTCGACCTAATAACTTGTCCATGAAGACCTCGGCCGCGAAGACGGTTACGTGAAGATAAGCAGCGTCGAATTTCAGTGGATCAAACCACGCCATGTCCTTGTGACTGAATCCAGTCACCATCACTAGAGGGAACAATGCTCTCGCTGCCATCTCAAAGACTAGTTTTACATCAAGTTAGCCTCGGTCAATCATAGAGCAAGAGTGACCCACATCTCACTACATCCCCAAACGCGGCCGAATCCATCTCAGCAGCAAACACGAAGGAGGACAGATCCGAACCGACTCTTCCGGGAACAGTTGAATACTTGTAGTACGCTTCGATGAAGGTATCCAATGGCACCGGTGGACCTCGTTTGGCATCAACCATAACTGCCCAACTTGTCGATCCTCGTTGTTTGGCTCGATGAGACTTGCCCCGGTTCTTCCCCCTCATTACCTGACTTCTGATGAGCCTCTGCGTCTCCGGATCCGCTTTCTTGACGTCTGTTGTTACGATGAAATGCATCCCTGCTAATCAACGACGGGCGAAAAGGAATGAGAGGGCACCTTTGAGAAGAGAACTAGACCAACTTAGGAGTTAGGCTTAGGAGATCTTGACATGTTTTTGGACTTGATGTAGGCAACGTTTTCTAGCTTTTCTGTCCCAACAAATAAAGGTTCGTGATGTGGGCGATATACACGGCCTACATGGCCTTGTGAGAGCCTTTAATTTCCTCGCCTCAATTTGATGCAGTGAGATCAAGCGAAAAGAGGCGCGAAATCACCCAGCCTGCCAAGCCCTCGATTGTTTGCCATTTCAGGCATAGCCGCTTCTTAAAGCATCAAAACCCATCTACACCATATCCATCAATAGGCAAGGACGCCTGCGTAGCTCATTTGTGAAATGCATTACGAGTCCAATCGACTCGCAATCCCCCTTTTCGTAACGAGTCAATTCTTCAGGTATAAAGGTAGTGTGACTTCTTCTGGTAGCATGGCGTCTTCGCATTCCTTCTCCAGGTCAAGAACGGTCGCCATCCACGGCTTTCAACCCTACAGAAGATTACGCGATCAATTTCGTACCTAGATATTTCAATGGCTTCAGGACTCAAGTCAGTCCTTATAACCGGCTGCTCTGCCGGTGGAATTGGCGGAGGGTTGGCCGAAGCCTTCCACGAACACGGATATCACGTCTTCGCGACAGCACGTACACCATCAAAGATCTCGCAATCTCTCGCCAAAGCACCGAATGTCACCGTTATGACTCTTGACGTATTGTCTTCCGAATCGATCGCGGCGGCTGTTGAGAGCGCCACAAGAGTCACCGGTGGCAAGCTCGATGTCCTTGTCAATAACAGCGGAAGTCTAATGATCATGCCAGCTCTGGATACGTCAATTGAAGAGGGCAAGAGACTTTTCGACACCAACTATTGGGCAGTCCTCGCCATGATTCAGGCTTTCGCCCCGCTATTGATCAAAGCAAAAGGCTATGTCGTGAACAATACATCTGTTAGCGGGCTAGTTCCTTTTGGAGCCTTTGCAAGTATCTACAACAGCTCAAAGGCCGCTGCTATCCTCGGGAGCGAAACATGGCGTCTCGAGCTCGCGCCTCTCGGGGTTCGGACCCTAACTCTTGTGACGGCCGCTGTCAAATCCAACGTCTTCACCAACATGACACCGATAAAAATACCCGAGAACTCATACTACGACGGGATCCGAGACTACATTCAAGGAAGAAGCGACGGCAAAGTGCAAGAAAATGGCATCACGGCGAAACAGTTTGGTGTCAAAGTTGTCCGACAGGTCGAAAAGGGTAGGACAGGAAAGTACTGGGTTGGGGGAGGTGCACTGTCTGCTCGCTACGCTTTATGGCTGTTGCCAGAATCTATGATGGTGAGTTTATGGGCGTTTGTGTCTAGATGTGACATGCTGACTGGGATTGGGTAGGACGCGCTGTTAGCCTCCCTCTTCCCCTTCGCCAAGATGCTATTGGCCCAATCTAGAAGTAAAGCGTGACTTGAGGAGAAGATGTGTCGAATTATCCGTCTGGCGGAGAGAGTCTAGGGATCAATGAAGGGGCCTATTTCAATGGACAAAGCCTGCCCTGAAGGGGAAATCTATGCACAGTAGCTTACAAGTATGCTGAGAGCAGCGCCGTGGCGCCTAATAGCACCATTATTGAGGTGATGAATGGCCATGCTTTGCACCGAGATTTGTACAGCCTGGCTCGATCAGGCTACCGTTGTATGTCAGTGAGCTGCTCAGGGAGTTCTCAGTGAAGCTCAGCCAAAGGCTCACCTAATGATCAGGTTAAAGTAGCCTTCGCTCACCCTCTAGGATCACGCCGGAATTATTTGGTAGACAGGCTTTTCGTTCCCGAGTAATCTACGTGGTCAGGGGTGCCTGGGGGTGCTAAGGACTCCCCAGCAAACAGTGCAAACGCAGCAAACATAGCAAATGTGCTTGCGGCTTTCACGTGTTTTCTCAAATTCATCAACTGCATGAACTCAACCCTCGACTTCAGATGCTGGGAAGTAGTCGGGCGAAATTTCTCTTGAAGAAAGGCCTGACTTTCAACCCAAAAATGTAGCGATCCGGATAAGCCGTCTTTTTTCACACTACTAGCCGCCATGTCTTCGCATTATACGACCGAGCCTCCTCCAACTGCCTCAGTTCTTCTTCATACAACGGCTGGCCCTCTCACAATATCCCTATTCGCGAACCAGACACCTTTAACATGCAGAAACTTCCTGCAGCATGTCCTCGACGGAGACTACGACAACAATATCTTTCACCGCGTCTCCCCGGGCTTTGTCATCCAAACAGGCGATCCGACCGGTACCGGCGAAGGTGGACAAAATATATACGAGGACAGGGAATTTGAACGATATGACGATGACTGGGCGCGGCTGATGGGGCGAGAAGAAGGCGAGAAGATCAATTTCGGAGATGAAATCCATAGCCGGCTGAAGTTTAACAGGAGAGGGCTGGTTGGTATGGCGAAAGGCACCGGAGACGGAGCAGGCTACGGCAGCCAATTCTTCATCACGCTGGGAGACTGCAGAGCTGAGCTGGATGGAAAATGTACCATGTTCGGCCGGGTAGAGGGTGATGGTATATACAATGTGGTCAAAATCGCGGAAGGCGAGCTATTGGAACGGAGCGAAAGACCAATGTACCCGGAGAAGATTCGCAGGGTCGAAATCACCGAAATGCCCCAGGGTGATGCATGGCAGAAAATGCGGAAAAGGACCAAAGTCGCGGAACGCACCGTTGAAGCTCCCGCAAAGAAAAAGGCGCTGAAAAAGAAGGGCGGGAAGACTCTACTCAGCTTTGCCGGAGATGAAGGTGAGGATGATGCTGGTGAAGTTGCCGTACGACCAAAGAAGGCCAAATTCAATCCAGCTCTGATCGATAGCGAGGAAGTCCCTGAACCAAAGCCAAAGACCAATGGTACTGCTCCTCAACCTCCCTCGATCGAGAAACCACGACAGAGATCACCCTCGCCCACGATCCCGCAAAAGCGCAAAGCAAGTCCACCACCGTCGACGAAATCTCCCTCACCGGTTCAACGCCGGAAGCCATCATTCCACGACCCATTAACTCAACTCCCTCTACGTAACCCAGAATCACCGTCTCGCTCGCCAACCCCGGTTGAGAAACCGTCAGCATCCAGAACCTCTGCACTAGAAGCCGAGATCGACGCCCTGAAAGCATCCATGCGTCGCAACGTCGACACCAAGGCCAATGGTTCTATATATAAGAAGTCAGCCTTAGAATCCCTGATCCCGGCAACAAGCACAAGAGGTCGCAAACGGCCTCGCCCAGGCGAATCCAATGCTCGTGATGAGACCAAGGCGCTAAAAATGCTGAACGACTTCAAAGCACGGCTGGAATCGGCTGACGTACAGAGTAAAGCCCACTCTTCAAAATCCACGAATGGTCACAAAGATGACAAAGACCACAACTTCGCATCAACCTCCCCAGACAGGGATCACAAACCCTCAGAAGTAGTCGCCGGTCCCACCAAACACGATGACGATGAAGAGGCAGCCCTATGTGACCTCCATTTCATAGCAAACTGTCAATCGTGTTTGAAGTGGGACAACCCGGCCAATGCCGAGGCCGAAGAGTCCGAGGACGATGCGCAGTGGATGAGCCATTCGTTGTCGTTCGCCAAGGACCGGCTGGGCAAGGATCTGAACTGGAAAAAGAAGAACGAAGAGGAACTGGTAGTTATTGATCCGAGGGAGAAGGAGAAAGAGTTGATATTAGAGAGGAAGCGCGAGAGAGACAGGGATAGGGATAGGGATAGGGACAGGGATAAAGGAAAAGGAAAGAGGAAAGAAAGGTGGTAGTCTTTGCATTTCGCCTTTGCATTTGCTTCAAAAATCAAAATGGACCTAGGAAATAATCTGACCCCAATGAAAACCAATGAACAAGCCAGCTAGTAAGCCATATACTTCATTCCATGGACCTTTACGAACTCCCGCGACCTGGAAATTGGCAAAACGTGAAAACGGAGGAGGAGAGAGAAAGGGAGAGAAAGTCATTGCCCATACGCGCCTCAGGCGCAAACCGAACTACCAAGTATACATACACACATACTTGCGGTAGGCACGTAGGGAGCAGGCTAGGAACTGACATAAAACGCCAAATCGACCGTTTCGCCGAGCTTCTCCTTCTCCTCGGCCTCTGTCTCGAGGCGCGTGAAGCCGTTGCCCAGGACTCCGCGCCAGCGGTTCGGCGAGTTGTATCTGATGTCCCAGTCCTCGCCGCGGATCTCGCGCAGGATGACCTCGCGGTACAGCAGGGCGCTGCCGGGCCAGGTGGCCGTGACGCGGCCGTCGACGCGGTGCTTCTTGTACCAGCTCTTGCAGGCGCCGGTCCAGGTGAGCGTGTCGTGGATCTCGTCGCCGTAGGTGACGAACTCGTCGGTCGCGTCCTGCCGCGGCGCCGCGGACTTGATGTCCTCGCCCGCGATCTTGTGCAGCCATTTGATGATGTACTCGGCTGTCCAGGTCATGCTGGTGATCAGCGTGCCATGCCCAACCGTCGCGTTGGGGCCGGTGAAGATGAAGTAGTTGGGGAAATCCGGGCACGCGACGCTAAGGTAGCTCTCGGGCTCGTCTTTCCATTTCTCCGCCAGCGTCATCCCGTTGCGCCCTGTGACTGGGTAGTGAGGGATGTGCGAGACGTCGAAGCCCGTGGCGCACACGATCACGTCAAGGTCGTATTGCGCGCCAGATTCTGTCTCGATCCCCGTCTCGGTAATTCGCGCGATGGGCGATTTCTCCAGTGAAACGGTGGGCAGGAGGAACGACTCCAGGTAGCCTTCACCGGGGGTCAGGCGTCGGCAGCCCAGCGTCCAGTTTGGGATCAGTTTGTCACAGAGTTCGGGGTTGTTGTTTAATGCGGCGCGCATCCGCTCGACGGTGACCTCCGTGGATTTGGAGTTTTGGACAGAGCCTTTGCGGAACTATAACCAGTAACATGGCAATGGATCAGCACGAAAGTCTTTGTAGAAAACGAGAAAGTCAATGGGACGCACGTACCAGCCTGAATCCCTTGTTCATCCCATGCTGCAACATCTTGCGATAAGCCTTGTGTTTCTCTGGATTTCGAAACCTCCTCTTGTCGCTCTTTGTGTACCTTGGGTTGAAGATACTCCCCACTTCCTCATCAGAAGGATTCACTTCCGTCATATCAACACCTTCATCACCATTTGTCATTTCCTGGTCCTCGCCCTCTTCGGTATCAGGCTGTCCGTCGCTGCCAACACCGAGTGCCTCGCCCAGGCTCTGAGTGATCCAAGTTGCTCCCCGCTGGAAACTCACCACCTGCGTACCAGGTAACTTGGCCATCTGCGGCAAGATTTGGATGGCCGACGATCCATTGCCAATGATTCCAATCTTTTTGTGCGAGTAGTCATAGGAATGATCCCAGCCTGCCGAATGCACCTTATGGCCCTTGAAGGTGTGAAGGCCGGGTATATCTGGCCATTTCCATTGACTGGAGGGAGAAGATTAGAACGTGTCTGGCCATGAACCGTAGCCAGAAAAGCAGACTTTGGAATGTACCGGTCCTTGCTCGGACGAATTGTGTAGGTATGGGAAAGCAACTTACCTCAGAAACCCCTGAGCTGAGACGAGAACATCAGCGAGTTCATCCCTTTCCTCCCCGTCATTCTTCCGGACTCGGATCTTCCATTTTCCTTCGTCTTCGAGCCAATTGAGGGCTATTACCCTGGTGTTGAACTGAATGTCCCGCTTCAGGTTCCACTTGTTGACGACCCTCCGCACGTACTCGAGAATCTCGGGGCCTTCAGCATAGAACTTGGACCAGTCGGGGTTCGGGTCAAAAGGAAATGCCTAGATCAAGCAGAAAATCAATTTCATGCTTTTCTCAGTAGTTGCCTGGATAAGAACGAAGCAGACTGACATAGATGTGAGCTGGCACGTCGCACTGTACGCCCGGGTATGTATTGACCTTCCACGTTCCACCAACGTCATCATTGGCTTCGAAGATAACGTGGTCGATGAACTCCTGTAACTCCGGCTGTTCATGCTGGATCTTGTGGGCAAATATCAAGCCTGAGAAGCCGGCCCCAATAGTGGCGACGCGTAACTTGCGCGTCTTGTATGCGTATGAGTCCGAGATTGGGACCCATATTTCTTTCAGTCGTTCAGGAGAGACCATATTCGAGACGAGATCGTGAACACAGTAAGAGAATATGACAAGGATGCTCAAAAGCGCTAACTTAGAACAAGAACAACAAAAGCGTGTGCAAACCCCAGACGAAGGACGACTTGGCCAAACCCTTCGATGTCGAGAAGCCTGGCTATGTATCTTTTCTCCTCAGGTCCGTGAATTGGAGAACAATATATATTGCCTCGGCGGAATTAATACATTGACACGGCGATTTCCCCGCATTGATTCCTCTATCATACCCGGTCGAGAGCCATTGACTGGCTGTAACTGGCTGCCAGTATCTGAGTCAGTGGTAAGACAGCATGTTGAACTGCACTGATAGAGTGTGAGATGCCATGAGACTTTTGACGAAGAAAGCTGGACGCAGCAACTCGATATGACGCGGCTTCTCACCCATCAGCCACCTCTTCCATTTTTATATGTACTTATACGGATTCATAATCCCGTTGGGATCGTAAAGATTCTTTATCTGCTTCATCAGCTTGATCATGGTCTCACTCCGACTGTATCCGATATATTTCTTTTTTGCAATGCCGAGGCCGTGTTCCGCACTGATACTTCCCCTTCGCTTTTGGATCCACTCGTACACCCACGGTTCTATTGCTTCTTCAACTTCTTTTGTGTATTTCCGCACGGGAACGTTCAAGTGCAGATTCGAGTCGCCCATGTGTCCATAGCCTACCACATCAATTGCTGGGAAAGAGTCATCGTCACCTACCAAGCCTTTCGAGTTCAGTCTCTCTCTTGTGTCTTCCACAAGTTGATAGAGTTCTTGAATCGGAATCGAAAGGTCGTATTTGTACGTGCCGCCGAAATGACCGATAGCTTCGGTGATGCCCTCTCGCCACGCCCATAGAGATTTGGCTTGGGTTTCATCTTGAGCAAGAACGCCATCCGAGACGATCTCTTCACTCATGACATACTCCAGGAATTTTTCGAGTTTTTCACTGTCGTGCTCTGTGTTGGAGCCGCTTGTTTCAATCAAACAATAGAAAGGATGATCACCTTCCAGTGGTCTTTTATTGCCGGTAATTTGATGAACGAAGCCCTGGCTCCGAGCATCCATGAGTTCAAAGGCAGATAGAATCTCGCCAAGCTGGACCTTCGCTTCTTTGTAAGCTTTTTGCACATTCTCAAACGAAGGAAGGCCAAAATATGCAACGTTGACTGCTTTGGATCTCTGTGGGCAGACCACCGACACACCCGTGATGATTCCAATGGTCCCTTCTCCTCCGATAAAGAGTTGCTTCAGGTCATATCCGGTGTTATTTTTCCGGAGTGTACCAAGATCGTCGACGATAGTGCCGTCCGGTAGTACTGCTTCAACTCCAAGGACGTTGCCGTGTAATGAACCATATCGTAATAGTCTCAAACCTCCAGCATTGGTCGCCACATTGCCGCCTATCTGGGCTGATCCTTTGGCACCAAGATCGAGCGGGAAGAGGTGGCTATGCTCAGCAAGATAATTGTCCGCCACTTCGAGAATAACACCTCCGTCGACCACGAGAATGCCGCTAATGTCGTCGAAGCTGCGGATCTTGTTCATCCGAGAAAGCGAGATGACAATCTCATCAAAGACTGGCACGCTGCCTCCGACCAGACCCGAGTTTCCACCTTGAGGAACCACGGCCAGTTTGTTGTCGTTGCAGTATTTCAAGACTCTGCTCACTTCTTCCGTGCTCTTCGGTCTCAAGACGAGCTTGGCGTGACCTCTGTATTTCCGCATCCAGTCCGTATTGAAAGCTTCAAGATCGTCTGAAGCATCCTTGGTCACTCCATCAATGACAGCAGCGTCCTCGCCCAGGGCGGATTTGAAGAATTGAATGTGCTCTGGCGTGACGTCTGAGAACCTCGGGTCTCGTTTGAGGGAGGGGTACATATCGGTCGTGTATTTGACATTGCGATGGGGTTCGCTGGGGTCTTCTGGTCGTCGAGGCGTTACAGAGAAATTTCGCACGGGCTCAAACAGAGGTCGCAGAGACTGGCACTGCCGGGCTTGAGACCGAGGTATCGAAGGTCTTTTGGTCTGGCGCAACACGCGTGCCAGGCCTCTTGATGCTGAGCCAGACATGCTTGCCGGCCCCCGAGATGTCCGCAAACAGATGAAATGTATCTTGCAGAGAAGAAAGAGGCTGGGAGCTGCGCTCAGGGAAAATACACGGACGGAGACGACGAGAAACTGAGTCTTGCCGTCGGCATCTCAGCTCCGACAATCGGCATCTGCTTCCCCGAATCTTCTCCATGATCATAAAGCAGCAACAATGTCCGCCTCTAAAAAGATAAAGCACAATATCATTCAAATTCCTAACGAGTACGACGTTATAAAGGCCCTGAATTCCTCTCCCTGTTGGGCCAAGCTCCCCCTGGAATCATGGGCCTTGTGCTATAGGACAAAAGGCTCTTTTTATCTCCTTCGAGTGATTTGCTCTGATGCTCATAACAACCTTTCGAGCCAAATACCCATATCCTCGCTTGGAAGAATCTAGACGTGCATGATAACTCCATTCTTTGATTTCTCCTGTCAGATATGAATCGAGCCCGTATTCTCCAAATTCCACTCTTACCATGCGATTCTAGCAAGCGGTCCTCGTGGCCAGGTGCGGACACATAACTTTCTCAGCTCATCCATCATCAGGATCCCAAGCGCCAACGGCAAAGGCAAGAACCAGAACTCGATGGGTGCGCTCCCAGTGCCAAACAAGCTTTGAATACCAGGTTCCTGCGTGACGAAAATCGCAACAGCTATCGAGAGAACCGCAGACAAGAGCAGCCAAGGATTACGACGCTGCTTTCGGATGGGATCAGCTTGGAGGATTGACAGCCTCTTATTTCGGATAGAAAGAATGTTGCCCCATTGAAGAAATACCAACGTAATGAAGTAGACGGATTGCCCCGTGGTGTTGAATGCTGTAAGTTCTGCCTCGGTGTATCCGTGGAAGCCAGCAGAGTACTTTTCGAAGGCAAAGAACAGGTCTTTGATCGGAATCCGCGCATATCGGTAGTAGTATAAAAAGTACATGGCGTGCGCACAGATGGTTTCCATGACACCGATGAAAAGGTAAGATTGAGCATAGATCCGAAGATTGATCAAATGATCCTTCTTTCGGTTCCGCGGCGGCAGACTAAGAAGGTCGAATTCTTCTCTCTCCATGATGAGACTCAGAGCCAGAAATAAATCGGTAAATACGCAGATGATGATCATCAGAAAGGAAGAGAGTGGCAGTGGAACGCCAAAGAAGACATTGACCAGCACTGGCCAGATCTCTGACCAACTTCCAGCGGGCAGAAGGTAGCTGATGACTTTTTGAAGATTCTGGAATACAAGACGGCCGAGTCGAATTCCGTCAACAATAGAGTCAAACTTGTCGAGTAGCACCAGATGAGCAGCCTCGAGGGCGACGTCACTGCCGTTGACCATCGCGACGCCGACATCGGCAGCTTTCAGAGCAGGGGCATCGTTGACACCATCTCCAGTCACTGCAGTGGTATTTCCACGACTCCGGAGCTCGTTAACGATCCGAAGTTTATGTTCCGGAGTGCACCTGCCGAACACAATCTCCTGGTAGGCACATACAACGTTCCAGTCGTCCTTCTCAAGTTGGCTGATCTGGGAGCCTTCCAGGAGCAGAGACTGGTTGCTATACTCGGTGTCGGGCCCCTCGTCCCGTCGTTCTTCAATTGTTGAAAATGTGTCGGGCTCTCGGTCTCCGGTAAAAATGCCGACCTGACGAGCAATTGCGGCGCCAGTTAGACCAAAGTCTCCTGTCATCATGAAGAACCGGATTCCAGCACGGCGGCAAGCTGCAACAGTGGAAGCAGTCTCCGGCCGTGGCGGATCAAATATGCCCACCAGACCAATGGCGACAAGACCCGTTGCACAGTGATCAACAAGCTCCTGGGACAATTCATTGGAATGAATAGGATTGGTGGGTGTATATTTACGCTCACATAAAAGGATGACTCGCTCTGCATTGCGCGACATTCTGTTCTGGAGTTCCGAGAAGGCCGTCCTTGCTTCGCCGTCCAAGTCAGCGACAGAATTGGATTGGAAAGACCAGTATTGAGAGCATCTAGGCAACAATACGTCAGGCCCTCCTTTGAGGAATGCTGTATATGCCATCGACGGCGCCTTCCCCGCAGGATTGGCCTCATCCGGCAGTGTTTGATGCAGCGTTAGCATAAACTTGTTCTTGGGATTGAATGGGATAGCAGCGACTTGAGGAAACAGATGGCGAAGTCGCTGGCTAGACGTTACAGCCTCCACGAACCGAAGGAGTGCTCCGTCCGTTGGATTTCCATGTGTAAGACGATCTTCTATCGGTTTCTCGAGACAGACAGGGTCAAAAGACGCTCCGTTGCACAATCCTGCAGCAGTCATGAGACGTACCAATGACTGTGCTGGTGGACTTCGCGAAAAGCGCTCCTTTGCCTGTTGTGAAGACATGGACTCGTCCACGAAGCTAATACTGGTCACAGTCATTTGGTTCTTGGTCAAGGTTCCAGTCTTATCGGAGCAGATGACTGAAACGCAGCCCAGAGTCTCCACCGTAGCCAGGCTTTTGGGCAACACGTTGACTGCCTTCATCCGCCTTGCTATCAACATCAGAGTCAGTGCTACGCCGACAGGCATCCCTTCGGGGATAAAGGCGACGACACAGCCCATGATGTCATCCAGCATTGCCACCACGTTCATGAAAGAGTGATGTTGTATCCTCAGCCAGCCAACCCAGGCAAAAAGAATCAGACATGCTAAGCAGATCGTAAGTCCGCAGATTATGGTGACGAAGCGGGTGATTTCCTGTTGAATGGCGGTTGGCTTCGCTTTCACGGCAGATGTAGCTTTGGCAATGGCCCCCATCACGGTTTTCGCGCCTGTGAAGATGACAATTCCAGTGGCGGTTCCATTGGTAACAACAGTGCCCATCAGGGCCATATTTCGACTCTCGAGAATGTTGTCATCTGTGGGATCAAGGGACGCTTCGACTTCTTCAGATTCACCCGTCATGGCAGATCTATCAAACCGAGTGTCTCCGATGGTCTTGATAAGCCGAATGTCTGCAGGGACCTTGTTCCCGATTTCGAGATGGACAATGTCGCCCACGACAACTTCTTTTGTGGGAACGCTTTTGCGGTGCCCATCACGGAGAACGAGGGCGTCCGATGGCAACATGCCGAGGATAGAGTTCATAGTTTTGGCGGTTGACCAGTCTTGGAAGGCCGAAAAGGAAGCCTGAAGAATGATGACAATAATGACCAAGACTGCAAGGCCTAAATTGTAGGGTTGAGGATCTGGATCACCTAGAGGTTTCCAGCAGATGAAAAAGATAATGACGCCCACCCATAGGATCGAGCAGAACCCGCCAAAGACATATCCCGCCAGCGTTTTGGCGTAGTTTCGACGGCGTTGGGGCAGCACGTTGTAACCATGCTCTTGCAAGTGTTTGGCTGCTGAATCAGAACTCAGACCCACTGTTGGCGACACTCCTAAGCGCTGGCACAGTCTCTCAACACTGATGCGATGGTGGTCGGCGTGCGCCAATTCATGACCCGGTGTTCGCAGGTCCTCCTTTCCTTTGTCTTCACCACCCAATTCGCTGATAGCCTTGGACTCTGAAGTTTGAAATGATAGAGTACGGTACGTAATAGGGATATCGTAATTGGCGTGCTGTATTCGACTGCGGACGCTGGATATCGAGTCTCGACTTGCTGAACGTCTTCGACGGTGGGGCTCATCTTCCCCCGAAGCGTTATGGGCACCTGACCGATTGCGCTGTTCAAGAGTGCCATCTTCGAATGCAATGGTAGTCAACCGTGCGGAGACGTGATTAGTCATTGCTCCTTTGTCCATGATCTATTACCGATGATAGCTCGAATGCTTCCTCACCATGGTCGGTAAGTAGACATGGCGTAGAAGCAGCTTTATATGCCTGAGAACGACCAACTGAACTGAATTTTCCTTCGAAAACCTGACCCAGTTTATTTTCTGATACCCACCTGGCTGTAGATGTGGATTAGAACAACATCGAGGGCCGAAGCAGAGCACGACACCGATTGTCGCCATCCCGTCTCCGCAAAATTTGAAACGAGCTTGTAATAATTATGCAACAAAAACTGAATTTGGACCTTTCGTCGTGGGTTATGTACTCTCTAGGAGGGCTCAGTCAGTGAGGGATTTAAAATCTCCACGACCTAGAGATATTGCGCTAACGACACAGGGACCGCAGATGGGGGCACAGCGAGGCCGGTAAGAGAATACCACTGACAACTTTATTAGACGGAATGCCCATCCAAGATTGAGTGGTTGCGAATGGTGTCTCCACATCGATCATCAAGCGTGTTCCGTCTTACCGGAGAGGCTGTGATTGGTAGGTGCTACCTCATTGGACCTCCTTGTAGCTGATAGATATTGAGTAACAAAAATCCAGGCGTGATGCACATGCTGCATTGCGACCACCAAGGTTTTGAACTTTAGGGTGCAACGTGACGCATGCTGCAGCAATATTGGAACAGAAGCTCTCTCTTCAGCGTTCGCTTGAAAAGTAGCCTGACTCGACAGCGAAAACAGAGGGCGCTCTGCGGAGGTACGTTGCTTTTGCGGCCACTAATGCTTTTGAAGGGACTTGTGCAGCTTGTATGCATCATGTTGTTGAACATTTACATGCGCATTGGCGGTATACGCCATGGCGCGATACTTTCCATTCCCCTACCAGGGAGCAGTCGGAGACCAATGATGATAGCGCAAAGGCCACATGGTGCAGTATCGTCAGGGTGCCGGAACAATTTGATATATGCCGCAGTTGAAGGCCTTCAGAGGCAAGGCATCATCTGATGTCCATCTTCCAGGATTGTGGGCAGAAAGCAGGAGGGAAAAATAAGAGCAAAAAGGCGGTTGAGAGTGTAGAATGTTGGTGCCTCTACCTCGTAGGAGGATTGGATAAAGCGGCGACAAGTAGCCATTCCACTAGCTCAATTAGGAACGGAACCAGCTGAAAAGTGCGGGGAAACAATACATCCGCCTTGGCGCTCAGGAGCCATTCACAAGCAACAAGGTCGGGCTTCACCACAACTTCAATCACCGTCATCATCTTCAGGTCCTTTCATCGAGATATCCTCCGGAATAACTTCGCTCTGATCTCTGTCGAAGCTCCACATCTCTCTTCAATACTACATTACATATTTCAAGTCAGTCAGCTTCTGGGACAGGGACGCCAGGGAGGGAGGAGGCCTTAAAGCCGCAAATAATCTCACTTCCCACTGAAGGTTGTATTCCGTCTGCAAAGCTGGGAGACACAGGTCCTGCGACAAGCATTTGCACCAAACCCCATCCGCACCTAGGACGAGCTATGGATTCAGTCGCCTCGACCCTCGCCGCTCAATACCACAAGGTCATCGACCCTCTCAATGCCCGGCCACGCCAGGCAGCCGTGACGACAACAGCGGTCGCGCTAACGCTGTCTCTGGCATGGGTGCTCAAAGACTTCCACGCGTGGAGGTCTTTCGGTACAGGAGGCACGCCGCCCACGTGGGCCGGGTACTGGCGCATGACCAAGATCCGCCTGAACCGCATGCTGCTGTTCGGCAAGGACGACCTGTGCGACCCGTCTCCGCTCTCGTCCTCGGGACCCCAATATCTCGACCCAGCCGCCATACCGACGCGTGAGGGCCCCAGGCCGGCGATCATGGCCCGCACTATGCCTCAGCGCCAGGTTCCCTACAAGGCCGGCACGGCGGATGCGGGGGTCGAGGAGCGCGTGAGGACTATGATGGCCTCATTGGCCGCCAAACACCCCTCAATCCTGGACCTGCGCCCCAGCAAGACCGAGGGCGGGAGTACTGACGCCATCTACGCGAAGCCGGCCCTCGAAACACTCAACGACAAGGCCAGGGACAACAAACTCCTGGGGACGGAGATCGCACACGCACACCCTTCCGACGGGAGCCTTCACGTCTGGCTGTCCGAGGCGGACGCTAAGATCGTAGTCGAGAAGGGCTGGGGCATGAGGTTCCCACTCAAGTTCATCGACAAGGGCTGGGCGATGGTCTATGCGCCACGCACCATGGCCGAGGCGGATGTGGTGGAGCGCATTGTGCGAGCGGGTATTGCGTGGGTCAGTGGCGTCGAGGTTTGAAGGAACTTACTCGGCGTCTGTCTCTGTACTTATCTCTCTCTACATCTCCCTTTACCTTCCTATGTTTCTTTGGAAATAATCAATGGCTTGGTTCCTACTGGCAAGGCCGAATCGGTTGTATAGCGGAGTGTCCTGCGTTGGATGAACTAAACTCGCCCGACGTGTTCTCAATCAAATATTGTTCTCATTCTTCCTCATTCCCTTCGCTAGGCTACTTATCGCTTCATTCTCCAGCACGACGACATGCTTTTGAAAAAAAAAAAAAAAAAGAGAGAGAGAGAGAAAAGAAAGAAAGTAGAAACTGAAAAAGAAAATGTCTCATCGCGATGACATCGTCTCGACTCTCTGGTCCAGCACCCGTATAGTTGCAGAACGACCCCTGAATCTGTTGCCCTAGACTGCCCGCTGGGCAAGAACCTTTCTTCGTTGCTGTCGTGCCTCACTTTGATTACCGTCTTCTTCATCTCCTGGTCTCCTTTCTTTTCCATTTCTCCTCCTTCATTAATCGTCCACCAGCACCATCGGGGTAGTCAGTAACTAATACCGCCTTTATCTCAAGTCGTTGTAATACAGGGGCTGCTTCTCGACCTCCCTGACCCACAACCTCCAAGGCTTATCTTGAAATCCTTCATTCATGACCGTGCAGCCCTCGCTCTGCTCCTCAGTGAGCGCCTGGAATCCGATGCCCATGCCCTCATCACGCAGCACTTCACGCCCCCCCGGCACGAGGCCCGCGATGACCATAGACTTTGTCTGTGCCTCGGCGTTGATACGCGTGTAGATGGCGCGGTAGACGGCGGTGACGATGTCGCGGCCCACGCAGGTGAAGCCGTGCCGACGCATTAGGACGACCGACTCCTCGGGACTCTGCATCTCTGCACCAGACACAAATTTCTCGGCCAAAGCGGCGCCGAAGCGGGAGTTGTTGACCAACATGTCCCGCTGCTCGCCTTCGCGGTAGAGCGGGTCGATGTCGAACACCTTGACGCCCCGGGAGCCGAGGAACCCGGCCATGTGGTAGACGGCTTTCAGGGTGACGCCCATGCTCACGGCGTAGGGCAGCACTTCCTCGGCGTGCGAGTGGATCACGCAGTTCACGCTGGGATACCGCTTGAAGATCTCGCCGTGAATAAACCGCTCCGAGTACCCCTTCTTCGCGTCCGGGTCGACCGTGCTGGAGTCAGACACGTGGTAGGCGATCAGGTCCCTCCCGGAAGTGACCATGGCGGGCGCCATATAGCCGCACATTATGTACTGTGAGGGATGGAGTGGGTGACGGACCGAGATGTGGCCATAGGCGTCGACCACGCCATGATAGTGGAGGATGTGGTTTGCAGAGATGAGGTCGCGGAGAGCCACAAAGAGAGGGTCTTCGTCGCTGAGGCTGGACGTGTCCATCGGTGAGTTGGCTGAATTGAATGGGTAATGAATGATGTGTGTTCGGACTGAGGAATGCCTGGTGAAGTCTTGTGGAAGAGCGATTGTCAATTCGATTTACCAGTCCCTGGTCACCAGTTCGGCTGGGAATACTCCGACGCCGCAGGGTCTCACTCAACCTACCGACGGCGGATATTTGACGAGACGAACTACAGGGCAATGCTTGTTGGTGGTGCCTGATGCAGTTGATGGTGGGCTTGGTGGGGAACAAATGGTGTGGCAGCTACCAAAAATACCTAAGTAATAAAAGGTGGGGATGAGGGGGAGAGGCATCTGTCTCACGTACAGTAATGCATTGGAAGTGAGTTGAGACTGAGAGAGGAGAGAAGCAATGTTGTTACTCGTATTGAGCCAATTCTAATTGATAAATCGCCTACCTGCCACTTTCATCCCCTGCTAGAAACAACAATAACCATGGCTGCGGGCTGCGAGCTGCGAGCTGCCCCGACGACGTTGCGGCTTGGGTTGTGTGATGCCATCAATCCAACTCTGTCCGCTTCACAAAGAAGAAATTCAGCTCGGTCGGTCTGGCTCTGAACCCCCCGACGTTCTCGATTGTGTTAGCAAACGCCGCGGTGGCCTCCTCGACACTCTCCCACCCCGAAAAGTTCACCCTGATATCTCTCTCTTTGTTGTCCTTGGGGATGTTCCAGGCCGAGATGGCTCCGTACCGCGCTCCGCCCAAACTCGACGTCTGCGATGCGAATTCCTGGTCAAACTGCGTTCGCACCACTCCGTGTTTGGCGAATGTTTCCTTGATGATGGCCAGCACCGGTGCGTCGAGCGGGATCCGTGACTGGTCCGCGTCAATGTAGTGCATCCAGTCAATGCCCATCTGGTCTTTGATGAGTGTGAGGATTTCCGCCTGTTGAGGGGATCCGTCAAAGCTATGTTGATGGTGGTCTTTAGTCTCCCATGCCCCAATCACAAACATGACCGAGGGGTCGTCGATTTGTGTGTAGAACAGGGTTTGTAGCTTGCTGTAATCTTCGATCACTCTTTTAACTTCCCTCAGGTTTTTCTTGAGTTCTGGATCCGTCGCTGTGATGCCGTTTTTGAGGGTGATGTGCGCCAACTCGATGATCGCCATCTTTGAAAGCCGCGGCCAAGGACAAAGGGGATGAGGAGAAGATGCTGCTCCTTAACAATGCGTGGGAGGGTAGAGAGAATCTAAGGACAGTTCGAGTACGATAGGGCTGGTCCCTGCCTGTGGAGATGCTGGTCAGTAAGGGTTTCGGATGAGCAGATCCACCAACGGCCCCCCTCGAACAGGCTCACTGGGCTGAATCTTGAGAGCAGCCAGAGCAATTCCAGGCACAAGCTTGTCCTTTTGCGGTAGTTTAGGCCCCGAGGCACTTTAGTCTTTTGAGTTCCTGGGCTATCTCAGCTTCTGGCCAAGGTTGCTTTTTTTGTTCAGCTGGCTGCGCCTGACACTGTCGATTCAGACTTTCATGTTGATTCTAAATTCTGCAGGTGAGTGAGACTGGACAACATACAAACAACTGACCGCACTGGATTTCGCTGGGACGAAAAGAACCTTGATTCAGTGACAAGCGAGCAGCAAGAACTGCGAACGGGGTCGACAGGCCTTTTCAGCTGCAGTGACTGCGAATTGGTCCCCCGCACAAGAGTGACGAGAGTGACAAGTCTTGGCCCCCTGAACAGTCAACATCACAGTCACCCACCTGCTCGACGGCCGTAAGAATGAACAGGCCATTGAAAGTGATCATTATTGGTGCCGGTACGTGTCGATCAAGGTCATCAATTTAGCGACCCTCGCATAAAAGCCTCTCTGACAAAAGGAGTCCACAGGCCTGTCAGGCTTGGCCCTTGCACAGGGTCTTGAAAAGGTGCGTACAAGAGGCGAACACAATTGCCTTCGGTCAGGACGAGACTGAACTGGAAGGGACAGAACGGTATCGACTACGTCGTCGTAGACAAGGAAAGCGAACCGCGCGATCGGAACTGGGGAGTGACAATTGCCTGGAGCCATCCATTACTCGCACAGCTTCTCCCCGAGGAACTCTACAATCGATTACCGGAGTGTCAGCCAGATCCAGGCCTGGACACCAAAGAGGCCGGATTTGAGAGTGTGATTATCCGAGATGGACAAACGGGCGAAACCATTGTGCAGCCGCCGTTTCCAGGAGTAAGGAGATTGAACATTCAAAAAACAAGGGCTGTCTGGTCGGAAGGAGTTAATGTCAAGGTAAGTGGTTAATTAAATTTCTTCTCTCCGCGCCATCTATCACGCTGGGAAACTCATCTTGCGTTCCTTCAGTTCGGCAAGACACTCACGGATATCGAGTTGACTGCCGACGGGGTCATTGCACACTTCCACGATGGAACCTCAGAATCTGGCTCCGTCCTGGTCGGCTGTGACGGCGGCGGCTCATGGGTCCGGCGCTGGATGCTGGACGACAAAGGCACCTCAGTGGTCCTGCCGTACACGTTCCTCAACTTCCCCTTCCGCTATACCGCAGAGCGGGCAGTTAAGATGGACAAGATGATGCACCCTATCGTAGATGTCGCGGTGCATCCAAAGTCCATGTACGTCGGCATCTTTGTACTCGACAAGCCTGACCTGCAACGGCCTGAGACGTGGGTGTTCTACATCCTGGCGACGTGGGCGGAGGACGACAACAAGAGCGCCTCGCCCGATGCTGCATCTGGAGGAGATAAGAACATGGTCGACGAGTTGCGGCGGAGGATGGACGACTGGGCTGACCCGTTCAAGTCGGCCGTGGAATGGATCTCCGAAGACGTGCATGCGAAAGCCGTACCCTTGAGGATCTGGGGACCTCCCGATTCAGGCTGGGACAACCGTGGCGGCAGAGTCACGCTTGCAGGCGACGCAGCTCACAGCATGACGTTCCGTAAGCCCTTCTCCCCTGCTCTCCCCCCTTTCCCCTCATAGTCCGTCTCAGACGAAAATAAACGCCCCCAGCAACATTGTGCTAGGTATGTAAGATGGCTAACCCTTGCGCAGACCGCGGCCAAGGTGCCAACAACGCCATCTGCGACAGCCAAAAATTCGTCACGGCCATGGTCAAGGTTAAGAACAGCACCATGACCCTCGCCAAGGCCATCGACGAGTACGACGCCGACGTGATCAGTAGGGGCCGTACAGAGGTCGAGATCTCGAAAGCCCAGACGGACGCTTTCCACGACCACGCAAACTTCCACAACAGTCCGATCATGAGGCTAGGGATCAAGCCGACCAGCACCAGCGCGGCATCGAAGTGATGTGAAGTGATGCGACGTGAGATGATTATGACATGAGGAATGAGAACATGGATAGCATGAGGATGTGTGACTGGCTCCCTTCTAATATTTTGAAAACTTGGTCAAGAAACTGGATAATATTACCTCAAGCAAGCGTGGATATTCCAAGTTTGACCACTCTCCGCTCTTACTGATACTCCTCCTCATGGTTCCTCTTCTCACCTGATCCTAGCTGCAGAGCTCCGCTGGTGTCGAGCACTGGTTCCCCTCAACGACATTTCCGTGCCCGGGGGTCTCCACAAAGATATCGAGATCGTTGTCGCGCAGGACATTCTCGACCACCGAGTTGTTCGCCGACGCGAGGCCCGTTACCGGGTCGTTCAGGATCGCGATCCCCGCCGCACTGCCGTTTGATGTCCCGGCGATCGTCATGCCTTCGACGAGGTTCGCCTGGACTTGTGTGTCAAAGGCACCGAGCGTGGCGATGCCGACGAGGGCACCGTCAGGGACGCTCGCACAAACGGGGTTACCCTCGCTGATATGGTTTCCGATGACCTGTGCGCCGGTGGTGCCCGGGTCGACGAAGGCGCCGTAGCACGCGTCCGCGACCTCGTTGGCGTACACGTAGGCGCCGTTCGTCTGGATGCAGAGCCCTACGGTGTAGCCCGCGACGCGGTTCTTTGTGACTTGCACATCCGACATGTCGTCCATGCAGATGCCGATGAACAATGGATCCCCTGTCGAGGCGACGTTGTTGGCGTCGACGTGGGTGTTCTTCGAGCCTACTGTCAAGCAACCGTACTGTGCGCCGTCATAGAGCGTGTTCCCTTTCACCTGGACGTCTTGACCACCGACCACGGCGATGTCCAGTCCAGAGAACCCTTGCACTTCGAACTCGGTCACCAAAACTCCTTGTACTGGCTGTCCCACCGAGAGGACCTTGCGATGCTCCACCACGAAATCCGCAAGCTCGATATCCTGCCCCGTTATACAGATGCCGGCTTCCGTGTCAGGCCCTGCTAAGCCTGAACAGGTGTTTTCTACGGTAGAACTGGGAGGCACGAGGATGGCTCCTTTGCCCACCAACCGCAGGCCGTCAGTGGTGATTGTCAACTGTTCTGCGTAGGTGGCCGCTGCGACGAGAATCAGTTGTCCAGGATGAGCCGTGTCGATTGCAGCTTGGATGGATTCCCCAGCCTTGACCCGTATGGCGCCGCCGTACCAGTCACCCCCGGCTGTTGGACATGCGAGCCAAAGGCACAGGTAAACAAGCACGAGTGCAGCCTTGCCACTCCAATCCCAAACGAGCACCACCATCGTCAAGAAGTTCAGTCAAGAAGTTCGGTTTGGGAGTTGAAAGTGTCTGCAGTTATTGAAATCATTCAAATCTGCTTAAATGGTGGTAAGAGAACGTGGAAAGGTAGGTGCCACGCGAAGGGATTACAAGAGGTGTACTTAACACTACCAACATTTGGCGGCCTGCATCTCGGGTGTAGGCATTCAGCGCCGACGTCGACAAATCAATGGTGTTGCTGCAAATCAAGTCTGAGCCTGGAATACTCTTATCCGTCTGCAGGTGAGTCCCAAAACCTAGGTTCTCGTAACAGCCGGCGAGGACAATCGATGTCGGATTCTGTTTGGGCAGACGCTCGCGATGCGTGGCCCCCAAAACGCCCATCAGGTTCCAACATGCTGTTGTTGTCCAGTTGGCGAACAAGCTTTGGCCAACCCGGCAATTTTGGACCCTTTCGAAGCTGTTCATATGATCCAAGCCTTGTGTCTGCTGGGGCGAGGTTGGTCAAATGATGAGGAGACTGCTTTGGGAACCGAGCCGCTGCCTGCCAGGCTTCATAAGGAAACTGCAAAATGATCGCACTTATCCTCGGGCTCAAAAGTCCCCCTGCAACACAGACACAAGCCAACATTTCCCTCCCGTCCGAAATTGAAAGGCAGGGTTGGATTCCTGGCGGAGGTGCAGCTGAAATCTGAATACGAGATAGGCGAGTTGGCCAGAACATCTTGGCCTTTGGTGGGAGTCGAGCTCCCCTTTGTGCCTCGCCGGACACCTCAAACGTTAGTCAAGTATTCGCAAGTGGGCCAATACTGGTAAACCGATCGCCAGAAAGTTTTGGTTTGGAAGGAAGAGAGATTTGAAGTGTCAAGAAGTGGAAAAGCAATTGGAGGGTTCGAAAATCCCCAGACTCGACATTCCATGGCGTCACTGATCGTTCTCGTGCTCTTTGACTGTCAGGAATCATTCCCCAGCTTGAGCTTGTTGGACCTACTATGTTCATCATAACTGACAGCTTGGTGCAAAGGTTTAACGAGAATGTCAACTAACCGTGGTGCAGCTCGTGTAACCCGGGATGCTTCTCGGTGTCGGGATCCCTCGTATTGCCTCGCTCAGCTGAAAGAGCATTCCGCTTGACCTCGTAAATCTGAGGGCTATTGCGGGTCACCCGACCTCGAAGCTTTGTGTAGCTTGGCAAGCTCGAAATCGAGGAGGCATTGGCGACGCAGTAAAAAAAAGAAACCATCTCAACCCGTCTTCTTCGTAGAAGAGAAATATCAGGACTCAGAAAGCACTGAAGCCGGCCGTCTCTGATTTGGCTCCGTCTTTGCCAAGTGGAAGGAGTGTTTGTACATAACATCTCCGCGACAGGAGGTAGCAAATAGTCAGTCATACCGGCCGTCGCCCCTTCACGAAGTACCACCGTTGGTAAAGATGAAGGCGTCGGTCAACAAATTCCTCTTTGACCTCTGCCATGGCAGTCTCCGTATCCTCATCGCTGTGGGTCAAGATCTGCTTGTAGTAGGCCAGCATGAAGGAGGGGACTGATTGAAGCATCTGTGCCCGGTAGAGTGTGCCGATCTCCTTCAGCTTCGGATCTTTCGCCCACGGTCCAATTGGGACCTGTCACGGTTAGGGAAGGGCTGTCTTCGATGGCGGTCGAGCTTCTCACCTTCTTGACGACTTCCTGCACATCGTGGAACCCGGCCTGGATCATCCACTGTCTGTGCAGATGGGCGACGTTGAGAGGCTTACCTACCCTCTCGCTGGCCCGCTCTAGTTCGATAACGGCTGACACACAGGCAGTCGCATGCTCCAACCCGCCATCGTCGCTGAAGAAACTCACTGAATGCTCTTGCATCTCCATCCAGCCTCCAGGCTTGAGATTATTCCAAGCTTGGGCATAAAATCTTGGCCAGTCTCCGATGCCACCGCAAAGACCACGTCCGTGGATGAAGTCAAACTTCTCGTTCTCCAACCACGTCCACTCTGCTTCCGCATCGTCAACGTAAAATTGCAAATTTGGTGGAACCCAGGGTGGCTGTATAGGGCTGAGATCTGTGCCAAAGACTTGAGCGCTTGGAAACTGGTCGGCGACCTCTACGGCCCATATACCTGTTCCCGTGCCGACATCCAGTATTCGTTGCGGATCGCGCGGGAGGTACACAGTAAAGAGATCGCCCCCCAGCAGCATCTTGCAGATGTGGTGCAACAAATCTAGTCGATCTTGCTCTTCTTCGTCGTTTGGAAGGTGGTAGGCACCTGCACGATACGACTGGTACGTGCGACCATTTTCATATCGGTAGTTATACACCGAGGATCTGAGACTTTGGCTGAGTGACGACTGCTGATCATCATCAAAACCTGAATCCGCGTCGAACTCGTCTCCCTAGCCATGTGTGAGCAAGCAACGCTGTGCAAGGTGCCTTATTGTTCTTGCCCTGTAGTCATTATCCACGAGGAGAGCACCATCTGGAGTCGCCATACCGATTACCTGCTGCTAGTTTTCTGGAGTCGGGTTGATTGCTTGCAAACAGTTCATGACATCCAAGGTCAAGCATAGGGTGGAGGGAATGGGTAGGTAGGAGAGTTCTCTAGACGCGGCAATTTGACCACACTGACGACTATATTAGTCGAAGTTAGAGCTGGTCAGAGATTGCGCAAGGTGCCGGGGAAGGAACGGCACCTCTGCGGGCCTACAAGGACAGATGCTACGATCTGTATATCATGCCAATGGAGCTGTACCAGTATTGGCTACGGCTTATCAGACTCGGTCGGGCTACGGGCCCGTCCCTTGTGCGCCAAACATGTGCCGGGCTTCCTCCCACCCCATTGTCAACTCCCCGATTGGCGGTCCAGCCTCGGCCAATGCATCCCTTGCATCCCCTGGCTTCTGCCTACTGTAGCAAGTAGGAAGAACGCACACTAGCCGAAGGCGCCGCCTGAGGCACGTCTGGGCACATGTGTGAGGGCGGGTCGCGGCCAGGGCAAAAGGTGATAAATGTGCATGCTTCCTTGCAACCTCCAGGGGACTGTCCGCTTCTCGCAAATCTCCGACAGCATTTCGATATGGACATGGCGGTTTCTGATGCTTTGGTCAGAACTCTCCTGGCCGCCGCAGGGGCATATACACTCTACCTGATCGGCCTCGTAATCTATCGCTTGTACTTCCACCCGCTTGCCAAATTTCCAGGCCCCAAATATGCAGCCATAAGCCACTGGCATGAAGTCTACTACGATGTGATCCTGCAGGGACAGTTTACATTCAAGGTACAGGAAATGCACAAACAATACGGTACAGGGCTCGAATCATGAGTAGTTTTCGTCCTAATGCGGGTAGGACCTATCGTGCGCATTGTTCCGGACGAGCTGCATATCCAGGACTCGGACTTCTATGAAACTTTGTATACCAAGGCCGGTCGCGTGGATAAGTATGAGTGGATGGCTGGTCGCTTTGGAGATCATAACTCGGCTTTTGCGACTGCCTCAGATGAGCTCCATCGTATTCGACGAGGCGCACTCAATCCTCTGTTCTCGCGACAACGCATTCTTGATCTACAAGATGTGATTCAAGTCAAGATCGACATCCTGGTGGATCGCGTTCGTGAATTCCAAGCCGAAGGGAAGGTCATGCCTATCAACCGAGCGTTTTCGGCACTTACTGAAGAGGTAATATTGGAATACTGCTTCAACCTTAGCTATGATGCTCTACGAGAGCCGGAGTTCGAGAAATCATTACACGATCCAATCATGGCGGCAAACCAGTTCAGCAATGTGTCTCTACAATTTCCCTGGGTCCCAAAAATTCTATTCAACCTTCCTCAGTCCATTACGGTGAAGATGCAGCCAGAATATGCCCTGTTCTTCAGAATGCAAGGTGTATGGAATGTGCTCGTCCCAAAGAAGAGACGTATGGCTGATCAATCGCAGGATTTTCGGAAGCAAATCGACGATATGAAGTCGGGGAAAATGAAAGACGTTTTGGAGAAATCTTCCCATCGAACCGTATTCCAGGAACTAATTGAAGGCAATCTACCACCCTCGGAAAAGAATTCGCTACGGCTAATGGGCGAGGCTTCCGTTGTGGTTGCAGCTGGTGTTGTCACTACTGGCTGGGCACTCGCCACTGCAGCTTTTCATATCATCAACAATCGGCCTATATTCCAGAAGCTGAGGGCCGAGTTGGAGGCTGCTATTCAAAATCCCGATGTAAAGCCTAGCTGGACCGAGCTCGAAAAGCTGCCGTATCTCGCTGGATGCGTGCGAGAAGCAGTTCGCATGTCCTACGGAGTGACGGTGAGAGAACCCCGGCTCTTGTCGAAGCCACTAGAGTACAAAGGCTGGATCATTCCTCCTAGGACTCCTGTGAGCATGACGAATGTCGATGTTTGCGATGACGAGGTGATCTTTCCGAACCCTAGAACGTTCCGGCCTGAGAGGTGGATTGGTAATCCCAAGGCGCCTAACGGGCAAAGTTTGGAAAGATACTATATTGGCTTTGGCAAAGGGACACGAAGCTGTCTCGGCATCAAGTAAGCGTTTTATCCCATCCCCCTTTGACCATTTGTTAAATGACTTGCAGTCTTGCACAGGCCGAATTGCATATGACCCTTGCGGCTCTGTTTAGGAACTTTGACTTTGAGCTTTATCATACCGACATCAGCGATCTAGAATTGGCGCACGACTTCTTTGCTCCAAGCCCACGACGCGACTCTAAGGGCGTCAGGGTCAAGGTCAAGCCAGCGTAGATGGATGGGATGGGACGTCCATATCTTATCCTGGCTTAAGCTAGCAGGGTTGGACGTGGAGGCTTCCGTAGGGTGAGCGAATTGAGGGCAAAACGGTGACAAGAAATGCAATATAATATCCCCTTGAGGAGACAAGTTCTGAACGTTGACAAGGCCCACCAGGCTGGCTGGGAAAAAGGGAAATTGGGCCAGCAAGAGACTTGTGTAGAACTCAATCCAAATTTGACGAACTTTCGCATATTTCACCAAAGGATACTAATTTCCGGGTATGGCCAACTCGAGCATTATTTGAATAAGTACGGGCCTTTTGGAACTGTGAACAAAGTCCAGTTTCTACTGAAACACTTTGGTTGAGCCAATGATGGGGAGGCGCTCCGCCTCTCGATCGCGATTTCGTCAATCCTCATCTGGCTCGCCTCTTTTCTCGTTGTCGATGAACTCTCTAACCTTTTTTTTCTTTTCCCTTTTTTTTTTGGCAAGAGAAATCAACTCATTGTCAGTAGTACCCTCAAGCCAATGATTTATCATGGCTCCGGTCACGAGGAGCATGACTACCTCGGCCTCAGCAGTCGACTCTACACCTTCACTTACTATTGAGAACCCAGGTATCTCCAGCAAGGACGCCACCGGGAGTCTGAAGGATTCCTTGTACCTGCCACTTGATGAAAATGAGCAAGAAATTCGGCTGCTCACATTGCACGCTGGTGCTGACGACACACCAATCGAGCTCTCCCTAGAATACACATCTCTCTCGAATGCCGACTCATTTATCGCGTTATCATACTGCTGGGGCCCTCCTGATGATGGATCAGAGGTTATTCTAGATGGCCAGGTGGTCAGAGTTCGGCGGAATCTCTGGCAATTCTTGCAGAATTTTTGATCTGTCAAAGGACCGAGCAGGCTCTGGGTTGATTACCTGTGCGTTGATCAATCCAACGTCAAGGAACGCAACCATCAGGTCAAACTCATGAGAGACATTTTCAGCACTGCAGGTAGTGTCTATGCTTGGCTCGGAGAGGCTGATCCTGACACGGACTATGCCATCACCTACATGAATTTCGCGTTGAGCATTCCACGCCAACGGCGGTCCAAATCAATTCCTCGAAAGGTCGGCCTGCGGGGTAGGAAGGCTCTGGGATCTCTTATCAAGCGCGACTACTGGACTCGTGTCTGGATTATCCAAGAGATTGTTCTCGCGCAGAAGGTGTTCCTGATGATCAGCGATAGAGTCATTGATTGGGAGGACTTACAAGACGTTACCACTAGACTTGTGACACCCCTTATAAGACATACGAGAAAGAACACCGTCTCACGAGTGAACTTTCGCAATATCTGGGAACTCAAAAAGAAAAATAAAGCGGTCTGGAATCTTTACGAGCTTCTCGGAAGATTCCACCAGGCTGATTGCATGATCCGAGAGATAGACTTTATGGGCTACTCGGCCTCACATCTGCCTCTGTTCGCTCACGGGTAATAGTCGACTATACATCATCCATCATGGAGGTCTGCGCAGCGAACATGGAAGTCATTTGCGGACGTTTCTCTAGCAAAGGACAAAGTGGACTCTTTGCTCGCAATGTAGAAGTTGTCGTCCGCTGGATCCTTGGCTCTCCACCTGGATCATTGTACACCTTTTACGACAGATCCATACCTTCTCGGGTGAAAACTCCGATCGTGATGGAGGATATTCTAGAGGCACGGCCGCTGTCACTCCATACAGTCGCGGCGTTCAACTCTGGAGAGAACAGATACGTGGAAATGACGCCGGCCAATGAGCGGTTATCCTACGATTCATACTTAACAAGGTGCCAGGTCAACGAATACAAGGACCAAATTATCTGTTCGACCACCCATTGGCGGGACTGGGATTTCATACTCAGGCTTGGACGTTCTGTTATCTTGCCTGTTCGGCAGACTGCCGAATCGTATACTGTATTGGAGATTGGAGGGTGCTCCACTACTGACCGGTCCAGTAGCACCTCTTATGTAATATGCCCAACGGACTGGCGGATCGGAAGAATTCCAGATGTGCAATGCTCAGTGCTAGGGGAGCCTGTAGATAGAATATGTAAAGTACAACTCAACCCCGCAGCCTTCGTGGAGTGGATGAGAATTTGCAGCTTCAAGGAGGGCTGGCGGATGAGTGATATAATGAAACCGTCAAGTTGATTTCGTACTGTAAATGCGCGACTGACAAGATAGGTCAAGACATGTGAAGAGTGTTACGCTAGTCCTCGGCTGAAGGCCTTGCCACCACTTTGTCAATGCGACCCATTCCCGACTTGCTAGCTAGGTTCGTTATAGTTGATCTATCTTTCCAATAGTGTCTGTCCTTCTTGTTCTCACAGAGATCCTGCCAGTTTAAATACATTTTACGCTGTGCCAACGAGGCCATTTCTGAGCATCCTGTAAAGATGTCATTGCTTTTCGGCGTAATGGCTACTTCAAGGGGCGGCGGCGATCAAATGGCAAACGGTGATCACGGTGGCGGTCTTGCAACTCTAACAGTCGACCTAGGTCACATGTAAACTTTACCATGTCTTCACAGACCATCGGAGTGGCAATAGGAAGGTACTCCCAGTGCTCCAGTCAGAAAAGTGTCGTGATGATTGAGGCTCTGATATTGCTGCAGGACCGGGGCACTCGCAGCGACAAAACACAGGAAGGGAATGGGAAATTGGTCGCTAGTGTCGACCCGTCCGATGTCAATTTCGGCACGAATGTACCGCCACCGCCAGGGCAAGCCAGCAGGCTGGAAGTGGTGAGCCGAAGAACGTCTCAATGTCCTCCAAGTGACTCCTCCTAGTCTCTCAGCAGACAAGGAATGAGGAGGCGCGAAGTCGACAAGGAAAATGGTACCTTGAACGACTCCTTCCAATGTGCAAGGAGGGTATTGGCACCCTGTCCGGAATGTTATAGCCGACTGGCTGTTATTGTGAAGCCGAAGTATGATGGATTCTTGAGCTTGAGGGTGAAAGGTCACCAGTTTGCAGTGCATGGCACAGTTCAACAGATGCTGGCGGGTCATAGTGAGATGTGGCGCCAGGCTATGCACGGAGAATGATACATTTCTATCCTCGAGACAGAGCCGACATTGGGAGACAGAAGGAATTGGAAAAAGGGAGACTCCCTGTGCACGAGGGCACCAACGCTGCCGTTCTCGGGGGCAGGTCAGGATAGTGTGCTGAGTGGGAGCACACTGCTACTCCCAACATGAGTGAACCTAACCCAATCTTGTCTTCTCAAGGGTCACGTTCCCTCCCGGCTCTGCCACAGGCAGCGGATTGGGTGCATCTAATGTTGAGACGTGGTGTTTCAAGGGTAGTCGACGCGAGTATCCTGCTAGCTCATCAGGCCTCCTGCATTTAGGCCTCCTTCACTCGATCCCGTCAGCGTTGACGATAGGAAAGACCGAGCTGGATGGATGGCTGGCTGCCGGCTCATTTGATGTCGTCTTCTTCGTTCCTTCCTTCTGAGAAACTTCCACACATATATAGAACAGCCATCACCAGCCCAGGAATCAGATGACTTTCTTCTTGCCGTAGGTGAGTCATCCACGGAAACCCGAAACCAAGGCTTTGGGGTTGGAGGCATATACATCCGCAGTCTTGCCATCACAGGAACGGAACTGGAAATACAAAAACTCACCTGAGCCCGATATTGGCTGTGCCGAATCAGAAGACAGACGTCCTCTGCCACAGACACATGTCAAAATGTCCACCCCGAAGCCCACCGTCATCCTGATCCACGGCGCGTGGCACTCGCCCGAGCATTTCCAGCCCTTGGAGACAGCTCTGAGCTCGCACGGCTACAGAACCGTCTCGCCATGGCTGCCGAGCGTGCACTACGAGAAACTCAACGCGCCGCCCGTGTCAAGTATCCTCGACGACATCGTTGCGATCCGGCAGACCATCGTCTCGGAACTCTCCGCCCACCCAGCCGCTGACGTCGTGCTGCTCTCGCACTCGTACGGCGCGGTCGTTGCGTCCGCCGCGATCGAGGGCCTGGACAAATTCTCGCGCGGGAGCGCGGGCCACCAGAACGGCGTCATCGCGCTGTTAATCATCGCAGGCCTCCTCGCGCCGCCGGGTACCTCGCTGCTCGACTGGAGCGGCGGGCAGGTTCCGCCGACGATGCTCATCTCGACGGTCCCCTACCCCGGCGATCCGAGCAAGAGGGAGATCGAAATCTGCACCTGTGTCCCCGACCCAGGCCCCGTCGCTCTGTTCTACCACGATGTCGCCGAGCAAGATCCCCTGGCCGCCCAGCGCTACGCGTCGCTCTGCATGCCGCAGATCTGGGCCGTCTGGGCCGCGGAGGAAGTACCCGTGCCGTTTGCGGCGTGGCAAGCTGCGGCCGAGCTGGACTTGGACGTGTTTTACCTGGTGACCGAGGACGACAGGGCGCTGCCACCGGTGTTCCAGAGGGCCATGATCGACATTGCGGACAGGGAGATTGCGGCTGCAAGGCAACCGGGAGACGATGGGGCGAGAAAGAGCATCCATGTAACTGCTATTAAGAGCGGACATAGTCCGTTCCTCAGTCGAGTGGAGGAGACGGCTCAGTGGGTAAGGAGGTGTTGTGGCGAGAGAGACGTCTAGATTTCTACGGAGCATCGGTGCAAAGGATAGCCCACCACGTGCTACAAGCGTCTCGCGTCAAGGTCACAAGCGTATGTCCCAAGACCGTCTGAGAAACATTCGAAACTTCCAGCGGTCATTCTTCCTTAAGGCACACTATAGGATGCCTTTTCGTGTTTGTAGACTGCACTCACCGCAACTACCACCTCATCACCTTCCTGCCCTCCCCAGAGTCAGGGCTGTGACTACAGCGGCTCCAACACCGCTCCCGTCCTCTGCGCTCGTCAGTTTAATGCCTTCCAACCCTCCTCCTCCAGAAACAGCCGCTTTGGTACCCATCTTCATGTCCAGAATCTCCCTGACCGTATCTTCCCATCGCTCCTTGAACCGCGGGTGTTTGATAGCCACGCTCCCGTCCGCAGCGACATGGCCCGTCCGTGTCCCGATCCTCCGACAGATCGCCGACACGCCGCACGCGCACAGCCTCGCGCCACGGATGGCGATGAGCTTCGCAAGAGACTGGAAGAAGATTAGTTCGGCCGGCGTGGGTTGCAAGCCTGCGACCGTGGATTCGAAGGCATGCAGCGACGAGGAGAGGGATGGCGACGCGTCGTTCTCCAGATTAGATAGAAATTCCGTATCGATTGCATAGGCGGTGTTCAGCATTTCCTTCTGCTTGTCGTCGAGCTTTGAGTCCTGGAAGATCACCCCTCTGGCGTGCAGGTCGACGAGGATCTGTCGGAATATTTCTCCCAGGTAGAGCCCGGCCGACATCTTCTCGAATGTCTGCTCTCCCGGTCGCGGAGATTGTTGGTCGATTAATTCATCGTATCGTGTCCTTGGGAGGATAGAGTGTGAATTGTCAAAGGCACCATATTCACAGTTGATGGCCATTAGCGCATCACCTTTCTCCTCCCTGCCAGTCCCGGAAGTAGCTGTGGTGCCGTTGGAAGATGGACTTTTTCCATGAAGTTTTGGTATAAGGGATTGGCGTTCCATATATGCCGCATTGCAACCGGTGCCGAAAATCGCGCCAACGATTGTTTCGGGATCGTTGTATGCGGAGGCGATAAGCGCCCCAGTTGTGTCGTTTATAAGAGTGACAAGCTTTACAGGGAGGCCCTGCGTAATGGAAAATAACGGGTCAGTTTCTTGGACTTCGTGGTGCAAACGAAAGCGTCGAACAATGGTCAAATAGATGGCCAGGGAGGTCGTTACACGCATGAACATACCCTTTTCTCCATGGCTTCCCTCAACATCTTTCCAACGTCGTTACCTTCCACTCCCTTGACATCCCATCCCTTCGTCCAGGTCTGCAAAACCCCATGATCAATCCTCTCTTGAGTAGCGGGGTAGCTGAACGTGAAACCCAGTGGCACCATCCCATCGTTCTGCTTTGCTCCATCGCCCTTTACGTGCTTTGTCACGAAATTCCCGAGGCGGTCGGCAATGTGGTCGAAGAGTTCATCTGCCGTGCCAGTCTTGATCTCTCGGGGTAGTTGGTATTTCTCCTGTGTGATCTCAGACCCTCCTGGTGTGCCGGTGAGTGTGATCAAGCACACGCGGAGATTGGTTCCACCGAGATCGAGCGTGAGATATGTGCCTGCTTCATGCCCTGTGGGGAAGGAAGTAACCCAGGTAATATTCATCGGCTAAAGGACGTCAGTATCTAGCGAGGCCCTGAAGGTTTGGCCTGGAGAATTTCGATGTGGTGATGGAGCGCAAACGTACAACATTGGATCCGTGTTTTCGAAGACCTGGCAAGATGTACCGTCAGCAAAATCTCTGCGAGAAATTATAACTGGGACTAGAACACCCAACGAGGGAAAAGAGAAACTGCATGTCATCTCGCTCAGTTCAGTCCGTCCAGCATATTTTTGACGGCTGACGGAATCCACTCCCCAGCCAACAGCCTGTGTGTGCAGCATAACCCCGAGAGAGACGTGAACTTACCTTCATCAAGCTCTTCGCCGAACCTATCCGTGATCTTCTTCAGCGTGGCCGTGTCAACAGTAAACAACTGTTCCAGCTTTCGAAGTTCTTCTCCCAGCTTCTCTGGGAGTCCCCGAGGGATCTCTACAGGGAGGATCCAAGAATCAGTGTCAGTGCCGTGAACTTCCTTCTTACAACTGGGGGTTAAAGGTCCATTACAACTGGAAAATTGACAAACTAGTTGAAGTCGGTTGAAAAGCCTTACCGAAATCGACATCCTCTCGAGAAAATTGTAAGTTTTCAGTGTGAGCAGACATATCTCCGGCAATATGATATGTTACAAGGCAGATCAACTGATAGCAGAGGTTCAAAGGAGTGATGCGTCCGGAAAACGTCCTGTCCAGCAAGACTTGATATACTCGTTAAGACAAACGGACTTGAGTTCCGGGTCAGAAAACCCAAAGGAAGATGTGGAGAGTTCTCCTAGTCCACTTTTGATCCAAGCGTTGTAATATGAACAAGTGAAGAGAATTCTGGGTCGGAAACTTCCTCCATCTAGTTCCCACCTTGGATGGCGCAGAGGTGTCGTTTGTAGGCGGATGTGCATTTGCCTGTCTCCTCACGACTCGGACACAAGGATTGCGGATCCAGATGTTGAAAATGACGTCAGTGTTCACATCTCGATTCATGTGTGTCATACATGAGGATGATGCACCCAAGTCGCCGGATATGCTTCATGGCGTCGATCATCACCACTGTGCGGATGCTTTACCTAAAAGATGGAACACTGCCCAGTTAACTCGGCCGAGAGGGCGAACGGAAAAGAACGGTCTCTCCTACCTCTCAGACTCTCCGGATATCACCACGCCATAGTCAGCCTTACCTAGCCTTATGATAGACCTTGTGGCGATGTCGCCGGTATCTCTCGAACAGGTTTAGAATTTCTTGAATCCGGGGTCTATCCTTTCGTAGGACGATTTAGATCCATCCGTTTCTTACTTGCCGAATTCGTCCAAGTCGATCCAAGAAGATGCATATAGAGAGCAAGAGGACAATGTTCATGCAATCAGTAGAGCGGTTCATTTGGCAGTACTCAAGCAGCGAAGATTCTCCAACAAGTCTGCGGTCTGGCCGGGGTTCAAATGGCCCGAGGACCAAGCATCAGATCTATGATTGGCATGAAGAGAAAGAAGGGAATCTCTTGATTCACTTTTAGGATGGCCATGAGATGTAGATGTTTATGGAAGCTCACAATCTATTCCAGTGGGATGCCTCTGTGTCCCGGTTCTCTTGGTTGATTTGTCTGGCGGTTTTGTGACGGAGGAGAGGTGCCATCGGTACGGGGGGAAGTTGGTCATGGCATCTCATAGATGAAAACTGTCCAAAATACGGGTTTCTGATCTGTGAAAGAGGCCAAGGAGCCCTGTGTCAGCTAGGACCTCGAGATGGAGAACAGCAGAACGATCCCAATCTGGAGGATGGCTTTGATTACCTTGAAATGCATGACATGGATTGCGTCCGGCAAAACCTGTCAAGTTTAATATTGGGTAGGCAGTGGATGTCTCTTGACTTCAGGCCATGCATGCAAGGTGATGATGGAGGCCATCACGCCATGAGCACAGTGACGATTTGCGATGGAAGAGTGTGACGGCAGAGGAAACTGAGCTGTGCCAAGACGGCCTAGACCTATATTGAATAGGGAAGAAGTTTGTTGCCGCCCTATTCACGTGGGGAAGCAAGCAATCATGTCGGATAAATATTATTCCGGTCAATAGAGTTGCGTCTCCCCGTCAGGGGATTTAGGAACAAACTCTAAACCATCAGCACATCGTCAAAATCGACTTGCACCTTTTCAATTCGCCAACGTGCTCCGAGCTCAGTCATGACAATCAGCTATGGTCATATAGTTCTGGCACATTATGCACATTCGCAATACCATCTAGGTGAATTGTCGCGAGACTTGAGAGCAGAGAATCGAGATTGAGGTGGACTGATCGTTGCTGCATTTGGCTAGAATTGTTCGTTGCGCGTGGGGAGGTTGGCGAGGCGTTAGCTGCGACCTCCAAACTCGTATACCAACTACACGTGCAGGTTTAGCCACGCCTCTGCAACTGTGGTTCGACCGTTCGCTTCGAGTTGCAAATGAGGAGGTCGGTGCCGCACTGACTGTCGAGGTGCTTTTCAATATGGTCAGACCCTGGGGATCCAAACACAAAACCGACCTGCCCTCCCAACAACCACGTTCAGCAGGTAAACCATGGATTTGCGCGGAGCTAATACGGCAACAGAAGAGCCCCGGACAAGCCCAAACCATGGAGAGTGTGACTCGGTTAAGCGACAGGCAAGTAGCGAGAGAAAGCCGAGAACCAGTATCATTCTTGCTCTGACCATGACAGAAGCCGCCAGCTGTCTCCGCTTTTTCCGTACATTTCAAGACCGCGTGATATCTTGCCATGCCTAATTCAATGACTTATCATACTATCGCTGCATTTAGCGAATCTGCAGATTGGGCTGTTGTCGATAGTGGTGGCAACAACAGAACGAGCCCACCAGGTGCACAAAGGGAACTTGCATTTCCACATCATAAGAGAGATGGGGGCTGCTCATTGTCGTATGATCCATAAAATGTGAGTTTGTATGTGATATAGATGATATTTTAATGGACTTGCAGGTCTCGCCAGACTCAAACAACTTTGTCACCTCTCCCTATCAAGAATACAAAGTGGGAAAGCAATTCGAAATCATCCAACCACCCAAGGCCCCGTAGCAAGTCTCCCCTAACTCCAAAATGGCTACGTCTGAACATATTCGACTGCTCTCTATTGACGGAGGAGGTCTTCGGGGATTGTCAGCTATCATGGTTCTCAAACACATCATGGCGAAAATAAACCATGATCGGGCAGATAAACTCCAGCCGTACGAGGTATTCGATCTCATTGGTGGTACCGGAGTGGGTGGGTAGGTCATTTATCCACTCCCCAGTGTCTAATAAGTATGCGAACTGGATGGATACTTACCCTCATTAGACTTATTGCCTTGATGCTCGGTCGACTCCACATGTCATTGGACAAAGTGGAAGAGGCATACATAGAGCTTCTGGGCAAAATCTTCCACAGCTCCGAGGTTGTGCGGAAGCTGAGTGACCACATGAGCCGGGACCTTGACACTTCATATGAAGTTGCTCAGGAGGTTCAAGCACTAAGCAAAGTTGAAGCGGAATTTCGAACGGATCCCGTAAAAGTGTGGCTGAATGACTTGTTCCGGAGAATGAGATGGAACCGCGATGGTGAGACAGAGCTGCTAAAAGACCCTGACCTCGAAGTCCCGTGCAAGACGTATGTGAATCCTTCGGCGCAGATTCCTTCCTCCTCAAATGCTAATTCGCTTTACAGCTTTTTGACTGCTTGGCACACGGGGGATATCAGTCCACAGATGCTGAGAACTTACAGGAATGCCGAATATCAACAACCGGAGTTCCATAAACTGAAGATGTGGGAAGCCGCATGCGCGACAGTTGCAGCCGGCCCTGGCTTCGTCCCCTTCCGCGATGAAGAAGACAAACACTTGCCCCGTCACAACTACACAAAGGTGCCTCTGCAATGGAACAACCCAATAAACCTCATGTTTTGCGAAGCCCAGGAGCTTTGGAAGGACAAGAAGTTCTTAATACTCAGCATCGGTACTGGAGCTGCTCCGAAAGGCAAGACTGATCTGGAAGAGGCCTTTCATGAGGCAGAAAAGGTGGCAGATGTTTTTGAGCATATGATACGCCACCAGCATCCCTATTACAGATTCAATGTCGAAGAAGAAATGGATAAGATCGGCTTGGCAGAGCTCCAAGAAGGCCCTGAAATAGCACGAGCGGTCGACGACTATCTCAGCAGACTAACAGTGGAGCCAAGACTTAATGAGTATGTTGAGGCTATCATGTCTGAAGAACGAATGAAAGGTATTGTTTTAAAATTGTCCCCAATTGAAAGATATGCTGCGAAACGGAAGCTGACAAAGATCTTACAGATGCCATGAAAGTTCATGACAAGAACACGTTCGCCGAGGTCTGCGCGTACTGTCACCAAGGTTGGTCAAATTCCATAAAATCCGGTTAATGGTATCATAAAATGATCTTTCATTAGGAATTAAGTTTGAAAAACCGCACAAGCTGTGCGATACTTGCTTTGTGTTTTTCTGTGATAGGTGTACAGACAAACACTCCACGGAGCATAGAGTCTACGGCGTTACTGCGATACGTTGGACGCACGATCTCAATAGCTCACGGACATGCATATCCTGCAACAAAAATATTCTCTGTGGGGTTGAATGTCAAATTCATGGTTGTACTTTTTGGAAATGCGCCAAATGCTTACCTAACGACCAGCAACTACAACATGGAAATGGCATTCACAACTCATTCCGTATTATCCGGCCTACCCAGTGGCATGTTGTCGACTTAGCCGCCCAAGAGGATGAAGCAGGGATTTTCAGAAAACGTGGTGATCTTAACTGTGACTGCGAGAATCACCATCAGATGCCGTGCTGTGTCTCTCACTGCCAGTATTGTTTTAAGCGTGAGTCTACTCTTCTTCGGTTTCATCGACCCTGCAAGGATAGTTGTGTTGAGCTCAAATACTCCCTGTTTCCGTTATATCACTAACCTGAAAGAACCGAAGCACTTCCCGCTCCCGATGGACTGGATGACACCATTTACTTCTGCAAGATATGTATGCGAGACAACCACAGCAGCCAACTCCTGTGCCGAACTTGTTACAAAAGTTCCAAGATGGCCCAACACACGGACGAGCATAAGTATTGGTATGCGATTCGTATCAGATTGATTGGAGACCATGAATCTCTTCGGTGTAATACTTGCAACCAACGTAAGTGCCATTTCCAGGTCCGCCTTGGATCTATATTTTCTTTGGACAGCGCCGGTAACAACAAACTTAGATATCCATGTTGAGGACCCTACGCGCCTCATCGACACCGTTGTCGAACACAACTGCAGCAACACGGAGGATATTTCCATTTACGAACTGCACATTCCTGAGCAGCGACATGAGATATGGCGGTCTATTACATACCAAGAATGTCCTAAACGGGCCGAGCAAAAGCACCCGAGGATAAAAGGCCAGAAAGGGTTAAGATGTTTCATGTGTAACGACAGTCAGTACCCTTCTAGCGGCCTTTGCAATGGGAAAGTGAGTAGCTAACAGACGAAATTATAGCCATGAAAGTGGGGAAGCTTCACCCTGTAGATGGACAGCCCCCAAAGAAGCACGGCTTCTGCGTGGATTGCGAAAACGTCTATTGCAGCTTTTGCCGGATGAAGCATCTCGTCAACCACCTTCCTCACAGGAATCCTCCTCACAGGAATCCAATTCCTTCCCCTGAAGCGGATCCTAACAGACCTGACGGCCTACAAGATCTCACCCTTCACAAGATGCATTATTCCCTGCTCCGGATCAAATGTGCAGCCTCAACCCATGAAGGTAATGGTCAGTCAATCCGCCTTTCTTTCCCTTCCATACTCCCCTTACCACAATTAATTTTTTTTCCCCCACTGGCTGACTCTGGGAACTGAAGCCTATTTCAAGTACCAATTCCGTGGCTTCGAGTGCCGGTCATGCGTGAACTCGCTTTGGAGCAGCGGGTTCTATCTCTGCGACGACCAAAAGTGCATCGACAAAAGAGTGTGCCCGGCGAATGAGGCCGATAATCAGTTCACCAAGCATGCCAGCAGGCATCCCGGGGTCAGCCACTGGTCCTATATAAGTCCAGAACACTGATCACCATCTATGACCGCAAAACAGAGGAGGGGGAAGAGGGCGAGAAGTAATTTACTGTCTACGTGTGAGAAAATGCGGAGGCGACTAGAACAATTCAGAGCAAGCGAGCGAGCGAGTGAGCGAGAGAAGAGCAGAAGACGGCAAGTCTCAGCAAAAGGGTTGAAAAAGGCCTTTCTTTTTCTTCTTTTCTGATTTCTGTCTCAAAAGCTCTATGTATTGTCTTCATGCTTTTGCGAGTTGGGTAAATTGTAATGTTGTCAGGAGGAGGAACGGGAACTTGGGGAATCCGCAACTTAACCCTTTTCTTATACATACCAAGAGATTGATTGTCATTTTAACAGAAATAAACATGTGAGCCTGAGATCGGGCCACTTTTCCCTCGACTGGGACGCATTCTTCAGCCCGCTGTGTCTCATAGAGTATGTTCGTCCTAAAATCCTAGGAGCTGGCCGTAAACGTTCAAATCTTTCTTATCTGCACCATCCTGATGACTGCGGTTCGAGTTTGGGTATACAGTTCTGAAATTCATGCCCAACCCCTTGTCCGTGCTACCAGCTCGAGATCCTCCTCCCGTTCACCCCCATCCTCCTGATCATCACGAACATCCACAGACTTTGTGCCGAAATCCTCGTAGTGTCTGCTACGGTTCGCCTTGCTGCCGGCTTCGTCAAATGACGACTGGCCGGGGATATACTCGTCGTCCTTGCTGTGGGAGAAGAATGCCGGACTCTCAGGACTGTGTGGCTGTGTGCCCCATTGCCCGACTGATGACGGCGGCGACGCCAGCAGTTCTATCTCTGCCTGATCTTGTTGAGACTTGACCTTGCTCACGATGGGCGTCGCGTAGACGTCGAAGGCGATCGCCAGGCTCCAGGAGACTGTGGTGAGAGCGTACAGCCACTCTGCGGGGGCTCCGAGTGCCATGATGCGGTAGCATCTGGTTCCCGGGGTTTGAATTTCCTCCGGCTTTGACCCGTTGCAACCGAAGATGGCTATGTTTGTCATAAGAGCGAGAGCTGTCCATGTGTGTCAGAATTGGCTGGAGCGAACAGAGCGCTAGCGGACTCACGAAAAGCGAACACCAACGTTAAAGCTCTCCACCACAGCAGGACCTTGATCACACCAACCTCTCGAAGTGCAGGATATTTTCGGCGTTCCAGGTGATCAACCAGCATCCCGGTAGATTTGATGGAAAAGATCATGATCGCTTTGACTGCGGTAACAAGAAGGTGCAGGTGCCTATCAGGCGTCGCTGCGGCAAAGACGACCCAGATGCTCAGCCCAGCTCCCACGACGCTTGCGAGCCATCCTGTTCGACGTGTCTGCCAGCCTAACTGGTCGTCACGGTTGAAATAGAAGCTGATGGCGGTCGACGTAATACTGAGAATCACCACGCAGAAGGTCAGACCTTGATAGACTGACAGTCTCTTCGAGCCCACGCAGCTGATGAAGGGAAATATAGAGTACAGATCAGCGACCCGAGGTGGCTTCGCTCCGGTATGCGGATCAGCAGGTAAGGTGTAGTATGTGCAGAAGAGAAACAACAGTAAGAATAACTCCAGCAGGGCTGCAGCGATGGGTAACAGGGCACGAAGGGGATATCTACGATCCCAAAGGTAGTCGAGGACAGGATCCCATGGTCTCGATTTCCGCTCGAACCTCCGTTCAATGTCCTGCCAGGTCGTCTTTTGGCGTTTGAAGAGGCCGTCGATCTTCTGGCTCAAAGTGCCCGCACGGACTATTTCCGGGGTGTAGTTATCTAGAAAGGCAGAGCCTTCTAGCGAGTAGTAGCTGCTTCGTTGTGCAGCCGCAGGTCTGCGCAACGAAGACATCTGCCATGGCAGAATGAGCTCGCACCACGCAACGCTGCGCGTTAACTGCTCCGGAATGAAGGAGGGAAGGGAAAAAAAAACCAAAGAAAAAGGCATGATGACTAGGATAGATATGTCATATTATATTAGTGGCCGTGTGGCATCGACGAAACTTGATCCGCATCGCAAAGCTGCGTCTAACAATTGGGCCGCATCGGCTTCGCTGGTCAGGCGTGCCGTTCTGGCATTGTGACATTGGGCCTCCTTCGGTGTACCGAGTTGCTGGGTAGCGAGTAGGCTAGAGGCCAAGGAAGCCCAATCAGTCTTCAGGTAGTCGGTGTCTTCAGGTCTGCACAGGCGACAAAACACCCAGAAGTCATACATGCATATGAAGTAAACCCGCTGAGGAAAGGAAAAAAGACGGGATGAATGGACGGTTGGTTGAAATAGGATGATCATCCGCGCACTCTGCAGCTCACCTCTCTCTTGGTCTGTTAAAAATGCCGGTGGTTGGTCGAAGGGCAAAGCAGGCTTCAGCCTCACCAGCCTTATTCGCTCGCTTAGGGCTCAGCTTGAGCTAGTGGGCTCAGCTGCTCCTTAGGCAGAGTATCCGGTACTCGGTAGCCCTCTGCCTTAGCCCACCAGCCATGGCCGTGTGCAATCACTCCACTCCGCTTGAATTAGTTCCTGAGGGTCGAGGGATCAATCGGCGCGTCGGTACAGAATAGGAAACCATCGAGTTAGAGCCAGGCTGTCGTCTTGAGGCGAGTTCGGTTTCGCTTGCAGCTTCCAGAAGAATCACACCGTGCGATGAGTAGCCCGAGAACACCGAGTAAGGAATTTGTGGACCAAAGCAAAAGTCCTGGAGATATGCTGACTTCTCACTAGGGCACCGAGGGTTGATGATATCCGCTATCTCAAGAGTCGTCGGCCAGACGCACCATCGCCAACTGTCCAGGCCACCGGCCCCTGCACTCCCAGTAGACCGTGGCTCGACCCTTCAAATCCGACACCTCCGCCTTCACCGTCAGCCTTGTATCTCCGCAAAGCCTCTCGAAGGTGATCCGGCAAAAGCCCCCCCTTGTGTGGATTTGGTATGTATTCCTCCACTTCCCTCCTCAGTCGCTCAATCTCTGTTGCCAACAGCCGGAACTGTTGATCGGAAATGTTGCCTTCCTTCTGCTTCTTCTCCCGGTCCTCTAGCTCCTGCTGCCGGCGATCCCATTCCTCCTTTCGCGTCTCCTCGTACGCCTTTGCCCATTCGATCTGCACTTCACGCGCCCTTTCCACAATCTCGCCCACAAACCATTTGCCGTAGATTCTAACTGCTTGCAGAGGAGCAGACGTGACCGACTGCGAAACGACAGAATTGACCAGCCGCCTCACTGTGGAGAGGTTGAGTGAAAGAGCCCGCCACTGATTGTATCGCGCATATTGGTCTGTGTCAAGTGTATCAGCCAGCCGCTCACGGCGCTGCTCCTGTCGTGTTTCCTCTTCTTCAGCTTGCCGTCTCTCTTGCTCATCCATGGTCTCAAACATGCCGTCAATATCACCTTCGTCATCCTCTTCCTGCTCAGCTGCACCTGAGCGAGCGCTGACCACCGACTTCGTTCCGCGACCGGCATTTCGTGAACTACTTTCAACCTGGCTAGCTGTATCTGCTGGCGCCTGACGTGCAGAGCGAGCATCTTCGTCGTTGATTTGTTGTGATTTTCGAGGTCTTCCTCTTCCGCGGCCCGGGACTTTACCGCTCACTCCGGACAAGAGACTATTTGCGACGCTACCAGTTTCGGAGCGGGCGCTGGTGACCGCGGGACCATAGCGTCCACTTGCATCTTGAGCAGGAAATGACGTTTGTCTGAGAGGATGCAGCTTCGGCCTTTTGGACGCTCCTTGCGCCGATGCCTGTGAACTCACCGATGCTCGCTTCTTTGGGTTCGGGAGGCTTGTGGGAAACGGGGACGGAGGTGAGCTGGCCATGGTTGTAGTCTTCAGAGACTGGCCTAGATCAAGGAGGTCAAGATGAAGAATGGCTGGATGGGCGTTGGCATTTGAGACAACGAAATTGCGTGACGGGCAAGAGCGATCAAACAGGCGTAGACATCAACGTGAACGCTAAGAATCAAAATACTCCGTAAGAATCGAAGACATGTCGACCATGAACTCGCAGGCATGGGCAGTAACCAAGAGATCCGCCATCGGCTAACTTTCCTCTCATGGACGGCGCGGCAAGCATCTCCCGACTCGCTGACCACAGGTTTGTACAGGTCAAGTCTGGTCAAGTCCAGGTCCTCGATCCTTCACGCCGTCCAGCTTGCTCGTCTCACCATTTGCGTCAACTTGACTATGTCGTCTTACGGTAGCTGCGTCTGCGACGGTGTGACTGCCCAACACTTCTACTGCGGGCTCCCTCTAACATCAGGTTCTCAAACGATCATGTTTTCTTAAGAAGACTCTCCAAACCTCGTCCCGGGCAACTCTACACTGCATCGATCCTAACCTCTTCCCCGCCATCGCCAAATCTTGAATATCGCTATCATGCTGCGAACTTATGCTACAGCGGACACAAGGCAGCTCAGGCTTACCCAAAGCTCATCCATGGAAGAGAATTCTCTCCTTGTGGCCGACGGCCGTGGTCATGTTTGAGTGTGCAAGTGACTTACTTCCCAACCTAGCAGCAGAGCATGCTTCCAACCCGATGCACGCCCCTAAACTTTGTTGTGTCACAATCGAAGCAGCATCGAGTCTCTAGGGGTTCTCTTTAGAAGAGAACACAGTTGGTGCATGTTGATTCCGATGCATTCAAGTCCAACAGTACGTCCGACCCCTCTTGGAGGTTTCCAAGCACAGTACCATATAGGCCCTATCTCTAAGATATTGTGGTCTCCTACAAGCGCGCCACATCTTTCTCTCTATTACTCCCTACACATTACAGTCAACAGAACCCAATCCAACCCCCCGATTCATCACATTTTCTCAAACAATTTCGACTTCTTGCATCTTACATCGCTCATCAAAAAATGAAGGCACTGGTTTGTAGTTCCTCGTATCAGTTCTGCCCTGCGTGCTGTGATGAAAATAGCCTACTCTTCTATATCGTCGCCGATGTTCTGCAACAGGTGTCAGAACAAGCCCAATCTCGGTATCTGACCCACGGGCAACTAACAAGCTGTATAGGCGCAAGCCCCCCGGAAGTTTGTAGTCTGGATGAAATGGACATTCTGGATGGTGCCATGGCATAGCCCGACAGAATCGATGAACACGGACATTACTTCTGTTGCTGAGCGACTTGCTTGAAGGTTCGTTCGGGTGTGGCTTCATTGAACTTGGGACGCCAGATTTCAATTGACCCACTACTTTGACACAAAATCGCGACTCATGCTCTGACAAGGGAGGCTGCCGCGTGAGGGTTATGGCCTCAAGCAAAGCTGTGACGCTCGCAACGAGGGTTGTGAGGTTAGAGGGCTCGTTAACGATCTCAGGGCCACACACATCGATGCTTGCCCAAGACCAAGTTGGCGCTCGGTCCCGAGAAGGCACACCTCTACCTCCTCTCATATACCACAACATCTCCCTAAGCATAAAATCCCGGCATAGACCAAAAGACCATGTCAACTGGAAATTGTCCCGAAGAGGCTTCATAAGACCTGACAGAGCTACTAATAAATCAGAAGGCCACTTGAGATTTGTTGTCGAGTATTTTCTAACAATTCTGTGCCAGGTAGTGAGGAATTGTTCTTCTGCTATTTCGCGAAGGCCGTCCATCTTCAGGCCAAAAAGGATTGCGAAAAGGCTCTGATATTCTAACTTCACGTGTGAACCTATGTGACGGCAATTCCTGATCTGGGATATCGCCTCACAGTGAATGTCGGACCTGCATTCGAGATGGACGAAGTTGCGGGTAAAGTGGACTGTTCGAGGAGAGAGCAGACGCTCTTGCAACACCCATGACCTTGTGTCCAGGTGATACTGGGCGTTATCGAATGGATGAGACTTACAGTAGGGTGTGCAGGGTGGGATAACCGCAAAGCGAAGCCCGGCCTCCAGGTCTAAACGGCAGATCGTATAGCTCAACGGGTTTCGACTGGTAATGAAACCCTGGCTCCCGTCGTGAGCTTCGGATGCAGCGATGGTAATGAGCGAGTTTCCGAAAATGTCGCTCATTTTCCCCGTTTGGTCGAACCAATCTTCGGAAGCAACAGCAGAAGTCTCACCACCTTGCAAAATACAAAGGGCATCGGCCCATAGGTATCGCAAGCCGATTCCCCTTACAACTTCAATCGCATCTTGAAATGTCTTGGGCAGATTTGAGAGGTGAATCTCTTTTTGGAAGTCGCTCAGATTGTGCACTGTCAGCAGGTATGGCTTGCTGCGGCCCCAGCTGTAACTCAGAGCGCAGTATGGCAACCATGGTTCATTCTCTGCTTCAATGAGCCGGATTCGCCCCGGCGTCTGGAACGCTTGTAAATCCAACAAACGCCTTGGACCGGGCATGGATGGCCTTTGCCCCTCCAAGAGAGCAAAGTGCTTCTCTCCGCAAACTGGATGTTCTGCCTGGCATTGGATGATCCACGATCTAATGAGCTCGGCGGTGGCTTCGGAGTATGTGGAAGTCTGCGCCCGCGAGGCTGTCAGTTCATCGTCGGGCGTCGACTCGGGCGTATCACCTGCCACTCAATCAGCATTTGGAATTTCGCCAGTCTGCATTCTTACTCTCGACTGGGGCTAGCTGTAATGTGTAGTCCATGTACGAGTCCAATATTTGCGACTCTTCACAGGGGAACAGGATCAATAGAAAAGTGCCCGGCTTTTGGTCCAGCAAATTGATCGAAATGTACAGAGGATCCTCAGGTCGACGGTGCTGCTCTCGAGCCCCGTGGTCGCCCGTGCATCCCGTGAGACAGCCGACCAAGATGGAGCAGAAATGGCAGCCAGACTCAGCGGCCGCTCTGATCGCAGCCTGGCTACTGGAATGGAGCAGATACTGCGGCATTGCAGGAACATGCTCTCCGCCTCCTTGGGCCAGCTCGCTGAAAGTGAAATTCAGACATGTCGCCCTCTCCCAGAACGATTTGCAGCTGTCGCAGAGAAGATGGGGCCGCATCGATGCTCTGGCCGCTGACTGCTCGCCCTGCGACACCATGGAAAGTCAGGAACAAATTCCAGAGCAAATCTGAGAGAACTTTTAACATTGCTGGTAAGGCTGATAATGCTGAAGACTCAAGATGTCGAAGTTAGTTGCCCAGGACAGTGCGGACATCCCGGCCTGGTGGGCCAAGCAATCAGGCTGCAGAACTAAACACCCAGTACACTACAGCGCATCGCGATCCTGGCTGAGCAGCAGGGTTGACTGCATTGCCAGCTTCTGCCACGTTGCCTTGGAGCCAAGATCGTGTGAACAGCTGCTAGCGATTCATCTTTCCTCGACCCCATTTTTCAGAAGCCTTCAGGGCAGTGAAGACCTTGTCCTCGTTGGAGATGAGATGCCAAATCACAGCTGTCGGAGTCAAAGACAGCCGCTGATAAAGCCGTGTCGAACGCAAACCTCACTGCCAGTTCTTCGGAGAAGCTTGAAGGAAGTTTTGACACGTCGGCCATAGTGAGGACTAACTGGGCAGACTAGGCTTTTGCAGGGTAACGAGATAATTACCCCAGGTTGCCCAGGATTCTGTGGACCATTGAATCCCCCAGATGTACCTCGTACGACGTACGACGTACGGGGGGTCCTGTTGGGTAAACTTGGTACTATGGGGTTTATCCTATCCCCCTCGATCTGTAACATCGCCCGTTTCCAGCAACAACAAATCGTCAACAAAGAATTACTACGCGCCGTGCTAAACTGGTGTTTACAACGCTCATCTTAAAATAATATAACCTTCGGATACGTTGAGAATGCGTGATTCCGCGACTACGAGACGATATCGTGACTCCGCGAGCGCGGATTGTTTGTTGTCGTTACCATGAGAAAAAGGTATACGACAACCCATAGCATCGAAAAGGACACAATGGTTAAGTGGGACAATCGATGCAATGTGACATCCTGCGTCAATCAAATTCAAACTACCATGCTCCATGCTCCATGCTCCATGCTCCATGCTCCAGCGGCCGAAAAGCGGGAATTGAATGTCGGTGCGTCAAAAAAAGAGAAAAAAAGAATTAGTTCGGAATCCGCGGGTCACAGGGAGGGAAGTCAAAAACGCTACCTGAGCCCGTTTCAGTGCTGAGCGTGTTGCAATGGAATTTTGAAAAGCGACGCCTTGCTGAAGATTTTTCTTTTCCGCTAAGGCGGAATCGATCGCTCGCCACACCTGGTCCTTGTTATTCTGGTGCTAGATTTGCAGAAGAAGTATTTCTTTGTCACATACACTTGTTCCCACGGGTCCTGGGGCGTATGCGTTGGCCTGCGGCACATCAGCATAGTCACCTCGTTCATGAGAGTGCTTACGTCGATGTTGTATTTCGCGAACTCAAGCACGGCCCATTTAGATGTCGAATATGCCACCGTGTTTCCGGACTGAGATGGATGTTGTCAGACATAGATATCTCGCAGACTGATTCGGATGAGGTTTACTAGGCGGAAACAGGCAGTGGAACCTGCTCCCAATATCTTGCCGCCTCTGCCTTGCTTTATCATTTGTTTTGCTGAAAAGATATCAGAGTGTCAATCATTTGCTTCGTTAGGGAACAGCTCTCACCTGTTTCGCGGTAGCACAGTAGTACGCTTCTCACATTCACCCAAATTGCTGTCTCGATTTCAAGAGTACGAGGCTGTGCGGCACGGATGCAAGGACTAACGCTCTGCACACGTTCCCGCTTCTCGATGCTGACTTCTACTATAGGCTTAGGTACCATTATCCCTGCATTTGCCACCATAATCTGAAGCAGGTCAGTTATATCCATCCTGTAATTGTCAATCAATAAGAAATATGATACGATCTAACATTGAGCTCCCCGCACTCCGCTGCTACATCAGCAATCATCTTCTCAACGTGGCCTTCGTTTGAAACATCTGCATTAAATGTTGAGGCTTTTCGTCCTATCTCAGAACATGGACATGCTGAACGCTCAATCTCAAAGCCTGCTTTCGAAATGGCGATTGAGTGGATGTAAATGTCCTCTTGCCTTTCTCCTGGATTTCGCCTTTCACACTTTCAAGCTTTGATAACTGGGACGATACATCGTTCAACTGCAAATGTGAGTCCTGTTGGTATGTTGAGAACAGCGCTCCTTCAAGGGACTCGGAACTGTCCAGAAAATTTGATGATTCTGCTGGACAGCCTCGATGAATATGAGGGAGAAAAGGTTGAATTGTCCAACTTCGTCAAAGCTCTCTAGGGAGACAAGGTTAAATCCTGTATTGCTAGCCAACATGATCCTCCGTTGCCGGATGCCTTCGTGGGACTCTACTCTTCGTAAATGCCAGTGGCCGAGTTCAAGCTTTCCTAGGTCTTGAAACTGGAAGGTAGCGGGGCAATGTCTGGTGACTCGACCTATTACGTGGCACTCTTCGTTATCTAGTTAGCTACAGCAAGAGACGGGGGTTTGTCGACATTAACACTAATGGCTAGCACGGCTGTTGTAACCAACCAAGCCTTCCTTTCACGCTATTAGTTCAATAAAGCATGAACGGCCATTCTACGCATTTAATGCCACGCGAAGGGGTTTCAGGCGTAGTAGGAGTGCATGCCGGCCAGGGCTCATTGCCTATACACCCAAGACAATGTTCCTAATGAGAGCTCTTTGCGCCCATATCACATTGGGCTGCTGTTGGATACATATGACGTCTGTATCTCTCGAGCTGAAAAGCGTTCATCAAGATGGATCGCAGCGAATCCTGTTGCTTTCATTGAGAGCCAACCATTTCGTGGAAGCATCACCTTCACTGAACATCAGTCGAGCGAGGCCACTTAGCCTCCCAGTGGGTTTTTGGACTCTAAGGATCTAGTGTAAACCCTCTTCGTTGTTGATCAACGCCTTCATAAATGGTGAGGTCAACGCTTACTGGCCCACTCTCATTGGCTCAGAGATACGAGCACATACAACAGGGGGGAAAGCAACCCGCGTAGGTATATAAACGTGCATAATCACCTCGGTTGCCTCGACTTCTTCTCTCTTAGTCCACTCAAACTATGCCTGGCATCTATTTTATATACAAGGGCACTGTGGACACAATATGCCACCCCCGACCTTCTTGCGAACTGTTGCCTCACTCGCCTTGTTCAGCCCAAACATAAGATCGAGAAACAATATAAACAAGACTGTTCACTAGCCCGTAGCTTCACCGTCGTCCAGTGGGAGCAGCATGCTCTCTAAACCACCGATGAAGTGGACAACGGAGGGAGAGGACGATGCCGGAACCTCCACTTTCCTCCTCCTAACAGAACGTGAAAACCCTTACGTTCACCTCTTGCGAAACTGGCAAGCAGCTGTTGTACATCATTGAGAGCCAACCTTTCACCGGAAGGAATACCGACAGCGAAGCCCTAATTGTCAAAGCTAAAAATCGCTGGCTGGTGTTAGTACACTAGTGAGCGAAAACTTGTACAGTTTCTGAGGTACTGTAATTTAAAACATCAAAAGCCTCACCAGTTACCAAGGTGTTTGGGGTGTTGCTCCGGCGTCAGACTGCACGTTTCTCAAATGTGACATGAGCAAAGTGATCGTGAGGGAACGAATTGAACGAACACAAATGGAAACCGGTCACCAGGTAGCAACTCCGATGGAGGGCCAGGGCGTGTCTCCAGAGGGTCTGGTGGATACGGAGCTTGAGCTGCACTGTGTTGGAGTTGTCGGGTGGGCCTGCGATACGGCCTGGCCAACCTAGACATCACTCATAGCAACAAGATGTCTTATATAATGTCCTGTGAGAAACGACTTTCTGAGCCAATACTAGCCAACGGTTTGGGTTTGCTCGTAGGTCCTGTCGCTGTCCTGTCGCCTGCCCATATCCTGGGATGCAACGTTCGGAGACGTCCCACACAACCACACAACCACACAACCACACGTGTCCATCATGGATTTGCATGACTTAGTTGTACAAAGAGATATCGACCGAATGTCACAAACACCACACTTTTCACTCTCAGCCAATGAAGAGACTCTCGACTGCTTGCCTTTGGCTGCCGGAGTGTACAGAAGATTATCGTCGCCTTTGCGCAACTTTTGGCTCCGACTAGACCAATGCTCTTTCTTGATTCGTTCTGACGAAGGCACAGGAGACCGAGTGAAACCCCTCTTCTTGTGACCAGCCGCAGGAGTGAACAAGAAGAACAATCGCCGTTCAGAAGGTGAGAAGGTGACTGGAGCGAGAATCTCCTGGCAAACGGAAGGACCGAGTGCATTCTGGGAAGATGGGTTCGTTTGAGGTGCCTTGTATTGCTCCGAGGGCGCAGGTCTTACAAGGTTAGGGTTCGACATCGACCTGAGTGTAAAGAGTAACCGCGAAATCTCTCCACTGCGCCTCGATAAAGCGTTGACCAAAAAATTCTAGTGGGCGTAGCACATTACTCTTGCTCAAGGCGTCAAGATCTTTTCGAACCGCCTCCGCCAAAAGGGCAGCCTGCCCTTACATGACCTGATACACGAAATGTCCCAATTCCACAGGAAGGCAAAGGGATTTCGTGTCCGCGGCCCAATGGCCAGACAACTGAGGGTAAAGTCAGCACGACCTTCCGGTTAAACAGACAGTGTGCTTACCAGGACGTATTGTCGAAAATCCGAGCGACCCTGACGAGCCGCATCAACGTTCTTGATCTTCTCGACGATCGCATTATAATGCCTGCCCTTTTTTTCGGCTGGAGTGGCTGCAGCGATGAGGCAAATTGCCTCGTTGCAGACTGGCTTTACGGCATGACGAGAGTAAGCGGCGAAGGCGTCAAGACACTCGAAATGACTGAAAGCACAACAGGGGATGGAATCGCTGAACTGGTCACACCGAGAATGTACTCGGCCCTCATACAGCACCAATTCACCTTTGATGCTGCTCTTTCATCGCTTCTCTGTTGTGCAACCTTTCTCTTGGTCCATAGCACCATCCGTGGGCCGTTTTCTCATCTCGTTGGGGGACGGCCTATCTTGTCTGGCTCTCAGTCCAGGAGTCTGCTCCTGATTACCAGTTTGGGGCGCAAAAGCATATTTACTCTTCTGAGCCTCGAAGGCTGCAGGCGAGCTGGTGGTGCCAGCTTCAGCAGGGTTGGAGTAACCAGCTAAGGTTCCAAAACGACTGCTATACCGCTTCTCGGTGAGAATCCGAAGATTCTCCTCCGCCATTGAACCAACCAGCTGCGCTGAACTGTCCTTTGACAGCGCTTTCCTGATATCGAATAGATCCGCTAAAGTAGTCACCACTACTTGATCGCTGTTACCTTTGGCAATCACCTCCCCAATTCTATACACCTTCTGACGTGAAACTTCGCTGGCCATCTTGCATACATCAAGGCACTGCTTTGAGATATTGATATCTGCCTGTAATTGCGATCTCTCATTATCCTTTTCAGAGTCGTCGCCATCCCGGATTAGGAGATCTAGGCGTTTCCGAAGGTAGGTGATGGTCTCTGCGAAGCTATCTCGATTGTCGTCTAGAGCTTGACGCGTTCGCACCTGCGCTTCGAAGGAATTTTCTTCAACAGCGTTTGGGGGCATCTCGGGAAGTAGAGACGATTCTCGGTCTGACAAGGATTCAATATAAGACCTCGCGTCTTCACAAATACGAAGGCATTGTTTGGTCACTTCTCTTTCGTCTTCCAGGTCTATGCTTACACCTGATGTACTAGTATTCTCGATATTTAAACGCGTCATCTTCTCATCGATCCGCCGTAGATGGAGCTCCAGATTATATGCTGTGTCTTGTATCATCTCATTGTACTGTTGGAGGACTGTGTGAGAGATCTTGGAGGTATGTGTCCTAAAATAATGTTAGCAGAGTCCGAAGTAGATAAGGATTGTAACTAACATAGTAATAGTGCCTAGACCGACTGTGATCGTTGACTTATACCCCGCGATAGTGTCTATAAATTCATTTATGTTCCCTCTCATAAATTCCATCTTTGTCCAATCCCGAAAGCCCGTCTTTGATTTTCCGCTGAAAACTTTCATTGACTGCTCGAACTCGCGGCATACTTGGTTACATCGTTCGATAGGACCTTGGAGGAGTGTGAGCATTGACTGCTCAGCATTGGTCACTTGTGCCAATGAGTCCAAAATATTGGTGAGATCCCTAAGCTCATCTTGAAGTCTGCGTAAAGTTTTGTCGCGGTCTTTGAAGCGTTTGACGGTTTCGTAGAGTGACTTCGTCGACTGCACAGCGGCCGTAGTAACAGCCACCAACGAGGCAGAAATACTCAAAGGGTCCGCCATCTTTTGACGTCCGCTGCGAGATCACTACAAGGAAGGAGATGCAAAATGTAACTGCGTCTGGCTCAAGCGGCTAGCTACGAGTTCAAATACAGGCCTCAATCTCCATCGCGAAACTGTGATTGGTTGAAGTTCGCGCCGTGGCTGCATCGCTTTGTCAGAGAGACCTACGAGGAACTAGGACTGATATAGCACTCACGAGAGAGGAGTGCTCTGCCTAACCATATTTATTCTAGCATAGAAGGACTTGTGGAGCAATCAGATGTCACGGCGACATGGAGTAGGCGCCTAACACCGAAGTTTGCTCTGGCGGCCGGAAGTTCGATCGCACTGACCAGCCATAAGCTCCGCGTCCTCCCGCAGCTGCTGGATCGCTGCACGTCGGATTGGACGATAGAGTTCCCATTGGTCACAAGTCGCATCCGAGTCTCTCTCCTCGCATGCAATCCAGTGCGCCGCCACTACAAGGCGATACGCTTTGAAGGCCTCAGCCCTCCCCGGGATTGGTGTGGAAGGTTTAGTTCCCGAGCGAAGACATCATTCAAGAGCTGCGCCAGCCAAAGGGCCAGAGGGCTGCCTTCGCTGGCAGTCCTCAGAGCCACTGCCGGCAATGGGTGCGGTAAACGTTAGGATTAGGTGTGGAAATTGAAACATATCGAATGGCAATCAGTGAGGGCGTCAACTCATTTTGCCATAGCCTGCCGCCTGAACACCGCACATAAGACACTAAACTTTTAACGCCTTCCGAAATGTGCGTGGCACCCCCTAGCCGCCACGTTCTAACATGAAGCTCAAAATGAACTGTTAGCATCTCGGGAAAACCAAAATAACACTTACCTAGGAGTTCGTCTTGTAGCACGTAGTAGTGCCTCGGGCTTTCCTCAGCTGAACCCTCCCTCCGGTGGCACGATCGACGGCAGCGCTCCTAACATATCAATATAATTTGCGTAGCCATGCCATTTCTGGATTTGCCGAACGAGAACCTCAAAGACCTTTTCAGTCAATTAGGTTTGAAACTACCGAGTATTAAGCACATTCAGGCGAGACGTGTGACCTATCGAGCCTGTCTCAACAAAAAGTGGCACAGCCAATTACGTCACCTAACCAACCCCTTCCACCACCACTACCAACTTTTCCTTCTACCACCTCGCTGTCGACCTTTCTACTTCTTTTTCACTCATTATATTAAAAATGGTCGCCGCACGTCCAATTACGCCTACTAAAGAAGAGAGAGACCAGTCAGAAGAGACTCATAAGCCTACGCCAATCAAAGAAAAGGTGCGAACATTGACAGATTTCTGCCAGCGAAAAGGTCTCGATATCAGTCAGCAAGATATCTTTCGTTTCTGCGGAGTTGCACCGCGAACAGGCTATCGCTATATTGCGCCTAATCAAGAGCCACGAAGACATCATAATTCAGTTTACGACGTTGAGAATCGCGGCCGCAAACCATTAATCAATGATGACGACTTCGATATCATTGAAGATTGGCTACTAAGAGGTGGATTTGATCATCGAGTCTGTGGTTATCTTAAAATTTGGCTTGAGATCTTTCCTACTAGGAAAAAGCCTTATGAAAATACGATTCGAAAGGCATTTAGCGATCGAGGCTATTATAAATATATTACCTGTCAAAAACCTTTTCTTTCCGCGAATTCAATCAAACAACGACGCGAATATCTCTCTCAACGACGACATTGGACTCTTGATCAATGGCGAACGGTTCGCTTTTCAGATGAATGCCATTTTGGTCGTGGACCACAGCGAAAGTTAAAGGTTATTCGCAAACGCGGCGAGCGATATCATCAAGATTGTATTCAACATAGCTTCAACGAAAAAACAGCGAAATATAAGAATGAAAAGCGATATCACGTTTGGGCGGCAATTGGCTACAACTTCAAGTCAAAATTGATCTTTTATGAGACCAATTCGTCAAATGGCAAAATGACTAGCGCTGTTTATATCGACAAGATTCTTAATGAGATCAAAATATGGATTGATCGCGGTGATAAATTTATTCTTGAGGAGGATAAAGATTCTGCTCACGGAGTAAGCGAGCAATCGTCTGTGAGGCGATTTAAGGAGCAAATAGGTCTTGAATACTTCTTCAATGCCTCTGGATCACCAGATCTTGCGCCAATCGAGAATATCTGGCGAGCGCAGAAGCAAAGGATTAAGGCTATCGATCATTTCGACGACGATACTCTCGTTCAGGCCATCATTGATACTTGGAACGGCATCTCAATCGAGACGATAAACAAGTATATTGATAGCATGGTCAAGCGAATGGATAGTCTAGCGAAACGTGACGGAGGTGTAACAGAGTTCTAGATAATAACAGAATGTTTCTCCATTATGTTCTCTATAGTAGAAATTACTAGGGCGACGATATAATGAAGAAATGGCGTGTTGGTGGTAAAAGCGAAATTTGGTGGGGTGGCCATTTGGCTGTGCCACTTTTTGTTGAGACAGGCTCGCTATGTAGGAGGTAGGTTGGCTAAGGCTGTCTTGGGTTGTCAGGGATTGAGGCTTGGCGCCGTCTATCCCAGCACAAGGAACGCTGAACTTGGCTTCAATATTGAGAGGGGAGGTCTCCAAAATAAACAGACTCTTGAAATAAGCTACCTCATCGACGACTTCATGGAAACTTTCGTAAGCTGGAACGTGACGCATTTCGACTGCGATCATGACGAGGCATCCTTTGTGTTGACAGGGTCGCGGGATCGCCACTGTGGTAAACTACCTAAGACGCTAGGTGTTGAACACAGAATGAGAGTGGATTCATCTGCTTGATTGTGTTCTGTCCCCCTGGCTATTCAGAGAGACTCTGCTTGTTTATATACACTTTGGCCTGTGATCTGAAGGCCATTCCTAAAACCTCCTATTCCGTCGCCATTCTATCATAGATCTGCGAGAACAACGATGTTCAGGTAGGTGTCGCAGTTGGTGAAACGCCTAGTGTTGACAGGGCCGCGAGAGCACCACTGTGGCAATGAAAAGCAACAAGCAAGCCACCGTCAGCACAGCCCACAGGCTTTCCTATCACTTGTATATGGACATCTTGCTCAGTGTGAAGGCAAAACGTCCTCAGAGGATTCGGACATCTTCATTTTGTAAAATCCCCAAACGAGCACAATGCCAGTTGCATTCGGCTTTTCGGTTGGAGACATTGTGAGTGTGATACGTATGCCTTTTCCAGCCTAACTGCGACCTGACCCATTACTCAGGCTGATCATGGTTCTAGAGCTCACAGCCAAGGTTGTTTCGTCGCTAAAAGGGGTTGGAGGTTCCTCTTCGGAATATCAGCACGCCGTTATAGAACTCGAAAGCCTGCAGAGGATACTCGAGAAAGTGGCGAAGCTTACCATCACAGGAGACAATGCCGTGCACGTCAATGCCATTCGCGGTCTAGCCTTGGCCTGCGAGCCTTGCCTCCAAGAGTTCCACGCGAAGCTCAAGTCTTACGAGGCGTCAATCGGTCCGTACGCTCCTAGGGGCTGCCTCAAAGGAGCCTTCCACAAGGTTAAATGGGCTTTTCTGGGCTCGGAGGACTTCAGCCAATTCCGCAAATTCATTGCTATGAAAGTACTCTGCTTGAGCCTCCTGCTCTCTATGCATATATTGTAAGCCATTACGCTCCAGCCCATCCAGCCCTACTACTGACCATCCCGGAAGTGAATCTACCTCAAATAGGAATTCAAAGGATCGAGCAGGACACTTCAGCCTCATCGACGAGATCACCAAAATCCGAGAGAGCATGGAGAGGCTCGAGTCTAAGAGTCAAGAAGATTGCTCTCGACTTCAGTGTCAGGTCAGCCTGCAACCGATACAAGATAAGATCGAACATATGGGTGACAGGTTGGAGAGCAATTTGGCTCCTGTCTCGAATGCATTGTCTTCGGTTGCGAGGGCAGTTTTCACTTTCAATGACGTGCTGGGACAGATTATAAATTTCCTCGGTTCCTTTCAGCGCGACACAACGGCTGCTCTTCAAAGAGTCATACAGACCAATATGCAGATCTATGCGCTACTCCTCGCCACTCAGAATAGTCCAGGGATGACTCCGCCGATGCCCTCGGACTCCATTCTATTTGAAGACGCACTTGGCAGGGCCATTACGCTTCCCTACCAATGGTTCCGTCACTGGGAGGTGAGTTCCTGTGAGTGTCATTACTATCCTGTCTGGGGGACTGACAAAATGCTAGGCCTTTGAAGGTCTCCTCCGCGCCGAGTTCAAGGGCGTCCCAGGCGAGTCGAAAGTGCTGGAAGGGCAATACCATTTGATCGACATCAAAAGACCCGAAGCGCTCATAAAGAGGGAGGACTGGCATAGATCAGTGTTCCCAGGCTCTTCAGTGACCATGTTGATGATTATTTCCCAGATTCGCTGGCAGGGAGGTTTATGCCCACGTCCAAGCTGCGGAGAGCGGCGAAGGGAATTGGACCATCCGCGAGCATTGGTTACATGGTAAGTATTTTGTTCCCTAATGGTTTAACGAGGGCTGAGTTTGGGAAGTGAACGCTGTAACTTGAAATATTATCCATCAAGAGAAAGGCTTGAAGGCCAGGGGAAGCGTGTTGCAGTGCTGACAGAAGACGACGAAGTAATGTGGTCACAGAATACTCAAGATCTGGAGATATTTGGAGCCAGACCTCTGCCAAAGGACCCTGAGGAATCATGTGCCGTTCTTGCGTTATTGGAATCCGCAGATACAACAACAGCAGACGCGGGTGTCCCCATCGTGAACAGTACTGCACAAATTGCTACTCTCGGTGTAAAAGCGCCAACTGTCAACGAAACAAAAGTCAGGCCTGGCGCTCACGACCCAGTGGCCCAAGAAACCGAATCTTGGGAAATCCGACCGCAGAATTCAAAACACCGCTGGATCTATGGCTCGCGCAAACAGTGCCTGTGGGCTTTGATCCGAATTTGACGTCCAACACTACATTCTCAGATCTCACGCAGCAAAAGGAGGAAGCCTCTGAGATCGAAACTTTCAAGCGCATATACATTAAGCGATGGAGAAACAATTCGAGAGAAAATAATGAAAAAGATAAGGGCGCTGTTGATCCAAAATGGAGAGCAGAAATCGACGAAGCTATTTACCACCGGAACATCTGCGATAGGTTTCCCTTGCTCCCGCAGTATCTAGCCCATCGCCTCGCTAAACTAAATGTGCAAAGAGCAAAAAGACTGCCGCGCGCTTATCAGGCGCGTGCCCTGTCATCCTACGATGTTGAAAGCGAAGATCTCGAGCAAGACTTCACTGGAGGCGAACTGTCGCTTCCGCCGTCTCCTTCCCCCGATGGAGATCAAAATTCAAATACATCCGACAAGAATAAACAACATCCTTTCAGTCCCTTACTTCGCCCGTATTCCGCTGGCTCGGGAGAAATGCCAACTTCTGCAAAAGAAGTTAGTAGGTTACAGGGGAAAGAACAGAATGACCAAGACCATAATCATGTTGCCTACCAGACTCCCGGGCCACTTCAGGAGGAGTATTCTTGGTCCAATCAAGTACCACCATGGTCGTTTGGAGAACAGTTTTCTTTTTGGTCGGGTGAGCCAGAGTGGAAACGTTCAGCATCTTCCCTCTCTCTTTCATCCGTGTCAAACGGCTCGCTACAGTTACCAGATGAACCGGTTAATACCACAAATTCGTCGACCAAAACACATTCTTCTGTCTCAACTGTTGACTCAACCAAGCCCGGGTTCGTAGTCCCGCCTCCCCCTGTTGATTTGAGAAAGCACCACACTTTCGTATGCGACATTTGTAACGAAAAGGTCGTCATCCTAAGACGTTTGTCTCTAGGGGGCAAATGTTGACCCATATTTTCTGAAAACACCCAGCGGCGTGTTCATATCGTTGTAAGCAATGCCCATTCTCTAAAGGGACAATGAGCCGCCCCGAGTTTATTGAACATATTAAAAATCATAGGGAGGCGGCCGGAATGTCATTTAAGAACGCATACGACCGTAAACCAAGCAGATATCTCATAAAAGAAGTCCGAGGGATCAACTGTTCCTTTTGCGACAAGGCTCTAACAACAACAAACAAATTCATAGCCATGTAAGCCAGCACCTGGAACGCATAGCTTTTGCCGTCCTTGCCAGGCCGTATCAGAAGTGGCACTTTTACGACGACTTTGCTTCTGAAGGGTCTTCGGCGCTCCCCTTGACGCTGGACTTGGCGATCACTCATTCCATTTGCAACAATTCCGTCGCAAAAGTAAAGCAACTTCTCGCTGACGGGATTCTCGCCAAAACCCGTCACGGAAGTCAGGCCCTGCGTTTAGCCGCTCAGCATGGGAATGAAGTAATTGTATGGCTCCTAATACATCACAAGTTTGACTTGAACGAAAAGGATGCTGTCGACAACGGAAAGACTGCACTTCATTATGCTGCTGAAGCCGGCCACACGCCAGTTGTTGAGATGCTTTTAAAGGCCGGATCGGACCCATTTGTGGAACGTACGGATTCAAGGTCGTCGATCTCCCTAGCAGCTGAGCATGGTCACTCTTCAACTGTCCGAACTCTGTGCGAAGCATATCGGGAACGGGGACGTTATCATATGGAACACCTACATCGTTCCTGGATCACTGCAGCCGAGCATGGCCACTCTGAGTGCCTGAGGGCATTGACTTCTAGTTTTGAAGAGGCTCACGCTGAAGACTGCATTCTCTCTTCGGAAACACTAGCTGGATGGATTTTTGAAGGAATCGAGACTGCCATTGAGAAAAACACGCAGGAGTCTATTCAAGAGATCACGAGTCACGCTTGGAGACCTTCATCCTTACCAAACCAGCTACGATCTGACGCAGCAATAAGAATTATTCAGTGGGTTTGGTGGTCGGTCAAGAACAGCTCTCTAAGCCACCTCACTTTGTCGATCCCTTGGCTTGAGCACGAGTCGCTTTCTACACACCTGTCACCTCATGGAGGACTCTCTGATGGAGTCATCAGTGACCTGAGCAGCACCCTTCTCGAGGAATGGCATGAGAAAAATCGCTACTACCGCCTTGGACTTGGTGAAATTTTGGAGACAATTGAACCTGGTCATCTCCAAAGACTTCTGAAGCAACACCCGGAATTCATACAACATCAGTACCTGGACCTTGCTAGGCGTAGACGTCAAGGTTGCTTGATGTACTTCCTACAGAAGGGGTTAAACCCCCATCCGAACACTCTCCAGGTCCTGGCCAGATTTAGTCACCACGATGGACTGGGCAGCCTTGTCGAGCAGTTCTCGTCTCATTTCCCGGAGAATGACAAGACTAATGCGCTCATTTGCGCTGTCAAGGCGCGCAACGAAGACTGTATCAATGCATTCATCAAAGTTCGGGCTCTTCCGGCCTCCACCTCTGTCGCAGCTGACAAACTGTTATTGGCATGTGTCGAAAAAGAGAACTGGGCTCTCATTGAAGAATTACGCAATGGGCCAGCGACATTGTTTTCTGCTGCTGGTATAGCCGATGCAGGGTCTGTGGCAGACGGACTGTTATTGAAATATGTGAAAGGAACGAAATTAGGAAGGGATTATTATGATTACACCCCTGCATTACGAAGGCGGCATCATGAGAATCATACTCCTGAATTGATCAGTAGGGGAGCGGCATGGTTTTCTGCCTATGGTATAGCCGCCGCGAAGGCTGCTGCGACGGACCGCAAAGAAGCGTTAGAGCTTCTCGAAGCTCATTTTCCTTCAACAAACGCGGTGGAGACATCACCTAGTTTGACGGTTTCGGTCCAAGCCACAGCGTACGGAGTCGGGATAAGCCATCAGCACAAGGCCTCATTTGTCAATGGAATAAGTGAAAAAGATAGGGAGTACAAATTCGGGGCCAGTCTATGACGCGGGGAATATAACTTTCGATAAAAGAACGGCACCCTCCGTTGCCATATAGGAGGGAACAGGTTGCTTTCTAGCTGCTCCTGATCTTACGAGGAATACCACGGTTCAGCTCCCCACAAGTTGGCTGTTTTGTGTGTGTATGTGTGTTCAGCTGAGAGTCTTCTCGAGTCGTATATCTAGGATGACTTGTTAAATTTCCAACTCCTGCAGGCATGGCTGACTTCGAAAACCCTCGAATCCGCTGATTCAAGCCCAATCACCCTTCCGGATTCCTTACGGAGGCCGAGCATATTCTTGACGACAACATCACGTTCTAGCTTCATTTTTATTACTTCGCGCTGTGATAAGGCGCCGCGCCTTTCCCCCTTCCCGCCTCTAGAGAAGCAGGCTATCTCTTTTGGTGGTTTGGAGCCAAAGTCGTGGGTACAGAATGTTCTTGCTGGGGTGATTGAGACACGCAAACGCCTCAGAGTGAAACCGTTTCTATTCCCCTCCGAATATTATCGGAAGCGATCCAAGAGATAAGGCCTGCGATCTCCATACCACGAGAGAGGTGCAAAAGACCCCAAAATATGCAAAATCCATGACCTAGGTGCCTAGCCTAATTAGGCCAGTGCTAATTTCTTACAATACAAGTAGCGGGGAGGCATAGGAGAAGATCGAGTCGAGTAATGAGAAAAGAGAAGGCATGTAATGAGAAAGAGAAGTCGTGAATAGGTACCTAGAGTCGGCAAGAGCATCACAACCGCAACCATTTGTTACTTGGTAAAGGAAATCGGCAGAAGGGGATTGAGACATGTGTCTGCGAAATTCGTGCACATTTCATTTTCCTCATACAAGTCCATCGATTTTGCTTCATCCCAAATATACGATCCTACCAGAGATGGCCCCTAGCGTTGACATCCTAGCGGGGGTCCCGTCATCTATCTCTTCACCACGTGGAATCCTTCAAAGTTGGGCAGAACCTTCCTGATTTCGTGGTGATAGTTGTACATACCACCCGCATAGTTGACCTGCTCAAATGCTTTACCTGGCATGCTGCCACCCATGTACCTGAAGGGAGAAAGTTAGCGTCTTGGGAAAGGAAAAAGGGTTGTGGCTCCATGGCACAGGTATACTTACGTGCTCTTGGTGGTCGGGAACAGCGACTTGTCGCTCAGCTCGTTGATCTTCTGCTTCCATCCCATGCTGGCCACGTCGGTTGGGTTGATGTATTTGATGCCCTGGCGTTCCATCTGCTTGATGGCGTCGGTGATCCACCTGCCCTGAATCTCAACTGACGTTGGACCGTTGGACAAGAGTGTGGGACCGTGTGGGCCGTAGAGATGGAACATGTTAGGGTATCCGGGGACGGTCGTTCCAAGGTATGTAACGGCGGCTTTCTTCCACTCCTGGTCAAGTGTCTTGCCGTTGATGTTGTGCAGGCCCATAGCTGTCATGCCGCCGGTGGTGATATCGAAACCAGTGGCGATGCAGATGATATCGAAATCGTGATGGGTACCGTCTTGGAGGACAATCCCCTTTTCATCAAACGCAGTGATGGGGTTGTTCTTGATGTTGACGACATCGACGTTGGGGCGGTTGAATTGCTCGAGGTATGCGTACTCCAGACATGGGCGCTTCACTCCCCATGGATGTGGGGGCTCAACGGGGGTGAGAATGTCCCGTTTCTTTGGGTCATTTAGTCGACTGCGTTGCTTCTTGGCCCAGAAGTCGTACACCATGCGGTTGGCCTTGGGGTCAAAGAGGTAGTCCTTGTAATTCCCCAGCCAGTAGCGGAAGCCTCCATCAGACCAGAGCTTCTCAAAGAACCTTTCACGTTCTTCGGGTGTATCTTCGAACAATCCTTTCTCGGAAAAGTCATATAGGAAGCCGCCGAAGCACCGTTCACGAAGGTCGAAAAGCTCCGGGTACCACTTCTTGCCAGCCCATTGCTCCTCGGCTGTGAGGGCACGGAGGCGCATAGGCACCGTCAAGTTTGGTGTTCTTTGAAAGACCTTAAGTTCACCTGCCGTCGGACCCCATGCTTGAGTGATTTGGACGCCAGAGGCACCAGTGCCGATGATAGCACACTTCTTGCCCTTGACGCTGATCTCCTCGTCGGGCCAGAAGGACGAGTGATGAACAATTCCCTTGAACTTCTCGATACCAGGCCAGTCAGGGACGTATCGCTTAGCTGCAAATCCAGCTGCGACGACGAGGTACTTGGCTTTGGCTGTTCGGCCATCTGCTGTCTTCACATACCAACGCCCTTCGTCTGTGTTGAACTGGGCTTCGACAACAACGCTTTCGAAGGCAGTATGACTCTTGATGTCAAGGACCTTGTCACAGTGATCGAAGTAATCACGAAGTTCCTTATATGTAGGATAGTTGGACGGCCAGTTATACCTAGAAAAAGTAAGCCACAAGCAAGGGCACGGAAATTGAGGCTTCCAACATACGTTTTCCATGTTTCCGGAATCGACAACTGGTACTCAGGAACTTCAGAGTCGACCATTGCCCCGGCTGCTCAAAAATTAGAATGGCCAAGCAATAAATGACGGCGGGATGATCTTGGGATGATCTTACGGTAGCAGTTCCATCGCCAAGTGCCACCGAGGTCGGTGCCGGCCTCGTAGATAACAGTCTTCAGGCCTTCTTTACGAAGGGACCAGAAGCAGAAGACTCCACCGAAGCCGCCACCGACGACAAGGGCATCGACTTCCAAGTTGTCCGCATAAGGACCATCTGTCCTCCTTCGACGGCCATACTCCCATAGCTGGGTCTTCAGCTTGGGGTTGGTCATGCCTGGGTCACCCATGATTGTGATGATATATATCAAGTAACAGCAACTATATCTGGATCGCACAAGATGAGATGGGACAGTTGTTGAAACTTGAGTGAGGGATGAGTCCTTGTGATCCAGCTCTCTCTTTCTCCTTTCTTATATAGAATCATTCCTATCCTGATATGCTGGTTATAGTGATTGGTCATTCTTTGATCTGTTTGGTGCCCGCATAGAGACCCCCTACAGATCTGCTCTTTGGCGTCTGACAAGATATTCCGCTGCGGCTCCGCAAATATGTAAGACCCTTGCCCCTGGTCTCTATATAGGAAATTGGCATTGCGGGGGATTAACATACCTTCCGCAAGGATGATGTTTCTTGAGCGACTTGCGTATTATTAGCCGCGTTGAGGGGTACGGAACAATGACGGCTGGATGGCAGGATTGCGATATGCGTCAGAGATCTTCCAGAAGGCCGAACACATTTCGAAAATGCGTTTCCGCACATCACTGGGTTCCTCTTTGCTACTAGGCTCAGCATCAGAGGATGAGGCACGTTGCGAGAGAATCTCGGACCCGCATCCTTGTTAGCCGAATGCTGGAGAACAGCTCAACTGAGGGGGTGGGTGAGAAGAAGGAGGGAGGAGGGGGTGAGCAAACAACTCACTTGATATTTAGACAGCAGCCAGGCAGATTCCGCATAGTCTCTCAAAAGCCCTCTTGTTCCTGCCGTGTCCCTTCGCATATTGGTGAGGCTGAGTCCGCAAACGTTTGGTCCATTCCTCTGTATCTTTCGAAATGGGGCTCTCCACCGAGGCTGTCAATAACATAACGTCCACCCTCAACGCTGCCTGTGTTGATGGGGATAAAGGTATTCCGGGTTTGGTGGGTATAGCCATTGGAAAGGATGGTAAAGAGCTCTTCGCTCATGCTGCCGGCAAGCGAGGCTTCGGCACCTCTGAGCCAATGACCCTTGATAGCATCTTTTGGATAGCATCGTGCACCAAGATGATTACTGGTGTTGCATGTATGCAGTTAGTGGAGCAAGGCCAACTGTCCCTGGATGATGCGAATCAAGTCGCTCAGCTGTGCCCTGAGATCAAGAATTTGAGTGTCTTGCAGCCTGGTGGCAAGCTCGTCCCAGCGAAGAGAGGTATCACGTTGAGAATGCTGTTGTCGCACACAGGTCAGAAATAACTTCTTCCAGGAATTTTCATTCAGCTAACGCGGATCCAGCGGGCTTCGGCTATACATTCTTTCACGATGGCCTTCGTGATTACAGCAAGCCCATCGGGTATGATGAATTCTCGGGGCATATCAAAGATTTGATTCAGCCGCTGGTTCATCAGCCGGGTGAGGGCTGGCACTATGGAGTGCGTTTTGCCTTGGTCGATTTGAATCAAAATTGTGGCTAAAATCCCGCGTCAGGTCGGCATAGATTGGGCGGGTATATGCGTCGAACGTACCACAAAGATGTCGTTGAACGACTATTTTCAACGCAACATATTCCAGCCCCTAGCCATTAAGAATATCTCCATGTTTCCCAGTGCTGAAATGAAGGCAAAGCTGGCATACATGAATGCGCGCACCCCAGATGGTCAGCTTCAACCACGAGATCATCTCCACCACCGGGCATTGGTCGTGGAGAGTCAGCAAGACATTGCGACATGCGTTAACAGCGGAGGAGCCGGTGCATTCGCAAAGCCTCGAGAGTACTGCCGTAAGCCCACCTTTTACCCAAAGTCCGGGTATGAGCTGATCGAAACAACAGAAATCCTAGCGACTTTGCTTAATGACGGCACATCGCCGATTACCGGGGCTCAAATTCTGAGAAAGGAGACAGTGGATATGATGTTCCAAAACCAGATTCCCGAGTTCCCGGACTTTTCACGCCAGGGCATCCCTCCAGCCAAGCCGGACCTGACCAATCCGATACCAGACTTGTATCCCGGCAAGCAGCAGGGCTGGGGTTTGACATTTATGCTGAGTGATGGAGCAACCGGCAGGTCGACGGGCACAGGCCATTGGGCGGGCCTCCCCAACCTCTACTGGTGGTGCGATCGAGCTAAGGGCGTAGCGGGGATGATTTGCTCTCAAATCCTTCCTTTTGCAGACCCTCAAGTGCTTGGTCTCTGGGTTGCTCTCGAATCGGGAGTGTACAGTGGCCTCACTTAGTTACTTACTTCGGAACGCTGTTTCCGTTTATACAATTCCATTTTGCCATTTCGATCACCCTGTGGTGCCGTGGACAGGATCGGTCGGTAAGCTAGCTGCAGTAGCCAGCACTGAGTAGTGAGGACCGTGCTGCGAAGACGGAAAAGGGAGCTGGAAGGGGGGATTGGTGCGTGCGTGCCTGTAGAAGCCCGTGCGACGTAACTCGTGGTGCTGGTGGTGCCGTTGGCCCTAGACCGCTGGGTAAGCTGGCCATGGGAATATGAAGAGCCGTCTTGTGCTCCAAGGCACACAGCTGCATAGTTCGAACTAGTGAAGCAGAAGGCAAATCGTGGCGCTGCTTGGTCGGATTGGCGGTGACACAGCATGGGCACTTAGTTGCCTTGGGTGAGCTCGGAGCTGGGAGCCTGTGAGCCTGTAAGCCTGTGAGTCTCTGAGTCTGTGAGCTGGCCGAAGCGAAGCGAAGCAATGCGCAGCCAGAAGAATTGTTACCCCGCAAAAGTGGCCTCTGAGAAGGGCCACCAAGGGCCACCAAGGGCCACCGAGGGCCACCAAGCACCCACGCAACCCACGCAACCCACCAGCCCATCAACCCGTGAACAGGGTGAATCGCGGGGGCTGGATTGACATCTCCAGACTCCAGACTTCAGACTCCACCTTCTTTTGCGCATCTCAAGAGAACTCACATCACCCTGTTCACAACGGCACACCATCCCGTCGCCTCGATCAATGCCGCACTGACCCTGAACCCACCGCCTCTCCACGCATTGCCTCCCCCAACAGCCATGGCCCAGACTGTTGCCCTACGCCGTCGCCAGAACAAGAGCTGCGACCAGTGTCGAGCAGGCAAACGTCGCTGCGATGTCGAAGTCGCCGTCCACGAGATCCCGGCAGTCAGCGGTCTCGGTTTCCCTTCGAGCGACGAACATGAGGCGACAAATATTTTCGCCTCCTCTCCGTGCACGAACTGTAAGAAGTGGAAAAAGGCATGTACAATCGAGTGGATCAAGTCTCATCAGAGGCGTCAATCGACCACTTCCAAGCGCCGGCGAGAATCCAAGGGAATATCGCCGGTGGTCGACGACACGGCCACGCAGGAGGCATGGGTCGACGGCGGCTCGAGTTTACCACAGGAGGACCTTGACTCTATGCTTAGCGACTCCCTCAACAGGTCGATCTCCAGAGAAACCTTGCCGGATGGTTCCACAACAGGCTTGTCAGCGAGTGCCATGTTTGACGGCTTTGGCGGATCGCAACAGGACGACAGCGCCTCTCTCGTAAACTCACAGCTCAATCAGCCGTTCTATGACTTCACACCCCTCGACTGTCCCGAGCCCTATTCGAACAATTACTACGTGCCTCAGCCGGTGCTCGACCCAGATTTCGCCATTGATGGCCAATCTTCCATAAGTTACCACTCCGACAGGTCAAGCTCCTGGGGACAGCCTATGTCGAATCCGCAGTCAGTAGTTGACAGTCAGGACCAGGAATCAACAGTGCAGGAACGTCGATTTTCTCCCCCATTCTACGGGAATGGTCTAGTGAATAAGACCGCTTCGCCCTTCGCCTCGCATTTTCTCGCAGAAGATCATAGTCGGCTCTATATCAAAAAAGGCCTGCTCAAAATCTACCACGACTCCCTAGAAGGTGCTTTGAGCTGTTGGCTGATTGAAAGGAATTGCCCCTACGCGTCTAGTCCGTTTGTCGACGAAAGAGATGCCTGGAGCTCCAAATGGTCCAACAGAATCGTGACACGAGTCCGCGCATTAGACGAGGCCTACTCGAGGAGTGGTCTGCTATCTCAGAGCGACCAGAAACAGGCTTCGAATGTCCTCAGCCTCGTGGTTATGGCATTCGCGGTGCAATGGGCTCAGTCTTCTTATGGAAAGCACGACAACCTAAGCACTCACCAACCCGAACATGGGATCTTCGGGCGGAACATGCAAAAGGCACTTTGGCATAAAGCCAACGCGGCCCTCAGTCAAGCCGTGGCAAACCCGTCCTTCAAGGTCATATTTGCTGCGATCATATTTTCTTTGACGCAACGTCCAATGGATCCGGCAGAAGTTCTCCCCAATACATACTCACATCGGCAGAATGATCTCGCGTCGCTGCGCAAGATTCTCGATCACGACGGCGGTCCTATCTTCTTGGATGTTGCAGTTCGCAAATTGCATGATCACCAACGAAGACTCAAAGACGCCGAGCGCTCTCAGAATGGGGGCCACCTCGCGTTGCAAGCGCCCCAAACTCTAGGCGAGCAGGACAAACAAACGTTTGGACTTATGTTCTGGCTCGCCATCATGTTTGACACAATATCTGCAGCTATGAATCGTCGGACTTTTGCGCTGAGCGACGGCGAGACCAGCATCAACGATGATGACCCGCCGCCAGCCCCAAGGATCTCCACATCCGTCAACGGCTTTCCCTGTGACCTGGACGGTTATTCGGCTTTCTCGAACATGAACAGCTCTCAATTGGCTCGAGACTCGCATATATGGGGCAACTATTTCCTTCGTCAGCAGTCTCGAATTGGAGACGTTCGCAAGCAAACAACTCGTTGGCCTTGCTCCTATATTGACGCTGCTGCATGCCTCGCCGACGCTGCTCCTGTTAAAGTCCTCGTTTTCCGCAGAGTTGGGCACCTTCAAGATCTTTACTATCAACGTGCCCCACCAGATGCGATCGAGAACGCCATCGCATCCACACTGGAGGTCTATAACCACTGGAACAATACCTACGGTCGGTTTATCACCGACTGCGTAGCAAACCACGAAAGCCTCCCCGCTCGTATTCAATCATGGTACATCCTCCTGGCTAGCCACTGGCATTTGGCCATCCTCATTCTAGCCGACCTGATTGAAAAGCTGGATGATTCGAACATGACCCTCCCGGCGAATCGAACTGCGAGACAGACAACCGAGTTCTCTGCAGCCTTGCGTTTCCGCTCCGTATACGCTGTATCCGACCTTGGGCGATGTGCACGCTTCAGCAACGAAGACCTATCCTTTTCGCAATCGCCAGATTTTCATCATGCTGTCAACAAGGCAGCGTTACTCACCGAGCCATGGACGGTAGTTTTAGTGCGCTCATTCGCGCACGCCGGTGAAGTCCTTGTCAAATTGGTCCTGTCCAGGCGGGAACCCGGACTTTTTATGGACACCAACCACCTCGCGGAAGCGAGAAGTCGTCTGAATGACTGTATCGAGGCGTTGTGGCTGCTAGGAAGAAAAAGTGACATGGCATTAAGTGCAGCAAAAATTCTGCAAGAGGCTGTGAACCAGGGTATGGGCTAAAACCAGTTAAAGGAGGTAATGCAAGGAAAAGCACCGATTGCTTGAGTTTTCCAGTTGGGCTAGTCTAATTTCCGATCCTCTCTCCTGCCCGTACGACTCTGATGCCTCGTTTGCCTTCGATGCCGTCGGAATACTCTGCCGCCCGAGCCTAGCGAGTAATGAGGCCCAGCTCGCCACGGATTGGACGATCATCACTTGTGGTGAGCCCTCTGCCTTCCCCCTTTCTTTGGTCATGATCCGGTTCAGCGCCATGAAGGCGACCCATCAGTCCGCCTTTGTCAGTACGTACATTCATGAATCGCACAGGAGGGTGCGGCTGCGGACACCTGAATGAGGACCCCTATCCCCGCGCAAGCTTAACCGCACGCATCTGACGAACCCCAATACGGAGTACAGCCACGCAAGGCCAGGACTTAATGCTATTTCGGCCCAATGGATACGATCAGCAACCTCCTGTTATGGTCCATGCATTTGCTATCCCCTACTCTTTTTAGCCCCAGAAACCTGAAACAAGGAACGGCTCTCTCCTTGCGGACAGGGGGTGGCTTACGGTACACGTTATCCGCACATCAAATCTCCGTCCGCAATGCCATGCGGATCCGCATGTGCAAGAATGCAGATCCTGGGGGAACCTCTCCACGCGGGGAGGGGAGAGGAGAAGCTTTGCTTTTCTTGTGCGAAATCTGGGGAAAAGAAAGTCGCTTACAGGCGGACTCGGCACAGCCAAGAGAAGAGAGGGGAAGGGGATTGATCGCCAGCCCCGGGGCTGATCGAAATAAAGACATTCCCGTCGATGCCACAAACTAGGAGAGTCACCGAATTGTGTTCGGGGCTTCGGGATCCGAATGGAAATGCTGCGGAGGTGGTCTATTGTGGAACGAGGACGGACGGTCGTCTCCGAACTAGGCTGCGAGGGGGCTTGTTGCCATCGACGACGGTGAGCGACTTCTGCTCGAATTCTCCTGTCAGCGGGAAGCCGAATTATTGTAGCTGACCGTCGAGAAGAGGAGTCTCCCATAAGGATTGTGCCGCTACGAGAACAGACCATTTTGGAGAGGTGCCGTTAATTCTGTTATCTATCTGCTCAGCATGTTTCCTCTGGCCCCTTTTGTGGGTCTTGTTTGGAGGAGTTGCATTGCTTCGATTACTGATGGCGCTCATGGATATGGATATGTTGCAGTTATTCATTTTGTGCTCGGTATTATGGTCCCGCATGAATCAATCAAATACTCGTATCGAAATCCACAGAGCTGGCTCGGCCATTATTGTCTTCAGGTCTTCCACCAGCAACTTGCCAGAGACGGAAGGGATTTAACTTGTGCATTGTCTAACCACAAGGACGAACTGGGCTACCTATATATATACAGAGGTTGCCATAAAATGAAGAGGTTGGGCATGCTTTTCTAACACAACCAACATCGAACTCCCAACCAGAGAAGGTGAGTGGCGAATGCCAGACAATCTCTCTGTCTCGATAAACTTGCCTGGATGGAGGTCGAGTCCCCGATGTGGTGAGAAGTCAGGATCTTCTATTGCCCGCCGCCTACTGGTTAGTTGGAATCCGCACTTATCAACGGTTTCTGATTTCTTTCTCCAACCACATCTTTGGCTCGGATATCGTCCAAGATTGCAGAAACCTGTAGAAGAAAGTAGTGACTGAAATGCACCAGTCAGCGCCTTCCTTGGCCGTGTACAAAAAGCGAATTGGAGGACCACGTATAGATATATATATATATATATATATCTCACACCAGCCGGGTGGGAGTGTGTCGGGCAGAAAAAAGGGGCCGTGGCAAAGTAATGGAAGGGCCAAGCAAGCGCACATGCTCACGGAAATCGCAAACAAACAAGACGGAGCATATCCCGTAGATATTAAAGGTCAGTGGTGCCTCTTGCGAGACGTATGAGAAAAGTGACAATTCACTTTGCGCCACGTTCTTGCCAACACCGAGCATTCTGCGTGATTGGCCTGATATGAGGATGTGGCGGCAATGGCCGGCGCTGGTTTCTTACTCAGCCTCGCGAGGCTGCCTCTTGCGCTGCCAACGCACTCACCGCCAACCTGGACTTGGGCAAGAGTAAGTCTCTTTTCTTTTGGCACATGTTCTCTTGCCTCTTGCCTCATTCTCTGGCATTATGATTCTTCTGCTCTGGAACAGATTTGCACATACGGATTGCTCCTTTTTCGCTTTTTTCAAATCGTCTTTGCCTTGGTTTCTTTGCACACATTTCGAGCGAGCATCTCTCTCCCTATATATGTACAGACCTCACTCCGTTTCGACAAGAGAAATATTCAAGAATTTGCAGATATAAACTGGGTCTACAGCGCAGAATACTCCCCGAGATTTTGCAGAAGTCATTCATCATCACGGCTCCAACGTCTGATCGAATTTTGTTTCATTTCCCTGTGCCAAGAATATTTTTCTATAAGAGGTGGAAAGAAGATGTTGTTAATCAATACCGAAACCCTGAAACTCGAGTCCATCGTCAACCCCCCACCAGGTTCCTACGCCATCCTCTCACATACCTGGGGGAAAGAAGAGATCAACTTCCAGGAATGGAACTGCATCGAATCCGGAGAAGGTCCTGAGGCAGACAAGCTGAAGACAAAGTCAGGCTTTGCAAAGATCGAAATGACGTGCCGCATAGCAAAGGCCGACGGACTGAAATACGCCTGGGTCGATACCTGCTGCATCGACAAGAGCAGCAGCGCGGAATTGTCGGAAGCTATCAACTCAATGTTCAAATGGTACCGAGACTCGCACATTTGTTACGCCTACATGTCAGATCTGGAAAAGGCTTCTGATCTGAGTCAACTCCAAGAATGCCGGTGGTTCACCAGAGGCTGGACACTTCAGGAATTGATTGCCCCTCAAAAGGTCCGCTTCTACGACAAGTGGTGGGTCGAAGCCGGCACCAAGTCCAAATTCCAAGAGCTGCTGGCAAAGATTACAAGGATCGACTCGGACGTCCTCGTCAATGGTCAAAATCTGGACTTTGTTCCGGTCGGCAGGAAAATGTCTTGGGCGGCTCCCAGAGAGACCAGCCGGGTGGAGGATATCGCATACTGCCTGTTAGGAATCTTCAACGTCAACATGCCTCTGCTGTACGGAGAAGGGGATAGAGCATTTCTCCGCTTACAAGAGGAAATCCTCAAGGAACACAATGACTTGAGTCTGTTCGCGTGGCAAAACACCTCGGGAAAGTCGCTATATCGAGGCATCTTTGCAGAATCACCTTCTGAATTCTCGGATTGTGTCGACCTTAAAGCGCCACACGAAAGGCAGAGCCTCGGGAACGAAGTCTCAGTTACCAGCAATGGTTTACGTGCCGACGGCGTTTTCCTTCCGGGCCAAGACGATTGTTGCATTCTGGATCTAGGTTGCTGTCGCATTGGCCCCAGCTCCGATCCCGAATGGTTGTACGTCCGGCTTCAAAAGGTAGGAGAGACGTTTGTCCGGGTCCTTCCGAAATTCGTCACTGCGGAGAAATCACGGCTTCTTTGGTGGCAGGGCACTAGGCGAACAGTCTATGTCCGCAAAAGCGTCCACGGCCAACAGTTGACGGAAGCAAACTACCGCATATCAAGCGTGGCGATGCAGTTTGCCAAGTCTCTGCGAGGCCAGTTGAGGCTCTGCGACGTGCTGCCATTGCAGAACTGGGAGCCGGAAACCACCCGATTCTTCGGATTTGAATCAGTCAACTTTGTCGGCACCGTCCCCTTTGTTTTCGAGGCACCCCCTGGGGCTCCGCGGCTAAGAGAGCGTCTTGTACTCCTCTGCGGTGTCCACAAGTCTTTCATCCGCAGCTGGAGACTCGACTCGTGGGCAGCCCTTTTCCAAGAATCAGGTGCAAACGACGATCTTTCCACGGCTCTGGTGGCGCTGGCCCACGGAGACGACACGAGTCTCCCTGAAGACCACCGGCAGAATGCGATCAAGGACATGCTGTTTGCCAATTTTTCAGACACCTACGGCGTCTTGAGGGGTCTCGATAAAAGAAACTCGGTCAAGATTGAGGATCGAGCTGGTCGGACGCAGTACATCCTGTCTTTGGAGATGCACGACGTGCCCGTGGGAAACACATGGAGAGCCACAACGGCGACCGTCAATTGCGAGGTGGTGGACGTACCCGTGGAAAAAGTTCGAAGCTCGACGGCGCTGGTGAAATCGGCGATCAAGGAAGTCGACTACCCGCTGGTGCCGATCGACGGTATCAAAGCAAGATCCCCTGCTGTGGGTGTTCTACAGACTCGATCACAGACCTGCATATATTGATTTGATCTCTAAGAAGCTCGTAGATAGTCTGAATACAATGTTGCGTCGCTGATAGCTCCGCGAGGACAACTAGAAAGAAGCCGGTAGCTGACAACCTGGAATGCTTTATTCCTTGAGCGTATCAGACACCAGCGGCAGGACATATTCGCAGTACATACTAGTTTAATTATCTCTCCCTTTCCGCCTGGGCGCATTGTTGGACCAATTAGGGGCCAATGAAGGTCAGTCCATTAGAAGTTTTATCTAGACTAGCAAAGAGGTTTATATACCAAGTATCTAGGTAGTATCGAACGGGGAAAAAAACCAATCCTCGGTCTTCCCATTATGATGAGCCGCTCGCAGCTTTGCTCACCCTAAAGCGATCTCTGACCGTTCCCTGACCACTCCCAGAGTGAGATGTTGAGGAGAAGGCAGATGTCGCTTGTCTTCTGGACCGCATCTCTCTTGTTCTTTGGTGCCATTGGAGAAGGAGAGCCCAAAGCTGACTCTCGACTGATTGCGCCCCAGAATGATTCAAGCCAGAACCGTCTCTGAATCCATCCAATGCCTTCTCATACCACCTAAGCGATTCAGCATACAGCCCTTTTTGGCAATAGTCCTCCCCTAAATGGTCAGCCGTAGTCAATATATCATGATGCAGAGGCCCATAAACTTTTTGAAAGCCATCATAGGTCTCCTCATGTAGCTTGATAGCCTCTTCAAGCCGGCCGCATCTGAGATGCAGGTTGGCGATATTACCCTTTGCTCTGAGGGTTTTCGGACTGTCTTTCCCCAGTTGCTTCTCTGTTCCACGGAGAGCTCGTTGCAGGAAATGACGTGCCTCATTGTCCCGCCGATGGTGCCCATGCAAGATGCCAATACTCATGGCTGTTTCAAGAGTGGAGGGATCTTCCTCTCCCAAAGCTGCCTCCTTTTTCGCCAGTACATCTTGGAAGACGTCGAGCGCCTTTTCATACTCTTTTTGTTCTTTGTAAATCACCGCGATGTTGTTCAAAGTAGCGAGTGTTCTCTGATCTCCTTGGCCAAGTTTCTCCCTCACTTGAGAGAGTGATGTTTTGTACCACTTTAAAGCCTGCTCCCACAAACTGAGCTTCTTATAAATCATACCGACACTAGTTGAGTGACCACTTCGGTATGGAGAGTTTGAAACTTGGCCAATGCCTCGTGCAACTGGCCTTTATTGAGCATGGCCGTCAAAATGCCGTCATGGCCGTCAAAACTTGATAGTGTGGATAGGGGCGCCGCTGTATTGAGTCCTTTCTCAAACCAGCGAATTACCTGGTCGTGTTGGCCGAACTGATCGCAGAAGTTTCCGAGGATGAATAGCGCTCTTGTACATGTCGTGTGCTGGATGGAGTCATCGAGATGCCCCTCACAACTATTAACATGCGATAGTAGTAGCCGATAAGTAAGCCAACCTTGCTGGCGCTCCAATGACAGTTTCCATATAGCGCCAGCAACAACTAAGATTGTTCTCTCCACAAATATTTGTCTTTGAGGCTTAGTTAATCTTTGGCGAACACATGTCTGAAGTACCGTATGGATTGAAAACGTATCGCCAGCCTCGCGCTTTGCGAGAGAGAAGGAGAAGAGCCTTCCCATGCCATCTTCCACGACCCGAGCTAGGGCGTCTACATTGCGTTAGTCGGTCCCATCTTGGAAACAATAAGCCACTTACCCTTTTGCGCAAATTCGAAGCCCGATTTGAGCATGTTTTCACTTATGTTCTCGCCGGCGAGAAACGCACAAACTGGGAAAATCTCAAACGCGCCAGAGTATGATTTTTCAAACTCTTTGAAAGTCAAATCCCAAGAGCCTAGCACTGTCTTGCGGTATGGCCACATATTAGTCGGTGGTTTCCAGTTCAGCGTCTCAGCATTCTCTTTGAGGCGTGATAGGTATTTTGTGGCCTGCATCTTCAGAGTATGCATATGTGCTCCTGCTTGATCAATTGCTAGAGGAAGATTCCCCAGTACTTTCACAATCTCTTTCGCAGCCTCGAATTCCAATTTTTCAGTTAGACATAAAACTCTGTGGCCTCTGTACAGAATCTTACCTTCCTGGTTCCCCCCGCCGTAATCCGTCAAAGAACTTGAAAGAAGTAGCAACGGAGTTGCTTCCTCCATTAATGAAAGACTGAAACTCACTCCGATCCGAGCCCAGTCCTCCCTTCGGCTTGTAATCAGGACTACACCTGAACCACCATGAGGGATCAAGGACTCCATCCTCCCGTCCTCCAAAACGTCCCAACCGTCCAGTAATAGGAGCCAATTGCTATATTTTTATGGTTAGCCGCTCTTGACAGCGAAGACTGCTTTTGTACCGATGTCTTCTTTTTCGAGGCTCCAAATTCTCCAGCAAGGCCTGTTAACCAGCCCAATGATTGGTGCGATAGTGCAATAGCTCTCCACGGCAGATTCATAACTATTGGCCTTGACCCGGAAGATAGATGAAAATTTTGGTCGGTACCTATAAGCGTACTCGAGAATCGTTTGTGTTTTTCCGACACCTCCCATGCCATACACTACACATTTAATGCAGTCGGATTCTTTGGATCTGTGAGACGTAACCGCACTATGGATATCTTGAAGGATCTGATCCCTCCCGACAAAGTTCATGTTCCTCGGCAACGGGATGCTGACCGAACCTTCGTCTGAAAGGCAAACCACATGTTTATTTTCGCTTGAGTCGAAAATAGCTCCTTTGGCGTAAGGTAGACTCCTCAAAGATTTGTCGATCTCATCTTTGAGTCGAATGAACGCGTCCTGCCATTCACCATATATAAGAGGCATCACCACACCAAAAATTCCCAGCAGACAATATGCCTTATCCTCTTTCTTTTTGGTCGTCCGTTTCTCTGCCCACCGCATCCGCTCGTCAATATTGAAATTAGATAAAGGGAAACCGCGGAGAGCTTCAAGGGGAATTTCTGTCTAAATATATTCTGTCTGGTAATTTAAACTGTGGATATCGACGCTAGTCCGAAGGACTTCGGCCCTATCGTCTGAGCCCCGACCAAGGGGCCGTTTGTCGGCCGCCTGGGCTTCGTTTGAAAAGTAAGTCGTTTGTTGGTTTTGAGAGCTTTCTTTGGTGCCAATGCAAGGCAACTACAAGGAGATGACTGGCGTAGAAGCTTAGAGGTGACAGGGCAATTGTCTTACACTATGGACCGCTAATAGACAACTCACACTCCAGTGGTCCCAGAGGACAATGTCTTCGGCTTAAGACTATGGAGATACTGTCATCAGAGACAGTATGAATTCTTAAGAACTCAGACGTATTGTATTAGACCATGGGTTATTGAAGAGTTCTATCCGCCCAGTATTCAGAGTAGAGGACTTTGAAAGCAGCAAAGTTTGGGTTTGAAGGTGTGTCCTACACTGAATGTATATCATGGTCTACCTGGCACAACCGAAAATCTCGATTTCGATCCCTGAGCGTGATTGCGTCTATAGTTTGTGTTCTGATAGATCACCGAGCCTGTTCCAGCTGTTGTCGGCTGACGTTCGAAATATACGACTCCATTTCATCATCAGCAAGCCTGAGTTCCTCGAAAGAATAGTGTTTAAAACTGTCCATAAACGGAATTGACTGGTAAGCCATCGAATAGCCGCTTGGATCTCGTTCCATGAACGGTTCGAAGCTACTACATATGGTGGTTGGGGCTGCAGCGATCTGTAGCGAGGGGGACTGCGGAAATGCGAAAGTAAACTCGAAAGGGTCGTCTGATGCACCTTCTCTTGCATTCTGCCCGACAGCGCTGAGAAATGAACCCGAAGCACGACGCCCGCGCGCGCTTTCAGGTGCGGGCAGATCAATGCGGTGTGCCGAGCCTTGAGCATCGCCCACTGCTAATTCCAAATTATCACTTTCGAGGGTGTACGCAGGCCTCTGTGCAACCTCCGATATCAGATCGAGAGACATCGACGCCCATGGATCAACGACAAACCACAGTCTAGGCTCACCGTCGATGTCGAAGACCCTCACAAGAACATACACGTTGCGTAAAGGCTCAGACGCAGTGACTAGATCCACTGACCACTGCCGTGCCATCCGAATCTGATTGGCGCTGAGGGTCCAGTAAGCATCATTCTCAACACGATTCGGCGTTGACTTGACTTCGAGGTGGTACTTCGTGTTGCTGTCCACGCCTCTATTCCATCCCCAGTTAGCTCTCAGATACTGCGTAAAAGCCTGGCTCGCATCTGAATCTCCAATTGTGAAGTCCGCGCACCCTCCTTCGTCGATAGAGTAGTAGTTGCGACATCCTGGAGGACAAAGGCTCGGGTCGTGATCGAGGCAAGTTGGAATATAGTGCTTGCGACCGTTGCTGGTCCAGTGTTTCTCGCCAAACGATGGGCCGAGTTTTCCTCGCAAGAATGTGTACAGCTGCTTTTCAGTTAGCTTTGTCAAGAACCAGTGCCTCGCAGGCTTACAATGTGCTCTCCCTTCCTACCGATCTCTTTTCTCCGTTCTGAGGATGAGCCTGGCTGAGAAGCGCTAGAACCACCATTCCATGAACGTTGGTGAAGATGTTGCAGTGATCCACGCCACACCTGTGCTGATGGAGTTACGGGTTGGCCAAGCGATCCAGATAGTCTACGTCTGTTGGTGCCGTTGAGATTTTGCCAAGGTGAGGGAGAGTTTCGCTCTTCCCTGCTGGTCATCTGTCGTGGGGTTCTCGTGGCCGGGTTGGCATCTTCCATTTGTGTGGCTGATCCGGCGAATCTTGGAGGGTCCTGTGATATGCTCGTGCCCGGGCCATCGTCCGCCACGGAGACCTCAGCGAGCGCCGAAGCCAAAAAGTCGACGCTACTGTTGTCGGCAGGGGTCAGCCATCTCTTTGCTAAACTGCCTCGCGACAGCTTCGGGGTAGAGCGTATTGAGGGCGTTGTGGTCGCGGCTATAGGCGTAGGAGATGTTCTCTCGATACAGATGGTATACCCAGTACTTTCGGATGACTCCTCCGAGCTCTTGCCGTTGCGCAACTCATTAAGCTGCCGTTGCGCGTCTTCCACATCAGATCCTCCACCATGTGTTCCTTTGGGTGAGGCTGGAAAGCGTTGCTGCTGGTCGCTTCTCACGTTTGACGACTTTTCCAAAGCTGTCTCGGGATTTGAATTCCTGGAATCGTCAGTATCACTATCACTATCACTACCGGCCTCTTCTGAAGCATCAGTTCTTTCGCCTGCCGGCACGTCCGCTACGTGCATTTGATGTGCTCCTGCTCGCTGCAGGTCTTCTAGCAGGCTTTCTGGATCATCTGCAGCCAGGAGGTCGCCAAGTAAGTCGCTATGTTGGCTGACTTCAAGATTCCTGGCCATCTCTTTCCTTAACAAACGAGCCATTGCGTCCTGTTTCAAGTCTTCATGCACAAGAACCAGCAGTTGTTGCCCTCTGGTAATGATGCGCAAGCCGCCTTCTACTTTTTCACCCATGTACGGGCGACTCTTACCAACCACGTATCTTTCGATGATAATTTGTGGCATTTGAAGGGCTTTGATATTTCTCACTTGGTTTACGCGAACCGTAATTTGCTCTGGGGATTGGCCTTCGCCTTTCAGTATTCTGGCATAGTCAGCAGTAATCGACAAAGTCAACGTCACGCATACCCTCCGATGTAATCTGCTTTCCTTTTCAAATCCTGTTCTAACTCAGGATACTCTCTGCCTTCCTCCGTGTTCCCATCATAATAATACTTCACGGCTTCCGTCAAAAGTTTGCTTCTCAGACCAAGCACGGACACGATGTTGCTTATATTGGTTCCAATTGCGTCATCGCTTAGATCAAGGAGTGGTGCATGGCCCCGGAAGCATTCGTGCAATACAGAAATATCTGGAATCCAGAATTCGCCGGAATTAGCAGATTGTAGTGTCCAGTGGCCTTTATGGGTCGCAATGGGAAACATCTCGAGAGTTTTGAGTTGAGAGACCTCTTGAGAGGATGGTCTGATCTTCAGCATGCTGTCTAGATTTTGCAGAAGATTGCGCATGGTTCTTAGAATTGCGTTTTGCTTCGATTTGACCGAAATGTGTTCGGACTGGTAGCGTATCTCGGTCATCAGATCAACCAGATTGGTGGATCTTATGTCCAGGACTTCGCAGAATAAACGCCGGCAAGGTTTGTACTGATCTCGCAGCAGGGGATAAAGAGTGCAGTTAAACTTTGAATCCCATCGAACTTTATGCGCGTAGTACCACTTACCATCCTGCGCCAAAATGAGTTCTGCGGCCCCAAAGGCATCCCTGTCATGAGGTCAATCTCTGTTCCAGAATTGCAGGGCATGGGGGCCGTACCTTATCTTTGAAATTTCCAGATCGTCCGCGATAAGCTTTCCGAGACGATAATAGATCTTTTTTGCTGAAGCAAGCAAGTCCGTTACATGTTTATTGGCTTTGAGATAACTCAGCTGATAGAAGAGAAATCTCCTGTCAACCGAGACACACACTCCAAAGTGCTTCAAGAAGGACCAGTCGGCCTCTAAAGATTCGAGGCTGATAAGCGGTACCATACCACCAGCTTTCTCGTGGAGAATGGGCAATGCAGTCTCGCGGAGTTTTCGAGGCCCATGTGTGGTTGATACTCCCAGTTCGCCTACATTCTTGCACCAAGTTGAGTTGGCCAATGGCAAATTGGAGTGCTGTCGAAGAAAGTTCAGCGCCTTGCCGGAGCCGCAGCGGTCGTATAAGCTTTTGAATGCCGTCGATAATTGGCCATTGGTGCCGATGACTCGCACATCATTTAATATATTTTTCCACTGACGCAGCCACCTCCACCAGCTCACCCTCAGATTCTCGTCAATAGTAGGAGGACTGTAATAGTCCTCGTGCAACCAGGAGATACTCCGATCCGCTTCGAATAAGGGTCGAAGGGATGCGGCCTTCGACTCAGACAAGAAAACTAGCTCGCTCGATATAGGCAGGTCTCTTGAGTTAATGAAAGTGAATGGTAAATCTCTCGGCTTGTATCGAGTAAGGAAAAGATATACTGCTTGCTCCAACAATTGTGCATGAGACCAGACTTGGTTCCCTTGATGTTTCTCTAGGATGACTCTGTGGACGTCGCTGAAGTCACATTTGCGGAGACCAAGCACCTCAAACAGTCGACGTCGTGATGTGTCTTCATTAGCCTCCGAGGCAACCGTGCATATAGAGAAACCGCTTGGTATTGGCGGTGCAGCTTCGTTGGGAAGAAATGCATTTTCAGGGCTCGGCACCATCCAGGTCCCATCATTGAGAGGCACAATTGCGGAAGACTCGAGAACCTGATTCAGGTGTAGGTAGCTAGGATGTCGCAGGAGAACGGTCGCAACTGCCGAGTGCCATTGGCTAGATTTCCTTCTAATATATGCGGGGTGCCGATTAACCATATTAGCAAATCGTTGACTGAAGCAGTAGTAATCCATCCAATCGACGCCCAGTATCTTCAGGTTATCCAGAGCCTGCAGAGAGTACTCGCTGCTGACAAAAGTGCTCAAGTCATCGGGATGATCGAGCAGGGGACGACCGTCGTGTCGAAATCTACTGTCGACAATGATGGCCTCTGGCGGACGGCAGATTTGACGTGTAACACCAGCAAAGGTTTCTAAATCAGTCCTGACCAATTCCAAGCTGCGAAGCTCTTTCTTTACCTTTGAGGTAATTCGCTGAAAATATCTGTCATGGACTTGTCCTAGGCATTTAAGGTAAAGGGGCCACTCCAGCGGGATTGGCGACTTGGTGTCTCGTGCCAGCCAAGCCAAGGCTTCAACAATGCTCGCGCTGATGTGACTTTCGAGCTCGATGTTCCATGCCTGATCAGGCTCAACGTGGCTTCGACTGGCGTCCAAGATAAAGTCCGAGTGGATCATGAACTTTTTAGTTAGCCCTCCAGTCTATGAAACTGAACGAGTCGACGCTGCTCACTTACAGAGAACCCAAAGTCCTGGATGGCCTGAAATGCGTACGTCAGATAACTTTGTTGGTGTTTTCGATGTGGTCCTTCATCATCTCTGCCTACAATAGGAAAGGCGAGCCGAATGTTTGTGGGCCATTTGCGAGTGTCTACCCTGGTCTTTGATTTGGCGCTGTGGTTCCATATGAGAAAGCTTTCTATAGTACGGGCCCCGTGGCTTCTTTCTACAACAAGCTCCGTGGTTGATTCACTGTGCCCTCTGAAGGAAGCCTCAGTCGTAGTGAAGCTTCCTTGGACTCGGTGGTCAATCTTGATCTTTCGCAACACTCTCGAGAATAGCAATGAGTAGAAATTGAAATTCTTGAGCTGATCAGACAGTGCCCTTCGGATTTTGTTTTGATTTTTGAGCCGAATGGTGAGTAGGGTTCCGTGGTTGGGGTCGGTCGGTTGGTCCACCCAGGTAGGGACCAGCATGCCGAGTTGCCCTAGTTCAGAAGCGGTGTCAAATGTAAAATAATACGGGTGGGACTGAATTGTGACCTGATCAGCCACTTTAAAAATGGATTTGAAGCCAATCCCGTTCTCTCCCGTGCTTTCCAGGTCACTCGCTTTCGAACTTCGTCCGATAGCACAGAGTGAGTCTACATCCTCTCTCTTGAAGCCGTTTTCATTCGACCAGGCAAAGAAATGTGTGTCGGTAAGGGTGAATTTGACTGTAGGCTCGTCGACTTCCTCATATCCCGTGTCGTCGAAGTTCTGAATGAGTTCGTTGAGGAAATGGCAATCCTTGTGGTGGACTTTCTTTGATATTCTGGTCAAATGTCAGCTTCTCCAAGCGAGCATGAGCAATGAAAGCAGACATCTCCAAGGCGCCCGTCAAAACACTAAACAATCTGCTATTGGGGTCAGAACTGGGGCCGCCCAAAAGGTCGTGCCGAATGGTCTCGATGTGTTCCCGCGCAATATCCATATCTGTAGAAGTACTCAAAAGCAATCTAGGGGCCTGCGGATAGTGTCGTATCGAAGTAATGAGGAACAAGAGGGAACCACCGCAATGGTGGGGGTTGGCCGCAATACCACTGAGTGTTGGCCAGCAATCTAGCTATCTATTGGTTTGGTGGGCGGTCTCCGACGAAGGAGAAAAGAGAAGGGGAAGAGTGGGTAGAGAGGCTTAAATAGCTTTCGACGCCCCATCCATCCTAGACGAGAGGAAACTTCCAGCCAGAGTGTACCGTGAAGGAGGGAGAAGAGCTTGGATGATAAGGATAATTGTGGTAACGTGGGGGTATCGTATTGAGTAGCCACGTGACTAGCTAGAATGACAACGATGACAGCCAAGTAGGCGCTCAGGTGCCAAGGCGCTAAAGGGCGTCACAACGGGCTCATAGGAAGTGAGGGCCAGCGGTCCAATAAGCAACCCAGGCTTCACCTCAACTTCAAGAAGTGGCGCCAGAACCGGACCCAACATCACCTGTTCTCAACATGCTACTATCAAATGCAAAGTGTAATCTATTTTACATCGACAAGTTCTTCAGTAACCACCTATATTTTTGCTGGTGCCCGATTCGAAACATGCAAAGTGTGGCAAGGCAGATACGCCTTTGTTCATAAATGCTACTGTGACCCCCCACTAGCGCGTACAGCAGCATCACCTATGTGAGCACCCTGCTGGAACGTGTTTAGTCCGATATGATATGAAGTGAACGCTAAGGTGGCTGAGCTTCTTGAGATTATCCTGGCTAGATGCTGCCTATTACCTTCTCTGATAGGCAGTTACACTGGCGCCTAAATGAGCGTAGGAGGCGAACGCTTAACAAGTAGAGCAGTTCTCTCCGGCATATGCATAAGGTTTACATAATTACACATGTGACCTGTTACTTTCGAATAACCCCTACTAGTACCAGTAGGCTCAAGGCGAACGTCTACACTACGAGGTACAAGGGGTTGTATCCTTCAAGACAGCAGCGCGGCTAGAAAAGCAGCCGTGGAGCCCTGGCACCCTGGCACCAATGAGCGAGCAAGACGGCCCGGAAGTTGGCCCTTCCGAGGTTAAACATCAAAAACTAGGACCTAGGGGTCAAGTTATGGGTCCCTGCAAAAGTGCTCACGGCTAAGCTCATTCTGCTTATGGGGTGACTCAGGGCGCGCTCAATAGCGCTCGGGATTAGCGCAGCCACAGCTCAAAACGTCTTAGTCATGACTCAGATCAAAGAGCGAGTTACTTGGGTCTGGAGACGGAAATGGACTTTGGAGAGGTCAAGATTCGCCGGTAAGTATTGGTACATATCGGGATGGTAAATGCGGCAAGAGCGAACACCTAGGTAATGGTTTCTTTTTGGAATGCTAGGGGACAAGGCCCGTCGTTTGCGGCAGCAAAATACACCCCTTTTTGAAGGGAATTGTCTCCACTGTTGACATTCCTAGATCCAGCATATATCCACCCAGAAATATTGTAAATCGTCCCTCCGGGCCTGTTCCCGCAGAACTGAATCTTGGTATAATCAGCCATACTCTTAGCGGATCCATCTTTCAGATCATTGAAAGTAACCTCGTCATCATCCACTCCCCAAGTAGGTGAAAGTATTGCGTAGTTCGGAATATCTTCGATCAAGGCCTTGGTCAGGTTTGACTCACCACAACTACCAAATTTCAAAAGGCGCATTGCCTCCAATTTAGATCTTGAGGCACGGTGAAAGGCGTATGCTAGGCGGAGAGGAACGTTCTCTCTTGGATTACTGAAGAGCTCTGTATTGCTTATTGAGGCATGGATTGCATGAGACAGGATGTGAGGGAGGCTACTAGGGAAAGCCGCGTGAGAGAAGACGTGCAAAGGGAATTTGCATCGTAAACCACAATCAAGATAGGTACAAGGCCGAGGTCAGGTTGCTAGCTTGGGTGGAAAGATGAGACTCGTGAGTCTGCAGCAGACATGGCTAGTTGATGGCTTTTGTAGACATCCGAATCTAAGGATGGCCATAACAATCATGGGCAGAGCATCTTGAAGAGTGTTCGATCAGGCTGAAGGGCTCAGGTATGCATCGTAACCCCCCGAGCCTGGACGGACCTTCTGAATTATCACGTGATTGACGTCAATTGAATGTGATTGGAGGCCCTGCGGAGCCTTGCCATTGGTCACTTCTTCATGCGTCCAGCCGCCGGCGAGATAACACGCACCGATGTCTATTTCTCGCCCACGCCAACCATCACTTCAGGCCCGTCGCCGCATCGGGAGCCACGTAGCGCGGCGGTCCTCGGCCTGGGCAACTGTGCAGATTCGACAACACACTTCAACTTAAGCACACTGCATGTCCCATGTTCTTCACTATGCTTCTCCGACTCTATTCACACTACGATCTTAGTTATACTGTCATTTGTATCGTAGCTGTCCACCAAAGCGCTTCGGCGATTAAGCCCGATTAAGGCCTCGCCCTCGATCGTCACTCTCAGCCTGATGGAGCATCTTGAACCTCAGTATCTCCATGTAGCCGTATTTCCTCTCTTGGTCCTCGTCGCACCTCTCTTTCACCCCTCGCGCGTTCTACCTCTCATCCCAATCCCACTACACAGCACGTTCTCTGCCGCTCAAGCAATGTTAAGTGGGCGTCACCTGTTCTCTTTGTAACGACATAGGTAATCGCCACTCTGGATGGACGGTGTTAGCCGATCACGGGTCAAGAGTGGCCGTTATTGATCACGGAGAGCCAGCCATTTCGGAAGCAATGTCTAGGTTCAGTCCGCGCTTCACCTCGAATTTCGGGTGGAGCGGCTGCTAGATCAAAGAGATTCGAGTACGGCACCCGTTGTCTTTGGCTAGATATAAGAACTTCAGAGACTTCGGCTGGGCCCGAGGCCCGCAGTTATTGGCATCAGATGATGCGGGAGAGGAACAAGTGTATCACCAAGCAATCAGACCATGTATCGACACCAGGAATCTTTCCTCTGCAGAAAACACAGCTGCCTCGACACCATACATACTCTAGCATAAAATGCCTCACCTTCAAGAGGCAGGACAAGTGTATCTATGCAATGACCATCTCGGCTGCAGATCTTTCATAAAAGTCGATGCAGAGGTGCTTAGTATCAAGGTGGTGGAGCAACGAAATGAAACCCTCAGGCTTTGCACATATCAGTGTTGCTTTGGGTTGGATTCCAGTCTCTGGAACTACTAAATTGTCCAGTCAATGGCGTTGTCGTATTCAAACCCTTGCCGGCAGAAAAGCGCGTTGAAACTAGAGCAGGCGCAGATGAACGCCGATTGTTGTACAATCGCTGCAGAGCCACGAATCTCTCATGGAGGGGCTACAATCGGGTCAGCTACTTTTTTGCACCAGGCCGCTGCCTAGCTGACATTGAGACGGTCTCAGTGAACCTTACTTGTGGAGTACTTAATCCGCAGTGTGATCTTGCATGGAACTCACTCATCTGGTTTCAGCGAGGAGCTTGTACATGATTGTCTTTCCATTTACTATTCAGCAAATCTCTATCCAGACGTTCCTTCCATGTCGTTGAACCGGGATGTTTTGGTTTTCGACCCTTCCGGAGATGTTTTCTTGTTGCTCGAGAGGGACGATGATCAGTCTAACCGTGAAGGAATTTTCATTCCCGCAGACAGCAATACTACAGCTCCTCCCGATGAAGTTCCTGAAAACGACGCAAACTCTATCGTATTGCACGCTGATGCGGACGAGAAATTATTGAATAACAAACTCGCAAGCTGCTCAACAGAAAAAATCACTCGAGAAATTGAGATGCAAGTGTCGTCAAAACATCTTTCACTTGCCTCCAAGGTTTTCGGCGATATGTTTCATGACAAGTCCTTGGAGGGAGTCGCCTCGAAGAGCCGAGAACTAGTAACAATTCCTCTCATGAAGGACGACTTCCATTCACTAGAGATTCTACTTAATATTGTACATGGGTTTACCAGAAGAGTTCCTCGACAAGTGGAGAGATGCGTCCTCTTGCAGGCTGTTGTGTTGATCGACAAGTATGAGTTTCATGAAGTAGCTGAAGTTTTCACGGACATGTGGTTTGAATCTCTTCGACCAAAAATTCCTCAAACTCTTCGCCAAGATTTGGCTTGTTGGGTCTACATTTGCTGGGAGCTGGGAAAATCAGAAGAGTTCAGTAAAGTGACCGAAATCGCGATCCTGGAGACCAACTACGCACTCGAAGATCAGGGCGCGCTAGTTCCTTTCTGGATTGTCGGTAAGTCCGCCCCGTGTGGGATTTTGCGAACACGTTCTGAAGTCTTGTAGATGAGATCCAGTCTCGTCGGCAAGATATATTAAGCGAACTCCTTCTTGTCCTTTCGGGACTCCTTGAAGTCTATGAGGGCACTCGTCGCCTATGTTACCAAAACAGCAATTGGGATGCGTTAGCACTAGGGAAACTTATAAAAGGCTTGAAGAGTGCTGGGCTTCATCCAGTTCCAGAGCCTTCGACCTTGAATAGATCTATAAAAGATCTTTTCTCTACGGTTCGAGAGATGGAACTCTCTCCATTGTGCAACGAACCCTATAAGAAAACCAAAAAAGACTACCGACACTCTAGCGATGACGGGGAAATATTCCTGAACTGTCATCAGAAGCAACAGCTGCGACATTCACTTTCAAAAATTGAAAGCAGGTTTCATGGATTAGACATGAACGACATGCGCAGAAAAAAAAAAGTTTGAAACTTAGGGAGAGGTTTGCGTCAGCATCATCCAGAGAGAATTCCCTGATATGTGAATGGCATCAGTCCGTTCCTATTCGTTGGTGACGAGTGACTATCAACAATCAGTGATTCCAGCTGCAATTTCGACTCGGTGCTGCCTAATTCCACAGAATATGGCTAAGAATTGCGTTAGGAAAGCAGTAATAGATTCGACCCGATACACGGTTCTTTTCATACGCGGTAGAAGAAGCACTGAAATGGTGCGTCCGAAACCCTTGGTTATACTATTCCTACTTGTTATATTGGTAGTCTATAGCCACAATATAAGTGCCTGGACTGGTAACGCTTGCGGTCGTTCCCGAAGCCGCCCTCCGTCCCGGCTGAGGTCTATAGTCTGTTGGGGATTGTCTAAAAGGGTTAAGAATTATGCCATTTCCAGACAGGAACTGGGATCTCTTAGCTTATATGCTTGTTAGATACCCTATCCGTGACGCCCTTCCCCTTGCGGATACATTGTAACTTTCTCTCCATCAAAAAGATAATGTAATAAGTGGGCCATGAGAAGCCTTCGCTCATCCCCAAGAATCGAAACCGTATTTGGAGAGCAGGTTTTTCGTTCGCGAGTATTCATGTACTGTAGGTGACACACGGGTGCCAAGACTATGTGGATCAGCCCTAAATAGGCTAATGCAGCACGGATGGCTTGAGCGTCGAAAGCCGGCCAAGACACCAGGATAGTCCGTACAATTGGCTGTGTACGTTACACAACCTTAGCAGTTGGAGCGCTTCATGTGACAGGAACAAAAAAATCTCCGAGCAGCCTGGACGCTGCGCAGGCCAAGGATCGCCCCGGACCATGCCTTCATGAAACAGTGCGCAAAAACAACACCCTTCATCAGCGTCCAATCGACAGAACAGCTCGGGCATTCTGCAAACCACCTCTTTCCGACTATGCCACTGGAGACGGATGTTCGCAGTGTCGTGGCATTGAATTGAATCTAGGGGTTAGTCCTAAATGGGCCTGTTTTCGCACGGGGGATTATTTTTTCTTTTTGCCTTTGCTCGTTCCTATCCTCCCTCATTCTATAAGTATATGGAGCATTGCGCAATCACGCACATTCGCGTCTGATTTTGTAAACAAAGAAATGACATAATAGCTTTTTAAACATGACTCCCAACATCAACTTGTCCTTTACGGCGTTCTTTGGTAAGAGCATGCCCTCGGTCTGACAGACGTGTTGTGTCCAATCATCTCACAACCACTTGACAGGTTCCATCACACTATCCTTCTGCGGCCACCAGGACAACAAAAACGGTGAAGGCGAGAGCTCTGATGGGGCAAGGGCGAGAAAAGATCAGACAGGGGTCAGTATACATCACTGCATTCATCCGCTTGGGATATGGCAATAATGCTCAGGTTCCAAGGCAGATGGGTCAGGCGGCGACCCACGGAGACCTGAGAGATTCCACTCCTCGTCGAATCGGCCAAAGGGCTGACGGGGAGTTGGATTTTAGGTATGTCTCGAAAGGTATTAAAGGGAAGACCTTGACACTCACGCTCACTTGGAACAGTAGCAGCTGCGGTGAATCTGTGCTCCTTATGCTAGACAATAGCTAGTTGAGGAGGATGGGATGTCGAGGGAAAAGGTATTAGGGGAGGATGAAGTGATTTGTTTTGATTTGGACAACCGGACAGCTGGGCTGGTCTGCGTGCGATCGATTCGGCATTTCCTAGAGCGTTCGTTGCATATACGGGCAAGAGGCTAGCGTATTCTCTGATCTTTATTTTTCATTGCTCGCTCCGTTGTTCAGAACGCTAGCATGGCCAGAGTCTCTGATTTCCTTTGTTTCCGCGTTCTTACCTACGAGGTTAGTGAATGGGAAGATTCATGGCCATGCCATTCGTCCTCTGTAATTTCTTGCCGCCGGTGCAGTTAGTGAGATCATTGCGTTCTTTGTTTCTTTACCTCTAATGACTGCGATTACACGAAGTTCTGACGTTCTGGTATGGCCGGACTCAGGCTGCCCGAGCAAAGGAACTTGTACATATGGAAGCCACTGGGGTCGTGAAAAGTTTGGCGCATAGAAAACATCTAGCCGAGGTAACAAGGGTTTTAATAGGTGACAGGTTGCCGCAGTGCAAGACCAAGTGGAGTGAGCCTAATTAGGCTAGCACAATGTTCTAGAGTACTGATTTATTGGCTGCCTCCAAGCTGCTTGCCAAGGCTGGCAACACCTGAGTCTCAGCCTTGTTCCTCATTAGCCTGTGTTTTGAGAAGCCCCTATTAGAGCCCCTAGACGACAAATATCTGCTTACATTGTCGAACAACGCCACATCTCGTTATCAAGTTTTCTTCAGTCGGCCCGTTTAACTCGGGTCTTCCAAGTCACACTCTCATGGTCATTGTGTTCACACCAAACCAGCCAGATTGCTAGTCAACCTTCCCGTCATTCTACGATGTCGCCGCCGGGTACCTCAACGTCGAGTCAGCATTCCTCAGCCGACACCTTGCTGAAAGCTTTACTCCACGGTAACAGCGACGACGTAAGGCGCCATCTCAAAGCGTCCGGTGGTGTGAATGTGGAATTAGATGGGTGCGGCTACACCGGGACGGCTCTTCATTACGAGGCGTCCTACGGCACAAAGGAAATGGTCTCGGTTCTACTGGAGCACGGCGCAGATATCAACTTCTTGTCGAAAGATAACAAATCCGCCATCGACCTGAACTGCGAGGCGGGACAATGGGACAATTTCGACCTTCTATGTCGCGAGCCTGATGCGAGGGTTCGAAGATCCCGTACGGATGCCTTGCCCAGATCCCTCTCAATTAGTGGTGGAATTGCGGGATCGCTAGGACTCATACACGCGTAGCGTGTCGCTAAAGGACTTCGAGGACGCCGTGCACACTGGACAACTCAGGCTAGAAGGCTGACCAGGCGACCTGATCCCTTATGAAGATGAAAATCCTCATCTGGTCGGTGAGTTATCCCCCCTCAGACGTCTACAAGAAGGTGAGACTTTAGTCTGATGGTAATCCATTTTTTATTTATTTATTTTTTTTTTTTAAAAAAAAGGTCTCTTCCAGGATACGAATGCAGTTTCAGCTTCGTTGTCAAATCAGGAGAACCGCGCAGAGAGAGTGATCGCGTATACTTACTCGGCAAGAGACTTCACATACGAGAGGGACAAGATCATCGCATCGGCCGGTATTGAGGACAAGATGGGCAAGTTGCTGAACGATATCTGCTTCATGGGGATCTGGAAGAAGGATATGGTCCGCTCCCTCATCTGGCACATCAGAAATCCATTGCGTAACAGGCCAGTTGGCTTTGCCGTGCCTACTTGGAGCTGGTACGCCGTCTGCAGCCCGCTCTTATCTGGATTTTGGGACGCTTTCAACGACAATCCGGACCAGCTACCCGAGGCGTTGATCAGCGAGTCCTTCGACACCGAAGCCCAAGTGCTGGAGGTCAACATGGAGCCGGAATCGACTCAGGGCCATAGCCATATCAAAGGCGCCATCAAAATGAGAGGAACCATTGTCAAGGCCTTTATGTCGAGCGACAGAGGATATTCTTCCCACGGCGCAAAGGAGCAGGGGCAAAGCTAGTCAAAGACTTGGCTCAAGGAGACCTCGCCGACGTTCCATATGACAGCCACGATCCTAGCCACGTCTACGTCTGGAAGCCGCACTTTCCAGACGTGCGCAGCGATCCTGGTTCACCAGGGTACAAGGAAGTTCGGTGTCTCGTTCTCGGTAACGGAGGATATTCGGGGCGCAACATGTTTTGCTACACGGCATTAGTGCTCGAGGCTACTGGCCAAGGGGACGAGTATCGGCGCGTCGGCTTATGCTCCGTCAATCCCAGGCAGATATGCGGTAACCGGCATTTTCAGCGCCGCAAGCGGCTTATTCGAGTTCCGCGGGAATGTTGGAAGCACACTGATTGCATGGGCAGCGTCTGCACGATCAGCATCGTCTGAATGCACGATGACTGTAAAAGAGAACGAGATATGCTTGAGCCTCCTCAAACCACTGGATTTAGAGACAAAATCCACGTCGATAGAATAATCTAACGATTCTTCAACCTTTGGGCTCCTAACAGCGACAAGACCTTGGTCTTTACTGTATAGAAACCCAAGAGGTCATAGAGAGGCGTGGATTCTGATCGAAATGAAAGTGAAACAAATACCGAAGGCTTGGACAAATGCTGTTTTTCAATTGAGGTCGATTGTTAGCTAATACTGGATTCAAAGGAGTGGAAGTAATGCATAGAAATCATAAAAGCCATCATAACCATCAGAACATTTCTGTGTACTTTTGGGCACGTCAGCCTCCCTCCTAGCAGCTCCTAGCTTCTGGTGACAGTAAACAAATTTGCGTCGCACGATCATCGTCCACGACGCGACCACAATCCTTACTCCCCAATTCGCGGAGCGCCACCTTTCCAGTCATAGCGCTCATAGTATCGGAAGACCAAGTCGTAACCGTCGAGGTCGTGAACGATACGATCGACGCGACGGTAGCCTCTGATGGCATCCATTTTGGTAATGCGACGAGCAGCCTGTCGCTCCAAGATCCTGATTTGAGCCAGCTCGTCATGGTCAGCATAGGCCTTTTCCTCGAGAGCAGAGGTAGCTTCGAAAAGAGTGACAGTAAATCGGCCAGGCTTGAAGATGTCCACGACATGCTGAATGATGTCAGCTGTCTCACGACCCTTCTGGCCGCAAGGCACATTCGTCTCGAATGATGCATAAGAGCAGATTGGTTCTGGAGTCACATGAACAGTGAAGTAATGAGTTCCTTTCTGTCCGTTGGGAGCCGGTATGACGCCATTGGCCGAAAATCCGCATGGAGTAAAAAGATACGCATCGACTCGAGCATCCGGATACTTGTCTGCCGGATAGACATCAGACAGGCCGCACGACTCGGACACCACAGTCCCAAGGGCATGCCCTTCGGTGGTGAGTTCAGAAGGAAAGGCCTCTTCTTTGATGGAAACATCGCTGTCGTCAGATGAGGCATTGCTGAACACATCGATGTAATCGTCTCGCCCTCTTTGAGATCCTCTCCACTGATCTTCTGCGACCGCACTCGCATGGTCGAGGTAGAATTGACGAGCATTCTCCTCGTCCAAATCAGTCATGAGGATCTCGAGAGTTTCATCTTCACCTTCGCACACCTTCGAGCCACGGTCGACCACCAGCGGCGACGGTAAATCAAATACTTTGGTCTCAGTTCCTGGACTGCCCATGCTCTGTGGGCTTGCTGGTGGGGTCAGCATGGTGTAAGGCTCAGTTAGGTACAGATACCAATGCTCGCCGTTCATCTTGCCGATCATGTACGCGCTTCCCCCGATAAAGAGTTTATCAAGAGTGTACACTTCATCGCGCCAACTGCGATGGGGTCCACGTTGGCGGTCAGGGAATAGGTAGTTCTTGCGACTGTAGAAAACGCGGTATGGAGCGGCCGCAACGGCGATGCCGTTGGATGGTGGAGCAGTCACACGTGGAAAGCCCCCAAAGAGGACCGCGATCTCGAGAATCCGTGGCAGACCGCAAAGCAAGGTGGTTGTACCGCATGTCTTTAGGATAAGTTTGTGGGGGAAGACAAACATGCTCGACTCAGAGAGTAGATAAGCATCGACATCTTCGGATTCGACAATGGATAACACTTTGCAATTGACCAGATCAAGCATCGTCTTCCAGACTTCTGCCGGTACCGCCTTGAGTCCGGTGGGCTCCGAGCACCCATGGAGGGCATCTGGCGAGGGACTGAACCATACTTCTAAAAGTTTCTCGGGACCTTGAAAGTTGTCAGTTTTAGGCCGATAATGGCGAACAAGAATGACTTGCCTTCAAAAGCATTGCTCGAGTCAAGATCTAGCGCAACTTCACGATTGATAGTCAACGATGGAGTGTGACTAAAACTCGACGGTGAAGTTGTGTAATTCTTGGGGATCCCAATGTGTACCATATCCTTGTCGAAGGTGCGGACAAAGTCCTCTCGGTTGTTGCTAACTGTGGAGTGTTGTGGGCAAGAAGGTGAAAGAACACTGATCTGACGATTCAGTGAAGCACTATCTGCCACCCAGACGAACAATGCGGTGTCCGCCTGAGAAGAGAAGGCCCACTATGCGGTGGGAGAATTGGAGGCTGGCTTTTGCCAGCAGCAGTGTGTGATGCGGTCTGAAATCCCTTCTGAGGGGTCGTTATGGAGGCCTGGTGGAGGAGAGGAGGAAGAAGATTTCCTGCACGAACGGAATTGTGGGCAGTGTTTGGAGACTCTTTCTGGTCAAACTTCGATGCACGTCAAAGTCCCGCAAGAGATGGGTGTTGTTCCTTCAGAAGGCTCTGTTCGAAAGGGCAATAAATGTGAGGTTTTCGTTCTGATCCCGTAAGTAGCAGGTGTTATCGGGGCCTGCTTGTCGAGTTAGCACAATGTTGGTCAATGGGAGCAGAAGAAAGACGCGCTTTGCTGGCTTGGATAGGAAGCGAAGCAAATCCTTGCGGCTCATAGAGATGCTACTAGAACTTGCTGGAGGCAAAGACGGCTGTCACAGCCTGAGCATCGAGTGAACCGCTGAACTGGTGGAGTTTGCCAGAGCTGCGATTGTGATGGTGAAAATTGTGGGCGGGCTGTGGGAAAAAATGCCTCAGTGGGAATTTTTCTGACCGCTCAATAGATAGTGTGACTGCGACTGAGAGGATTGATCAATTGACACGGGCAGATGAGGATGGTGAGTCCAGCAATGTAAGAATTGAGGCTTTCAGAGGAGGTGAAATGGTAGAGGGCTTGGTGGAGGATCAAGAAGAGGCGAATTTGTGTGTTGACTGTTGATGTTCGCACCAGAAAAAGAAGCAACAGCTTTGTGTGTGATGGCGCTGATGAGTAACTGAGTAAGTGCGTGAGTGGACACCGCAAGACACTGCAGACACCGCCAGATGGAAATTTCGGGCTCGGAGGTGAAGCCCAGTGGCCAGTGAGGAGCCCAGGAACCCCGCCGCCTCGGCACCCATGACGAAAGGCCCCCGGCGCTGTGAAAATCTTGATTAGCGGCAGGCCATCAGACCAGGGGGGCAGGGAGAGGGACGGAGGGCGGAAGGGGGAGGAACGAGGGGTACTGCAGGCGCAGTCACTCACGTCAGCGCTGGCACCAGGCGGAACTCCCAGAACAGCCAATATGAGTGGTAGAAACGGAGTGCATGGTTACTCAGGGCGAGGAATTCGCTGAGAGACAGCGAATGCGTCTGGGCAAGCTGCGTGAGCTACAACTGAACAAGTCCTTACTCCTCGCCTCGTCCTAAGTGCAAGCACGTGCTCTATCAAACTTAAAGTGCAAATGGCATGACGGACTCTCCTACTAGTAATACTACTTGTAGGCAAGTCACCAACGACGGAAATATATCTAGCTGTCCTCGCTGTCTCTGAAGGCAAATCACATGATACAAGTCCTCATTATTGATGGAATTGACATCGTCTGCAGTCTGAGCATCCTCCATCTCACCCATGAAGCTGCGGAAAATAAACTATTGATGCCCCTCCAATGCCCATTTTCTGGTGCCTGGACCGCTTAACGCCACCCCCGCCATGTTCGCACCCTGGCGGCTTGGGCTCCTAGGACTAAGGGCCACTAGGCTACCGGGCTCCCCGAGGCTCCCCGAGGTTCCCAATCTAGTAGCTCGTCAGGCTGCACCAACCGCCCAATCACGCCCACCAAGGCTGAACTTCAGCAGCAACGCCGCCACCCGGCAATCTCCGCCTGCTTAACAATCCTTTGTCGCAGGGGTGCATTGCACCAACTGCGTCAACCGCATTTTATTTTTCAATTCCCTGTCCCTCCCTGCCCTGATCTCGAGCACAATGTTTTGACAGTCACCTCTTTACTTCCACGTCAGCCATGGGTCTCGAGAACATTAAGCACGTCGTGCTCATCCTGTCTGGCAAGGGCGGTGTCGGAAAATCCAGTGTTACTCTCCAACTCGCCCTGTCCCTCACGCAGCAAGGTCAAAATGTCGGAATCCTTGATATTGATCTTACCGGCCCCAGCATCCCTCGCCTTCTCAATCTAGAAGACAAGAAAGTGACCCAGGCCCCGGGCGGTTGGCTGCCGGTCGAGGTACACGATGCAAGAGAAGCTACAGACAATGACACCCACAAAAGAGGCTCTCTGCAGGCCCTGTCCTTAGCATTCCTCCTTCCTTCCCGCTCTTCTGCTGTCATCTGGCGTGGACCAAAGAAGACCGCAATGATAAGACAGTTCGTGTCAGATGTCCTATGGCCACCAAACACAGACTACCTTCTCATTGATACTCCGCCTGGCACAAGTGACGAGCACATTGCTATCGTGGAGGAACTCCATAAACTTGCTGCCGATGTCCGGCCCGTGACGACTTCCAATGGCAATGGCTTGGCACTCGAGATTGATGGCAGGCCAAAACTCTCCGGGGCAGTAGTTGTCACGACTCCACAGGCCATCGCGACAGCTGATGTGCGCAAAGAGTTGAATTTCTGCGTCAAAACTCAAATACCAGTGCTTGGAGTCATCGAAAACATGGCAGGATACATGTGCCCTTGCTGTGGCGAGATAAGCAATGTTTTTAGCAAAGGCGGAGGTCAGATCATGGCGAGCGAGGCCAATGTTCCCTTTCTCGGCTCAGTCCCTATCGATACTGGCTTTGGGGCCTTGGTCGAGGGCGTAAACGATCTGCCAAATGCTACGAACGGCAACCCAGCAACAAAGGGGCATGGCCCTGAGAGGTCCGCAGAATTGGTCGAGAGATACAGAAGATGCGGATTGTGTCCCATTTTTGCAGATTTCGCCACAAGGATAGATCAGAGAATACGCAACCCGCCAGCCTCGTAAACAACAGCGTTCGCCCACCTCATCGTGGGACACATATCACGGTCCAAATAAGTCGCGACGTCACTGGGAACAGTTCCTTCCGCAACCCACCCATTGGGTGGTAGCAAAGGGCTAGCGACATGACTCGAAATCCAACAAGTCAACTATGTTCTTCTGCAAATTCGGCGGGGTCCATGCAAGAGCGGTGACTCGCGGTTCCCTAAGTCTCTGGGGCCAGCCGCGGACTTTGGGGTTGAAACAATCATGTTGTTATGGGCCAATAACTTTAGCCCTCTGCCTCTTGAGCTGAACCGCTGCATGGGACATTGCTACAAATGCCCTATGCCTCCCGCAACTGCGGAGATGGAACGTCTTCACTTCTCTGCTTGCTATATCAACAGAACGTGCTCACAATAAGACGCGAATGCAGTGTCTTACTAAAGATGAGTTTTCATGTCCTAGAAGTCACAGTGCAACCACTCGCAGATGTCGCCTCTCCTGCCAGTGGCATTGACGAATTGATCCGCGCAAACAGAGAACTGCACGCAGTTGTGCTTGAGCTCAAAGACTTGCTCCAGGACTCTGCCCGTCGTGTCTCTTATCACGGCGTGCCTCAACTGGTATCATCCCAGATACAATCTAAAACGCAATCTTTTACTACCGAACGTTCCCTCACCCAGAGAAGGTTCCTAAAAGGATGGCAGCGAAAAGAAGGTTGCTGTAGTGCTATATAGGCCTCGGCCAAAGTTAGATTTCAGTGAAGAGAATGCAGCAGCACGTCAGAGACACCAAATGCGATGTCACTCTGAAATGCGACAACTAAAGGAATATATCGATTATACATTTATATCTTTCCTTCCGAGCTTCTACCAACATGAGATAGAAGCATATGAGCGCTCACAGATGTACCATATCATTGACCCATTCCATTGGTGGGGTCGCCTTCATCCTCCACATGATGCCCACCGTCTGAGGGTTTCCGAAGATCCCCATTTCCATTTCTGCCAACACAGATCACTATTGCCATGAGTTCATGGGCTCTTTGTTTGATTTTCGACAGCAATTGGTCTGAACACCTTCCCCAAACGCTCTGGCTGCGTGAACTGGAACACACGTTTGGTTATAAGTTGCATCGCCTCAAAGATCACTCGGGTTCAAGCGAGCCTAGCAAAGAATTGAACGTCAAAGTTGGACGCTTTTCCCGCGAACTGGCCAAGACATGGCCGATTATGCCCATGGTAACGATGCCACGGAAGTTATCAAACGGACTCACACTCTAGAGACATTGTATGAGCGATGTAAAGAGTGACATGACGCAGACCTGGAAATTCAAAATGCAGGAAAGCAAACAAGCGTCTGTCTCGATCGAATATGGAACGTATTACGATGTCTAAAGCACGTTGCTGTGATCCCCGAAGAACTCCCCTTACTGGATGATGAGTCGATGAGCCAGTTCATTCTCAATATTCTGGACAGATCTTATGTGCGTGACGCCCATCCTTCTCGAAGACGCCGATCATTTCTCTCCGAAAGAGTTGTATCTCAAGACTTTGACGGAGTTGGGTGGATTGAAAATTGCGCGGATGGATCTGTACATTCAGCATCTCGGTGGCATTCGCGACTGATCTGAAGCTCAAAAACCTTTCTGCTTTTCTGGATTATCAGTACCCTTGGTCAATTGCCACTTTTCATTCACCGACCGCAATGGATGAAGGACGGCACTGCCACAGAACTGCCAGGCTTGGACAGATACTCGCTAAAATCCCCAGCGCTCCTGAGAGAACTTCAACAAGGCTATATCTGTCCTAGTTGGTTCTCACAACTTCTTTCACTGGCGTTCCGGTTATCTACTTCTTCGTACGGAATGTAGCTCACGGGCGCCGCAAACCAATCTCGTGATGGTTTTCTCGATCGGATGACCAAGAGCTCCAAAAAGATGGAACATTTTCCGCTTTAAGCTTGAGCGGCAATCTTCCGTACAGTATTTGTCAGACTCTGCAGGGTTTGCCTTTGCAGATGAAGCCGGAGCACAAGATTAGATTATACAACGGGCCCTCTCCCACGCTCAAAGAGCGTTCTCATCCCCCCATTTGATATCCATTGGGTTAAGAGAGGGGGAGACCCGAGAATCGAGGAGAGCAGATCCATCGCATTCAAGATAAGGGGGCTTGTGGTAGTCCAATGATGATGATGGCAATGACGATGAAGATAAGGATGGGCATTTAGTCTGAATTATACTATTGATCAAGTCGATGGCACCGATCATTTGCGTCCGGCCCGCCATGTGGAACGTGTTTGCGTGAACGTCAATGTTGTTCTACCGCAGCCAGTCGATTACGGCGCGGTCGCCGCGGTAGAGGTGCCGGGTCGGGGCGTTGTCGTGCGGCGCCACCAGCATGCAGGCCGAACCGTAGGCTTCGTTATTTGAGAGGTACCCTGGCGGTCGGTAGACAGGGAGGTAGTGGTGACCAGTACAGTGACCCGCGACAGCAAGAGCAGTGCACATGTTCCGTAGGCGCCGCACAGCGCCAGCGGGAAGATCAGCGCAATCACGAGCACATGGCAGAATACAGTGCACAATCGCTCTGAGAGGGTGGAGGTCGCGGAGCCCTTGCTGCCGGGGGAGGACTTATTGAAGCGCAATTCGACAAGATGTAGCACCTGTGGACGGCAGAAGGCGATGTTCTTGGGCATGGGCATGTTGGTCGAAGACTTTCCTCCTAGTTTTGCCCGCTGACGTGAATTGACAGCAGTACTGTCGAAAGGTGATTGGGAGCTGGAACAAGCGCTGTGCGACGTTGACTTACCAAAATCAACTCGAGCGCATATTTGACTTGGGGATAAATATCCCTTCACCTTCCTCAGCCTCACGAGCCTGACTCGAAGATTGAATCCCACTGCATCCGAATTTGGTCCTACCCACCTCTGCTTGCTCCACCTTCGTTCTCTGCCCTCGACACAGGCGGCCTTTCTCGCAAAGGTAACCATTTCGTTCGTCCAAGCAGCAGTCGATCCAGCTATCCTGGGTAAAAGCGTCATGGATTCGGCATGGACGAAGAATCTCAAACTCGAACTTGCCTCGCTCACGCAGCCAGATTGTCGCACCTTCATTCGTCAGCGGGCCTTTGCGTGCATTGCCGACTTTGAAACGGGTGGAATTGACCTCGCCTCTTCTGAGTTTAAATCTTTCATGGCTCTATCCATCGGTGAATCCATCTATGTTGAACGGCCTCTCTTAACCGATCCATCTGGACCCGGTGAACCGAACAAAGTCATCCGTCTTGATGGAAATGTAAGCAAGTCGGGCCTGATGCTCATGATTCCACCTGCAGAGCCAATGATCTCAGAGCCCAATCCTGACAGTTGGCGTATCGTCGAACGAGAAGAATATGAAGGACAACCAGAGGACTGTTTCTCGAGAACCAGTCTGCACTTGTCATTCACAAACTGGTCTGCTCCCGTCAGTACTGGTGCTGCTGGACGAGGTCGTCGTAGTGCTGAAGCCTGCCTTGTGGAGACTCTTGTATCTGTCCCCGACCGGGGCCAATGGATTGGAGACCTAGATGTGTTGACTGCTCTGCGGCGAGGCTGTTCGCAACCAGATCACAAGTTCTTCTACTGTCACCCTTGTGGTCATGATCTTAGCCGGTTGGGAGAGAAGCAGTCATACCCAGATTGCATCGTGGCTATCAGGTCGTGGGAAGAATTTCTCGACAGGCCCAATAACCCAGCAGTGGTCCAGGCACATGAAAACTGGGAAGCTACGCTTGCTGCTGCAGCCATGGGAGTAGCAAGAGGGGATAGTGTATTCTTCTGCAGAGGCGCTGTCTGTCAAGATTGCCTTCTCAAGTTGGAGACCTTTGGAGGGGAAGATCTCATTTTAATCGAGCATTGTTCATCGCTTGATAACACAAGCTATATTTCGGATGGACCCCGGACAAGAATGACCGAGAAAAGGGGCATCTGGAAACTAAAGCGACAAACCATCAGAGAATGAGGCTATTAATAGAGCTATCACGACGTCAGAGTGGAAGAAGAAGTATTCGTGTCAAGACCTTACTGTCTTGACGAGATGATAGCCCTGTTTTGTATCGAACACCGTATGTTTGTCTCTGGAGCTACTCGGGGGTCCTCTATTGTTAGACGAGAAACTCTCAAGTTGATTAAGTAAATGGCCATCTTGCCTGTGTCTAATCAGCTGTGTCCATCTATCCATCTACGCCTTTAGCGATGTCCTTTCTCTCTATATAAACATTTGGTCTGTGGCAGGAAGGCGCTTCCTAAGGGTGCCTCGATGAGTATATAATCGTCCAGCCTAGCGTTGTAGAGTGGTCTAAGAACGCCTCCGTATACATGTTGAACCAATGACGGGCGTCAGGGAGCCTGGCTGATTCCCTGCCCTTACGGTACTGCCTAAATTTCCCGGTAACCTTGGACCTAGCGGTGTTTACAGGGCGCGCGGCTGAGCCGCACGTCGCAGAACAAGGAACCCGACTAGGCTAAAGGGGTGGTCCAGGCGCCGAAACGCCTGAGGTTGGATGTCTGTGCATACTGGCACCCGTGCACGTCTTCAAGCCTTTCCGCGGCACGGCTTGTGGATGGTATTATGAAGTACTGCTCACCAGAATGATGTTTTCGGCTGATCTCAATAATGCGCATAGGAATGTGTTTGGCAAGAGGCCAACTACGTCCCGGCAGAGCGGCTCATTTCGCCATGGACAAGAGACATTAACAGCGATTTAAGCAAAGCTTGGATATCGACACATAGCAGTCCTCTATCCTTTCTCTCTCCGTTTCCTCTTTCCTGTCCGCCGATCGCTTCTTCTCATCTCGTCCACTTCGCGTCCGAGTCGACAATCCACACCCTACCTTAAGCCTCCTTCTGCCTTACGAGCCCCCTCGTGGCTTTCTCTGGCATCTTCGTCCGAAGTTGGAGAGCGTGGACCCCGCTAGGTCGCTCGAGTTCTTCCTTCAGGAGCGAGTAGACCATCCTGTGCCGCGTGGGCTGAGGTTTAGATTGGCATGAGGGCGATGCGATATCGAGATTGACTCCGTGTCGGGGGGGGGAATTTTACGGGGAAGACAATAACAAATATTGAGTGCAGTGGCGAGGCAAGTAGTGAATGAACAAGCGGACAGAGGATTAACGATGGTGTGTTTTTTTTTTCTTTTTGTTTTTTTCTCCCAAAAATAGAAAGCGAAGTAATCAAGTCGACTCAGGGGCCGTATCGACAGCTTGCTCGGTGGCCCACTGATTGATAGCAGTACACAAATGTATGTCTTGTCCCACCTGGCGGCTCGGCGTCATTGGAGATGTCTCGGCTTTTCCCACCCTGATCGTGACGAATCTTCATGAGCGAGGTGTTTATTTATTCACTGTCTTGTCTTTAGCCTGGTTTCGGATGCATTCTTTTTCATCTCGACGGTGCACAAGCCTTCTGAGGATGCTTAAGATCAAGAAGGGACCGTGATGCTTCAGTACTCAAGGTTGAAAGCAAGGCTGTCTTCCGTTATTTCCTCCCGCATATTGTGAAGCCTGCGAATATTATCTTATCCGTTCCTTTGGCTGGAGTTGTATCGATGTGGCTCACTTGAGATGTTCCGGGTTGATCGCCCATGCCTTGATAGTTTCTCTTTTGTCCACGGTGAGAAAGATGCCCATATTGTAGCCCTTGGTCCTCTCCATATCAAGAGCAGGTCCGATTTGCAAAGAAATGACCCCTGAGTCACGAGATTAACGCCAAATCCTTGATCCCAATGGTGTCTCCAAGGTCCATACCGGGCACTAGGCACGTTACTCTTTTTGCTTCGTCGACAAATGCCTGTTTTTGGTCCTCGGTGACCCCAGGCTTGGTTTTGAACAGCACTATGACGTGATCTCAGTCAGGAAACGACCTGGTCGTTGACCATCATGGGATCAAGGCATACCCATGCGGATAACAGGCATTTTATTGACAAGAGGCTCCGAGAAATAGTTAGAGTTAATGTCACCGGGCGTCTGTCCAGGGAACGATGACGATACAAAGGAACGACCTGCGCCACGGAATAGGACAGCTACTTAACTGGTTTTACACCCACTGCCACGTTCAAGATCATTCCTTTAGCCCTCATTAGGCCACCGGCCATGTTCATGCTTTCCTGATTCTTAGGGAGACAAAACAGGTCGCCATTTGCGATGGGTATGTGGCGGATAGCGGAATGCGGAGGTGATGCAAGGGCGGGAAAACACGGCTGGTGACGGACCTGGGTCGGGGGCCGGGGGTCGTTTGGTTGCTGTTAGGTTCAGCCTCCCTAGCCCCATCTTCTGCTTGAGGGCATGCATGCTGCGCGGCAGCACCAGACATCGGAAGCGACCAGGACTGGCTTCCTGTGGCATCATTTGACTGCAGCAAAGTTATCTTGGTGTGGGCCATGCACACCTCCATAACTCTAAGCCAATCATCCCCCTTAACACCCCCAGCTTTCGCTAATGGAAATGCGGGGATACCGCTGGCGTTCAAACCCAGATACAAGAATCCATCACTGCCCGTCTTTCCACTGACGGCTACTCACGCCCCTCTACCTCTTCCTCTGGTCCTCAGCACGGCAAAGTTCGGAGCACGATGGTCTCACTTCCTGGTCCAGAGACTTCAGCTGCGCCATCGGAAGGCTCGGGAGTCCCCGCAGTCGGCAACTCGTCACGGAATCGGTACCAACGGACCTACCAGGCTTGCCTGCATTGTCGAAAGCGGAAGGTGAAGTGTGTGCCCAAGGACGACGGTGGCCAGTTGACGCCTACGTGTGTAAAATGTCACCGCGAGCGACGAGTATGCGTCTTCACCCGGGAGCGGAGGATTCATCATAGCCTGGCGAGCCCAGAATCGTACATGGAGAATCTAGAGACGAGCAGAACTGTCCGGACTGTGTACGGTACGATCAGTCCCGGCCTTTGCTTGATTTCGAAATTTCGGCCCACCTCGAGACTCGAAACCTGAATCTTAGAATCTCAGTGACTGATCACTGATCACAGATCCCTCGGATGACGCGGTCCGCAGTCAAGCACCGCAAAGGAAATCCCAGCATAACGTCGACAAGGCACCGCTGCCTAGGAGTGAAAGCCAGGAGCCAAGTATGTTGCTGAGCGTCCCCTCCAAGATGTAACCTTGCACCTGACTGAGAAGTAGGCCATGCTACGAATCACAATGAATGGCAAGAATGCTTGATCGAGGGAGTCATACAGTCTTCTATCACGAATCAAAGAGATGCCCTTAATCTCCTCTATACAGCGGTCGAGCATTCGGATTCTGATCCTGCCACAGTGGGCTCGGATTCGAGACCTCTTTTGGACCCATCAGGGACGGACGAGAACCTTCTGCATGGGGACCGGATTCCAAACGCTCCAGTAAAATTAACGGAAGAATGGTGCACCGTGCGATATCAACTGTCGAAACCTCAACCACAGGTCTTGCAGGCGTGGAGTACATGTCCATTTGTCATGCAAAGATGGATGACTCCTCTGGAGGCCGTTACGTGGGTCGACTTGTTTTTCCAAAATATCGCCATCCTCTCCCCCGTCATGGATGACTTTTACCAGCCTCACGAAAACCATCATAGACTCATCAACGAGGAGCCAGTCCTCTGCTCTACCATCCTCATGGTCTCTTGTCGGTATCACCACTTGACGGGAGATGGGAGTCTGTCTCGCGGATTCCTCTTACATGAAAGACTGTGGAAGTATTGCCAGACTTTATTCAATCAGATTTGGTGGGGGGAAGAGCGAAGGACGCGACCTCATATCAGGACCGTGGGCGCCATCCAAAGCCTGTTTCTCTTGGCCGAATGGCACCCGAGACCATTCCACATGACCTTTGATACGTGTCTGTGGACCGCAACTCCCCAAGATCCTACAGGAATTGGACAAAGTGAGCCTCACAAATCATTGTATAGCATCATCACTGATGAAAAGGCCTCACAGTCCCGAGCAGCTGGCATGAAGGATTGTCGGAACCTGTCCGGAAGTCGAACCGGATGTCATGGTAGGATGCTTGCCTGTCTTCCTCTTTTCCTTCTTTTTAACCCGCCTCAGGATGCTGGTTTCATCTGCTCTTGCTCTTGCGCATGAAATTGGCTTGTTCAACGAAACATCGTCCGAGTCGGCTCCTAGCAGGCATCCAGAGCCCACCGAGAGATACGAACGGTTGAAACGACTCTTCTTCGTCTTCATCAACAACGTGACCTCTCGGCTTGGATGCCAGGCGCCCAAAACTCCATTGTTTCACACATTAATCTTGTCAGTTCTCGATTATGCGAAATGGACAGACAATGCAGAATGGAGCGATTGGATGGGGTCGTGGATTGATCTAACTAGGATTGTGCGATCTTCTTCAGAAATACTTTTCCCAAACGAGGTTCTCACAAAGGACCTCTTGCAGAACGGCAGATATAGTGAACTTTTGGGTCATTTTAATCATGTCCTCGACCAGTGGCTGGAAAAGTATCCCCGAATCTCAGGAAAGCTCCTTCGGGACTGTGATTTGACAGGGATAGATGCTAACGTGGACGCAGGCCCCAGCGTGCGGTACGATATCGTGTACATCGAGTATCAATATGTCCGCATCTACATCAACTCTCTCGCCATGCAAGCAATTGCAATGCGCCGGAAAAACAAGGCCAACTCTCTGTTGTTGGAACATTGTGATATCTATCCTCAAGACCACCACTTTGTTCGTCAAGTTTTGGACGCATGCACGACGGTCTTGGAGATGGTGATGAAGCACAGCAGGTTGGGGTATTTGAAATTCTTGCCCGTCCGTGTCCACATACAGATTGCCTCCGCTGCGGTCTATTTGATCAAGGTCAGTGGCTACTCCTTGTCCTCGTTGTGGGAGAGCGGTTGTCACAAATCGCTTCTCAAATGACTATCTGACGGTGTTGTTGGATCAGGCTCTGGCCTTGGGTGTACAAGCAGAAGAACTCAATGGCAGATTCCTCGACCTGCTGGAACAAACCGCACACAAACTACGATCTGACACGGTCGACGACATATATCTCGCTATCCGGTTTGCGTCACTTCTCGAAACTCACGTTCAGGTCCTCCGTCGACGCTTTAGTCGACCTTCGGACCCAGTCGGCGGTAACATACACGAGCCCCCGTCTGCTCTGATTAAAGCAGGGGAACTCCTCGAGAATGACACTTCCTACTATGACCAGTTTATCTTCAGCGACGACTGGCTAGCCCCTCAATGCGATGCTCCGTTCCAGGCGTTCTTTGGCGGAGTTGCCGGACATGACCTCTTCAATTTCCAGGCGGAAAGTTTTGGAAACATAATGTGAGATGGAGGCTGTTGGACTGGCAACGTTTCAAGAATTGTACTGACTGCTCTGTGTGTTGATGCCCTTCCCGAGAGGCTTTCTAATCTGGTCATCTGCTCTAGATCCTCACACTAAGCAAGGGAAAGAGACAATGTCTCAGACTAGTGAAGCTTAGCATATACACATAAGGGCGTACAATGCCCGTCTAACGGATCGGAGGTTGGGACTGGGACTTGACCGTAGTACGCCAACAAAATCGACAACCAAAAGATAACAAAGAACAAAGGCTTGGATAGTTCAGCGCGCTATGTAGGTCAAGGGTCGCAGGTAGTAATGAGCAGAATGTAATGTACACCACTAGTTGAATAGTTCAGGCTCTAGTGAATGGCTCAAGGTCTCTTGTTCACTGTCTGTCAAGGTCTCTGATGCTCATTTCTGGTTCTCCCCCAGATGCAAAAGTAGCCTCTCCCTCCACCTGATGCAAAGCCTCTTTTGCCTAACCAAGTCTTGGCGACAGATTCAGCAAAAGCTATTGCTGCACATTCGTCCAGCCCTTTCTGTCGCAGAGTCATCTTTCCAGCCCCAGCAGTCTCAGCACAATATAATTACTACCATCGTAAGCGTATAGAGAAACAATAGGACAATGGCTTAAGATATTGATATTTAGTATTGTCCAAATGAGTGTATTTGCATGCTCTGTCGACTTGACCCGGTCTCCAAGTGGATAGCACCATTTAGTGGAGAATAGAACCCTCCATGCTGTACTCCGTACTCTTTTCCGCGCGGTGTTTTTTTTTTTTTTTTTTTAAACGACGACACCCACCCTAGAGCTTTTGTAGAAGTTGGTGATTTGGCTTCCCACCCTTCAAAGGGTCTTTCCAGACAACATCTCGACTATTAGATAGAGCTTCCACTCTCCTCGTGTCCCGCTGACTGCCTCTTCTCCTCCGATCCTGGTAGGGTCGGCAGAGCCGCTATTACCCGTTTACCCCGGCTCACGACGGAGCGACACATCGCTCCTCCAGTAAGACAAAACATTCGGCTCGAAATATGACCGACGACCGATGTTGTAGAGAAATAGACTCTGTTGCAAGTAGATAAACCAGCGGCTGCGAAACCCCAGCGGAAACGGCGACCCTGTTACTGTCATCGTCCCCATCTGTTTTGAAGGGATTTCACAACAGACAGCTATCCTGCTAGCCACTATCTCAATACCTTTTGGAATAATGCTTGCCGGGATCAAGAGCCTGGACGACCTCGAGGCGCGGCATCCAAAGAGAGCCGAGAGTGTGACAATCATTGGCGGAGGTCTGTCGGTTAGTTACGAGTGTTCGAACCCCCGGAGCGCGAGTGGCCCCTTTACTGAATCCGAGACTCTCTCCTTCAGGGCCCATGTTTAGCCATATTCCTCAAGAAACTCCATGGTATTAATTCAACGATCTACGAGCTGCGCTCAGAAGACTATAGTGCGGGCGTTAATATTGCTTTGGCCCCGAACTCTCTTCGAGTCCTACAGCACATTGGCGTACTTGATGAACTTCGAAATTTGGGCCATCCCTACGAAAAGATGGCTCTTACTTCGGCCAGAACCGGGAAGCAGATCGGGACTTTCTTGAACGGCAGTCAAAAACACTATAACTATGAAAGTATGCGCATCCACCGCCGCACGGTGCAGCTGGTCCTCCTGAAAGAGTGCAAGGCTCTGGGTATACCCATCCACTACAACAAGCAAGCCGAGGGTATCGTTGAAGAGACAGATACGTATGTCAAGCTCAAATTCGAAGACGGCGAGGTGGTGACGACCGACACCGTTGTTGCTGCTGATGGCCTCTGGTCGAAGGTCAGAGATCATATCGTCAAACAAGAATTGCCCTACAGTGGCGCCATGGGCGTCATTATCATGAACATCGACCGGGAAAAACTGGATGAGTCCGTCAAGAAGGTAGAGCTTCCCACTTTCTGCTTCGGTCAGACTGGGATGATCGCCGTTTTCCCTTCGAATCCATGGGGTGGTGCAATAGATATGTTCTCGACGATGCCCTTCCCAGCTAGGTCTAGGGAAGAGTGGGCAGCCCTCGATGCGGATGGCGAAGGTAAACGAAAGATTATGACGGATCGATTCGGTAAAGGCTGGCCCCGTTACATCGCGCGAGCGTGGGAGACGGAGCCGGCGGACAAGATGTGGCTCACGCCGTAAGTCGGTTGGACCTTGTTGTTTTGTTCACCTAGTCGCTGACCTCGGCATAGCTTCTACGAGGCCCCTGCATTCGAACACTGGACTAGTCCCAAAGGACGGGTCATCATCATCGGCGATGCTGCACACGCATTTTCACCCCAGGGCGGACAGGGTGCTGCCATGGCGCTGGAGGATGGAGAAACTCTCGCTCACACCATCGCACACGCCGATTTCGCAACGGACCGGTTGACGCTGCTGGGCAAATGGGAAAAGCACCGACAAGGGCGCCTTCGGTTGGTCAAAGACCTCACCGACTGGAGTGGCCGGCAGCGTGCGCCTGTCAGTTCTCCGTTTATGTGGTACCTGAAGGAGTGGGTCATGTGGGCTGTCCTGAAGCTCAAAGGCCCGACTATGGGCATGGATTGGCTGTATGGATACAATCCGGAAGATATTGTCAGTGTATTGCGAAGCTAGAGGACGAGTCAAAGAGAGGAAATTGGCTGTCTACATCCTGATCTGTCCTCATTGCATGGGTGGGATTCAGCAGCTACGGGGTTTCAAGGAGGGATTGGTTGTTGTCTTGCTTTTATGATCTGTAGACGAATGGCACTACGTAAGCCTTGCTGACGGCCAGCACAGGCCGTGATTCGAAATCTAGACCACCTGGACGATGCGGCACGGTTCAGCGGTTCAACCGACATTGTTCGAGATGAAATACACGCACAGAAATAGGTGCTGCTATTGTAACAAGGCAAAGTGGCTGTGCTGTGCTGGGCAGGGCTGGTAGAGTGGTAGCTGAGGGAGAGTTGTCTAGTCACATGTCAAACCAAAATGGGCTGGCAGGTGGGGAGTGCGGAACAGTTTACAGTGCTGGCAGAGTGCCATTCTTTACAGTGTAAGGAGAGTCTCGTGAATTCCGTGGCTTTTTGGTGCCGTCTACCTAATTCCTGAGTGTTTTATCAGTCCTGTCCTACTCCTCGATGCCGTCGCCTTGCTAGGCGATCGTTGCCCTAGCCGCCGCCTCTCTGGGTGGTGTGGGTGGTGGTGTTGTCTTGTCAGCGCCAACCAGAAACGCGTTCTCGATTCCCGACCTGCTGGACAGGCCTCTGTGCGTTTTTGCACGTGCACGCCGAACCCTGAAGTGCTCTGTTACACTATGAGGGCTGCGCCACAATGCGGGAGTTGATACGGTTGCTCGACAAGGACGGCGGCATGGGTGGAGACGGCCAGCGACGGAGTATATCTCCACACAAAACGCCCCAGGCTAACCCGATACATACACTTAGCCCGGACTGTGTCAAGCTAGTGCTGCTTAGTATTATTCTTAAAGGGGGTTATAACCTTCATGTCGCCGTGCCGGAGGCACTTTATGGCTCTCAGGAAGAACGAAGGTAAAACGCAGAAACGCACCTAGCTGCTACCCCAAAGATATACATTGTCGTCAACAACATGTTTTCTAGAGAGGAACGTGTGGTTTTGGAGCAGGACGGCGTGCATATTGGAGGTATAGTAGACTACCTTTGTCCTCCTCGCCAACACCTACGATGTTAGCTATTGTCTCTACACGTTTTCTTCACTGACAACTATTCCCCCCTGTAGGTTGGTCCGTTCGAAATCTTCTCGTACCATCTAAGAAGGATGGCCAAAAAGGTTTGTTTCTATTGACCTCAAAACACTGGGAGGCCAAACGGGGCGCCAAAAGCTGAGCCAGTGCTTACCTTTTCCTTCAACAGAATCGAGTGAGGATCGCGTCCAGGCCGTCAACGGCCTCGTGCCGGACTGGTCGCAGGGAGAAGAACGCGCGCTCGTGAGAAAGCTGGATATACGGATCCTTGCACCCTGCTTCGTCATCTACGTGCTCGCTTATCTGGATCGAGGAAACATCGGTTCTGTCAAGGTCCTGCAAATAGGCAAGCCCGACTCCATCGAGCGCAGTCTGCACATGAAAGGCACAGAATTCAACTGGGTTAGCCAATATCCTCAGGACCAGATCGGTAGGTTTACCTCTCTCTGTATGCCGCTAACGCATATTATTCTTGCCAGGCGATCTCAGGAACCTACTTTCTTATGACGATTTTCTTATTGCCATCAATCCTGCTGTTAAAGAGGACGTCAGCCAAGGTTTATTTTCCTGTCGTCATGATAGGTTGTGAGTACCGGCTCGGAGACGTTTACCTTGGAGACCAACACTCATCGGACCACAGTCGGCGGCATCGTCATGTGCATGGCGGCTGTGAAAAGCGGCCCTGGCCTCATCCTCGCCCGAATCTTCTTGGGCATTCCAGAATCTGGTGTTGGTAGGCAAATCCTCTGTGCTGGGAACCCTCACTACATTGACGTATTCTGTGTATGCAAACTGATTAAAATTAGCCCCCGCAATCGCCTTTTACTTTTCCTTCTGGTATGGGAAACAAAAATCCATGCTTCTGGTATGTATATCACTCTGACAGGGGTCCTGTTAGGTATCTGCCGAAAGAAAGAGCGTTTCGCGTAGGGGTTCTATTCAGCGCAAATGCCGTGGCAGTAGGATTTTCCGGATTGTTGGCAAATGCCATTGACAACGTCAGTCAACATGCCCTCTCTTGGAGACCCTTCTACTAATACTAGTTGGTTTGTTGTCAGTTGAACGGTCGAAACGGCCTCAAATCCTGGCAGTGGGTCTTCCTAATCGAGGGAGCAATATGCGTCGGGCTGGCATTCCCCCTATATTTCATGCTTCTCTCATTTCCAGAGAACAGCCCAGCGTTGAGCGAAAGAGGTGAATTCATCCTTGCCTGTCAGATCCTTCTTTCTCGGATTCTCTGACACTATTACAGAGCGCTACATTGCGATCAACCGTTTTGGAAAAGGCAGCACTCGGAAAACCGACGTGTCTTGGAGCTGGCCAGCTTTCTTCAGGTATTCACAGAGTAGGGTATGACATAGATCGAACATATACTGATCAGGTTGACCAGTGTAATGAGTCGGCCATCTACCTACGTTTTTTTTATTTCGTATATGGCATTGTTGATGCTGGTGTCGGCTCAAGCGAACTTCCTACCCACCATCCTCCTAGCGGTAAGTTGGCGTCCTTCTGAAGCACCTTTGTTTGACTCTTGAGTCGGAAACCAACTCTGGCAGTTCCTTCACTACTCGCCGACAAAGGCAAATCTGTACGCAGCTGCCACTGCTTTCGCCACCCTGCCTTTCTACTGGGCCTGGCCTTTCCACTCCGACTGGACCCGTGAGCGGCTGTGGCACTATGTCATTCCTCTCCTGGGATGTATTCCAGCCTACGGTATCTGGACATGGTCAAGCGGACATCCGCATCAGCATTCCATAAAACCGACAGCCCTGTACGGCGTGGCATTTTTGGCACAAATGCCTACCTTCGCCCAACCCTCACTGATTGCTTACCGTACGTCTACACTCTACGGAGCGAGCGAGCAGGCCATTGGCACCGCCGCCACTTTTGCAGCTTTGTCGATCGGGAGCATCATCTCTCCTCAGGTATTTGATCCTGCCAATAGCCAAATCGACTCTAGAGTCAACAGGTGCCCGGACTGACATTTAATTTGCAGATGTTTCCTAATGCTGATGCACCACTCTACCACGAGGCCTTCGTCGGCACCTGTGCGATTGTCGCAGTAGCCATCGTTAGCGCCCTGACCATTCCCTGCTGGCTGACTCTGGAAGCTCGCACTCGCAAGCAGAAATACGGCCATGCCATGCCGCTCCGTGCAATGGAGGATGCCGGTACGTACAAGGATTTATGTTCCTCCGAGCTCTTTGTTTGGCGAGCCTGGGTAGAAACTGATAGATCGACCCGTAGATCTGAGCCAAGTGACAGAGGCCGCCCACCATCACAACCACCATGAGCTCAACGAGCGCCTGCGGCAGGCGGCGTTAGCGGTAAAGGACATCGAAATGGAACTGGTTCAGCAAATCGAAGACCAAGCCGAGAGCAAGGCGTAAGAAGATTCAGAGCGACTGTGGGAAAAGAGTGATGGGGATTGCGGGTGAGAAGGTTGGGAGGAGATAACATACCTTAATGTATCAGATTTGGCAAGGCCACCAAGGTCGCCTGACTCCCAAGGACTATAATGACCCTCAAACCAGCCCAGTCTCGTATTAGTCCATATCGACTCTCGCTAATAGCCCATTGAAGGTATAAAGTCTCACGGCTCCAGGACCCCTTATGAGGAGAGGAAGTTTCTCCAATGAGCCATGATTCCGAGCCGACACAAGGCACCACGGGAATCAACGGGTCTGCGAGGGTGAGAAATCTCGGGATACTAACGCTGCGTCCACGTACTGTGGCGGAACGACCACCGAGGATCTAACATTGTGACTATAATTATATCCTCTTTCTATCCCAGTATCCGACTGAGGGTGCCAATCTTTCTAGGACAAGACAAAAAAGGTAGCCCTTCTTCACCTGCTGCACCCCCAGTAGGCGAATTGCGCTGGCGTCCTCCGGCACCCAATGAGTGGGAAGGTGTTTGAGAGTGTAAGACATTCTCTCCCATTTGCCCTTGGGTGGTCGCCACCACGTCGCACATGAGGCCTGGGCGACAGAGTGAGGACTGTCTCTACATCAATACCTGGACGTGGAACTTGGACGCTTCGGCCGAAAGGCCGGTGATGATGTGGATTCACGGCGGCGGGAACCTAGGCGGCGCGGGATCCCGGGAGAACCGCGATGACTCGTGTCTGGCCGTGAGAGGGCCGACACTCTCACGCGTCGCACGGAAGCAGTGACGAACAGACACGCACAGGAAATATACATATGATTTCCACCGCTTTCGCGATGGTCCATAGAGTCTCCCATATCTGTCCGCAACCTTTGGTTGTTCAAGACCCTGCAGTTGAAGGCGGAGGAGCTGGTGTAGACTGATTATCCTCCACAATTTGGGCCAATAATCGCGACTGGAGACTGTCAGCATGATAAGGCAAGATTGCCCTGGATCATTCTCACAAACCTTGTACTCTGAGGGTATCCACACGACGCTTGCCCACGGAAATTGGGGAGAGCTGAAGTCGACACCTTGGCCGACCGGTGCGCCGCGAGGTGTCTTTCCATCCAGCAGAACCGGATCGTCGTTCTTCTGCAAAAGCCGTCCCAGGTAATCGGTCTTGCTAAAGAGGCGCGCTGGATTGATGGAAAATTTCACGGATGGCACCACCACAACATGCATCCACATTGCGACATCGGGAGGATTTTCGACGACCATCGCGGCACGGAAGCTGCGAAAGATCCCGTCCTTTTGTGCTTCGTTCTCGCGCAGGTCCCAGGTAGCCCCGCAAGCCGCGTCCATGTGATCATCGTCCCAATATAAGTCACCGTGGATCTCCATTCGGTGCTCCTGGTGCTCGTTGTCTTCCGAACCAAACTTTGCTTCGACCCCGGCAGAAATACCGACGGGGCTTTCGAACATGACTGGGATGGAGACTTCGCGGTATTTTCTCTCTTCCACCACTTTCACAATGCCGTATACTTCCTTGGGGGCCATGTTGACCACCTTGGGGTCTTCGCTGGGACTTGGCGAGGCAATCTGGTGGTTGGACGGATCAACGGCCTTTGAAAATTTCACCTCGACTTTGCCGTGGCTGTATCTGGACAGCGTTCGGCCAATGAAGCGAAACGATAAGTCTATGACGATCAAGCACGCGGGTGCCCCCTCGTGAGTCCCATATTGCACTCGCTGCAGAATTGCGCTGAAGCCGCTGTCTCTGATTGCATCCCGGGCGATCAAGGAGCGATTCACTTGGCCTTCGTTCTGAACTCTGAGCTGGGGTGGATCGTTGCTATTTTCATCTAGGTCGAAATCGGTGAGGAAGTCCACTGCACCTTGAGCAGTCTCACCAGCCTGATCGAATTCCGCTGCCGAGGAGCTTGTAGGTGACGCAGAGGGCGCATTTGTGCTTTGAGAATCCATGTTTTCCACAGGTAAACTCATTCTGCCTTACGAAGTTGTCGGGTGAAGTTTTAGGACCAGAGACGTTTTTTCTTCTTTTTTTTCTTCTCCTTTCCCCTCTTTTTAGATAAATGAGGCTTTCAGTGAGTGAACTTCGTTACCTAGCCCTCGAGCCCTCTGCAGCCGTGGCTGGATGATTTCAGGCATCGGTGGCTGAGGTCGTCCACCAGCCTGTCACACGACATGCTAGGCCTAATCAGGACTAGCCCTCTCGGTTGCTCATTTGTCTCCACTTGGATGCACAGGACTCTCTTCTCTTCTTCTACCAGTACTGGGTAGATAGGCAGGACACACAGAACAGGCATCGCCAACAAGGTCAAGGTCAATGCAACCATTTCTTTTGACTTGCTAGCTGGCTTATTACACCGTCCAATCGCAGCGAGGTTCTCCAACCCATGACGGTTGGCCGCACTATCCTGCGCATCCAAGGAGTCGAAGGAGCTCCGCAAAAGCTTGGCCGCATGATCTCTCAACAGCCTCTTCTGCTTGATCTTCAAATATCTGACCTTTTCGACGTATTTTGGCAACTCTAGACCTCTGCGAGACTCTGCTGAATTAGTCTTCAAGATGTCATATCACGAAAATGTCGAGACTGCTCGAAGAAAAATCCAGCAACTTCGGAGCCTTGGAGCATGGGACAAGGGCCATGAATATATCACAGCTTTGCCAGAAAGGTTGCGGTGCCATAATCAAGTCGTCATCGAAGCAGCACAGCTCTACCTCACCTAGGGACACTATGCTCGAGCATGGGATACATGTGAGCATATACACACAAGGCTGTCCTCGCCAGCAACCTTCCGGCAGCTGCTCAGACGAGAATTTGACGAGGAATTGATTTGCCTCCTGCTGTTATCAGCGTACATCGGCATTTCTAGACATGGAAAGATCGCCACCGCTTTAGGTCTTGCCAACCGACTCCGAGATCTCGTCACAGACGATGTCTTTGCACAGAAAGCGCAATCAAGCAATTCCACTGAACTCGCCAGCAATCATGTCTACGAAATTCCCTCCAACAGTTATGCAAAGTCTCCTCCGGCAATGGGAAATCCCGATGCTGCACATTGTTGCAATTGCTACGGTGTATCCGAACTCAGAGTAAGCATGGATTTGCTGCAAAATGTAGGTTTCTGACGAACGATAGGTCTTAATCCAATTTTGGTTATGGAAGATATTTGTGGTCGCTGCTGAACAGGGTTTCCTTGACGAGATCCCAACGAAAAGAGAGGCGGCCTCAAAGCTCGACGAAATCCGCTTGTGGGCATTGGAGTATGATCGACTCCGCGAAGCTCGATACATTACGTATGCTCGGATTGACTTGCTCAAAGATCCCGAAGGGGACGTGAGGTGTCTCCGGCAGCTCCTGGCGTCGATTCAGAACAGTCCGGTGATGAAAGTCGAAGAGGCTCAGACACACCTCGATCTGGCAAGATGTACGCTAAATCTTCAGGGAGATCTCAGCAATCCTACAATCCTGGAACACCTGGATCGCGCAACGACGCTTTTCAAAGAGGTCGGACACACATATGGACCGCTAGATCTTGAGGATATGCAACTGACATGGAAGAAAGACTCAATCAGACTGGAAGAATTTTTGAAGAGAAAGATTGAGCTTAGTGGTGCCTACTTTGAGCAACATTGTTACCAGCAAGGCATTAAATGCTTGATCTTTGGCATTCCGGTTAGCCACGAGCTCGGCAACGTCCAAAATGAGACGACCAAGATGATCGAACGCGCCCAAAAGGAAATCCGCCAGGTGGGAGCAACTATACAGGAGCAAGCATTATTCGTTTCCGCAGTGGCTCAAACCCTCGTCAGAGCTCCCGAGTATGGCTACGGCCGTAAAGCCTTGGAAGACTATTTATATCGACTACCAGCAGAAATAGGGCTCAAAATTGAAGCACAGCTACGGGTTGCCATGTCTATGGCCAGTGCAAACTCTGGCAATACCGAGGAGGCAGGGAGACAAGCCGAGATGGCAATGACGGCGGCAATCAAAACTGCCTCGTACGATGAAAGATCAGATGCAGCATTCTTACTTGCCGTGAGCCGAATGAAGCAAGCAAAAGCACCACGAAACAAAACCATGGCGATGGTAGCTCTTTCAAATGCCTCGATCATTCTGCAGCTTTGGGCGTCAATTGATCAGTTTATGGGACATCACATTCAGGCGGCAGACAAATTCGCTTGGCTGGCGTCCATTGAACTACAAGCAAATATGCTCGTGGGCGATAAGCTGGCATTGGAACGACTCGATCATTGGCTCGACGAAGCTCGTCAAATATGCAATACCCACAATATTGTGTCGGAAAAGGTATTTGAGATGCAGATCCTCCGGGCGACGCGTCTCCAGGATTACGATACCCCTGATAGAATTTCTCGAGAGCGGCTTGACGCGGCGAAAGAAAGGTCAGGCTCTTCACACTTTCACAAAGCACAACGCACCACGCAGCTATCAAGTTGCTTGTACACCCGGTTCTGCGCTCGCGCTCAGTAGATGGGGCAGTTACCACCTGACCAAAGGGAAACAGTGGCCAAAGATTACTTCGAGAGCATCATGCAAGCGAACGGAGCGTACAGCCTCTACACCCAGGCAGGCGGCTCCGAAATGATTATCACCTCTCTGAACTATCTCTTTGATTTACTGAGTGCATTTCAATTCAATAGTAAGGTGGACTTGCTCAAATATTGGCTGGTGGAGGCCCAAAAGATCGAAAACTTCTGCGATGCAATTAGGCGCAGCGTCGCAATGACGTCCGATGTGCAATCTCTCCTCGAAAAGCGAATGATCATATCTGGGCATCAGTACCGGAAACTATACGACAATGCATTCACCGCTTGCATGATCACCGACGATGCAGCCGCAGCCTGGCAATGGGTTCAAAAGTCAAAGGCACGGAGCTTATCGGATGTTTTTGGCATCCGAGCTGTGTTGCCAGTCTCACTCCTCGCGGCCATTAAAGCCGACAGTGAAGCTCATGCTTTGTTCGAGAAAGAGCGTCTCCTTGGAGCGGCAGCTCTAAAGACGGGGCCGTTGGAATACCTCAATGCAAGGCGGCAGGCTGAGGAGGTTCGACTTCGTATGAAAGAGCACCCGCTATTAGCACAAGCGCTGAACATTCGTGAAGGCGCCTTCGATATTGGCTTTTCCCAGGTAGCACTCGGTGAGGCCCTCGACTTGTCCGGTGGGACCTGCGAAAATGTCAAATATGTGGAGTGGTATATACCACACCGACCGTCATCTGAGACCAAGATTGTCGTTCTCGTCAGGGCCTTGGATGGTGATACTACTATGCGGGAGCTGAATATTACCACAGGCAGCATCGAGTCCTGGATCAAGCGTCGACTCGTGTACCCTCGTGAAGCAAAGGCACCGCTTGGAGAAGCGTCCGCTCGGGCGAGATTGAAAGAACTTGGACCGTTGGTCAATGACCTCCTGCAATTGACAAACGAAGAAGATCTATTGATCTTGTCCCCGTCTGGCATTCTGAATCACATACCGATACACGCCCTTTTCCTGGGAGATAAGACATTGATTGAGCGAAATCTCATTGTCTACTCTTCCAGTTCAGCCATATTCCGTCATGCATACATGAGAGCGGTATCCCAGGCCACAAACCCTTCCCATCCGAACGACCGTGCTTCACTTCTTACGGTCTACGAAAGCGACGGTGCACGAGGACGAGACGAGCGCGACGCAATCTACAAGCACGCAGAAACCCTCTCAAAGACGATGGTCTTTCAAGTCCGGACAGCGGAGGAGGTAAGCAAAGCCTCGTTCAAGGAAGCCGCAGCCTCGTCGGACTGGATCCACTATCATGGACATGCACTGTTCAACAAACGTGACGTCCTTCGATCATGCCTCGTCCTAGCCGGAGGTCTAGAAGAAGCGCAAGCGTTAGCGGACACAACACATCTATCTGCCACCGAAGCCTCAAACACCAGCAAGAATCTCACCGTATCAGACATTTTTGACATTGACATGCAGGTTTCCGCTCCACATGTGACGGTTGTTGCCTGCGACTCTGGCACCCAAGACATTGCGGCGGGGGATGAGCCTCTTGGGATCATTCCAGCACTTCTTTATGCTGGGGCAACATCCGTCATTGGGACGCTCTGGCCAGTCGAGAGCGCCGCTGCGCGACGATTTAGCGAATTATTCTATTCTAATCTGCGGACGCAGATTGAGGCCAAGCCACGGGTGAAAGTGATGGTGCTGAACCTGGCGCAGGCGCTTCGAATCACCATCTGTGAGATGATGCGCAAGGACAACTCAGAAACCAAGGCGCCAGTGCATTGGGCCCCATATGTACTGCATGGTTGTTGGTTTCGAGGATATCGATCACCAACCACGATGGAAGCAAGCGACTGAAGGGGGAGAACGAAGAAAGCGACTGAGTGATAGACTCTAAGTGGAGCTAGATACCGTCAATGACATGCACGATAGCTCGGCGTGCCAACGAAAATTGTTACGGAATGCAAAAATGTGAGCTAACTTAGGCAAAGCGCAAGATCTTCCGGAAGAAGCGAGTACTCCAACTCCATTCCATGCCCTAGCAGATCACGGCGAAGCCCTGCGCACCAAATTCCAGGATCGTGCACGGCGCACTCGGCCGACGCTCCGAGGAAGAGAAAGCCCAAAGTCAACGTTATCCCTACCCATGGAAGCAAAAGGACCTCCTGACGTTCCTGGTACAAGTGGATGCTCTTGGGCGCTCTGTCCGAATACAGTACGCCGGAGTTGGATGTCTTTAAGTCTCGCCTGCCAGCGGTCGCCAGTGGACAAAATAACTAAACATCCAAACAAGAACTGGCAGGGATCGGACATGATACTGTTCCATCAAGAGATTTGCAACACCTGTCCGTCTGGCCAAACACGTGAGACTGCATCTCATAGGGCCAAGATTAAAGCTCATCCGTGGAGAACCGCTTTATCACCAGAAGTCCACTGGATCTTGATCTCCCACTTCTTTATCTTCCATAAGCCATCACTGCTGTCCCTCACCAGATCCATAAAGTACAAACACCCCGCCGTGTACGAAGTATCCTCCGGCTTGAATGCATCATCTGGCCGAACGTGATACGCGACTGCGTGCGCGGTCATGGACGCCGTGTCCGCGACATCCTTCAGCTCAACGCGGATATTGGTGATGAAATGTGTGGTGACCAGGAGGAAGACCCTGGACATGGACTCGCTGATCGCGGTCCAGCCCTGGATAGTGTTCGGACCGGCAACAACAGTCACGCTTTCGTCCTTCAAACATGCGGATTCGAATAGGTCCCAGTCATTGCTGTCGAGACCAAGGATGCAGCGGTGGAGAGCATCTGCGACGGCTTCGCGTGGAGTGAGTGCTGTAAGGGTAGCTGATTGGGCCATCGCGTCGGGTGGTGAAGAAGTATATCGAAGACAAGTTAGCCAGAACACCTTTGCTGTGACGCTGAGTAATTTCGCCTTCTAGCAGTCAAGATCTGATACTTTACTCTTGTTTGAACTTGAACTATTAAGGCAGCAATATAATGATCCGACACGGACTTAACGGTATTAAGTGGTGATAGAGAAGGGCCAAGGCTTTCCGACTCTCTAGTATCCCAAGAGTGGTATAGTCCGTATATGTACATGTGAGGGCCGGAGCTGTTGATCCCAGGCTGTGCTTAGCTCCGTTCTGGCTTTGATGATTAAAGTTGTGATTGTGAAAAGAGTTTCGTCTACTTATCAACCGCAGCACCAACCGATCGCATCGCTTCTTAAGGAATGAGGAGTACAAAGGGGATGGCAGCATGTCGTCGATGTTGTCCGGACAGAGAAGCCTCCCCTTGCTAGAACTCACCATTGGGCCCTGTTGCAAACAGAAATTGAGTACAGATACTCAGTGCATTACGAAGAACGCAGATTGAGTCCCACAAATACGACAAGCACAGCCAGATATCTCCACAGCCATATTAGCCTGGTCATCATGAGGCCATAAGACGAGAGAGAACCACTTACCCGGCAGCAGAGGCAAATATCTCCGAACGCCCCAGATTGGCCGCTTTGCTGAGGAATATGAGGGAAAACACGATACAGGCTGAAATTAGGCCCAGTTCAATCCACCCGGCATAGCTCTCGGAGGCATACTTCCCAACGGCATAGAGTGCAAAGACTGGAAGCAGCATGCAAGCAAGAGCGATTCCCACATAGATGGAATTGGCTGTGTTGCTCAGTTGCGCATGCTGGTAGTAGGAAACGACCCCTTTGCTTGGTTCGTGCTGCTGTGTGTTTAGACGGCCGAAAAGATGTCTGGAAGCAGATCAAGCTGACCTTGAACAATCTCTCTTCTAAGTGCGTATCGACCCAGCAAGTCAGACTGTCTTGGAAAACAGGGCTCCTGAGCGACAGCAGTTCATCAATGTTCGCGTACACTGCCTGTGCATCATCGGGAAATCCTAGCGTTGCCTTGTGCGTTTCGATCTCTTCGGTTAATGCGAAGTGCGTTTTGTCGGAGGGGTTGTCTAGATTGTTGATTTGCACCTGTTGCAGCATTGCTTCTCCTGCATGAGATGTTAGCGAATCTCGGGTTGAGAGGGTTGCTGGAAAGCTCACGGTATTCTTTCAAAGTCGCTCTGATCTCTCGAATCAGTTTCATTCTCCGCTGCTCTATGGTCTCCGGAACTCCTTCTATCGCTTTTACATCTTTTTCTCTCAAGTTTTTCCAACTCTTTATGGCCAACTCCTTGGAAACAAAATCAGACTCGTACGGAGAGCACCTCAAGTCTTCGTTGTCCATAGCGTCCAGCTCAGTTTGAAGTTGATAGAGCTCGCTTTGCAGATACACTAGGTTTTGCACTGCTAGGCGGTCAAAGCGGTTGAACACCATCAAAAACTTATCCTTGTCGCTGTCCAAAAGGCGGGCGAGGCCTGGAAATCCTGCTCCGATTTCTGCAGCCATGTTTTCAGCTTCTACATCGCTCTTACGGCTGAATTTTGATAACGAGCGTAGGAATGACATCGGCCGGATCAGTATACCGATATTCCGTTGAATGCGGCTGGGGACAATTGTCGAGATAGCTTTATTATACAAAAACCGACCAAAAGATAATCCCTATGTATGTGGCCGTGTAGTATTTATAATGGTGTGGTGTAGTCTAGTTTTAGCGGTTTGGGGTGGTGTGTACAAGTACAGTCTTGTATGGTGGCGACAAATGGTGTGATGTGGTGTGACATAGCGTCTGCGAGTAACGAGATTTCAGTATAACTACAGGAATGGATGAGATCTAAGGATTCTGATGAACTGACTTTTTGGCATTTAATCGCCGCAAAGCCTTTCTAGATTAGACTTGAGCGCAGCAACTGACACAAGTGTTAAAGAGCCATCGCTATTCGACCCGAGTGTCTTATTTGCTTCCTTTTAGCTATTCTTAAGATATAATCTATTGTGGATTCTCAAGATATTTAAGAGCTCAGGGATTCAACAATGGACCACAATCCGCCACCAAGTTCAAGTTATAAAACCGCAATTGGCGCGCGGTCAGCCACGACGGACTCAAATACCGTCGTGCATCCAACAAGCCCTCTAGGAATACGGTTTGGCGAACCGATCCTTAGGACCGGACTAATGAACCTCGGAATGTGAGTATTATTCGTCCCAGCATACGGCTTGAGTCAGTTCCAACGTCTGACTATTCTACCTAGAATGGGTCTCCGAGGGAACTCTGGAGGTCGAAGTATGATGGTCGTCAAGGACCAATCGCAGATTGACAAAAAGATCGAAGAAATTCAGACATTTAAGGAAAGGATTGAAGAGAAATCACTGCGTTCTAACACAGACCAGAATTCACAAGATGAATCCAACAGAGGCAACAATTCAAACGATCAGACTATAGAACAGAAACCAACAGAGGACAACCAATCTAAATCACAGCCTAGGTGCGGTTCAGGTCACAGTAGAGGCGGCGAATCTAAACTAAGCGACCTTCCCTTCCCAATAAATCAAGGCAGGCCCCCTCTTCTACTAGAAGGCGATCTTGACTTACAGCTTCTTAGCATGGCCCTCCTCAGAGCCAACAATATCCACCATCGCATGGCTCCTCAGGGAGCAAGAAGTACAAAGGAGAGCTCAACACTTAGAAGCCATGAAAACAGCCGAGGCCGAAAAGGTACAACAGGCGGCTGAGGCAGAATTGAGGCTACAAAAAGCATTTGCTCTCAAAAGAGAAGCGTTCATCGAGAAGGCAACTAAATTCTCTGCCACAGCTGCTGAATATGATAAAATAGAGAGGGCCGGCCAGAGGAAATTTGATCATATTATGAAAAACATTTCTCTCTTCGAGTGCAAGTTGAGAAAAAAAGTCAAACAGCTGAATGAGGAGAGACACCGGATGTATTTGAAAGCTATGAAGCAGTTGAAAGAGACCTACTATCGAGAAATGGAAATTTTATTCAAGACAGAGGCCGAAAGTGAAGAGGCCGAAAGTGAAGAGGCCGAAAGTAAAGAAGTCAAAGGTAACGAGGCCAAAGGTAAAGAAGCCAATTGTAAACAACCAGCTCAAGATGAAAAAGCTCGAGACGAAGAGGTCAAAGCTCCAGGCCAAAACAGCTTACCGGAATGACATGGAGGGTGACGGATTGATAGAATTGGCCTGACGGAGAAGGGAGTGTCCGCCTCGCCGCCATCAATCTGATATGTCTCTCCCCCCCTGCCCCGGGCCAGAGCACGGTGCTGAGCCTCCTTGTCACTTGTCTCAAATCAAGACTGCGATGTCAGCCATCTATCACGATATGAGGCATCATATTTGAAAGACGGCTTGAAGCTTGAATCAGATGGCAAACAGAAGAATGAGTTTGGCATCCTCTGGGCAGCCTTGACCCGACAGATGCAAATGCTAAATGCTCAAGCCCGGGAAATTGCCGCCTACCTTGAATGTGGATGCCAAAGGCGCAATCTCCTTCCGCTCAGGCAAGCATCATTGTGGCCCAGCCGTCTCTGAAACCCTTTTTGTCTTTCAAGGCTGAATAAGTTCAGCATTTGAAAAAGGGGAGAGAAGGGGCTCGTGGAAGCGCAAGGCTGTGCCGGGTAGGGGTTAAGGAGTACTCCAGTACCCAGTAATGGCAGGTGAACCAAATATGGGCAAAGATCGGCCACAAGTTGTCTCAGTTCTCAGACCCATCGGCTCAGTTGCCTTAAGTGGGTAGGGCCCACTGTTTTGCCCAAACTTTACCCCGTACCAAGCCCGTACCTCGTACAGTGGGGCACATGGTTCAACAAGGCACGGAGGAGTGCGCAGCAACTCTTTCATGCTCTCGGTCCACAAACGAACTACGCATCCTCTGCCTTGACAGTTATGGAAGGCCCATTTGCCTATTATGGGACCTTGATACACTCTCGCTCCCCATCAGAGATTGAAGTTCTTGACAATACACTTATCATCGTTAATGACAAAGGCAAGATAAGCCACATCTATCCACGTTTCCCGACGGAAGATGGCCGAAGCCTGGACGGTATAGTTCCGGCGTTGATCAACCATCCTGATGCTTGTATACCTGTCGTTCGCCTGGAATCTCCCAACCAGTTCCTTATCCCGTCTTTTATCGATACTCATGTTCACGCACCTCAATTCTCGATGCGCGGCCTTGGCCAAGGTCTCCATATCCTGGACTGGCTTGACCAGATTACCTTCCCACACGAGGCGAAATTCCACGACACTGACTATGCGAAGCAAGTCTACGCAAGGTGTGTGGAGATGGGCCTCCGCCAGGGCGTCACCACCGCGTGCTACTTCGGCAGTCTGCACACGCCAGCAACGAAGATTCTCGTGGATGTGTGTCTCGAAAAGGGCCAACGTGCGTTCGTGGGCAAGACGTGCATGGATAATACCGAGACCAACCCGGAATACTACAGAGAAGATACCGCGGAAGCGGTGGAAGGAACAAGAGAAATTATTCAGCATTGTCGAGCCGTTGACGAGAAAGGAGACGTTGTCAGGCCGATCCTGACACCCCGGTTCGCAATAAGCTGTACGCCAGAATCATTGACCGAGCTGGGCAAACTGGCCAAGGAGCACGAGCACACCTATAGCGCGGGACAAGGAATCGCCAATCAAACTCACTTCTGCGAAGCTCAACAAGAAATCGATGCCACGTTAAAACAGTACGGGGAATTCAGCTGCGAGGCCGACTTATACGCGCATTATGGGCTATTTGACCGCAATTCAGTGCTTGCACACTGTACACTTCTCAGCGAGGCCGACCAGGCAAAAATAAAGCTGCGGGACTGTGGTATAGCCCACTGCCCAGCTTCAAACACCACCGTCGGCGGTGGCTTCATGGCAGCCCCGATCCGGAAATTATTGTCGGGCGGGATTACCAAAATCGGACTGGGCACTGATTCTGGTGGTGGCTTCTCGTGCAGTATCATGGACGCAATGCGGCTCGCTTTGATTGTGGGCAATGCACGGGAAATGTTGTCGGGGGGAAAGGAGGGGAGACTGAAGCTAGAAGAGATCTTTTACATGGCGACGCTGGGAGGTGCAAAGGTCTTGAGGATGGAGGACAGAGTCGGGTCGTTTGAGGTTGGAAAACAGTTGGATGCAATCTTGGTCGACATGAGTGACCCCTACCGCCGCGAGTCTGAGCATCTTGATGCGGTACACACCATGCTAGACGGTGAAAGCCAGACCCCCGAGGGTATCAGGCGAGCCTGGGAGAAATGGGTTATGACGGGGGATGATAGGAATCTGGCCAAAGTGTGGGTTGGTGGGAAAGTCAAGAAAGACATATTGGGAAGTCGGTGAATGGAAAAATATGCAAGGCCGCTACATACGTATGTTTGTCACAGGGCCGGCAAAGCTCCGCGCACGGGAGATGTTCTTGCTTCGGACCCCATGATTGACGAGCTTGCGAGGACTCGAAATAAGAGAATAGAAGATTATCACATAATACCTGATGGAGAGAGGACAACAAGTGAATGGTTGTCAAACACTTCTCGTTTCCACAGCCTCGTCTGCCCCCTTTTCGGGAAGTATGGGACCCCACGCGGGGTAGCGGGGTTGCGGGGGAGAAGAACGGCGATCCCAAGATGGAGGAAAATCCTTAACTGTTTCAAGCCCAAGCGAACCAGAAGAGTGGGTGGATCTGTGGTTGCTACTTCGGCAGTTAACACGCTTGAAAGGACTATGTCCTGGGCCGGCCTGGGGAGGGGAACAAGCAGACATGCGAGTTATTACGGCCCAGAAAGCAAACAACAGCGCTTTGTGACTGTCCCTTGGGCATCATGAGAATGCATCAGGCCCCCCATAATGCATGGAGGGTACCGCCGCAGCTTCATCATTAACGCGCTCCCTGAAATGTGCTCTGGGAGTCTCCTGGACTCTAGAAGTCCTCAATCCATGCTCACGTCCCTGCACGCAACCATCCCCAACAACGGATCAATCAAAAACGCCGACTTCAAATGGGCCCTCCCGGCCCTGCATGTACCCTCTGAGGAGCTGGTTTGTGCAAGCATTCGGCACCGCGGGACCCCAGGAAGTTTCGAAATGGGGCATTCGCTCTTTTTGGAGAACGGCCCATTTCGACTGTTCGGGGCGACAATTGCGGAGTACATACCTCGAAGAGACGGCGGCATGATACAAAAGGTCAATCCCCCCCTCTTAAAGAGAGGACCACACGACGAGGACAAGTTGAGCCATACATAGGTCCTCAATTTTGCCGGGCCTTTTGAAGATAACTCCTTTTCGGGCAAAGCTGTATTTCAGCTGCTCTTTCGATCCACGACTCTTAGTAAGGGGGGGGAAAAAGAAAAAGAATTAGCGGGAATAGAAGACAGACAGACACATAATGGAGGCCGAACTCGCCGAGCTCAAGGCTGAAGTCAAGAGACTGCATGCCAAACTGCAAAAAGTCGAGGGTAAGCAAAACACCAAAAAAGGGGAAGAAATGTTGCTCAGGCGACCATGATTCCAGACGAGGCGGAAATCAGAAAGGTTCATTTCAAATATGGATATTACCTTGACAAGTGTCTGTACAACGAAGTCAGTTGAATCCCGCTCCCTCTTGCCACCCAGCCACGCAAAGACGTTGCAAGAAAAGAAAAGCCGAAAGAGCCAGAAACCTAACGGGCAGTTTTAAACCTAGGTCGTCGACATGTTCTCCAACCACCCGGACGCGTACGTCGAATTCCTGGGCTCGCGCTACCGCCGCAAGGAAGGCATCCGGCGCCTTTACATCGGGCGGTTCCAGACGCACTTCGTCAAGGGCCGCAACGGGCCCGTGCACGGCTTCCTGCTCGACCACCCGATGATGCAGGACATTGTGGACGTGGACCCCTCGGGGACGAGGGCGTGGGCGCGCATCCGCGCGCTCATGTCGGCCGGCACGCACCAGTCGATCCAGGAGGAGCACCCGCGGGGACACGCGCAGTGGTGGGAGGGCGGGCTGTACGAGAACGAGTACATCAAAGAAGACGGGGTGTGGAAGCCCTTCCGCTACCGATACTTCCCCTTCTGGCACGCCGACTTTGAGCGTGGATGGGCTCACACCAAGAAAAACTACGTCCCCTGGCCGACTAAGACGTTTCCAGACGACCCCATGGGTCCGGACGAGCTGATCGAGCAGAAGATGTTGTGGCCTGACACGCGCGTGGTGCCTTTCCACTACGCACACCCCGTCACCGGACAGATGGTGAGCCCGGACGATCTGCGCGCCCCAAAGTACGGGGAGGACGTCAGCACGAGCTTGCCGCCGCTGAGCATTGCCTTGCCCAAGGACCAGCTAGAGAAGGAGGCCGAAGCGGCAAAGACGGTCGTGGTCGAGAACGGCGAGATTGCGGATAGCACACCGGCGTGACCATGGCCGCCCTGGAGACTGGCACGCTGGGAGTGCTCATATTGCGCGGTGACCGGAGGGACTGCGGCTAGCCTGGGAACCGCCATATGAACCGATATGCTCTGGCCAGTCAGGAATTTACAGCGTTGATCGAACCCAGTAGTCGGAATGCAAAGTGGACCGAACTCGCTGCAGCACCAGAGAGCCATTAAACCTGAAAACACTGCATTTTCTCTTCCTAACTAACGACATCGGCCATCGTCTACAAAATCTCTGTGAAGCCTCCCAAAAATAAAACACCTCTCCCGCATTCTTGTACGTAGTTGGTCACAGATACACACTACATACAAACAGAAGGGACCTTCCACCGCTAAGACACAGCTTCGCCAGTTGAGGTCTCAAGTCCAGGGCACGAGGATCCGGGGGTAATCTACAGAAGTTATGTAGTCACACATGACAAACACCTCCGCACTCCATACTCCACACAGAGCGGAGGCAGCTAGCTAGCCAACTCTCTAGCTTCCAACTCGGGGGAATATCTCGCGAGACCCATGCAGACTAGTTACGTGTGTGGAAGAAAAACAAAAAAGAGCTGGAGATATGACTAGGGGGGAAACAGGACTCCGCCGCCGCGGGCCATTCCAGACTTTCCACCTCCCGAATCTGATAATGGATTTCTTTTTCTCGGTTCTCGTTTTGTACCTCTCTGCCCCCCTCTTTCTTCTTGCGCCGAGACGGGAGGGGAGGGGGAAGGAGGGGGGAAGTGGTGGTGGTGGCGGCGAAGCAAGAAACCCTGTTAGATCGATCGGCAGTTGCATTTGTGTACGCCCACATGCCGGATTGATGACGGGTCGCCCTGGTCGAGCATGCAAAGTTACGGGCCCAGATTCGGGCGGTCGAATCGCAAAAACCTAACTGATACAGGCTGGTTTTGGAGGAGAGAGACGTCTTACATACATACATACTAATACATACGAGCGTCAGAGAGTGAAAGGAATGGATGATATCTAGATATTACATCCCGTGGAGGAGTGAGCGAGAAGAATAAGACGATAATGGTGAAGAAGATGTAATGGTAGAGGTGGAAGAGGGAGAAGAGAAAACAAGACCACCTATTTTTGCCCATACCTCCTTTTTGGTCTTTGCCCAAGCCTCGCTGCCGACTTCGCCGCAACAATGGCACACATCTACGATCTCGCTCCTCAACTCATCTCGAGCAATTATAAAGACGGGATTAGAGCCACCGACCAGGTCAGGTACCCAGACACGCCTGTCTTTCAGGGCTTCAATAAACCGTCGCGTTTGGAAGGAGACGTCTACGACTTGGAATTCACGGGCACCATCCCGCCTGAGATAAACGGTACGTTCTACCGCATCCAGCCCGACCACCGGTTTCCGCCCATATTCGAGGATGACATCCATTTCAACGGCGACGGGAGCGTCACCGCCATAAGGATCCAGAATGGTCACGCGGACTTTAAACAACGGTATGTTCAGACGGACCGGTATAAAGCAGAGACAAGCGCGAGAAAAGCCCTCTTTGGAAGGTATAGGAATCCCTTCACGGACAACGAGACGGTGAAAGGCGTGATCCGGACGGCGGCAAACACGAACATTACCTTCTGGCGCGGTGTATTGCTGGCAAGCAAGGAAGATGGCCCTCCGTATATCATGGACCCCGTTACTCTGGAAACAATCGGCCGATACGACTTCGAAGGACAAATCCTCACACCTACCTTTACAGCGCACCCCAAGTTCGACCCAGACACAGGAGAAATGCTGTGCTTTGCATATGAGGCTGGCGGAGATGGCCATGATGGCTCGAACGATATTGTAGTTTGGACGATGGACAAAGATGGCAAGAAGACCGAGGAATGCTGGTATAAGGCCCCATTTTGCGGAATGATCCACGACTGTGGTGTCAGCAAGAATTACATGGTGTTACCGTTGACGCCCATTAAGTGGACGGGCATGGATAGGCTGAAGAACGGAGGTAACCACTGGGCGTGGGATCCAAATGAAGACCAGTGGTATGGTGTTGTTCCTAGACGGGGTGGAAAACCAGAGGACATCGTTTGGTTTAGGGCTGATAACGGTGAGTGCATGATCTTCTAAATCTTGATTGCGTTGGCATGTTGAGTAATGTCATGTACAGGATTCCATGGCCATATCGCAGGATGCTATGAGAATGAAGACGGCCACATTGTCTTCGACCTCACAGTCGCGGACGGCAATGTATTCTTCTTCTTCCCACCTGTCAATGAGAAAGAAGGACCCCTCGCCAAGCGCAATCAACTGCGAAGTCCGACCACTCGATGGATATTTGACCCCAAAGCCAAGTCAGGAACAAGAGTCACTCCCGCAGAGACTTGGATGACGAACGGCGAGTTCTCCCGGATCGACGACCGGTTCGTGACCAAGAAATACAAGCACTTTTGGCAGGCAAAAGTCGACCCGACGAAGCCTTATGATTTTGTAAAATGTGGCTCGCCGGCAGGAGGCTTATTCAATTGCTTAGGCCATTACAGTTGGGATGACAGGACTGAGGACGTTTTCTTCGGGGGACCGACCGCGACCTTTCAAGAGCCCGCATTCATACCTAAGGAGGGAGGTGCTGAGGGAGAAGGCTATCTCATTGCATTACTCAACCATCTTGACGTCCTTCGGAACGACATCGTCATTATGGATGCACTAAACGTGGCCAAAGGGCCGCTGGCGGTGATACACCTGCCTTTCAAACTGAAGCTGGGCTTGCACGGGAATTTCGTCGACCATAGAGACATCGATGAATGGCAGAAGAGAAGGTCCGACTCGGGCGATATTGGACCAGCTGAGCCAGCGAATAAACCTTTACCCTGGCAGATCCGCGCAAGGGAGTTGGGCGAGAATGGGCAGAGTGGAAATGGGCACAATGGAGTCAATGGCGCCGCATCCAATAGCGTAGACGGTAGCCACAAAAGTGCCAGGATTGAACAATAGGACAGAGATGCTCAACTCATATGAACGGGTGGAATTGTTTTACGGAAGGTCACAGCTGACATATTTCTTACTCCTGCAGGTTACTCTGCTCTCATGAACTGCTTCTTCTGCGATACACCGGCATGACAATCGCCCGACACGTCCGTATCCTTGCGGCCGATTATAGATGGATTCTTCAATGGATTGATGATGGCCGGGCTTAGTCTTGCTGTTTCGGAGGTGTTCGTAAGCCTAGAGGTGACAATGTCTAGACATTTCTCGGAGTTAAGATTCATTGTCGAGAGGTTGAAGTGGTGCCCATTGGAAATCGAACGAATACCTCAGTGGACGACAAGGCGTACGAGCGACTGGAAGCCCCATCCATGTCCCCAGCCAGCCCCATGCCCCACTTGTATCTCTCAATTCGAGATTTACGGAGTACTGTACCATTTTGTCGGGTATTCGCCGGCTCCCTCGGGTGCCGTTTCCGGTGGAGAGTTCAGAGGCTTATCTCCATCCATGGTCGGCAGTGTCTAAAATGTTGTTGACGCTTAGAAATGACTTGTGACTGTTTAGTGCTCTTAAGTTGATGGTCATCGACGTTGCTGGTTGCAGCAAAACAAAGGTCGCACTCGCCAGTTTTGAGCAAGTCAAGATGGGTTCCACTGACAAGATAGAGACAAGGCTATTCATCAATGGCAAGGTATGTACTCGGGATTTTCACACATTGCAGATGGCCGTAATGATATTGGCATAGTTTGTTGAGTCGTCAGATGGAAAAACGTTCCCTATAAGATCACCAACCTCAAGGGAAGTTGTCGCTGAGGGTAAATCACCGACATCGGCGCACAAAGGAAATGATATCCAATGCTAATCTTTGCCCTTTAGTGCATGAGGCTAGCGAAAAGGACACTGATGCGGCTGTAGCCGCCGCCAAAGCAGCCTTTCCAGCATGGTCTGCACTCTCTCCTGCCGACAGAGGCATGTATTTCAAAAGACTGGCAGCCCTGTTGGTCGAAAGCGGCGAGGAGTTCTCTCGCTTAGAGGCCCTTTCGATGGGTCGGCCAGTATCAACGTATTTCGACAACCAAGCCGCCGCAAGCACGTTTGAGCACTATGCAGAGGCCGGGTACGAGGCGCAGGGCGTCAGCAGCTTGAACACCCCGGGTTTTGTCAACATGACATTCAAACAACCGTATGGAGTTGTCGCCGCAATCATCCCTTGGAACGTCCCGCTTGTGTTCTTCGCAAACAAGGTTGCTCCGGCTCTTGCAGCGGGCAATACTGTTGTTTTGAAGAGCAGCGAGAAAGCGCCATTGACGGTATGTAGGTCCGTCAGCCAATGCCCGCACGACCGCCAAGTGACGTGCAGGCAGAAGAGTCCAATCTGGTACAGAGACACCTTGCTGACAATTGCCTTGTTCAGTCTGCCAAAGCCGCAACTCTGATCGAGAAGGCCGGGTTCCCTCCAGGAGTGATCAACGTCATATCCGGACACGGTCAGACGTCGGGGGCCATATTATCTTCGCACATGGACGTCCGGGCCCTGAGTTTCACTGGCTCGTGTCGAACTGGCCGGCTCATCCAGGCAGCGGCAGCAAAGTCCAACCTCAAGCATGTGGTCCTCGAGCTGGGGGGGAAGTCGCCGGCTATCATATTTGATGATTGTGACCTTGAAGATGCCGTCAACGAGACCAAGCATAGCATTCAATTCAACAGTGGCCAAGTTTGCATGGCAAACAGCAGAATATATGTCCAAGACACACTTGCCAATAAATTTGTGGAGGCGTTCAAGGAACAGTTTGCCAAAGTCACCCCGGGCGATCCGTTGGATGCCAACACCAATCATGGCCCGCAGGCCGATTCTGTCCAATATGACACGGTCCACAAATATATCGCAGCTGGAAAGTCGAGTGGGAAACTTGCCCTCGGTGGCACACAGGATGTGCCTGGTCTTCCGGAGCCCACTCAACACGGTTATTTTGTACCACCAACAGTCTTTTTGCATACGCCGGAAGATGCCGTGGTAATGAAAGAGGAAATATTCGGACCCGTCGTGAATATCAATACCTTCAAAACTGAGGAGGAGGCGATCGCCAAAGCCAATGACAGCGAGTTTGGACTATACGCCGCTGTATATACCAAGGATATCAACCGGGCTATGAGGTTTGCCAAGGCATTGGAAGCAGGCACAGTCGCCGTCAACTGCACAAGTCCAACGACAGCAAGAGACATGCCATTCGGCGGCTTCAAGAGCAGTGGTGTGGGTAGGGAAGGCTTCGGGCACAGTCTGAACAACTTCCTGGAGACTAAAACGGTGCTGATCAAGGTCAAGTGATGCCACATTCACTGGTTCGTCCTTGGTGCTTCCTGCTGCAAATTGGCTAGACATAGATATCTCTTTCGGCATAGGGTAAGATGAATTGTGGGACAGGGATAGATCTAGAACTTGCCCATGGAACCATTCACTACTTTGGAAGTTCGGAAACATGTGGTCTGCTGTGATATGGAAAGATTGTTCTGTTGTCTTTAATATTTGAGACTGTACGCCCAAACCCTTCATTTGCTCAGCAAGTTCGAATAAGGCGAGAGAGTGGACGTAAGTCAGTACAGACGCCATCGGATTGACTCGTATGGCTTTTGTTCTCGGCTAAGGGGCGAATGAACGTGTCGACATGCCCCTTGTAGCATAATAGACGACTGATGACCGCGAGTCCGAGATATCATTGTAGACGAGGGATCTATAATCCTGACTCTGTAAAGTCTCTCGCTATCAGACGGGAGCCTGAGTATGGCATGACCCATCTTCTCATGCGTTGCACGGGAATTTCAGATTACATCATCCAAAACTCTTGCTCTGGATGTGCTCGCGAAATTGTTGAGATTTATCTCGCTGAAGTTGATGTTGCGTGATTCATTCGAAGAACTGTCGGCATGGATGCAGATCTATCCGACTCTGTACTCAGTTGTGGTAAACGCAGTTCATCGTGGTACATGTGGACTACCACATCTCTCCCAATTTCATTTTCAGCAACTCGTCGTTTGGCCAAGAACGAGGCGTGCAGGCAGATGCTATCTTCACTCTTTTCAGCAGTTTCCCAATGTCTTCAAGGTCACCTTGGTGAGGCACATAGACGATGGTAATATCAGCATATTCCGATAATTTTTCTTGCGAGTGATTGAGATCTGATATCGGATTAAAGGCCTGTCATTTTGCACCGTGGTATGTCTGATCATTGGCTGCCTCATGGTCAGATGCAGTTCCTTTCCTGTTAGCATGCCAACAGTTTTTAGGTCTGTATCCGTCGCACCGAAAAGAGATCCTATCCATAGAGCAACCCCTGACAGAGGCCCCAGAGGCAGGATCAGACGAAATCAGCGAACGTAGCACCCAAGAGCAGTTGATTGTTGTCCTGGATATCTGCCTGAACACCGAGAGTTGGCGAGACAAAAAGAAAAAGGGAGGTCGTGGCGGTTCTGAGCCTAGGGCTCACACTGCTTTTGGAGCCTCACAGGCCATATGTGCTGATAAAAGATAGTTCGGATCCCCCGACGGCTTGAGCCGATAAACAATAAGGTCTGTTGCAGTCTTGCAGAGACAGAAAATGGATGATGTCAAGCTTCAGCTCTCTATCTCTTGCGTAGAGCCGCCAGTTGCCGTTGGCACTGGGAGCAGGATCGAGACCGAGACAGGAAAGAGAGTAGGTTCATCAGAACTGAAGAAGTGGGCTCGAGACTCTTATTTTTGTTATCTCTAGCGCGCTTGCGCGAAAAATGTCCATATGTCTGCCAGCAAGGCTCTCCAATCTGAAATGATCACTGCGCAAAGTCAGGAGCAGATGGAAGTGACGCCGAAGTAGATTTTTATCCTCCGTCGTTGATTGAAGTCCAAGAAGTTATTCGTACATTTCCGAGCTCTCTGCGGCTGTCTCCAAATTTGGTCGCGATTCTCGCGACCGTTGGTGCTTGTCGAGTATTTCCCGAAGCTGGGACTCTGCACTCATGGCGCGGCTGGTATGTCCATGAACCCAGGGCACGAAATTGTGCAACTCCATTCTAGGAATTAACGACTGCAATCTCTCCCGCAGAGTCATGGGTGGGGGCGGACAAGGAGGGACGGGTCCCTCAAATAGTCCGCTGTCGTCATAACTGTACAGTGGATAGTGGCGACCGCCTTCTGAAACGACAGGAGGGTCAGATATCATGACTGCATTTGCTCCGGCGGACAGGTACGTCTCTGACACCACGGCATCGGTTGCCCTGGACGGCGTTTCTTCTACCTCATTTTCCGCTACGGAGCTCTGAAGTAAGCGGCGAGACGAGCGTGACAGTCCAGGCAGCGCAAGGCGCTCGTGGTCTTCCACAACTGGCGGCACATCCGGTAGAATTGGTGGCGCCGAATTATGGCGAATTGAGCCTGTCCCCGGCCTCGAGGGCACGGCGCCCAAGGTCTCACTTCTCATGCGCCTGGTTCGTGGGACAGCTTGTAGTCTCTCAAGCAAGCCATATGCGAAGGAGCCAGTGTGACTTCCGTCGACGAGACTTGCATCTTCCCGGAGGATAAGAACATCATCTGCTGCGGCGGCCAGGCGTTCGTTACTTGCGCTTGCCTCAGCCACGGCCTGTAAAGGGCTGCTCATGGCCCTGATCTCGCCTTGGGGAGGCAAGTGACTGTCATGCTGGTCTGCCAACACCAGTCTGCTCCTCCCGAGTATTTCAGATATCGCATTGATGTCTTCTTCAATGTCCTCTTCGATTGCAGTCAAGATGCCTCGAAAGCTGAATTCGTGGACAGGGGGCAACTCGTTGTTCATGACGCCGCGTTTGGGCCTCGGCCTTGGTGGGCGGATCTGGAGAGAGGCATCGTCGGAATGGACACGAACGAGAACGGGTTGAGAAAGGTTAGTTGTAGTCGAGCGACCACCGACGGACGGGGTCTGAGCGTGCCTGGTTAGGCTGGAGCGGGATGCATTGAGCTGGTGGAAGTGAAGGGCGGCCGGTCGAGGGGAAACATTGCTGTGGTCACTTCGCAGGTAGCTGGAAGATGGCGGGAGAGACCTTGATCCATGGTGCGAAGGCGCAGGCGCGGAAAGGAATGCCCATTGCCCTCTAAAGCGGCCCGACGACGTGTCTGCTCGAGCATCCATGCTTTTTCCGGATTTCAAGACAAACAACGCATCAGAGAGACCGTCATGCCATCAGATAAACCAACCTTCAGGAATGCGGCGAGGGTATAGAGTTCAGCAACGAGGGAAGATGCTTTGTGACGGGGACTCGCATTGAGGTTGCAACCCAAAGGGCAAGGGCAAGGGTTCGTGGCACGTAAGATATGGAGTCGAGCCAACGATGAGGCCAGAGCCCAACTACGTGCATGCCGACAGGTGCAGAGCACGATATTGGAGGAGAAATAGATGAGGTGATGGTGGTGATGATGGTGAAGGAGGAGCAGCGCACTGCAGGGCGGGCAGCTGGGCGGTTGGGATTTGATGAGCCTGCGTGGCTGCGTTTCATTTGGTGGGGGAAGTGCCCAGCAATCCCCCCCCAAAGTGCGGACCACCTTTGTCGTCTCTTCTCAACCTGCCACTGTCTCTGTTTTCTACGAGGTACGAGGGACGCGTGTCTGTACGGGTACCGGCTCGTTAGCTACTCCTATTCACTCTCCAATCTATCCTGCTCTGATGCACACGCAGATACTGAAGACGATGCCCACGGAGACGTGAACCCCAGGCGCAGCCAGAGCCGCTGACGGCATCAGGGCTTTGCCTTGACTTGACGCAATTGTCAAGCCAGCGTCATGCTATGGAGAATATCCTACGAGAGACGCCTGTGCTACGGGATCGGCCCTTGCCTTGCCTCTCCTCCGCTCACCTCGCACCATGGCATTCGAGTGTCTCAGTGCCACCACCATCACACCTAGGTAGCGGGTGGCAGAAGAAGAACCGATGGTGCCGACGAAGATGAAGCTGACATCGCCGGCACCGACGAAGAAGGAAGCTCTTTCCAGGCCGGAAAGCACCCGAGACAAGAGACAGGAGAGAAGAGAAGGGAATGGATGGAAGTTCTACCCAGGAAACAGAAGCCTACCTACCTAGGAGAATCATCGAGTGCGTCAAGGCACAGATTCTAACCCAACCTATGATGCTGTACATACAGTACCCAGTACTCCCTGGGGACCTCTCGCTCTATACCATCTTAGATTATCTGACAAGCACTGATACATTCATTGACAGCTTCAGCAACAAGCTTGTCAAATCGGCCAGGACTGAGGAGCCACGTGTAGATCGATCGCCGGATCAGGCTGCGCAGAAGACGCGAGAGAAGGACAAACATTTCTCCAAACATTTCTCACAAAGCTCCCCATTGGCATCACCACCACCCTGCAGCAAATCGTCCTACTCCATCGCCTAGCAGCTCCTACAGCCGCCTTTTCCCTTTCGCAACCACCTTCCTGCAGCTTTCCCTCCCGGCTCGTGCTGCCTCGCTGCTCTCCAAGGTTTGCCTGGTCACACCTGCCCTTCGATTCGGTGACGTGCTACAAGCTTTCTGCAAGCTGCAGGCTAACCTATGGCTCTACCTATGGCTGCCTATGACGGCCATGGCTCTTTTGTCGTCACCAGCGCCTTCCGCAAGCTCCAACGGCTCGACGGCTGGAGCACTCTGAGCACTTCAGCAGTGGTACCGAGTACAAGAGCTCCAAAGCTCTCTTCCCACCTTGCTGCCATATCTCCTCCTCTGCCATTTGGTCCTTTCCCTGCAGAGCTAACCGTGACAGTGCAAGCAAAATGTATTTCCGTTGGGCTCTGCTGGCTGCGCTCCCTTCTCTTGCAGCCTCGTCGCCCACTCCCCGCCAACGCGAACGACGCCAGACCAGCACAAACTCGTCGTCGGACCTTCTTACTGACATTTCCATCGTCCAGCAATACTGGGGCCAGATCACTCCATACGCGGACAATGCTGAGGACTACTTTGGCGTGAGCGATGTTGGCTTGCCAGATGGATGTCAAGTCGAGCAAGCTCATCTCCTGCAACGCCACGGTGCTCGCTTCCCCGGCGGTACCTTTGACGACGGGCCAAACGATGCGAACTTTGCCGCCAAGGTCATGAACTGGACTCAAACCAAGTCTTCCTCCCAGTTTACTGGCCCGCTCGGCTTTTTGAATTCATACCGCTATGAGCTTGCGCGAGACTATCTCACTGGAATTGGTGCTTCCCAGTCTTTCATGGCCGGTGTCACTTTCTGGAACCGGTATGGGCGCACGCTTTACAATGCTACCCAGGGACAAGTGGCGTACAACGCGACCTACGGCAATGGTACCAACCGACCCAAACTGACGCTGAGGACAACGGGACAGTCCCGCATCGAGAACACCCAGATCAGTTGGGCACTGGGATTCTTCGGCCCCAGCTACCAGTTCACTCCGGATCCGTCCCTGGCCAATTTCTCCAACCCTTTCAATGTCGTGATCGTCCCAGAGGGCGGAACCGAAAACAATACCCTGGCATCCTACGACTCGTGCTTCAATGATAACAACCCAGTCACCGGGTACTTGGGAGATCTCGATTTGTTAAGTTACCTGCCACTCTACCTGTCTAGCGCCCAAAGCCGGCTTTCTCAATACGTTCCAAGTGGGTTTAATCTTACTATAAACGACACATATGCCATGCAGTATGTCATTCGCCCCGTTGTGTTTTACACCACTCAGCTGACGAGGAACTAGGAGCATCTGTGCGTACGAGTCCAACTATCTGGGCCGGTCCGACTTCTGCACCTTGTTCACGGAGGACGAATGGTCCGGGTTCGAGAGCACCCTGGACATCGAGTACTTCTACGATTACTCATACGGCAACCCGACGGGACGAGCCCAGGGTATCGGGTACCTGCAAGAACTCCTAGCGAGGCTGCAGAGCCAGTACATCACGGTGTCCAACTCGAGCGTCAACAGCAGCTTGACCAACAACTCGCGCTCATTCCCGCTGGGGCAGAAATTCTACGCCGACTTCTCGCACGACGACATCATCATCTCAGTGCTCACGGCCGCCTCGCTCGACTACCTCCGCGACCCGCCCTCCCTCACGCAGTACCCGCCAGACCCGAACCGGCACTTCATCCTGTCGCACCTGACGCCCTTCTCCGCGCGGCTGGTGACAGAAGTGATTGGGTGCGGCTCGGGCAAACCCGTGCCTAAGAACTCGTCGCAGACGCAGTACTACCCGACGCAGTACGGGTACAGCGCGAGCGACGCGACGCACAAGTTCATCCGCATGCGGCTGAACAACGGCATCCTGCCGCTGTCCACCATCCGCGGCGGGTATTGCGGCAACCGCAGCGATGGCATGTGTCCGCTGAGCTCGTTTCTGAAGAGCCAGGCCAGCGCGTACGACGCTAGCAACTACGACTACGTCTGCTTCGCCAACTACACCATCGACTACCCCAACAATGGGACAGACTACGACGGGACCCTCTTCAGTGGGAATGCCAGGCAGAGACGGGGAACATTGAGGCAATGGTGATCACGCCCGTGCCTCGCCCCATGGCTAGTTTTTAATGCATAGTAAGTCCGTAATGGCAGGAATGTACATATGCTCTCGCGAGAGATATATATATATATATATGTATGCTCCAACGACGATAATGAAAAGGTTCACATCGCCCGGATAGCGAAGGGATAGCAGATGCATGCGTCCGTTGAGGTATGTCTATTGCTACAGCATATCCGGTGTAATAACATTACTCTGCAACCCATCAATCAAGACCTCCCTCATCGTCTGCGCGCTCTTGACCCGAATGTCGACGAAACTCTGTGGGCTGTAGAATGCCGTGTGGCAGGTGAGGACCATCCTGCCGAGCAGCCATTCTTCCTTTTCGCGGTACGCTTTTATGAGTGGGTGGACATTGTGCTCGGGGATGGGTTCCTCGGGGAGGACGTCGAGGCCCGCGCCGGCGAGGATGCCTTCCCTCAGTGCGCGCTCCACGGCGTCGAGCTGCAGCACCTCGCCGCGCGCCGTGTTCACGAGCACGGAGCCGCGCGGCATCAGCTTGACCAGGTCCCAGCCGATCATGCCGCGTGTCTCACGCGTGCACGCACAGTGGATGCTGAGGTTTGTGCTCCTGCGAAACAGCTCGGTGATGTCCTTTGTGCGCTCGATGCCCAGGGCCTTGTCGACGCCGTTGGGCAGGTACGGGTCGTAGAACAGGACGTTCCAGCCAAATGCCTTTGCGCGGAGACACGCGGCGGTCCCGATTCTCCCAAGCCCCAAGATGCCGAATGTAGCCTGTTGGATGCGCGAGACGAGTGGAGTGTCGATGTACATCCACGGGTAGACGTAGGGTTGGCGCTGGCGGTCATGGTGCAAGAGGACCCCCCGCCGCAGAGAGAGCGCGAGAGACAGTGCGTGGTCTGCTATTTCGGCTGTGCCGTAGTCTACGCAGGTCACCCCGTGTCACAGAGTGAGTGAGCGAGCTCCCCATCAAGTCGCGTCAGGGGGTGGGACGGGGAGACAACATGAGACGAAAGACGCAGAGGGAAAAGCCGAACCTGGCACGTTGCACACTGTGACTCTCTTCTTCGCCAGCGCGACTCGGTCTAGGCGATCATACCCGACGCCCATTCTGACTATCCTATCAACAATTGAACCGCCCGTGTAAGCTCCCAACCCATTTACGACATTGAGATATTCGCACTACTGACAAGGGGAATGGTAAATAGATACTCACACTTTCAGCTTTGGGAACAACTCGACGTCCTCAGCCGTGAACCCCATCTTAAGGACCATGATTCCATCGACTTGGTCTCGTAAGTCCTTGGGGATAGAGGACCATGGTTTTGGAAGAGGTGTGCCGGTCGGGAACAGGTGGGTTGAGACATAGTTCAACTTATAGGGATGCGGTGGGTTTGCCGTGAAGATTTCCTGTTCCACAACATCATCCTAAAATTGATGGTATCAGTTGAAACATCGTTCGAGAGGCGCACAGAAGGGTTGTTTGGTAAGGATAGAGCGTACGGGGTAGACACCGTCTGCTTGGATGATTGTATATGTAGGGACCTCGGTTGTCTGGATTGGTATTACTTGAGGCCCTTGGGCAGTGGTTGCGCCGTTTAGATGAGATATAGTCTCCGCCATTATTACCGTATGGCTGTTCTTGAAGCTTCTCGAGAGAAAATAAACGGTAGATTGGGAAGAGTGCAGCCTCGAGCTATCAGGAGTACGTATTTGCGAAAATAGGTGTGAATATCCTCGAGTGTTTGACTTGGGTGAGGGGAACAATCGTCGTACGAAAGGAGTTGGACGGGCAATAAGCCGGCAAAAGAATCCGATACCGGACAATGGCCGTGTGCATAGAGACAAAGCGGATATGCTTCCTTCCGTCTCTTCTCTGCCGTTAAAAGTTGTTCGTGTTGGTACAGTGCTTTGGAAAGTACGGCGTACCATATCACGGCCAAATTCTGGCTGGAAGCAATCACTTACTCGGGAAACAGACAAGCAGACCGGATGATCGTGCTGACCTCGTTTTTCTCGCAAGGAGTTGCGAATTTACCATAAAAACTCCAGACGCACAAGGCTGCGGACACGCAGCGTAGCGATAGCTGTCGTCAAGCTACTGGAGCCTTATTCTCGTCTTGTGCGAGCAGACCGGCGAGTAGCAGCTGTCACTTGCTCGACCAGGGCCATGGTTTTCGGTGTCCGACAGTTTCGTGGGTCAGGTTCATGTCTCGACGGGCGCAAAGGAGAGGGTGGACTTATCCACTGCCATGGGCTGGCTGGTGATCCAGGTTTGTAAGATCTGGATCCCTGCAACTAGGGCGGTCATATTCGAGATATTGTCAGCGGAACTGAAACGACAGAAACCTGAAACTGAACTGCTTGGCTTGTTGGATCTTCAGCATCGTCTATCGTGGACATGCTCTTCCGTATATAGCTGCGACTAGCTTCGTGTGCTTCACCGTTGTCGAACCGAGGTATTTTCACCCTTTGGACCAGCTCAAGCATCCCTGTGGTGCCTCAAGACGGAGTAATGACTAAACAACATCCATGACATCTCATCTGCCCGAGCTTGCCATTGTCAAAAACTAATTTATTAGAAGAACCTCTATCAATCACGTCCGTCCCAGCTTTCTCAAGCCGAAACATCCCACTCTACCATCATCACAAAGCTGGTCACCACCGTATGAGATTGAGGGAAGATGGCTCCAACGTACAAGACGGTGGTTCTCGCCAAACGACCGAAAGACAACATTGTCCCAGGTGAGACATTCAGACTCGTCACCAACAACCCGACTCCTTCCGCCGCCGATCTCAAGGATGGAGAGGTCCTGTTCGAGACCAACTATCTCAGCATCGACCCGGCGATGCGCGGCTGGCTCAACGATACCAGATCATATATTCCACCCGTGAAGATTGGGGAAGTCATGCGAGGCGGTTGTATCGGGACAGTCGAGGCTAGCAAGAACCCCCAGTTCCCCGTTGGGAGTTTTGCAACGGCCACGGCGGGATGGACCGAATACAAGATTTGCAGAGGCAACGAGTTGCAGAGGGTGGTTGTCCCTAGAGGTGGAAAGCTGACCGATGGGTTGAGTGTGCTCGGTACGAAATCAGTCGAGAAGACTTCTGCGGTATGGAGCTTGGCTAACACTAGGGTCTTCCAGGAATGACTGGATTGACAGCCTATTTCGGCATCATTGACGTCGGCAAGGTCAAAGCGGGAGACTTTGTCGTTGTCTCGGGCGCTGCAGGTGCAACGGGCAGTGTTGTCGGTCAGATCGCCAAACTCAAGGGTGCAACTGTCTTGGGCATTGCTGGTAGTGAGGACAAGTGCCGATGGCTAAAAGAGGAGTTGGGCTTTGATGATGCCTTGAACTACAAAGACAGGGACTTCTTCAAGAAGTTCAGGGCTGCCACGAAGGTACTTTCCCAGTGAAGCTTGATACGGTGTGAGAAATCGGAGTATGCTTACCTGAACCAGGATCTGATCGATGTTTACTTTGACAACGGTAAGTCATACTCATGTAACAGGTGGTTGACATCTACTCATCTCGCTTTTCTCAGTTGGAGGTGAGATCCTTGATATGGCGCTCTCGAGAGCAAAAAAACACGCTCGGTTTGTCATGTGTGGAGGTATGCAACCCAGTGATTCCTGCAAGTGAGATTTACTGATTGTCAAACAGGTATTAGCCAGTACAATTCCTCTAAACCCCAAGGACCAAAGGTTAGTGTTTCGACTCGTTGAGAACAAGCCCCTGTTAACAAACGATGCCCAGAACTATCTCATGATCGTTTCGATGCGCATACGGTAAGGCATGCAAGTTTTTCGCTTTCGGGTATCCGGACTGAACAACGCTGCAGCATGGAAGGGTTCATTGTCTTCGACTATGCAAAGGAATATCCACGAGCTCTGAGGGAGTTGGCGCAGTGGCTTTCCGAGGGCAAGATTAAGAGGAAAGAGACCATCGTCAAGGGTGGCTTGGACCAGGCAGAGAACGCACTGAGAGATTTGTACCAAGGGGTCAACACAGGTGAGCCTTTTCTTTCCTTGGAGTTGTTCTGTACAGAGTATTTATGGGCTAACGAAACCCAGGCAAGTTGTTGGTCGAGGTCAAACCTATCGACGACAAACTTCGAGCGTCTCTGTGAAATATATATAGCCTGGCTAATGGCGACCGGATGAGTCTGTCGCCGTCTCCTCAAAAATGGCACCAAAAGTTCTATATACCCACGCATGATCACGGCCTCGCCATCGACATGCACGGTGAGGTCAGTGCATGATGATAATCATGGTAATGATCTCCGTGCATATGCTGATCAACAACTGCTACTACTCCGCACTCACACCAGGATCTTGCATCCCGGCCAAACCAGGAATATGCTCCACCACGAGGTTTTGGATGTCACCTCAATGCGGGCACAACTGCCACCCATTAGTGACCCAGGTGCACAACTTCTCAAATCAAAAACAGTAGGTGGCCCATAGCGTGCGAGGTTGTATGAAACCTATCCACCTTCCTTGAGCTTGTCTTCCTTCGCCTTGTCGCTTGTTCCAATTCCTCTTGCTCTGTTAAGGGCTCTTGGCCCCAGTGCAGCATTGCCGTTATTACAAAAATGCTGTTTCTAGCATCTGTCTTTCTCCTTGCAGTTAATATTTCGTCCAATCTCTGTCTGGGACAAACAGCAACCACTGACTCGACCGCAAATGGCGCGACGTACATAAATCCAATCCTCAGCGCCGTGGGAGCAGATCCGTGCGTTGAACCTGTCTCAGGATCACAGGAGGCAGCAAGTGGACTAACTTAAGACCTCATCTCTGTTGTTTTTAGATGGGTCATTCGGTCCGAAAACTACTATTACATGACATACACGACCAACGACAATATCACCATTCTCCGGAGTAGTATCCTGACGTAAGTCCAAGAGCACACCGTCTTCGCCGTCTTGCTGTCTTCACTCCCTCATCCGAACTAATTTGATTTGGATTTTGGCATGGCCAGAGACTGGAACAACGCCGAGGTGAAGCCAGTCTTCACACCACCAAAGAACACGTCGTACAGCTACGACCTGTGGGCACCGGAGCTGCACTTCCTGGACGGGGCGTGGTACATCATCTTCACGGCGGACGTGGACGCGGACACCCCTTCGCCGGAGCAGGACATGTACTGCGACTTCAGCTGCCCGGCGGTGAACCACCGGATGTTCGTGCTGGCGTCGTCGACGGACGATCCGTGGACGAGCAACTACAACATGCGCGCCGAGCTGGATACGTACAACCAGTTCGCGATCGACGGGACGTATTTTGTGCACCCGGCGACGGGGGGACATTTGTACCACGTGTATTCGTGCTGGGAGGGGTCATACACGTCGTGGCCGTCGATGTTGTGCATCTCGCGCATGTCGGACCCGTGGACGGTCTCGAGTCCGCTATCATCTCGCGCCGTCATCTCGCGCCCCGACCAGCCGTGGGAAAAGACGCCGTACAACCGCACGATCAACCAGCGGCTGTCATCCAACGAAGGGCCCCAGCAGCTAATTAACCCGGCCACGGGCCAAATGTTCATCATCTACAGCGCCGCCCGCAGCGACAACAGGAACTACTGCCTCGGCATGCTGGAGCTAACAGGCACGAACCCGATGGACCCGGCAAGCTGGACAAAGCACACCGCCGGCTGCGTCTTTGCGCAAAATCCCGCCGAGGGAGTCTACGGCGTCGGCCATGCCAGTTTCACCACCAGCCCCGACGGATCCGAGAACTGGATCGTATACCACGGCATGCACGATTACATGGAAGGATGGACCGTGCGCACCATCCGCACACAGAAGTTCTCCTTCGACGAGCACGACGGCACCCCGGTGTTTCCTGCACCTGGCATCGGGCCCTACGCGGTTCCTGCCGGGCAGGGACAAGCCCAAGGCCAAGGGTCCCCGACGGCGCAGAGTCCTCGCTCCTCGAATCCAGCGCTAGTGTACTCGGAGCTCAGCTCCAGGGTGTCTGGATCTACGTGCATCACCGCCGCTGCGAGCAGCAGCTGCAGCAGCATTGACACCTCCCTTCCTTCTTTGCACAGCGTGGGCTGGGAGACTGCCTCGCCGCTGGGATGGCCAACGGCCACGATCAATGCTACTAGTACTTCGTATTAGCAATGGTGTTGCAAGACAGCGGGGGGTTAGAAGGGAAGGCAAGGCAGAGCTGGATTGTTGGCTCGGAGGAAGATCGAGGGCTTATTTGGTGGTGCTTCATTCTTCGCTTATGCTTCGCTTATCCTTCGGCTTGCGTGCTTCGCTTCCGGCAACTGCTACGACGTACTCTCAATTCAGCAGGATCTAATTAATTAACCGGATGCTTATTTAATACGGATGGGTCTCGGGGCAGCAATCGCAATCGCATTCGCAATCGTAATCACACTTGGATGGCCGGCGGGCTTTTGGACTTTGTATATTTTTACTTGTCGAGACGACATGGTAACAAAGGTAGCAAAGCAAAGGGGAGGATAAGGTCTTGGGGCCTCGCATCTATCTACCAAAGCCCCTCAACCAGGCTTCTGATGGACTTAAGCAGCTCTTCACCCTGCGCGCTCTTTTCCTTTTGCTGGGGTATCAAGCCGCCCGTGGCCCTCGCGCAGATAATGTCCACTTGATCCTTGCCCACGCCCTTTTCCGTCAGGTTGGTCTTCAGGCCTAGGTCCTGCACCAGCGCCAAGATCCTGTCTCCGACGAGATCGCTGTCCTTGACGTTGTCTCCCGACCTCTTCTCTCCCCCGATGTAAGGTAAGATAGCCGCAATGTTCTCCGCGTTCTCGGCGCTCTGGCGCGCCTTGAGCTTGACGACGTGGCCGAGCGTCAAGCACGACGTGATCCCATGCGGGATGCCGTAGGGGGAGCCCAATGCGTACCCCAGGGAGTGCGACAGCCCTAGCCCGCCTTTGAGGCTCTGGCCGACGAATCCTAGGCTCGCATAGGCGGCGAGAAGCAGGCCGGTGATCAAATCCTCGTCCTTCGGGTCCGCCTTGTACTTCGGCAACAGGCGGAATAGTTCGGTAATGGCATTCAGCGCGACCATTCGGCAGGGGATCCACGTCGTGGCCGGGTGATACTGGCTTTCGACGGCGTGGTCCATCGCTCGAAGGCCCGTAGACAACATCAGGTGTGGAGGGGTATAGATGACGAATTTCGGATCATAAAAGATATACGCCGGGTACGTGTTTGGATGGTTGATCCCGGTCTTTGTGCCGTCTGCTTGCGTATATCCCGCAATGGCGGTGCACTCGGCCGCTGACAGCGTCGTCGGGATGGTGATGTGCAAAAGCCACTTCTGGGACGTCTCGTGTACGCGGTAAGAGATGGCTTTGGCGCTGTCGATCGGGGAGCCGCCGCCAACGGAAATGATGGTGTCGATTGTGCTGTCCTGTTTCACGATGGCGGTGGCCTCGTCGAGCTGTGCAATGGGGGCGTGCTCTTTGATGTTGCTGAATGTGCCCGCATGGTGTTTCTCGGTCAGAAGCTCCTCGAGAGATTTGATAAGCGGAGTCTTGTTGGCGAGCGAATTGCCTGTGATGATGAAGGCCTTGGATGACTCTGTGGGCAGCGCCGATAGGATGTGCTTCTTCACCACATCCGGGCCATAGTAGAGTGCCTTGAGGTTGTTGGGCTTGTAGAGTCCTTGCAGAGGATGGAGGGAGGAGTCCATTCTGATGGTGCGTGTGGCGGGTTGACTACTCAGGTTGGATATGTGGGCGGGTGAAATGTGGGCTTTTGTCTGTAGCGCGCGGAGCATCAGAAGCACCGACGGGGGATTCCGCAGAGACTCAAGGAAAGGATGTATTTTGTTTAGCAGCACTATCAAGTCCTCAGTAAAGCCCGACTGTCAGCAATGGCACATGTTGGACATGGTGGTGATGCTGAGGGTTGAATATACAGGAGCCGAGTTTGTCATCATCCCCACAGTCAGCCAATCATGGTGCCCCTCCGCCCCGCACAAGGCTGAATATCAGGGTCGCCGAGCTCGCCGCCTACTCCCCGAAGCATTCGGCCTCGGTAAGAGTATTATGATTATGAAATTCACGGCTATGTAGCCGCTCCAGTAGGAGCCCTGCTACTCACAAGCACATTACCCCCTTACCTGTGAGCTGAACTATCCTTTCGAATCATCCAAATGCGCCCCCATACTTCTCCAGAACCACCGGCTGCCATGCGGTTGCAACGTGTCGCCGTACGCGAACATCCCCAAGATCGGAACCATTTGCTCCCAACTTATGAGGCCCATCATGCTCGCTTGTCTCGCAAAGAGGGTGTTGAACAACATGCGCGACGCATCTTCATCTTCTGCGCCGATATGGAACCCACTTCGGCTCTTGTGAGACAGGTTCTCGTCGAATCCGCTATCGATTCTTTGCAAACTCAGCTGTGCCTTCGCTGTGAGCATGCCCCTTGATTTCTGGCCTCCTCCTCTCCTGCCAACGTTGCCATTGAGAACACTCTGCCACTCTGCTATCGCTCCCACAAACAGGCACCATAGATGCGCATTTGCGTAAGCCTCCAGCTCCTGGGGACTGCCCACTCGAAACGCGGCGTTAAGGGCATCGTAAAGAAGCGTCTCGCGCGATGCTGCGGGGTCATAGAAGTTCTGCCCATTAATCCACATGTCAAAGAGTCCAAGCACGCGCATAAGGTAGAGTGCCGCCATCGCCATTGCGGCTTCTGTCAGGCGACTACATTCGGATTGGCACGCGAGACCTGGTCCCTGCAAAATGGAAGCGGCATTGGGCTCGGAGAGAGCCTCACTCAAAGTGATCGAAGTACCCTTGACCTTATCACAATAGAAATTCGTGAAGAATCCCTCGTCGATATACGCATGGGATGCAACCCAGAAGAATATCGCCGTGGTATTGGTGCCGGGATTCTCCGCTTGGGCAATCAATTTTTCCAGTGCGATGGCCTGTCGTCGACGGATGAAGAGGCTTCGAAGAGGCTCCGTCGACACCGAGAAATCTAAAAGTGTGCTTGTAACTGCGGCATCTGTTGCATCTGGGATGGTCTCCTTCCCCACGAGCAGGTAGACATATGGATCGACTCCGGTCCACATCGCCTGATATATATTTGGTCCAAACGTCTCGTATTCAAATATCGGTTTCCCGCGGTGCGTCGAGCTTAGATGAATGTCGACAAACATTGCCAACATGAAGAAGTGCGGAGTTACAGCCTCCGGATCCTCGTGCATCAATTTCCTCAGCATTCGTCCATGTATAAGTGCAGCATCGAGATTTCTCGCCGAGGCTTCAGCGTAGAAGTGCCAGAAGACTTGTTGAAGAAGGGTGATCTGGGCGAGCCGACTTCGGTGGGTAGGATCACTTCGGAGTATGCTCTGCCTGAGCATTTTAGAGCTGGTGTTTCTTAGTTCCAGGCTGTACTTCATGTAACCACTGTCTTTGATACCGCAAGCAACCATCATGGCCAAGTATGTGCTTAGACAAGCGAGTGCGGTGCATTGATCATGCAGTCCTTGGACGATGTGTTTCCAGGATTGGACTGCCGCTGGGGTCGAGATCCAGCCCATGGGTGACTTCGTGACATCCGAACGAGTCGAAGGGAAGCGGGCTGCTTCGCGGAAGTAAGGCGAGTAGTAGAGCGTAGGCAGCTGAATGTCTCGGATGAAGGTGATGACCTCGTTGACGCGCGGCGTGATGGAGAAGGAGAAACAAGAGAAAGGGTCAGAGTTGCCTTGACGAATAAGTGTCAGCGGACTGGGAATATCGGAAGAAGCAGTTGCATCAGCTGCGTCAGAAGCAACGCTCGCGTCCGGCTCTCCTTGTACCTGATCGCCAGCAACGCGATGGTGGCTTTGGGAATCAATGCTGAAGACAGTTCGTCGTAAGCATCTCTGGAGAGAGTGCCAAAACTCGTTCACCAAGAGCAACTCACGTTGTACCCGGCAACCGGATGGACGCCTGCAACTGATTGTTATCATGTTTCCTTTTCCATTTGCGATAGTTTCGCTGGACGTGGCCGAAGACTCTCTTCCTGTGTGGCAAAGCCTTCCTGCTTTTCTGATCGTGATTGATCCATAAGAGATCACCCGTGTAGGCGGGTGGCTGTTGCACCTGAGAGTTGTTCGCAACCATATTGGACTTGTCGCACCAGCAGGAATAGGGGGTGGATGAGGGGCGATATTCGTCGAGCGGCTCGAGACGCAACCTAATAAGACTTCTTACCTCTGCGCGAGCGTGGCCATCGTAGGGACGCACTCTTCCCGCGGGATAGAACCGGAAATCCCAGACCAGCATAAGTGATCCGTTCAGCATCGTTGAACGGTTGTCCATTCCTGAAACTGCAATAGGTATTTCCACCTTCGACGAACCACCAACGCGCACAACACCACCATGATTGTGCTAGACGAGCCACTCGCAGCAACCAGCCCTTAGCAAGGGATTCCTGACCGAATTTGGAAGTTGGCGAATGAGTCCCACACGAAAGGGAGGAGGAAGGCTATCATGTAAGCAGGCAAGAACTAGCAAGCTCGTCACAAAGCAGGCCGCTGTCCGGCCTTCGTCCGTCAGTTCTTGGTGTATGCAAGTTACGTAAGGGCCAGCATATCTGGATGGTGGGAATTCAACGGTTGGCTTGGTGTACCCAGCGCCATTGCAAGACTATCTAGGTCAGATCGAATGGACAAGCATCCTGTTAACCGAGCATTGACTGCAAAGGGAATGTGCCCATTCGGCTGGACCGTCTGGATATGTGACCTGAATCGTGGTGTGCGGAGAGTTGCTCGCTTTACCTGGCAACGTGCTTAGGTTGTCGGCTGCAGCTTGGACATCTGAGGGGCACAATGGTCAGTCTGCAATCCATCAGGCATAGACTCGCAGGAAAGGCTTAAGCAGGACAGTCTAGAGGCCGAAATTGAGACAAGCATGAGATATACGAGAGAGAAAATAAGAGGTATTATGATTGGCTGGTGATACAGATAATTATCCCTTCCTCAATGCACAATCCTGATGACGCTTTTGAATGAATGAATGCAGACCAGCGCCATGCAATACTTGAACAACGCCACACAAACAGGCGGTCCCGTGCTAGCCTTCAGCTTTTCCTAGACCATTGAGGGAAGACCGGGTGCCACATAATATCAGACTGCCACTGGCCGGAGTTGAACTTTGGAGCACGAGTTCGGAATTCTCCCGTAGGTATAGCCATTAATCTGGAAAAGTTGGGGTACACCATGCCACCAGTCGCAGGCTGCAAATCCAATTAGTTTATATCAGATCCAGATGGTTTGATCAGTGCAGATGGAGGGCCTACCCAACCAGCCGCCGGTGCTCTCGTTGAATTGAAGCCCGGACGAGTTGAAGAAAAATCCACTAGCGAGGTTGCTGATGCCGGCGATGCTGATTCCCACCAAGTTCCATTGCTGATAGGGGCCATAGCCGATGTACAGCGGCCAAGGGCCAGCTTGATTGCCAGCGTAGGTCATGAGCTGCTGGGAACCGTTCAAGTAGCCCTCCCATGCCCATGACTTGTTAGTCGAGAGGGCGGCATCACCAAGTCCGGCACCGGTGTGGTATGAGTAGAGCCACAAGTTGGTCTTGTTGGTCCCAAAGTCCAGGTGACCGCCATTGACCACTTTGGTTTGAAGGTAGTATCTGGCAGGTGGGTCGATGGTCTGTCTTGTCTGAAGAGGTGATGCTGGAGCGAGGGTGAAGATGGAGAGAAGGGTGAGCAGGATGGAGAACTGCATGGTGCTGGATCGGACGGATTTGCACGAGCGTGGGTTTGCAGTATGTAATGGTACACCTTGGTGGAATGAATGAACTGCTGGTAAGAGAGGGAGGCTGTGTAAACAGAATATGTAACCTGAAGAGATGGAAAAGGGTTGACTTGGGAGCAGTGAGAGCGAGGAATTTAAATGTGAGGATTTGGGTGGGAGGCGCCTTCCCATGTACCGCACTTGTAGTTACCTCGTTCTTTTGTCGTTCACTTGTACCTGACTAGTACACGGAAGTTGCTAGGGAGAGAGCTTTCCTTCCCAAGGGCGATCATGCGGCAGGTACTCGCCGAGGGATTTCCTAGCAAGTAGGAAGGCACGGTGTGACACAGAATAGGCGGCGAGGGCGGATAACGGATGACATTGGCATGTACCTGCAATGTGGAGGAGTGGCGATGGATGACGATGATGGTGATGACGGTGATGGTGATGGTGAATCGTGTGATGGGAGGACAGCGCGAGCAAGCTCCCTCTCTGCCGTCGAGCCGGCCATTTGTCTGGCCCAGAAATGAGGAAATGTGGGTTACATACCTGTGACTACAAGTACTTGTACAAGTACTACCCGTCGTTCGCACCATTCGGATGTCGGCTTCGTGAACGAGTCGGATCGAGATGATCAAGACATGCTTAACCGCAGCTCTGCTTAGCTGCAGACCATGTTCTACATGTAATGGTCATTTGTAAACTCACCCCATCCGTGCCCCATCGCACGGCTGACACAGAAACGACCAGCTCAGTGTGAAAGAGGGAGAGCACAGCAGCTCCATGGCAGCTATCTACTTGTACCAAGCACGAGGTACAGTACATCATGATCGACTTAACGAGTATGCAGCCACGCTCAGCCTGACGATCCCCAAGGTACCCTTACCACCCCTCCCAAGCGAGCAGGTAAGCCTGTCCGGCGGGCTACTTCATGACCGGTCGTTCGCATCAAAAATGTGGCCCCAGAATGCCCTAAAATGCTTCTTGTTTCCCTCAACCCGAATCTCTTCGACCTCCTTGGGAATCAGTTCAAAGGTGAAGACTCGCAACATGTCACTCATTCGTTGTTCCTTCGAGCTGGTCGTGATTGGCAATACATTCTGATCAATGCACCACCTCAACAGTATCTCCCCTGGGTTAACGGCATACTTCTTTGCCAGTGATTCAAGCAACCCATCAATTGGGCCTCCCTTTGCCTTTGTGACGGGTGTAAGCGGGGCATAGGCCGCGACACGAATATCTTTACTCTTGTGATAAGCGAGGAGGTCTCCGTGTTGCAGGTAAGGATGGAATTCAATCTGATTGATGGCCGGTCGAACTTTGCATGTCTGAAGAATGGCATCCAGGTGAGGTTGGAGGAAGTTGCTGACCCCGATGCTTTTGGCCTTTCCCGAAGCTGCAACCTGTTCCATATCCGCCCACTTTTGCTGAAGCAGTTTGTCGTCTCCTTTGGCGAAGAAGGGGGCATGGATGAGGTACAAGTCAACGTAGTCAAGACCCATTTTCTTCAGGCTTCGATCAATGGCACCTGGGATGTCGTCGATATGCGTGATGACTTTGGTTGTGATAAAGAGCTGATCGCGGGGCACTTTGCTCTCCTTGACCGCCTCGCCCAGTTCCACCTCTGTGTTGTACACTTCGGCTCCGTCAATATGTCTATAGCCGACCTTGATGGCCGTCTTGGTGGCATCAATCGTCGCCTGATCCTTCGGAGCATCTGCACTTTGTTTGTACCTGCAGATTTATGACACGGTTAGTGGTTATTGGGAGACTTGCAATGAGGCGTGGTTTTTCTCCCTCCTTGACAAGATGTCATTACTTTATCGAAGCAATAAATACTCAGGGACATAACCTCGGTTGGAAAATGAACACATTCGATGGACCAGGGAAAGCACTGCAGAGAACTCACCATGCAGTGCCCAGACCATATCCGATCTGGAAAGCAGTCTTCTGTCAGGAATACTCCTCAAGAGAGAGGTAATTTGAACATACCATCGGTATCTTATTGCCATCTGGCAGCTCCATGTTAGGGATGTTGATGTCTAATTTAGCCATTGCAGGAAGAAAGGTTGTGAAATGCCTATGATTGACCCGTGTGCACAGAAAACTTTTGGTCTGGTGGTTGCCAAGTCGATGAAAGCGAGATATGGAGGCCGCGGGTGATGAAAAGCGGATCATATATACACGGAAAAGATGGACGTTGAAGCGCTCTGACAAAAGAAGCGTCTCTGGGTACGAAGAGGGCGAGTGATGCCTTCGAAGGTATCTCACCGGCTCAAAGGCCGACCAGTTCGTGGACTTTTACCGGTTGCGGCTGGTGGGGTAGAACCTGGCCAAAGCTTGCTCTCAGCAAACCTCGAATGGTATGATGCTATAATCCCAATGGTCGATGACGTGCCCGACTCGACTCCGCGCGATGCCTGATGCCTCGTAGTTCGGTTAGAATCCTCACTTAGCGCCGTCAGAACTGTATCTGGGACGGAATAGGAAGGCGAATCGTGAACCCAGTCCAGCAGGCCTCGCATCACTTACCAACAATATAAGGCTTCGAGTCTCATAAGCCAGACGACAACAGACGTCTCTGGATATTCCACTTAGGCCCAACCATTATCCTGTCTGGTGTCGGACCTCCTGGATCGGTGGACACCTGGGCGGACGACAAAAGCGTCGGGTAACCAAGATGGTTTCAGCAGCAGCCTCTGCCCTGCCCACTTTTGACGGCGTCGTTCATGGTCAGGTTGACAGTCTTAGGAGCCTTGCCTTCAGCTCGACCAGTCCCGGCCCCGTACCCTTTGACTCCGCTTCTTCTGTCGTTGAGGTCATATTTGCCGGCTTCGATATTCTGATATATTCTTTCTGCCACCTCGAGGAACGCTTTCTCGACTCCCTCGCCGCTCTTAGCACTTGTCTCGACATACTTGACCACGTTTTCTCTGCGACACCAGTCTTCCGCCTCTTCTTTGCTCACGGCTCGCTTGGTGCCGCCCTCCGCGTCCGTGCTCTGTTCGGCCAGGTCGAGCTTGTTGCCCACCAAAATGACGACGATACCCTCCTCAGCAATCTGACGAAGGTCGTTGAGCCATTGAGTGACCGACTCAAAGCTGCTTCTTCTCGTGATGTCGAATACTAGTAACGCCCCAGATGCGCCACGGAAATAACTCCTCGTTATACTTTTGTATGTCTCTTGGCCCGCAGTGTCCCATAACGAAAGCTTCATCTTCTTCTGCGGTTGCGGATTGGCATGACTGACTCCTCCATTTGGCGTTCCGATGCCCAAAGATGCATTCGCAGGAGGACCGACAGGGACTATTCGGCTCCCAAACTCGACGCCGATAGTGACATCATGTGAGGCAGAGAATCTCCCTTCACATAATCGGATAGTCAAGCTGGACTTGCCCGTTCCTTGCGGTCGGTTAGAGGCATTGTTACTAAGAGATCCAGGGCTGCTCACCGGAATCTCCTATACAGACCAACTTTGCAATGTAGTTCCATGGAAGTGCAGGGACTGGTGTTGGGTTGGGCATGGGAAATAGGGCGGGTGGGTATGTCGGAGTCTGACTCGAGAGATGGTGGACCGTATTATTCCTTCGAGTGAACAGTAAATTTGGTCGACTCTGTGACAGACTGACACAATCAACTCAGAAGAATAGTGTTGGTGAGAGGAACAACGAAGTCTGGTGACAAAAGATGGAGGATGAACAGCGAAGGACTCTGGCCCGATGACGATGAACACGCTTGCAGGAGCTTGTGAGGAGCGCGCGTGCCCATTTGCAACGTGTACCTGACTTTCCGGGCTTGCGGGCCCCCAGCGGCCTGGAAAGTCTGTGCACTTTGGTTGCTCTACCCAGTAATGGCCGGGAACTTGCCCAGGCCGCCCACCTAGTCCAGGCTGTCCAGGCTAGTAGTGGGCTAGCAGGGTAACCTACCTAGGTGGGCTAGGCATGCCGGTCATGCACTCCCTCGACTTCTCACCGTGCCTCGTCTTTGTTCCCCGTTTCCGACCGACTTGAAGGTTGAACTCATCATCTGCAAACCACCAACTCACCACCACGTCTTCCTGTGCTACCGCGGAACCAACCGATATCTACGACATATTCTAGCTTCCCATTCACGCACCTAGCCTAAATTTGTCCATCGAAGGGGATCTGCCTTTGAACTATCAATTAATCGTGCTTATCAATTATATCTATTCACCGACTGACACACCGCGTGGTGACTGCCTGCGGGCAGCATGTTCTCCGAGTGTGAGCCCTCATCTCACTGATCCCACGCTTAGTGCCAGGACTGATATGTTTCAAGACGCATCTAGGTTTCTCGCTCAGTCCCAGTCCCGCCTCAGTTTTGCGCCGACAGCAGCGGACGACCGTCGATCTGGTGAGGGTAGAGCAGCACGACGACCAAACCAGACGTGGAAATCCACCACCGCCTCCAGGACGCTGAATCCTCGCGTCCCGAATCCCTATCAGCCGACTTCCTCTCAATTGTCAGCCTTTCCCTTCGCTTCTCGCCTCAACCCGCAACAGGCGCCTTTATTCTACAGTGCTACCGACGAATTCCGGGAAGAAAATGACGAGGAGGAGCACGAACGAGAGATAGCCGATTACTATGCCCTTCAGAGATCAAGACGGCAGTTAGGGGCCAGCGATCTGCATGCTTCATCCGATGTCGATGCCGGGAGCGGCTCCAGTCTCAATGGAGATAGCAGTCATGGGGAGGATTCTCGTGATCGGAGTCTGGCGAGACCTGGTGGTATCAGAAGCTCGTGGCATGGTGGTGCCCCAAATCCACGAAGAAAAGGAACAAAGCTGGCGGATCTCGCAGAATCGGCAGAATCACTATCAGAGAATCCCGTCCCCACGTCGCAAAGGAACCCAATGGTTGACGTGGGATTGGAAGACACCTTGCGGAGCGAATATGACGACGAGCCGCCAGAAGATCTGATAGAGAACCCCCCTTCGGTTCAACAGTTGCGCAAACAGAGTCCAAGAGCAGAGGACGAGTATGACTCGGAGGAATCGGACCAAGAAAACACGCGGAGACGCCTGCTAGGACACTCACGGAATCACTCTGGCGGAACTGAATCTGTACCAGATGGTATCCAAACACCACAAATTCAACAACCGAGACATGACGCCTTCTGGGGTCAGCTTTATTTGCTTTCGGTTGCCGCCATGTGTGCAAGCTGGTTCCTTGTCTTGCTTCACACACAATCACCGAGCACGAACCGGCCTCTCGGCGATACCGTCTACACGACTTTGCATGGATCGTTTTATCTTTTGGCGACATATACCCTCGTAGCGACCTTCGTTTCCTTGTTTTGGCTTGCAGCCCTTCGATCGTACGTTCGATATCTCGTGTACGGCATCTTGGTGACTGTCCCGGTCATCCTTTACTCTTTTTCTCTCTACCCATTGATTTCCAGCTTCCAAGGATCATGGCATGGATCAAGCATCCAAGATGCCGTCATGAGATGGAGCGCGCTGGTCCCTTCTATCATGGCCACATTGTGGATTCTGGCCGTCCTGCGTGGGCGGTTGGTCATGCAAAAGGCGATTTCAATTCTGGAGTTTTCGACTCGAATCCTAGCCGCGAACCCGACATTGGTGTTGGTTGGGTTTGCTGTTCTGGCTTTCATCGTAAGCTTCACATGGATATGGCTGTCCATGTTCGCGAGAGTGTTCCTTGGGGGCCATCCGTCAACTCGGTCAACGATCAGCAAGTTTGTCATTGACACGTCAACATGGTGGCTCGGGGTGTACTTTATACTCGTGTATCTCTGGACGATCACCATTGCGTTTGGGATGCAGCGAACCATCACGTCGGCCACGGTATCGCAGTGGTATTTTCATCGGTTGGCGCTACCGGCTGCGACACCTCAAGCTATTGTGAAAGCTGCATTGCAACACTCGGCTACGACACTCTTTGGCACGATAGCTCTATTCACCGGCTTGAGTCTTCTGGTCCGGCTGCCATTGCTCGTTCTGCCTCGGCGATTGACAATGCTTCTTGGGGTGGCGATGTACTCATTCATCCCTAGTCCGATTGCGGTTCTGATTAATCCGCTCACCCTTACCTACGCTGCGATCCATTCTCAGCCCCTGGCTGTGAGCGCGAGAGGACTCTCGCAGATGCATTTTCTAGCCCCTAATGACGCCACGACAGCCCTCCATCCAGGCACGTTCAGTCGCCACCGGAGAAATGACGGTTGGTCAAATGATGCAACGCCTCTCCTTCCGTATCGACTGGCCAAGCTCATCCTCCACGCGACAAGATTTATCATGTGTTTGGCGTTGGGCTTCGGTGGGTGGGTCACAACGGCACGAACTCTCAAGCTGGACGGGGCTGGAGTTCGCGGAAGCCTGTACGCTTACATAGTCGGGCTTGTTGCTGGAGCCATCGGTTGGGGCATTCTAGGCGCAATGGAGGGAGTTCTGGCATGCATCGTCGACGCCGTGGTGGTGTGCTGGGGCAGCGAGGTCGGCAGCACTGGCACCGGAGAGGTGCGATATTGTAGGGAGGCGGGCAATCTGTTCCGCGACGACGTCGACACCACCGGCGGCCGCATCAATCTGGCTTGAAATGGGCACCAAATGCCATTCCACATTGCCATGGCTGAACCAAGAGACCGAGTAGATAAAACATTGAACGAGACCTCAGTGGAAGTAGAGAACCCCTCAACGAAAGTATTTTTGGATCTCCCTTTCACGTGTCAAAAGTTCAGGTGGAGTTTACTATTCCCCCCTTTTCCCAATATGTGCCAAGGTGGCTCTTCGACACGCTGGCGAAAGTCGAGGCTTGTGCATCTGCCATCTTGCACAGTCGAGGTTCCAACACTCAAGCTGCATTAATCTTCTCCTTTCAGGCCATCAGGTCCAAGGATTGGATTGCCCTTTCTCCTTCTTTTCCCTTTCATCCTTCTTCCCTTGAATGGCGATTCCTTCGTTCTCTTCCTAATCATTTTCACTTCTTTCTCGACACGTGTTTCCAGGGCGACTTTTCAATCCGTCCGGCCCCCATCTACTTTCCCTGGACTCACGGTAACACTGTTTCTGCGAACTTGAGACACCTGTCTTCTCTGCTACAAGTCCATTCCCATCTTTCTCTCCTAACTCTACCCTCCCCTACAACCATGGCCACCACGAACAGTGGCCACTCGACCGGCGCAGGAAAAGACGAGGCTGAACTCCGCCGACGAAATGTGACCAGCTATGAAAAGGCCAACGGACAACATGTCTACAAGCTCGAGGCTGAAGATACAAAGAAACTACAAAAGGTTGGGCTCCTACCAAGTATAAGATACATGAAACCTAACTGTGATGATGTCTTCAGCCGCAGACGGGCATTCTGCAATTCCTCGACGACTGGGAGTTTTTGATCGCCCCAATCATTTTCACAGCGTTTGCCTTGTTCACGAGGCTCTGGCGAATAGGACTTTCTCCCATTGTCACCTGGGATGAGGCTCAGTAAGAAATACCGATCTCGAGCCTGCACTCGCGGCTAACAGGAATCTCAGCTTTGGCAAATTCGGATCGCACTACCTCAAGCGGGAATTCTACTTCGATGTCCACCCTCCCCTGGGAAAGATGTTGGTGGGCTTGTCTGGCTACCTTGCAGGATACAATGGATCATTCGAGTTCAAGTCTGGCGAGACATACCCCGAAGAAGTCAACTACACCTTCATGCGGATTTTCAATGCCATGTTCGGCGTCGTCACTGTTCCGCTCGCATACTACACTGCACGTGAATTGAACTTCAAACGAACTGCAGTGTGGCTCGTTACTCTCATGGTGCTGTGCGAAAACTCGTACGCTACCATTTCTCGGTTTATTCTACTCGACTCCATGTTGCTCTGCTTCACCTTTACCACGGTCTTGTGCTGGGCGAGGTTCCATCGACTCCAACACAAGAGTTTCTCTGTTGAATGGTTCATCTGGCTCTTCTTGACAGGCTTGAGCATCGGATGCGTGTGCAGCGTGAAGTGGGTGGGACTTTTCGCCACAGCGCTCGTTGGTCTATACACTGCGGAAGATTTGTGGAACAAGTTCGGTGATCTGAAGATGCCCAAGATGGAACTTGCAACTCATCTAGTTGCTCGCGTTGTTGGCTTGATTGTCATCCCCATCATTGTCTACATGTTCTCCTTCTGGGTCCACTTCTTGATCCTGGAGAACTCGGGACCTGGCGATGCGCAGATGTCTTCTCTCTTCCAGGCTAACCTCCGCGGCACTGAAGTCGGAAGGGACTCGCCACTTGAAATTGCAATTGGATCCAAGGTCACGCTTAAGAACATGGGTTATGGCGGTGGTCTACTGCATTCCCATGTTCAGACATATCCCGAAGGCAGTGGTCAGCAGCAAGTCACCTGCTACCACCACAAGGATGCCAACAACGACTGGTTTTTCTATCCCAACCGAAGTCAACCTGACTATGATCCGGAAGGACCATTGAGCTTCATCGCCGACAAACAGGTTGTCCGTCTTATCCATGCTCAAACTGGCCGAAATCTCCACTCACACGCCGTTGCGGCCCCCATTACAAAGGCCGACTGGGAGGTTTCATGCTATGGCAACGTTACTGTCGGTGATGAGAAAGATCATTGGCAGATCGAGGTTGTTAGCGATGCCGCCTCCTCCGATAGGTCCCGCATCCGGACTTTGACCACGGCGTTTAGGCTGAAGCATATCGAACTTGGATGCTATCTTCGCGCTGGAACTGTCAATCTTCCTCAATGGGGTTTCAAGCAGATTGAAACAACCTGTGTGAAGAAGCCAAGCCCTCGCGATGTCTACACCCACTGGAACGTTGAATCGCATGTCAACGATAGACGTAAGTCCAAGCCGGCTGTGTTTGTGTCCCGCTCTTTTTCTTTGCTGACAGTTTACAGTCCCTCCTGGCAACGCTGCAAACTACCGATCGCCTTTCTTGAAGGATTTCATTCATCTCAACGTTGCCATGATGACGTCAAACAATGCGCTTGTCCCAGATCCCGATAAGCAAGATGATCTTGCGTCCAAGTTCTGGCAGTGGCCCATTCTGCACGTGGGACTTCGTATGTGCTCATGGGAGGATCATGTCACCAAATACTTCTTGCTCGGCAATCCGATCGTGTACTGGGGCTCGACAGCTTCATTGGGTGTGGTTGGCCTTATCGTCGCATGGTACTTGATTCGTTGGCAGCGAGGCTACAACGAACTCAGCCAAGCAGATATTGACCAAATCCACTACTCAGGGATCTACCCAGTGATCGGATGGTTCTTTCACTACTTCCCCTTCTTGATTATGGGCCGAGTCACCTACGTCCACCACTACTACCCAGCCCTATACTTTGCAATTCTTGCGGCGGGATTCTCCTTGGACTGGACCACACGAGGATTCAACAGCAAGGTGCGATGGGGCCTCTATTTCGTCTTGTATGCTGTGGTCATTGGATTGTTTGTTCTCTTCAGCCCGGTTGTATTTGGGATGCAGGGAAGCAATCGACAATACGCATACCTCCGATGGTTTGATCGATGGAGGATTTCGGACGCCAAAATGGGGGAGGATGCTTGATCTCACAATTGGGCATCAGAAACGCATGACACACTCTTGAAAGCTACCTAAATCAAAAACACTTAATGCGCCCTTTGAGACGATACATGCGATGGTGTACAAGGACACATGGAACGTGGTTTATGTGGATGCGGCGTCATGAATGGGCAAAAGAAACATTTAGGAACACCCCTTTTGTAAAACCAAAATCCAATCGATTCATTTCTTCAGTCTCAGTAACTGATACAAGCCCGGGGAGAAGTTTATTGTTCCGGATCCTAAATCTTGTGTAACCATGACTTGACCACAAACGGCAAGGTGCATCATGATAGTACGAATATGTCGTGGGATGAAAAGTTATGGATTTTTTTTTTTTTCTATATAGAAGCGACCAACCCATTTCTTGTCGAGGCCTTATAACATTGCCAGCCGGGCCTCGGAAAAAACTACAGACTGGTCATCACCACCAAGGACCTGCAGGACGTGTCAGAGTGGCAAGGCTCGACCACATGATCATGTCATCGACGAGGCTGAGGCCAAAAAGCGAAGGAACGGGACGTGCTAGTCCCAAATAGTCGACTCCGAAGATTTCTCTTGGGGAATTGGCTGGCCACTGCTGGCCACTCAGATTCCCCTACAAGCCGAAGCGGCTCGGAGGCGGGGGATTTTGCAAAGACCCTCCCACCACTTGCATACTCATTTGCTCTTCCGATTCTTTTCAATCCTGCGCCAGCCTGCTCGCCTGTCGATATCTGCCAACCGCTCCTCTCCTGCACCCAACGAGGTTCTGCAGCTCCACCGTCTCGCCAGTGACCATGTCTGCGTAGAGAGGTGCAAAGCCACACCTCTCAGCTCAGCTCCCGCACCCTCACACCTCTCGTCCTCAATTTCCCTAGCATGGACCCCCAACAACGCGTGTCCACGGCAGATCCTGTCGGTGGTGACTATCTCGACGATCCGATCATGGAGACCGGAGCAGACGGTAGAATTGAAATGGCCCAAGAAGAGATAGACGCGATCATCCGCAACAAGAGAAAAGTGCGGGACCCCAAGGCCTGCTATGCGTGCCATCGCCGCAAGGTCAAGTGTGATAGGAACCTACCGTGCGATTCTTGTGTCAAGAGAGACCATCCTGAGCTGTGTTCCTACGAGCGGCCCACCAAGAAGCGGCGCATTGCCCTTAGTGGTGCCTTGGCCCAACGCGACGGCGCTGGATCGGAAAGCCCAATTCAACAGATTGGTCCCAACGTCACGGTGCCGCGAGAACAGTGGGAGCGGCTGAACAGGGAATTACAACAGTTGCGCGGTGTGGTCAAAACCGAAGAACAGCTGTCTCCAGCCTTGGTGCAGGCAGATTTGGACGACGCAAACCGCACGGACACGCACAGTCGTGGAGACGAGACAGAGAGAGAAGGAATCCATGCTCCCAGCAATCAGATGGGGACCATGCACCTGGGCTCGAGATCCGTTCTAGCCTACATGATGGGCCTTGGCAGAAGCAGGTCGGCTCAGGACACTGCCAAATCCTTGCTGGAGGAGAACATTCTACCCAAACTTGGATTGGATAACGAGAGCGCCACTTATCCGTTTGTCGACTTGTGGAGTACCGATTCGAGCATGCAAGACGTCAATGGTTTGTGTAAAGCTATTCCAGACGACGAGCTGTGCAACGAGTGAGCTACTTGCGTATCTATCGTCGAACAGTCACTAATTCGCTCCAGATTCTTCGTCGCCTATAGAGATGTCGCCTGTACCATTTATCCTGTCGTTCCGGATACCTCCAGCTTCGAGGACACACTACACTTTATGCTTTCCAATCGTGCTCGTGCACTGCGTGACAACCTCGAACTCGACCCCAACAAGCCTTATGGAGTGTCATTGCCCTGGCTATCACTGGTGTTTGCTGTCTTTGCGTCCGGGTCTCAGTCCTCAGACCGGCCAGCCAAAGAGAGGGAGCTCACATCTCAAGTTTACAGTAAGGTCCAGAGGGAGATGATGGCACAGGAAGCATTTAGCTGACCTTTAATTTCAGTCTGCTGTTCCTATCAAGCGCTTCGGATGTCTAACTTCCTAACACATCCATGTTTGGAGACTATTGAAGCCTCGCTGATCATTGGAAACGTTCTGTCCTACAACATGAACCCGGGCGTGGCGTACATCTTTCTGGGCATGACACTCCGCATGGCATTCTCAATCGGATTGCAAATAAATTCGCAACAATTCACAGATGCCGAGAAATGGACCCGTCGACGAATCTGGTGGGCGCTCGCATGGCAAGATTCCCATTTCGCAGTCAGTTATGATCGACCTACGTCAAGCGTGCTGTGCATTCCGGATATTCCATACGGCAAGTTTAGTTCCCCAGGAGATCGAAGCTACGCCGAAAGCATGTTCGCCATCATCCGACTGACGCAGGAAATCATCCGCGAACGTCTGCTACATCCTCGATCTTACATGACGTGGGATAGGATTCAAAAGTACACCGAAGAGATTACGAACATTGTCTCACAAGGTGCTGCTCACCTCCGAAACCGAGAGCTCTGCTATAGATTGACTCAACATCTTGAGCGTCTTGCATTGAAACTGCACAGCTGCTATATCACGAGCGAGCTGTGTCGGCCTGCGCTGAAAGCACCACCTCCATCTTCCTCCTCGGCTGATAATTTGACACCAGTCCAGTCGCCTCCCGGTGGTCGTCGGAGGACCTCGGGCACAACTGGTCAATCCCCAAGCACAGCTCCCTTCGACGCGACGGCCATCGCGCAGTTTCGCAACTTGTGCGTGCAGAGCTTGGAAGGAACTGTCGAGGCATACGTGGAATTGCACGGCTTGAGCAAATTCGCCGCTCGATCCTGGATCGGAATCCAACGCTCCATCTCTGCCGCATTCCTGCTAGGGACGCTTCCGGAAACGAGTCGCGACCCAAGACGACTGTCTCTCCTTCGTGAGTTAGAGGCAGTCATCTCACAACGTACGCATGAAGACCCAACATTCGACCTTCCCCAAGACGCGAGCCCCGCTACTCATCGCCGCTTCTCGAATGGAGAGCAACCACCCCTTGCAGAATCTCCACATTGGGCACGCAGCATGGCCAAATCACTCAACGCGTTGGGCAAATTGAATGCCGCGCTGGCGGGACCGAGATCGGTGAACACAAACAAGTTTCAGAGTACGCCGTATGGACAACAGTCGTCAACCAACTTTATGGGATCTTCATCCACCTTGGCAGGCAGCTCATCGTCACCGACAATACAATCGCGATCGTCCCAATACCCGCCGCTCTCGGGCGTCAAGGAGGAAACATACTCACCATCGCTCAATACCACCAATACAATCTTGGGGCTCGGCGGTTCCAATGGCATGGGAAGCATGGGACCTATCACGCCGGATAGCACGGGTAGTTCTGGAGATTGGAATTTTGGTAACATGCATGAGAGGGCAGCAGAGTATGTGCAGGCGCCCTTGTGGGGTGAGGGTGCGATGGGGAGTTTCACGGGGTAGTCAGAGGCCTTTAAAGAGAGATGTCGCGAATAAATAGAAGAGGCGGGGCATCAAGTACCGGGCATATACGGAGAGAAGCAAGAGGTGGAGCCATCAATGGCTGTCCGTCTTTTTTTTTGTCTGAAACCAATGGCGATGATCACTCGAAGGCGAGGCGAGATGGAGGCGGACATGAGGTCCAACGCGGCAAGAACCAACTCACCACTATATAGAGATTGAAACGAAACGAGTCCGAACCGAACCAGACGCGAACACCCGTTTGTCAAGCATGGCTGGAGTTTTGGCAGAGGAGTTTGCTTTTTCTCTCTAAGAGATGACGATGGCATGGTGTTGTCAAAGGACAGAAGCTGGCTACGCGATATGTATGTATGGGACTGATTGCACCAGAACAGGGAGGACCAAGTCGACTTGTTCTATTCACTTTATTCGTTTTATGTTCGTCGTCTGCTTCGTTCTCGTTGCCCATTCTCTTTCTCATTCGTCCGTGTTTTTTGACGATGTACACGGCTAGGAGGAGTTCTCATGGGGCTCACCAGGCCAGCTGCCGAGCTCTCTAACAAGTATTCGGTAGGCTACTTGGTCTTAACCTCGAGCCTTTTGCTGAGTTCTTTTTTCCCGTTCTGCTCCTGCTCCCGTTCCTACAGGTTCTGTTGTACTTTACTCATAGGCGTGTACGTGTTGCCTTGCATTCCGTCACACGACAATGGCAACACGGTCCATCCGCTCTCGTGTTATAAGGTACTCCTTCGGCACATCGACATCGCCGTCCCCGTTCTCATCCCCGTCCCCATCCGTACCGCTATCCGCCTTCCCATCCACGTCTGCTCGTAACAAATACCTCAGCGCCATCCTGGCGACGCCGCGCCCGCACAATGGCGCGTTCGTCATCCCGTGGCCCGTGTACCCGGCCACGACGAACGCGCCGCCGCGGTTTGCGTGGTCTGGCACGGCACCCACCCACGGATGCCCGTCGGAGGAGTGGCCTATGATGCCCGTCCAGGAGGCTGCGATGGCGAGGTGTGCTTCGTCCTCGGTTCCGGGTTCAAGGTGTAGGTCAGGGTGAGAGTCAGGTTCAGAGCGAAGGTGGAGGTTCAGGTCAGGGTCCAAGCTCAGCTTCAGCCTTTGGGGCAGACCGCGCAGGTACATCTCAACGCGGTCGTCGACAAAGTCGTCGTCCCACACGCCCTCGCCGTGGTTGGGAGCGAGATGCCGGCCGCCGCCGAACATGAGGTGGCCTCCTGCGCCATCACCCTCGCTGGAGACGCCTTCGTCGTCCTTTCCCGTGCCTGCTTGCTCGGCTGCGTTTTCTTGGTGATTGCAACCATGGTGATGGTGGTGGATAGCGTACGGATTCTGCACGAGGTAATCGCTCATGACCCTGTCCATGTCGCCGACGCCCATGAACCCGTAACTCATCGGGATCAACTTCCTCGCTTTACGCGTGTTCGTCGTCATCCCGCTCCTACCTCCGCCCCCGCTGCCGTTGCCATGCTTCGACGTGGGCGGGGGGACAAGAGCAGACATCTGGGCCTGCACGGGACGGATCAGGCGCGCGAACTCCGGGAGCAAATGGGAGGTGTAAGCGTTTGTGGCGAGGATGACGGCGCGCGCTCGCACAGATCCGCGAGGTGTATGCAGTATCCAACAACCGCCGCTGTCGTTGTCGTTGTGGCATCTCTCCAGCGCCGTGACAGGTGTATTCGTCTGTAAATTCAGACTTGACTTGCGTTGTTTTGGCACCGCTCTCTCCTTCTCGTGACTGCCTGGAACAACCTTTTGCTCGAACCGCTCAAGCAAACCCCTCCACACACCCACGCAGAGCTTGTAAGGACTCAAACTAGCCGCCACGCTCTGGACGATTGCGCCCACTGCGCCGCTCTCCACCCTCAATCCCAGCGCCCCCAACTCCTCGGCATCCTCAACCACCCTGGCTAATCCGGCGTAGTCCTCTGGGGGAATGCCGTTCTTATTCTTGTCCACATTCGCCGCGGCGGCGACGGCAGCAGCAGCAGCGAGGCCCCGCTTCGCGTCCCTGAAATACTCCTTGTTCCAGAACCCAAGACACCCCTCGAGCCTGCGAAAGTCACACCAAGAAGGCGACGGCGACGACGATGACGACGTCTTCGTCGTCGTAGTATCATTGTCGCAAGTATTACTATTGCTGCTGCCGTCGTCGCTTGCTTTGTCTCTACTCCGCACCAAGGCCTCGATGTGGCGGAAATTGCGTAGCTCGAAATCGATTATGTGCGCCGGCGCATTGTGGATGACGGGCTGCAAGTGTCCGCCGTTCCTCCCCGTCGCGGCCGAACAGAGCGTGCGGGCTTCGAGGACCAGGACATCGAGACCGAGGCCTGTTTCTATGGCAGCTGTTTCTGCCTCTGTCCCTCTGCGCGCCCTGGAAGACGTAGCCGTGCTGCCGTTGCTGTTCAACAACTCGTCGACCGCAAAGGTGCCGCTGATCCCCGTGCCGACGACGACCACGTCCGCGCGGGAGGGCAGCTCCGGCGTGGAGCGGTGGCCAGCCAGACGGTTCGGGAAGGACGTCTGCCAGAAGGACGCGGTCGGGTGGGCGCTGGGCAGGCCGGAGCGGACCGGTGGCTGCGGAGACGAGGACGTGGGTGATGCAGCGGCGTCGCCCATCTTCGCGTCGGGGTTGCACGTGCTCCGTCCAAAAAAAAAGACAATGAGATAATGCGTCTGGAATAGATGGATATCAAAACAGAGTAGTAATGGTGTTTCAAAACCCCCCCAGGAGTCTTGCGTATGTCCCCCACCTTCTGGCCCTTGAACCTCGACAGACCGTCTCCGAGCCTCTTCGGTGCGGCGATGACAAACAGTGATTAGTAGAGTGAGTGATTCGGACCTCGACGGCCCAGAAATGGTCAAATGTTATATATATCGACTTAACCCAGGACAGCGAGCCAGCCAGCTCGCTTGCTTTGGCCGAGCCAGTATGTTCATATGTGGCTAAGTGAGCATCAAGTCCCTTCTGTTTCCTCTCCTCTCCTTTCTTGTTGATTCTTCTTTTTCCTTTCTTCTCCTTCGTTCTCGTCTTCTCTTTTATCTCCCTCCCACAAGTATACTTTACCCTCACGCAATATCGTAACCTAGTCGAGAAACACCAACGATAGATAGGGCGGGGTCGTAAGCACGAAATCTAAGCTTGTGCTATCCCGGGGTAAATGGGTATAGGCCGGGTCTGTATTGGCGCCCCTTACGAATAGATCCGAGATGTTGGAGGATAGGAAAAGGATATTAACAGGACAGGGGTAGGACAAGAGAGGGTGTCGGAGAGAACAGGGAGCTGGAGAAAAGACATCGGTCCACAATTTGATACGCCGTTAGCGCCTATAATCGCAAAGCCCCGTTCTCTCCATCTCGTCGTCCTCTGGCTCTATCTACATTCAAGAGGTGCTGGGAGAGGTGCTCAACAAAGTGGCTGTCAGCCAACAACCATCACCGAGGAGACTAGACCTACACAAGACGGATTTTCGATCAAGCAGAAGCCGGGTTGAGGGACAGAAGCATCTTCAAACCATGGTATTCTGGCCAGCGCTGTCTAAATCCACTGGTCCTCCCATTCTCTCGAATGTTCTCAATGAATGCACCATACAGCCACTGATCATTGTCAATCATACTCTCTGCTGGATGCAAGTGCCAGAGGAACGCATTCGCTTCTTGCCACACCATCAACTGCCTCATCTCGCTTCGTTGCTTCAAAGGCCTCGTCAAATAGAAACCTCTCGGAATCCTCAACCGGCTAATACCCATTTTTTCTCGGCCTCCTTCACGCCTCTTCTCTCTGCAATTGCCTCGAGGGTGTGTTTGATGGCATCCTTCGAGCATTTCGGGAACTGATTCTTCAGCACCTCGATCAATCCAGTCTTAGTTAGTGTGCTGCCTGACACTGCTTCCTTGAAAGCCGGCATCAACTCTGACGGGATGTTCTTGACCGGTTTACCAGAAGCGGTGTTCGCTTTCAATTTGGTCACACACACTTGGTTCTCCGATTGCCCGTCGCTTGATGCAAACTTCAGAAGGCTGGACTGAGAAGCCGGGTTGCCACTGTTTCCGTCAACTGCCATCAGTGGTGGGCGAGGAGGCTGCATTGAAGCAGTCTGCTGCAGCTTCTCCTCGCGTTTGACAGGACTCTTCTTCCCAATATCCACCCAGTGCGTTGTCGAGAACGGATCGATCGGGAAGGTTGTTGAGTCGTGCAAAACGTCCATACGGTAGAAGGATAAGTCGAAGACATCATGGGGATGACTGTTCTCGCCTTCCCAGCACAACCCACTGCATTTGGGTTCCATGTCACCAACAATCAAGTGACGTTTGGCCACCTCTCCTTCGTCATCGAGAAAATCTCCCATCTCTTCGTCGCCGTCCTCATCTTCGGATTTCTCGTCGTCGTCCAGCACTTCCTCGTCTCCTTCCTCGGGTTCCTGCCATTCTGCCTCGCTGTCGTAGTCATAGTTCGTGTCCGGCAATCCTCTGTGAGCAGAATTGATGGCAAGCTTTCTTGCACTTCGCGGTGAGACAACTCTCGTATAAGTCCCCTGATAGGCAGGTCGAACATCTTCGTGGAAAAACAAGTACTTGTAAGGGAGGTCGGCCAAAACTTTCGCAGGGTCTGTAAGGTCGATGGCAACAGTTTGTGAGCCATTCATTTCGTTCAAGATTTCTTTCACGGGTCTCACTGGCCGGATGCGACGGCGTCTGCGAAATCGATTTCTAAGCTTCTCGGGCGTGAGATTTTGGTTGAGGGGCAGTTGTTCATCGTTGAATGCACCACTATTGGTGTAGAAGCGGTTGAATGGTGCGACTTCCATATGCTCGTTGACAAAGAAAGGTAGGATCCATTCGTTGTAGCCGGGATTGGTTGGTTTGGATGGTGATGACACTTTAGTCTCGACAAGAGGTGGTCCCATGTCAATGGACGTGACCGATCCTCTTCTAGAAGGCGTAGAGCCCCGAGAGATATTCCCATGGTCAATAGCCGGCGATGTTGAAGCAGCCGTTGGGCGACCAAAGAATGCACCGATTCTCATTTGTGACTAGGGGAAAAGGTCAGCATCTAACGCGGAGTCGAATCTGAGGTCCAAAACCTACTCTCTCTTTCTTCAACGTTTCAGCTTCCTTCCGTTGCTTTTCGGCTTCCTTCTCCTGCTTCTCCGCATCTTTCTGTCTCTTCTTCTCTTCTCGAACCTTGCGAGCAGCCTCTTTTTCCTCTCCCTTGCGTTTCTTCTCTTCGTCCTTTCTAGCCTTAGCTTCGGCCTTCAGTCTCTCTTTCTCCTCCTTTTCAGCCTTCTTGATTGCCTTGTCGGCCTCCTTTTCGGCGAAGGCGAGCTTCCGCTTCTTGCCGTCAGCAGGTGCCATGGTGGACTGCTGTGTTGGACTCAGGACAGGAGTGGCACCGAGTTCGGTCAAGGGAGTACTCCGTTCACTGAAGTCTGGTGTTCCACAGCGAGAGTCTTCAACGGTCAGGGGACTACTCTGTTGATCACCTGGAGAAGTGAGGGAAGGGTGATGGATAATATCTCCTTCGCGATTGCGTTTCTTGGAAGGGGTGAGCTGAGCAGCCGGAAAGGAAGGTGTAGGTAGCGGGGCAGTAGCGACTTCGGTGTCCATGACGATGGACAGAGCGAGACCCCAACAAAGCAATATATTACAGATAGTTGCACCGATCTTCAATGGACTGACACGAGAGCCGCTACTTCGTTGTCGAATAGGCAGTGGTGGCTGTACGGTGTCTAAACTCGAGTCGTGAATTGAAGCATTGGAAATCGGGGAGAAACGCGTGACGCGGTCGAGGCATCCATCGCGTCTGCCAAGAGAGTCACATGACAAGGCTGCAAGGCCAAACGTCTCGGCGTGAAGGGGGGAACAGTACATGAGCGAGACGGAACATTTCAGTCCTGTTTCAGCCATTGACTTGGTGATCAGCCAGAGAGCTACATTTCTTATATATTGCATTATCTTCATGACGATTTGATAAGACATCACGTCCTATCTCAGGCGTACAATAGACCACGTCTCGGCTTCCGCAAATACTCTGGTGGTGCCACAGCTAGGTGCGCCATCGGCGAGCCGCGCCTGATATTGATGTCGTTGACAAAGTCATTGCCGAATCCGTCATCGGCGCGCCGATCGACTACCTCACCGAGTTTCACTTCAACATTTCGCAGCATCCTGGCCCTGACTATCCCATCCAGTGCACTGCCACCTTTTGCAAAATCAAAGTACGTCGAATCTCTCGTCAGAGACGAGCAGAATGATAGCACGTCCGGGATGGCCGTATTGTACGCACACCAAATGCTGCAGAAGGCTGCAATCAGCATGACCCCGATCGATGCGCAGTAGACGCCCAACCAGACCCATGACACGACGTAAACATCGTACCCTTCCGTGTAAAAAGCGGTGGTATTCCTGTGATTCAAGGGAAACTGCATGGTATCTGCAGAGACCTGGCTCAAAAGTACCCAGGTGTTCAGGAGTTGGCCGAGTCGCTGGGAAAATTGTCGAGCGGTGACATTCGAATAATCAGCATAGTCGCGACCATTGCCGCTTAGAATGAAAGCCGCAGTTGTGTTTTGTAGGTAGTACTCGCTCAGAGATGAGTAGCCAGAGCTGGGCAGCGGGTCGGTTGCAAGAATCCAGGTCTGGGCAAGATAGGAGAAAGTGCTGGGGAAGCTGAGTGTAGTTACCGTGGACGGTGCATGCTTGTTTGGTGAATTCCGCTGCTCCGTGACGGAGCAAACAGGAAGCTCTGAATCAGGCACCGACTGACATGACACGTTCGATTCGAGGTAGATTTGATTGATTTGGCACTTTGCCACCCACGGGCCGCGAGTCTGAAATAGGAAAATAGCCTGAGGTATGTCGGCACCTGGAACATTGACCAACTGTTCTGGGTAGCCATAGAAGTAATAATCATCCGAGACGAATTGATTCATGGCAACCTGCCAGAATGGATAGATGGCGTCGTTGCTGACGGTGGTGTTGGGCCCGAGAAAGGTGCCGTTTCCGGACGTCACGTTGAAATTGATACTGATCTCGTCTTGATCTTGCGGCTTGTCGCAGTCCAGATTCATATAAGTCGTTTCGATAACAAAGCTCGAGTTCCGATTTGCCAAGGATCCCATGGGCACGCCGGCAAGGGCTGAGAATGAGCCTTCCGTCATATTCGCCTTGGATAGAATGCTCCAACCGTCGGCGTCCTTGTTGAGATTGTCGAGCAGCCATGGGATCTTGACATTTCCCCAGAGATCCATAGTCCCATTCTTCATGGTGGTCGGACCAAGTACCGAGCTTACGTAGCTCGGTTTGAGTGAAGTCAGTAGGGAGTCTACTCCCGAAACAGAGTCGAAGACCTGATTGGCGATGGTGTCGACATAGCTGACTATGCCAGAATCTGCGGCGTAATCACGACCGGTACTGACCAGACGCAGGGAAGCTTGTGATCCCAATGGTGAAAATACCCAGCTTGACAACAAGATTAAGGCGGTGAGGTTGAAGGCGGGAAAAGACAGTTGGGTTGTGACAGCGGCGAAGAAGGTCCGGCTCTGCATGATCTGCTCCAGCAGACCGAGTCTGATGCCATTCTCAAGTCGCCATGTTGCGAACCGTTTGAGTGTCGAGCCTAGGACGGCTGCGAAGAGGATGGTGAAGAGCGTCGATGCCTGTACTGGTCAAAAACTATTCCCAGCTGACTTGCACCCATGTAATGCGAACCGTGCTTGTTGCTTGTTTGATGTAATCTGTATCTGCCTCCGTCACTCTGTGGCCGTCAAACTTTGCCGCGGTGACAGCCAACCACATAAACGGCACCGATACCAGAACGGCGAAGGAGCAGACAAGAATTTCGACCAGCAGGTCTGTCCCAAACTTCCCTACTCTGCCCGGAGGAAGAGTCGTCGTTGACGGCGGCGGCGAGTTATCCACGCGGCGCTGGAAGAAGCCGTCGCTCAGCTCTTCCTGTGGAGTTAAGATAGGATTGTACTGGGCCGAAGCCGACTTGCGATGAAGTGAAGCAAGTGACCTAACGGAGGGTCGCGTGTGAGGCCTTTCACCCATTCCATAAAGACCGGAGCCATAAGGACCGGAGAGCTCGATGGAGTCGGACATCTGTTGGCAAGGTGAACTCAAGAGAGATCTTGCGGGTTTCTTCAACACCTGAGGCTTAGAACCCAGGCTCAATATAATAAATGCTCGAGGTCATCTTGCTTGCGAGCTCTTTGTTTTCAAAGATTCGGCAAAGTGAAACAGTCCAGGTCGTACAAGGTGGGATGAGCATGGCACAAATAATGGGCTGTGTTGGGCTCCAAGTCACCGCAAGCCACTGGTCTCAGAGGCGTCTTGCCTGAGGATTGGGGGGGCCAACATTGCGTCGACTTGTCGAAGCTTGGGTCTAAACAGACACTGGTGGAGCGAATAGATCGGCCCCAAAGATTGAGGCTAGAAACTGGCCAATGGGCCATGATAGGTGTAGGGAACAGGGTATAATACTAGACCTTTCTGCCTGCAATAGAAAGACTGTTGCAATAGACACTCTGCCATCGAAGAAGGGAGGCTGACAGAAAGAAGGGCGGATGAGCCGCCTACGCCCACTTACCTCGTTCCCTCGGCCTTTCTAGGCCTCAGCAGGCCCAGCTTCTTAACTATACCTGCTCACGCGATGGAACAGCGCTCTGGACGCCCTTTGTACTTGGGACTCGTCGGTGGTCGGCAATACACGGCGAGCCCACTAATAGTTGTTCCCTATGGCTTCTGGCTTATCTCAGCCGTTTGAAGTTGCTCATCACAAATGCCCGGAAATGGTACATAATATATATATAGCTTGGTAGCTACCTCAATCGTCGACTGTAGTGGATATTTAACCATCGCAGGTTTATAGAAGAGAACCCCAGTCGGTCTTTAGCAGCCCGCCGTCGATACAAGCAAGGGACGTCAGATATGGTACAAAACAAGAATAATCTCGGTCTTCGTTGTCGAAACCCCAATGCCATTTTTCCCACATGCCATGGTGTCGGGGGAAGGGCTGGCGTCCCATCGTTGCGCCTTGCTTTCACAACCCCAGTCCTTGTTACCGGGGAAAGTCGCGGTCCCCATTAGGATTGACGTCGCTCAGTAGACCTCCATAGCCTCGCCGACACCTCTTCTTCTAGCGACCCGCCTAACTTCGTCTCACTCAACCCGCCTGCGTCGAGGACCCTGTTTCTAAATTGTCCCGTACCCCACGGCCCCTCCGTGCTGCACTCTCTCACTATACACTCCTGGGGCGTGACGGCCTGTCAATTGTCCGTGTCTGGCCCTATCCCTCCTATCGAAATATACATATTCAATGTAGAAGGCGTGGATGTGGCCCGGGAGGTAGCCAAGGAGTGTAAGGCAAATGTTGACGAAGAGGTCGGCGCCGCAGCCTGCGACCAGGTAGACTCCCACCGGAGGGCCTAGATATTTGAGTGTCAGCAAGAGAACATGACTGAAGGGTGGGAAGGCCCGAAGGAGTGGCTCAATATGGCAGCTCCGTGCGACAAGAGTGAAAGCCAGACTTACACAGGATTGTGATAAGGATGATGAGAAGCGCCGGGATAGTGTCGGACATTTTGGCTGAGTTGCTGAGGGATGAATTGAATAGTTGTGTGCGCGATACTCGGTACACGGCTTGGTAGCAGTATTGAGGACAGAAGGTGCGTGTTGGCTGTCTGCAAGTTTCAGTCTTCGTCGCATGAAACTGAGGCTCAGCTGTGGCCTTGGAGCGTCACTTGGTGCACTTGGTCACCCCACATGCTTCATTGCATTGCTTGGTGCCTTTGGCCCCTATACAGCAGGCGCCACAGTGGTACTGCGCCACATTGCTACCTAGAAATGGTGTGACGTAATGGTGCTGTGGCGCTCTGTGTGTGGCGGTGCTCTTGTTGGTATCGAGCGAGAAGGTCCAGAGAATCAAGTTCTAATTGTTAGTGCTACAAAGCCGCAACAATCCTCCATGGCGATCAAATTTGTCTCAAGAGCAAGATGCAAACGCCTAGCTGAACAACCACACAAATTCATGCCACTAGCTCGCTGATGCCTGTCCTCGGCACCTGGCCCAGGAGCATCAACAACTCGGCATCGTCTTCTTCCATAGCATAGTCTCGCACCGTCTTGTTTATCCGGTGGTCCTTGAGCGTAGGGTCGGCCCCTGCTTCGAGCAGAGCTCGCACTGTTTTGCACCGGCCCCTGATCCGTCTCCTTTTCTGAGACGGATCTGCTATGTCGGCCTTGAGCACGGCGTGCATCAGCGCCGTCTTGCTGAACCGATCTCGTTCGTCGATGTTAGCGGTATGCTCCAAAAGCATTTCCACTAGCACTGGGTCACAGCGTCTCGCAGCGTCGTGGAGGAGTGTGTTGCCATGCCAGGTCGCTGGGAACTCGGTCGGCAGTGGGAATTCCAGCAGCTGCTTGACGATATTGTGATGGCCCTTTCTGCAGGCCACCATCAACGGTGTGTATCCTTCTGGGTCTCGAACGTCGGTTTTGATGCCACTCACCGCTAGTAATAGACCTGTGATGGTGGAAAAACCCCTCTCAGTAGCCTGCTGCAAGGCGGTGAAGGGATCTTTGGGACTTGACTGGGTATAGCCCGCTTGAAAAGCAATGGCATTGACATCCGCACCATGTTTGATCAGTAGGTTCACCTCCTCCGCGTGCTCCTCCTTGAGTTCACAAAAGAAATGTAGAGGCGCGTATCCTCGCCCGGTCCTGGCGAGACCATGCCCGGTTCCGTGGCGGATATTGTCCCTGAGCTCTGGCTTTCGGATGACCATATAGTTGGACTGGTAGGTATTTAGATACTGCAAGGCGACCTTAGCCGCTTTATCAAGTCTTCTTTCCTGACAGAGGTCTGCTATGGCTTGATAAGTGGGCTCAAGGGTTTTGCTCGATGAAGATCGTTCGAGCTGCGCGCTTCCAGGGGTCGTTATTGAGCTATCATCATTGATGGACAGAGAGCGGTCGTGGGTCGACGTTTCTGAGGGCGAACTAATGCCCCGAATCCCAAATGGACCAGCAGGGTCAGGATCCAGCGCATCATTCAGTGCTACTGACCTGGAAATGGACAGCCTAAGCAATTCCGGCGACGGCAGAATTGAAGCTGAACCCGACTGAGAGGGGCGACCACGATGCAGTAGCCGGTTCACGAGTTTCGGTCGGTGACTGTTTTGCGCCTCCGCAGCTGGAGGTGATTCTGGTGAAACCAGGGCCGGGCTGAGCTGAGGTTTTCCGACCTTGTTCAAGAGCTTCTCAGTGGAAACTGTAGGTGTCGCCTTCTCGGGAGGAGAGAGAAACACCTCGTACCCTTCGGCTTCCTCTTCATCACCGTCGTCACCGCGTGTTCTGTAGACATCGATGACCAACTGCACAGATTCCAATGTCTTCTCGTCCTGCGGCCCGAGTTCTTTCCTACGCTCCGTGAACGCCCTTAGTCCATGTTCCTCCGCCGCGTCGAAATCGCTCTTGAGGATGTATACACGTCCCAGCATGTGGCTCGCTGCTAATGCTTGCAGTTTGTCAGGAACTTGATGCGAAACTGGCTGCGGCTCCTCAGGGCTATTCTGGTCCTTCGAGCTGCTTGGGAATATGTCAGTGCGCATGGCCGCAACCGGTTCCAGCAGCTTGACTGCGTCATCAAGCTTCTCTTGCTGCCGGCAGCAGTCCGCCAGCATAAGAACTACTTCCGCTGGCTGAAAGGATATCCTGCCCTCAAAGTCATGACGCGCCATCAGAGCTAAAGCCTTTCGGAAATGCCGCTCTGCCTTGGCATAGTCGCCGTCTTCAAAGCTCTCCTGGCCCAATTTCAGGTGGTTTTGAGTTCGCAGGAACTCCACCTCGGAATGAGCGTCTGTATGATCTCTGGCCGATCTAGAAGGCTGTCGAGCGAACCCGCCTGACTGTAGAACAGAGGTGGAAGGAGGTTGAATCCAGCCTTCCACGCGGTTTCTGCGATCTGCTGGGAGCGGCACTCCGTTGGCCGAGGTCTTGGGCATATCACGAAGGGCATCAGGCTCGATGGCTGGCGAGATGGTACTCAACGACGACCTCGTGCTGGCAGCAGCGGAAGCGGTACTCAGAAATTGTTTGGCAAAGGCAATATAAGTCTTCATTCCATCATCTTGGTCCAACCGCAATTTCTCTGTAGCAGCGATCGTCGAGCCACCCAGAGTCTGCGAAGGGGAGGGCGAATTGAGACTTTGAACGAGCGCCCTCATGGTTCGCTCTAGTGCGATCAGTTTGGCATCCAGAGATGTCTGATGCTCGGTTGTTATTCCTCTTTGTTCAAGCTGGAGCATGACGCAGACCATCTGGATAGGCAGCGACAAGGCCGAGTTGAAGAATTGGATGCGCTGGCGGAGTCGAGACAGTTCGCCGTTGTGGAGATTTTCTTGTAAGTGAGCTTTCACCTTCCGTGCGAATCCAGATGTTTTTGCAATCTGAGTGAGAATGTCATTGACTCGCTTCATGGTATTCTTGGAATCATCGAGCGCATCTTTGATCTGTCGCCACAAATGGGCGCCGTCATCGGTCTGATTGGCCACCCGCACCGCCTCAGCTAGCGGAGGTGAAGACAGGCTCTTCTCCAGGCTCTCGTAAGTGGCTCGCAAAGCCGCTACTTCATCGCAGAAGGACCTGATTCGAGCGTCGACGGAATTGATATCCCCGTATATCTTTATCACGGTACTGGTGCATGAAACACAGGCAGCAGCTATCTGGAGAGCGCCTGCGGTAAGCGAGAAGGGGTCCATGACGGTAACTGATTTTGGTAGCCTCCTAGTGTTGGTGTACCGTGAGCGAGCAAGGAATAGCGTCCTATTTGCTTGTCCTCAACGAGTTCGCCTGTCTTATATATATATTGCCAAAGAGGTGGGTGGGCAAGAACAGGAGTTTGAAAGGCACATTGGTGGTGAAGTTGGGGCACATGTAAAGTATCTAGGGAATCCGACCATGGGTGTTCACAGCATCTCAGCCTCTCTCCGCGTGCTTGTAGCCTCACTTTTGACGGGTGGCAGTGCCCCGAAAGAGGGGGGAGAGCAACACCATGAAACTAGCCAACAGCATCGGGAGATACAGGAAGTGCGGCACATGGCACAACGGTTCGCTTGACTCGATGCATTGGCTCCATGTGGTTGTGCAGGTACTTGGTCTTGCGCCGCTAATGTGAGAATCCTTGTGTCGTGTTCGCATTGAGGTTGGCCTGATAATGTGGGGAGTGAGACCGTCCCACGAACAATGTGACCAGCGCCCTGTTTGTCCTTGTCGAAAAAGAAACCCCGCAGCTAGGAAATACCCAGCCCATCAGGTACTTCTCCCGACTGCTCTCAGGTGTCGTGAGCCGAGGCTTTCCGCCCAGATGCATGGAAGCTTCATCGAACATTCCGTAGGGCTGCAGATCGGAAGGGCATATGTAACCTATATCATGCCTCGTGACCCATGATCACGACAACCTTGAGCAGGCAAGAAAAAGGCGTCAAGCGTGATCAACTCCACCCCTTCATCACTTGCATTGGCCAGTTCATCAATCACGGGACCTAAATATCATACCTGAAATAAAAACAAACATCACTTTCTGGCAGATGCATGCTTCACAGACTCTTTGATCCAGAATTTGCTGCAAAACATTGGTCGCGAACGAGCTTTGCTGGTTGATCTCCCACAGAATATACTGTCCCGGCCTCGGCCAAGCCCCCCAAAATTTCAAAGGTTAAAGGAAAGGTTCGTCGCCAGGATTAATCCGCATAAAGGCTGCAATGTCTTGAGGTGTAAGTCCATGAGGTTCCGGTTGTGGTTGCGATGTATCAGTGCTGTCGTGATGTCCGTTCGCCACGTTTGCCGTCACTTGGAACGGCCACGCGAACGCATCAGTGTATGGCACCTCCATATCCGAATGCAGAAAGGATTCAGGAACGTCCACGGGTGGTGGAGGGGAAGCGTGGCTCAGGGATGGTCTTGCAAGAGAAGGACTGCTTGCCGCGTTCGGCCATCCCGCTGCTTGTTCCCACGTAGACGTTTGAGTCGGATAAGCCATTGGAGAGGGAGAATAGATTGGCGCAGTGCTGAGTAGACTGTGCAATGGACTATTTTGCAGGGACCCGGACGGAGCCTGCACCACAAATTGCTGGTTATTTGGGATAACCAGCGTTTCAGTCGACCTCCTTCTTCCGAGACGATCCAGCAGAGGAAAGTTGGAATCACTGCAGAACAGTCCCGGCTTTGGGGCAGCTATATCTCCGGTGGCGTCTTGACAGAATGTTTGAACTCCTGCTGAGATCTCGTCAATATCGAGGTTGATGATGTGCGAGAGCCTTTTAGTGAGCACCTGGAAACGACCTGTTAGCACGCCAAAACCTCAGCCATAGCGACTCAAACTTACTCTCAAAACGTCTAGACATCTCCTTGAACCAATATCCTGGCAAGATGTGCTAGCGAGGATTCGAACCCCCGTCTCCGTCTCCTTCTGGATGGCGGCATAGTCCTTGTTGCCGTGCTGTGTAGCCAGAAAGAAAATCAGCGTGACCAGTGACAAAAACACCGTGTACACCGATTGCCACGCGGCGGGAGCAAGGAAGCCTTTTTGGAGCATCTCGTCGGAGCGGGAGATGGTGAACCTAGATATTTTGACACAGCATGCTGCACAGCGCAAGAGTCGTGCGTCTGGCGGATTCTCAGTTTTAGCTTTTGCTAAGTAATGCAGGAATGGGCGGTAAAGGAGGATGTAACCGAAATTGTGCACCATCTCCAATTCATAAACGATGCTTTGGTGAGTTAGCGCCGCGTGAAAAAAAGGGAACGTCGAGTGTACTTTACCTGCTCAGGTCGTTATTGCCCTCAGCCAAGCCAAGTGAGTCAGACAGCCCGTCCCTCCACGCTTTGAAATCATTCTCGATCTCGAGTATGGTGGCATTGCTGACATATATCTTCTTTGTTTCACCCTCCTGGTGAGCTTCCGTATCAGTCTTCGGATATAACTTCTGCACCACTTTGCTCATAATCAACAGGACGCCTAGGTACTGTGCCGAAGCTGCAAACATCCGCCTGGTGCTCGGAGAGGCAAAGCCACCCCGCTCCTCATTCGCATAGTCACGAATATGGCCACTCGGCTTGGGCTGATCCACATAGTCAAGTTTAATCATCCCCGGAAGTCCGAGGACCGTACCGCTGTAGATATCTAGCTTGACGATCGTCCAAAATGTCCTTCGCCGGACATCTTTCTCCAGGTCAGAGAGCCCATCACAGGAGGCTTGGGAGTGCAATCCCATCCTCATGGCCGCTGCGACAGCCAATCCAATAAAAGTGTGGGCTGTGGCAAGACGGGCCGTCGAGATCAGGAAGAGGATCAGGCAGAGTAAGGTCTGGAGCGTTGGAATATCGCGACACCGATCGAGGTCCACCATTCGGCGTGCCGCGATGAAATGCCGCATTCTGAAAATCGTCAACATCTGAGAATTCACGGGTGTCCTCCCCACTCACGCTTGGTTGACGGCGCCTTTACAGCCGTACTTGTGGTGCATTTTCTGATGAAACAGGTACCCCAGAGCAGTCACCGAGTAGAAGAGTGGTAGAAAATCATGGTCGGAATCTTCGAAGTCCATTGGATCAAGATTGTATATGCGGTCCGTTTGTTTTTGAAAGGTGGGTTCATGGAGAAACTGTAGCAATTGATAGGTCTGTCCAAACACCGCGTACAGGAGCTCTGTGGCAGATTGCCTCGATGGCAGAAGCTTCGAGATGGGGATATCGGTTGCTAGAGCCTGTTTATCTGGCAACGGCGAATCGAAGAGCCTGGACATGGCGTCGAGAGACAGGTGGCTACTGTTTCGGAGTTCTGTGGTGGGGGAGTCTTGATTGAACAGCAGCTGCGTCTGTTGAAGAAACGCAAAGCCCGAGCCACCGCCATAATACTCGGTGGAGTTTTTGGTCGAGGTGAGTCGGCCTTTACCGTCCAACATGTTCTCCAGGTGGTCTGCAGAGCTGGAATCAACCGAGCCCAGAGCCTCTGAATCAGTGGGGACAGGCGACCCCGGCGGAGAATCAAAGATGCTATTGACCTCAGCATTGAGTTGGGCCGACGGATACTGGGCTTGAAGTCTTGTTATCAAGGCTCTAGCCCGGCGCAGACGATCTTCAAGGATTTTCGTTCGTGGAGCGCCGGACATGCGTTGTCCACGTGTAGATGTAAATGTACAGTCTATGGCTTGTCAGTGGTCTGAGAAGGGGGTAGCGGGATTCTTTGAAATACTGACAACGTTCAAAGTCTTCGCATGGTTCGCATGGTTGCCGACCATTACATCGAATTTTGCGGACGCGACATTCATTGCAGGCTCTGCTCACACGAGCATAGCGCCGTTTTTTGGAGTTTGATGGGCCGGGTGAGCCAGCCTGACTCTCGGCTTCTTCTTGCATGATCAGGATCGATCCGGCAGCTTCGTTTCAGCCGAATGGGGACTCTTGAGATGGGTCATCAGAGAGGCACCAGCGAGAATGAAACATCTCCAGGCTATCCCGGCTTCACCCCCATCACCTCTGACAATAAACAGACTAGGATACCCGGGTGCGCGCACAAAGCCAACAAACTAGCATTGGAACCCATGCAAAAGGATGCTATGGCTGAATTCGGATGGAGAAAGTGCTCGCGTGGGCGGCGTCGTCCACGATGGTAGACTTCTGAACCAAAGGTGGTCAAGCAATAACAATGATTGACAGGATTTCCAGAACACCTCGCTGTGCAGGGCAGAACGAAAAGGCGACGATGACCAAGATGATGTGGATGGAACCTTGCATGGCCATCAATTCCGGGGGCCAGCGGGGTGTGTTGGTTTCGCCCGGCAAACTTGGACGAAGTCTCCGAATGAAGTGGGCGCCATGAGGTTGGAAGTGGCTGACACAATTTGCGCCACGAGCGGCCACCAGCCCCACTAACTGCGCTGGTCTCAGCTAGCGGCTCGCTAGCTCGGAATACCGGCTCTAAGACTCCGTATTAGCATCACCAGCCTCGCAGCATCAGTACCTACAAGTAGGTACATATCAATTTGAGAGTAAGCGCGGACGTGACCTTCTCATGAAGAAGTCTGGGTCATCTCGACCTCTTAGGTACAAGGTAAGTACGGGGTGGGGTGCCGAGTCCCTCGATTGAACCGGCATCCTCCTGGTGCCAACGACGTCATTTGAGCCCGAAAATAACATCATGTACTGGGTACCTACTTGGTAAGTACTGGGTACCTACAGTATGTGTGCCATCCATGAACTTCATACAACTTCCTCAGCACCCACTTCACTCCATCTAGTCAACCGTTGATGCACCAGCTGCGACAACTAATATCCCAAAGCCCCATCTAGCTTTGGACACAGCGCCTCTTGTACGCAACAAATCTGGGTAGACGCCACTAACACCTTGTCCGCCTTCAGCTCACGTTTTGACTTGCTAAAGTCCAAATCCACGCGATGCTTCCTCGCGCATTTATCCCATCTCTTACCTGCGCCATTTGGTAAACCGACCAATATGAAAACTCGTCGAAGGACAAAATCCTCGACCTTACTCGCCATCAACCTAATTTACCACCAACCCCGACGCCTCTTCCTGACGATGTCAGAAATATCTGATCTGGTGGTGCCTTTGCCGCTATTGTGGCTTCATCACAACTTCTAGCCAGCTCTTGACTCTCGGTGCCGTTCCCGAGCGCTGTCGCGAACGTGGCACGCCTTATCTGTATTGTGATGTCGATGTTTCTACCTGCGAATCTTCTGGTTTGACTGCCGACACATTTTCAGTCGAGTTGCTTCACCTGCTCTGTCAATACTGCAGATTGGTCTTGATCGTTTCGACATTTCCGAATTTTATTTCTCATGCCATGCCCGAGGCACGTTCTGAGCGTGTTGTTCCCATTCGTAGTACTCGCTCAACGACAATGACCACCTCGCTGCGCAGAGAGATTGGTAGGGGCGAGGAAAGGTGATATCTCGTGGATGTATAGTACGCCGACATCTTGGGTGACCGTTCCTTTCGTGGCATAATCCTTGATGACGCCACGAACGGCTACCGCCTGTGATCAGATTTCAGTCCTCCTGGCCCCTTCCAGTATCTGAGCAGACAAAGAAAAAAAAGCGATAAACGCTTGAACTGGATCGTCCTTTAACTCGATGTGACATCCACTGATCATAGAGAGGCTCGTATTGCGGCTAGGAGGCGTATGGCCATAGCTAGGCCATCGAATCGTCAAGAAGACCGCATCATAGAAAGCATGAAGAACCAGTGGATTCGGTCGATTTTCAACGTGGACAACTCTTATTCAAGATCCATGACCAACCATTGCCCACAGGGTTGATATGCAACACTTTTATCACGATTTGCGCCGCAGCAGGATTATGCGACTGTCGAAATCCGTTAGTGTAGAATTGCTGTTGACTCCAGAGAGAATAGTTCAGAATGCGTTGCCATTACCCGATTCTTGCTCCTCAATCACGGCACTTTAAGCTCCAAAACGGTTCAGCAAAAGGCTGAAATTTGCTCAAGATTCACATGGATGTGAAGGCTTAAATGTGAAAAGTTACAGATAACCTGGATTTCTACCTGGTTTGTTGGGACCAAGAGTGAGAAGTGGGCCGAGGCTGAAAGGACCCGATTGAAGTCGTGCCAGGAGAGATTCATCGACTTTCAAAGAACACGCCTTCTCGGCAACTCCTTGCTTTGAGAATTCTCAAGAATTGCTCAGCGTATAAATCCATTCATCACCCTCATGTCATGCATTGGAAACACTTCACCTTGGTAGGGCGAATGGCCTGAATAGACAATTAGCTTTCGTCAACAACTCAGGATGGAGTAACTCACTCAGTAAATGCTCGGAAAATGGTCTATGCAGGGAATTTCCAGGGATGTTCGTTGCTGGATTCACGGCGGGCATCACAATAGACCCTTCCTTGCCAATTCGATTTTGCGCGCAGTCTCGCCGACCTTAAAACCTCCTCGGCTAGCACAGATGGCTATCCCTTCCCCAAGTTCAACTTTGTCTTCAACATCTGGATGTGGGCACGGGCAGTGGTGTGGGAAGTGAACACAAGCGAGTGTATTCGGGCATAAATATTTGTCGCAGGTTGCTAGGTGGTTGGCCAGTCAGCCATTGTCATTTCAGAGCATCGATGTGACTGGAGATTCCATGCTTGGGGCCAAAATCATGATTGAACGAGGTGGGCGCATGGTGGAACTTATTGCACAGATGTGTTTCATGGCGAAATGACGAAAGAACCAAAGAACATACCACCGTCCCAGTTCTGGCGATACCAGTTGGAATCGCTGGGGACATTTTGTTTCTCCTGAGTGCCTTGGTGCTGCTGGCCTCCATGGAAGAACTGCTCAAAGAACTGAAATTGAGCGGAGGCAAAGCCTGCCAGAAGGAGCATAATAGGTATGAGTACTTTCATGACGGTGTTCAAGATATTGAGAATGGTTGGGATTGAGATGTGAGAGAAGGGCGGCGATGAACGATGGGCATGCCAGGTGTCGACAACCCAACACGATATTGTCTGCCAAGCCCACTAGCATGTGCTGAGCCCATGCTGGCTCCCCTGATTGGCAATGTAAAAGCGGCACCGTCTCGATGCTCCCTGACGAATGCCTTCAGACCTTCACTCCCATCTTTAGTCCAGTTCGCTCTTTCATGCAACCGTGTGTTATTAAGATCCTATCCTAAAAGTCTTGCGGGCGTAAGTTTCTTTCCAAAATATCTGCTACATGAGGTGCAGCAAAAGCCTCAGACAGTCGCTCGAGCAATGGAATGCCTCGCCGACTGGGCGAAGCGCAAACACCGCCCCCCTCTTGTAGCTGCTGCCCTGTCTTCCCAATGAATTAATATTGCGTATCCTAGTGCAGTCCTCTGTCTTGGTGATAATGTAGTCCATACGCTTATATTGAGAGCGTTTCCACTGTCACCATGTCCTCCTCCGATCCTCCTCGAAAAGAGTTGACCTCGAAGCTGAAACTCCTATCATACGGTGCCGCTTGAGGCACTGGAATGGGTGCGAAGAGAGCTAGGTTGGCCTCTTGGTGAATTGCTTGATGGGCATGAATTTCTTCTGATATTTGAGGCAAGAGTCCGACGTCGATCAAGATCTGTTTTGTGATCGGGTGTATGGTGGCGTGCCGCTATCAATTCCCGCAGTCCACCTTATCCACTTGTTTAGGGAAGCGCTGTTGCTCTTGGGAAACTATGAGGTCGTTGGTGTTGATCTTTGTGTCATTGACTGCGCCGAGCGGAAGATCAAGCGTCTGCTCCCTGAGACAAGATGCATATACCTGAGCTACGTTTGGTGCAGAAACCAGCCACGACGGTGGGGGGGGGATCCCGAGTCGCAACGAGAATTGAGGCCCCTGCCATGCAATCTGCCACGAACAGTCGAGTCGAGTCGAGGATGCGATAAGCGTCGTGCTGGGATTCGACGAGAAGTATTTATGGATTGACAAATATTGCATTGATCAGCATTTGAAAACCATGCACAATGAGTTTACCACGATGGGGTCTATATATGAGGGTTCCCTGGCCAGCATTGTGGCATTATGGAGCAATTCAAGTTATGGATTGTTGGGAGTGTCAAAACATAAGAGGACGGAAGAATCCATGTTTACTAGGGCAGAAGCTGAGTATGTTGGCACATTACCAAGCTTACAAGATTGCTTGGAATGGTCGGTCTGGTCACAGCGAGGGTGGACTTATCAGGAGGGCTTGGTATCGACTCAATGTTCTTCGTCACGGATTAGCAAGTCTTCGTATGCAGAATGAGCACAATCCCTGAAGTTCCAGGATTGGCGAAGTCCAACTATAGAGGTCACCAATCGTACAACTGGTCCTTGTCGTACCTCAATCCGGAGGTGCTCCTGAAATCGCAACCCAAACCCGGTCGAGAAGGTGTACTGGGCCGCCCACCCCTCTACACACCGCTGGTCAATTACAAGCAGAGAAAGTTGACTTTTGAAACGGATATGCTCAATTCTTTCAAGGGCGTCCTGTTAAGGTCTACGAATAGGTCTTTTTGGGAGTATCTATTTACCACCGTGATCGAGCGGATGTGGAACAGCGAACAGATTTTCAAAGGAGTTTCATTCATGGCCTGCTCTAGGCACAGGGCCGCGAAGGATATGGTTTGCCTGGTTTCTATCCTTTATTGCGTCAAGGCTGTCTAGAAGGCTTTCCTTTGTGGTCGTGGGCCTTTGTGAGGACTGAGGTTTCTCTCTACCAAGGAATAGCCAACACTAATCAAAAAGACTACCTTGTCTATTATCCCAGCATCTGTGTATTCTGTGCCGAAATCTTCTTCGAGGAGAAAAATAAGGCGCTTTCAAAGAGTTTGCAGAAAGACCTGAAACGGAGAACGAAAGGCACTTGACACATCACCAAGCAGGGAGCGACTTCATCACCATCCGTAAGCGGCGCAAAGATACTGCGTTTTAGCAGCATGAGAGATTTGGCTGTAGTCTGCGGATATAATGGCGTTCGAAAGGTGCTGCAAGCCTGAGGACCCATAACACCTTCTCTGAGGTTGCCAGAACCATACGAGAAACTGGCCGAAGGCCTGAATATGGGAATATGGGAACATGGGAATACGGACATTCATCTCGTCGTCCAGCCTCCAGTTCCTTTAGCATGCAAAGATGATGATTTTCTGGGCTGCAGCAAGGATAACAGATGTGACTGAGGTACCTCGTCCTCCGTACGGAGTAGACCACCAGCGTCGGGTCTCCACGCGAAAGAGGGTCGTTTCGGACTGTTCATTTTCCGATGGAGCGCGAGAAGGACTCCGAACAAAAGGATTTGCACTGAGAGAGATCCTGTGACAAGCATACGCGTTCGAGCTCAACACGAGGCTGGCGATGGTGGGCAAGGCTGGGTTAAATGAAGAGTTGGCCTTGGCATTGAGGCGTTCAGCTGCAAGGATGCTCATCACCCGACCTCACCACCATCAGCCCTCGAATAGACATCACACGATTTGCACGGCATCTATCATCCATCGTCCCACTCTATCCATCTCGTTTGTTCGAGACCTTAATTAGCTCGACATGCATGATCCTTCACTACAGTACAAGTACAAGCTATTTTGCTATCCGTAGGCTTACTTAGTTACACGCAACTCCCATCACAACGGCAACACTCTTCATTATTCCCCGCTACGTGTATATTCCAACATCTCTAGCGACAGCTCACAGCGAATCAATTCAAACCTGTGTTTTGCCTGACTCTTACACTTATCCAGACTGTCTAGCCCTATAGAAGCTAGATGGCGAGGTGCACCTGCGAATCCAGACCAGATCCAACTCATCCCCCTGATCGAAACCCCTCGCCTCCAGGAACCAGTTAGTTGAACGCCAGGCCTCTCCTTCTTTGACTATGCCCACCAGGCAGCGGAGCTTCAGCCATCTCGAGGGTCATGAATGGGCTCAAGGCAAGGCTACAAGTGAAGATGAGACTGAGAAGAAGGAAGAGGCATTAAGGTCAGCAAAACCACGACCATGCCAACCGCCCGGGTTAATCAATTAACTGCTACGATAGACGAGAATGGTTCGCCATCACTGTGTTTCCGCTCATTGCAGGAACTTTTGGCCCTATTGCCAGCGCACTCAATATCTGCGCCTTGGTGAGGCCGTGGAGACACGACAGCAACGGCGGCGGCGACGTCTCAGACCCGGCGTGGTTAATCGCTCTCAATGCAATTTCCCTGGCTTTAGGTGTCGTGGCCAACGTCCTCATCTTCCTCCTTGTGGAAAGAGAAGACGCTACTTTAAGGCGACATAATTTCCAATTCGTTGTTGGCAACATCGTCGCTGGTGACCTGGCTGCATTCATACTCATTGGCCTCGTCATAGGCGCCTGCGTCGCCCTCAACAACTCCTCTACGCCACAATATGGCTTCAACCAGGCATTCTACTATGCCATCCTCGCAGCTATACTGTACTTCATCACCTCAACAGTGACGGTATACACTGCCTATACAATCGCACACGTTCGGACTTCTCAACGAGACTCCCCGGTCGAGCTTGCAAAAGGCCACCACCGACTGATGTTTCTGACTACTGTGTTCATGTCGTATATTTTGATCGGCGCCATTGTCTTCTCCAACATTGAAGGTTGGGACTATCTCGACGCAGTGTATTGGGCAGATGTTACCATTCTAACAATCGGTTTCGGTGATTTATATCTTCACACTCACCTCGGTCGTTCATTGTTGTTTCCTTACGCTGCGTTCGGCGTCACATTCCTGGTTTTCATTGTTTATTGCATTCCTGCAGTGGTCCTGAATCGCAGCAAAGAGATCTGGGCCATTCACATTCGAGATCGAGAACGGATCAAGGAAGTCGAAGCACGGAGTGCCCGAACAGGAAACCCGGGTGCAAATGGCAACCACGCCTATCATCCCACCGGTAATGGCTCAGTGCCCATTGAGCCTGTAGAGGGCATATCAGAGGACGACAGAAAGGCCAAGGAACGCGAGGAATTCGAACTGATGAAAAAGGTCTTACTTCGATCAGCCAAGAAGCGCTTGGGATACACTGTGGGTCTGTGGGCGACCGTCTGGTTTACCTTATGGCTCATAGGCGCTGTCATTTTTTGGGTCTGTGAGCACCAACAACATTGGTCTTACTTTGAGGCTATCTATTTTGCCTTCACCTCACTGCTCGTCATTGGTTACGGTGACTTGCCTTTGAAGAGCGCCTCCGCAAAGGCTTTCTTCGTTCTCTGGTCGCTGATTGCTATCCCGACATGGACAATGTTGGTTTCCAGCATCGCCAAGGCGGTCGGAAATCCGTACTTTGTTGCCCAGAAGCACTGGCTGACACGAAAGCTTCTCCCATTTAGTGGAAAGCCCAAGGATGGAGGGAAGAAAGGTCATTTTGGTAAGTGTCGAGTCTTTTAGCTCGCCAGCTTGCATGCGACTGAAAGATTGTCATATATCAGGCAAGTTGCCTCGAGAGTTCCCTCCAAACGCTCACGACAGGAACCATCTGCTGGCAAAGGTGCTCAAAAAAGTTATCGTGGATCATCTGAGACACCAGCACGATGGACAGAAGCCAGAGTACACATTCGAAGACTGGGAGTATATCATTGATTTGATGGGACCCCTTGAGCCTTTGGAAGGTGAGGACCAACCAAATGGTGACGCGACTTCTCCGACCCGAACCAGAAGCAGGACAACCGAAGACTTTCGTGACGGGGATGGATTAATCGATTGGTTGCATCCGAGCAATCCTATGAATGTGACGGATTACCTGACAGAATGGATGTTGATCACCTTGATTGAGAAGCTGGAGCAGGAACTCCTCGACATTAGAGTGAGCTCTGGCAACGTGCCCGTTGATGCAGGCTCCTCTCATCAGATTGGAGAAAAGCCTCCGAATGGGCACCCACTGGCGTGATTCAAGCATCCCACCTCAGATGCTGGAAAGTCTCAACACCCCATCCACTGCAGAAATGTCGGTTTGTCACCGCATTGCCAAAGCATGATTGCACAAGGAGGATTGACTATGTGACGCATATAAACAGCAATCATAGGCGAAGAGGATACCTTCTTGGACGCAGATTTCCAGCGACAGGTGTTGTGAATACCGCAACATCCCTTGGCTAGCTCTAGCCTATGCTACAACATGGTGATACCCGCTCGATTTCATCGCCTCGCTCCCGTCTAAGTTACGGATGTTGTTCGGTCTTGGTTATGTGAGAAGTGACGATGCTGGTGAGGTGGTTGCAAAAGATATTTGAAGCGGAAAACGACGCAAATTATACTTGTATACCTCATTGTATGTAGATATTGATAGGACCCCAGCGAGTCAACTGATGCTCGGTGCTGTCAGGGTGTTTTGCTGCCAGCAGTCATTACAAGGCTTGACATCCAGACTCACACGTGATGGGATTCTAAGCCCAGAACGGTTAGTTGGACTTTTCAACTGCTTGCTTCCCTCCAATGCATGCATGAACGACTACGAGCAGAGATCTTCCATTTCTCTTTCTAACCACCACCCCTTCCATGATGCTCCAACCACGAATATACAGATCTGTGGTGACCTCAGATGCGCCTCTTGCCGCACTAGCATCGTCCTTGAATGCCTTGAGCCTGTGTTCAAAACACGCGCACCTGAACCCGCGCACCCCAACTATCTTCATCCGACATGCTTCGCACGCGCAGCAAGGCCGTGCCAACGGTCCCTCAGACTCCGCAGGAAGACGACTAGGAGCTAAAAAGGGATCTTCAGAATGGGTACACCCGGGAAATATAATCTTCAAGCAGAGAGGCAAGCCAGAAACCCCCTCCTACCCCCAAAATACGACTGCCGGCCAAATTTTTATTGACTCTTCCGTTTACCAGGGACGAAATGGTTTCCCGGCGAGAACGTCGGCATCGGGAAAGACCATACCCTCTACGCTCTCGAATACGGCTATGTGCGCTACTATCGCGATCCCCTGAAGCATCCCAAGAGACGCTACATCGGCGTGGCGTTGGAGAAAGAAGGACCGAGATCTCAGCTTCCCACGCCACGCAATGCACCCTCCCGCAGACGACTGGGGATGTACGCGACGCCCATGAAACCCCTACCATCGGCCGAGTCTCAAATCTCAGCCGACGAATCGTTCCTCGAGGCCCACTTGAGCCAGAGCAGCAAGCAAACGCCGTTCAAATCCGCTCAGGGAGGAGCAATCATTCCGCAAGCGGCCGCGCCTCCTCCGGTATTCAACCGCCAAGGGACATATCGGGAGGCAAACGCATCGATCGGCTGGGCGGCCGAGAGGAAGGGGGTTAAGGTGCGCGAGTACGATCGCAGCGACCGGTGGCTGGCGTGGAAGAAACGGGCGCTCCGAGTGAAGAGGGGCATGGAAGCCAAAGCAGCCAGAGCGATGAGGAAGACCAAGGGCAAGAAATCGAATAAAGGACAGAAGACCGCCCAGAAGAAGAAGTGATGCGAGTGCAACACACCGGAGTCTTGAAGCGATTGTACAAATATATGTGTGAGAAGCATTCATCGACCGAGCAACCGATCGGGTCGCCATCGGTGGTGAATATATGTTCCCAGCTTGCATCAACCAGCACAGCTTCGCCGGTGCCTTTTTATATGACGGTCCAAAAATTCTCTTTCATCTATATTGTGATATCGACTAAGCGTGGGTTCTACAATGTTTTCCTTTTCAATGCTGGTCCTGCCCTCAAATATGCCATATCGATGCTGTGCAGTGCGGTCAATCAATCGAACATTGGTGGAGACACTTCCTTCGCACACGCTCTTTTTCGGCCTTACAACATTTCCGCTCATGACTACCTAGGTAGGTATGATTTATAATCCATTCTCGGCCTTGAATTTGTCCCAGGCGTCGTTCAAGGCGCTGAAGACAGCCCCGGCAATCATGCGCTGCTCGGTGGTGGCGTCGGTGGGGATCTAGAAGTCGAGAAGTCAGCTTTGATCGATCTCTATTTAATTGAAAAAACGGAACCCAACATAACCGAGCCAGCGGGACCAAACTTGGATATTAGCTGGAGTTTGACGATTGAGATTGATGGAGCGAGGTTTGTCCCCCACGGGCGGCTGGCTACTTCATATCGAATGGGAAATGGGATAACAAACATGGAAATACGTACCTTGTCAGGATGTACCTTGCCAATCCCCTTCATATACTGCACCTTGACTTTGCCGGGGAGGACCAGATCGGCCATGCTTGTTTTCTTCCACCCGCTCCCTTCCCAGAGCACGCTGTCCAGTGATCCCAGCAAGGCTCGAAGATTGTCTTGCTTGCCGGACTTCCACGTGTTGATGCGTGCGTCAACAGACTCGGAAAGCCGGAATTTTTCGTCGTCGAGTTTATCCGCGGCCTGGTTTGCGGCGCGGAGGCGAGAAACCGCTTCTGCTGGCTCGAGGCTGGTCGCCAGCGCGGGCGGTGCTGCGCGACGGAGAGTCGAGGAGGGTGGAGCACTAGCGGACCCTGATTTCTTCGCTGCGGCGGCCATTGAGGGAGTGGCAGGTTTCGGTTTTTGTGGGGTTGCCGCCTTCTCTGCCCTCATACGACCCTGGATACTTGTCGCACCGCCATGACCTCCTTCCACCGCTTCTCGCCAGACGATGGCAGCCTCTGACCATTTCTCCATTTGTTCCAGGGCTTCGGCTTTGCGCATGAGCGCCTTCCCGTAGTACTCGCGCATCGGCTTATTACCCATGTCGCCCGAAGTGGTGATCTCTATCATCTCATTCTCACCCTTCGAGGGGCCGATGGTCATGATAGCCTTATCAGCGTCAACAATGGCTTGCTTCGGCTCGCCTATCTTCAGCGCTGTAAGAGCACGGTTTGTCAAAAGCACTATGGTCAGCGGATGAGTATCCGGCAAATGCGACAGGGATGTGGCATAGGACTGATGCGCGGAAGCATAGTCGCCGCGCTTGAAATGTTCGTTGCCCTTTTCACGGTGGGAGTGGCTAGCTTGTAGCGAAATGACCGATACGGATGGGAAGGCGCGGGGAGGCGGCGGAGGCCGGACTTGAATTGGGGCTGCTTCGGCCAGTTGCTTGACTGGTTGGGATTGTGGACGAGGGAGAGGTTTGCTCATTCCTACAGGTGCTGCTGGACGGGAAAGGGCTGAAGGAGTGTCTTTGAAACCACCTTCGAGAAGATCTGCCCCGGGAACGGCTGCTGGCGATGCGTGTTGTGCAGAATTAGGTTGTGGTTTTCGCCGTCGAGCTGAGCTGACATACGCTTGAGCAGCCTGCTCTTCGGCAGCAGCACGGTTCAGAGCAGCTCTCGGATTTGCGGCAGGAGATTGATGTTGCTGCCGCACAAGCGCCGGCTGTGTCTGAGGAAGTGATTCTCGCAGTCGTGAGTGTATAATCGGGGAGTGGTCACGGGAATTGTCAGCGCTGGAGTTGAAATGTCGAACTGGTCTTGATGGAGAAGAAGGTCGCGGTGGAGGTGTTGGTCTGTTGGATTCCAACATCATCGCTTCATCCGTCATGCTTGCTTGACCGTGGGCTTCTGGGCTAGGTCTCCTTCTACCACGCCCCGGCTCGGACTCATGCTGCCGTTGTGGGTGTTCTTTTCTGGTCGGTCGCTCGGCTACTTCCCGCATCCACCGGGGCTGGCCGCCTGCCTCACTATCGGAATTGAATTCCTGCACAGCTTGCTGAACTCGTTTTGTTCCCTGCTTCCACAAAGAGTTTGCAGTCTTCAAGAAGTTACTGCCGAACTCTGCTGCAAGCTGTTCAAAATCTTTCTCGCCAGCATGAGCAGAGCCTTTTGCACGATTTCGAGAACCATCTCCGTCTTCCCACGGCGGTCTCGTCCTTGCTGTTTGCGCTTCGGCCCGGGCGCTCATTCTGCCGTTGTCTGGATCACCTCTTTGCCCAGAGGCGGTTCTCGACTGAGCCTTTTGGCGAGCCTCCGCGTGGGCTTGGTGTAATAAATAGCCCACAGCGGCTTGGACATCCAGTCCCGATTCTGTAGCCTCCAGGGCGATTTTTGCCTTATCCGCTGGGAATCCCATATCGACCAGCTCTGCCGCAGCTTTGTCTTGCGGGGAGAGGTCCGCAGCCTGTTTCTTCGCGGTGGGCGGGGGAGATTCTGCTCTTGGGGCGGATACAGGTTTTCCCAGGAGTCCAAGCACATCATCGTCATCATCGGCAGCGGTGCTCACCGTTGCGGCGGTATCTGCCCTCCTAGGAGGAAGTTGTGACAGTCCAAAGGGGTCATCATGGTCATGATCGTCCCCGGCTTTTTCCTGCACAGATGCAGTAATAGGGTCATTTTTAGCAACCGGTGATTTGTTGAAGGCGGCAAATAGATCGTCGTCGGCATCGTCTAACTCGTGATTCTTCTCGTTCGTGGTCTGATTCTTTGCATTGTCGATCGCGGGCGTCCCCCTTCCACTGCCCAGGTTGTTCCAAAATTGGTCATCTCCGCCAGCATACTGGTCGTTCAATCTCTGGGTCTGAGCTTTCTGCTGCTGTAGCTTTGCTTCCACCTGTATCTTCTGCTGTTCCAACAACGAGAGATTCTTATGGGATGCTGGCCCGAAGGAAACGAGGTTCGCAAAGCTGTCGTTGGCCGGGGTAGATGGTTTGGAGGGCGGCTGACTCGATATCGGATTTAATGGAGAGGCCCTCCCGGAGACAGGAGGCGTAGGTCTTGATGTGCTAAAGGCAGAGTAATCTGAAGTTGCGGGTGCAGGTTTCAAGGTCTGTCTGCTGGCGGGGGTCGAACTCCAGTTCAACCCCGCTATATCCTCCATCGTCGCGAAGCCTGAATATTCATGAATAAGGACGGGCCCTCTCTAGAACGGCCATTGCATGGGCCATGGTGTCAATGAGGGATAATGGCCAATGGATGAGAAAAAGGGAAACGGAAGTCGAGGGTGTGCGATCCAACGGTTGTTGATTCATTGTCGAAATGGGGTGACAGGCTGCGCCACAAAAGCCCCAAAAGTTGCAGCCACATCTCCTTATTATTTAGGGGATCGATCCCCTGGGTACTGGGTACCCGGTACATGACAATCACCACTACTGGGTACAGGACTTGTACTTCCCAAAAGTAGTGGCAGCGCCGTAGCCTAAAAGCGGCACCAATCTATCCCAACTCAACCGGACCCGGAGCCACGAGCCCATTTTGGGGTAGGAAGCGGTGAGCCGAAGAATGACCACCACAGAAAAAGGTGGACGCATTCCCGGTACCCGTCATTTTCCCACATTGACTCAAATCGGCCTCTTGGGAGTTCGGCGAGCCGCTGAGCTCAAAGGGCCGTGGTCACGTGTAGGCTCCATGGAGCACCCATCTCAGCGCCAATCGAATACATGTATCGCCATCCAAGGCTCAGCCGCATCCTCGACCTTGCGTGCATAACAGCGAGATTCGACGTTTAGTCTAACTACGCATTTCTACTGTCAATATGCTTCTACTTCGCTCATCCCGAAGTCGCCAGCCATGGCCCGAATCTGAGCTCTTTCCATGATATCAGATCCGCTGGACCTTGAGATTCCACTGATTCCTGCCTTTCCCCGACACGAGGTCGTGCCTCCATTGCGACCGCCTGCGACCACCAGCTGGATCGCCCCCGCCATCCCATCATCCGAATCTGCCAACCTCCCTCGACGATGCCTCCTCTACACCATCGAAAACTACCAGGTGGGCTGCTGGCCGCCCGAGCCATGCTGGATGAAGAACATGAACAATATAAGGGTCAAATACCGTACGATAACAACGGCTATGTGCTAGGACGGATCAATGGTCACAATACGGTGATTGCATGCGTACCCGCGGGAGTGTATGGCACAGTCTCCGCGGCGACCGTGGCCTACAACACGTTGAGGACGTTTCTCGCAATCCAGTCATGGTTGGCATTGGCGGTGGGATCCAAGACTCAAAGACATAGTGCCTCACACAGAGAGACAAAAAGTCTTAGACATCCGCGACGGGATAGCGTCCAAGTTACTGTCCCATGTGATAATGGCGCTGGTCCCGCACCCCCCATGGCAGATGTAGCTATCAAGCAGATGCCTCTCATTCAAGCCAGATGTCTTCAAAAACATGCGCTTCAGGCCCTTCTAATAGCTCCCCGTACATAACACCGTCAACGTAGCCCTCACCGACAAAGGTGAATAGATTAGGGGAGGAAGCGGTGGCATTTGGGCTCTTTCGCAGGATGTATGGTACCTTGCCACCAGCGAGTATTGCGAGGGAATCTCCTTCTCGAGTATCGATTGGCCCGAGGCCCGGGAGTCCTTTCTCGCTGACGAAGAAACGTCTGAACAGTGTGGCTTCGAGGATGAATGGATGGTACTGGCCGATCGGTACTGCTGAGAACCCTTGTAAAATCACATAGATATCCCTTAGGTCTGCCGGCCTGGTGAAGTGATCAAGGACCATTGTGCGGGAGAATGACTTTGCAGACCCCGGGTATAGTTTTCTCCAGTCCAAGAAAACCTCATCGTACCTGCGATCGTTGCATAAGCCAGTCGCCCTTACCCTGCCAAAGAGGAAGCCACAGAGCTTCAATTTAGGAGATAGAGTATATCCGGGCGCAGGCCAATATGTGTCTTTCAGATGTGTTCCAGATGCGTTGAACTTCTCGTGATAAGGTTTTCGGAACGCAGCATAAGAATGATTAAATCGTGAGGACCAATCTGGAACCCATGTCGGCAGTCCCACAACCGAATTGAAGACATGTTCTGTCTGATTCAGAATCGCCAGGGAACCACTCTTGCTTATCAATCTGCCTGCAAAATTGGTGTATACATCCATTGTGCTCTGTTCATAATCAGCTTCCAGGAAATCTGCGTCGAACATGTTCGTCATAATTCCCAACAATCCATAAATGCGGTCCCTAGGGTCCGAGCACCGCGAACATCGGCTCATATACAACAATTGGGTTAGTCGCCCGGCATTCCCGTCCCGACTTTCGGTGGTTGCCAAAGACAATAGATCGGAAGCATTTGCTATATGCCTAATGTCCCTGAGAAGTTGTCCCAGCGCGGTGGGCATGAGTGCAACAAATAGTCCCTTTTCCAGGTCCTTCATTGTGAAGCGCTGAGACCCGAAGATAAAATGCACGCTGCGGGCTAAAGCGAGCTCCTGTATGATCCACGTTCGGTGCCAATATTCCAGTCCTGTGAATTCAACAATCCCATCCTGGTGTTCTCTGACTTCGGCCTCACTCCAAGAAGAGCGAAAATCCCGATTCGACAAAGCCTTCTTGTTGATTGCCAAAATGAAGTTCTCCATCGCATCCGACATTAAACGGCCAAGCCAGACTAGAACGTTGGCGGCTCGACGAAAAATATGTTGCATTAGCTGCACTTGTTGGGCTCGTTCTTTGAGATCGTACTGGTTGATACATATCGCGTCGATCCAGAGGGTCTTTTCGGTTTCCTGGTCCCGCACCCACTCAAGGGCTTCATGAAGCCTTCTTGTGATTGGCCACTGGGAACCCCCACGCATGTGATATTGCTTCGTAATGCGGGTGCTGATCCAGTGACTTCGTTATCAATCTCCCTCGTAGTCTGTCCTGCGGGTCCTTCGAGGGAGCGAGAATGAAGAGCCTGATTTCTTTTTTCGATATATCGAGAGGCTTCCATATCTGGGAGCGGGAATCCATGAGCGACACCAATAAAGGGACCTAGTAGTGGCGTTTTTGAAGAGGGTAAATTTGAGGCGCACAGTACTGTACTGCCAGTTGGAGGATGGTATGTTGTAAAGAGTTGAAGCTCTTGAAGATAATTTGAGGCGAGGGGTAACGGGCAGATGATGGCGGGCTTGCGGGGTATGTAACCATTTACCGTTTGTGCCTGACCAACTCTGACTCGCCCAAATCCTGCGCGTTTTCGTCCCAGCTCTGCAATGCGTTACTTAGAACTGATGGACCAGGCCACTATATTGTATCCCGCAATAGCCGCTGCCGCGTACGCGAAGGATCTCCTCAACCAGAAGCCGATCGTTCTATCTCTTTCTACAGGCGCTTTCAATTGCGGCTTCACCTTTACATGTTACGCTCGAAATTATTTTGGGCCCCATAATTCTGACCCACCCAGACCCGGGCTACTGGGTAGGCTACTGGGTACAGAAGGTCAAGCGAGGTGTCCCTCTAAGGCTAATCGGCAGGAACCAGAAACTAAGCACATACGAAATCTTACGATACGTAACAATCACCATTACCACCAAAAAAGTAGTGGGCAACGCCGTCGCTTAAGAGCGGCATCAATCCATCCCAACTTGCCAGACAAGGCCGTGGTCACGTGTAAATAACTTGCCTGCCTGAGAAAGGTGCATGAGTAATGATGTTGACCGCGGAGCCGGCGATTTAATGCTTAATCATAATGCTTAGTCATAGCAATATGCGTGTGCCCTGGCCTATTATTGAGCGCAGCGGCAGTACCCCGCTCTCCTATTTTTCAATATATAGGCGAAATGTTTCGCCTAATCCCACACTTAGAGATGAGCTGGAAATGATGTCATTGCAAACAGTCGAGTCGATGCATCGTAACTATTCCACACACCATTTGGTCTATACTCTAAAGATTATATCTAAAATCTTTTATTCCGTCGCTATACTATAATAAATTAGTGAGAATAACGCTATTAAGATAAGTATCGTAATTAGCGTAATAGTTAATATCTTAAATAATTTATTATAGTAATTATCTTATAATTCTATTAATAAATATCGTTATTTCTAAGATTAAACTATAGTAAGATCGACTAATAAAGATAATAAACGACGACATCGCCCTTTTATAGTGTAATAGAGCGCTTCAGAGTTTAGTATATATTGTAACAGAGCACTTTAGGGTTCGGCGTGCACGTGCAACAACGCACAGAGGCCTATCCAGCAGATCGGGAATCGAGAACGCGTTTCTAGTTGATACTGACAAGACAACACCACCACCAACACCACCCAGAGGGGCAGCGGCTAGGGCTACCAACACCTAGCACAGCGGCAGCATCGAGGAACAGGACAGGACTGATGAAAACACTCAGGAATTAGGTAGACGGCGGCAAAAAGCCATAGAATTCATGATGCTCTGCTCAAACTGTAATGAATGGCACACTGCCAGCACTGTAAACTGTCCTGCTCGCAGCTCTCTAATTAGGTTTGATATATGATCTAACAGACCTCTACCCTGCTAGTTCACCACCCCTACACTGCATAGCTACCTTGTCTTGTTACAATATAAAGAAGAATTCCTAGCCATCGAATAAATTCTTCGATAGTTAATGAGCGCTATGCGCGACTATCGTGAAAAGAGAAAGAGTTCGCGGTTATTTCACGCGTCGCGCGATCATTAGTCGCTTTAATAATAATAGAGAGCGATTCCTGACCAATGAACCTAATAAATAGGTCAATTGGACTCTATTCCATCCGATTAGACGTAAATCTGTCATCTGGCACTTAAATTGGTGAATTCTACGCGGGTTTTATATGGTGAACGAGGTCTGTGATGGAACTCGCGGAACGCGCCGAGGCGTCGTCGGGTGGGCGTGAATGAGCCATTTTGAGTCGTTCTTTTGCGCTTTTTTGAGGGCGAGTTCTCTGTAACCTCATTTAGTTTAAGATGTCTATGAAAGAGCTGTTCGACGCTCATAGTTACATAGAAAATAGGTGAGAAGGAGGGCAATCGCGAAATCAAGTGGAACTGGATTGGGTGCCAAGAAATTATTCAGCAAAGCTGACTGGGCATGGGATAGAGAATTGTGATACAGAATGATTACCAGGGCTGTCAGCGATATGATCTACTGAGCCTCATGAAATAGTGGCTCACAATACTATTTCGCGCCTTGTCTAGACGTCTTCATCTAACAGGCTCCTCGGTGGTGCAAGCTCAAAAACGGTCAGGTGCTTTTTCTTTTCTTTTCTCCACGAGAACCAAAAAAAAAAAAAATAGTATCATTAACCACTATTTTTCATGTCTACCGGAAGTGAATCACCGATGGACCCTAGTCACTCGATGATGAAAAATATCTGAAACGGTTGACCACTACTTTGTGATGACTATGGCTTTATGTTGGGGCTGCGTGCTGTTCATTTAATGGTTGTGAGTATTGACTCGGCGAATAGGATTCGGGCCGGCGCGGCCTGAAAAGCGTCAATGTATTCCCTCCGTTTGGACTTGAAGGTGGATAGTCCGGCATGTCAGGGATAAGACCTCGAGGGAAATTCTGGATGATCGTCGTCCTCGATCATATCATCCCATTTGAAGCCATCGAATGCTGACACTATCTTCCTTGATGGGGAGAGACAGTTCTGAAGTGGTGAGAAAGGTCCGTACCCCAACACCAATTCAATGCAGTCCTGGATGGTATGTGCATACGTTCGCTCATAGTCGGTTTTGACAATTGTGAATAGGAGTCCAGCCAGAGTATTTTTGCATTCGTCGAGATCGGCGCCACCACGAAGATGGATCTCGCGAAAACTGGTCGTTATATGAGCGATCTTTCCGAGACCAACGACACGAAGATCGCCTTCGTTGAGTGAGCAGGCGGCGGCAAGCGCTGAGGAGGCTTTGTTGGAGATTACTCTTCTGATCGCTGCACTGGCCTGAAATCCTTGCGCCGAGCCGGAGATGGGGGAATTAGTTCTATGGTCAAGCATCTTCGAGATCTTCTCGAGCGAACGCCAGTTATGGGTAATGATAACGTCTGCGGTTAATCTCCTAATTCCTCCAGAGCCAGAGGCCTCGAACGACCGGACCTGGTCTGTAAGGCGCTCCAGGCTGATTGATGGTGACTCATTCTTGTCGATCATTTCCAGTAGAGACTGCGTCAGACCCATGCTCGAGTTGTCAGTGTCATTCGCAGAAGACGCATGGATCTGCGATAACTGGAGGAGTATATTGTCAAGTTGTTTCTCTCGGGGATCCTCCGGAGGATCGCACTGGAGGATCGCAGCCCCCCGAGGAATCGATTTAGGACGTTGTCTGTACGCTATATCTGGACCATAGATGGCATAAGTGGCGAGCTCGGCGTTGAAAATGATCAATTCGAGGCGAGCAAGACGGCGCCGGGAGCTAGTGTCTGACGTGTCTCTGACCGTTTCTGAGACAATGTAGAAGAGATCACGAGCCTCTCTTAGATAGAGAAAGGCTCGATTTTGTCGCCAAAGGGTGTTGTAAGCACAGAATAAGAAAAAGGAGACAATCACAGTGTCCACGGTAGGACACTCAGCGAAATCGTAACTGGACCTAGCCTGTTCTACAGCTTCGATTCGGGATTGGAGAGCTGCCTTGGTTGTCTGTGTAGCTATTTTCCGATGATCACTGGCTGAGTTGATCATCAGCAGTGCCAGAAGGAGAGTTTGGAAATGGGCGTCTGGAGCTGGGTCGCCAAGATGGGATCGCTTGGATACAATATCCTTGTCGACCACCGGGTAGATTGTGTATAAATCGTTAAAAAATCTCCTGACTTCCTGTTCCTCGTGGTCTGCACAAGACTCTTCCTGAGTCATGAGATTCGGGGGATTGGGGGTAGAATGCGCCGGTGTTGGAGAGAGGTCAAACAGAATCTGAGGCTGTGGCGTATCCAGAGGAACGTGTCTTTCCGCAAAAGTTTCTCCAGATTGATTTCGAAATGATTGCCGATAAATATCAGCATCCAGGGTATCATTTTGTATACCGTATACAGGAGCACACTCAATGTTCGACTCCTGGGTCTCGATCTCGAAGTGGTCAAACATGTTAAGACGAATTCCAGAATCCCAACCTATATCCAAAGGCTCGTAAGACCGGTCCGGGGTTACCAGATCTAATTCTGGCGGCACAGGCATCGACGAGGCGCAAGCTGCTAGAGAACTCTTGTGCAAGACAGAGGGAAAATTCTGCGACATCTCTGATTCTGAATTACGCTGTCTTTGTGGCTCATTTCGTCAATCAATTGGATTCCCCCAAGGGCATGAGAAGATGAAGTCATGACTTACGTGGTCCGCCGTGAATTCACGCCGGATGGCCGACTCTCAGTATATGTACATACCAAGCCACGGCGGACGCACCGGATGCATGGCTCGTAGGTACTGATGTCCGCTATAAATCCAGTGCGGACTGCATTCGAACACTTCGCATTGAGATGTTCAGCTGGCGCTCACTTAGAGCCCAAGACGGTCAGACTCACCCGTGCTTTGCGAACCCGACATATGTTACACGCTGGATTGATCTGCCGACGCGTGCTATCTTGTCCTAAAGGGAGAATGCTGTACATGGTGGTATGATTTCAAGTTGCGGGGAAGGCGAGGTTGAAAGCTAGGGAATGGCTTATTAATAACTATTAACTAGTCACTAAGCCAAGACATTCTGGTCTTGCTCGAGAAGTTTTAGCTTCGAAGGATTCAGCCGCTTTTGTCGACACTCGAATATTTATCGTGATTGGAATATTCAAAACTATAACGACACTTCATGTTCTCTAATTATAGCATATGGAGATCTGAAGTAATCCGACTTGCCCTCACGCCCAGAAGGAGTTTCGGTTCCTTGATCCTCGAGGATAGTAAGACTAACCGTCACCCTTGACGAAATGCCGCGTCGAACACACGCACTTGATTCTTCGTATACTGCTTTGTTGCATTTGCCCCCACAACCCAAGTAAAGCCGTGCGGTACTCCAGGGATGATCTCTATGCTCGTATCAATCCCAGCATCGCGAAGTTTGAGGGCGTAGGCAATGCCTTGGTCTCGGAGAAAATCACATCCAGCGACAGTAACATGCGTGGAGGAATGATGAGGAGGAATCGTTCCAACGCTAAGAGGAGAAACAATGGGATCATTCGGAACAATCGGCGGGGGAGCTGCGAGACCTAAGGTTCGAGCTGGTCAGCGTACGCCGGAGGATAGCTAGCTTCATCGTGAACTTGCCGTAGAGGTGTTTTAGAATGTTGATCATGGATTGTTGGAAGTGCTGCTGGTTATTCTGGCCGTGCTTGAGAAGGAATGTTTCCAATAGCGGGCCAGTCATTGCTTGGAAATGACAAGTTGCTGGGACAGTGAGATTAACTTGGCGGATGCGAGAAGGCTTATACTCCTGCGCGTCCCTCATAGCCACAGTGGCCGCTAAGTGGCCGCCAGCTGAACATCCCCAGAGCCCAAGGCGTGAAGAATCTGCCCGATACCGGGGGCAGTTTGTTACGACCCAATTCAACGCTTGGTAGCAATCTTCATGGATTACCCGTAGATTGTGTTCCGGAGCGAGACGATAATCGATGCCGAACACCACCGTCCTGAGGTCGCTAGCGAAGAAAGTAGCTAGATCTAGGTGTTATATTCAGTAAAGCTCAAGCCAAAGTGATGGAGCAGAAAAAAGAGAGCATGAAGGGGCAGAGGCAGAGGAGGCCGACCTTCGTCACTCGTTGGACTGCCCTGAACCCAGCCACCTCCATGAAACATGACCAACGCGGGTCGTAGATTCTTCGCTTGACTATCTATGGGATCATAGATTCGTATGTTGAACTTTCCATCTTCGCCATATTGAACTGGAACACTCTGAGTTTCGACGGGCACGGAACTACGAGTCGCTTTGCACTGCGGCACGCGGTTGTATTCGTGATATCCGACTTGGCTCCACTCTCGCATGGCTATGATATCACTTTCGTCCGGAATTTTGTCCCAGCGTATATCCATTTTGACCATTTCCTATCTCAGATGTCAGAATGGCAAGTTTCTTCTCCGGAGAATTTGTCTTACTGTCAAGAAATTTCGATCGTAACACTCTACCATGTTATCCGAGATGAGGGGTAGCGATTGCTTCAACAAGACCTCTTCTTCAACTTCAGAGAGCCCCATTGCACCATTTGTGACTCCGTTCGGAAGCATAGCCATTGGGAACTTGAATGCGTCTGCAGTACTTGTGATAGACAGGTTAGAAATGTCCAATCTAGCAGAGAAACTTCTGCGGCTTGGCTAATAGCTAGAAGAATCACATCTACTGTCTAACGGCGTACCGAATTCCATGGGCGCATTCCTATAACATTTTCAGCGTACTTCCGTCACATCCTGTTCTTTTACGTGAGCGACACGGTGATGCTGTTCCCCTTTAGGCCGTGACGGGCCTAACATTCCAGATTCGGCAGTGAGTTGTCGTAGCCACTAAACTGCTTTTGTCCTTTCTCCGCCACCCTCGGCATATCATCTCCGCGCATTTCAAACAATGCAATTCTACTTCATCACTTCCCTTTGCACATTCCTGTTATGATGCAATTTGTCTATTTCATTCCTTGAGACGTATGCTATTGCTCTTGTTATCAGTCGTGTCTCTTTCCAATACATTGCTGTACCAGCAATTGAGTGCAGCCCAATGGATACCAAAACGAGAAGTAAACCAATGACCTCCCATGAAGAAACAATAGCAACGATAACGCACAATGTTTCTCGTCCACAGAACTGGCGAAATAAGCATGTTCTTATTAACCGTGAGCCTTATTACTGCTTCCACGAAAGCTTCTTTTGGTCCTCTTACTCATTCGTTTTAGTGACCATCATCGGAATGTCCTGGGGTCTCTACGGCTATGACAACTCGTTCGTATCTCCACTACTGTCACTGCCACATTTTGTGGCCAGGTACCAAGGCTCAGGTACAGCATTCACGGCTTTCAATCTCAATTTACTCATCTCTGTCCCCCTTATTGGCGCTGCTCTAGGAAGCTATGCTTCTGTGCCGATCCAGCTGAGAATCGGGAGGAAATGGTCACTCGTCGTTGCGTATTCCCTATTTTCGATTCCCGGGTCAATACTCCAGCTCTTCGCCCCGAACATGGCCGCCTTTGTCATTGGGAGAACTTGGAATAGTACGTGCCTCCTTTGATAGCCTTCACTTCCCGCAGGGCACTTTGACTTATGACCGACAGACGCAGGGATAAGCATTTTGAACACTGTCAGTGGCCTCTACCTCGCCGAACTCGTACCTGTTCACATCCGGGCGAGGGCTGTTGGAGCGAGCGTTGCTTGCGCAAATGCAGTGAGCGTTATAGCAACCACTGCAGTCTGGGCGACCGAGAAAATAGACAGCCCTCAACAGTACAAAATCCCGCTTTGGATCCAGGTGGCCTTCCCCGTCGCTTTGGCCTTGCTGACTCTTACTGTCCTGGAATCGCCTACCTGGTACATGGTCCATAATCAGGAAGAAAAGGCTCGTGCTGTCCTGATGAAACTCCGTCACGAGAACAGTAGAATCGTTGAATCAGAGATGGCGCTTTTACGCACTTTCGTTGCACAAGACGAGGAACATCGCCAAAGCGCACATTTCTGGAAAATTTTAGACAAGGAAAACCTCCAACGCACATTGATTGCAGGGGCATGCTTGAGCACCTGCCAAGTTGGTGGCCAGATTTTGATTCTGGCTTATTCCACTGTACTGCTTGTCCAAAGTGGTGTCAGCAATCCTTTCCAAATCACAGTTATCATCTTCCTTGCGCAATTTCTGGGAATCTGTATTGGCCCGTTCTTGATGGACCGCTACGGAAGGAGGCCCATTGGCCTCGCTGGGTTCACCATCTTGTTTTTGCTGGACGTCGCAATCGGAGGTCTAGCCTGTGGTGGTTTACTTACCGACCGGGAACGAGTGGGGCTTGCAGCGCTGTTCATCATCTTCGCATTCTTCAACTCATTGACCTTCCAATCTCTGTGAGCACGAACAAGTCCCCATTATATATGAAAAAAGGTCGTGAATGGCTGAGATCAATCAACAGAGTACTTCTATTGCCAGCTGAGCTCCCTGCAGCACGATATCGAGAAGCAACAGCAGCATGGTCCATGTTCTGGTCTTATGTAACTGCAACGGTCACAACATTTGCAGTTCCCCAGATCACCCAGAACGCCGGTCTTGGTGCCAAAACTGATCTGATTTTTGCTGGCTGTATGTTCTTAACGATCATCGGGGCATATTTCTATCTGTGAGCCTGAGCCATTCTTAGCCTGTATCTTTCCTTCATTGACGATAAAACAGCCCCGAGACCAGAGGCCGAACCCTGGCTGAGATCGACGAGATGTTCCGGATGAAACTTCCAATGCGAAAATGGAAAGGTAGGAACGATACCGTGCCTCGAATCCAAAATCCAGCACTCTTATTATCAATAATCAAGTGAGCTGACTAGTATTTGTGATAGCCTATACCTGTACGGCTGTCACGGAAAGAGCTGTGGAAGAGTTTACTGCTGGGAAGCCTGAGGGGTAACACTACGTTCAAAATTGTCAGCTAGTCCAATTGGAACCACTACAGAGAGCTTCAGATTCCCCGAGTTTTGAAAGCTGTAGTATTAACTATGGGAGTTTCAGAGATAATGATTGTCGTGCGTAAATTTCCCAATCGTGAGAGTAGCCTACGAATTGGAACCAATCCTGGGTAATCTGCTGAAATTCATCGTGCCAGTGCTCGTGGGCTCGAATATCAACACATGTAGGTGTGTTCGCCGTTGCTGGTGTCGACGCAAAGTATCTAAATAAATTACGATAAAAAAGGATATTATATAAGAGAATATAAAAATAAGAAAAAATAAGTAAATACTGCAAAGACGATCAGATAATGAGGCTACTGGCTCAATTTCGGCGGAATGACGCGCACGATATGCACTCCACTCCCACGGGAGAACGCCGTAAATGTGTTGATAAAGCTAGGCCGGACGGGGCGGGACTCGGAAAGCGGTAAGAAGACGGTTAGAATTGTAGCGTATATGGGGGTTCGGAAGCCTATCATTAGTCCGGTGTCCACGAGAGATGCTTACTAGTTTACTTCTTACACGAGATAAGTCTACCGTATATCGACTAATAAGACTTAGTTAAGATATAGTTAGGCTGTAAGACTTTTTTCCCCGCCTCTCTTTTATCGTCTTATTTTCCTAGTCGACGCGATACCTTCATCTAAAGATCTACCTTGACTTACGGAGAAGAGAGAAAATTTAGCTTAATTACGGGCCGATATAGCCGTATATTCTATAGTTAATTAAATCGTCGCCCGACTACTCTTTTTTAGTTATCTCCGGAGTATTACGTAAATCTCCGTTCGTAGAGAATTATTATCTAACGTCGTAAATTTCTAAGTTCTATCGCTCTCTTATACTTAAGCGACTATTATTTATAAGCTATTATTACGCTAAATATATAGAGCTTAGATACAACTCTTCTTATAGTACGTAAATTATTAGCGAAACTATTATATCTCGTAGCTTCTTTCGATCTATTCGAGAACTCTTCACTAAAGTTAATATATTTAGTACGTACTTTATTCGAGAAGCTACGGTAATATTCATCGACCCCGAGATCGGGACCGTTTCTAACTACGTATTAGAGATTCCTTGACAAGTAGATAGAATCTAACGATAAGCGTATATTTAAGATATCCCTATAGTATATGGTCGATACTATACACGACTCAAGCGTAAGAGAGGAAAGAGTGCGCCTCCTATGCGGGGAGTATGCTAGTAATAAGGATACACTCCTCGAGTCGCATCTCTTAGGTGGTGGCCTGATTATATTAGGCGTTCGTTCTTCCGATGTTTAGCCGAATCCGTAACACTACGATGTACTTATTTAGAGAAAGAATATTAAGGCCGTTAGTCTAAATCTCGAAGTACTAAACGACGCTATCATTATCGACGGTACCGATGTTATTATATCGCTCGGTTTCGTTAACACTTATTAATATACTTAGTAAATTTAGTTACGTTACGTTATTTATAACTTTAGTCTATTTAAGTATTTTCTCTATATTCGTAATAAGTTTAGATTATATTTATTACGGATTCGGCTAAACATCGGAAGGACGGACGTCTGATACAATCAGACCACCGGCCAAGAGATGCGACTCGAGGAGTGCATCCTTATTACTAGCACACTCCCCGCATAGGAGGCGCAATCTTTCCTCTCTTACGCTTTAAGTCGTATATAGTATCGACCATATACTATAGAGATATCTTAAATATACGTGTTAGACACAGCCTTGAAAGAGACCGGTCACGGGCTGCGAAGGCGCGGCTCAAGACACTCATTGGACAGATGGAAGGATCTACAAGAGAATAAGGCTGAACCACGTGATATGCCCTGTTGGCTCTGTCGGCCCTGTTGGCTCTGCCAGCAGAGCGCGCAGAGCGCACAGAGCGCACAGAGCATAAGCATTATATATACCCTCGTTTTCCCCCCCCTAGATAGCTTACACTCTCTTCGTAGCTAACTCATATTAACTATTGAACTTATAGTTCTTAGTGATAAGTGACTTCTCATACCTTACGTTCTTCCCAACCAGTTCATACTATTAGAATTGTTACTAGGAACCCTAACCCAGTTAGGCCCCGGTAGGAACCTTAACACTTTAGCTACTACTCTTATTATGGAGAACGACCCCTATAAGCAGCCAAGGAAGACCCGACCGACCCATCTCGCCCGTTGACGAACTAGTACGACGTATAGCACGACTATCCCTTAACGACACTATGTCTACTACTACTAGTACCTCGAGGTTAACACCGAGCACCTCAAGGACGGTAACAACTATCGCCGCGCTAGCACCAGTGACTAAGGGAAAGATTGGTAACTCACCTAAGTCTTTTAACGGCGTAGAATCTAAACTTATACCCTTTATCCACTATATGGATTTATATATCCTAATGAACCTCACTAACTTCTAGAATGACTTATAGAAAATACTCTTTATGGGAAGTTACTTCGAAGGTAATATCGAGGCTTAACTTAGACTCTTCGTTAAGAACTATATTAAGAACGAAGCGGATAATAGAGAGGACGAGACTATTAGTCTCTTCGTTACGTTCACGGAATTTAAGGAAATAATAAAACTAATATTCGGAGCGAAAGATAAAGAAAAGAAAGCTTAAAAGAAAATAGTGAGCCTTCGATAAACTAAGTCTATTTAAGAATATATAACTAAGTTTAGAACGCTAAATACGAAGCTTAGCTAGTAAGATAATATTACCATCTCTATCTTTCGAGAAGAATTAAAGCCGAAAATTAAGTAAGAACTTCGATATTTAGAGGAGAAACTACTAGAGAAATAAATAGTTACGGCTATTAAGGAAGATAACGATATTAAAGAATACCACCAGTATAAGCGCCTCAATATTACTCGAAAAATCTATACGATAAGAGCTTAACGAGCTAATATCTAGAAAAGGCGCGAACTCTATTATGAACTATAATCTATAGATCTAGACTAAGCGTAAAAAAGACGTAATAATAATAGAGAAAATAGGAAAGAAAAAACCGATCTTAGAAAAGGAAAAGAAACGGCTTATTATAGTTACGGTAAGTTAGGCCATTACGCGAAAGACTATAAAGATAAGAAAAAGTAGATTGTAGCTGCCGAAAAGAAACCTAAAACTAAGGAAATAGCGACGATTATCTCTAAAGTTAATATAGTAAAAGGAGAAATAGTGATAGTCGAAGAAAGCATCGACAGTGAGAAAGCGATATTAATAGCGATTATATCTACGCGTATATATATTCGAACTAAATATTGAGTAAGAAGAATATATTTAGACCCCTACTGTACTTTAACACTACTAGAACATAGCTATACTATATACGAACTAAGGAACCCCTCTTCTAAAATCGAAATGACCTTTAGTATAAGGGTCTATTAGAACGATGAATACTCATAGAAAAGAAGTTACCTAAACTTCATTTATACCCACTAAGGAGGCGACCCGAACATCTTAAACGTTCATATATCGAAAGTAGACCCGGAAGTACTAAGGAAATATAATATAGCTAATTCGTAATATAACTTCGACCTAAACCTTAGTGAAGAATCGAAGACCTAGTATAAGAAAGAACTAAAATCTCTTATATAAGAAGAATTAGAATAAATTCTCTAAGAAGTAGTAGAAAGAATTAGAGTAAGAATCTAATAAACTTAAGAATTAATGAGAGAAGTAGAGATAGTCTTAGCAGAAGAAACCCGATTGCGGGCCCTCATAGAAGACGATCTAAGAGAAATCGTAGCGATTACCTAAATATCTAAGGAAGAGATATAAGTCTAATTAACGATAGATCGAATATTGACTAGAGTAGAGATAGAGATATAAGCGGTCTTAAGAATCTACCGAGAACGAGGAGTTAGAGTTTCTCGACTTATGAAAACTCTATCTAATGTTAGTATTTAAGAACTATTTCTTTATAGAATGGTTTACGTCTATTCTCTACGACTAATTTTCTATTTATATATATAGTATCTCGACTATCTATAGCTAAAGAAACTAGATATAACTACCGTAGAAGTATAGTAGACTTATAAAGAATTAGTGAAACGATGTATAGTCTATAACTACGAAGTGTTCGATTTAAAAGATAGAAAAATAAACCACCTTCACTAAAAAAAAAACTAAGACGGTAGTAAAACTAAAGGTATCTATACTACCGAAAATATATCTCTAGAAGGCGCTAACGATGGAAAGCTAACGGAGATGGCGCACGACTAGTTAGAACTAGAGAGAAAAGAAGGAACTAACGACTTAAGCTAAATATGACCATAAGATCTAACGCTAGATTTATATTTCTCGGAGATATATTAGAAGACTAAGAGGTTAGTATTCTAATCGACTCCGAATACACTAAGAATCTAATATATATTAGAATAGCGAAGAAGCTACCGTAATGAAAGACTAAAAGATCGAGATTCGATATAATTATAGGATTCGACGGCATTATTATGTCCGAACTTACGTATAAGTTACGATTAATACGATTAACGATTAACGAATATTAAGAAGAATTAGACCTCGATATTATAAATATAAAATACGATATGGTACTGAGTATATCTTAGTTAAAATATTATAATTCGATTATCAACTAAGCCGGGATCTAGATACGATTCGATAATTACGATTACACCGCGAAACCCTAGAAGCCTAAGCTAAGCTTAGCTTAGAAATACACTAAAAAGGTTATTTAGGTGCGATTAGTACGCGTATTTATTAATACTATAACGAAATACTTACCGAAATACGAAAAACTAAAGTCTATATTCGAAAAGAAAGTAGAAATCGAGGCCCTATCGGAATATAAACTATAGGACTATAAAATACGACTTTAAGAAGGAAAATACTCTATATTTAGACTATTATACTCGTTATCGAAAACCGAGCAAAAGGCCTTAAGAGAGTATCTTAAAGAATATTTAGCGAAAGACTACATTAGATCATTAGAGTTAGAAGTAGGATACTCTATTCTATTCGTCTTAAAGAAAGACGAAAAGCTTTGATTATATATAGATTATCGAAAGCTAAACGACATTACTATTAAGAATATCTATTCGTTACTAAGAATTAATGAGCTCTAAGATCGGCTTAAGAGAGCGCAATACTTTATAACACTAAATATTCGAGACGCGTACTACCGTATACGTATAAAGAAAGACGAAGAATGAAAAATAGCCTTTAGAACTCGATATGGATTATTTAAGTACTGTGTGATGTCATTTGGGCTCACTAACGCATCAGCGACGTTCTAAACACTTATTAACAACGCGTTAAGAAAATATTTAGATATTTTTTATGTCGCTTACTTAGATGATATCTTAATTTACTCTAAGACCTACGAAGAATATATAAAATACGTTACGAAGGTGCTAGAGGCCCTTTAGAAATATTAACTACCGGTTAAACTTAAAAAGTGTGAATTTCATAAAGATAACATTAAATTTCTAAAATATATAGTTACTAGAGAGAAACTTAAGATGGATCCCGACTATATTAAAAGCGTACTAAAATAGTTAGAACCGACTACGCTAAAGGAACTATAATCGTTCCTAGGATTCGCTAATTTCTATCGAAAGTTCATACGGAACTATTCGCGAATCACCGCACCCCTAACAAATCTAATAAAGAAAGGAGTCGCGACCTTTACTCTAATAGAAGAAGCTAGGTAGGTAATTAAGAAACTTAAGGAAGTCTTTACTAAGACTCCGATTCTTACGATCTTCGACCCGGAATAATAGACTTTCCTTGAAATAGACGCATTAGACGGCGCGATAGCCGTAGTCTTAACATAAAAAGAATAGAACGGAAAAATTAGGCTAATTATCTATTTCTTAAGAAAAATAATAGGACTAGAGCTTCATTACGATATTTACGATAAAGAATTACTCGTAATAGTGAAAGCACTAAGACACTAGAGAGTATATTTAGAAGGACTAAAATACTTAGTAAAGATTTATTTAGATTATAAAAATCTCCTTTATTAGAATATAACTAAAGCACTTAATAGGAGATAAGTACGATAAGCGGAAACTATGGCCCCGCATAATTTTAAGATCTACTATATCAAAGATAAAGAAAACGATAGGGTAGATACCCTAAGCCGACGGTTAGATTACGTAAAAGACATTCGGCTAACCCCGATGTTTCTTCTACGAATGGAAGGAGACTATATAATCTACGCATAACTAATATTAGCAATAGTAAACATTAAAGGTCCGATTGAACGAGACAACTACGAATACGAACTAAAAACTAATATTAAAGAATATTATTTCATAGACCGAGTACACAATAAAGTCGTACGACTTAAAGTGATGAAACACTACTATAACGACTCACTAATGAGACACCTAGGAGCCGATAAGATGATTAAGCTTATCACTAGACACTACGACCCCTAGAAGTATATAAGAAAAGATATTTAGGAATTTATTAATCGATGCGAAATATATATATAAACGAAATATATAAGATATAGATCTTATGAACTACTATAGCTTTTATAGACTCTAGAAGAAGTATAGACGTCGATTATATTCGACTTCATTACGAAACTACTAAAGTCTAAAGAACCCCTCACGGAAGTAACTTATAATAGTATACTCGTGGTATATAATAGATTAATAAAGTTCTCCTACTTTAGATTATATCTAGAGAAGTCAACGGTAGAAGAATTCGCCTACGAATTCCTACGAACCGTGTTTACTAACTACGGAATACTAAAAGAAATCATTATAGATAGAGATAAGCTCTTTATATCTAAGTTCTAAAAAGCACTAATAAAACTATTAACTACGAAGTATAAGCTATTCACATCGTTTTATTTATAGATCGATGAATAAATAGAAAGAACTAACTAAATATTAGAATAATACTTACGAATATATATGAATTATAGTTAAACTAATTAAGTACGACTACTACTAGTGATATAATTCTACTTTAATAACTATAAATTAGTAATAGAAATAAGCCCATTCTTTACGAATTACGGATTTCATTCACGACTCGAGGAGACGATAGATAAAAGCCCGAACTTTAGAGCTCTAAGTATAGCTCTTACTATAAGAGAACTTTACGATCAACTTAAATTAGATCTAGGATTCCTCGTAGAAAGAATGGTAAAATACGTAAATAAGAAATGAATCGAGGAACCGCTTCTAGAGAAGAGAAACCTCGTCTACCTTTTACGAAAAAATATTAAAATAAAACGACTAAGTGAAAAACTAAACTATATAAAGCTAGAACTATTTAAGATTAAAGATAAGCTTAGGGAAGTCATATATCGACTAGAACTATCGAAAGATATACGTATATACAATATATTTCATAAAGCACTTCTTAAATTAGTACTAAAGAACGCTAAACTAGTTAAGACACTACCGCTAGATGAAGAATTAGCACTAGAGGAATATAATATTAAGAAAATCCTTAAAAGACGCGTTATACGTGGCACCTCTCAGTATCTAATTAAATAGTTAGGGTACGACGAGTGTAAAAACAGCTAGGAGCCGGAAGCTAATCTTTCGAAGAAACTTCTAAAGAAAATAAAGAAGAATTACCCTGGGTGGTTCCTAACGTTAGTAGGGCGTTTAGCTACCTATCGTCAAAAGTAAACTCGTACCGAGCTATCGGCGACTCGGGTTCATTAGGAGTATAGCTCTCCTCCCGATTAAGAGCGTTCAACACCTAAGACTACCGAATCACTATATCGCTTTAGGCACGGGTATATCTCTTAATCTGCCGCTGATATTCCACTAACCGACGCTTTAGTTCGGTAGATTTACTTACGAACTCAGCGGCCTCTACTCGCACCTAAGCCATCCGCTGAGCTAACCGTCGAGCCCGTTTAGTTAGCTCTTTACGTGCCTCTCGGCAGCGGTTCTCCAACTCTTCCTTCTTCTTCTCCCAGGATTGGAACTCATCCTCGGAGTATTGACCATCACATTTCATGTTCTTCCGGGTGCACTCGTTGCAACGGGAATTACCTTTTAGAAGGAAGTAGAAAGATAACGACTTGCTACAATTTGAGTAAGGAGTCATGGTGCGAGAACCTAAGCGTTTTATCTTCTCGGCGAGGGGGCGACGTTCGGAAGCGCGTTGACGAAAGAGAACTTTTCGAAGACTAGGAGAGAGAAGGGGAGAGAAGAAAGAAGATATCTTTAGACCTAAGTAAATTTAAGTTAGATAGTGTTCCGCTTTTATATCATCACTAAGACAAATCCTTAGGATAAGGATCTAATCGGAGAAAGGATAGTGTTAGATATAGCCTTAGAAGAGACCGGTCACGGGCTACGAAGGCGCGGCTTAAGACACTCATTGGACAGATAGAAGGATCTATAAGAGAATAAGGCTAAACCACGTAATATGCCCTGTTGGCTCTGTCGGCCCTGTTGGCTCTGCCAGCAGAGCGCGTAGAGCGCACAGAGCGCACAGAGTATGAGCATTATATATACCCTCGTTTTCCCCCCCCTAGATAGCTTACACTCTCTTCGTAGCCAACTCATATTAACTATTAGACTTATAGTTCTTAGTGACAAGTGACTTCTTATATCTTGCGTTCTTCCCAACCAGTTTATACTATTAGGATTGTTACTAGGAACCCTAACCTAGTTAGGCCCCGGTAGGAACCTTAACAATACGCTTATCGTTAGATTCTGCCTACTTATTAAAGAATCTCTAATACTAAGATTATTAGGAGATATCTATAAACTAGTTAAAAGAATAAAAAAAAACTTAAGAAAGGGTTAATTAAGTTAACTAGACTTAGGCCAACGAGGTCAACTGGACCGACGAGATCGACAAGGTTAACTAGGTTAATAAAATTAACTAGATATACTAGATATACTAGTTAGCTATAGTTAGGATAGCTCTTTACTTAGCTATTTTACCTAGTTATATACTTACTAAAAATAGAATAATTAGATTAGTCATCTGGGAAAACGTTAATCCGGCGCGATAGCGGCGGAGAAAATTTTTTTACTTCACCTTAACTTTACTTAAGTAAATTTAAATTTACTTAAGTATAAATATATATATTTATAATATAAATACAAATTATTTTTACTTAAGTATAAATAAGGCTAAATTCTACTTAAGTTACTTAAGTAAATCCACACTGTTGCATCATCGAAGCATTGGTGATTGTGATGAAGGCTAGACCAAGGCGCTGCTCAGGTGCTTCTCAAACTCACATGGAGAGTTTGTCTCTACTCGAATTAGTGGCCGTGGTGAAACGCCCTCTACGTACCGCCGAGTGAACGTTGCGGAAACTTGTCTGATATATCTTACCAGTACCAGGGCAACAAATGGCCCGTTGGGAGAAAGAGAAAAGTCCAAGTGTGCGGCTGAATATAAAAGGCTTGTGGAGGCTCAACCATTCGTGGCCATTCCACCTTCAGCGTGCAGGTCTGACAACCTAGAAAGGTTGTGCCCGCTTCTCCAAAACTTCCACGTCGGTTCGGGCAGAGAGCTCTCCCAGGTGTATCAATTCTGCAACCATGAAGAATATATTCCAGGCCAATCCTTCCTACATATTCTGGCCCACCACGACTTGATATCGGTCACTCAACTGGCTCTCGCGGCAGAAATGCAACCCACAATCAAGCTGAATCTCAATGCTAGGGACTCAAAAGGCAGAACTCCCCTGTGGTGGGCTGTTGAAAAAACAGCGCATCCAGATGGTCGAGCTGCTTCTTAACGACAAAAAAGTGGATTTCAATGCCCAAGATGATGAGGGCATGTTGCCGGTCATGGTGGCCGTCAAGAATGGATTTACGGATATAGCGGAGCTTTTCCTTCGAAGTGATTTTTCAGCCCGAATATATTGGAATTTATGTGATCAGCGCGGGTTTACTTGCCTGTTTTGGGCTGCTACATCTGATTTCGAGGATCTCGTCAGCCTCCTCTTGAAACAGAGTGAAATTGTCCAAGGTATTGACAAGCCCGGTGCTCGTCATAGCCCTCTTGCGTCAGCGGCAAGAAAGGGGTATGTACAGATTGTGATAGCTTTGCTCGATCACAGTGCTACCCCTGATGCCAAAGATGATCGCGAAGGCAGGGCTGCATTGTCATGGGCGGCGGGGAATGGTCACGAAGACGTAGTGGATCGACTACTTCGTTGCGAAGACATTGACATCAATCACGCAGATCGAAGGTTAAAATGGACTGCATTCCAGTGGGCAGCAGCTCAAAAACAAGGCGCAATAGCGTGGAAGATCCTACACGAGACATTGGAACGGCTTGGCAACCGTTGGCGCGATTATATATCGACACTTTTCCTAGACGTTGCCAAAAGGGGACAATATGAAGCCCTCAACATTTTGCTTGAGCTACACGACTTCGACCCCGACTTCAGGGACAGAGATAGCCAAAGGACAGCTTTATCCTTTGCTGCAGAGCATGGTCATGTGAGAATTGTCCAAAGGCTTCTGTCTTCGGGCAGGGTGAATGTGAATGCTGGAGATGTGGGAAGAAAGACTGCTTTGATGTGGACAGCTGACCAAGGTCGCTCCAGTGTTGTGAAAGAGCTGCTCGCCCGCGAGGAGCTGGATATCCTAGCAGTAGATTCAGAAGAAAGATGTGCCTGTGACTGGGCGCAGGCATCAAACCACCTTGACGTGCAGCGATTAATCGAAGACAGACAGCATCGAGTGGTTCACAGATCCAGGAGCCGTCAATCAAGCGGCACATCCTAGCCACATTCAACGCGGGGAGGGCTAAATATTACTATTAACGACATAAGTATGGTGGTCATTCTGGCGTCAAGTGCGACTGACGCTTGAGGCTCACCAGGCCGATAGATAAACAAAAATATTGTTCCGTGCGCTTTCTCCATGTTTCGCGGCCGATATCGACGGGGGTCTTCTCCTCGCCCGGCCGGAATTCACTGTCTCTTGCACTGTGTGCTGGCACCGAAATGCTGGCTGGAACACCTCAACGCCGAGAATCAGTCCAAGCCCAGCTTAACCCAACGTTGGACATGCACACACACACCTTCTAATTTATTGATTGACTACAGTATGCCTGGACGGATGCCGCGCTCTAAAGAAAGTGTCGGAAAATTCGGTACGGACGACGCTACTACTATTCGCACTTAGCAAGTCTTACCTGTAACAGACAATTCCCCTACAAAAGTATTACATGGGTTGTATAAAGCAGCCATTCGCTCACCCCCAAGGATCGAACAGTATATAATAGCATTTAGGTTTTTCGTTCGCGGGCAATCCGGGTATTTCGGAAATCCTCAAGCAATCCTCTATATCCTGAGGTTGACATCATTAATGATGAAGAACGAAACCACACAATGCCTCTAGGCAGGTGGTATCAAAGCTATCGACCATCTTTGCTTCTGCGTAGGCGCGATCACCAAGCATCTCAGATACACCACTAGTCCGCGGTCGGTCTCGGGAAATGCTCTTCGTGCAGCAGATTTCGGGAGCTTCCCAGATCATCTTCACTGCAAAGTATCTGCGTTTCGGGAGGGGTTGCTTCCAGAGGTTCTTCCGTCAGAAACTTGTAGTCACCCTCGAGGACTCGCAGGCCTTCCCAAGAGGACTCCTCCAGTTATTCTATCCATGCGGGAACAAAATCTTCTCCAAACAAGCGAAACATCCAATGCTGGGCTCTTTCAACTATAACCTGCACTTTGCGCTTTTACCTCTTGCTAATCCGGAAGTCCCCAACGACTTTCTTAGCCGCGAGTGCTGCATTCCGCTCTTCCCAAGGTGTGTTCGCTCATGTGGTCAATGGTGTAAGTCAACCCCGGCCCAGTCAACCCAGAGAGCATCTCTTGACAAGACGTTTGACCAGGACGCCACGGATAGAGAGCCCGAAGGGATTCATGGAGCCAGGGGAGACTACCACGACTGCTAGTCAATGTGACTATATATTAAGTGAAGGCAAGATGTTCTCAAATCGATCCTATTGGACTCGATCTTTATGAGCACCTCCAAAATATGCTGTTTGGACAAGGTATGGAACTATTTGTATACCGCCTTGCTTGTCCTCTCTCAAAATGAGATGCAAAGCAATCCGTAGAGTCGTGTGGGGGGAGGGGGGACTGGGAGCGTCGGATTTCCATGGACCATTGAAGGGCCAGAATGGATGTTCGTTGGCTGAGGCGAGATAGATCCGGCTACAGGTTAACAACAAGGGGTAGTTGATCACCTGGTGATAGTAATGGCCTGATCGGTGGTACTTCCAGTCGGCTCGATACGGTCATTGTAGCCAGTCACCGCAGGTTCGAAAACGGGGTCTGATCCCTGCAGGGAGCGTGAATAAGGGACTGCCCCTCGGGCTCCTTGTCATTCGCGGCCTCCATCCCATCTTGGGCGGACATGGTAAGTAGACGGTTCTCGTGTTACTGGACTAGGTATGGGCAGCAAAATCTCGGGATCCAGCCCGAGGTCCTCGCGTTCGGTGTGAACAAGAAGTGGTTTGTTTCAGATAAAGACGGCGCGATGGGGAACAGGGAGCAAGGAGTTAACAAGTTGATATTTATCAAAGCCAATTTTTAGCTCGACTGGAAGGCTGATGATGGAATTCCGGGCGAAGACCGATGGCAGATAGTACGCCAGAGAGAATGGAAGATGTGGCTGGGGGCTGGTTAAGCCAACTGGCGCAGACGGTCTTGTAAAAAGTACAGGCCTGAGCGTACCTCGTAGGGGGACATTGTTAGCCCACTAAGGCCTCAAGCTGCCACTCAGCCACGGTTATGGGCATGGTCATCCCACCTTGAAACAGTGATGGCTACTAGGTAGCGAGCGAGATGGGGGTTTGAATGAGAGGATCATGGACAGGTCCATGCGCCTTGCGGCACGGTAAGTTGCGAGAGTCCACTTCAGGGCTGCGGACAGGGTTGCGGTGGCGGCCACGCGAGCCAAGGATTCGCAGGAAAATGAGGGTTGGGGCACTGGGCACGGGGACTGGGGCTCTTAGGTAGGTACCCAGTACAGTGCTGGGTAGAGGGCGCAATAAGCGCGACTGGCAACACCGAGACAGCACAGCGACTAACGCGGGGTCTGTCGGTGCCCCGAACCCTGGCCAGTGATGAAGCAAACGGCGCAGTGACCTGACCAGTAGTCTACCTAAGTGAGGCTAGAGGCCCCCGGCCGGCACCACCAGCGTCAACGCAGGCTACCGCTAGGCACCGCTAGGCTACACTCGGCTCCCTTTGGTGGTGCTACGCACCGTTTTCCTCGCCCAGAATCTCGGGCCGCCGGTGGTGTTGCGCCATTGCTGCCGCGTGGTTGCAGCAATTCGATCGCCGTCGACCTTCCCCCTCTTGTTCTCCTGAATGCTGCATATCCGTCTCGCCGTCGTGAGACCTCAATCTAACGCGGTTGATATCTCAGCATTTTGGACGGAGAAGGAATGATTTGGGTTTGGCAGATAATATGGAGGCAACACATGGCATAGACATGCATGCCCTGCGCCATTTCCCACCTACACCTCTTTTTTTTCTTCTCTCTTTCAGATTTCGACAATTGAAAGAGAAATTTGCCTCCTCATTTCCTCCTCTGCCTTCATCTTCCGCGACTGTTTCTCGCACTCTTTTTTTCCCTTCGATATTCTGTGGCGCCAATTCCACAATCGTGTCCCACTTGGCCCTTCCGCTTCTTGTTCGTTCGCTTCGAAGTCTTCGCTTCAACCCTGCTTGGGATCAGTTGCTGATCGAAGGACTTTGTCATACTTTTTTTTTCTTTGCCAATTCAACACGTCGAGCGGTCGGTTAGGGAAACAACAAGCCAGTACTCAAAAGGATAACAACCGTGCGGCGACTCCTCACCCTGCTTGTTTCACCGCATGGCCACCCTCTCGATTGTCCCTTGCAGCTGATTAGCAGGCATCCGGCTAATATCGGCTCTGCTGCATCTCCCCCGCCTGCTGCGATAGGCCCGTCGCTACGTCGATAGGCCTTCTCCGCCATGAAGGCAATTTTCAAGAGAAAAGATTCGAAACCACCATCGGATGAATCCAGCCTTGACAAAGCCCTTTTGCGCCCTGCAGTGACAGTCGAGCGCATCTCTAACTACTCGCACAAGTCGCCAAAGCTGATAAGTTCGAAATCATCCTCGCCGTCATTAGGAGGCACCATGCCAGAAATCGCGATGCCTGAGCCCCCCGATCCAGTTTCGAAACCAGCAGCGTACCTTCGGAGCATTTATGCTGTTCGGGAAAGGACAAGGCTGGTTCTCGAGGAGGCCAAAGTCAATGCTCTCAACCACTTTGATGTAGACTTGTCCAAGTTCAAGGACACGGCCGATTATGTGGTCGCCATCATCAAGGTACGCTTTGGGAAACCCAAATATGTTGGTTCCAGCTCAGGTCTAATTATGTGCAGCGTGATTTCCAGGGCGACTATGCTTCTATTCCGCCTCATGGTCGGTGGCAACATTTTGAAGTCGGCGGAAGACCCAGGGTGACCCAATTGTTGCAGTCATGGCCTACATCGATTGACAACCAGGAGAGAGCACGTCGACTGATTGATTTGTTTCTGGTCTCTGTCCTTCTTGATGCTGGTGCTGGCACAAAGTGGTCTTACAAGTCTAAGGAGTCTGGTAAGGTTTATTCCAGGAGTGAAGGGTTGGCAGTGGCGAGTCTGGAAATGTTCAAAGCTGGAACGTTCAGCAGCGATCCCACTCAACCTCATCAAGTTGACGCCGCTGGTCTGAACAAAATGAACGTGGAGACTCTGGCCAAAGGGATGCAAGTCTCGGACACCAATCCGATGTCTGGACTTGAAGGCCGAGCTGGATTACTGATTCGACTCGCCTCTGCTCTGCAGAATGCCGAAATTTTTGGTGTTGACGGTCGACCTGGGAACATGATTGGTGAATGCATACTCTGTGCCTTCTTTTCGGATCCCTGCTGACGGAGTGCAGACTATCTGTTATCACATCCCACCACTCAAGCCGCTTCGGTCCCCGTCATCCTTTTACCGACTCTATGGAGCGTTCTCATGGATGGCCTATCGAGTATTTGGCCAGCTACTCGAACCACCATTCAAGGAGTTTCTCTCGGAGACGCCTGGCCCTGTCAAGCCATGCCTAGGTCTCCCCCTGCTCAACCCTGGGAGACAATTGTTCCCTTCCACAAGCTCACGCAGTGGCTTTGCTATTCTTTGATGGTTCCGATGACTAAGCTGCTCAACGTCCATTTTGCAGGGGCAGAATTGATGACCGGTCTTCCCGAGTATCGCAACGGAGGCTTGTTGGTCGACACGGGCCTGCTTACTCTGAAAGAAGAGGACAGGCAGCGCGGGTTGAAGATCTACCATGAGATAGTGGGAGACGGCAATGCCATTGAAGTGGTTCCAACCTTCCCACCTAGCGACGATGTGATTGTGGAGTGGCGCGCTGTCACTGTTGGCTTTTTAGACGATCTCCTTGTTGCGGTCAATGCGGGCCTCGGTCTGCAGGGCGTAGAGCAGTTGACGTTGGCACAGATGCTCGAGGCAGGAACTTGGAAGGTGAGACGCTTTGGAAAGGCTACTACCACATTAAAACTGACCAGGCTTGATAGGGAGGGCGTGAAATTGCACAGGTATCCCGTCCGATCACTGGAGGACCTCCCATTGGTATCATTTCAGATGGCACAGTCTTCTAAAATGGCGATTTCTTCTATGCTTATGCAATAATGGGTTCCACGAATTTCGAAGGTCACCAAAGGGTGTCCAAGACCGAGAACAGGGATTACGAGACGACATATGCGCTTGATGATGTTGTGGTATGGTTTACTTCATTGTGGCGAGCCATCCTTTACTTTTATGCCGATCTGAAGTCGGTGCTATCGTTGAGTTTTGCAGGAGCTGGGTTGATGGTCTCGATACTTTTACAAGGGGCTTTGGGAAAGAAAGAGCGGTCCAGCTTGGAGCTTTTCATTTCGATTCATGCAGTGGCCAAAATGCATTCCTTTTACTTCTTCGACGGCTATCCGGAGGCGCACAGTACAGCCGATCAGATTGTCAGGACGTAAACTGGAAGTTATCTGCTCTCTGAAGGAACTTCAGTCACTCGGCAAGGAAGCTTTGAGTCTGCTAGATCACATCTTATTGTCATGATAGCCTTTGAGACCAATGCTCGATGATCGGTTCTCTCATCAATGAGATTATGACTTTTCCGCAGTTATTTCTTTTCCTAAGGCTAGTGTCCCAAGTTAAAGGAATGAGGCCCTCCTTTCACCGCAAAACTCTACGTTGGGAGACAAGGTGCGGTGTCTTTCCACTAAGGGGGTAATACTATGTACCCAGCGAGGCTCGCGAGCTAGACGAGGCTTGCTTTCAGCCTTACCCCGCCCTCGTTTAAGGACCATTTGGCATTTGGAAGACTGACAATTAAAGCATCGTTCCTCTACGTGCAAAACGCCTCGTAGGGTGACGTATCTCAATGAGGTCATTGCACAGGATGAGCTGGTAATCTGTCTTTTTCGCAGGCCTGTTCTACTTTGTTATCCGCAGCTTTGCATAAGGCACACCTGGTATCCGCAGCTGGCTCTGCAGCGCAGGCGCGAAACTCGACCGATTCCCCGGCTTTCCAAAGCGCCACCGCCGAGTTTTTTCTTTTCGCGGAGAGTAAAGGATCAAGGACCGTCTGCACTTGAGGAGTTGGAAACAACATGGATACGCGAAAGAGGAAGAAGAAGGTCTTGCTGATGGGTAAGAGTGGCTCAGGCAAATCGTCGATGCGCTCGATTATCTTCAGCAACTATGTCGCAAAGGACGTTAGACGACTCGGCGCAACCATTGATGTGGAACACAGTCATGCAAAGTTCATGGGCAACTTGACGCTGAACCTGTGGGATTGCGGAGGGTATGGCATATGTTTCGTCTCGCACGCTTCGTTCAGATGTGGTTAACGCCCTTGTGCAGGCAGGACGCTTTCATGGACTCCTACCTCAATGCGCAGCGCGAAAACGTCTTCTCCGACGCCGAAGTCCTCATATACGTCTTTGACATCGAATCTCGGGCGGTGGACCAAGACCTCGAGACATATAGCCAGGTGATCAAGGCATTGAAAGAATACAGTCCTAATGCCCACGTCTTCTGCTTGGTTCACAAGATGGACCTGGTACAGAGCGAACATCGTGAGAAGATATATGAAGAAAGATGTCGATTGATCATAGCCCGGTCGGAGGGTCTCAGCTTGGAGACTTTCGCGAGCAGTATCTGGGACCAGACGCTCTACAAGGCTTGGGCCGGCATAGTCCACAAGATGATCCCGAACTTGGTGGTGATAGAACGTTTTCTGGGAGCCTTTGCCAAACAGCTCAAAGCCGAGGAGATAGTCCTTTTCGAGAGATCTACATTTCTGACCGTGACGAACGTGGTCACGCAATATGGCGAGGATAATCCCAACGTTGACCGACACGAGCGAATATCGAACATCATGAAGAGCTACAAGCATACAGCGGCAAGAAATACCAGAACCACAGCGGCAAGTGCAGGGTTCTTACTGTTCAAAGTTCAGACACCTCGCTTCAATTGCTTTCTGGCGAGATTTACGGAGAATACCTATATATTTGTTGTCATTCCCCCCGGCGAGGCGGCGTTCAACTGTGCGGTCTTGAACACGATGATGGCAAGAGACGCGTTTAGCAAGAAGACCGGCGTTGAAGGATGAGATGGCATCCATTGGAAGTGCGACGAGCAAATTGGAGATCTCTTCAACTGCTCTTGTCTCCAGCCATTCATTAAGCCAAACAGGATTAATTCAAAGACACGTACTTCCGAGAATGTTCAGTCCCCGTATTGTTCAACAATACGAGGACGGACCTCCACAGAACTCGACTTGGGTCTGCTTGTACAACGCACGCTCCGAACGTTAACAGCGATTTACCGACATCCATGCTTGGCCACGACAGGGTCGACGTACGTGGGCAGGCGAGATTGAGCCGAGTCGGGAATTTCTATGTACGACGGGAGCGACAAGACGTTTTGATTTGGTCCGAAGCTCCGAGGGGGGAAAACAACCTTGTCTCTGTATTCTTCTGACATCTTTATCGTGGATAGAAATATCGGGTTGCAGGGCTTTCCAAGGAAGAGAAGTGTCCGTGCATTAAGGGATCATTATTGCTGCTTGCTGAAGAGGAAGCTACAGGGAAATGTTCAGCATTGCATATCGGGTAAGGGAAGGCATGTCGTGATCGCAGTCGACATATCGCAATATCGAGAGGGATATCTTGCCAGTGGAGTGGGTGATCTCACGCGGTATGGGATTTTATGTTCAGACAGGCTGAATAGCAGCAAACTCGTTTGAGGATCATGTTATGAAGCCTTGGTCCTCTGTAGGTAAAGGCCAGAGGGAGCTACATAGCGTTGACCCTGTTGACCCTGTCGGCGGAAGCGGGCGTCCAGTGACCGGCATGCCAAGCAATTGAAGGCCGTGTTTCCCGACTCGCAATTTTCTTTCGACCTCATCTCAGTTTTCCCGCCTCCACCTTCGTACTAAACGTACGAACCTGTGGACATCCCTCATCAACGATACCGTACAAACATCACTTCGGGCGATCGTGGGTCACGACTGTAGTACGAAGACTATGTGAACGGACTCTAAAGCCGTAGCCATGCCCAAGGAACGCCAGACATGCACTGAGTGCTCTATGCGCCGGCAAAAATGCGACCGCAACGTTCCCTGCGGTCGCTGCGTCAAGAGGGGCGATGCCGCAAAATGCACGCGGGAGTGGCCTGAAGGCGGCTACGATCCAAAAGTTCACCGAATCTATCCTCGATCGTCCACAGCGGCAGACGCCAGTCCCACAACCACCGATACATCCCCCCAAACCAACAATACCAACCCGCCAGAGGCTGCCGTGCACCCTTCTCTTCGAACGCCCAAGTCTGTGACTTCCGGGCCTAGTCCTCGCGAACAACCACCAGTATATCCAAGCAACCTTGGGCCCGCTCCAATCAACGGCCCGCTCACTGACGTCGACAATGCTGCCTCTGTGTTAGAATTTCTCACTTGGGGTCGGAGCAAGCTGTCCGATTACGATCTTAAAGCGTTAGATCTCCTGAAGGAACCTCACCAATCTGGCACTGCCGCGCTTCCCAAGGACACCGGGCCAGACTGGGATGTTTCAAATGGCTTTGGAGGGACGGGTGCTGCCCAGGTCTCGTTCCTACAATTGCTCCTTCCTAGTCGTAAACAAGTATTCCAATTGGTGGAATATCATGTCAGCTCGATTTTGTGGTATCACGGGTGCTTCCATGGTCCGACGTTCTATGAAGAGCTCAAAGAGGTCTACAAAGGCCCCAGTGGACTCCAAGTCAGGAACATGGACCTCAGATGGACTGCCTTACTCTTTGCGGTAATGGCAGCAAGCATGACTTGTGCTAGTGAGCAGCTGGCCTTGAGCTGGGGTTTCAAAAAGAACGAAAGAGCGAAGCTGACTAGGCAATGGTACAAGGCTACGGTAACGTGCCTCAATCTCGCAGACTATATGTGGCGACATCACGTCTACTCAGTCGAAGCCATCACTACGCTTACCATGTCCGCCCATATCCTAGGGTTCAGCAATACCCAGAGCACATTATTAGGAGCTGCTGTCAAGATCGCCCAGGGTCTCGGCTTGCAACGACTGGGCCCAGAAGATGACGCAAGCAATGTTGTTGGAGCTTCCATGCTATCGACTCCTGCGCTCCGAGACAAGATAATCAAACGTGAAACGGGAAGGAGACTGTGGCAACAGTTGTGTATCCAAGACTGGTTTTCGATCCCTTTCTCGGAGATGTATTCCATCCAGAGGATGCATTTCTCTTCATTGAAACCTATGCACTGCGATGACACCACAATGTTGCCTCTACCCGACGATGTCCCAAGTATGACAAGTTTCCCCAATTTTCTCGGGGACATCGCAAGCTTGATGCCGCAGATACATGATGCAATCATCTCTTCGAACACCTTGTACACCAAATATGAACAAGTTCTGGACTACGACGCACAAATGCGAGCCCTTGCAACCGACGGACTCCCTCGCTTCTTCTCCATGAGAGAACCACTTCAACCGGAATGGCCTGCATTTATCCCGTGGGCGAGACGCAGCTTGACGATTTGTTTCGCTCACAAGATCATCATGATCCACCGAGCGTTTCTAGGTCGCAGCTTTACGGAGCAAGCGTTCGACTTTACACGTCGGACATGCATGGCAGCCGCAAAGACAATATTGAAGGAGGCCAGACAGGCCTATGACGAGGAAGGGCCGATGCTCTGGATCGATCAAGCTTTCATGGTTGCGGCGGGCATAACGCTCGCCTTGGACATCTTTCACCGCAGACCCAGTGAAACCGAGTACGAAGAACACCGGAAGTTGGTGGAGAATACCATTACAATGCTGGGAAAATTCGAAAACAGCATGATTGCAATGCGCGGCATTCGATTGCTGTCATCTTTGCTCGCTGAGCAGGCCCGGTTGACGGCCGACCAAACCCTGGAAAACTATCGAAAGCGGACACATGACAATATGAGCGGAGATCGTGGCCAACCCAAACGGCAGAAGTTCAACGTGCCGAAGTTTGTCGAGTCTTTTGTGGGAAACGACTCGTTCACACATTCTCTGCGGTCAGCAAATCGAGGCGCCGAACCCTCGCTGGATTTGTATGAACCGACTGAATCAAAAACGCCTGGATCTCAAGAACCCATCATCACGTCCGACTTGGGGTACGAGACGTTTGAACAGCTCTTCCCCCCGCACACCGGAATCAGCAACAATTTTCTTTTTGAGGATCTCTTGAACTTCGACATATAAGGATTAGAGGTTCCCAAACCATAGGACGGTGCGACGGACCAAGACGGACTCAGCAGGCCTATCATCACCGTACGATTATCGAAGCGTCATTATTGGACGATAAAAGGCGGGGAAGGTCGGACAGCCTTATCGGTTGTACATAAACTCTCATTCGATATCAATGGTGCGAACGACAACCATCAAACCCATTGACTACGGATGTCTGTACCCTAAGTGACTATAAAGAGCCCCGGGACCTCCTTCGAAAACTCCCTTTCAACCCTTCGTCGACCAGCAGATCGCCCCGCCGAAACATAAACGATCAAGCGTTTGGACTGATTCTATCTCAATTCCTCTTTCCTTGAAAGTCGTCTTCGTACATTCAACACTACATCAAAATGGGTAGAGAGAAGACAAAATACTTGGACCGTCCCATTCCCACCATCTCACTCGCGAATTTTGAATCACGCATTGATGAAATCACCTCGGAACTAGTCTCTGCCGCCGAGAACGTGGGGTTCTTCTCCATCACCGACCACGGCATCACTCCCGAAGAAATCGACGAGATATTTGCCCAATCAGCCCGGTTCTTTGCTCTTCCGGACGAAACCAAAGGGAATGTCCCCTTCTCCTCCGCAAACAATGCCGGGTGGGAGAAGAATGCACAAGTCCGACCTTCCACCGGTGCGGCAGACAGGAAGGAGTCTTACCAGATGCAGTTCGGCAGAAACATGGAGGGTAAATGGCTTGATGAACCTGTCTTGCCGGGCTTCAAAGATTCTGCCCTCAAATTCATGTGGAAGGTGCAGGAAGTTTCAGAGAGGCTGATGACATGTTTCGCGCGAGGATTGGGGTTTGAAGATGATTACTTTGTCAAGGCACATGATGTGAAGAGACCTGAGAGTCAGACAGTGGCGAGACTCTTGCATTACTTTGAAACTCCCAGAGAAAACGCGAATGGGGAGGTTTTCCATCGCGCAGGAGCACATACCGATTGGGATCTACTGACACTCTTGTTCCAGAAGGAGGGCCAGAGCGGCCTTGAGGTGCGTCTACGTCGCTTTGTGGTCCAACCAATTTTCAGACCGCCAGTCAGGGCAGTGGGAAGTGCCAGACTGACCTTACATCCTACAGATCTGTCCCGGTCGCGAAGCGTCCACATCTTTCGCCCACGGAGACACCTGGACGAAAGTTGCCCCTTCTCAAGAATCCATCATCTGCAACATCGGTGACCTTCTCATGTCCTGGTCCGACGACCGATTCAAATCCACCTTCCACCGCGTCAAGGCACCTAGTGACGTTGACGATTTCTACGGCGAACGCTACAGCATCGCCTTCTTCAACCAACCGTGCAGAGACGCCGTCATCCAGGGTCCGCGCAAGAAATACCCCATGGTGACGGGGGAGGAATTTACCCGCAACGCGATGAGGAGAAATTTCGAGGCGTTGGAGAAGAAGAGGCTTGAAAAGGAGAGTTTGGAGAGACAGATGGAGATGGAAGAGGCCAAGAAGATGGTGGAACGCGAGGGTCTCAGAGGCGCGAGCGTTGAGAGTGGCGGTAAGGTCGTTGCAGAGGTTGGCGCTTGATAATTTTGTGGTCCTGCGAAGGGAAAACTGTAGACAGTAGACAGAGATGGTCCAATCGGGTAGGCGGTGTCTTGCGCCTTCGTCTTTCCATTCCAGTGTCGGTAGAGAGGGCCTTGTTCTGCCGTAATCGTCGACAGAAGAGAAGAAGAAGAAGAAGAAGAAGAAGAAGAAGAAGAAGAAGAAGAAACGAGGGTACTTTGTGTATTCCCGCAGCTTGATTCCCCTCAAAAGTCTCCTGAGATAGAACACACACACACACAGAGAGAGAGAGAGAGAGAGACTCGGACGACGAATTGTGAGAGTACTGGTCGATACATGCGTCAATTACCAGTTCCATCTAATTTGACGCAAGTTTCTTCGGCGAATAGGTCATGTTTATCAGATGTCTGTAGGGCCGTATGTGGAAGACTCGACCCGACCCCAGGGTAGGGAGGATGATAATATCGTAAGTCGTGGTGGGTACTGTGGGAGAGGAAGAGATCTCTCCGAGAGGAAAAGGGAAGGGTGGTTGGGCTCTGTACATAATTCTCGTCTGGTCTTCTCTTCGCCTTCTCCTCTTCTCACTCCTGCCTTCCCTCGTCGTTATCGTCGCATTACCCCGTCTCGACAGGGGCGAGCAGGCGGGGGGTTTTCCGATGGTCCACCAGGTAGTCCCTATTGCGCCATGTGCGTCTCGTCCTCGAGATGCGCCGTGTTCGTCGACGGGAATGTCTGCCCCGTGGCTTCGTTCCGGATCGGCTCCGAGGGGACGAGAACGAACAGAACGCGGCAGTTCTCCGTGCTCACGTTCTTCCATGCCTGTGAAGGTGGTGGGGGGAACGGTTTGTGAGAGGTCAAAACAAAGGCGAAGGGGAAAACTTGGAGATTGAGCGATTCTGTGCATTGTGGTGATCGGAGTCATAGAAGTAGGGGTGGGAAGGAGGCGTGGTCATGATGATGATGATGATGATGATGATGATGATGATGAGGTGGGAGCCATAAAATATGGGGTGGGGGAGGATGTATGTGGTCAATGACTATTTAGGTAGGAGAGGGAAGTCGGGCAAGGAGCATGGGATAAATGAAGAGAGGTTGACGAGTAGAGATTGACATTGCAAAGCGCGTAGAGGTGGATGAGTTGGGTGAGAGGGAGGGAGAGAGACCACCGCCCATCCCAGGCGCATAGGTACTTACATGATTCGTGCCCCTCTGGACACAGACATCCCCCTCCTTCATGACCGTCTCGGACCCATCGTCCAGAATCAGCGTGATGGTGCCCTTGAGGACGACGCCAAAGTCGACGCTCTGCGTGCGGTGCATGATATTCACGTCATCCTTTGTCTCCGGCCCCGTGGCTGGGAAATCCACAATGCGGCAGTACACGCCCGCCTGGTCGACCAGGCCGATCTTCTTGCCGTGTACGTCGGTCCAGGGGCCCTGCACGTTCGCGGCCGGAAAGCCCGCCGTGCGGAAGATGTTGGTGAAGCCCGGGATGATGCCCGTCGGCGACGCGCCCGTCGCGTCCAGCGGGTTCGCGGGTGTGAGGGTGATGTCGGACTCGATTATTGATTTTCCCGTGCTGTCGTGGCCTATATGGTGGAGTGATTGTGTCAGTACCCATGTATATTGTTGTGGTTAGGGAGACAGGAGAGGAGGAGCCAGACCGGTCACGATGCGGCGGGTGGTGGGGAGAGACATGGAGGATGGCACGGTTATGGGAGCGAGCGTTTCTATCTAGTGACTCTGAATGTGGAGGAGAGCGCAATCAAAAAGGAGGAAACGAATATGAATCTTGAGTTGTTGAATCGGAGAAGTAGTGTTTAAACACACCACACGCCATTATGGGGTTAGGAATATGTTGAGTGTCCGAGATCCAAAAATGGAATGCTAAGAAATCCTCGAATCCTACTGCTACAAGGCATTGGGCTATTTCTCAACTCAGAAGCTGGGACCCCGGTTAAGTAAGCGCTTACGCAAGCCATTGCAAAGAGGCTAAGATGCGCAATCATGCATAGGTACGAGTACAGAGATGCAGGCCTCGATAAAGAAGGCAGCGAGGAGATAAAAGTGCCCCAAAGTCGCTGTCACTGCTCGACAACATACAGCTTCTTGATCAACGAAGGGAACTGGTAATAAAAAGAATGTTTGCCAGTAAAGATTGAGTGTATCGCGGCCGATAATACCACTGGGGCAAAGGTTGCTGTTGTATCGAAGTGATAACTTAACATAGCACTGCATGATTTCTTTTAACCATCCATAGGTGCCTATCACCAAACGGCCCTAGCGTGTTGCTTTCCACCGTATCACACCCGTCCACAGCAGAAATGATAGGGCAAAGTGGAGACATGGGTTGACTCTGGTATGCTGTTGTCGGAACCCTACCGCCCTGGCCCATAACCTGTCGCACAATCCATGGAAGCTGTGTTCTGTGATTCCATCAAGCTCATCTATTCCAAGCGCCATGACTCCCTTGATTGTTTGCTCCGAGACCTTGTCAGTTCCCATCCGTCCCGTTCGTGACATCATTGTCGTTTACAGAAAGGCAGCCAGACCCAACAATGCAGCTCCGGCAACACCAAACCCGGCTGGCATGACAGCGGCGGCATTGGTGGTGGAGGACGCGGTTGCAGATGCAGAGGAAACGGCCGAGCTGAGACCAGAAGATGCCGCTGAAGTAACAGAGCCAGCCTGGCTTGTGACAGCACTCAAGGCACTGGCAGCCTCGGCGGTGATGCTGCCAAGGATGGAGGAGGCGGCAGAGGTCAAAGATGAGAGAGTGGCAGCCGCGCCGGTGTTGCCCGTAGCAGCTTCAGAGCTAAGGCTGGAAAGACTGGCTGAGAATGCAGATTTGGCCGAGGTGAAGCTGGCAGCGATGGAGTTTTCAGCATTTTCAGCCGAGTTGGAGGCAGAGGCAGCAACCGAGGCGGCGGAATTGGAGACTGAGGCGAGAGACTTGGATAATTCTGACGAGATGGATGCCAATGAGCTGGAAACTGCTGAAGGTGTTACGGGCGAGGAGTTGGATGTGACGGTAGAATTGACACCATTTCCCTGAGCCAAAGCGGGCACAATGACGACGAGGGAGCAGAGGAGATTGGAGAGAAGCATGATGGAGGCGTCAAGCGTGTTAGTCGAGATGGAACTTGCTGGTGAAGTGAGCTGGGTTGCAGGTTTGGGAAGAAGTTGAGAGGGAAAACAAGAGAATGAGAGCGAAAAGCATAAATACCTGGGCGAGGCTGTCAAGATGCAAACTGCGTCATGCGCTAGATGGGAGGTGAAAGCTGGAAGACGTCGGATACCACCGATTGAGTGACCTTGTCTTGCCTTGTAAGAGCATCTGTTCGATGGTTGGCGCGGAACTGGAATCGCAATGCCGTCATCGACATCGCCAAGCCCTACGCGCCAAGATGGGCTAAACTTTATCCAGACAAACATCAAGCCACACAGCGAGAACAGGGCCACACGAGCCACAATTCAAGCCACTCACGCCGATCGCCTCCCGGATGCAGAGTACATACTGGGTACATACCTACCTAAATACCTCGTACTTCAGCCTTGGTTCTCGAGAGATCATTTTGAAACCGGGATGAGCTGTGTCGTCTGGGGCTTTGGGCATATACCTGGGTAAAGTATAGACGAAGCACTCATGCGGCATCGTTTGGTCATTCCACCCTCCGTCCTTGCCACTACTAAACATGACAAGAAAAGGTATGTACAGAGACAAGGCACGTGTATAGGCAAGCCCCATAATTGGATAGTCGACCGACTGGACGAGTGCTCAGTATTTGGCGAGAAGCCGTTACAAGCCTTGTCGTTGGATGTTGGATCAATCAAGCTTCCTTCCGCCCCCGGACCGGCATCTTCGGCCTCACCCCTATTGGCTCCACCCACCGCTTTTCCATACATGGCGAGCTCAATGCTCAACTTCCAACCCGCATTTTCTGGTCGACATCATCAACTTCCACCAACATATGATGCATACAGACGGCAGCATATAAGCGACGTCCTTCCCTCTTGTCCAGCATTTTTGTTTTCGATCCCTTGGCATAGATTGGCTCAGTTTTTCCCTTCAAACGCGTCCCTTTCCGTGGTTTGCAGCATGGTCTCTTCACTCTTACTGCTCGCCCTTCCTCTGGCACTGCAATCCAATGCTGCAGCACTGCCCCCTTCGGCACAGGCAACGGGCCTGGACATCAGTAACACTCTCCAAAACATTCTGGCCAACACGCAAAAGAGCGATGGCTACAGCTATCCAACAGATCTGACAAGAGGAATTGTGCCGGTACGTTTTAGCCTCCATGGCACATTCCTTGCCGTCTCTGTGGTCCTAGAGAATAGTATTGCCGGTGTGCAATTTTCTTTTGCTGTCCAGGACGTATTTCTTCTCACCGTTTAATATCGCTGTAGAAGCCAATCCACTCGCACAACGACTACTGGCGCGACGTTCCTTTCTATTCAGCCCTCTCCGTAGGCTGTGCCTCAGTCGAGGCCGATGTCTGGCTCTACAACAACACCCTCTACGTTGGCCATGAACAATCTGCTTTGACACCTGCCCGGACACTCGACTCCCTCTACATCCAACCCATCCTGGATACCATCCAACGACAAAACCCGTCATCGCCGTTTGTCACTTCATCCGCCAAAAATGGCGTCTACGACACAGCCTCAGGTCAAACTCTCCTTCTGTTTATCGACCTCAAGACCGACGGCCCAACCACGTGGCCTGCCGTTGTCAGTGCCCTTGAACCCCTTCGCAGCCCGGGCTACCTCACCACGTTCAATGGCACGGGCGTCACCGTCGGCCCAGTCACCGTCATCGGCACCGGCAACACGCCGCTGAACCAGATCCAGCCGCTCCACGAACGCGACTACTTCTTCGACGCCCATCTGGACCTGCTGAACTCGACCGAATCCAACATCACCGCAGCAGTCTCGCCCGTGGCATCGACCGATTTTGCCGCGCAATTCGGCCCCATGAACGGCACCACGTTCAATTCCACCCAACTGGAGACTCTGATCAGCCAGATCGAGGTGGCCAAGTCCAAGGGCATCTTGGCGCGCTACTGGGACACGCCGGCCTGGCCGATCAGCACGCGGAATGCGGTGTGGGCGACCTTGCTCGAGCAAGGTGTCGGACTGTTGAATGCGGATGACTTGCCAGCGGCTGCGGGCTTTGGCGCTTATTATGGGATGTGGTGAGGATTCTAAGAGAGGGTGAGGCTTATATTCCGGGGGGGGGTTAATTAAGGAACCAGAGGAAGAAAGGGGTATCTCCTAGATAGACCAACAAAAATACAAATTGTACAGACTCAAATATATTTTTCTCAATCCGAGAGATATGAACTGCGGTTCTCCACCCAACCCATCCTATGAGGGAGATGGATGATCTACAACCTACTCTTTTCTCTCTTCTCAAAGCAACCGTTGGCTAAAATGTCGTAGTCTCTTCCATTGTTCCAGCCCATCCACTCTCTCAAAGCCTGCTCGCCGCCCTCACCGGGCTTCAAGGCCTTGCCGTCCCACTGCATTTCGACTTTTCGTGCCGGCGACGAAGTCAGCCCGACGATGGGTCGGTGCTCGTACCCCGCGGCCTCCATCTCCGCGTGCTCGAGTACGGGGGCACAGCAGGCATCGGTTCCATCAAAGATGGCCTCCCACTCCTTGCGCGTCTTCTCCTTGAACCGCCGTGTGAAAAGCTCGCGCATATACGGCCAAGAGCGCTTGTCCAGCCGATCGAGCTTGCCCGGGACGACGTCCGCCTCGGTGAGACCCAGTCCCTTCAGCAGCTCCTGCCAGAACTGCGGCTCCAGGGCGCCCACGGACATGTATTTGCCCGCGTCCTTGCACTCGTAGCACCCGTAATATGGGGCTCCGCCGTCTAGTGTATTCGTGCCCCGCTCACCATTCCACATGGGCATCTTCGTCAATAGCCGCGGGAACGTGCCGAGATAACTGACGCCATCGACCATGTTTGCTTCTACGACCTGCCCCTTCCCACTTGTTGCGCGGTGAATCAGCGCCAGAAGAACACCAGTGAATGCGGCATGGCCGCCACCGGCGAAGTCTGCGAGGATGTTGGCCGGGTGTGCAGGTGGGGCCCCTCTCGCGCCGAGCATGGAGAGCACTCCGGACACGGCGAGGTAGTTGATGTCGTGGCCTGCCATGGCAGAGTATTTCCCATCGCGACGGAACCCTGTCAGTCTCACCACGATGAGGCGGGGGTTTTTCTTCAGCAGGACGGTTTCAGGGTCCAGACCGAGTTTCTCCAACACACCGGGGCGAAAGGGGTCGATGAGGATGTCGGCAATCGAGGCTAAGGACAGGAAGACGGCGACGGAGGAGGGGTTCTTCAGATCCAACGCAATGGAGCGTTTCCCGCTGGTCAGAAGATCACTGCTGGAGACTGGGCTCGGGCGGTCGACGCGCAGGACGCTGGCGCCCCAGTTGGCGAGGAGCAGGCCACAGAAGGGGCCTATAGAGACTCGTGAGCGGCCTTGCTATTTGGATACCTTGAGAGAAGGAATCTTGCGGTACCTGGAGCCAAGCCAGCGAGTTCGAGGACGCGGACGCCCGTCAAGGGTGGGTTGGCAGTCATCTTTGCTTGTTCACTGCTGCAGACACAATTCTGCTCTTCAATGCCGCAGAGGCATATATCTTCGCCCGGCGAGCTTCACCTCATGTTGCTCGGGGCTTTATCTGGGGGTAGCGGCACCGTCCAGCTGGCGTCCAGCGGCCGCGGCATTGGGAATGTTGATTCCCCGACACATACTCGGTGCCGAAGTGGCCGAGGCTCATCAACATATTCCCCCACAATCAAGCATGGCAAGTTTGCCGGGGAGCGGCCTGGCGTTTACCATTTTCTCTGCCTGAGCCTTTCGTCCTTTGCATAGCTTGCACAGTCCAGCTTGATCGACGTGTCTGTTTGGATGCTTGGGCTTTGATTTGACGAAATTTTCGGCCTACCCAGTACTCAGTCCACACTTGAGGCCTCCCTCGGCTAGTCAAACCGTGCCGCTACAACAGGGTCAGGCATGCCATCCCTCTGCCTCTTGCCATGCTTATCTACATAGTAGGGGCGAGGGACCAGGGGCAATGCCGCTCCCTAATGCATGCATTCGATCTATCTACCCAAACTTTGAACATGATTTGACGTCTGACACATCCTGCCACAAGGTAACTGAATGAAACAGACAGCCATATTCTCCTGGGATGGGCCGCACTGAGGTGAACAGCCCCCAGACTAATAAAGAAAGCCAAAAAAAAAGGCCTGAGAGTATATTGTCCTGCCATATACCCCAAGTCAAGGTTTGCTTGAATTCATTAAACAGAAGTTTGCGTCTATGCCTTTGGCCAAATACATTGATCAGATGCTCGGCTGAAGACTTATAACCTTTGAGGCCTTCAGTTCGAAATCGTTTTTCCCTTCATGTGGTTCTCGCCGTCAGCATGGCACGCAAGCAGGTGTTGATATCAGCCTCGTCCACGCTGTGAAAGGCGTCGCATCACGTGGGTCACGTCGTACGACTTGCTCAGCGAAAAGCAAAGCTTCAGATACTGCCGCAGTTGACGAAATGGAAGGGACAGAGAGAAGAACCAAAGGTTGTGATATACAGGCATCGCAGCATTGTGCTATTGGACGTTCTGACCCACGCGTTGCCTTTCGGCGGCGTCCTGACGCTGCTAGTTTTGAATATCAACCCCTTTTGCATCGGCAACCTCTCGACCTCGGCAGTGACCGCCTTCTCCGGAGGATTTGCTTGTTGAAACTCTTGACTGTTGAGGACAACGGCGCCGATTTCGAGCAAGGAATCACGCAACTCGGTCAATTGTACGGCCCAGCGCCATACCGCCTCCTTGATTCGGATGGCATAGGACTATTCGGAATGCCATCTGATCTTGGTTTGCCCTAATCTTCGGCGACGATCCCTTCACGCCACATGTCGTATACTTTGCGCATACGAAGTGAGAACTTGGAAAGAGACTCGGAATCTCCCTTCAACATCTTGACAATGAAACCCTCTCAAGCCCTCGTTCAGAGTGCTTGCGCCGAGAACGATCTGTAGGACTACGAGCGCAATACAACTTACCTCTCTTTTCCGAGCTCAGATGCAAATCTGAATCGTCTCGTCACATGGAGTGAAACCATCGTGTGTACGTCAACATGGTGACGAGCATAACAAAAGCAACGAAAACCCTCGCCAGCTCCGACTATGTTTCCTGCGGTCCACGGAGAAAGAGAGATACTAGATTGCTTATGGATCTGTCTAGAGATAAGTTGCTGTAGCCGCTGTCGAGCTGCCGGATGCGAGAAAGCAGCGGGCACCGAGCACCTTCCTGCAACCCTTCCTTCGTCCTCGAGGCAAGTGGGCGCAGGAGCGGGCGCAGGAGCAGGCGCGCCAATCCTCTCGTCCTTCAACTTCTTCGTCTTTAGGTCACCAGTTTCTACTCAGTCATCCGTACACTTCAGATATCCCTCGTTTATTCTTATTCACTATGAAACCCCCGGAGATTGCCGGGTTTTATGTCGCTTGGTGCGATGAGTTCTACGGTCCAGCAGGCTCTCCTCCCAGCTCCCAGAACTGGACGCTACAAACTCCCCCATTCAATTGGAACCACGAGTGGCAGAGGTACACCAACTCAACGGACAATGCATTTCTTGACGGAAATGGCCAACTCGTCATTGCTCCACGGAAAGTGAATGGACAATGGACTTCTGCTCGTCTGCATGGCAACCACAATTTCGGGTGTGACCCCAACCGCAAGATGATCTTTGCCGCGCGCATCAAGCTCGGCCAGAACCCGCCGTGGCAGCAGCAGGGGATTTGGCCTGCTTGGTGGGCGTTGGGTCAGTCGATGCGCAGGGGTACTCACTGGTACGTTTTGAGTCCCTCTGATTCCCCTATCTTAGTAGAGGAGCCTCTGACACAGCGACTTTTCTTCAGGCCCAAATGTGGTGAGTGGGATATTATGGAGCTCAGGAATGGCTCCTCAACAAACCAAGGTAAGCTACTGTCCTGAGCTCTTCTCAAGGAATCTCGAGTTTCTGACAACACCCAAACATAGGCGCGGTCCACCAGACCGATATATATGGTAACCACGCTGAATCCCACGGATACATCGATTTCGATCGCCGAGATTACCACACTTGGGCCGTCCTCATCGACCTCTCCGACGGTGACTATAGCAAACAGACGATCAAATTCCAACTCGACGGCCAGACTTATTACACGGTCCAAGGAGACGGTTCCAGCTGGGCCACGAGGGAAGGCTGGGACAGATGCGGCCGCAGCCCGTTCTTCCCAATTTTGAACATCGCTGTGGGAGGCGATCACCCCGGAAATCCCAATGATAACACACTGCCTGGCGTGGAGAGTGGTATGACGATTCAGTGGTTAGCAGTTTACAAGTCATGGTATTGAAGCACATGCCCAACCTTGCCAGGTCGGACAGATAGGTTGGAAGGGGAGCAAAGATGTTACGGCAATTTCCTTGCCTCAGCGAGCAACCGTCTAGTGAACAAGGAACAAATTGCGGAAGAGAACGGCATGACTAAGCGTCGAAGGGGAAATAAGGAAGGCTGCTACGGTCTGTGTTAGAGTTCCTATAATTAGACATTCTTCCTAAAGACTCAGACTTTCACATACATTGCCGTTCCGTTTGGTCGGCTGGCACAGCACTGGCAGGGAGCGGACTTTGTCAAAATCCTCCATCCATTTCTGTTCTTCGCAGACATCTAAAAAAAAGAGTAAACCCAACTACTTCATAGGGGGGCTGTTTAAGATTCACTTGCAGTGTTGTTTTGATTCTCTATATGATACTATGCGAGAATGGATAATCTATCGAGACTTCGCCTCGCTTTGCGCGATATGGACTTCGTAAATAGTATGTGGGTCCGTCTGTCCCTGCCTCTGGGCTCTTTCGTTTTCTCCCCCTTGGCTCAGCGCAAGAACTTGTAAGCCCTCTTCCACCAGGGCCATCCGGCCTGCTCGGCCCTCTCGCTTGCGAGGATGTCAGCGAGATCCAGCTCCCTCCTGCCGCTGGTGATGTCGATGTCCTGGATGCGCTTGAAGACGGGCCTCTTCCAGAGCTTGAAGGCGAGGTAGAAGGCGAGCACGATGGGGAGGCTCAGGTTTGCCTCGAAGGAAGCCTAGACACGGGCCCCGGCAGTCATGTCCCCATATCCAACGGGTGCAAAACCCGTCCAAAACTGCGCGGCCAGGATCAGCAGGTTCATGGTCAGCCCGATCCACGATCCCACGACGCCGGGTTGGGACGTGAAGGCGACTTCGGACACGTTGTGGCCGTTGTATTTCCACGCCGCGCGGAACCGGATGTGGCACGCGCAGATGGACGCCCATGTCATGACGGACGACAGGCCCGAGATGGCCAGCATCCAGTTGAACGCTTGTGTGCGCGTGTCGTCGCCCGCGGCGATGATGAGACACAGCAGTCCCACCGCCGACGCGAAGATGATGGCGATCGGCGGCCGTCAAGCCCACTAGCTCGGTACCGCTGAAGGAGAAGGCGGCCGTGACGGAGGTCGAGCGGAGGCCCTTGAAGCCGTGGTTGAAGGACCCTGGGTCATACTAGTACGCACCTAGGTAGCCCTGGGACCCGACGCCGCCGGTAGCGATGATGATGCCGAAGATATAGAAGCCGACGACCTAATTGGGTGATCAGCTCTTGCTCGTCATTTTCTCTTTTTCGGTTACCGGTCTGGGTGAAGTGGTATACTCGGCAGAGACTATACTTAATGCGAGAACCTTGATGATGGAAAAGATAAACTCGGCCTCTCCGTATCTGACACATAGTCAGCCTCGTCTTTATCTTCCCCTTCCTCCACCAACACACGACCCTGAGAGGTGTCGAAAACGACTTACCCCTGTGACGCCGAAGAAATTAATCATCACAACGACAATGTAAAATATGACCACCCACGCCGCAGGGTTGACGTCCCTCGCGCCGGACCAGAACGAGAGCGTGATAGATGCGGCGGTCAGCTCCAGGGGCAGCATAACCAACCAATTCAACGCATAATTCCAACCCCTTGGATATCTCAGATCAGCACGTCGGCAAAAATGGCCTTTGGATAACAACGGGGGGTGGTCTTTAATGTATGTAGAAGCGGAGTGATGACTGACATTGCAAATCCCCATGCCGGGTCGATGAACCTGGTATTGTAGACAGCAAACGCGCCCGAAATGGGGAAAAGGACGGCCAATTCTCCCAGGGCGTGGACAGTGCAGTACAGCATGATGCTGATGAGGCCGTAGGCAAGCATCAGCGAAGCCGGACCCCCCGTCCCCAGGGCCGAGCCAGAGCCGGCAAAGAGACCGGTCCCTAAGCACTGACTGTTAATTATTTTCACTTTCCACGTTCCCCCCTTGCTCCCCGAGGAAGATGGGAAAAGGAGATTCAACGAAAGCACCGCACCGATCGAACCCTCGATAGCTATCATCTGCAGGTGTCGGGCATTTTGGCAGATTGTGCAACTGGTAACATATACTGGTGACTGACCCCTCGGAAAGGAAGAAGGGGCCGTTTAGTGGAAAGGACTTGAGATGCCCATATCGGATGCTCCCCGTCTCTGGATTTATGAATCCAAGATGAATTTGGGCGCGCAACTTCACTCCGGCTGCGGGCACGAGACGTCTTTCCACATTCCCACATCAATGATACCTCAGGGTGTAGTTTCTTTGCGAAAGACGTCATAGAATAGGGGATGCCAGCCTGAGTGGCAACGTAGATGGAGTCAGGCTCGCCGACGGGGGCGTGTGTCTGATCTTGTTAGGAGGCGAGTAACGAGCCGACTTTAGACGAAGATTTTGAAAAAGAGTGGTAATTGTCGCCATCACATCAATCGTGCGAAGGCTTCGCAAAAGCTTTTACATAAATATATATACATAAACACGTAGCAATGGTACCAATGGGCAAAGGGCTGAGAGCTCCACCCTCTCCGCCCTCGTCGATGCGATCGATGGTTGTCCCGTCGGCTTGTTGCAACTCCACAGTACCCAGTAATACGGGGAGGGTTCGACTCGCCTAGATTGGCTTAACGCGCGATGATGACACGCCCACCCCCTCAGTGATCAGGTCAATACCCAACTCAATATCTCATCTGGTCTGACGATGGGATCGCGGGTGGGAAAGCACATCGAAAGAATATGTGTAATCTTTGAAAAACATAGATGACGCGCTGTTCGTGGACAACATAACTGTCCCTTTAGTCGATTGATTTATGGCGCAAACCAACTCCCTCTTTCTTCAAAAGCAGTCAATCTCGACAACAGCATCTTCGTGTCAATATGGGAGCAGTCCAGATCTCACGCCAAGAGCGGGATTTTTGGAATGTCTTGGGTCCTCACATAGATTACGACCTCTGCTCACAATAAACCCCCCTTTACAAGGCTACAGGCTGACCTGAATCTGGACACTCAAACCTGCTTGGGGAGCATACGAACGAACAATTGCTTTTGAAATCCAACAATTTTGCTACGGGCACAATGTAGAGGCTGTCACTGGCGAGTCGGCAAAGGGTGCCGATAAGCATCGCCAAGACGTGAAATGGCAGAGGTGCTCACTGCCATGGCCCGGCGACACGATCTTTGCCCTACCCGCACACCCAGCCGTCTATGTTCCACTGGTTTCGCTAGATTCCCTCAAGCTTCCTAAGCTCGGTATCTCAGCCCTTAACACGGTTTGGAAAAGACAGCGGTAGCGTTAATTGAACCAAGACAAGAATGAAGTGACTGACTGACTGATGCTGGGACTCAATCAACCAAGCGGAAAGTGCTCTATGTCGACTGGGTTGCTGCTGTTCCTGAAGAGAGCTGATCGTATGAAGTACAATTGGGCAGACCCTGAGCAACTGCTCGTCTCTAAGAAGAGGCGACCCTCCACCAGAAATGAACGTCGCCTCGATCACAATGACAGCTCCTTCCCCTTCGCTTCGCACCTGAGAACGACATTTTTGTCCGACGGCGTCACTCTTTGTTTCTCTTCCTTTTTTCTTGGTGCTCCCCTTCCCCGTCCCGGTCTGGTGACTGTCGAGGAAAGACGGTAACTATGTGCATTACATATAACGTAGAGCCATCTCGTTCCACACAGCAATGGGTTTCGGCAGCAGTGGCAGTTCAGCGAAGAGTTTCCCGTCTGTTATGTACATGACTTGGCTATCCTTCGGTCTCTTGCCGCCTGCTTCGTGGTAGTTGACCAAGAACCAGCTATTTATGTGTTGAGCCTTGTGTTCGTCAGACGCAAGCAGCTGCTTGAATCCAGAAACATAGAGTGCTGTAAGGCCTATCTGTCTGAGACCTTGGCGGAAGGGGAGTCGGAGTTGAGAAGCTGTTATTGCAGGTTTGAATATCTAGGTACATGTCCTCCGATGGCTTGGCAGAGGGCGCAAAGCTTTTGCTCTTCTCAACAAACGCCTTTGCCAGCACTTCTCTATAGGTCGGCACAGAGAAAGGAAACATTCACCTGTTAAGACCGCGGGAGGCCATCTCCATGCAGACTTCTCTCGGGTTCATCACTGCATGCACCAGAGAAGCAGCGACGACCGCAGAGCCGAGGACTCCAAAGGCCTGCTAGTGTGTCTTCAGATTGAACAGGGATTTCTGCAGACCAGACAGCGTTGAGGTCTGGACCTGCTACTTCCAATGGGCATCATCGAAGATGCTCGAGGACTCTTCAAACCAACCAGCCTCGAGGCCGGTCTCAAAATGCGTTCCTGAGCTCCGTGCGTACACCACCTAGAACAACAATGACGGCTGTTGCAGTGGCTTTGGAACCCTGTGAGACAATTTGTCCCAGCAAGCAGGCCAAGAATTAATATATCTGCTTCTGAAAACAGACAACAATGGTTCGAACGGTTCTTGAAATCGTGGAAGAAGGGCGCAGGCGCCACAATCAATGGTCAAAGGGTACATTGCAGCCATAATGGGGTGCACCAGTCTATACCTGACCTAGGAGAAAGGGAAGTCATCGCCGCAGCAGCAGCGTGTCTCTCCAGATGGACGACGCCCACGATTGGATAATCAACCTTTGAAGCATTGAGTCTGCAATAGGGGCGGCGCCAGAGGAAAGACACCTGTATAGGACAGGGGACCAAACTCCCTCTTCCCTTACCGAGCGTAGGTCGGCTTGAAATGAGAAGGACATCAGTAAACACATAGGGCAAGAGAAGGACAAGCCGCCGCTGAGGCTATTGAGTCAGACGGCGAATTGCTCATCGGGGGGGGGGGGGGGGGGGGGGGGGGGTGGTTGGTTGGTGTCAATCCCTCCCAAACTGCTCCGATTTCTTTCTCACTTGCTAGGAGGCTGATGTGGCCCTGCTTCGCTGAGACTCCTCAATGCTGTCTCTAAAATAACCATTGCTGCACATTATCGACGATCCATCCCGACGTAGAACTCCGTCTTGAATATCTGTAGATCCACTTCAACACTCGTCTTGTTCTTTGTACCGGGTACAATAACAGGTCGAGATTGAGGGCACCCCAAACGGCGTTCACCCACCCGCGCGTGTTCTCCTAGCTAACGGCCGTTGTGTCAGAGATTCTGTACCGCAGGCGTGATATACGGATATTGGGTTCGGCTTGCTGCGGCTCTTTAGCCTGGGAGAATAGTGAGACAACTGCGAGATAAGTGGTCAGATTACGAAATGGCTCTGACGCGGCCGTCTCTCAATGCGCATTAACAAGTGAGAAAGCTTTCTCCGTGCCGCTGTGCGGTTTCGTACAACGGCTTCGGCAGAGAAAGCCGTGGAAAGCTGGGACCTACATTCCGTTCCTCCATTGCGCTACCCGCCTCGCCGCTCCTCAACGAAGGATGGCGGCTATGGCAAAAGCAGAAGCCATAAAAGAAAGGGCAAATGCTGTTCTTGCGTCCATTCGCCCAAATCCAACCATTCTACGACGAGACTTTCGCGAGTTGATGCGTGGGACCATGAATGATGGGCCACGGCATCAATTACCCGACAGGTATTCGAACTAAGAAGCTGCTTGCACTTCTACTTAACCACTGTACGAGCTAGTGGCCTGCTGTGTTGTGGTTAGTTTCCCTTCCAGGATCACCCTTGACGGAGCCTTACACAGTACTGTACCGACGGTTACTGCTGCAACTTCGCTGTGTTGTACTTAACTCCGCGCAGGGAGCAGAGTTCGGGCGCAGCAAAGCAAGGAATCAAAGAGGTGATTAAAATAATGGCCCTCGCATCGCATCGCATCGCAGCGCATTGCATTGCCTTGACACTGCAGCAACCTGCCCTTCTACCTTTTCCTCTTCCTCGAGTTAACCCCAGAACGCACAGGTCGAGAAAAGGCGGTCAAGGTCCAGCTGCAGCTCCAGGTCGGGCAAAGGCTTGGATGGATGAGTTCGCTGGTAATCAATGCCGGAAAGGTGAAAGCGAATGCGAGAGGAGCTCTGGAGTGGCGGCCGGGACGCACAGGAGAAGAGTCATAGGACCCAGGCCACCGACAGGCTAGACAAAGTTAGGTGGTTCAATCAGTCAAGGGAGCTGTCACGTCGAGGATTGAACGAAGGTGCAATTGTCTACCAATTGTCTCCTGCGACCATGTCCCTAGGCAGGGTGAAGCATGCATCTCTGAACCAAGGATGCATGCACCCCACGTCCCGCCCACGTGCGTGGGCTTTTTTTAAAACATTCAGTACTTGTACTTGTTAGAAACCATCGATGAGCTTGAGAGCATAAAGCTAGAGCCGGAGCTCGGGCCTTCTGTCGACATGGCTGCGCTGAGCACGGGAAATTTTAAACGAGGGGACACCAAGGGAAATGCGGAGTCAAAATGCAAAAGGCGAGTCGGTTAAAGACAACTGGTCTTCGCTCCTATTATCATCATAGCCAAGAAGGACGTACTGGGTACCTGAATGTCTGTTGCAGGTACCCTGTTCACAGCTGGAAGAGGCCGGCGGAGATCAGCTGCTGTCATATCCGGGCCTTGGAGTCCCCCGGCAGCCAGGCCTCCCTGGCCTCTAGCCTGACCCCCTACTCAAGTAGGGATGACCTTACTCAGGCCTGACCAGCCCTCAGGTGCAATGTGCCAGGCACAGCGGCAGGAAACAGGATCAAGATGACTAGGAGGGTGCCTTGATCTACTCCCTGATCTGCTCCTCCCTGATCTGCTCCTCCCTGATCTGCTCCTCCCTGATCTGCTCCTCCCTGATCGACTGCCTAGTAGCCCCCTCGCTCCCCCCTTATTGGGCTAGCCTGTTTCCCTAGGTAGCCCTTGGGTTGCCCTGGGGAGCACCTCGTAACCCGATGGGGATCTGGTGTGCCCAACCCATGCCCCCAACTATGCCTAACTGTGCCCAAGCCGGTGCCTAGCACTAGTGGTGTGTCGTCATCTCCCAGGATTTCAGCTTCGCTTAATAGTGGAAGGAGCAGCAGTCGCAGCAGTAGCATCAACTAGCCAGCTTTGCCAGCTGCAGGAGAGCATTTCCCCTCTTTTGAACTCATCGCAAACCTGTTCTTGGGCGTTCCCACATGTCCATCATCGTCAAAGGACTGACTGGCCGGCCTAGCGTCGCTTCGAGTCGCTGGCTCTTGCTTCGGCAAATGAAAACGAGACACACATTCAACGGAGGACAGATAGCGACGCACGTTGTTGGTACATCATCACAATCTACCCTGGCATGATGCGCTTCATTGCAGGGAACTTGTTCCCTGTTCCAGCCCGCATGGACAGAAGCAGAGCCGCCATAATCACACAAACATCTCGTCCACCGGTAGGCCATGTTGCTGTCACCGACTCTTGATGAGTCCCCATTAGCTACATAGCCCCAGCCTCCATTATCGTAGGGAAGATGCCATATTGCTTGCCCTTGACCATATCTCCTCAATACCTTCGTCATAACTTGCGTTCTTCATCGTCACCGACTTCCCAGTTTCGTTCCCCTTCGTATGTGTCCAAAAATGAATCCCAAGAATACCACCCAAGCTAGAATGAACCAAAAAAAGAAAAGCCCGCTTCCAGTAGAAAGTACGTAAAACGTAAACACCACTCAACATTAGTCGTCGATATCTGGATTCGCCACGAACAGCCTCACGCTGGGCTGACCTATGCTCATGGTCCGCTCATCCACACTCCCTCTTCTCCGCAGATCCTCGGCTTTCTTCGCCTGTTCCAGTGCCCGTTGCACAGCAATCGGCCCAGAAAGCTCCTTCAACTCGCCAAATGAATCCTCACTTTCCCTACCAGCGGGCGTGGATCTGTCGCTATGGTTGAAATAGTCGTGTTTCGCATCTTCAGTCGTTTCTGAATCTTCGGGAATGCCTTGCCCAGGGGAGCCTTCGCTGGGCGGTGTGCTCGTGCTGCTAAATCGTCCTTGGTCAGGCCTTGGATAACCACTTCGATATTTGGCGCTATTGGTACTACTCCTCCCACTGCCAGTTCGGGCATGCATCATGCTGTTATCACCAGTCAGACTTTTCCCTTCCTCTTCTTCATCGCCTAATGCCTCATTGGCACTTAATCGCACGGGCACAGACACACCCGTGAGGTTCACCGGGACGTAGCCGGGGGCTTTGGGAACGCCGCCGTGTCGAATCTTGCCAACCACACCGCCCGATGAGATGGTGCTAGTCCGCCCGCCCTGGTTGGCTCCTTGGACTTCAAGTGCGGCACGGTGTTTTGCTGCTTTTTGGGCAGCCGCGAGTCGCGGGTCAATGTTTTGAGCCCGATCGCACCAGACCGTAGCCTTCTGTTTTCGCATCAGCGCCACGTAGGATGTAGGGCTATTAGTGGATGTCGAGCGGCCAGAGGTAGAACGGCGCGGCACGCTGTTGGCTGAAGAGGTCGTGCCTTGTCGGTGCATGCTCATCGTGTTATTTGAGGTCGAGGAATGGCGCGAGTGTGAAGAGGTTGAGGGAATGCGAGAATGGCCGGTGCGAGAGGGCGACGGGGCGCAGGTCACGAAGGAGGTGGAGGAGGGGAGGGTGTTGGACGAGATAGTCCTCGAGTGTTGGTGATTGCGAATGGTTCGCGCTGGCGCTATTGGAGTGGTTGTAGTCGTGATGTAGGATTTTCGCTCTGGTCGAGTGAAGATGCCGTCAGCCACCGAGGGCGCGGGATGAGGAGGCAAAGAGGAAATTGGGGCGGTCGAGTGTGAGTAGGGGTAGGAGAGCGTGGGATCTGGGATGTTTGTCCCAGCTACTGTCAAGACGCTCATCGGTCGTCTCGAGGTCTGAATAGGCTCAGAGAGCAAAGAAGGAATTGAAAATGGCTAATTGAGGTCGAAGGTTGTAAATCGGTCTCAGTGCAGTCCAAGTACGTATTTTGGTCTGGCAGTGGAGCCCTCTGGCTGGCTGCAAGTTGGTCTTTTTGGGGGATGCAGGAGTTCCTGCAGGTTGGTTATTGGTCGGCAGGCCAGATCCGATGCAGTGAGGTGGTAATGAATTAATTATTGGTAAGAAGCTCGACAACTCGGCAGCAGAAGTAACGACAATAGGTAGTGGCAGTGACAGTCGTGTCGTGGGAAGAGAGAGTAAGTGAGGTGGATGTCAACGGGAGCTCGAGGTGCAGTGAAGTGACGAAAGCTGAAAACTGGGGGCCGGGAGGAGGATGGGCGGTTTTAGATTTGAATCACAGGTCTGGGTAGCCGATGCCTTTGTAAAACGTCTTCGCGCCCTTGGTCTCGTATTGCGAATCCCTCGTCGTCTTCAGGCGGACAGGAGCTAAAGGTTATCAATGCTATAATTGAGTCCTGAGGATTGTCAAGTCGCAGTTGCGGACCAATGGTGCACACTGACAGGACAATCGGCGGAAGATGCGTAAGAGGGTTCGTATGGGCTACAAGTCCGTGCGCAAATCAATTGGGCGTGTGTTGACGGAGTTTATAGCGAGGGAGGGCAGCAGCCTTGCAGAGAGACGGGATTGATTCGAACGAGTAATAGAGTGGTGGGTGAGGGTGTGTACACTTGAAGTATGGGATGTGGAGGAGGGCGTTGGCAACCGGACAAGTTTATTTTACCGCAATCGAATGATGTTGACGACGACAATGACGCTTTTGGACGTTTTCCAGGATTTGGACGCCCGTCACTAGCTGCTATTGCTTACTAGCCAGGGCCCCAATGGATCAGACAGATCAGACACCCCTCGTTCCTCCCTCTACCTTGTCGGCAGTCCGCTGTCCATTATTCCGACCCGCGATCGTGCCGTTGGAGGGGGGACACGGGGGGGCTAGGGGGCGAAGGGGCGAGGGATTCCCCTGGAAGACCTTCCTGAGAAGGGCACCCAAGCCTACCCTAGTAGCCCTAACGGAGGGCCACGCACTACCCATAAGCAAGGGATATTGTCTATTGGGGTCTAGTTAGGTGTCTAGTAGCCTGTCTAGCCGGCCGCCTTGTCCTGTCTAGGCTTTGTGATTTGGTGGTGTCCGACTCAGACCACCTCTTACGGCACGCTCCCAGCTGAAGCCTACTCCATCCCACAGCTCGCAGCTCGCAACGTACTTGGTAGACCGAACCAGTCACTCAGTGTTACCTCGCACGCTCCCTCGGGGCACCTCTGGACCAATGCAACCAGTGAGACCTCCCTACTGGGGGGGCTTCCTTGAGCTTCTCTGGGCTCCGTGGTTTCCCTGGTCTCAATATTCCCATACATAATGACCACTCACAATTGAAACTTAGGCTCGAATTGCTCGATCGGGACAGGGCACTTGATCTTTGATCTTATTATTATTATCATTGTTTCTTGTCATACTCTGCGAAGCTTCTTTCGCAGTGCCTCATCTCTTTTTTTTTATTTTTTTAACAAGTACAACCCTCCGTAGCATCGCTACGGTTGTATATTCAACAGAGAGGAAAATTTTTTCGACTTCCAACTTCCCCGTCACAACCACCACAATCGCATGACAGCCCACAACCAACTCACAGGTAGGATCTAGTTCCAGCACATCGTGAGACGGATCGACCAGTGAGATGCAATGCGATGACAAACCCTCCTCCGCTCCGACCCGTGGACTTCGTTGCATGAGATTTTTCTCGTCTGATCGGAAAGAATATCAAGTCAATGCTAGCTCCACGTCGCTGAACTGCCAAAGCTACGAGGACAGGGGTCAAGATCAACTCGGGCAACATCCAGCATCATGCCTGTTAGACGCTGCTCGTGTTGCTGGATGCCTTGTTGTTGACCTGCTAGCCTGTCGGTTGGCCTTAGCGAACTCTTCGATACGTCAGAGCAGTTTCAGGTTTGGTCGTCTCGGTGGTCGTGCATCTAACAAGATGTTTACTAAACACTTCTTTCTGTCCTCTACAACAAACCCACAAACAAGTCCACCGATGCTACACACATACGCAAAATGCCCCGTGTTCCCAAGAGAAAACGTCATTCAACCTCTGAGATGCAGAAGCTTCTCGCTAGACAAACGCGAGATTTCCCCGTGCTCTGATAAACTTCATGTACCTACTTGTTTTTGTTCCTGTTCCTGATCGACCAGCCCATCTCGTGTTGCTCACTGAGCGGACTTCAACGACCGCTCTGGCCATGAAGTTGGGCGCGATTTCACAACTTGAGTTGATCACAACTGGGGGAATGAAATCGGGACATCGGGAGACGGTGTTCTGATCTGAGAATCACCACTGATGTTTGTTTACCTTTGTTCGCCATGACATCGTTGGCCGGAGGATGCCCTTCTGTCATGCATTGATCTCAGTCGATCCTGACTTGCAGCTGGCGTGCAGCGTCATCGGCGTTGGTGGCGTCAAAACCAACTAAGGTTTGCTCCTCAGTGGGCTGCCATTCCTATCAGATCCGGAAGACCTCAAGGTAGTATTCGTCCAAAAATGGCAGTCTCATGATACGGCCGATTCCCGGCTTCGTTGTAACCAAATGGTGCGATGATATACAAGTATTGATGGTCAATTCCTCCCAAGTGTCCGACTTCTTCATTCTTCATCGATTCCATTTGTTGGCCATGACTTCGACCGCTCTCCGGCAGGGAAGTCGTGGCTGCTTCAATGCACATCCGAGGGGCCTCCCATTCCTCTAGGGTAGGCGCGCTTCGGCGCTACAGTCTGCCACCGAATGTGGCGAGATGCTTTCTGCTGTCGAACGTATCGTTTACCTATTGTCATGATTCTCCGGCAAAACGGGTCAATTGCATGTTTGACATGTCCATCACTTCAAATTTATCTGATACCACTGCGGCGGGCGGATGTTTTCCATGGCCAGAAAAGTGGACAGGAACCAGATTGTCATACCTCGCGAACTGACATATCAAGGGCCCCTCTCACCAACCATGATCGTGGTAGGTAGCCGCCGAGGCGACTTCAAGAAGCCGGACAGTTATTTGGGCAACACTGATCAAATTGATTTGTTGCACGAGTCGCCTTGTCATTCCCTTGTTCTTGCTCATGTTCATATTTACTGGAAAAGTCGAATCTCATCCCGAAACCGTAGGGGGAGCTTCCAAGTTGAACCTTGGATGTCAACGTATGGGGACTTATTTCGCGTGTCTGAGACAAGGTGTCAGCAGAGTCTTATGCCATACACCCCTTGCTCGCAAATCCACCGTTCCTTCCGTCACCGCAATTTGGAGTCTGGAACAAATCATTGCAAAAAGAAATTTCATCGAATATACCAATTTGGCGCTCTAGCAGGAGCGCTCGACGGTAAGCACGTTGTGTCAATCCAGCTGAGCAGTGAGCACCGTATCTGAAGCCGTCTATGCCCGCAACGAGTCTAGGAAAACCAAACCTTTGGTTCATTCTAGCTGAACGGCGAATATCATCCCACAGTGGCGAGCGACTCGGTGTCGGAGATCGGTACCTGGAACACACGCACCAGTGTTTCTAAACCGAAGTTTCAGAGGTCAGTGGGCAGAATAGGACAGGAATTTTGAAGAAGCAGCATGCAGTGCCAACGCATCATCCGAGGACCGTGGGGCATTGCAGGGGGGTGGCACCCAAGTGGCTCGGTCGGTGAGCCTGCAAAGCGACACATGGCGGAAGGATCTTCGGGTTCAAGATCGTTTAGCATCTTAGCAGCTCGTTTGCCGGCCAGTCATCGTTATCCCAAGGCTTGACGTGGCCAATTCTGCGAGGTTGATGAAAGGACAAACGAAAAAAGGGTCATGTTCTGCAGCATGTATGCAGTGCCACTTAGAATGCTTCAAAAAGTACCCAGCGACTCGTGATGGGCCGTTCGGACTTTTTTCCTGCTGGCCATGGCAAAGGGGCCGGGGTTCTATCTCCCTCAAGTGACTCCGCCGCCCAAGTATCGGTGTACTACTGTCGCGTCGACCATGCGCGCCTATGAACCGGTGGCACATTGGCCGCCTTTTCAGCCACCTGGTGAAGAAGTACGGGGCAGAGGCTGAATCGCTGGGAGGAGGGGCAGATGAAGTTGTACCATTCCTATCCGCTGTTGTCGCCATACCACTCGCCCACGACTGTTGCGCGTTCGCCACACATCGTTGGAAACCCGGAGGAGAGTCGTGGACCAGCAGGCCCTCAGTCTGCGTGACGGCCGGTATGTCGACATGTTCTCCAGCACTCTGTACTGTCGGCCCGAAGCGCATCTCTGAGCTCTAGAAGAAGCATATTGAGGGGCAACAAGTGGCTCGAGAGGGCGCTGAGCTTATGTCAAGCAGCTGGCTAGTCGCGACTAATGCAGCTGGATATGCATTCGTTGGCAACGTCGTCAGGGCCTGCAAGTCATCCATCATGTTGCAGTGTTGTGCTGTACTCGCTGTACCCTGGGGAATTGAGTGCGTTGTTCTCTGGTCGCTGGTTCCCTCTAGTCGTAGTCGTTGGTCGCTGATCAAAAAGACGCCTAAAAGTCTTTTCTGAGGAGCTGATGCGCCATGGTGAAAACGTCTTGTGGCTTTCACAGCCTTTCCGTGGATCTTTGCGTCCAGACCTCGCGTTGTTGCAGGTGATTGAGACTATTGCTGGGTTCCAGCTTGGTCTCTACAAAGTGCCCGTATTGGTATTGGCGAGTTGGGTACCTCGTACTTACTGTCCTTCCAAGCGGGCAACCGAAACACTCCCCCGCATTATCGACCTGCAGTGAGTGACTATTGAACTTGACCTTGGTCACTTCTGCGGTACGTCTACTCTGTACTTTGCCCTCTGCCTTGGGTTATCAAACCACCACCCCCTCCCTCTCCCGCTCCCTTCTTCAAGCCACGAAACAATTACTACGAGAAAACAAATTTTCGAAGAGGAGGAGGAGGACGAAGAAGAAGTGAAAGGAGAAGAGCAGCAACTACTCTTCCCGCCCCCTAATACTTCGGACGTCTTCTCTGTGGCGACGCCTGACCGCTGAATCGAGTCAAATCAAGTCACATCACATCACACGCTGCAGTTGCGAGTCACAAGTCGATCCTCGACTCATCCTCCTTTGGTGCCTCCGATCAAAGACGGAATCCCGCTTGCACTCACTCACTCACTCCCACGCCTCACCTCGCCTTGCTTTGCGAACATCCCTCACTTTTCCCTCTGCGTCGCGTTCCGCTGTAGCTCCAGCTTTCGCTGCTCCTGCTGCCGTCGGCCTGCGCCCTCCGCTGTAATGGAATTGGCCAGCGTATGACAGAATTACCTGGGGTCTCTGGTGTCGTGGAAGGTCAAGCCCGAGCCCAGGGTCAGGGCTGGGGCCAGCACGCTCAAGGTCGGTCACCAAGCTTTTCTGTCCTAAATTCGACTGCAATCCCACCTGCTCACCTTGTGCGGCCACAGCAGTTCTTTCTGTTATATCATCCCATGCACCCGATAACAATGCTCAAGACCATGCCGAACCTATGTCTAGACCCGAACCTCCAGAACCTACCTCGACGGGTTCTCCGCTCTTCGGCAGCTCTTCTTCGCAGGGAGCTAATTCCAATCATGTCCTCCCCTCTCGGCGCCCTCCGGAGCAGCACAAAGCAGCCACATCGATGTTGAGGGCCGTTTCAAGAGCTGCCAGTATTTCAAGAGACGGTCAAGATGATCAAAGGCCGTCTTTCGGCTCACCGAGTCGCGAGATCCCTTTTGCCCATATGCGCATGCATTTCGAGGATTTCGCGAAACAACTGCGTCTGCACCGACACCACGAGTACCGAACTCGGATGCTCTATCACCAACGGGACCGCTTACGAAATGCTATAGCTCTTTCGGCCCGTTTACAGCGTGTGAATTCGTGGGTGCACGATGGTCTGGTTCAGATCGTTCAGCAGTCGGATCCGAGTGGCTTCACCAGGGTGCATCAGCACATGCAAGATCTGGCCAACCTCTGCCATTCCCAGTGGAATTACGAAATCCATGCCCTTGATTCAGCCTCTACCGTGACCTCAAAACCGCCCGTAAAGGAATCTTTTTTTTCCAGATTATCGCCAGCCAGCCAAGACGACTGTCTCGAACTCTTACAAACCTTGCGAAGCAATCCTCGCTTTCTTGTGGAACGGTTCAAGGCAATGAATCCCGAGCAGGTGAAAGGTCTCTCAACCTCACCCAAGTTCAAGAAACTCCCCGAGTCGGTTCTCGTTTCCATATCAGAAAACCGCGGCCGCGAGTCGCAGCGCAGGCGACCTCGATCTAATTTTAGGGAATTTGAGGACGACACACAATTGATGCGAAGTAAAGCCTATTCCAAGGAGCTCGAAGATTATGCATCATCTTTTGAACGATCGAACCCCTTATCTTTCCTCATCCACAACATTTACGGCTCAACCCAAGATATTCAGAATAACGAGAGCCAGCTGAGACTTTCTACATGGTCGACAATTTGTGCCAGTTTGCTGACGGAGTCCGGGCTGACATTCGAAGCGATTATTGGAGAGGTTTTGTCTTCATTTGCACATTTATACGAATGGCAGATCAAGGACCGTTTGGAAATATTCTTGATGGGCAGTTTACAGCGAGGCGCGTTCCTCTATAACTCTCTGGAAAGCGCGGCTGCGACATCCAGGACGAATTTCGGTCCCTTCGACCCATCGAACACCCCTCAAGCGCAGACGTTCTTTGATGCAGAGGTCAAAGAGCTCTTCCAAATCCTATGCTGTGATGGGGGTATACCTACAGGCGCTCTGACCCTGGCTCGGGCGATCATCGGGAAACTTCCGACGATGGAGAGCCAGAGCGCTTTTCGTGGTCATTTCTTCTTCAGGTGGTTCTTACAAGATTTCCTGCGCATTGCCATCTCCTTTCCAGAGGTATTGTGATCCTGAGCGCCCTGTTTTCTGCGCTAACGGCAAAGCAGGATGAAAAAATGCTTCTTCAATTCCACATCAACAGCCGGGCAAGGTTCCATCTGCTTCACAGACTCTGGGATCGAGCGGTTGCCCGTGCCACCGAGACTTTCAGCCCAATGTAAGATTTCCGCCCCTGGATGGAACGGCAACCGTGCTAATCTTTCACCAGGGCTGCACACCAGGTGGACCAAGACGTCCAAAACTGCGTAAATGGTATCATCGGCCGAATCACCGCAGAAACCCACTGTTCCAATCCGTATCGGTCAGAGACGTCTTTGGATGCCGTATCCGCACCGATTTGCTCGTCTTATATCTCAATTTGCGCAGGGGACATCGCCCACCTGCTTGAGAAATTGAGACCTCAAGTTCTCCACACCTCGAGTCCTTTTGGCCCATTCTTGAGCTCCTCGCAAACGACCTTTAATATGCAATATTCTCGAGCTAGTCCGAAATTTGAGAGATTGTGCAGGCGTATTCTGGATGTTATCGAACCCGGCCGTTCGTCGAAGAACATTCATCCCCGTCAAGAAAATTGGGCTCTGCTGTTAATCTCGCAAGCGGGGAAGATATCGACAGCATCGACGGGGCTATTGATTGAGAAGACAGCAAACATAAGAGGTCTGGGGGAACTTGATCCGGCAGAAGACGCTGCCCTTCGCCTGGCGGACCGACCGATCATCCTACGAAACCAACAAATCACTAACCAGATACCAACTCAAAGGGTTGACAGCCACACCCTCTCCGAAATGTTTGCCGCGGAAGCGAATATGTCTCACATCAAGACCGACAGCATCACCTCCATGTATTGGCACGATGCGCTTAAATACTTGCGGGCTCATTACCCATTGACAGTCCTGACGGGTGATGATACGAAGGTGCTCGGACCATTGACTCATAAACTGCTGGAATGTCGACAGCAGCTTGAGAATGAATGTTTCCAGGTGGAGCAAGAAGTGGCAGAGCTCGCGGCATCTTATACCCTTGCAAGAGAAGATCTAACCAAAGCTTCGGGTTGGCTTGATAAACTTCGAATCAAACTTTGGTACGAGATGGATGTTCTGACTTCGAATCCCTACGACAATGCCAGGAACATCACGGTCGCGCTGAACAACATGGCCCTGCCACCTATTCAGAGATTTGCACCTGCTCAGGAACAAAACGTCTTCCTGGAGCCCAGCCGGCCGGGTACCTCTGCAACGTCGGCCTCATCAGTCTTTGACCAGCCGAGAATCGACACCATGAGCATCCTCAAAGCGCCAGTGGAATATGGCGGGCCTAGAAAGCTATCAGATCAACAAATTGAGAAAACGAAGAAGTGGCTAGAGCGAAACCATGTGGAAAACTTCTGCCGCGGCGAAGAAAGAATCCATCGTTTCTGCATGGAAGTTAAACTGGTCACCCGGAAATTGGTCGGAGAAACCGTAACCGACAGTCCTATCCTTTGGTCTAGTGAACTCTTCTCACGGGAGAAATCTCTGTACGACATCCATACGATCTTTGGTGGGCCCCCGAGCACCAGACCCCCGAGTGTGATGAGCGAGCCGCTTTCATCGACTTCTTTTTCGATACGCGCGGCGTTTGTGGGCTCAAAGGCCTCGATCTATGGCGGTTCAAGCAGGCTTGGAAAGGACAGTTTAGGCAGTGACATGTCGTCTTTCATTAGTTCACCCGGGCGAGCCACCACATCCACCACCCTGGAAAGCAGCATCTGGTCACCCGCTCAATCAAACTCCAGGTCAGTCACCTCAGCCTCCATTCAGTCCCGACCGCCCTCGACGTTCGAGGACGTCGCATTGACTCGATCTATCGACCGCGGTCAGGAAAAGGCCAGCTTTTTGGAGAGCCTGCGACAAGACCTAACCTCCTTATTACTCTCGGATCTTGGGTGCCCTGTGTGGAGCTGTGGAAGCGAAAGCGATACATGGATGAACGCCGCGTGGCAGACTCCTAGTATTGTTGACCGATTACAGCAACGCACCGTGCTGGCCCAGCTGCTCCCTCCTCAATCAAGAACTGGAAGCTCTGTGACAAGCTCCCATTCACAAACCCTCAGGAAACAGAAAGGTCGAAGTCAGAGTGCGGCACCGCTCCCATACTTGTCGGCCAAACACCATTCGACCGTTGGCCCAGGTTCATTGGATAAGTTACTTACTAATGGCAATGGGCAGCTTGACGCAGAGAACTTTCCATATTTGACTGCCTTTGACGATGTTCTTGGTCGGGTCAGGGATCACACAGATCCCGTACTGAAACTTAAGGCTATTCGCGACTTTAAATCCTTGTCACAAGCTTTCCAGCGGAGTCACCGAGAGGCCATTCAGAAAGCTATTTCAGCACGGCAAGATGTTGACTCCCTGGATCCAACACGAAGGCGCAGCCTTGACCCGAATGTGCTCTCACAAAACTTCAAGCGACAACAGCGGCAGAACAAGATTCGAACGCAAGTTGCGGTTGAGGTTGCTGGTGGCGAGAGCGCCACTGTCCAATTTCTGAAGGACCTTCTGTTTGTTCTCCGACCGAAGACGATCTTTCGGGATCTGCAATATATTGCGGCATTCGTGTCCTCGGAAACACTGGACGACACCGAACTGGGGCCTGCATTCCTCCATGTAGGACTGGCAGCGTTGGCGTGGAAGGACGAGGTATGCCGTGGCATGGTCGACGTGGCGGATCGAATTGTTGCCAGGGACGCGATCAAAAGGACCGTGTCAAGTGGCTCCCGTCGGGAGTCGTCAGTGCTCAAGGCGCTGGAGTACTGGCTTATCGGTGCTCGGGAAGGCAACGCCATCGCACAACGGGAATTGGCGAGTCTGTACCTCACCCACCCGGACGTGCCGCCGATCGTCAGTCTCCCGTTGGCGCCTTCATCGGAGATTTTCAAGCGTGAAATGAAGTGGAAAGAGGAGGAAGAAGGGGAAGAGGAATGGCGCCGCAACAGCCAGGCGCTGTGCCTTGCTCTGCACTGGATGCAGGAGGCTGCAAAGAACGGGGACACCGTGGCGCAAACGAAACTAGAGGAGCGCGAGGCCGGCCGTTCAATTCGATGAGATGACACTGTTTTTATTATCACGACTTCTTTGCCAGGCGGTAAGCTCAAGGCTTATCGGGTTGTCTTTATGGGTGGCTTGGACGTCTTTGTGCTGACATGGGGTTCTCTGGCGACGACGGGGGTTTTGGGCTCTACTGGGAGTTTTTGGCTATCCCGGCTTTTTGTTCATGCATGACTCTTTCTGTGAGTGTAGCAACTCGAGTGATACACGTGTACTTGTGCTACGGGTGGCAGACTGCTATTTGGCGAGTTAAATTCTGTTGGAGGATATGGACCGGTCGAAATCAGCGTCCGGCAGGACCAGATCAACACTTGGCGGTCGGGAGGCAGTCTTCAAAGCTTTTGCATCTCTCTGATTTGAATGGATGGACAGATGATGGGCGATGTCTTGCCATGTGTGAGCTAGTTACTGGTGAACTGCACGCGCAGATGCAGTTGGGTAGAAACAACTTTTTTTTTCCCTTCTTCCACTCCCTTTTTTTCCTCCCGATAAAGGCATTGCAGTAGCCTGTGAAGCTCCATGTACCTCCGTACCGAGTGGGGCAATGATGAACAAGCAGGAGTCAACACACCCTGGGTAGCCCTGAAAGTCCATTGCGCCTACATTGTGGCCTGGCCAGTAAGACATGCTGCTTGGAGCCTTCAGCCAACAGGTCAGGCGATCAAGGAGGGTGCCATGTCCTCGTGGACAAATCATAAGGGAGCCGGGGGGAGGACAGAGATTTCAGCAGCTCTAGGAGTTCAGGCACATGCATGACGGCGGGGCAGATTGTCGGTTGCACAGCAGCAGGGAAACGCAGCACTGCCTGTACAGAAGAGAGGGGGGGAAAACCAAACGGGGAAGGAGACGGCATGATGCAGACGTGAAGCCGGATGGAAAGGGATGTTAGGACAGTTCGTCCTGTAGCAGGGGCCGTAACACTACCCAAAGGGCCAAGTAGTGCATTCATTGAACAAGGTGATGATGGGGAAGAAGAGACATAATGAGAGCCGAAGGGGACAGATGCAAGCCCCGAGGCGAGAGGTAAGATGGGTATGTACCAACAAGTCATCAGCACAGGAGCTTACCACGGGTTCATTGTTTTGACTGGAGGAGTTCATTCCTTTTCATGCGGCTAAAGCATGACCGTGACCGTGACCACGACCACGAGCGCCGAAATGAGTCTGGGGCACGAGATAAGGCAATGTAGGCGACTGGAGACTGGAGACTGGCAGAAAGAAAAGCCCGGGGCGACGACAGAATTTTTCGTGCAGCTGCAGCCGTGGTAGCTGCTGTGGCCGGAAGCGCATTTGTTGGACTTGTCTCATTGGAATGGATCAACGGAGGATTTGGTGGTACTATTGGGGGACACGAGTTGGAAGTGAGGAGTAATATTGATATGGGAAGAGCAGAGAAGAAATAAGAGAGAATGCAAGATGATTCATGATTCAGGATTCATGATTCATGGGAGCAGCAGCGGGCTCAGCGGGCCGCCTGCCTGTGACGTCGGGTGCCAAGAGCCCGACTATCGGAACAGAAGGGTTTGTAATGACAGCCACATATGAGGTGGCTCGGTGGGTTGGCGTGGGCAAGCCTGCCAAAAATCTGCCTCACTTTGCCCACGGCGCCCAGCAGCCCCACCAAATGCTCTGTCATTTGATCCACTTTTCCGCAGCGCTCTTAATTCTACGTAGCTGCCACTTCCTCCCTCTCATCTGCGCCCACCACCCTTGACACCCCCCCCTTCTGCACATGCTCTCTTTTACCCAACTGACTTACACCTCACCTGCAACAACATCAAACAATTACTTTGCCCGACAAAACCAGACAATAATCATCATCTCGTCGTCCTAGCCACCTTCCCACCATCACCGCGCAACGAAGACCACGTCCGGAGTCTTTCTCCAACTCCTTTGACTTGGTTGTATCCACAGGCTCAATCTCCAGTTTCGCTTCTCCACCATAACCACCACCAAACCCATCGTTCGATCCGCCAGGAAAACACAGCTCTGTCTCTCTTTCGGCCTATATCCTTTCTCACACGGCTTGCTGCTTGTCGGTCACTCGCCTGACCACTCTCCGCCTTACTCTCCGCCGCCGCCAACTCCGATCTCGAACGAAGACCTCTTTCCGCTCTATTCCATCTTCGTCCGCAAATCCAAAACCTGGCAGTGCTGCCATCACAACAGCCCAACCTCAACAACCAAGCACGCGGAACCCTCACGCTTGCATTCCATCACATCGGGTCGGAAACCGCCATAGAATCCCGTCACGATGCCAGTCGAAGTCCGTCACTCACCTCCTCCCTTGCACCAGCCGGGCTCCGGGAACATTCGACCCAAAGGTGGGCTAACCAACATGAACATCTTGACATCGGTGGCTCATTAAAAATATGTGATGCAGGTATTTTGAAGAATCCGTCCTTCTCATCCTCAAGCGGCCATCCAGGCTCTCCAACTAAAGACGAATTTCACCTCCCACCACATGTGCCCCTCGACCCAAAGGAAGAGAGAGAACTCGTGCTTCAAAATACCCTCCAAAATGCCGGCCACCGCCGCTCATCTTCAGCCGCCAGACGGGCATCCGCGTCACGCCGTCACTCTGCCGCGCTGGCCGCAAACCACGAAGAGGACCCCGAAAAGATGCGTCTAAAGTGGGATGAAGCAAACCTCTACTTGGCCGAGCAGGAATCAGGCGGGCGCATGAAAATCACCGAGCCAAAGACCCCTTACCAATACGGAGACACCATGATGGAAGATGACGACGAGGAAGATGTGGCTATTGACCCGCGTTTCGTCAACGTCGATGAAGTCGAAATGGCCAAAGCCCCCAAGCCGAACAGGAGACATCGTGAGAGCGAGATCCCTGGTCTTGAGCTCGGTGAGCCGGAAGAGGAGCTGTCTCCGGGGGCATCCCCAGAGGATGACAGAATTGTTCGGGGCTCGAATAGCCTGTCAAGAGAGTCAAGCAAAGAGAAGCATGTTAGTGTCAGTGATGGCAGTGATGTGGATGGATTCAAGGAACAGGTCGGCATGCCCACCCGGGAGGAGCAGGAGAAACATCGGCAGTTTGAGGAAAGGAGGAAGAAGCATTATGAAATGAAGGACATAAAGAATTTGCTTGGGTAAGACGTTTTCCCACTTGCCACTCTTTGGCCGTTCTGGAGTCCTGCTAATGTCCATGCAATGCAGACACCCTGAAGAATTGGATATGGAAGATGATGATGAGCCACCTATTCCAGCCGTCATGCCGAAAAATCTACCCGAACGATCGGTCAACGGTACCCGCTAGTGTGTCCCCCCCCCCCCCCCGGCATGCCTGGTGCACCTATTCAAGCCTTTTGAAATGGGTGTCTCCGCCATCGTTTCAGTCAATTCTCCAAGCATGATGGGCTCCTATATTCGGGCATATTTCGCTAAATCGGATCAATGGGATAAAGAAGCATGGCGAAGGGCACCAAGCACTAACATCGACACCCAGCAGACAGCATGGGATTGCACAGATGATGGAGTGGGTAGAGCGGGAAGGAGAATTTTGTCATATGATCTCCGCCGAGTCTCAATGCCTGTTTCGCTGTTGAGCAACGGATGGAGATCTCATTTCCTTTGGTATTGCATCATTCACAACTAAGCCAGCATCCATCCTCCGACTGGACGAACATGAAGACGCTCGATACGTCGGTCCAGAATCCCCACCAACGTTCAATCACGGTTTGCCGCTACCTTGTATTTCAGGTTTCGTTTTGATGAGCATTAATTGATGCCGTTGAATGCGCTTTGATGCCGCAGTCCGCATCACTTCGAAGGATCACTGAAGCCTACAGCGCCGACCCTTCGAATCCTTGCCTTGCCCTCCCCACCAACGTACGGAGCTATTCGCCTCCGATTCACCATTGCCAGCGCTTTTTTTCGTTCCGCGCATTTGCATCTGCCTACGACCGGCATTCGAAGTTTTTCTACTTTCCACCAGAGAGAGACGAGCGACTCGGGAATTCCGGGGGAAACTTGAGTGGCCATGAGGGGATATTGCCATGAACAGCGAGGCAGCAAAAGGATAGTGTGTCAAGGATGGAGCTTTGATTGATTGCACTGCGCTGCGCTACAATACAGTGCACATCCATCAAGGGTCCTATGTCTATGTCCGGTCCAGATAAGCAAAAAACCCAAAGCAAAAGGATTGATTGATTCATTTGGTGGACGGGAACAAAAATTTATAGCACAGCTTGCTAACTTGCTGCTTGCTGTTTGCTGCCTGCGGCTGGCTACCTACCTACCTTGATTCGTAGCACACTATCAAGTAAATAGTACAACGAACATTCTCGTCACATCTTCTACGGTCGGCTTTAGCGGTGGACGCTTTAAACCACCGAAGAACACCGTACTTGGATCGAGTTGCTAGAGAAGGCCGCCTCCTCATAATGCACCACACGCCCACCCACCACCATCTGATCTGATCATCGCCCTTCTCCTCCCTCCCCCTCTCCCCTTCCTGCCCTCTGCGCGCTGCATGGGATGTCCCCGCCTCCCTGCATCCTTCCGTGCCTAGGAAGGTAGTCACTATTGGAGGTAGCTTGATAGTGTATATGGACTGTGTGTAGGACACTATTAATGCCCATGGCCCTGGTTCTAGCATATCTAGCGTGTATCTAGCATATATCTAGCTACATAGCCTAGCTAGGCCAGATGGTTGGGTGGTTAGATGGGTTTGATTCTCTCTTAGACTCTTACTTTACCTGAGCAAGTGCGCGACTCAGTGAGCTGGGCAGGCGAACAAGGAAGCAAGTAAATAGTCGGTACCAAGAAGGAAGAACATACACTGTCATGTATAGCGTATATGCCTCCAAGTGCCCTTTCAAGCAAAAAGATGTGTCCGTCTTTTTCATGTCATGTCCAGATGGCCCAACATAGATATATACCTGTGGATGGATCCAAGAGACAGGTATCAAGAGGTGTGCTCAGCCAATCCACAATTTCCCCAAGATTAAACTCTGCACGATATCCTCGTTGCACATCACTTTGACCTTAACACCGGTATGGCTCACCTCCGGCTTTGCATCTCCGTCTTCGTGTTCTTGGCCACGTTCATGTTTTCGCTTGCCTCGCTTGCGACCTCGCTCGGGTTGGGTGCCAGGTTTGTTGGATGTCGATGTCAAGAATGTCGCCTTCGCAGCCTCGACCTCTCGATCGTCCACGAAGACGTATTTGATTGTCTCACTGTCACCCAAGTCAGTCTCCAGCCTCGCCTTTACAGCCATCAAATCAAGTTCCAGCTCAAGAGTTGCCGGATTCAAGGCTCGCACGAGTGAGAGGTATGGTCTCCGCTTGGCCTCAGCTTTCCCCTTGCCCATGACAACGACGACTTGCGAATCGGTCAAGATTTTCGGTCTCAGGTTGATAATGTCTTTGACTCTCAAATCCTCTGCGCTTGCTGAGAGAGGCAGGATGCGCGACCTTGTTGCCCCTTCAAGCTCGGCGCTTTCTCCAGCAGGGAGGAGGTAACTTGCCCAGCCGACAATCTTGTCAGATTTGACGCACACTTCGATCCATTTCCCACTGAGGCAAGGCAGACCCAGAGCCAGTGCTTGAAGATATTTCTCCTTTCGGGAGTGACGGTCGGCGAGGAGAGCTGCGAATGAAAACCCAGAGAATTCCTCTTTCAGCAGCACCGAATCTGGCTCAAAAAGGTCCAGAAAAGATTCCTGCAGAATCACCCCGCCATTGTTCTGGATAAGATCCATGAGACATCGCTTACGGTTATTGTCTTCGTATGAAATCGCGAATGCCATCTTACTGAGTAGACATTTTGTTAAGTCAATTTGTCCAGCCGAGGGTCCCATTGCAGCCATCCCTCGTCGAGTCCGTGATGAGGGCGTGGTTGGCGTAGAAGCTCGATCCAAAGGAGTTGAAATGCCAAATGAGAGCACTGCTTGAATTGAAGGCTTGTACTGGTAGATCCGGTCTTTCATCTGGCCCCACATGATACTGTCCAGGTATATTGCCGAGACAGGCACCTTCTTCACAAGCTCATCGTACGCTCCCCCAAGCACGCTCTTCCGTTGCTTGGGGGCCACCACTAGTGTCTGGTAGCCACGGATATCAGTCACAACGGCTCGGTCAGTCGGGATATTCGCTTGCATGATTTTGTTTTTGAAACCTCGAATAACATGAGACACCTTGGGAAAGCCTTGCATGTCTATCTTTACTTGGTCCCCAATGCGCAAGTCCAAGCTCCGCACACCGTGCTCGTCGACTTCATCCGGGTCGTATCCTTCCCATTGAATCAGGAATCGCCTAGAATCAGCGTTCGGACGCCCAAGACAAATGGCAGGGTGATAAGCACGGCTTTTGCCGTTGAAGCATGCGAATACCATATTGGGCGCAATTTTTCGCTCCCCCGAATCACTTTCCGCTTCATTGTGAGCTCCTAGTTCCGTCGTTGCATTCAAGCTTGAGGGTTCGTCAAAGCCGATAGGATCGGGACTGTCCTGTTGATGTTGGACGTGTTGGACGTCGTTGGGTAGAGGAGTCTCCAGAGCAGCGCTCTTCGCTGATTTAAGTCGCTTGTTCAACGTATTGATAATCTGCTCTGATACACCATTATGTTTTGCCTTCGGCTCCATCCCTGCCGAAGGTTTGCTGATAGGGACATCCTTTTGTGGTGGCGGGTCCCCTAGGTTCCATCCCGATGACCGAGCTGTAGAAGACGTGATCCGAGGCCGCGTACTGATAGCACTCAGTGCCTTCGCTGTCGGCCTCCTTTCCCTCCGCGAGTAGGTTACATGTGGCGACACTGCTTGCCCGGGCCTTTCTGAGCAACCGGTGGCTGGACCTAATGAAGGCTTGCCGCAATCATTGTGATCCTTCGGCAGATCAGAAGCCTCGTTCGATTCGGGCTCCTTAGAAAGGTCTCTCCCCTGTCTACTATCAGAACGACCAGCAGGCACCTCGGCTTCTTTTGACACCCATCTGTTGATCCGCCCTAGAGGTGGACTTCGTCCTATGGGGCTTTGGAAGTTCGGGTCTAGCTGCAGAGCCTCACTTGCGTCAAAGCTGAGCGGTGATTTGGGTGGTGATGGTTCCGCAGCAATTTCCGCCAAGCGTTTCCGTCGCTGCCCTGGCGGTGTAGTAAGAATAGGAGGACTGCTCAAGTCGGTTGCGGCAGGCTGTTCAGCTGCGGTGGAAGCTAGCTTGTGAGTCTGTGCTGTGTCAAACTCCTCATGACTCTCCGCAACCACGGGTTGTGGTCTGGCGTCAGATTCTTTGTCACTTTGAATTTGTTGTTTGTTGGAACTAGTCTGTGGAACGGTGCTGGTATGCGGTTGGTATGTTTGAGAGTTCGAGTCCAGCACAATGCCGTCAGTTACAGTGCCTGTTAGTTCCTTCTGGGTCGAGAGATATTCATCAGCCGCCGCCGCTGTGTGATGAACAGGTGCGCCCGAAGCTGCATGCTCTTGATTTGTGGGAGTAGCTCGTGGGGAGGATGGCGTTGAAGACTGTGGAACAAAATCAAGGCCTTCATCAGCAGCAGAAGATCTGAGGACTTGCGTCGTAGTCCGACGCTGCTTCAGGGATCGTTCAGGTTGCGAATCTGCCACGGCAAACAGCTGTGGGCTGCTGAGAGCCATTGTATGATCATCAATCCCCTGGCCATGTCTGAGCAAGGGGCTATCTTGTACGTGAGTAGGTATGTCGGTCATAACCCGGTAGAGTCTTGCGGTGGTTTCAGGTATTCGACTTGCTCTATCGGAGACATTCTCCTTATCTTCTTCGTCGTCGTCCACCATCGGCTGACTCGAGCGTGTCACTGCGACAGAGGTGTTATCCTCTTGCTCTGTCTCTTCCTCACTTTCATTGCCCGAGATCTGTCGATCGCGTCTGATGGGGTTGGAATCACTTTGAATTCTGGGTCGCTCTACGGGCACAGCACTCTCTGGAGAGGTTCGGATCGGTCCAAGAATAGGTGACGATTTTGACAGAGAGATACTTCGCATGGATCGCTTTGATATTGACGAAAGCTGGGCCTGTATCTTCCGATTGCGTTCAAGCTGTCTCCGCTCTCTGTCAAGGAAACTATCCTCGTTACCATCAAAACTATCCTGATCAGAATCTTCGCCCTCGTTCAGAATCGCGTGTTGTCGGCGAGCCCTTTCTCGTAGCGCCTGGGACTGCTTTACAGAGACATATCGAGAAGCCGGTTCCGTTGAGGCTCGTTTAAAGTCGGAAATTGGCCGTAAAGGTGATGAAGTAGTAGCTGTCATAGGCCGCGGCTGTAGCTCGATATTCGGTGAGGGTCGGTCGGAGTGCGGATCTCCATTGTCGCCGACAAAGGGCGAAGTGTTTGCTTGGGTCGCAGCAAATGCCTGGCTCAGGCCCATGACATGAGCACGGCTTTCGGAACCTCGCAATAGCGGATTGCGAGGCAACTCGGGGCTGTCAACGACATCTCCATTGTACCTTCTCTTCCTGCCAGCAGTCGCCGGTGTCTTGAATCGCTGGGACTCTGGAAACTGGGAAAGCGCACGTAGTGACTTTGTGGGAGAGGAGGCAACCTCGGCGGGCTCCGCGTCTTCCTCTTCTTCGTCGCTGGCTGCTCCCTTCTGCGGAACCAAGCTCGAAATCAGATCAACATGGCCTTCATCACCCTCATGCAATGTTGCTCCAGTATCTTCGTCTAACTCTTGATCCAATACAAGTTCGTACTCTTGGTCTTCTAGGTGTCCCGCACTTCTACTCTGGTTGATCAGGTGCTCATAGTGTGAAGGGGACAGTTCTTGCGTCGGGGCATCGCTTCCTTGGCTGGTCATCTTCTGTGTGGTGGCGACTGGTTTGTTAGACGCGAAGGCAGACGGAAGGGATTGGAGTTGACTTTCGACATTTGTAACGATCAACTGAGAGTCCGGGACAGTGCTGGGAAGTTCAGCGACGGAGGCTGGTTCGGTATCGGGGATGGGGGGTTGAACGTCGCATTCTGTCGTGTCCTGGACTTCTGTGTGCAGGTTGTGTTCTGAATCTGGCTGCTTATGGCCCGACTATGGCGCAATTAGCGTCTTTACACGAACCAGGGTCGATATAAATACCTCCAATGGCGCGAGAATATCTGCCTTAATAGTTGCAATGTCGATGCTTAATAGACTATCCGTCGCCATGGATGCGGATCAATCCATAACGCGATGGATCCAAGCGCAAGCCAGTGCATATGGACAATGGGTCAATGAATTTGAACAATGGGAGGGAGATTTTGCCGCGTCAAAGAGTTCATCCACGATGCGTTCAGTAGCGCGTTGCCAATTAGCGATGCGCGACTCGGCCAGCGAAAGTGACTTTGCGGGGCAGAACAGTAACAGCCGGGACTTCGCGGAAAAATTGTTCCGTACCGGGTAGTGTCCGTACCAAACTCACTACTGTGTTGACAAGTACTGGTAGTTAGTTCACTAAGGTACTAGCTCGGTAGATAAATAGACCAACCACCCTTGTCCCATATGTCCTTCCGCCTTGCGCACCTCCCGTCACCCGCGAACAGGATGTCCTGCCAATGCCAGCCTGTGGCCTGAGCTGGTGTGTAACCCTCCTCGAGGAAGATGTCCCTGAACTAGTCGCTCTTGATGATTTTCCATTAACGGCTGACCGTACTCCTTCCCGACATTGGGCTTCACCGACCCATGCATGCGAGACCGCTTTCAGAGGCTGAGGAACGAGATGTCGAGGAGGTGTATTGATCGCTGTAACTGGCACCGAGAGCTCACTCACAGAGCGTCCAGGCGACCAGATTGTCATCGTCCAGTCCGGATAACCCCCCACTCACTCTCTCTCTCTCTCTATTTGGTTATTCTCTCCTAAGCCTCATAACTCGCGGCTCGCGTTCTGCACCCGAAATCCGCGTAGATGGAAGGAGGGTTATCACAATGATTGAAGGTGTTACTGTAAGTTGAAGAACCTGCGGTACTGGGAAGTTGTCAGCAGATGGCTTCTTGAGAGGCTCATTGCTTCCATACCATTTCAGGATCGTGCCGTTAGACTGACAATTTCCGTTACAAAAGCCGTCAAATTCATGAGCTTCAATGCGAGCTACATTCTAACGACGTGGATACAGGACGACCAGGGACGGCGCAAGGCGCGTCGAGATCGATATTGTTCGGACTTTAGATGCTGCAGCACCCGAGGATCATGCCAGATATCATTCATGACAAGAAAACGTCCCATGGCCGTCGCAGTGGAGTCTCGAGTATTCCAATTTTGGGAGCGATGTGTGCATAGATGGGAGGATATAGCCGAGGCTGCCTAGGCGCGGCTAAAGCTTCTGAGCGATCAACCACTCAAAAAGACTGAAGGAAACCATGACGCCAATCCACCCAGTTTTGAAAAACCACAAGTGAAGAGGATAGATGAAGGCGAGCACATGATCAGTCCTCAATGTCCCCTCGATCATAGTGCGCCACAAATGTTGCAGAATCTGGATCCAAAGGCCTGCCATTGACCATCTCATGGCATATTTCGCACACCATTTGTGCCAGTCCATGCGATAAAAGTGGTAAAGTGCCCAAATAGTCTCACCAGGTTTAAGCACAAGGTCTATTGGATGAATCAAGCCTCGGCCTGTGGAGAAGCGGAACTTTGTGGTGGAAATAACCATCGAGGCACGACTCGTGCGCAGGGAACGACGCCACTGACGAACAAAGTTCATCCCCGCAGGATTGTGATTGTGGTCGGCGAAGCGTTGGAACTTCTCATCGAGCTCTAAATTGTGCCACAGAAGCTCTGCCCCGATTCTCAACGGGATTTCGAGTACAAACCCCAATGTCAGCAATTCATAATAGGTCCAGCAGTCGGCCATCCTCTCTCTGATTCGGACAAGGACAAAAAATGCCGCTGGAAGGAGGATTAACCATCTCGGCCGATACTGGTGGCATTTCCAGGAAAACTTTGTTTGCTTTCTTCGCACTTCTTGAGGAATGGCTGTGGGAATAGTATTTTTGTGAACAAATTCTCCCGCAAATTTGATATATCTTTCTTTCTTTGTAGCTGCTTGCAGAAAATGGGTTTCAACAATCCAGAATATGGCCAATCGAGCTAACGGCATCAGTGGGAATGTGTAGTGGTACGATTGAGGCGCGATCATGGACACCACCCTAAGGGAAAAGGCGGTCCCGGGAATCCAGGAGAGCCGTTCTCGAAGGTCTGCAATCATTTTCGAAGACCGCTTCTGAAAATCTCCGTGTTCTGATGGTGGAACCAACTTCCACATCACACATCCCTGGATCATCCACGAAACACAGAGAAGGACAGCGATTGGTCCTGAAAATCTCGATTGGACCAATGGGGCCGCAGCTCGACGTCTGGTAGGCGTGTACCAGGATGCTTCATCTGCGGACGATCCTGTGTCAGTTACGTCCCGGTTTCTAGCAGACTAGGAAACTCACTACATTCTAAGATCAGTTCGTTCTTCAGCCTCTCCACCGGTATGTTAATGCGGTTCTGGCACATCTCACATTCTGATCTCCCATCCTCTTTCTGGTCACATTGTTGAACTCCATATCTTAGGGGACAACTGTAACTGAGATACAGTTCACCGCCGTGGGCATGAGGATTCAAGATGGAAAAAATGGCCCCTACACGATTTTGGGGGGGAGGATATCCTACCCATGTTGAGGGATGTAATATGATGCAAAGACGATTTGTCTGCCGCAGCATCGGGAAAGATGAGCCTTGATGAATTTGTGGCCAGACCGTAAGGTGGAAGTGAGGGCGCCCTCCTCCGTTGCCAAAGGGTGCGTCCAGGAACGTTAACACTTCGTGCCCTTCCGGAATGGTCGAAGTTGGAGTCAAAATTGTGCAAAGCCCTTCTTGATAGTTAAGCTTCAACGCAGTCCTTTCGGCTATCCACTTCATGGTTCCATATTCGTGAGTGATCTGTCCAACTGGGTACCTTGGAACCCAGGTGTCAGGAGCCAACCCGTCGGCTCCCTTAGGAAGCGGAAGGAAGAGAAGAGACATAGGCAGAGTTTCCTGACTCCGAAGTAGAGCTTTCATCCGCTTTTCAACGGGCTGATCTCTTATTTCTTTAACATCCAATCGAAGCATTATTGACATGATCAGATAAGCGTCTGCGGGTCTAGATGTAGTTCTCATACTCAACTGCGACCATATTGAAGAAAAATATTCTTCTACTTGGGTGATTTCAGAACCTGGTGGACTATCCATGATGCTTGGGACGGTGTCAAGATGGGCCAAAGCTTCTGCGACTAGCATTTGATCATTTCGTGCCTTTGAGGGTGCAGAGAGCGCTGGATCTAGTGAGAGCATCCACTCTCTTGCGGGGACTGTACGATCCCGAAGAGCAAAGCCGAGAGACTGTGCCAGGGCTCCCTCTTGAAATGTCCAACATCTCGACATCCAGGGACTAATCAGTATTCTCACGGCAAACTCTTCGTCCGATACGTCATCGGATCGAAGGTCTGCGAGACTTTCGTCAATTACCAGAATCCTTTTCGCTGCAGCGTAGACGTAAGCCATATTCTGGATGGCGTCTTGACGTTTTACTTCTTCTTCGGGAGGCACAACCGGAATGCAAAGGGTGTCTATCCAGATATAGCAATCTTTGTGTGTCGTGGAGGTGAAGTATGAAGAAGGCAATTTTGCAGTTCTTTCCATTCGCTCCAGAATATCTTGCGATTGTAATTGCCGCGGCCTCTGCTTGGTAGCTTCGCGCAGTCTTTTCAACTGACAGATTGGCAACGAGTTTGACTTCGGATTGCCCAGCCCACCTGACCATACATGTGATATTGCAACATATTCTTTTAGAAAATTTGCTCGAGTCAATACAAGCTCGGTAGATTGATCATCGATTCCGGATAGCTGTATTATAGGAATGCCGCGATCTTTGATAACGGAAAGGAGCTCGTTTATGTCCACCTTAAGCAGACGACACGTGCAATTTTCCGTGACGTGTTTCGTTTTGTAAAATGCCGGGTCGATGGTGTGGGCGTAGCATTTAAGTGGAGTACATTTCTTGTGACACCTGTCGAGCTTCGACCTGGTCAATCCACTCATATAATATAACAGTGCTGGTGAGTACAAGCCACAAAACTGTTGTACTGAGTACATACACCAACCAGCGTCCAACATGCGTTTCTGGAGGACGCCACCGGCTCTAAACAAGTTACGGTTATACTCAATATAAACGTCTGATTTGGATCCAAGTTGCAAGGTCCAAACAAGAACTTCGATGGAAAGGCAGATCAAATCGGCTTGAGGCGAGAGGGTCCGAAGGTAAGCAGCATGGCGCAGAACTTCCGTTGCTAGTTCGACGAGTCGCAAATGAAACTTGTGGTAAATAACAAGGTTGAGAGGATATACCAGAAGCATGTGAAGGGAGACGACTTGTTGACTTGCCGAAGGATTAGCTGGGACAAAGGAGGAGAGATTGAATCCATTCTGGAGGACATCGATCAAAAGACCGAAGTAGAGATACTTTTGAGCATGTGCAGGGATGTCTGTTGTGTTGAGATTATCCCAGTAGGCAGAGGGGCTACTATTTTGGCCTTGTAACTCGCGTAGGAAGTTGGAGAAGGTCTGACCATCGAACATGTGTTCACACAGAAACGGAATCTCGAGAGGTGGGTATTGCGGATTAACGGGATAGTGCAGGTGATCCATCCAGCAAGGACGGCATAAGTCCGAAGTGTAAGCGGCGACCAAAATGCGCAAAAGAATGGTAATTGAGATGGTCAGGGAGATACCCTAGACAATCTTCCTTATGATTCCGCGCCAATGACTTAAAGCGCTTCACCGTGGCAACATAACTTAGGGAAACGCTGTGGGTTTTTCTCCTAGGCTTCGCACAGGTGAAGAAGGCAATTCGAGGCTATTGACGAGGAGGCACTGGAATTAGAGTACGCACCATCGACGCTGGCGTCTCTTGGCAGCTAATGAGCTAAGCATAAATGGTATGTGATACGACACCCGGACCAAGTACCGTAGGCGAGCTGCGTACGAACACGATTATCGAAAATTAAGTAACCAGCTCTCAAGCATCAGTCATGTCGAACATTGACGATATTTGTTTACTATCCTGCTCCGTATAATTATAGCAAATTGGTGCGAATGAACTTAAATGTCAACAATGGTAAAGGCAGAGGGAGTCGAAATTGACATCCGAATAAGAAAAGAGTCGATTACTTTGAACACTACCAGTGCCACGCTGAATCCCCCTACAGCCTTTGAATCTCTGGGTTAAAATAGGCCATTTGCCATTGTTGCTGCCATTCTTTGTTGCACGGACTTTTGGCGAGGAGCATTGATCACCTCAAACCCAAGTTTTGAGATGCTAGTTGCAGCGATCACTCCCACTTCAATATTTGCACGCGCCAAATGAAATCTTTGAGCTGGTATACAGCTTACGCAAACCATTGACTGAAAGTCCTTCAATGCACTTCAGCACTTCCACACAAACCTGAAGCTGTGGCACAGGGCTTCTTGTCTTTCGGCCAGGCCTTCATGGACCCCTCAGCTGCACGCAAATACGGGACATGTACGACTCTTTTTGAAAGCGGCCGCGTGAATTCTGCGTTAAATCTCGTCCGAATTGGACAGGGATGCCGTAGAAAAATATGCCAAAAGATTGGACGCTGAAAGAAGGCGTTCAACCTTGGCTAGGAATGTATGAGAAGACTGAGAGCTGCCGCACCTATCCTTGAGCCTTGAGACACTACTCTGATTCTTCTGCTAATGAGCGCTTCAATACCATAAGCATTCTATCCCTCCATTTGCTTCAGTCATCATGGTTGTCGTCAAAGATAACATCCAAGCTGATGTCTGGAGCAAAGGATTCCCAAAGCATGATGAGACGTTTTACTTTTAGCCGAAGATATTGACCTGACTGACCCACGTAGCGGAAACTGGGGCCCGATGTTTAAGAGCACAATTGATGGAGTGCTCAAGGTCGCCGGAAGCGATGCAAAGCAGGTCAAGACAAAGTTACAAGCTATGTTGAAAGCTCTTCAGCATAGCACCGTGATTATCAATGTAGCTTCACCTTCGAGACTAGACGGTCACACCAAGCCCAAGCCTCTCGATGACAAGCAGTAAGACAGCCCCATTTTCCAACCCAGAGAGCTTTCGACTTACAGTATCCATACAGCTTTGGATTTGAAGACGCAATCTCGCAGCCGTCGATAGAGGGGATTGACACGCTTGAGGGATCAGTTAGTGGCGCCCCGAACATGAATACTGACGCGAACATCATCGTCGTGTCAAACGCCAGTTCACCAGCAAGGGGGGGGGAACATCCGGCGTGGATGGAGGACGGAATTTTTCTTGTCTCTCGCAAACATGAGCAGGATGTCAAGGCAGTTAGTGATCTTATCGACAAATGGGCGACTAATGGCTGCACCAGCAGAGAATAAATGGGCGCAAAGGTGATGGGACGATGGGCGGGAGGTAAGCGTTGGACGGGCTCCATCATTTCTCTCTGTCGTTGAGAAAGTATTGTTGCCTACGAATTCTTGACAGGTGCTCCGGTTGCCAAATTTCGGGAAAATAATGTGGATGACGAGAAGAAGGCGAAAACGTTCAGCAGCCTCGACTGCGATGGCATATGTTCGAAAGACCAATCCCCGGTTTATAAAAAGCACCAACAACCCTGCTGGCGCCCGTGCCAGAATTGTTCGAACCGGGGTTCCACATGGGCCTGAGTTCACGGACAAAACCCGACGACAAGCGTGGTCTCCTCTTTGCATGCTATCAGAGCCACTTTGGGAGCGGGTTTCAGTTTGTTTAGAAAGCCTGGGGGAACAGAGAAGACTTCCCTCTGCACGAGGTCGGTCTTATTCCAATCATCAGCCCGGCCCAGACGAAGTCGCCCATGACGATTTGCAATGCCCAAAATAAGACACACAGACTTCCTGCATTTCCCGAATTGGCGACAATGAGGGGCGGCGAGCATTTCTTTCTGCCGTCCATATTTGCTTTGTGAACCACATTGGGCCAGGTCTAAGCCAAGCGCCACTCGGGCAATATCAATCCGTGGCATGGTCGTAGTAGTTTTTCTGTTGTTTAGCTACTTGAAGACAGGGATGTGTGAGAGATATACTTGTAGGAAAAGACGGATAGTGGGAGAGTCGGAGCTAGCCCTAGAAGCGTACCTCTAGGCGCAACAGCGGTCGAGAAGAGGACAATCACAGCCGTCTACGGAGTCCTCGGTACCGAGTACAGGAGGACCTTCCGAGGCGAGTCCCTAGGGGTAAAAGCTTTTCGCCTGGTGACCAGATCGTATGAACGGTTTGAGTCGCAAGACGAGGCTAGAATTATTACTTGTACTTGTTACAAGTACTGGGTAGGCTTCCCTAATTCGGGTGAGACGGAGGGTGGACATCGGGTGACGTGACCAGAGGGGAGTTCAGAGCAAGGTCTACTCATCTTGGCACTCCTCAGTTTGCCCCTAAATCTCCCGAGAGGCCGTGCTACAGTCTTTCATCAATCCTGCAAAAACTCGTCGTCACAGCGACCAACTAGATCCCAATGACATTCACAAATACCGCGGATTCGCATCATCCTGCTCCCGTTGTCGACGCCCACACGTCGGGATCGAAGTCCAGCAAGTCCTCCTCCATCAGTCCCATGACGTATCTATTCCCCGAGAACCAGTCCCCCAGCCCCGGCGCCTGGTTCACTGCAGAGTCACTTCCCAGCCCGTGTTCGTCGCCAATGGCCGTGCCCTCGCTCGGGTGCGGCTGGGAGATGAAGCCCAGCTGGGACAGGTACATGTCAAAGTCGTTTCCCACCATGGTCATGTCGTGGTCATCCTGCTGTTGCACCTTGGCCTCGACGTACAGGGCGGCCACTTGGTAAAGGACTTTGCAGAGACGATGCAGTTTCTCGATGCCCTTGGACATGGACAGCACGGGCTGGAGGCCTGCTGTGAACTGCTCTAGGCGGCGGAGATCGTCCACGCTGGATGTCTCAATAACATGGCAGAAGAGGACGATGAAAGGAGTAAAGGGAGAATATAAGATCGTCCTGCCATGTGTGAGCAAAGCACGTTCGGCCGTAAGTTAGCCGGAAGGCAATGACTCACCAATGCAGATAGCCAGCCTGTACAAAGGGTTTGTCCGAGGTGATCCTCATGCATTCTTCGTGGGACTTGAACGCCATTCTCGCCGCTTCGAGGCATTCGGTGTTAAATGTGCTGGGGATGCCCGGCGCACTTGGGATCGCGCGGTAGATCAGAGTCAGGGAGGCCAAGTGGCTCACCTCACCCGACTTGAGGATCATGTCCAGCGACATCGTGCGCCATTCTTTGTCCTTGAGACTCCCCCTAGATGCTTCCATGATCGTCTTGCTTTCCCTCTTCATGGCCGTCCTCAACTCCTCGAGCTCCTTCCACAGATGTTTGATCTTTTCAACCAAGAGCCGCGCAGTCTCGATCCGTTGTGCTGGCTGTCGAGCCAGAGCGGTTGGGCTGTACAAGTGCTCATACGTCTCGCCCAGTACGCTTCCGGTCTGGATCCAAAGATTGATCGCATTCTCCCATGGTTCCATTAGGTGGTTGTTACTAAAGCGGCGTGGGGTCGAGATGTCCCAGTCCTGCATGGCCGAGGCGCGCCCAAAACGCAATGCAAGGCCCTTGTCCAATATGTAGCAGAACCAGAACATGGCGCCCTTTATGTTATCCGCCTCGCCTTGAGTGGCCTGGAGACGATGCCAGCCTAGCGTCTGGCATATGGCCGCCGCGGCATTGTTGAGTTGCCACCCAAGCGTAAATTTTGAGATCTCGATCAAGTAGGTAACCTATTCCACAGTTAGAAAGGACATCACAGAAGTATCCGGCAAGGAACCCAAATAGACAACCTACACCAAGCAGGAGAGCTTCAACTATTTCCTTATTTGGCGGTAGAAGGAGTGGCAGGTTAGCCAAGGCAGTCTCCAGGTTATCCCTGCACAGGTAGTGATATTGTAGGTAGTCTTGGCTTTCGGACTCGTCCATGAACGACTTTTCTTGAAAAATGTAGTATAGACCGGCATTCACAATGATGAAGATGGCAGTGCTATAGTCCTCGGTGGCAAAGTACACTTTCCGACAGGATTCTATAAAGGCCTCGACGGTGATGAATGTACAGCTCATCGTAAAGATCATGGGCGGTGTGACTGCGTCGTGTTAGATCCTTGACACAAAACTGACACTGACCGAACGAAGTCCGTCGGGACGGTCCACTGACTCTTGATCTCACGCAATAGCTTCAGAACAACATCCGTCGGCGGCAACGGCAATTGGCTGAGGCCTCCCTTTGGCATTGGTTTCTGGTGAGCAAACGTACTCTCCTGGGACGAGTCCTTCCGGTGCTGCATCTGGACCATTTGTCGTAGGGACGCCAGTGCATTCTCAATGTTGGGGCTGAGTTGTCGACTGAGAGAGGTATTCGTCACGGCTTGTTCAAGGAACTCGCTAGCGAGCACGGTGTGGGCTGTCATGGAAGAGTTGCCTTCGAAGGCATGATCATTGTCTCCATCTGCCAGTAGTTCTTCGTATGCAGAGCTGGACTCAGCTAAGCTTGGAGGTGTGTAAGTTCGTATGGGGGCGCTGGCGCTCCCCGAGGCAGATCCATCACCGCGGTTGAGAGATGTTGTAAGATTGCGGAGCATCTCCTCAATTCCCCCAAGGCGGCTCTCGAAGTGGTCAATCTTGCGTTCGCTAAATTACCATTAATCCTTATTCGTAGTGAGTAGTGGACAAAGAGATGTCATACTATTGGTGGGAGATCAGCACCCTTTGTCTGGCTTGTCTAGGCTTCTGTCCCAGGCCCGTCCAGATGCATTCCCTCTTTGTTATCCTGCAGTTGGAGCATGGGCTTTCCTTGTCACATCGTATCTAGACCCCTGATCAGCATGTCGGACAATGTGGAGGATATGACAAGATAGTACCTTTCGGGAACGACACTGATCACACTGTCAAGTTCAAATGGCGCTTGTTAGCTGATTGGATAGCCCATGATCAGGCAGGTCTTCGAATGAAGGTCTCGGAAACTAAAAAAAGAGAGGCAAAACACACTCCATACAGGTACATACAGCTCTTCGCAGAAGCCCAGACCGGTCCGGATCTTCAGGCGCTTCAGCCATTTGACTGGGATCTACCTCGTAGGTGATCGGATGGTTCAAAATTTGAGAACGTCGGCGATTCAATCCGCGTCCGGAAGCCAGAATCTCGGTCTTGGTGGAGGAGCGAGGTTTCTAACTCTTCGGAGCCCGCGGGTAGAGAAGGGAAGGGAGGAAAGGACTCAACCATATGCATCGTAGATTCAACTTTGATGTTTGGTCTTTGGGCAAGCTTTTCGCATCGAGCAAGGCGAAAGGGCCAACTGATGGTTCCGCGGAGCCCCGAAGCCGACCCCGCAAAACAGGAAGCCTTATAGACCCCTTTTCAAATTAAGGGGCAAGGCTGGGACAAGGCTAGGCGACCACTCAGGAGATGGAGGGGCAGCATCTTCCGTGTAAAGTTCGAACAAATATCGACTTCGACATTGTGATCTGCCCCTGCGCATGACTAAGAAATACACCAGGTCTGGCTCGGAGACTCTATTTCAACATCGGGGAACCAGCATTTCTCTCTAAAGTCTGGGATAGCTGTAATAATCCCCCACACGGTCTGTTCGGTAACGTACGGCGGGCGATTTGCTTGTTGGAGTAGCCTTTCAGTGTGAAGCACGCAGACATATGAACCGTAAATGACCCCGTCTTCTATTGAGCAGTCAGCGAGCAAGAACGCCCTGGCGTTTTTAGAGTTCTCGTCAGGAACCCGCTGCATGACAAGTCCATAGCCCGTGCGGTGGGAATGTTTGCGATATCCCAGTTTGCTCTGCCGTCGGGACGAAGCCCGGTGGTTGCCCAAAACCGCTTTGCGGTGGCCTTGGATTCGAAACAGAAGGTTGATGTGAGGGGTTTGGGAATTACGCCGAATAGCAGGCCTGGGAACGTAACGAATGCTCCCCTGTTGGAAATTTGCCAGGGCAGTTCGTCTTGCGTCTCTCTCCGCGTCAGGAATGCCAGTTCAGTTTCTCTGTCCAGATCTAGAAACGTCGATGGTGCCCAGCGAAAGCCGGGGGAGGTCAATTTGGGCCCGCGCATGAAGATGACGCTTGGACTTAGGAGGTTCTGTAGGGCGGGAAGGAGTGCTAGCCACCTCTGTTCTCCATCGTCGTCAGCGGTGAGGACCTCATCAAGGCCTACTCCGAGGAGAGTTGCGACAGAGATTGCCTCGTCGGTGCGCCAGCTTGTCGTCCGACCCGAAAGCGCAAGCGCAACGGCCAGTAGGCGAGGTTGAGGGGACATTAACTCGAGTTGCAAGCCCGCGACGGCAAGGGGGAAAAGCAGGAGGTTTTTCCGGACATCCATGGTAATAACGACATCGCTGGACGCGCTCCACCCATGGAAGTGCGTGGGGAGATGGATCAATCTCTCCTACCCGTCTGATAATTGCAAGTGAATTCGCTGGGCAACCACGGCTTCTTGAAAGGTCCACATTCTCCGAGTCCAAGTTGACAGGTTGAGTTGGTACAAGATATCGTTCTCTGGCATAGAGGAGCTGCAGCGCATCATGAAAGAGTCTCGAGCTAGGACTAGAGCGGCGCTCTTGAAGCAGTCAGTCAGCTTGCGGATGGCTAACTTCTTAGGAGACGTTGTAAATGCGACTAAGATATTCTTTAGTCCGCCGAATATCAATGACTTTACATTGGCAATGTCAGCCCTAGAGCTTAATAGGATGTTCCGGAGCTCCAACAATTGGCAAAGAGGAAGCGAGTTTGAGGTTGGGTTTCCCAATCCATCAGACCACCTATCTGGCATTAGCGAGCGCTCAGAGAAATTCTCTATATATGTATATCATTGATCAACTTACACATGTGAAATCGCAGTAAAGGGGATACTGGGCTCCCACCCGACCACTTCAAGTTCAACGTTTAGCAGACGCGACTTGCTGTCCAAGAAGCGTGGCGTTCGGAGTAATATCAAGGAAATGCCACCACTGTGTAGTATGCTTTGGACTTTCTAAATATCTGGACTTACATGGCCGCAGCCACAGACAGAACTTCGCTTCCTGTACCAAGCACGGTTGACCCGGCGCAAAACAGCCGAGTGTGGCTCCCACCATCGGGGCCTGAAGACGAGTTGTTCGGATCTAGTGTGCTATGTAACATACGTGGCCTTGTCAATGTTGTTCGCTACGCAACGAATCCCTTGGCATTTTGAATGATCGAGGCCATGGTCGGGAATGGAGCCCTGTAGATAGCCGTAGTAGATGAAACGCATCCCATATCGATGCAACAAGTATGATAAAAACGCTTGATACCAGCCGAGATCTTGCATCTTTTCAAGCAACCACTGGCCGCCTAGTGGGCGGAGACTGAGTCGTGAACCATAGATATCTACCAGTTTGTGCTTGATGGTCTCTGCCAACAATACGATCGAGAGCTCAATTTCACCCGGCAAAACAGCCCGAAGGAGCTGCTGCAAATCATGATCCTCGGCATCTCTGGCAGTAGATGTTGCCTCAGCAAAGAGGCGAAGAATGTGAAGCGCCACGTCTACCTCCGAATTGATTCTCCCGAATGCGTGCTGTCTTTGCTGCTCGGAGGCCGAACCCGCCTTGCTTTCTAGATCCTTTAATCCTGAAACGAGAGCCTTTCCTGTAACAAACAGTCGCAGTGGCGTCCCGCCATTTTGCAGTTGATCCGGTGGACTAAGAACACCCTGGCGATCCAGATCCTGGAGTACTGTACAAGCCATTTGATGATCCCGTTTCAGAAGGCGGGTGAAGTAACTCGTCGTTGTAAAATCAGGCTGAACCGCAACGAAGCTTGATAGGTGGAACGGTATTTCTGCAACAGAAAACACAGTTTGGATAATGCCAAAATAAAGCCAATGCTGAAGAAAAGCCGCTGCAGTTGAAGGCTCTTTACCATCTAGCTCTCCTCTGAGCAGCTTGGTGATATCCCAACCAGACCGCCTTGGAAAGTCCTCGAAGCTGCCATGGTCGTAGCTGGAACATCCGAAGAGCAAGGGCACGGGCAATTCGTGCTGTCGAACCCTGGGCAGAGGAAGGTAATCCATATCACGCATAATCCGTCAAAGTGGTGGATGCCTCGAGAGGCTTATATTCCCAAGTCAACATGAGGGTGAGGCGGCTTGATGGAAGCGGGGCGTATCAATATCTCTCCCAATCCATGACAAGCTCTTAGCGCCACCCACCAACCCCAGGCTTCTGGCCTTAATCAATCTTGATATAGGCCGGGTCGGCCCGGCGGATTTCGGGTCGTAGGATATTGGCAACTTCAAGGTTCAAAACAAACGAGTTCTTCGATGGCTGGGAGATCGGAAATTTTGCTTGGACCAAGCTGGGGTCAAGGGTTGATCTCAAGTCATTTAACGAGGCTTTAATGTTGCCTACGGAACAAGACACACAAAGCCAACTAAATAGGTAGTTTTGGAGGCAGGAAGCGCGTTCTCTGCCTGCTCGTAACATTTCAAATCATTCATATCCGTGATACAAGATGACGGGGTATCTAATGTTCACATATCCTTGCTTTCTGAACACGCTTTTCGGTTTCCTCGTTCATAACTCCGTGTCCTTGCGTTGAGATTCATCAAAAGCAATCAGTCTTCTCGTCGCTCATTGGGGCAGTTCAAGTTTCTCATTCTCGACTGCGGTTCGGCGTCCACCTCCTCACATTGACATCCCGAATCTTATATCTTGAAAACAATAAGCCTATATCCACGTCCTTGCGCTTCTCTACATCTTTCAATGGTGGCGGGACATCCACATAACAAAGCACCAACTGTTTATGCACCTGTGCCTGTACTCGATTAATTCCATGTAACCACCACCAACTCTTCTTATTTGTTTTCTTCTCAATTGCTTTCCGTTGCTCCGGCGATGTAGATTCCGTCCAGTACGGATCGGTGTACGAGGGGATGATGACAACAGCAAACTCCGCATGAGAGAACGCCGGGCCACGGTTGTATAGGAGGTAGTCGGTCGAAAATTTGACGCCACTCCGTACAACCCAGCCTAAGGAGCGATAGTGGTGGTAGACCGTGTAAGAAATCATAAAAGGGTCGTCCGGCTCAGCGGGAACAGATAGGGATCGGGGAGGGTGATATGAATGACGGCGGAAGAGGGAGAGAAGAGAAGTGGGAGGGAGGACAGTATTGCTGTCATCGCAGTAGATATCGAGTACACCGAGGGCGTAGGAGAGGAAAAATGCCTCTTCAAGTGAGACATTCAAGTGCTCTTGGTTTTCTTGTTGAACGGGCTTTTCGCCTTCCGGGATGGCATCTTCAAGCGGCGAGGTGCCGGGACTTTTGATGGGTGATATCACGGGAGAACTGAGGTCAAATTCGCGTGCTTCGATGGTGGGAGAGAATCGGACCGTTTTCGTTCTTTGCAGTCGTTTCACTGGCCGGCCTTCAGCTTGACTTGTATCTGAACAAGTTGATGTAGGCGGTGGGGTTGGGATCCCATTTGCCTCGATTGCCTTTTTCCACTCCTCAAATTCATGTATTGAGTCGTTTTCCTTGTCTTCTTCAGCCTCAGGCGTTGGGGTCCCGCTAGCTGATTCTAATACACTGCCAATGTCACTGATGTTTTGAGCATTTGTTTTGAGAACGTTTTCCGTGAGAACGCCGTTAATGTGGCTGTTTAGACTACCATTCTGAGGCAGCTGATCCAAATTCAGCTTGTCGGATGTGTGGCTGAGATTGAGATTGACGTCGCCGTCCGGCTGTGACTCTGGCACCGGTTCCTGCTCAGCGCTGTCGTCCAACTCGACAATAACGTTACCGTTTTGCTGCAACTCCTCGGACAATTTCTGATCAATCTCTTCTTGCTCCTTCCGTGCCCGTTCTTGTTTCAGTTGCCTCCTTTGCTCCCTTCGAGACGCTGTGTTCTCTTCGGCCGTCCGGCCTTTCTTCTTTCTATTCTCTAACCAATTTGGCTCACTTCGGCTGAGACTACCTCTTCCAAAAAACCCCATTTCCCATAGTTTGCGTATCGTGTCCGGGTCGGTGACGTGGATGGAGGAGGTTGCCGAAGAGAAGTAGCCATTGTACGTCGGTCGAGTGGGCGGAGAAAGGACTTGGACCAGATATGAGAGGGCAATGGCAACTAATGACAAAGGATTGTGGGGGATTAAAACAGGAAGCGGATGGACTTCGATGGGGAGAAAATGGCGATGAATGTGGTTGTAGTTTGGTCTCTTGGGCCGTTTCGGGGGTTTGGAGGAAGGTGGTTTCGTCGACGGAGCCTCAGGGCCCACGGGAGGTGCAGAATCTGAGGCCATGATGGATTCCTAGCCCACGGTCAGCCTTGTGGAATTTTCACATGTTCCCAAAACAAATTCAGAGCCGGCAGTCGAAAGTCGATCCCTCAGATACCGTTGTAGTCTAATACATAAAGCCAACACTGGAGAGAAGCTGAAATCAAAGTGCAACCTCCTCGGCAAAAGCAAGATTGTCATCATCGGGAAGATGGAAATATCGCGTGGTGTGATTCAGAATTGGGCATACTCACGTCCGCATCCGGTCTGCCGTGTGGTGAACGGGAACAATCAAAGGAGGAATCAAAGTGAGGTGAACCAGTCCATCGCCGGTGGAGTGGAACAATCGTCCCGTTTGGAGCAGAAGACGAGGTGCAAGTCACTCGAAATGGAATTGTTTCTGCCAAATGGTGGTAAACGTTGGTCGGGTTGGGTTGCAGAGGTCTCACTCATCAGCTTTTGGTGGTCAAACCAATTGCAATTTTCGGGTGATGAAGTTCGCGGGGAAATGTTTGGCGACGGGAAATTTTGAGGTCGCTGGTCGCAGATTCTTGCCCTGGTCTGAAATTTCTCCAACACCAAAAATTACACCCAACCACGTCTCTGCGATTTTGAATCAACTGCGCCCGACCTCTCAACAGACATAGACGCAAGTAATAGAACAGCGCACGACACAATGCATCTCATGTACACCGAAGACCCCGTTACGGGCCAGCGAATCTACACACTGAAAAAGGTCCTCGACGGCACCGTCACAAAGTCCGCCCACCCTGCCCGATTTTCTCCAGATGATAAATACTCGAGGTAACAGTTGCGGTGCGCTGAGCTAGAACAACACTAACATAACGCGCAGACATCGAGTGACTCTGAAGAAACGATATGGGCTCCTTCTGACACAGCAGAGTGCGTTTCGTGGCTACGCGATCTGACCTCCCAAGAGCTCGACGACTGATTTTGTTCGCAGATAATGAGAAGAAATGACGGGATTCCCAAGGCGTTATGGAGGTCGGCGTCATCATGCAAAAGCTGGAAAGGGGGGGGAGGGAAAATATACCCAGACAAGATTCGGGGGAGCAGGGTGTCACAGCGCATTCAATACATTGATTGACAAGATCAACTATGCTACCGCTTTCTCGAGTTGACTGTTCGGCCACCCCCTACCCTCGGTCTTCCCGTGGTGTGGCCCCTGGCCCCTGAAAGGATGCCTGGCAGTATATCCTCATCCATCAGATCCTTTTCCCTCCTCGTATCCCTCTTCATCTGCGCCATGGCTCTCACGTACTCCTTCTGATCCTCCGCCAGAATCAGCTCATTTCCCCATCCACCCCTGCCCCCTCCCCCGTGCCGCGGCCCTTGCCATTTCTGATTTGCGCTGCCACTCGTGGGTTTTGGAACCGAAAAGACGTTGCCTTTATTATTCCATTGCATGTTCTTTTTCAAATGCAACTTCACCTCTCCTTTATCATTGGTCGTACAAGTTACCCTGGTCAGGGTGGGTTTCCCGCACCGGGGGCAGAACTGCTTAGACATGTCCCTGGTGGTGGAGAAACAGGCGTGACATCGCAGGATGAACTGTTTGATCTGCGAGATCCTTTGGCAGGTCTTGGTGGAGATGAGATTCAGGTTCATTTGGAGGAGAACGTTTTGCATCGCGAAGTCGCCCGTCATGGTGGCTACTTGGAGATGTTTGGGCGAAGACTGTGACAATCTGCTGCTTCCAGATTCATCCAGGGCTTGTCGGCGTTTAATGTTGGAGGGGGTGATCCATCCTTCTGAGTCAGAGCCATCTTCGTTCTCTGTCGGTTGTTTAGATATTATCTCTGACGGGGGTGCTGAGGGTTGTGCTGCTGCCTCTGTGGTATCCTCGCCGACCTCGACGGAGTCGTCTGTTTTGTCTTGCTTTTGGCTCTCTGGCCCTTCGAGCGTCATGGTTTCCACCTTACCCTCAATAGAGTCCAATTCCTTTTCTGCTTCATTTTCCACATCCTCTTCCATATTCTCTGCACTCAAAATCTGATCCCGAATCTCCCCTTCCTTCACTGCGTCCTGCTGCGGCGGCGGCGCCCCATTAAGCCTCTTCTGTCCGGGGGCTGTCCTCAACCTCCAATTGCCCCCATTCCTCTCACATTCGATCTCATATGCCAATGCCAAAATCTCAAAATCGGTGTGGCTCAGCACGGCGGCGTCGCCCGTCTTTCGCGCAAACTCTCTCACGACCTTTAAACTCTCGGGGTTCGGCGATCGTATGGTCAGGAAGGGTTTGTAGAGGGTTTCGACTCTGATCCTTGCTTCTTCGGCCTTGATTTCAGCGAGGACAGAGGGTGTGGTCACTAGGACATGGCCGTTGGCGAGGAGCGTGGAGATCCCAGGCGTATTGAGCAGGAGCGGCGAAGCGTCGAGGATTATAGTATGAACCGGCTTCTTCTCAGTTTCCTGAGACGCGAGAGAAGAGTCGGTCATGCTGGAAGCCCTCGGTGAGTTTCGGTAATTGCAGGTTGACTCGTTCTTGCTCGTTCATGGTAACATGTATTAAAGCCTGGGCTTGTGCGCCTCAAAAATTCAAGTCGCGATACATACGTCAGGCAGGGCCAGGTTAGGCGGCCAATTAGATCCGGCCAAGTGCCTAGTGGGAGCTATTGTGAATGGACCGCGCTGCCCCACCACTATCCCCACCATATTACTAAGTACTCGGTCTTCCTTCCTCTTTCTATCACCAGTCTATGAAAACTACTTAGCAGGGACCAGAAAGGCTTTTCGTACATTGCGAGCTTGTACGTTGTGCATGAAGGCAAATCTACAACCCTCTCGTTTCTGTCTGTCTACTGTTCAAAACATAAACCATGCTCGATCCGCCATAGTCATCTAGCTAGACCTAACCTCTTTTGAATGATAAACCAAACAGAATTGAAGCAATCAAACAAGACATGACCCTTCCACTGTGCAGCAAATCCAAAATCCTCCACTCGAGAACATGACGTCCTTTTTCAGTCCTTGAAAGAGTGAACTTCAGATAATGATACTAATCTCACACCCCTTCAGCGTTATCGGACCATCCCGCTCCCCAGCCTCGGCAAACTCTGCCTTCTAACGAACTGGGCCTGACTCGTCCTCCTCGAATTCAGTTCTCTCGAAGCATTGGTATTCGTCCTCGAGAGCCTTCTAGACTCTGAAGTCCCAGATGCGGAACGCAGGTAGGAGAGGCGACGGCCGTCATTATCGGTGCGTGCATCTGCCAGGGATTGGGCGAAGGGCGATCTCTTCCGAAGGGTAGGGCCATAGTAGTAGATGACATAGACGGCAAGGACGAGGAGGGTAGCTATGCAAGCGAGAATGGTACAAGCATAGTTCAGATGGCGGCGACCTCCAATATCTGCGGATTATGGCATTAGTCCACACCTTCAACACAGGACACAGTCAAGCTTACTTTCAAAGAACGGTGTAGCTGGAATAGTAAGAACGCCGGCAAGGAAATCTCTCGACCACCCATTCCCGCCCGTGGCAGACGCAGAGTACGGACCGTAGGCGCAAATCATGTAGTCGATGGTGGCCATGTAGATGGCATAGTTGGCTAGACCGACAAGAGCAGCGAAGATCATGGAGCCGATCCAGTGAATCGGGGGTCCTTGAATTGTCCAGGCAAAACCAAACAATCCAATAGGCAGGCAAGGAGCCGTCCAGAGAAGCCACCAGAGCCGCGATTCGTATTGGGCTTTTTCGTCGCCGGGCTTGGATTCCCTTTCGTGAATATTGCGCTTGATGGCTGGAATGAACGTGATCCACGCAATGATGTACCCAACCCCCAGGGGCAGAAAGGCTAAGCCGACTGCAAAGACTGCAAAGTGCCACTGCGCATATACCAGAGAGAAAGATTGAATGAACATGAAGATGAGCGCATCGCTGAAACCGCTGAGCAGCGATAGTGTGAGGACGATGGGCTCGGTAAGGAACATCTTGAATGGGCGGATCCAAGTGATGACGATTTCCTTCACCGAGAAGCGGTCTCTGAAGGGTTCGAGTTCGTTCGGCCCCCAGATGTTTTCACCGGTGGCTTTGCGTCTTCTCTTCGCAACTCGATCCATGATGATAGTCGACCGTGTTTCGGGGACCAGAAAGAAATGGCAAGCCTGGACAAAGCCACCAAAGATGAGCTGGATCCAGATCGTCCACCTCCAGCTGCTGACATATTGTTCAACAAATCCTCCGACTATTGGCCCAAGGACGGAACCGAAGACAGACGAGAAGACCACATAAGCCACAGCATATTGCTGATTATCCGAATCCCACATATCGGCTGGTAAGAGGTTAGTGAAAGAGTAATGCATCAGGCGGGAAAGGCTGACCAATCATTCCCAAGGTCACCGAGCCTCCAGCAGAGCTGAGACCGCCCAGGGCTCTCCCAACCATGATGGATGCGAAGTTAGGGGCCAAGGCGACAGGAAGTTGCCAAATATTAACCAGGGTCAACGAGAGCTGCAGGATAGGCCATCGGCCAAGTTCCTCGCTCCAAGGCGCCCACAGCTCGCAGCCGAATGCATAGAGTACCAAGAAGATCATGGCGCCGCACCGTGCAGCTTGCATACTGACGTGGTATTCCTCCGAAATACCTTTGAGCCCATTAGAGTAGAGGCTAGTATTGAAATTCATGGACAGTTGAACCAGGAAGATTACAGTCAGGATTGTCCACTTCTTCCATTCGGGATAGGCATAGCCGAGTTCGCTCAAGCAGTCCTCCTCAGTAATTTCGATTTTGTCAAAGGTTTCGGCTTCGTCTTCGAATTCCTTGTCGGCCTTCTGTTGAGGCAGTGTCCTACCGACCTGCTCCGCTTGTTGCTGGGCATCGTCGTCTGGCTTCACGGTAGACGCTCTCTCCCACTCCCCGTTTTCCTCCTTGCCGTCTGTCGAAGTCTCCGACTCTGCGGAGGGCATGTTGAATTGCGGATGTCGATCACGCGGCGCCATGGTGAAACAAAAGATGCGATCAGAAGACCAGTGATCGCTTATCCAGGCATCGAAATGGCAGGCGTACCAATTTGTCCCCAGGTCGTGTCAGCAACTGTAAAGGAGAAATATGGGGGAATGGAGCAAGTATATACAAGTTATGCTTGGTGAATATGGATAGGACGTGCCCCCGACAAGGGTGCCTCAGTCAACCAAGGGCCTTGAGTAGCAAAATACGAGGGGCTATGATATCAACAGTATCCATCTGATACCCTCGAAGTGGAGCAGGAGGATGACGGCTCGAATAAAAAGTCAAAGCTCTGCACAATGACGAAGGAACGATTATGGCCAGCTTCCAGAAACCTTGGACGAGTCAGGCGCAACCTTGAGGGCGGGATGCTCGAGGGAGGCGCGCCTCTCGCCATCCGACCCTTCATTCATCATCCAATACAATTGGTATATTGGGTTGATCTCCCTCGCAGCCCATCGAGGGTCATGATGGCGGCACCAGTGGTGATGACCGTATTGGTGTTATCAACCGATGGAATGACGTCGACGGCTCGCCCTTCAGGCACCATCTGTGCCATCAGGCCTTCCGCCGGAATCTTAGAAGAAACAAGCAGTGATCTGCTCGGGAATCGGCCATGATGTGTGTTTTAAGTGGGCGCCAAGCATTTTATATGGTTCCATTGGCGCAACACGAGTCAGCTTGAATACGGAATACAGATCGGTGACAGCGCTTGAAGAGGGAGCGAGGGAGACATGAAGGGACCTGGTCGAGAGAATGGCAATCGTGGCAATGGCAAATCAATGCAGAAGCCGCCCATGCTGCCTGTCACACGACCTCGTGCCGCCAGACTCCATACTCCATACCCAACCATCATCTTTGTCCACCTAGACCCCCAGGCTCCCTCTGTGGCCATTCGCCGAGATCGACATTCATCCTCCAAATCCTGCAAGCTTTACCATAACTCCATCGACGTTATTCCACATTAAACCAGACCTGGCCCCCTTTTCATTGTGTTGTAACATTGCGTTAATCGTTTCCGAGCTACCAGCCTTGGGTAGATGACCACCAACGCCGCGCTGACAGCAAAAGTTCAAGAGCAACTATTTCATGAATAAATTGGGAGCACTCTTTTCCTAGCTCTTTGTTGCAGCGTCGGGAGCCGCCCTGGGTGAGTCCCGGCAGCTCCGCGTCTTGCCATCACCGGATTTGCCGTCGCGTTGCTGCCCTCTGAACCATCATCCTGGAAGACCTGTAGGGTGTTGATCGCCCAGTAAGCATCGGCAAAGTCTGCGGGATTATTCGCCACATAGTCTTCGCATGTCGGTGCCAGAGATGCACAAGACGATGTGTTCCAGACAGCACCAGCCCACTACACAGAATCAATCAGCACAAGCGCGCTAGGGCCAAAATGAGGCGATATGCTTACCTGCCCGCAGAAGGTTGTGTCAAAGACGATCTGGAGATTCTTGAAATGATCGTCGATGTTGAATGAGCCTTGGAACAGCGAGTTTGGGGTACCCCAGTTTTCGGACGGGGCCGGATTGCTGCTGACAATATCATCGGGGAAGGTCCCTCGTGGGAAGAACCATATTTTGATGAAATCCGACGTCCACTCGGTTGCAAAAACCCCTCCGCCGGCCTCATTGAATTCGGGTCCAAAGGTCAAATTGGAAATGTCGCCAATTGAACATCCCGCATTCATGGGTTGATCGGGGGCATTGACGTCGCAGTTCGATGTGATCAATTCGCCTGAGAAGTCGGTGCTGTTGCTGACCACCGCGCCTTGTCCGGTATGCAAAGTCATAGAGTTCGTAGGTTGGTCGTTGACTCCCTCGACGATATCGATCTCTCCGTTGTTCGGCCAGTCTGCCCCCACCATCCAGAACGCAGGCCAAGTGCCACAGACACCACCAGGCATGTGGACAATGTCGGCAACGACCAAGGCATGTTGGAATGATTGTGTTGATGAGACCCGTACAGCAGCTCGACCCTGTGGAGCGACGTTTTCAGTGTCCACACCCATATAGATGGCGAACGAAGCATTGCCTCCCTCTATGAACCCTGCTATTCCTGTTGAATTTGCTTGCTCCAGAGATTGGAACTGTACGAGACCATCAGTGGGATCCGGGTCCGTGAAGAAGTCGAAGCCTTGCCAGAAGGCGTCTCCGGAATAATCTTGGATTAACTGGTACACAGCCAAAGTGGGTTGGAGGACAATGCTGACCAGCAGCAGGAGCAGCAAAGTTCGCGCCATCCCGATGGCGATGTCTTCTACCTGAAAGGATTGAGATTTGGTCGAAATGAACGTTTCTTGATTGCTGAACTAGCAATAGAGAGCGTGGGAAGGAGAAAGGTGCAAGCCGTGATTCAATCACCGAGCGAGAGGAGGAATATCGGGCAGGAAAAAAAACAAAAAACAAAGAAGAGCAATGTCGCAACGTGAGCAGAACGAAGGAGAGGCTTGCAAACAGAACCTGTCAAGAGACGAAGAGCAGTGAAAGAAGATCAGTTGACACCTTTTTGATATGAATAAACATTCCCGGAATGAATTCGCAGGGAAGGGGCGCAGCCGGGAAACCTCGTGCATTTTTCTGCCGGTACCATTTTAGAGAAAATGCCATTCTTGAGAATGTGGTCCTTCTGGCATCCATCATGCTGAGTCTGGAATCTGGAATCTGCCAACTTGGAGACATGGACGACCGCCTGGGCAGCCATGCTCAGTACTCACCCCAAGGCGGGCGCCGTCAACGATAGGCGATGGTAGTAGATAGACATCTTGGTAGTTTCCAAGCGGGCCATTCATTGAGCCAGTCGAGATGGAACCGCGTTGACGAGGGTGAAACGAAAGCTCAGAGGAGTGAATGAGAGTGATGTGAGGTGGTGAAACGCGTTTCGGCAATCTCTCTCCATCCCGCCGCATCGCGTTCGCAGGCGCTAAAATCGTCTGGTCACTGGTCATTGTTGCTCCACGCCCACATCCGACCCGACCACCAAACATTCCTCGACTGAAACGACCTTCTAGCCTCCAAGAGGCTTGTTGCTCTACGCTTCGACTCCGTATTAGCTCATTGCGCAAGATATGGCTGTTCTATTTCAGATCCCCCCTTGGCCGCTATCATGACCGCGGTGTTACCGCCACAGCCCACTGCGCCCGCACCGACAGCGAAACTTGATACAACTACCCAGACTCCCATTGCTGACCTTGCTCCCTCCCACTCGGAGCCTGCTGCCCACATTCTAGCACAGGTTGCTCTTGTCTGGCCCTATTCTAGCTCAACAGGAACACTTGCCTTGTTATTAGCTGACCCTGACATTCGCCGACGGAAATCTAGGGGCCAGGTTAAAGTCGTATTCCGCAGTGGGTGCGCAAGGGAGGTTGCAAAGACCCAGGTGGGCATTGGGGATACCGTGAAGCTTGCATTGGTCGGTTGCGAGTGGAAAGAGACGGGCAGTGTTGTTTCTACACCAGGTAGAAAGATAAATTGGGACCTTGAATACAGTACTCGTGTCCTTCTACAAGTCCTACGCGGACACCAAGAGACGGCCGGGGTGGATTTTGCCGGAAATGAGACCAACTCTTCGACTGCAAATGGACTACTTTCCTATCTCCATGGAGGAGCCGATGAACGAGGAGTGCTTAACGGTGTTATTCATCACCAATCCAACACAATCCATGTTCCATTCTTAACACCCAGAAAGCCAGTCGGGAATCATTCCATCGGAACTTTTATTGATGCTGCCTTGGAATCTTCGGCGGAAGACGATGGCTATATCCTCGGTCGAGGTCGAAAGCGTACCAAATTCGCGAGAAGCAGTGGAGCATGGAGTCTCGTCGACTCGGAGGACAGCCATTTAGGCGCCACCCAAAAGGCTGACGTGAAGGATGAAGATGCTACACAAGGTCAAAGTCCTCAAGCTAAAGATGTTGTTCTGGCTCCAGAGCCAGCTGCCCTTGGCGAAGAAGATACAACGGAACCTCAGACGACCAGCCAAGTCTCGAGAGAGGATGTGCACCAATTTTCTAGAGTTCAAGCAACTGAAGAAGACATGGTCGACATCTCGACCTCAACTCCTGCTGAATCAATATTCCCTCACCCGGTGACCCAACCACTGGTGATGGGGCCGCCTCAGACGCCACTCAGAGCTCCTCCCCACCTGCAACCAGTGATAAGTGGTATGGATGATCTTGACGCCAGCGACGGCTCGGAGGCTGCGACCACACCGCGACTTCTTCCTATACCATCTCCTGGACTTCCTCTAGTGTCTCCGTTAGTCGATCGTTCGGGAGTCGAGATCGGATATTTTCCGCCATTAGATGTGAGCATATCACAATTGGACGCGTCGAGCGAGAAGGAGAAAGGGGCCGTAGTCCCAGATATAACGACAGGGGAGTCGATTGATCATCAATCACTACATTCTGATGAGTCCCCAGTGGCTGTAGAGGAGATCTCAATGTCACAGAACACGGTCGAAGGCTTCGAGATTGAAGTTGCCGCGCACGGAGATACTGTGCAGGTATCTCCCGGGTCCGAAATGGAGATCAAAGGTCAGGAAACTGCAAAGAAACCCGCATATGAGGCGCCACAATGGCTTTCGTCACTGGAGTCCACCATTGATCGAGAACTTTTTCATTCACAAAATGAGCCAGCTACGCAAAATGCTTCCCAACGTACCCCTCAAACTGTCGAAGTTGAGGATGATGATCTCTATGGCGCTCCTGTTGATATACCGAAGGCCAGCGGTTCTTTTACGACGTCACCTTCAGTTGAACGGCCTAGAAGTCCACTCGATGTGCTTGAACAATTTCTGCAAATGTCTCCAGTCACAGCCGCTATTTCCTCAACTCCCTTCGAATCGACTGGCTGGAAAAATGCGCCGAATACACCTCCGCAACAGGTCGCGCCTGAAAATATAGCCATAGAAACCCAGCAGGAAAAGACTCCAGTTTCTGCTGTCGAGAATCGATGCCCTGGCATGTATCCGGAATCACAGTCGCCGTTTAGGCAGAACCGTGATCACCCGGCGAGTCCTGTCAACCTCACTCGTCCTTCGTCGAGTCAAGCCTCACGACCGCAGTCATTCGATGGGAATGTAGATGAGCAAGAGCACTTCAGGGAGTACGTCAAACGTCTTTCTCAGGATTTTGTCAGTGTAGGATCCTCAAAGCAGCTGATACCTGATATCGATTCCTCTCAAGACGGCAATCCAAGTCAGATGGAGGTGGACACCGATGTGTCAACGGTGACAGTCAAAGTTGATGAAGGATCTAATGTCGAGTCCACTGGATATATCACGGAAGATGTGGATCAGGGGACAATTCAACCGGCGATGACGGAAGGAGTCAAAGAAGCAGATCAACATCTTCTACCTGCTGCAATGGGCAGGGAGATGAATCTCGAGTCCAATCTAATAGAACATATCGACGCGCACGAACCTCATGCACTGCTACCCACACCAGACCAGTCCCAGGTGCAACGCTTATCGCCTGAGCCTGAAACGCCGAAGGCAGTCCAGGAGCTGACGGAGGCTGCATTTCTATCGCCCAGTTATACACAAGAGAACGAGGGTGATTCGCAAGAGTCTATATTTACCATGCGAAAGGAAGCGACCGCAGCTACATGGGAGGAGACAGAGACCGTATGGGTCTCACGAGGCGAAGCAACGCTGTCAACAATAGCGGAAAGAGCTAGTGCTATGCAAGAGCCATCGCAGGAAATTCAGAAGGGATCAGTCGCCGAAAATGGCCCCCTATCGCAACCAACGGAGGCAGGCACAAGTCCTGCGATTATCAAACCTATCTCCACGCTGCATCTAGATACAGTCACACCTCGTCGAAGCTCACAACGGTTATTAGCAAAAAAGTCTTCCATGGCAGCGAACATATCTAGTCCGTATTTTACACCTCGCAAGTCCACTCAACAGCTTCACTTATCGCAAATGCGGAAAGAGAATATACATCCTGCGACGGATGACAGCAGCCTTCCATCATCGCCAACGCAAGAGGAAGCTGAGGAGCTGCTACTGTCGACTGCAGTCCAAGAGGTCGAGCAGGTTGACACTGATACTGCACTTGTTTCCCCGTATCGTAAGACAAACAGATCGGCATCCACCAGACACACGGGCACCACAACCCCTCTTACATACTTTACTCACTTGCGTTTGTTGCATGAACACTTCGGTCGTCTGGTAGACGTCATTGCCGCATGCACAGATTCTTCGTCGGAACCACAACAGGCGAAAGCAGGACGGAAGGATTATCATACTATCCTACGACTCGCGGATCCTTCTCTCGCCCCTGAGGCGCACTCGGCAATATCTGTTCAAGTATTTCGACCTGTTCAGACAGCACTTCCCACAGCCCATCGCGGCGATGTGGTCGTCCTTCGGAACTTCAAAGTCCAGACCTTTCGCAGACAGCTCATACTATTGAGTACCGACACATCTTCCTGGGCAGTGTTCAAAGCCAGAGTCGGCGCGATCATGAGCTGGTCAGACGTGGTTATTTCTGGCCCTCCTCTCGAATATGGACTCGCTGAAACAAACCGAGTCAGGCTTATGTTTAGCTGGTGGAATAGGGGTGGTAAGGAAATATTCAATGTTGAGCCTGCCACACAAGTTGAGCATCTACAAGCCGAAAATGGTTCTCCCGACCTTCGTCACGGTTCTCCCAGACTCAAAGAATCACCACAAGCCAGCCGTACAGTAAAGCCTACAAGCCGTCGTCGAAAGGGCGGTAAGAGCGACGACTTTAGCAACAGAGGGGAGATCCTTGAGCATTTAGAATCCCCAACTAGTCGGGCTAAAGCGAAAGACGACGACAAAATTGCCGACAGGACAGACGAAAATGAGACCTTTCCGCATCCAGCTAACACGACTATCGGCACTCACAACAGCAATGGAACAACAGGTGCCTCTGTACATCGACGAAGGGCCAACGAGACCGACAACTTCGGCGACGAGGGAGATGAAGACGTGGCCATGGTTGGTGACGATTGGGAACAGAGCATCCCTCTCTCGGACAAAACCAACCGACGCAGAGAATCCACCATTTCTACCACGGCCCCTTCAGAATCCGGAAAACCATTCACCCCGCGACGGAGTGCGAGGCGTAGGAAGCGGTCTCCCAGCCTCGTGCATGAATTGCGGGATGGCACCAGGTATGTGGATGCTGACCGAAGGAGGAGTGGCAGTGTTGTGCACGAGTTGAGGGATGGTGCGACTTATGTGGACGAATAGAACAGTATTACCTTTGGTGTTGGTATTGGTGTCCACTGTTAATGGAATATCGGCAAGTCATGGGCTGCTTTTCAGCGGGACGTCCTGTCGTTTGTTGCACCAAAGCGCTGTATAAGACTGTCGCTCGACATGGCAGCTGTTACGGCTACCTTGTCTGCATTCATAGTTTTTGCTGTCTCTCATTGAGGCATGTGATACGCTATTCATGTACACCTTTCCTTCCCCTTTCTTCTACCGCCTCTGCTCCGCAGCTCCCAGTCTGCTTCCAGCATTTCACAGGAAAGTCAAACCCAACGCAGAAACCACGCTCAACCCGACAACGGTCCACCCGGTCCATATGACCTGCTGGTTTGTGAACGCCGCGCCCGTGTCCCACACCAGATGCCTGATGCCGTTCAATCCGTGGAACGTGAAGGGAAACGCCACCAACGCTTTCAATCCGACCTTGAGGACAACGGGCAACGCGGCGAAACTAGCCGCCAGACTCGCGGATTCCAGGTGCCAGCCGAATAGTGGAGCGACGAGGTAGGCGGCGCCGAAGACGTAGATCGCTCCGGACAGCGCAGCACCCGTGATACGGTTCAGGCCACTTAGGTACCAGGTTATTTGCGGGCGATAGATTGCGAGGTGCGGAGATACGGGGCGGTGGAGGCGTTGGTTGGCGAGGATTTCCTGGCCCGTGGCCGGGGAGACGGATTGTGTTGTTGCAGGTCTGGCAGTTGACACAGAGACAAAGTCAGTACGTATTCCATATTGAACAGGGTCGGGTTTTCGGGGGGAGGGGGGAGAGAGAGAGCGCGCAGGACTGGAGAACCCGGTAAAGATTTGTCCTCCTTTTCTTCGCCCAAGGAGGAACAACCATGATGACTTGCCAAGGGACTGACCTGTACTGTATATTTTGCAGCGTTGCGATGGCTGCCGGAGCAGATAATCGAGACAGAGCAGTCCTATTCAAGGTGGAGGGGTTGGCTGCGGCCACTGGAACTCGGTCAGATTGTCAGTCCTATCAAACCAAACTCGAGTAGAGACGTTTGATGGAGAAAGGCTTACGTCGCCGAGTTGTCAACTGCAGTGCCCTGCGAGAGAACATGTTGGCCGACATGACTGCTGGTGGGTGTGGTGGGTGAGGGAGCTTGAATCTCGTGTCAATTGAAGCTCCAAGTTAAGTTCACTGGCATGATGCCGATCCGCTTTCCGAGGCAAATCACTTGGCAGATCACGTGAAGCAAGGTTGGATTACGTTTGTCGCGACTTTGATTGGCCGCGGTAAACACAAGGGGCGGATGCCATGCACGGACTCGCAGGAATAGCAAACGTTCAAATACTTCAACATCAGAGTTTCACTCTCGTCTGTCTAATAACCACAGTTTTCAGTATATATATGTAAACCTTTGTGTTGGTTGTATAGAGACTGAGACTGGGTCTAGAAGCACATTGCAGATCCAACCATGAAAAAGGTCATCATGGTACGAAAAGAAACACTTTCAAGATAACGACGCAGCAACATCTGGGGCTTCTTTACGACAGCGACAGCGGCAACTCAAGAAACTTGGAATGTCAGCCGAAATGAATATGGAACCAAGGTCGTTGTGCATGATGGAAGAAAGAACATGTCTTCAGCGTCGACGGAGGGTAGGCTTGTCGTGTACATCCTACTGCAAGAGACAAAGTGCAGGAACTTGGACAGCTAAATGGCAATTCATCTGTAGGTGTTGAATCGATGAAACTATGCCGCGAAAGCGTAGTCCTCCATGTTCATCGACCACCGGGACACTTGCAGTGGTCACTCAGTCAGTGAAGACGAATCTCAGGGAAACCACCGCCAAACCTCACCCAGGCCATCCGAAGCTGTCCATCCCGACCAACGGCGCACTGGGCTCGATGGGTGAAATGCTAGATGAAGATGAGCAGCGATTCGGCAGATGGTCTGTTCACTGGTAGATGTGCCGAGACACAAACCTTTGTTGAATTTTGTCCGGAAAGAGCACATTGAGGACCTTGCTGTTAGCGACAGCAGTGCTGCAGTGCAGTGCAGCGTAGCCCAACATGTTGCACCCGCGTCTCAGAAATGGCAGAACAGCCTGCAACTTTCCCTGCCACCAGCCTTCCCATCGATTTTGCTCTCTTAGAGCCGCCACGGTTCTCTCCGCAAGATTACCGTCATTTTTTAGTTAGCATTACTGCCTGTCATGCACCATGTCCTCCACGTCTTCCTCTCACCAAGCACCGTCGGACGATAACGACACCGATGCCACGCCCTATGCCTCCAACATAGCTTTCTTAAGCCTCAAGTACGCCCCGGGCAAGAGGTGCATTTGCTTCAAACAGACCAAATTCGAGCTCGCCTCCTCCCTCTGTCCTCAGCATGGATACCACGACTCCAAAAGCAAGATAAAGAAACGGAGGAGCTTATGTGTTGCCGGCGATTCAAGGAAGAGAAAGGAGAGTGATATACAAGACCGCGACTATGCGCCTCCTGGAAGGAGGATAACAGGAAATGCGACAGAGCTGCAACCCCGGACGTCTCCAAATTCATGGTCTATTCGACACTTACATCGCGCCAACAACGCCGCGGCAACCGTCACGCGGGGCTTCATTGCAGAACTGCGTTTCGTGAATGACTATCTTGGTCAAATTCTGGCCACTGGCAGTGCTTCGGGCCCCTACATACGCTCCTTTCAATTCTCTGAATGCCCACCTCTAACCCGAATTGATTTCCTTGAATGGCCGCTCAGTGCTCGAATGACTATCTACCGCTACTTCCTGGTAGCGGCCAAAGCAGCAGTCATCTTCCCGGGTAAAAACAGCGAGAAGACATTCCGCCAGCTAAACAAAAGACTGGATACGAGGATCCTCTACACGAATAGTCAAGTGTATAGCGAAGCCAGATCCGTGCTCTACGGTGAGAACAACTTCATCGCCGCAGAACCTACAGATTTCTTCCGTCCCACTGGCATTCAAGGTCTTCGGGCCAGCACAGCTAAAAAGATAAAGCATGTCTCCTTTTTAACCAAAGGCACTGGTCCGCAGGTAAGCGGCGTCGGCAGCAAATCACTATCGACGTCCATCAAATCAACGATTCTCCAATGCCCGGCATTTCTCAAGCTCGACACTCTCACGATCCGATTTGAAGTTTTCCGTCCTGTCTTCGTGAGCATGTATACGCTACAACAATATGCTGAAACTCACGGTCTCGACGGAAATATCGTGTCGGCGTACAACAAGACTGATATAGTCATGAATGCGGCGGCAACGGTGGCTTATCAGGCGCTGAGGAGAAAATCACCATTCCAAGGGTTAAGGGAGATTGAAAATCGCTTCGAGAGTGCCCGTGTACCGAAGAAAGAACCGTGTCTTAAACACGTGATTGAGGTGTGTCTGTTCAGAACCAGTGAATCCACAGACGAGTACCGGGAGCAGAGCCAGGCGCTGCGTGAAGCGATTTTGGACATGCTGTTTGAGGAGATGGAAAGAGACGTGCAAGGGGCGGATGAAAGGTTCCGAGACTTTGTGAGGCGGTATCCGGAGTGAGGCGCCTGATGGAAGACACTGCTTTGTGGGAAATACAGAACTACGAGACTACGACGGGCAGTTGTGAATGACCGTTGGTGGAAATCGTTCTGGCAAGCATTGTGTACTCATTGAAGCATAGTGCCGAGGCGTTTTGTGCTGTGGGCCAAGGCAAAGAAGGACCAACGTCAAGATCGCTACGCATCAAGTTTGAGAATGTCTGTGGAGGTTTTCACATGTGCCCTTGCTCTCATGAATTCCATAAATGTGATCGCCTATATTGGTGTAGCATATCACTGATGAAACTCCGATCTGAGGAACAAGTAATATGTCAAATAAACATTGCCGGCTCCGAGAAACGAAAAAGGACATCAAGCCAGGCCGCTGCGAGCATAGATTAATTGCCTGAACCCCCAAGCAATACAAACAGAGCATGGGCGACAAAAACAAATGAATCGGCGGGACTGGGTCATGGTGTAAGGGGAAGCTACATGACTGCAAGCCAAGGGGGAACACAGGCCGTAGGAGATGAATAGCGAAAGAGTTGAAGGTCCAGGTAGAACAGATGGTGCAGAGAGGATTCATCCAGAGCAGAACCAAAGCTCCCATTCGAGCACAAACACCCAACCAAGCAGCCAAGTAACCGGCCCTTCATCCCCTTCATAGGTACATGAGCAGATTGGGAGATAGGTATATAGCACATGCCAGGGAGAAACAGAAAAGAGAGGAAGAGAATGTAACCTTGAATATGAAACCCGAGCAGATTCATCGAGAGAACGACAACCGGGCGATTAACGGCAGGTATTAGATTCCTTCTGGGACTTCGTGTGCTTTTTTATTGGAGACACACCACTTCATAAGCAACTGGGGTTTTTGATGATGCTGCGAATGTGAGCTGCCAGGCCGAAGTCCATGGAAGAAGAAGGAGAAGGAGAAACGAGCAACAGGAGCTTGAACGAAAATTTATCCAGAAAAGTGCGCCGAAAAGGAGAATGCGTCGCCGTAATCTATCCAGTCGATACGGCAGATCATAATGGCGCCTCTGTCGACTACACCAGCGCAAACCAGCGCTCGCTAGTACAAAAGTCAAAAATGTACCCAGTATCCAGTATTATAGCCACTTGGTCGTTATCGAGGCTCTTTTCGGCTCGCTTGATGCCGGATCGAGACCGGTCTGTGCCTCGTATTCCAGGGAAAAGTCTATTGGCAGCACGACCTGACAACATCGCGAGAACGTTAATGAAGCTCTTTGAACTTGCCGTTTTTCAGCTGAGCCTGAGCCATGGTACAAGATTCGGGACAGAATTGGCGATGGACATAGCTAACAACACCAGCGACTACACCATATCTAGCTCCAACAGGACGGCACACGGCACAGTCTCGATGCCTTCTGTTCAAAATTCAAGGGCTCAGTCGCATCTTGACAGCTATTTCAATCCCCGTGTCTCTCCCAAACACGCGGTCGCTTTTCGCAAGGACTTTGTAACCTGCTGTTGACAACTTAGGGAGGACATTCCTATCCGCTCATATCCAGTCCGCCAACATCAACGTCATGGCCGACCAAAGCGACCATCAAGGGCATGGAGCTCATGGGCGGCGGGCACGGCACCGTCAGTACAGTAAAGTGGTTAGGAAGGACCATTGCTGGCCTAGACGCCATGGCTGCAGGTATGGCTATGGAGCAAAAGTCACCTCGCTGTCGTTACGACATGGATCGTTCCTGTCGGGTAAGGCGTGCCATGGTTTGTGGATGTGTTGGAGCATCGATGGCTGGATCTTGATCGCTGCGCTTTTGGCTCCCTTTCTAACCAGTCGGTATAATACTCGAGGGTCAAAGCTAAGGTGGAAGCGGGTAGCACTCGAGGCAAGATGGTCAAGATCTCTGGGAACACCATCTTGCTAAAAGCCAGCCAACCCACCGACGGCGGCAAGGTGACGTTCAAGGTTCTCGACACCCAGGCCAAGGGAATGAAGAGCCAGAAGACATGGTCGAAGAAGCGCGGAAGAGAGGCCTCGTGTGATGCAGTCGTGCTGGTTGATGGCGGTGGAGCAGTAGACGTGCTTCTGGAGATGGTTGCGCGCATCCAGCGCGTGTGTAGTATTTGGGAAGGCAGAGAGATGCAGAAACGCTTTGGGGATCAATGGAGGTTACCGGTCTTACGATGAAACACTGTGTTTGAGCTTGGTAATGGAGACAGAATGACTGTGTATCGATAAATAAGACAAAGTACCGCAGAGCTGTCTGATGCCATCAATTCAAAAAAGATGTCGGATTGAGAGGCAGGTTTGGCCGATCGCTGGGAGCTAGATTTGGCTCCCTCGCTCCTCTTTTGTACCCCAGTCCTCTTCATAGGGATCCTGGCTGAAGCTCATTTAAGACTAGGCTCGGTTGAACTTCAGATGAAAACAGCTTCTGCTCAGCCTCTACCGGGTAGAGCGTAGATTTTCCATTCACGAGTAATAGGTGGACTTGACCGCTGTCACGGATGGAGCCTTGCCAGCGAGAACTTTCAAGAGCCAAGCATTCCCTACCCATATAAGCCAAGTTCACTCGAGGCTTAGTTTGACCGGCTGTCTGCGAAGAGCCTGTACTTTTGTACCCAGTACATATACTCCTCATTACTCACCTAGCTTGTATCCTCGATCCTGATCTCTCGATCTCGATTCTCCAACATGACTTCCTCCCCGCACGTTTCTCCTACATCTTCTCCCCGCGTACTGGGTATATCGGCATAGACCATGACAACACACTTGTCCCTCGGCAAACACCACCCAAGTCGAATCGCCGCGGGACTTACTGAATGGAGGCTCGTCTATATAAGCGGCAGCCAGGCGGCCTGGTACAGCACGAGCTCTCCCTTGGCGTACCCAGGTCGTTTGGGCCAGTCGTTGACCATGGCAAAAGCATTCACGGCGTATCAAGCCTCGCTAGAGAGAGAAGGCATCTACATCGGCGGCTGGACATTGCGAGGCGCCTTGATTCCCCAGAAGAAGGATGGCAAACACGACACTAGCGAGGACCGCATCCAGAATGCCAACGTGTTTACCCCGGATTGGAGCCCGGAAGAAGAAAGAAAACTGGTCCGCAAACTCGACTTTCGTGTTCTATTCCCGGCGTGCATCATCTACTTTCTGGCCTATATGGACCGCGCCAATCTCGGAAATGTGAAGATCTTGGGCCTGGGGACCAGCTCCTCCATCGAAGGAGCCCTGGGGATGAAAGGCTCCGACTTCAGCTGGGCCGTTTCCATCACCTACTTTGCTGTCACGGCGGGCCTCTTGCCTTCGAACATCATGATGAAGAAGTTTTCGGCCAAGTACTTCTTCCCTGTTGTCATGGTTCTCTGGGGCGTCGTCGTCATGTCAATGGCGGCCTGCAAGAATCGAGCAGGACTTCTGGCAGCGCGCTTCTTTCTCGGCATCCCTGAATCCGGAGTGGTTCCAGCGTGTGTCATGTATTTCTCCATGTGGTACAAACCTGCTGAGAGAGCGTTCCGCATCGGCGTCTTTCACAGCGCCAACGCCCTGGCATCTGCGGTGTCGGCATTCATAGCCGCAGGCATTGGACACCTAAACGGTCGGGATGGACTCGATTCCTGGCAATGGGTCTTCATCATTGAAGGAGCGTTGCCCATCGCCATGGCACCCGTCCTGTTTCTCCTCCTGCTGACCTTCCCGGAAACGTCCACGGCGCTGTCGGAGAGAGAGCGCTACATCGCAATCAACCGGTTCGGCAGAGGATCCGCAAGAAAGACCGATGTCAGTTGGAGTTGGCCTGCGTTCCGGCGCATCTTCAAGCGGCCTTCCACCTACGTCTTCTTCATCTCTTACGTGTCTCTGTGCATGGTCGCCGTTGCTCAAGCCACCTACCTACCCACCATTCTAAAGGTCTTCCTTGGATATTCGACGACAAAGTCCAACCTTTATACCGCGGCCTGCAACCTGAGCATCATTCCCTTGTACTGGGTCTGGAGCACGCATTCCGACTGGACTCGAGAGCGCATGTGGCATTATCTTCTCCCGGTCGTCGCCTCTGTGCCATGCTACGCGGTTTGGACCTATACTTCGACGCACCCGGAAGCCCGAGGAGCTGCGATCGAGACAACCGCCCTGTACGGGATGGCGTATCTGGGGCAAATGGTACTGATCTCGCAACCGATCGTCCTCAGCTACCGCTCTTCAACTCTCTATGGCGCCGCCGAGCAAGCTGTCGGTGTAGCCGCTGCCGTCGCGTCGCTGACAATAGCGAGCATTATCGCCCCTCAAGTCTGTCCTAGAAACCCTGACGCTGCAAAGCTTCCGCTGACCACCCATCTACAGATGTACCCTAATCAAGATGCCCCGCGGTACCTCGCAGGGTTCGTCGGCACTCTAGCGCTGTTGGTTGTGTGTATCATCTCATACCTTACCCTGCCGCTCTGGCTGCTACGAGAAGCCAACATCCGGAAGAAAAAGACAGGCCACGCCATGCCGCTCCAGGTATGGAAATTTTCTCCCTTTCTCTCGCGACGCACCCAGTTCAGTTTTGTTCCTGCTCATGTTTCTAATTTTTCTGTCTAGGCCATTGAAGACGCCGAAAGGAGCATGGTCACGGACGCTGCGCACGAGTTCATCCATCGGCTCAACGAGCAGGAGGAAATGGAAATGTTTGCCACCAAGGGCGTCGAGGCCGGGGCGGCCGAGGTCCAGCATGTTGAGCAGCCCAAGTCGATCTAGATTCCTACATGTATAACAAAGGGATCGATCGTTTTGTTTTTTTTTTTTTCCCCGGGGGTGAGGGGGGGGGAAGCATTGGTCTGTATGTTGGGTCTACAATGACTAACAATAATTCTCCGTTGTGGCTGAGGCAACTCTTACTTACACACCATTCCTGCGGCCCGTCTGAACGACGTGATGCTTTCAAGACTGAGGGGACCGCGGGCCTGAAAGCGTCAGTCTTGTTGAGTGTTGCTATGGCATGGCATGGCATGGTACGGTATGCTACGGTCAATAGCCCCGAACGCGAGATGGAGAGATGGGGGAGATTTAGAGAATACGGATGAACCGCATGACGGGAGAGCGTTCTACAGTAGATACTAGAGCCACTGGAGGCGTCGAACATTGGGATTTCATGTGCCTTCTGGCTCTGCATATGTCTTTTAGCTCCGAGTCTTCTCGTCTCCATGTGTCCCACGTGTCCATCCATGTCTTCCTGCCTTCTTGTCTTGTCTTGTCTGCATAGCCATGTCATGGGCCACGGGATATGCGAACGCTCTTGTATGCTGTTCTTGTCAAGAAGCATCCCGATCCTTTTGGCACAGCTCGAGAGAGGTTTATATTACGTCACTCACTCTGATTCGGTTCTGCCTATTCTAGACTGGTATCTGGTCTCTTCTCTGTCTGCTTTCCTCACAACGCACAACTCCAGACACGGCTCAAAGCTTTGCCTTTCTCGCCGCATCCTTCTTGAGCACGGGAGTACCAGCAGACCATATCTGCACGTCGGGAATCTGCGCATAGTTCACAGGGAAGAGTAAAGGACCTGTGACTTTCTTGGACACTTTTCCCGTCGCTGTCTTCGGCAGCTCGCCATCGATGACCCGCAGGAGCGTGGGGAGCTTGTACCTGGCCAGCTTGTCGGCGAGGTCCTTTCTAAGCTGCTCGAGCGTGAGTTGCCGTTCTCCTGTGGAGCTGTCATCGCTGCCGCCGCGGAACGAGTACGCGTACGTCGTCTGGTCGGCGCGCAGGCTCACGGCCGCGGCGACGCGCTGGCCCCATTCTGCGTCGTCAACGCCCACGACCATCACCTCGTTGATGTACGGCAGGCCCAGGCACTCGCGCTCCACATCGAGCGCCGAGATCTTGTAGCCGCCTGACTTGAGGATATCCACCGACGCGCGGCCCAGGATGAAGTAGTACGCCCCTTCGCGCCGTGCAATGTCGCCCGTTCTGTAGAAGCCGTTGGCGTCGTGCGCGGCTCGCGTGGCCTGCTCGTCGGAGAGATACCTGTTGTGACAAATTGCGAAGTTAGAGACAATGGACATGCAAACGGACACGGACACGAACACTTCGATGCAGCACCACTGTCGGTGAAAAAAGGATAGTGGATGATGTTGATGGTGCCGGTGGTGATGCTGGTCGCAACCACACATACGTACCCCATGAACATACTTGGGCTCTTGATCAACAGTTCGCCTTCGTCGCTCCCGTCTGCGAAACGGACATCCACTCCAGGAGAAGCTACCCCGACTGAGCCAGAAGGAGTGTCACCCGGGTCCAGGGCCATTTTGAAAACCGCCCCGGACTCCGTGCTCCCGTAGCGCGTCAGGATGCGTTTGCCTCCCCTGAGGCCTTTCCAGAACTCCTCCACCGGCCGGGGGAGGGCGGACGTGCCGCAGAGCATGCCGCGGATCCGCGTGGCCGCAGCTGCAGCCGTACCGGACTCGATTTTCGCAGATGATGAGGAAGAGGATTGTTGCTGCTGCTGCTGCTGCTGGAAATGGCGCATCATCCGCACATACATGGTCGGGACGCCCGTGAAGAAGGTGACCCCGCCCCTTTTCCACCTCTCCCACGTCCACTCGGCGCTGAACGGCCCGCTGCGGAACTCAATGCAGGCGCCGCGGATCAGGAAGGGGAAGAAGGAGAGATAAGCACCCGTGGCATGGTGCACGGGGAGGAGGTGTAGGACGCGGTCTTCCTCTACGACCTTGTAGTGGTCTGCAACCGAGCGCGCGACTTCGTGGATCATGGCCCGTCGATGCAGCGCGCCCTTCGGCCTGCCCGTGGTTCCGGATGTGAAAATGACGAACCCGGGCGCATTGTCGTCCGGGTATCTGTCTGATGAGATTGCTATGTCGTGGGGCTGATAGCTCCAGCTCTGGAGTGAGGGTGCAATGAGAATCTTGCAAAAGTCGGGCTTCTCGCGCTTCCTCCTGACGGCGTTTTCCAAGACGGTCCCAAGCTGGTCGCAGTTTGCGGCCGTCAGCACCGCCACGCACTGGGCTTTTTCTATGAAATAAGACGCCTCCTCCACAGGAGCCTGCGGGCCTGACATATATTGAAAATGGCTTAGTTTTTTAATTCTCCCACATATTGTGGTTTGCAAAGGGGGTCCGGGGAGCCTTGACATTGCTTACTGATGGGAACCACGACAGCACCCAGGGCGAGAAGGCCGAGAACTGCAACGGTGAACTCGTAGCCTCCTGGAGCCAGGACCGCGACAAAGACACGAGCTCCGCTATCACCACGGGCCAGGAGGTCCCTTGCTATCGTCTCATCCAGGCGCGCAAGGAGGTCATTCCGCATCTCCAGGACATCAGTCAACAACTGGATTCGGGATTTTTCCACCTCGAGGTTAACGTCGGCAATGATGGGTCTCGCAGGCGCACCATGAGCCAGCCGCAGCATCTGATTGAAGAAGGGACAGTTGGGCAAAACATTCCTGCCCTTGTGCGGTGGTACGAAGTCAGATCGGTCCGGGATATGCATTTTATTCGCGTAGAGCTCAGCAACTCCTGAGTCTCTGAAGGAGCGAAGGAGGAGAGACAGAGAGACATACGACTTTCAGGGACAACACCTATTTCATTGCATACGAGTATGTGTTCCATCTGGCGACATATTGTCAGTTTGACCCACATATCGCCGCGGCTGTCTAAAAAAGAGGAGAAATCGCCGTCTATCGGCTGAAGAATGCCGAAAGAACGTCGAGGAGGAGTCACGTACCGAACCGGGTCATCGGTCACTAGCCAATGCGGAGTATCAGCTTACCTTCTGCTCTGGCTGTCTATGCCCCTTTACCTTCATATTGTGTTCATGGTGCCACTCAGTTAAAGAAGGAGAATTAAAGCAGGTGAACAACAACGGGAAAGAGATGGAGAGTAACGCCAAGCCATATATTTGTAATGACGCCAAATGACAGCGAGCTTTTTATCTCCCTCTTGCTCGCTCATTCAGTTTGCTAGAAGCCGCCCCAAAGACACAAATCCTGGAAGAACGATTCACAACTCCTTGGACATGATCCAATCCATCTGGATACACTGGCCCATCTTGAACTCATGGTCCCCGACTTTGACAAACCCCAGTCCCTCATACACCTTTTGGGCGCGAAAGTTGCCCTCCCAGACGCCCAGCCACAGTGCTCTGTAACCCAGACGCCGGGCCACATCTTCAATTTGGCTCGCCAGGAACTTTCCAACTCCGTAGCCATGGAATGCCGTGGAGACGTACAAGCGCTGCAGTTCGGCGATGGATGGGATGTCCGAGATGCAGGGCTCTGAGGTGCCTTCTGTGAGTTGCGCAAAGCCGATTATTTCCTCCTCGCCATCCTCTTCGTTGGCATCAGCCGTCAAACCGTTGGGGACCGAGGATCTCTCAGAAGAGGCAACGAGAATATGCTTTGTCGCACACCGGATGTCCTCTTCAATAGCCTCTACACTATACGCCTCGGTCAGGTACGCATTCAGATCGTTCGTTGGAATACTGAAGCCAAAAGTCGTGGAGAAGACGGTTGAGCCTAGGCGCGCAATTGCTGGTGCATCCGCGATTGTAGCTGTACGAATAGTAAATGATGGCTTTGTTCTCGGTGCCAGAGCCTCAATGTTTATCGGTTTGGATCGTAACTGAACAGCTGTAGGTGAAGAAATATGTGCATTGTAAGGATATTCTAGATATTCTGCAGGTGCAGACGGAGCTGATGACGGTGGGAGAGGAACTGGGTGTTGATGGTGAACAAGCATTTTCTCCTTGCCTGGGCAGCTCCGTGTATGTGGTGTATTTGCTGAATAGTAGCTATGAGACGCCTTCACAACACCAGCTAAATCAAATGCATTCAATTCATCGACAGAGAGGGCCGCCCTAGCGCATATAATATATCTGTTGTATTCCTTTCTTGAAAATCAAAGGTACCTTGGAGCGCAGGGGGAGATAAGCCATTTCCTTCGGCGGCCAAAAAGACAGAGCCGTCTGTGCCCTACGCCCTGCGCTGTACAGTGCCTTGGCCCACTCAGAAGTCAAATCATTGTAAGGGCCGCCCAGCCCGGAAGGCGGGGTGAAGAAAAGACTTGATCAGCCCTGAGGATTGTTCTTTTTCTTTTTCTGGGCCACACTAAATTAGGTGGATAAGGACGGAGTAGTACGCCCTTCCATCAACAACGGAGGCCCCTCGAAAATTTCGTGGCAATGATTGCGCCCTTTTAACGATTATTGTCCGCGAAGCAGAGCGGAATGGAGACGAAAGCAGTGAATTAAATGACTGAATATTTCCGGGGGCATTTATTGTTATGAAACTGTTACCTCAAGAAAAGGAAGAGAGGCATGGGGCAATAAATCGAATGCCGCGCATATCCGACTCCAGCCTGCTCCTCCAGGCTCTAGATCGGGAAGGTGGGAAAGCACTCGGTCTTTTGAAAGAAGATAAATTAATAAATAAGTTCTCGACCGTTGCACGCGTACTCCTTCAGGACAATGTACGGAGTGACTCCAACGCAAAAGAGCTTGAGCAACATACTGGTGTTTGAGACAGATTCTACCACGAAATGTTATTGGAGTCAATCATCCAGGTTGACAGAATAAATCATAAGGCGCAAGGAACGGGGTAACTCACTGGTTTCAACAATCTGGTACACTGTCAACTACTTCTTTTTGCTCCCATCCTCTCCATTCTTCGAACCCTTCGTGTCCTTCCCATTGGCATTGCCCCCGTCCTTTGCTTTGTCCTTGTCCTCGCTATCATCTGCTTTTCCCTCCGTCTCTTCGGGCTGGTCTTCATCTGACTTAGGCTCGCTGTGTCCCGTCACCAGGGCTTCCCAGACAGCGTATCCAAAAACCACAACCCCAATCGCAAATGCGATCTTGAGAAAGATTTTCGCAGGTCTACCGTACTTGAAGACCCAACTAGCAAGCCATTGCATGGCAGGTGTGACCAGTTGCTCTCTTTCTCTGACCAGGTCCGGATTAACCGTGAACAGCAGAGCAATTAAAGCCAGCAAGATCAGGAGTAATGTGATAACCGTCACAACCTGGATCACGGCCAGGAGAATTGCAATATCTTTGGTCGTTTGGAGCACTTCGAATCCAGCGGCAACCAGCGGCGTGACTTGCTCGAAGGCAGAGTGAATCTCTTTGGAGTAAGGGAGTCCCATTTTGCCATGGACGGGGACACTATACCTTCGAGATATATGACGACGGGCAGGTTTCTTTTGTGCAGGGCTGGAATGCTTACTAGAATAACAATAGATCCTATGCGACAGAGTGACGATCTCATGTCTTGTACTCCGTAAACAGGGACACAACCTGGAGGATGTCGAGATGTCAGAGTGATGTCATGGGCACAGCCCCGAGCCAGACTCAGCCTTGCCAATCGCAGCCTTGGCTTGGCAGCTCCAGGAGACTCACCCACACCGCGCCGCTTTGAGATGCGCGCCTTTCGCGCCTCACCCGCTTTACCTAGTTTGTCCTCTTTGCCCGTTCATTGTTCACGATTGCTGTGGTCTTTCCGTTCGTGCAGATCCTGCTCGACGGCCAGGGACTCACTTCCGATCCTCTCCCATCCATGTAGCATCAATTCTGCGCAGAGGACCCCAACATCATCTCCTGATCCAAGATCACCACGGCTACCCCACATCCCGCCCCGTGGCGCTTGCACCACACATCAGACCGCATATCTGGATCCGACAATCCTAGACCATCCTCCTGCGACTACCAATTTCTAATATCATGGCTCTTCTGCATCAGACCTCAGAATGATATGTCGGCCCGAGACAAGGCTGATTTCTCAGAAACAATTGGTCTCCTACTCAGAGGCATCTATGCTGGGCTCCTCGCAGTCGAGACAGAATGCGTGGAGATCTACCACCATCAAGCCCAGACGGCCAACAAGTTAAGCCACGAACAGTATCAGGCCTGGATTGGCTTACATTGTGAACAGAAAATAGTGCTACTCTGGAGAGACAGAAGCCAATGTTCATTTTGCTTTACGTTTATCCTCGAAATAGCCGAGGTGCAGAGAAGAGAACTCTCACGCCGTAGCGGCGACCTGCATAGCGCGGGCCTCTTTCGCGGCGGGATGCTGGTAGCGGGCGGCGATGAGGCGCTCGCGGAAGTACTCGCCGGCGTTGACCTCCTCGTACTTGCTGTCCTCCTCGATGCAAGTAGGCACAGTGGCAAGGGTGGCCTCACGGTTGGGGCTGAAGAAGAAAGGCATCGAGTATCGCTCCTTGCCGCTCTTGTTGACGACGCGGTGCACCGTCGACTTGAACTTGTCGTTGGTGATGCGGCTAAGGAAGTCGCCAATGTTGACTACATAGCTGCGCGGGCGCGGCGGCGCGTCGATCCAGATGCCGTTAGCGTTGAGGACCTGCAATGCCTCGACCGACTCCTGGAGCACAAGGGTGAAGAAGTCGTAATCGGTGTGCGCCCCGAGGCCAATGTCAGCGCCACCAGGAGCGGGCTGGGGCGGATAATGCAAAATGCGCACGCCACCCATGGGGAACGACGTGGCTTCGTCAAAGTAATTCTCGGGTAGGTCGAGCGCCAGGGCGAAGATCTGCATCAGCTTCTTGGAGAGGGCCATGACCGCGTGAAAGTACCGGTACATGATGGGGCGGAACTCAGGGTACGCTGAGGGCCAGCAGTTGCTGCGTGCAATCGCCGTCGACTTGACGCCGCTGGGCGCCTGTGACTCCGGCTCCGTGGCGTCGTCGCCCATGGTGAACGCTTCCTTCATGTCTACCGTCGTAGCGTCGTGGTTAGCCTGATTGTGCACACACGGTCGAGATGGTAGACGAACCTCCCTTGCCGGCGCCCTCCATCTTGGTCTCGAACAGCGGCTCGTAGCCACGGAGCGCCTTGGATTTGTGGATGTGCACCTCCATCTTCTCCTCGTGCGAGAGCTCAAAGAATTTCTTGACGGCGGCGAATGTCTGGTCGATGACCTCGTCCGGAATGTTGTGGTTCTCAGCGTAGAAGAAGCCGACCTCACAGCATGCCTGGCCCACCTCACTCGCGACCTTCTTGCGGTCCTCGAGAGAACAGGAGAAGATGCTCGAGATGTCGATCACGGGAATGGACTCGAACGTCTTCTTCGCCGCCGCTCCTCGAAGGACAGGGCGTGACCCCCGCTTGCCGCCAGCATGGTAATGAACGTACTGCGAGCGCCGGTCAGGGGCGTGGGGGACCTGCAGCGAAGGTGGCTTACCTCAACTTCGTCATGACCGAGAGAGCCCATTGTGACGATGGCCTAGGCTGGGTGTGCGTGTCAATGAAGTGGTTAGACTTGTATCCGGAGCCCAGGTAGGGGTCTTCCAAGGCGTGATAGCCCCCTTGGCAGGACAGCCATGACGTTTATATCAGATCAGCAGGCAGCGGGTTTGCCGACGAGCGATGCGTCCTACGGCGCTGCCGATGGGCGGACCTGAGCGCGCTGAGGGATCGCTAGAGTGGTCACCAGTGGGCAAGTATTCTGAATCAATGAGGAGAAGGCCGGCACGTGGGGCGAGAGCTGTGAGGGCGGGGCGATCTCCCGTGGTGGAGAGGCGCGGGAAGCTTTTCCTGGCTATCGGACACCTACAAGATTAAGCATGCACATCTAATATAAGGTTAAGCATTTCTCGCGCCGCCTTGGCGCCGCTGCCTCTCCTATCATGACGGTGGGCCTGCCTCCTCCTGTCGCCTCGTCCCATCCTGTCTACTTTCTTCTACTCTCCTCTCCTTCCCGTCCTGTCCACCTCGCGCCAGGGCTCAGCATCGTGGATTACTGTCCCTGCCGCCGCTGTCTGTGGCTGAGATTGCTCGGCATGCGTGGCCGCGGATTTCCCCGACCATCATCCCCGACGGCATGGGTCGATATGCAGAGATGGTGGAAAGCGATACCCCAAGACTCCAAACTGGGCGCTATGAATACGGGGTACAGTGCATAATATTCCGTTTACATCTGATGTCCCTTGGCTACAGGCGACCTCGGAGAACGGCCGAACTCCTAGTCTCCTGTTTCCCATTTAGGGCAAAAGATCAACAAGGAATTCCGATATCTCGCCATCCTTATCAGTGGCACCCTGTACGGTAGGACTTGGGCGACTCTTTGAATGATGGTACGCATTCGACTGTTAAGATGGTCTGAGTAGACCATGGAAGACGGGCTTCCTGGGGTCTGCTGCCAGACTATGCCTTTGGGATGACTCTGTTACCGATAAGGGGTATAAAGATACCGACCCCCGTCCCATTTGTGGCGCAACCTAGTCGTGGGCAAATAGATAATTCGTGCTGGAAACCTCCTCCTACGTCTGTGCTGTTTTACATTTGCATCGTAATTCGCCCACCTGCTGTGCATCATGGGGAAAGAATCACCAGCGATAACAACTGCAGTCAACGACAAGACCGGGGACGAGGACCCCGCCCTCCGCATCCAGAGCGTTGCCGAAGACTTGGGCCTCGATGTTGGCCACATCAAGGAGATCAAGGGGGTGGATGGCGCCTACAACTACGCCAGCTCCACCGCCGTGGAGATTGACGAGAAGACGAACAAGCACCTGCTCCGGAAGATTGACTGGCATGTCTTGCCGTGGCTGTGCGGGCTCTACGTGTTGCAGTACCTGGACAAGGGAGTGTAGGGCTGCCTCACCACCCACTCTTTTCGCATGGGCTGACATAAAATGTTGAAGCCTCTCTTATTCTGGTGTCATGGGTCTGCAGAAGGAGACAAACCTGACCTCCAACCAGTACACATGGCTCGGTTCTATATATTACGCTGGTTACATCGTCTTCGCTCCCGTCCACAACCGCATGTTCCAGGTCTTCCCACCGTCAAAGTATATTGCGTGCTGTGTCATTGCATGGGGTGTCGTTCTAACGTGCATGGCCGCTTGCCATAACTTTGCCGGCCTCATGGTCCAACGAACGTTTCTTGGCGCTCTTGAGGCCTCCATCAACTGCGGCTTCTCCCTAATAACGGCGGCGTGGTATCGAAAGTACGAGCACGGCAGCAGGACCGGTATCTGGTCTGGCTGTACCGGTGTTGCCACCATGATTGGCGGATTGATTGCCTTTGGATGTGTGGACGGAGAGATCAGGCATCCTAACGCCAACTTCTCAAGCTGGAAGATCCTAGCTGTCATCACCGGCGTTGTCTCGGTCATCTATGGAGTCTGCATGTACATGTTCATGGCCACCAGCGTCGTAACGGCAAAGTTCTTCACCGAGGAGGAGCGAACTTTGGCCGTGGAGCGGCTGCGAGAGAACCATCAGGGTGTTGGCTCGACACAGTACAAGCGCTACCAAGCCGTCGAGGCATTTACAGACTACAGGGTGTGTTCCACTTCCCCCAATCTCCCCGCTTGCATGCCATACTAACACCTATCCTAGACATGGATGTACGTCTTCTTTGTCCTCTCGTCTCAGATCCCAGCCGCCGGCCTCGTACTCCTCCAGTCCATCATCATCAAGTCCCTCGGCTTCACTGTCAAGGAGACGCTCCTCCTCAACATCCCGCAGGGCGCCATCAGCGTCATCTGCAACATGGGATTTGGGATGCTCGCCGACGTGACACATCAGCGCAGCGGCGCCGCCATCCTGGCCGGCCTCTTCTCCCTCTTTGGGGCCGGCCTGTTCATCGGCCTGGGTGATCACGGCCACTTTTACCGCAAGTACGGCCAGCTGGTCGCCTACTTTTTCATGAGCGGAAGCTGCTCTACGAGCTGGTTCATTGTCATTTCCATGCTGTCGAGCAATGTGCTGGGCACGACCAAGAAGACGACGCTCAATTCCATCGTCTTCCTCATCCTCGGCGTCGCGTATCTTGTCGGGCCTCAGACTTTCCGCGATCCACCCTTCTACCAGCATGCCAAGATCAGTCTGCTCGTCCTCTGGGTCGTCAGCGTGCTCATCCTGTGCGGCTTCTTTGTGCTCAACACTTGGGAGAACAAGCGACGGCAGAGGATGCTCGAGCGCGGCGAGATCTCCGACGGCCATGGTACAAACGTCGAGTTTTTGGACTTGACGGACAAGGAGAATAAGCTATTTCGGTATGTTATCTAGACTGAAGGGAAGGGATGGAGATAGGTACAGTATGTAGATGACCAGCATCCTCTTGCAGGAAGGGGGGACGGGAACACTCCCGCTCGGCCGCCTTGATGGGGTTCGAAAATGAAAGAGAGAACTAAGTACTGGGTACACTCAACCTTGTCACCCGCAGCCTTGGCTTGGCATTGAAACATGAGTAAAACTGCTCGGAACTCACGTGCGACTCACCTCAGCCGTGCCACTCTTATGACCACCCACCTCCCTCTCACCACCTTCAAACTCACCTCGCTCACCCTCACACTCACTCTTCATCCTAACCTGCTCCACCACGTGCAGCACCAACGGGGACCCAAAATTAGTGGCGTGTTAACCAGTTCCATCCTTGATGCCTTTTCGACTTTCGACCACTTTCCAGTCCCCTCGTTTGGACGTACTCTTCCTTATACTGGTACAGTATAACCCGCCGCCATTGGATGCTCACGTCCTATTTCGCAAGTGTGTCTCTTTGAGGAAGTGGAGACTTTACGCGACCCTCCACGAGGGTGCAGTTTGTGGAACCTAAAGGTTTGAACCTGGAACTCTTTGCAAGGACGGTGGATGCAATGTCTCGCAATCCATTCTCGCACAAGATGAATCACATTTCCAATGTTGTTACTCGGGTCGCCCTTGCTCTTGATAGCGACGCGCACGCTGATACTCAAATCAGTCCTGCCTTAGGTGAGGCTGTAGTAGTTTGACCAGCATGTCGTTGTCCTCCTCTTCGATCGCTTTCCAACTTTGGGTTTTGCTGTCTGTCGCCGCTGTCACTGCTGCTGAGGAAGCTGGATCGAAAAGATAGCATCAGGCGAAACTGCAGGTCGAGACACCATCCTGATCAGGGTGCAAATCGACGTAATACAACCATCAGAGAATAGGCGGGAGAGTAAGGTGTTTCCTGTAAGCAGACAGGAGAGTAGGGCCACGCGCGGGTATGAGTGGTCGCGCTCGACAACAAATTGAACAGCAGTCTTGTCAGTATAGAGGTCTATAGGGCAAACGCAAGTTGTGGGGAAATTTTCCGCCGAATTTCGTGGTTGCCGCCGCCGCTTTTTAAGGCAGTTCTCCCTCGATACCAAGAACGCTAACCTGGTCTTCCCTACAGGGTATTCTTGACTGACTTTTACACGGCCTGTAGTGAGGCTAGAGATAGTCCCCTTTGGAAACGATAAGAGAATCGTCCATTCCTCAGAAGAATAGGTACCTTCGGCCGAACTACGCTAGCTAAAGCGCCGTGAGGATGCGTAGGAGGATCTTTTGAATGGATCTTCTTATACTTTCATAGAGTGGAAAGAGTTGGATAGAAGAAGGATCTTCGTCGAGGCTAAATAGCCGTGTGAAATCTTAGCCGTAGACTAATTATCTAATATTCGCCTAAGTATTGGTAACTATATTGAGTACTCCGTATACAGTGGCACGATGGCGTGTGTCTATTGACCCAGTGGAGGACTGGTACCAAATTTCCCCACCTCCTCCTAGCTATTGTCGATTATGATAGTAGTGGACTGTCAAGCCCAGAGTTCCCCGTCAGACAATATGGCAGCAGCACTGGCCCATAAGTGGCCTCATTATCACCTTCATTCCTTAGGAGTTTTCCTCGCCAATTTGGTACGGTATGGAGTTCAGAACAGGCGAATAAACACCCGAAGAGTGGCGTATATCTTGGTAGAATGTCGCGTCACACAGCTGCTCTTTGTTAACTGTTCACTTTCTTCATTTTCCGAACTCACAGGCGTGCTGCCGACTTCAAGCAGACGCAAACATAGATGCAGACTATGTCAGTCATGTCTTCATGCAACTAGCGTCCCACGCCGTTCTCTCTCGGTAAAGAGAACGAAAACTGCACAGAGAGCGATTCTTGCACAAGCTTATTCGACTTGTAAGCCTTGCTGCTTCATGTATCAATCGTTTAGAAGGCGGCGAGTCTCAGATGCATGTCTACGGACACACCCGACTTTCGTTCTATCTTCAAAAGCCAGAGAGTTTCCCCAAAGCTGACCTTAGTGGTATTGTCAATTTGAGAAACCGGCACCAGCGCGACTCAGATCCGGACAAACGGTCAGCTGAAATTGAACCAGCCATGGCCAATACTCTGGAACCTCCAGGAAAAAAACACGGCAATTTCCAAACCAGGTCTCCAGCTTAAATATCATCCTCTATGTCTTCGCCGAGGCAGCTATTATTGCTACGGACATCGCTGAAGTAATCTCTAAGAAATACTGATGGTTCTGTGAGAGTTGTACTAATAACCCTTAGGTGATTGGGTCCGCGATTGCCGTGAATCTCCTTTTCCATATCCCGCTGGTTGCGGGCTGTGCAATCACGTTGGTCGATGTCCTTCTTCTGCTTCTTTTCTATCATCCGGATAGCACCATGACGCGTCTTCGCCTGTTCGAGATGTTCATGATGTGCCTTGTCCTGGGAGTCGTTATCTGCTTTTGTATCGAACCATCATACATCCGGAACTCGACCGTCGGAGAAGTATTCTTAGGTTACGTCCCTTCCTCTGCCGTTGTTGAAGGTAATTGGATCTACCTCTCTTGCGGTATCTTTGGGGCAACAGTTATGCCGCATTCCATCTTCCTCGGCTCGGGAGTTGTGCAAACGCGTCTCCGTCACTTTGACGAACGAAATGGTATGTGGCCTCCTCGAAACGGAGACGAAGAAGGGAGGCTAGATACCAGCCTTCGATCGCGGTCGTCCGATTCTGTCTCAAATATTCGGTTATCAAACTTGGGCTTTCGCTGTTTACCTTTGCGCTCTTTGTAAACAGCGCTATCCTTATCGTCTCTGGCGCCTCTCTCTACCCCAAGACAGCAGCCACTGAAGCCGACCTCTTTGGCATTTATGACCTGCTGTCGCAGAATCTCTCGGATGCAGCAGGCACTATTTGTGCCATTGCTCTTAAGAAAGGTCGGCGTTGCACTATCCGTCGAGCTGTTGAAAAAAATAAGTGGCACACTGAATAACGATCATAGTATCACCTAAGACATTCATCCACCTCAGTCAAACTTTTAGTGTAAACATATAACTTTTATTCTCTAGATATAGTCAGTCTTAAGCTCATATGCTACTAGAAGGTCTAAATGTTGTACATCATTACCTCAGATAAAGTTGGTAAGAGAAGGGCTTTGGAATTCTATCATTCTAGAAATGGTGCAGTCTGACCGTGAGAGTGTGCCACTTTTTGGTTCTAACCAGTACGGGCTCGCCGACTCCACGTGATAAGGCGCTAGACCCTTTTGGGACCATGCCGAGTCTAACCCGGATCAGACGAGTGAGAACAGGGCGGCATCCGCCTAAGCCGGAAGCAGGGTGAGGCGCAAAGCAGTTTCTCATCTTAGCGGAGAACTAATAAATGCGCGTTTCTCCAACCGTGTTCAATTCGCATTGACACTTGGATCAAGCAAGCACCACAAACACACACCCTCATGACACTCATGATAGTCTAAAGCACAGGCTGGTGACATCTCGCGCAATTCTCCCCTTCTTTGCATCCACTCCCACGCCCGTCTTCCTCGAATCTCGCTGGTCGCCATGCATAGTGCTCTGAATCGACTCCAGTCGACTTTCGGGTATTTTACCAGCTGCGCCTTTACTCTCGCTTGCATAATTGCGGTACTCTCCATAACACCCATACCTGCCCCAACGGGCTCGCCAAGTGCCTCAATATCCGTTCGAAATGTCCAAGTCGTGAAAGGCCGGCCGCACTATTACTCCCCTAAACGCGAAGAATACGCTCAAATCAGATTCGATCTTGAAGCCGATCTGTCCAGTCTGTTCACCTGGAATACGAAGCAACTGTTTGTCTATGTCACGGCGAACTATCCCGGTGGAAAGAATGGCAAAGGAGGAATGTCTGAAGCTGTCATCTGGGATACAATCATCCCGGCAACGTCAACTCCATATTCATGGCAGAATTTGAAACAGACCTATTTCCCCGAGAAGAAGTCAAAATCCAAGAGCAGGAAAGCTTCGAATACAAAATCCAAGACCAAGGATCTTGTCAAGCCAGGCGTCATTTCCTTGAAGAACCAGAAACCAAAATACCAAATCACAGACCCCAGCGGTGTCATCAGTGAGAGGGGTAATGCTACCCTGCAAGTCAGTTGGAATGTGCAGCCTTGGGTTGGCGCTTTGGTTTGGGACAAAGGCTATCTGGGCGGCCGAGTCGGAAAATGGGAGCCTGGTAACGTGGGCAGAAGTGAGACTTTCGAATTTCCTCCTCTAAAGGGGGCAAAAACAGATGTCGTCAAAGATACCGAGGGACCAAAGACTCCAAGGGCCGGGGCAGCCTCTCCGGTCGTCGAGATTTAATCGCAATGCGAGCGTCCTGACCAACTTCCTATCCCTTGGGGTTCTTCGGCGACTTGAACATTCATTTGACATGGCCTGTGGAGGCCTCTGAGGGTATCGACAGATTGGATAGAGCCAACACCGGGGCTCGCATTATGATCCATGGACGAAACATGTGTTTATGCCCTTCAGTTTTGCGGTTCCGGTCTAGGCTCAACTATTTCAGTCAAACTCTTGTTCTCGATCCTCAGATATGCGTACAATGGCTTCCACGAATGTTTCAGCGAGGAAGGTATGCCGCGGCTGCTGACCGGAGCACAACTCAAGCTTTTCCAAATCCTAGGGATAGGACGGTGTGAAGACATTTCGCCTTATGGAATCATCTGCTCTTGCTTGCCTGTGCTCTTTCGCGGGCCGAAATCCGGGCTCGTCCGCTCAGAAACCACATATACGATCGACATGCAGGATCCAAGCACATACCTTCCTTTCCGGGCCCAAGGCTTATGCCAGTGAACGGGGTTACGCGGTAAACGTCTGTCTTAAATCCTTGTATGCGAGCGAGCCAATCAGATGAGACTGATGTTCTTCGAAATGAACCGATACCTTGCACACTCGCTCCGCCGTTTTCATGCGGAGCAAATCAGATTTCGGATGTGCCTCTATGGCACAGAGTGCCTGTAAGATATTTAATCGAGGCCGACAGCTCATTATGAACAGAATTAGCGGTCACCTCCATGTGCGATTTACGCTCGCTTCCGCGATAGTTCCTGTCCCGCATATCATTCTCGACCATGTCCCTGAAATACACCAACAAACTTCAAGGCAAGCGGGTTATTGTTGTCGGCGGCACCAGTGGTATTGGATTCGCCACTGCTGAAGCAGCCGTAGAATATGGTGCCATTGTGGTTGTGGCCAGTTCAAAGCAGGAAAAGGTCGACAAGGCTGTTGAGAGAATCCAGAAAGCATACCCGGACGCGGGGGATCGTATTCGCGGCAAGACCGTTGACTTGAGCTCTGACAACGTGGAAGAGCAGATTGTGGCTGTTTTCGATTTTGCAACTGACGGCGGCAAACACAAAATACACCACGTTGCGGAGACGGCTGGCGGGACTTTCGGGGTGATGCCTCTTGCCGAAGTCACGCCCGCGGTCACTGCAGAAGTCTACAAGGTCAGAATCACCGGCTGTACGATGCTTGCTAAGATTTCCATGCGATATCTCGACATCAGCCGCACCTCTTCTTTCACGTTGACCAGTGGAGTGAGCGACGCAAAACCCACTGCCGGATGGACAGTGATGGCTCCTATCGGAGCGGCGAAGAGAGGGTTGACTCATGCTCTTGCCAACGATATGAAACCTATCCGAGTCAATTGCATATGTCCAGGCGCCGTCAAGACGGAACTGTTTGATAGCTTTGCGGGAGATGGACTGCAGAAAATCTTGGACCACTACACGGCCAAGTCATTGATCAACACTATTGGCGCCCCCGAGGATCTGGCGGAATGTTATATGTGTGCAATGAAGAGCGATTTCATGACGGGGCAGGAAATCACTGCGGACGGGGGGTTTCTGCTGTGCTAGCTTGATGAAGAAGGCATATGGCTGCAGGATTGAGACAGATGAATTGATACTGTCCCCTGGGAGCAACCATCCCTTTCCAATGGCATTGTCTATCTATATGTCAAATACTGGCTTGGTAGATCCATCCGTCCACAACTCGTATGATTGCATATTGGGGGTCACCGAGGGGCGAGACGTTGATTGTGGCCCCGTGTACCGAGTATCCAATAGCATTGCTGGAGGTGGAGGCGTGCGATGACACCATTGGTCCCGTCGATCAGGCTGTCAGCCTTATTTGGATCTGGATTGATGACACCGCCTTGTTGAGCTCCCTTGACTCCCCTCCCTTATCAAGACCACGATGAAAACCTGGAGATAGCAACATTCAATCGTACCATGAGCAACTGGCTTAATCGAATCCTGTCAGAGCCTGTCTCTGCGCCCGCAGTTCCTAACAGATTGGACGCCTCGTGGCTACAAAGCCCCTTGACTGCACGTACAGCGGCAAGGCTCAAAGACCCCAATGCCCCCAACTACCGTTACCAGGTCAATCAAAAATGTATCTACGAGCGGCGACTGCCGGGCGGCTCTTATATCACAGCCCACGTCCAGCGCCTTCAGTCTGGCTTCTATGACAGCCCCGTGATCCACGAGGGCCGCATCGACAATGTCCGCTTCGTGGCCATCAACTTTGTCTTCCATCCCAGTTCCAGCACCTATCGTTTCAAATCGGCCGAGATCAACATCGCTCTTCACCACACCAGCGAGGGTGATAAGAACCCGCTGCAGGTGGTCGCCGGTCTGGCACCTAGGAGCAGTCACGATCATGGCACGCAGACCGAGACGGTGAGCAACGCGCTTGTGAAAAGCCGTGACTGTGTACATGGTCCGAGGTTCCAGCCTTCACGGCCCAAATTCCTTCGCCACGCGCCGCATCTCCTCTACGGGGCCATCTCCCCGGAGACGTTGAACTGGAACTTCAACCTGGCGGGGTCTCTTGGTGTATCCCAAGGGCCGGCTAGCGCGAGTTTCAATCCCTCTTATGGCGTCAAGAGCAGTTACAAAATCTACGAGATGATGAAGATCCAAGGCTCCGTCCGGACACTCCGGTCGTGGTATGGACGCGAATACGACATTGAAGACGGCGAGCTGGTCTGGACCCTAGAGGAGAACAAGCTCCAAAAGTCCGGGCTACCGCGGGAGTTCACATTTGTCATGCTGCTCACCAAGGGCGGTGGAGGGTTTGAACAGAGTGGCGATGTCCGGCTCGAACTCGATGTCCATCCCAAAGTCGCCGGAAGACTAGGAGCTGCCTATCCATCTTTCATCACAAACCTGCACCAGTATCAACCTTTCAAGAGGGAAATACTAGACCTCGACGAAGAGATCGGACAGGTGTTTGAGCAGCAAATCAAGGGCAAAGGCTACAACTTTGCCAACATCGCGAGCAATTTTGACGATTTCGTCTGGCTGCCTGGTACCGCATATTCGACTTCCGACGGCGGTGTACCTCAGTCGCCAACAGGAGGTAGTGGGCTACAGCAAGGTCCTCCACAGCAGGAGGGACAGCAACAATCTCAGCAAGGATCTCGACCCCATCACCAGCACCCAGAGGTCCAACAACAGCTGCTTTCGTCAGGCGACACAACACTCAACTTGAGAGTGCTTCTGGAAACCTCTCGCGGGAGCCCCGTCCCTTTCTACAACCAGTTCCAGCAGCAACTGCCATACCTGAGTCTGAAGGTGCCATCTCAGAATCCGTCCTCGCGAACACAATCACCATTACCTGCTCCTTCCATTACAGGCTCGCGGAACTCGACCCGTCGAACAATCACAATCGGCTCGTCGAGATCGGTAAGAAAACAGCGCTCGCGCTCTGAGCTTTCGAAAGAATACAAGTCGTCCCCTACGCAGCCCAAGACAGCAGCAGAACCTCGGCTCTCCTCCTTTGGTCAGGCCGCGTCGAGGCAGCAGAGAACTTCCGCAGCCCCAGTGCGGCGGCCATTTACATTCCAGGAGGAGGACGAACTGAATAATCAAGACTGCAGCACCCAGATGTCATCGCCGGAGGAGCACGTCATAGTACTGCCGAACAACAGTTCGCCACCAATAACCCGTCACCCAAGTCCAGAATTCGCCACGCCGCCTTCACACCCGCAGTCTTATCCGGACCTGCCATCTTGACGGTATGGCCGGCCTCGAGGACGACAGGGCCCAGGGTGCCAACGATCCGCCCAAATCAGCCGATCCGATATCGATTCCGACGCCGGAGTGGGAGTACGACGGTTGGGAATGGCCTCTTCCTGCAACACGAATATGCCAGGGACTCTTATGGATATGAATCTGGCTGCACTGTGTCTTCTGTTGTCGAACTCCATTGTAATATTTGTCGTCTCGCAAGCCTGCAAGGCTGCTTGGTTCTTCTAGTAAAATTCGCGGAATGTTTGGGAATCTATATACGGACTGAGGTTTGGAATGACGTTGGTATTTGCTCCAACTTCCATTGGGTCACAAACGTTACCTAGGTATATTAAGGGAACGAACAGGAGAAAGGGTCGTGTCTATTCCTTAACCGGAGAAAGCTGAAACCTGTCAATAGTGCAAAGCCGCTAGCCAAGTCCTGAGATGTCGGACTCATCCCCCATGTCTGCCAAGAAGGGTCTCAGGACTGTTCGTTCTGCCAGCTCGTCTGCGCAACTCCGCGACTGCATGCCTTTATCTTGACAATAATGAAAGCAGAGGATCCTAGTGCTAAGTATGGCTGGAGAGCCGAGTATAACCATCACTACGAAGGGCTGTCACCTTTCGAGTACAAACCCCTAGAGGATGATCGCAATATACGCCTATTACAATTCCACAAGCATGCAGCATTATCAGAGTTACAAGCAAAGTTAGGCAAGTCAACCACCGACCATCTCATCGGACCAAATACGACTCGGGTGAGGATTCGCCGGAATCCAGACCCAGATGACCTTACTTTCTGGCCGTTAGCAGTCACATTAGTCGAGGTACCTCTGGACAAGTTGCCCCCGTTTCAAAGTATATCGTATGTATGCGGGCCCCAAGAGCAACGCGCAATCATCTGCAACGGTCGACTGTTGTTCATTAACCGGAACTGCGCTCTCGCACTCTACCATCTATCCTGCGACCTGCAGGACTCAGAGAACGACTACATCTGGGTGGACCAAATTTGTATCCACCAGGATGATGCGGCGGAGAAGGGCCAGCAAGTTGCGCTTATGGCAGAGCACTATTCTTGCTCGACCAGGACGGCCGCCTGGATAGGGGAAAGCGACGAAGAATTGGAAGAGTTGTTCGAGACACACAACAAGCCAACCACTGCGATGCTCATCGGTCATGGAAATGGGCTACCCTTTCAACGCGAAGGCATCGCGAAACTGTTCTCGAACCCGTGGTTCCGTCGCGGCTGGATCGTCCAAGAAGCGGGACTATCGCGTGAGCTGGAGCTTTTCTGCGGAAGCTATGTGGTTTCGTGGAGTACATTACTGGACTTTTACCGAGAGAGCCTAGTCTGGCCTCGATGGTCGCTGCCCGACCGGGAGACGATATATCGCTTCAACCAGTTACGGCGAACGATCATCCATTCAGAAACCCGCAGCCTCAACATCAGACAAGCCCTGGAATTCACTCAACACACGTCAGTGACCGACCAGAGAGACCGTCTGTATGCGTTGTTTGGCGTCTGCAAGCCGATCAGAGAACTGGCGGGATTTCCAGACTATACCATCACATCCGAGGAATTGTACCTAAAGTTCGCCTTTGCGGTAATCAAGCAGTACGTTCCCAGCTCTCCTTTCCTCTGGCAGATGATTACGATCTATGGCAATGGCCCAGACGATACGGAGCGCTTGCCATCATGGGCACCGGACTTCTCCCACGGCAAATCTAGATGCTTGATCCATCCTCTGAGCAGGATGTCCGATTTCGAAACGTCGTCGCGCTTGACGCCTTCTGCTCTTCTAACCCAGCAATTTGATGAAGAGTCACGTACTTTGACATGCCAATGCGTGGATATCGGCACCCTGGGACATGTGCTGTGGGATCGCCCAAACGATCTTCACCATACCCTCATCGAGGACCCACATGCAGTCCAGCGCATCCTCGACGCCAATGCAATCCACGAGTATAACATGTCCGGCCAAGGCCGTCCCGTCCGGGTTAACCCAGCTCGCCCGACTGACCTGCTGTACCGGCTCGTCGAAGACGATTACTTCGACAGTGCGAAGAAACTCCCATTCCACAATGCAGCCGAGTGGCAGGACATGAAAGTATTCGTCACCGCCCGTGATGATTGGCTGGCGGTGGCTCCCGCGTGTGCCCACGAAGGCGACAAAGTCGTTCTGTTCGAAGGGAACATCCCGACTGGCCAATTGTCGGTCCTGCACGGAAACGGGGACGGGTTGTGGAAGTATGCTGGTACCTGCTTCCTCCTGGGCTGGAAGCCGCACGGTAGCAGGAAGATTGTGGATGAGTTGGGAACATGTGAGGTTTCTTTGCGGTGAGAATATTGCGGATATCCGTGTGTATATATATATATATATATATATATATATATATGTATATCTTATCCTTCAAAAGCTGCAGGCATGTGTCCTTGGTATGGTTACCAATAGCATTCAGTCGATCGCGGCATAGAATATGAAATAAATCTACAACAAACGGTCTTTGCATGCATGACCCAGCCTGCCCAGCTCCATGTCTGAAGCGTCTGTTCGGCAATCCATCATATTCGTATCCTCAGTCGGCCACACGATCAGCAGAAAGGCCGAGATAGAACTACCTGGCATCTCCCTCGGTCTCCTGGCGGGCGGAAAGATATACATGCACACATATTTATACGTAAGACTCCTCCGAGGACACTTTGACAGGTATTCGCAACCGGAGCTGAAGGCGTGCCAGCGCCCAGCGGCTTCAATATTCGTTCCGCCGCCGCCTCGGAGCACGTCGTTGTCCAGTGGTGGTTGTAACAAGCACAGCTAGGTACGTGGCAAACCAAAGTGTATTAGGCAGAAGAGAAGTCACGCGGTTTGACTTTTGACGAGGTGTGACAAGCTAGTGTTCTTGGGACGAACGTGCTTGGTGAGAGTGCAATTGTCATATGTACCTACAAGTAGGTATCACCGGCCTGGGCTTGTCTTGCGACGAAAGGCTAGAGGGCCGAGGATATTAGAGGGATCTCTAGGAGGATATATATACTCACGGCTAAATCCTAGGGACCCTCACTAAGAGGCTAGATAGACCCTTTAGTTCCTATGACCCTTGAGACGCGGGTGGTCTTTCACCTCGGTTCTCGTCCTAATACGGGGGTGAGGCGCGGACAGTGATCAAAGTCGGTCCCAATTCAACGGAATAGCTGAGCCAACTGGGGAGACGATTCAATTCCGATTTGGATTTTGAATTTCGATTTCGACTCCGACTCCCATTCAGAGCACCCGCTGGCCAAGTAGAGTCTCCCGGGCTGCCACTTTGCAGCAGTAATGGGCCAAATGTCTCCCCAAAGCCTTGTGCCCATCAATTAAGTTAATGGCATCCGGTTTCTCCAAGAAGATACACATACATAACATACAATTCGCTACCCTCTGATCTCAACGCTCCTCTGGGCCGAGTCTCAAACTTGTGACCACGCCAAACGCATTCCTCAGGCGGGCGACATGCTCATGGGCGCGCCGTCTTCGCCTTCCGAGTCCCCATCTCCGTGTTCATGCTCTATTGTTGTCTCCGTCAACGGATCTGCCGCTCGATTCGTGGCGTTCACAGGAGCGCTATCACCATTTGCGGGTGGCGGAGGAGGCATGCTTCCTTTCGACGCAGCCTCATCATCCACCTTGGTCTTTTTGTCGGCGCCTGTAGCCAAATCAGTAAGACCGGCTTCGCGAGCCTTTCTCTTCTCTTTCTCTCGAATGTATTCCTCTTTTCTGCGCTCTTTCTCGCGCTTGTCGTTCTCTCTCCTGTGCGCCTTGCTTTCAAATTCATGCCAATCGCCTTCGACATTCGCAAGCTCCACTGGCTGTTCTGGCAGCGGCTCCTCAGAAGTGAAGTACTCGTGATTGAGCACTTGTTCCGCGTTGGGCCGCTTTTTCGGGTCGTATTTGAACATCTTCTGCACAAGGTCAAGACCCGCGGGCGTGAAGATGTCTTTGAACATGGCTTCAAATACCCTCTTTCGTCGATCGACCGGTTGCATGAGCTCAAACCAAGGGAGATCCACAATCCCGGGCCAATCTGATCGAGTCGGTGTTCCGAGCACGTTGTATACTTTGTCGAGTTGGCTGAGCTCTCCGCCTTCTCCTGGGAAGATCGCTTTCTTGGTGAACATTTCCACAAATACACAAGCTGCAGACCAGATATCCACTTCAGGTCCATATTGAGTTTCACCCAGGAGAAGCTCCGGAGGTCGATACCAGATTGTGATCACACGATTGGTGTAATCGAGTTTTCGAGACTTGTTGTAGAATCGTGCAAGGCCGAAGTCGGCGTATTTCAGTTGACCTGTGTTAGAGATCAGAATGTTGGCGGCCTTGATGTCCCGGTGCAACACGCCCCGTCGATGGAGATAATCTAGGCCATCAAACATTTGCTTGGCCAAGTCCTTTTTGTGTGCCGGCGTAAGTTTGAATGTTGGATGGTTGATGAGTCCAGTCAGGTCATGCGAGAGGTACTCAAAAACCATGAAGCATTCGTTCTTTTCCACCATGACCTCTTGTAATGCCACCACGTGCTTATGTCGTAGGTGTTGCAATAATCTGATCTCGCGCACGGCCGTGATGGGAAATCCGTCTCGTTCGCCTTCCATTCGAATCTTTTTCAGTGCAACCTTGTCCTTTGTGTAGATGTGAATGGCCTTGAATACTTTTCCATATGTACCTGCGCCCACAACAGACTCGTTGCCCGGCTTTCGGTAATATATAGACTCGGATTCTGCAAACTCGGGAGGCAACGTAGGCCGAGACTTGATCTCTTTTTTGATCTTCTTCGAAGGTGGAGAGCGCGATCGGTCCGGTCGGCGTTCCCTTGAAGGTGGTTGTTGATGCTGCTGTTGCTGTTGGCGGTCGTTGGGCGGCCTTCGGTCTGGATAAGCCGGAAATTTCCGATCATGAGGCCGAAATCCATGTCTGTCGTCACGGCGGTCAAAGTGTTTGTTCTTGGGGCCTTGGGGCGGTGGCGGCCGATTATCTGGAGGTTGGAATGGTCCCTTTGGTCTTGAAAAATCTGCAGCAGGTTTAGCTGGAGCCTGAGGAGGAGCTTTGGACTTGAAGGCGAAGCTGAATTTGGAAGCAGCCGGTCCTTGTTGGTCATTACCCTGTGTGTTCTGATCTGTATTGTTGATCCTGCTGTTCCCTTGATCCTCCACTTGCAATTCTTTTGACGGTCGGAAGGCATTCTCCTCCTCGGCTGGCGCGCCTTCGCGGCCGTCCTGTGACGCCGTTTGCGAATGAGTTGGAGATGTTTGCGATTGATTCCCGTGTCCGCCTTGAAAATTTTGGTTTTGCGATCCACCTTGTTTTGGGCCTGGTGCTGTCCATTGTAAATTATTGAAATGTCCGCCTCTGCCTCGATGACGGGGGCCGTTGAATCTCTGGTCTTGTTGGAAATGCCCACGGTGAGGACCATGACCACGACCCCCTCGGTAGGATTGTTGATATCCGTGTTGGCTACCCCCGTAGTGGCCTTGCTGGTTTTGATAGTAAGGATTAGGGTTATTTACGCCGCCTGGACCAGAAAAGCTATTTTGTCGATATGGAGGAGAGGAATTGTGCATCTGGCTGTGAAAGATATTAGCAATGAAACAGCTGTTACGTTCTAATGGTACTGACCCATGATGGCCTTGCCCTCCCCAGCCGCCTCTCTGATGATGATATGGTGAATTCTGCGGCGGCGAGCCGTGATAGGAGCTGTTAGAGGAATATGGCGGGGAGCCTCCATATCCTTGGTGTCTATTTTCGGCATATGGCCTTTGTTGCCCTCGATTCATTCCATAGTTACCACGTGATGGATATTGGGCATCCATGGGGCGGTTAACGGTATCGTCGACAACGGAAGGAGCTCTCGGGGAGGGATTGTCCTTCTTGGCAGAAGGGCCACCTTTGCCCGGCAGAGGACGTCGCGGCGGTCGGGTCGAATTTACGGATGATTCTCGAGTTTCGATAGATGAATGCTTGGACTCGGGGCGCCGATGCGGAGATAATCTCGTAGGCGGACGAGGGGAGACGGATCGCTTATCGCGTGTGCGGGAAGGCGAAGACTCTCTTTGGCTGGCAGGATCGTAATTGCCACGATCAGCTGCTTGGGATGTCGAGGCGGGTGAACCGAGTCGAGATGAGTATGGAGGGAAATCCCTAGGCGGTAAAGGAGATGGAGGATTCGGCGGACCCCTATCGTCTATATCAGAAGGGTCCCGGCTGCGAGCACGTCTGCGGCCTTCGAAGCCAAGTCGGTCGCTGCCGGCGGGAGATGGGCTTTGAGTGCGCCTCCGTTTGGGCAATCGGGTGGGCGAGAAGTCACGGCGTCTCCCAGGTCGATCTCCAAATGATTTTCGAGGTGGTGGGTGATGAGGGTGTTGCTGTTGCTGCTTGGGTTTAGAGTAACGAGGCGGAGGCGAAATGGAAGACTGTCTACCGTGCAATTTCCTGGAGTCTCTGTCTCTCGAAAATTGCCGCTTCCAACGTGGCTCACGGTGATGGCGACCTGGCCGCGTGCCCCGCCCGTAAGATGCTGAGGCTTCTTCTCCTGGACGTGCAGAATGTGGTGATTGAGGTGGTCCGCTTTCACGATTTCCGTCTCTGTCCCGCGGTCGATGATGTGGATGTCTCTGGGGCGGATCCTCTTCGACTCGCCAACGATTCTTCATTGATGGACTCCTTCGAGACCTCGCCATGTAATGCGGGGCGGCATTGGCAAAGACGTAGGACGGGGAGATTCGACGATTTGCAGGAGAGTAATGGTCGCAGCAGTAGTGCTCGTGAGGAAGTGGGTGTGGATGTTCAGCGAGTCCTGCGCAGTTTTGGAGATTCAGCACCATCGCCAGCCAGAGGCGAACATGGGTTTGGGTTGATGGTCCAAGGACTTGGCAAGCCTGTGGAAGTGAAAAAGCGGCGAGCAGGCCCCCGTTTGCCCCAGTCGGCATCGAGTCAGGCCGCTGGCGCCTCAAGGGTCCTCATGTTCTGGAGGGTGGGAGGGTAGGAGGGAGTTGTCTAGGGGGGAATAGAGGACTCACCTGTTGCCCCTGTTGCGCCTATTGTCGACTCAGGCCTAGGCTCGCTCCCACGCCACCTTTGGTGTCCCATCTCCCTCTGCCTCTCCCTCTCCACCCTCATCACCATCTCAGCTGCTCCCTCACTCCGCATCAACCTCTTGTCCGCTTTCTTTTACCTTTTGCCCGCTTTCTTTTACCTTTTGCACTGCCCATCACTCTGGATGATCCCAGCAGCGATAAATGGCAGCGATCTACCGCTCAAACTACAGTGGCCGTAGTCGCGCTGTCGTGTGAGAACTGCGTCAAGAGAACAGTCTCGGTCTCGGTCGCGGCGCCGCTTTGTTGGCGGCAATTCAAGGCGTCAGAGATCAAAAGGTCGAGTGACATACTGCACTTCAAAAGTGACAGTACAAGACGCGACAGTCTATCTACGTGAATCCTCCTTCTCGGCGCCTTTCCATGACAATAGCAAAGCACTCGGTCAACGGCCGACCATTGACGAGCTTGCGCTTTGCTGTTCACTGCCAGTAGTAACACGGTCAATAACCTGGTCCCCAACCGCCTTCGACTTCAACCGTTCCTCCCGACATTTTATGCCCTTGTAGAATCAGACATTGACCACAAAAAGGCACCAATATCTGTTCACATGGCAATGACATCCATGAATCCTGGATGTCGGTTTGCTCCTACTAGACATCATATCAGCAATCAAGTTCTTATGTCTCCAGGATACTTGACCGAGCGATTTTCAAGCAGCGTGGGGGCGTAGAAGTGGCAGGTCTGTCCTGTTAGCCAAAACGCAGTTGAGCTGTGGTCGGCTTGAAGGATGAAATTAGAAACGTTGGTCGAGCGTGATTCCCGGAAAAAGGATAATGAGGGCTTGACGGTAGATTGTAACGCAGTCCGATCGCTGTACCTGGAACTCGGTGGCAGCGGGATTCGGCCTCCTGGGTGGTGCGGATATCTTGCAAGGAAATAAGAGTGTGACAAGGATGAACGTCGACATCAGAACTACATGTCCAAGAGTAATGTTGCCGCAGAGTGAGCGCAACCATGACTTCCGAGGCTCAAAAGTCCAGAGAGGGAGGGCGGGTACATTGAATGTGTACCAGTGCGCAAGGGCTGTGGCCGCTGACCGCCTAAATTGACCTCCAACATAGCGATTTTCAGTCGATCTGCCATCTCTCCGCTGAGCATAATTAACAAGAGGAAGGAAACAAGCCCCGACCTCCGGAGCATAAACGAGAGGAAATATCAGAGGCAGCAGAAACGACTCTCGGTATCGTCGCTGGCTTACAGTGTACAGAACGCTTGAGAACGACAATGATGAGAGATGTTGAGGTGTGTACGGTGAAGGATCCTGCGACTTGGATGCCAAGAGACTAGTACAAAGTGGGAGGCAAGGAGGCAAGGAGGCTGGGCGTCCGGCGAAGCAAGCACGCCTCGACGCGCATTTTGATATACACCCGAGCCTCTCTCGATGCCTGCCCACTCTAGTCATAGCAGCCATCTATTGTGCAGCAAGAGCATCTCCGTGCATATAACCCGCTCACAGCGGCAAGTCCAGGTCGATGATAAGGAAATCAGCGGCGGCCATTGGGCTGCATTGACCTTACATGTCACCTCTTCTGCCAGTACTCCACTTCCCAGCTCTTGCTGAAAGAGGGAATTCCCGGACGAACCCCAGCTGCGGTCTTGGGGGATATTTCTCTTTGAAGCGTCATTCCGCTTTGCGGCCTGTTCCTCTCTGATTTTGCCTCCCATCGTTTTGTCTTGGCAACAACGCAATACAGCGTTGACTGCACGACCTGAAACTCCCATTTCAAGATCGGCTTCCAGAGTTTGATCATCTCTCCTGATCAAAATGGTCACCCGTCAATGCTCATCCTCTCACCAATCCCTTTCTCCCCCATCAACTCGCATCCCGTCCTCACCACGCCAATCATTCCACCAGTCTGCACACCCTCACTTCCGCCTCCTGCCAATCTGTATTCAATCTCTGCGAGCCCTTGCAACCAGGTCACTCTAGTCGCGGCACTAACTTCGAGGTTCTGTAATTCTTCGGCCAGAGCAGTCAATATGTCCGCGAGGGCCAGTCCACGGCTACTCTTCAAGGCATTAATCGTCCTCAGACATTCCGTTAGATCTGGCGTGCTCAACATAGTCGTCATGATTAAGCGGATATCTTCGGGATGCGGCACCGCAATACAATTGTAAATCGCGTCGTTCGTAATCAACTCATATTTGATCTCAGATTCCTTGACGGGAGGCTGACCTCGCATTGGTAGTGGCCGGGATCCCGCATAGCAAGCTTGAAGAACGTTCAACGCTCGACGCATATCTCCTTTGGACAATCGGACCAAAGAATCAACGGCCTCCGGAGTGATATCCACATGTTCCTGTGCGATCACCTTGTCCACCAGCCGACGAATATCCGCTTCCTTTAGGGGCGAGAACCGGAATCGAGTACACCGCGATAGCAACGCCGGAGATAACTTGTGTGTGTAATTCGCAATGATGCAGAATCTTGTATTGGCCGTGTATTTCTCCATGATCCTCCGCAATGCCATTTGTGCCGCGGACGTCATCGCGTCTGCTTCATCGAGAATAATCAACTTGAAAGCCCCCAGTCCAAGTTTAGGTCCGCCAGGAGTCTGCTGAGTTGCTGTACTGAAGATTTGCTTGGTCGACGCAAAAGTTTTGATGTGTTCGCGAACCACGTCGATGCCGCGGTCGTCGGAAGCATTGAGCTCGAGAACCATCTGTCTCATGTTCTTGGGCCCGTATATTTGTCGTGCCAGCGCCAAAATTGTAGAAGTCTTCCCTGTACCGGGCGGTCCATAAAAGAGGAGATGGGGTAGTCTGTTGTGTTCGATAAATCTGTTGATTGTAGCGAGGATGTCTTGGTGGCCCGAGACATCGTCAAGGGTATTAGGCCGGTACTTTTCAACCCTGTATTCACTGTGAGTAACTACTCCATCTACTTGAGACGCGCAGGGAATTGCGACATACCATGGTAAGTTGTCCTCTGCTTCCAATGGCAAGTCCGCAGCTATTCGCTTCTGCTTGCCCGCTGTATGGTCCGAGCTGAACTGGATTGACTTGTCCTTGGACGGAGGCGCATCCAGGCCCATGTCATCTTCGTAATCTGACATCCTGAACCAGATTGTGTACAGTTGAATTATTGACGATAGCACTTGAAAGTACCAAGGTTGATGTCAATAGTCCCTCTCACACGACGCGCCTGCACCTGCGGAGACGCGTTAATTGAAATGCAGTTTATGCCGGAATGCGTCGCCCTACAATGTCTCCGTCTCCGCACATGACTGCCAAGACGTGAATGCGGGTTCGTGGCATTGGTGGGATGCGATCGCTTGGGATAAAGTGCCTTCAATTCCAGGTCGACATTGAGATGGGAAGTTGAGAAACCAACTGCCATTCTTTGACTCCTCCTGCTTGCTTTCCTCTAGGCTCGACTCTGTGGGAAGTCAAGATGCCAGTTAGTCGCCGCCGGTTCCCTTGCTTGCCCTCTAGTCCGCTGACATCCCGCTCACAGGCATACCACTCCATCTTCCTGGGTGACCAGGGTGTACAGTTAATAGGTATCTCACTTTATAAACACGGCAGCTCACGAGCCCGTTCGTACTAACACCTGTGACCGGAAGGCAACTTCCCACTCCTGCCGCTTCGCACGAAAACTCGCGGCCCGGCCTACACACTTCCTGCTCTGCCTCCAAACGTCGACCCCCTCGACGTCGACCCAGACTCCGAATCCTATGATTGCCTCGATGAGATCCTGAGCTTGTTCCGCGCCAACACCTTCTTCCGCAACTTCGAAATCAAAGGTCCTGCGGACCGGATGCTTATCTACGGCATCCTCTTCCTCTCAGACTGTTTGACGAAAGTGAAACCAAACATGGATTCCCGTGCGGCCGAGAAAGCCCTAATAAATGGCGCTCTGGAGCAATTCAGCATCCCTGGGGAGCCAGGGTTCCCATTGAACCAAGCGTATGAGGCACCCAGAGACCGGAATGAGGCTGAGGCTTTGAGGAGTTACTTGAGCCAAGTGAGGCAGGAACTGGCAATGAGACTGCATGCTAGGCTTTATGCAGATGGGACCAACGTGCCGAGCAAGTGGTGGTTGAGCTTCACGAAGCGGAAGTTTATGGGCAAGAGTTTATAGATGAAGATTGAGGAAAACCGCATGAACAGAAGGAGACATTCTGGATGACCTGATGACGAAAGAAAGGGAATTAGGGTCCGATTCCCTCGAAAATAAAACCGGAAATCAAGGCCACGGGGTTTTATGTACGCTTCGGAACATGCCAATGCTAAGTTTCCACCTGGTCACCCTCTCGTGGCCCATTTCGCGCCTCGTCTATAACATCCTCAAGCACATCCAGATTGTCGTGTTCCTGCGTTACAGCTTCGACCTTTAGTTTCTTGAGTGGTGACTGGGGCGGCTCCTCCGTATCTGCCGCTCTCTTCCCTTCTTCGAATCTACCCTCATCTGGACTTCCCGTAGGCCCGTCTTCGCCCTTGACCTTCTTTCCCCTAGGAGGTCTCCCTCTGGCTTCAACCTTTCCCTCCGCAGGCAGCACCCTAGTCCCCACAAAGACATAGCCCTCTGCACCACCCCTTCCCGTCATCAATGGATGCGTCCTGCCGGGTAAGACCTGCCACTTCCTCACTCTTGCGGTATGCACCGACGGCGCTAGAAGCAGCGTCGGATCCACAGGGAAGTCCTTTGACGGGACAGTTCTTTGTTCTTCAGGAGTATTGATGAAGGCAGTCCGCCGTGCTGTAGAGTAGTAGTCAGCCAGTTCGACGAGTGGCTCGACGTATGGCGAGTAGACCACAACTTGGCTTCCGCCCGCCAACAACGGTACGAGATGGCGCAACGTCGACGTTGGATCTGTGAAACTCGCCACGACAAGGCCGTCGAAGCCGCCTTCCTGCGTCTCGCCCACGAGGTTTCTTACACGTTCCCACCGCCGGCGTTTGCGGTAGTAGGCGCTCCTTCGATTTGATTTCATCCGCGCGAGTTCTGCGTCCGGGATGGTGGGTGGTTCTTTGTATGTGGTCCCGGACTCTGGCTCCAATAGCTGCAGCCACGAGAGGGTCTTAAGATGGGTGTACAAAGGGTGGGAAGCACTGGGGGTGTTGGAGTCGAAGTTGAAAAGACGGAGTAATCCGAGATTGGGTTGCTGGTTCGCATGGACGAGCGTGATTGCGTTGGAGATTGCACTCATTGCGGAGTGGCGGTACTGTTCGCGATGTGACCTTCGAGGTAAGTGCGTCTCTACCTCGTCGGGTTGGTCGTCATCCATGTCCTCATCCTCTATGTGGACAGTCGCCTCTTCTCCGAGGTCTGTTGGATGTAAAATACCCATCCTCTCCGCCATGGCTGCCACGATCAGACCACCCGTGTCATCTACAACTAGGTACCGCGAAGACGGGCCCATGTTGGCGAGCATAGGAGAGTCTTGGCCGGCAGCGTGGACATTTGCCCAACATCCGATCAGACCGATCGCCTCGTTCCTCATCTCCATAATCTTCGCAAATTCACGATCTACCATCATCCAATCTACCAGCGTCGGAACATCCAGGGGCAACACAGTGAATTGCTTCATGTACTTCTTGTGTTTCTTTAGCGTATATTTGGCGAGAGAAAACGCCGTCTTCTGGTCAAGGGTAGAGTGAGATTGCATGATCTTCTCAACCAGTTCTCTGCCGCTGCCCATGGTGTTTCTTTTGAGTGCTTCGATTTCAGTCCTGGTCAGCTTCTGATTCGTGGGGTCGTCGTGGGTGTTGACGTTGGATTTAGGAGTCGGTTGCTGTGATACCCCTACATCGTCCACCTCGGTTCTGGGCGTCGACACATCGTCCGTCTCGGCCTGCTCAACTAGAGCCACAGCATGCAACTCGGCGGCCTGGAGGGTCCTGAGCTCTCTGCCATTCTTGACGTCGGACCGATCAAGAATCTCAAAGGTTAGGTGGTAAGGACGGCCTATGATCTGGTTCGTGCGGAAAGATCCATATTTGCCCAGGTTTATCAGACTTGGTAGACAGAGTCAGCGACAGCTTATCAAGGCCGTTGGCTGATATCTGTTCGAGGCCCGACAGATTTCTTGGTGTTGAAGACCTACGTATTGGGGATGATTTGCTCGACTCTGGTCTGGTCTGAGGGCAGCCGAATGGCGACGTATTGATAGGGGCGGACGACTGAAAAGGCCATTTTGCCGCTCACCGCTTGATAGAGCACCTGGTGAGCCTGACGGCTGTCTTCAGCTTTTACTCGTCATTATTTTGTGGCTCAAATAGGGCAGTTGAGCATTTGAAAATAACGTCCCGCAAATATTTTATTTTATCACGGACTTCCGCTTCGGGGCTTAACTTCTAGCCGCTTTATATATATTCCGGCTCAACTTCGGCTCAGCCTCGACCTAGCCTTGCTAGCCTTGCTAGCCTTCTGGTCTATCGGTCATTCAATGATCATAGGAAGGATTCATCCATCGGCGTGGAGAGGCAAAAATGGCATAGATGGCCGTCTGCTCATAAAGAAAGTACCTCGATGCCAAACTTTGCGTACGGAAAGTTTTCCAAACTGGCCAAGTGCTCTCCCCATCCATCGTCAATCTCACCCAGTTGCCCTTCATCGCCAATCTCTACCAGCCCAGTTCTTCCCGCAAGCACCTCCAACTCCCGATCTCTAAACTCAGCATACAAGCCTGGGTGGGGGACCCAAACAACTCTCATTCCCGCCCTCCTCCCCGCCTCGACACCGGGCAGGCTATCCTCGAAGACTAGACATTCCTCAGGTGATATCGGAGGCGACCCTTTGGAGAGCTTGGAATTGAGAATCTGCAATGCACATAAGTAGATATCGGGTGCCGGTTTTCCTCGACCCTTGCGCACACGCGGATCGTCGCCTAGAACGCGATGCTCCTCAGGAATTAAATCCAGCAGCGCCTTCGACTCCGGCCGCACTACCTTCCGATCGTAGTTGAGCTTCTCGCTGCTGCTAGCTAGGGCAATCTCCACGGGCAGGCCAGTCGTCGTTTGAGCCTTGTTGAGATCCCGGAGGAGCTTTTGGGCGCCGGGCAACGGTTCACACTTGTCAAAGTGGATTTGCTGTTGCTCACACTGTTCTTTTGCATACTGCTCTCGGGAGATGGGGAGCTGGGCCCACTGGTGGAAGACGTCTCCGTTGGAACTTCCAGGAACGCCCATAAGCCGGGCTTTGAGGGACCAGGGGAGCCGAGGTCGACCGTATTTGAGAAGCACGTTGTCAGCGCATAATGTGTAGATGTCTTCCGTATTGAGCAAGAGGCCGTCCATGTCAAAGATACAGGCGCGTATCGGCGCGAAACTACGAGACAAAGCCCATCTGATTAGCGGCGTTGAGACTCGACAATAGACATGCGGAGCCCAGCGCACATCAATGCAAGGCGACAGACCCGTGAGTGAGATGCAGGACAACTTACTCTGTTCGGGCAGGCATTTTGACAAGAAGACGATTGAATTACGCTCACAGATCTGGCACTTGGTCAAACTGCACGATACGTGGGCCAGGCCAAGCTGCTTTTAGGGGAGCACAGCCACACCTCAGCATTTGGCCTAGGCCCGGCAAGGCCAGGTCACTTTTGCCGCATGGAAGATTAACGTCCTGGCTGGAGGACACGACAAGGAGCCAAATGGCTCTGACGGTATGCGCCACATGATCAACACTTTCTCGTGACCCTGACGAGTGTGAACGGGATGGTTTATAGAGAATACAACGAGGACTTCTGTATTGCTAGGTATGCCCAAGTATGCCCCTGGTATGCCACAAAACAAGGAACAATGCATCATCTCGAATGAGCGTGACGTCACAGGGCAAACAATGCCCGGCCAACGAACTTGAAGGGCGAAAGGCGAAAGGCGAAAGGCGAAAAACGAATTCGCTGCGTTCGGTTGCGCTACAAGCGCATTCCAAGGGACTGACAACAGGCGAGAGCGTGTGACGCACTTTGTTCTCAAAGCCATGACAACGCTTGCAATGCGCTTACATCAACCCTGCTCTTGCTTCTGCATCACTGAGTCCACATCTTAATACCTTCAGCTTCCAGTCACCGCACATCAGTCTCGCCTACAAACAAGAATCAGCATGTCGGACATTGTCAAAGGCGTCAGCAACTTGTTTGCCTCCATCTTTGAGATCATCAGAGGCATCTTCGTCACGGTGTTCAACATCTTCGAAGGCGCATTGAACGCGGCCATTGGCCTCCTCAAAAACACGTTCAATGCCGCCGAAGGTGTGCTCGGCTTCATCGTTGGTAGGTCATCGACCAAAGCTCGCAGGCCAAGAGGAGCCCTCCTGACTTGAATAGGGAACATCTTCATCATTGGGACGCTGTGCGCCATCTACTTCGGGTATGTCTTGTACCAACAACGTCAGGGCAAACGACCGGCTCCAATCTCGAAAGCGGCAACGGGGAAGACTCAATGAGCGCAACGGAATGGCAGGGGATGTTCGGAAGCAATTTGAGATAGGTAATCAGGAAGTGAAAATGACAATGAAACGTGCTGGGGGTGCAATCAGCTGCGAGCACCCATCCTGGAAGGTGAGAGCGACAGCATGACGAGGAGGAAGGGCGGACCGAGGTCGATATGAAACAAATCGCCTCTTCTGGTCGAGCTGCCAATTAGGGCTCTCATCCGACTCTGGTTTTCTTCAGTAGCAACAATTGATATCTCGAAAGGAAATTGGGATCGGGCAGTTGAAACGAATTTGCTTCGGGTGTGCCAAGGCAAAGACAATTGCCGAGGTTAAATGGGCGTCATGTGACTGGCTGCGAGGTCGCATCTTCAACTGCGCTCGTCGTTTCGATCGCCGACATGCGCCCTTCGTGCGTTCTTCAATCCCCTTCTTGTCCCTTCATCATCCCTCGTCTGCGTTTAATTCCTTCCGACTTCCTCCATTGATCTCCAATTCTGCATCTGCCACACGCGTTGCGGCCAGTGACCTACAAAAAGCGGGCACCTGTAGGCCCTTCTTTCATTTCGCGACATTCCTTTTCTTCTTTTGCTGATTCAACTCTACCCCTCTCTCTCTATCACCACCACTGTCGATCTTCAAGGTCTGCGCAGTACTCCCAGCATCATGTCTCAAGTGAAGGACATTGCGCCGTCTCCTACCGAGGGCGACCTCGATCAACAAACCTCCCAATCCTCCGGTCCAGTCAGTCCTACCCCCGCGACTTCCGCTGCCCAACAAAGCGATAATATTGCCCACGCTTTGGCGGGTGCGGGCGGCGGCCTTCTCGCAATGACCCTCACCTACCCTTTGATTACGCTCTCAACCCGCGCACAGGTGGAGTCTAGGCGGGCCGACACCTCTACCCTTGCAGCTGTGAGGCACATCATTAAACGGGAAGGTCTGGGCGGACTCTACGCAGGCCTCGAGAGCGCCTTGTTCGGTATTTCAGTCACCAACTTTGTCTATTACTATTGGTATGAGTGGACTCGCGCCTTCTTCGAGAAAGCGGCGGTTACGGCGGGCCGAGCCAGCAAGAAGCTCACCACCGTCGAGAGCATGATAGCCGGTGCGATTGCGGGATCGGCCACCGTCCTCCTCACCAACCCGATCTGGGTCATCAACACAAGGATGACTGCTCGCAAGAGTGAGGAAGGAGAGGGCGAGTTACCAGGTGGTGAAAAGAGACAGGTCAAGAAGCCTAGCTCCATCGGAACCTTGTTGAATCTCCTCAGAGAGGAAGGTCCGGGCTCCCTTTTCGCCGGGGTCCTTCCTGCTTTGGTTTTGGTGATCAACCCAATCTTACAATATACGATATATGAGCAGTTGAGGAACGTTTTGGAGAAGAAGAGGAAGTTTGGTCCTCGCGATGCCTTTTACCTAGGGGCTCTTGGCAAGCTGCTGGCGACCACGATCACATATCCTTACATCACTGTCAAAGCTAGGGCCCATGTCGCTAGCAAAGATGATCCTCACGAGGGCATGTGGAAGAGCTTGAACAGGATTGTCAAGGAGGAAGGCTGGGCCGGCCTGTACAAAGGTGAGCATGATCTATTTCCGTTGTTCTCAACGCCAACTGACCAATATTGCCCAGGACTCGTCCCCAAAGTCAGTCAAAGTGTTTTAACTGCGGCTTTCCTCTTTGCCTTCAAGGATGTGTTATATGACATGACCGTGGCAGCGCGAAGAAAGACCAAGGCTATCAAAGCCTAAACTGAGGAACCCGCCACTACTTGGATTGGTCCTGAAGCCATTTGAGGCAAGGGCGTCTGGAATACATGACGAGGCTGTCGTCTAGATACAATAAACCCACTTGCAAATGGATGATATGCTAAGTGATGTGAGCAACCCTCGTGCAGGTGCTCATTGGGGTAGGTAACGAAAAGGCTGCTTACAACAATGTGGGAGAGGTGCCAAAAGGGGACTGTCTTCAGCCTCTTCAAAAGTTCTGACTAGAAACGTGTTCACAGATAGACAGTAGAGGTTTTACTTGTATACCCAATTCACCGCCGAACAGTATAGCTTTATTTTGATTATATTAGCGCGAGTATATACCCTGTCGAATCAACTCCGTATTGTAGTCGTTTTCTTCCCCTTATCACTAGGCACCTCTTCGGCTTAGCCCCAATGTCGACTTCTGAGGCCGAGCGGAGAACTACTTCCCTCGAGTCAACCCTGATTCACATTCGTTTCACTTGCAGTTGTGACTGAAGGTCATCGACCCTAAACGTTCAAGTTGGGTGGAAGGGAAATGAAGCCAAGTTCCGGATTCTGGGATTACACCGATACTCAGGCATCAGCGATTCCCCATCAACTATGCTCTCCGTGTAAAATGATCTGCTCTACTTCGAACTTGTTACGAACTCTGCCGCAAGATTACGCGAAGTGGGAACAGGAACAGAGGGATGGCAGGCCTCTCACTATAGGGTGTGAATATCAAGAGTCATATCGAATCCACGACTTTCCAGAACTTGACCGGTGTGTCTCGGAAGGCCAATGCCACCTATGCGCTCTAATCTGGTCCGAGTTACATGCCGAAGTTGGGTATGAGCCGCTGGAGGAACTACGGCGTCTTGAGCATGAGGGAGTGGCATTGACCGGCGTCCTGAAAGGCGGCGGTAAGTCGTTCATCAACCACCGCCTCCTGACATTTCGTGTGGGAGACAGAAAGTCGAATACAGCAATGCAGCTCCTTATGTCTTCTGGTAAGAGAGCTTGATCTCTTCCAGTCAAGACCCGTCTACTGATGCTCAGTGGAAAGAGCCACACATCGCACCGATCCAACAGGAGTTTGATGCGCAACTAGCCTTGTCTACCGAATCCGACGCCACCATCTCTCTCGCGGCGAAATGGGTTCGTGATTGCATTGTTCAGGATACGGCCTGCGCCAGTGAGAGAGAAAGCGCCGTATGGGATAAAGTGCTGCCTGCAAGACTCATCAACATCAACGGCGAGGATCTAAGTTTGCAATCAGCTCGTATCGTGGATACGAATAACTTGCCCTTGAATGCTCCCTACCTAACGCTCAGCCACTCCTGGGGGGATGGCAGGTTCCTGAAACTCCTGTCGACAAATATGGAGCAGCTCTATTCCTCAATCCCAGTCGACGACTTAAGTAAGACACACAGGGATGCTCTGTCGATAACTCGCAGACTGGGGTACCAGTATCTGTGGATTGACTCGCTGTGTATCATTCAAGACTCCAGTGATGACTGGAGATCACAATCCGCCCAAATGGCCTCAATCTACGGTAACTCGACCTGTAACATCGCAGCAGAGAATGCGTCGGGACAAGGTGGATGTTTCATCCGCCGGAATCCCTTGATGCAACGACCCTGTCAATTGACTCACAGCAGCGACGTGGATCCAGCAGAAGGAGTCTACGCCCATCGCTATCACACTGCTAATTGGTCTGCATTCCCAGAGTATTATTATTCCCCCTTATCCCTCTTAACCCGCGCATGGGTCCAACAGGAACGCGTCTTATCTCCTCGGGTTCTGTACTTTGGTGGTCCTGAGATACATTGGGAGTGCTGTTCGTTCCAGGCTGCCGAGGCGTGGCCGCACGGGTCTCCTAACGAGGACTACGGCTTCGATGAGGTCTATCCACTCAAAGCGGCATTCGAGTCCCTTATTACGCCATTTACGGATTGGGATCGGGATGACCTCAACAGGTTTGTCTACGAGCTGTGGCATAACGGGGTGTTCCGAGAGTATACCGCGGCCGACCTTACGTTTGAGAAGGATAGACTGGTGGCCCTCTCCAGCATTGCTGAGGTCATCCAGCGGCGCACGGGCATGACCTACATCGCGGGGCTGTGGAAGGAATTCCTCCCTATGGATCTCATGTGGCGGAACATGGACGCCCCAGTGCCAGGACAGAGACATCTTGAACCCATGCCTTGGAGAGCACCCACATGGTCGTGGGCGTCGGTCAAGGGGCGGAAAAGGTATGATCTCTTCGCGCTGCAAAAACCAGAGGAAAACAATGTGCTGTATTGCTCTCGTGTCCTTGAATGTGTTGTAGAGCCCTTGGACATCGAACAGCCTATACTAGGGGAGGCTTCAGGTGGCACAATAACCCTGACAGGTTTCCTTGTGCCACTGGCCAGACGAAACAAACCAGAAGCACTAGAACCCGGTGGACTGGGAAGCCTGGAGAAATCAAAGGATTTCGATCTGGACATCGATATCCCCTCCGCATCAACGAAGCTGTTCTACTTCTGTCTCATGAGGACCCGGGATAACGAGACCACACATACGAATAAAGGGCTCGTCTTAGCCCAAGCGGTGGCAGAGCCGGAAAAAGAGCCAGAGGAGGATAAAGATGACACCAAATATGCTGGCAGGTACATCCGAGTTGGTATCTTTGTCAAGTCGTACAAGATTGAAACGGGCTGCATCTTTGACGGAGTTGAGGAGTCCTCGGTAAGTGTATGCTGAAATATTGATTTCCTCGGTGTGCATGAAGTACATCTCCACATGGAAGGTCGACGGCCAGTGTGCAACGCGGCGACGTCGAATAGTTCATGTTCTTTGCCAGCCCTGGCCGAGCTGAGACCTGCGGAGTGTTTAATGTGAATGCAAAGGGGAGAGGCATGGGTTTCCAACTTCCGGCCAGCCGAAGAGGGATCCCTGCGTTGTTCCAGAATTCATGCAGCCTGGAGGCGTCTTCAGCTTCGCTTAGCCTGATTTGGGTGCAGCTTCAGCCAGAGGGAGGAGGTCACATCCAGATGTCACAGCGCATCCACGTGCGGCAGCGAGCTCAGTTATGCAGATGTACCTTTGGCATCGTTAAAGAACTCCAACTGGCACTTTCTGCAGACCCGACGGCCTGACCTAAAACTGCTTTCACATGGCTAGCGGAACTGTGCAGTGTACCATCTGTGGGAAACAATTTTCGGGTTCAGTAAGACGACAGAGGTCATCTGTATGTTCAACAAGTTCCCCTATCATGCAGATCAATCTCCCAGCTGCTCGTACCCCATGCAAGGTGTGCTCTCGTGATATTCTAACCTAGTACCACAACCTCGTCAGCTAGCTAGGGTCATCAACACCGGTCTCTGTTCCAAGCAAGGTTGTTTCTTTGTGATATTATAGACATACTCGCTTTCAGTCAGCCACTGTTCACAAATCGCCTGGTCCAGGTAGGAGTCTGGTGACCAAGCCTGCTCTACACGGGAATGGAAAAAGCTGGCCAAGTATCGAGCCCTTTAGCCAGGTTGCGTCAGAAGGGAGTTATATAAATCACCTGGTGTGCCATCTTCTGCTGAAGCCCAGAAGTCTTTAGCTTACTTGGAAAGGAAGCCTACCGGCCACTTTATCGTGATTGCTGATGTTCAAGTTATTCACGGGGTTTCGTATACCACTTAACCCTAGGAGGAGTGGAACAAAAACATCACCCCAAAGCTAGTACCAAGGCTCGTTGGGAGGCTTCTGCACTCACTCTCCGACCTTATTTCTGACTTAGCACCGTCCTTACCTGGCAGATTTTCGAGATTTTTTTCTCTGGTGCAATCTGGATATGTTCTCACTTTCTCTACTCTGCGCTCCACGCCCACGTGAAGCAAGTCGCAGAGAAGCTCGACGGGAGCGATTCTAACAAGCAAGTCTACAAGACTGCTGCTGAGAATTTCCGGGATCCTTACTGGGATTGGGTTAGGAAAGATACTGCCATCGTACCGCCAGAAGCCGTGGACAGACAAAACCAACCCCTTGAACGCATACAAGTTTCTAGAAGGCACCCCGGATGAGATTACAATAGATACTCCAGATCTGTTACGTCCAGTCCCTGGCTAAATTCTGAATGGATGATCGGCAAAGATGGGTCACCTTACCTGACTCCAGTGCGATACCCTGACCCTGACCGCTCCGATGATAATATCATGCACAACATGACAGCATTTTTCAATGTCCCTTCTGGGCCACAACCGCGCCTTAATCCCGAGCGGAACTTGACAGAACGAACAGCATACGTTCTGTTTGCGTATCGTACCTTTCCTACCGTGAGCAGCAATCGCATGCGTCAGGATACGAAGGGCAACATCGTTGACGATGTTGCGAGCTGGGGAAGCTTAGAAGATATCCACAACTCAAACCACAACTTGACCGGTAGCCTCGGTGGTTCTGGTGGCTATATGGCTAATGCGCCCATGTCTGCTTTCGACCGCTTATCTGCTATTTGGCAAAAGCGGTCCTCGAGGGAGAATCCGGCAAAGACACCTGGGCTGTGTAAAGAAAGGTTGGCTGGGGGGTCGTCGGCAGTACGAAACCAGGGCGACGGAAAACGCTGACACGCCCCTGTATCCATTTCGGTCCGACAACGACAACTGGTATAGCTCAAACGGAGTTCGATCGGTCGAAAAGTTTGGTCATACGTATCCCGAGTTCGAGCTCCATAACAAAAAGGCGCTGCTTGACAAATTCAGTGTAATGTATGTCCTAATTTGGCACTCGACTCCGGAAAGCAAGAAGCATATTCCGACTGCAGGAGCTCATATCCTCCCTCAAGCACACACTCTGCAGCGAACCGAAGTTTAGCAAAAACCACAAACCGTGGCGCAGTTAAAATCCGTTGTTGCGAAAATGCCCACGGCCGAGGACCTCCTCACGACTTCCCTGGAGCTCTCTGAGCCCTCCCCTCGAGACCTCGCCCCTGGAATCAAATATCTGGATTGGATTACCAACATCACGGCTGAAATGCACGCTCAGGACGGCGCGTACACCCTCACATATTCTTAGGCGACCCCGACGAGCCCAACGTTGCGCTTTGGCTCATGGCACCAAGCCATGTATGTAGGTACCTTTGCGCCTTTGGGTCGGCCTCACACTACCAAGTGTGGCAAATGTCAGGATGACCGGGAAGAACACGTACAGGTGACAGGCCAGATTCCTCTCACAGTTGCTCTTGCCGGGCGCTACCTAGCCGGCACTATCGACGATCTGTCAATAGAGAGTGTCAAGGGCTATTTGACCAAAACATCTCCATTGGGGAGTCGAAAAGGTAATTGTTACCCCCTCTTCTTTTGCTTAATGCCATGAAACAGGAAAGAACTAACCGGACACATAACGCAGCTCGATGGCTCAATTGTCGAAGGTTGAAGTCAAATCACCAATCTCAAGATGTTTGTGGTCACTAATGAGGCCACCCTGCCACAGGAACCTTCGTAGCTTCCTGAGCACGCAGAAGACGTGACGACGTGTGCTGAGATCACCACGAATCGGGATGGGCCGGCAGAGGAATTGGCACTGGAATGATGGCTGGTGAGATGCCGCGTGAGGCGTGCTATGGCGTGGCTGGGCGTCTTAGGAGGAAAAGGGAAGGCCATAGGCCGGAATCAGGCGGTCGAGAGACTCTGTTAGGGAAGCACCTGGCTCTGAGCCATCTGCACACATATCGTTGCTGGATGACTTCGATCAGTTTCCAATGTTTGCAAGGTTCCGGATCTGCTCGCGACACACACTTAATTTGCAACACTGAACTTCATGTCGTAACGCTCAACCCGAGCCTGTCCGAAGATTTTAAAATGCTATAGCTGCGGCCTGGGCTTGAAACCAAGCATTCTGCAGCAATAGCCGTCTTGGGCGGCGAGATTAAAATGCATAAAACATCAAAAGATAGGAGCTTATCAAGAAGCGAAGTTTGAAGATGTAAGGCTCCCAGCTCCAAACGGACGAATTTCTCTTCAAGTCGAAGACGTATGTTCAGATAACTATGCATTATACGATGAAGTGACAGGTATATGAGATCTACAAATATGATATACCATGTATAATATGCTTACTTTGAGGCCTCTGAGCGCCACACCATCACGCATGCATGCACCTGGCTCGCCCCATCTTCCCGGCAAATGCCGGCCAATTGGACCATTATGTTTCTACGCTTCCACGACACTTAGCCAGTTTCAGTTCGGTAAAGAAGAAATTCGTCCGTCAGGCTGGGGTAAATGGCGTGCCTGATTTTGCGGATTCGGCCGGATTCGCAGTCTCAAAATGCTCTTTCCGCGCACTATTTCTCACATACTAAAGTCATGCTTTTATATATCCATGCCTTTGATACGAAAGTGTAAACAGGACATTTACCTCCATACCACACAGTCATCATCATGTCGAAGCCAATTCGAGTCGGCTTCATCGGCCTCAGCTCACACGAAAACATCCATTTGGCCGGATCATGGGGCAAGAAGGGCCACCTGCCATACTTGGCCCACTCGCCAGACTATACCATCACAGCACTGTGCAACTCATCTCTAGAATCGGCGAAGAAGGCAGCTGAGCTGCATGGCCTGGACGTCAGCAAGGTTCGCACATACGGCGACCCCGAATCACTGGCCAACGACGACAATGTCGATCTGGTCGTCTGCTCCGTCAACGTCATGCAACATTACAGGCTCATCAAGCCTGCCTTGGTCGCCGGGAAGATGGTCTTCTGTGAATGGCCATTGGCCTCGAACCTGAGCCAAATGAAGGAACTGGCCGACTTGGCGGAGCAGAAGAAGCTCAAAACCATTGTTGGCCTGCAAGGTCGCACCGGTGCATATGTCCACGCCGTGAGGAAGTTTATCGGCAGCGCAGCAGGTCAATTGGGAGAGGTCCTCAGTACTTCCATGATGGTTTACTCTCTCTTTGGCGGTCTGGTGCTCCCCAAAGAGATTGCTTACCTAGCGGATATCAAATCTGGAGGAAGCATATTCACCATTACGGCCATCCACAGTGAGTGCCTTTCCGTCCCGCCACAGAACAACTTGCAGCGTCATGGGCGCAAACTAACGGCTTTGTCTCCCTCAGTGCTTGATACGTTGACCGCCGCACTTGGTGAAATTGAAACCCACAACATCCTCCTCAGGAACAAACGCCCCACCTTCGCACTGACAGACAACGATTTCAATATCATTGGGTCATCGGTTCCCAACAGCACGCCGGACCACGTTCTCGTCCACGGCACTCTCACGGGCAACATTCCCTTCAACTTCCAGGTCCGCGGCGGTCCACAGTTCAAGGACACACCGGCTTTCGATTGGCGCATCTATTGCACCAGGGGCGAAATACGGGTCAGCGGAAATGAAATGCTCTGGACGGGCGGCGCCATCAAGGTGCAAGTGCATGATTTCGTGACCAATAAAGTCGAGGACGTGGATTTGGGTCAGGTGTTGGAGGAAAATGTAAAGGATGACATCGCCTACAAGCTGGGATTGAAAGCGCCGGCGGATAACGTGGGCAGGCTCTATGAGGCCTTCGCGAAGGGCAAGACTGAGAAGTACTTGGACTTCGCGCAAAGTTTGAAGTGGGCGCGGTTTATCCAGGAGGCTTATACCGCCAATGGCATGTGAAAACAGAGAACTCGAAGCGGTTGCAATTGAAAGCAGAATTCTCGTTCAGGGGGTCGGAGACTCTTTCCACATCAAACGTCTATCAGGCCCTATTGTCCTGACTTGAATTAGACTTGAGCATGTCCAACGATATCGGAACTTCACAGAAGAAGAATGCAAGCTGCACAGACAGTGCCACAAGCCACGCGACAGCCACACAATTCCATACGCAACGTTGCGCTTCCGGGATCGGTGAATTTGCGCGGCCCCTTGGCATGGACGTATTTGTGATAAGAGAAGTACAGAAATCTGCTGGATAACCTTCAGACCCTGACAGCTTACGCATGTTGATCAGTGCGTCTGGTTGTCCGCATCAAACATCCCCTTCCTCACGATGATGCCAGGAATTGTCTCGTCCAGATTTGACTAGGGGCACGGCTTTAACCTTCGGTCGACATATCGTGGCGTCTACGATGTACGCCTCCTTGTCGCAGATTTAGAAGAAATTCCAGGATGTCTTGACCTAGTCTCCCACACATTTTAGCACACATTTCCTTTCAAAAAGCCGCTCCGGCCTCGTTGATGTCGCCTCCCAGCCCGCGACAACCCAAAATAATCTTCCTGTGGGCTGCTGGCGGAACGAACTTGTGCTTGTGACTTCGGATTTAATTGTCGCAAAAGTAATACGCGGGCTTGCTACATCCAATGTACTTGCCATTGTCCATTCCACAAATGAATGTCCAGGTCGACTACATTCGTCGGCAATCTGCAGTTCAGCATGCACACTAGTCGCAATTGGTTTTCGAGAGGTGAGATGAGCACGTATCTCGTTATTCAGAGGGAGGTCGAAGTCAACAATAGTGTGAAGCGCCAATTCAATCTCATAAGGATTTTGAGATGTAGACTCTTTGCAAATTGCCCATACAATCTCATAGGGGCTTGTATAGTCTTGATCGATCGTCACCTGTCGGAGCCCCGGCGCCTGAATTGTGCGAATCTCGGAGATCAGTCGGAGAGCAGGAACTGTAATCATCGCTCTGACAACAGTATTTTACAGATGAAAGCGTTGCACCTAAACAGCCAATGTAGTGTGCTAGTCGGCTGAAATCGTCCTCCACATCCTTCGACCTTCTCCTGATTTCATCGACTTCTGCCCTCGTAATTTGTAGCAATCCTCAACTGCATTCTGCAATTTCTTGCGTACTTCTACATTTCGTCGTCTCTGTAAAACCTAAGTCGAACATCGCACTCATCTACCGCCCGCTGGAACACGTCGACTCGGACGGCCTTTTGAGTTTCTACATCCACCTCCTTCAGCCTTCGCACAATCCTTTTTGCATATATCCAAATATCTGTTCTTATTCCTTCATTCGCCGCTAACCAAAGAAAAATTGCTATGGGGAAGCTTCTGCAATCCGGCAGCAGTTACACTTGCTCCGCCTTTCTTGATATCGCAGAGGTAGGCAAATCAGTCCAAGAATTATCTGCAGGCCTTGCAGATATCGTCGCTAGAAGACTCCCGTCGTTGGGGTTCCTCTTTGAATTTTGCTAACGTTTCGAATAACGCTGATCTCGGGTACAGCCTCTTGGCTGCGTCGTGGAAGATTGGCTCTAGCAAGGCTGTCTCTTGCTTCATGAACGCCAGCAAGTACTCCGTACTCGGTAACTCGTACGTGACTGCAGCGTCCCAACACTGATATTCGCCTGCGCAGCTAGAACACATGCCGATCAAGCCAAGATTTTCACGTGAGTAGGAGACACGTGAAACATCTTCTGGTGGCATGTTCTGGTGGCATGGGATTTTCAATTTCGGTGTGTGAATTGGAATAGGAAACCGTTCGCAACACGAGGGTACCCACCTGCCCAATAATGAGTGGAGGGCTCCCCGCTTGCAGCTCCTTTTCAATTGGCTGTTGCCCGCCCCAATCAGTGTGGCCTTCGTCGCACAAAGCCTCAGCCCCTTTTCAGCTCTAATGACCTAGCCGCTTTCTGTCAGCCCTGCTTCTAGACCCTGGTCCCCGGTGTCCAAAATACATCAGGTTTCGGGCATCAGCTCCACGAGGCTGCCTGAGCGAGAGTCAAGGCTGAGGACAGCGCTATGACACATCGTTTATTGTTCCCCCATCGGAAACCGATGCGTCTGGGCCGTTAGTCTCGATCGTCGACGCCCAATACATCCACATTCAGGGCTGCAATGGCCGGCCCGGCTTCCCAGCTTCATCAACGATTGCCGGATCTGTTGACATGTTGATTATGCGGGGGCCCATACTTGTTGTGAGATTCTTTGCTGGGCCTAACGGCACGATCTTCGGGACACCCGAGACATTTAGGCAAGGGAGAGGCTAAGCTGCAGTTTTGTATCATAAATTGACCTTCTAGCCCTGTTTGCTCTCATCTCTGTTGGACTTTTCGAGAGAGGGAGATATCAGTTATGGACTCTCGAGGAAAAAGGTGTTGGTCCGAGGGAGGCCAGGACATCTCTGCTTCCACTCCCCGGGAACACAGCATAATTTCGGGAAATCCGGCCACAATAATGCCCACGAGACCCCCCCACTCAGACAAGACACAACTTTCCATACCGAAGACAGATTCAAGTTGGACCGCGTACCGAACGTTACTGGCTGCACTTTTGTCTGAAGGCGTTCTCTTCGGTCCGTTCAAAAAATAAAAATGCTTGTCACTACTAAGGAGTCAATGTACACTGACAAAAGCCTTCCAGCCATATGCCTTTCATTTGGCGTGTTCCAGGACTACTACAGCAATCGGGCTTCCCTCCCTCACAGCGACCTCTCGTCTTGGATTGGCGTCCTCGCAACAGGCATCGCCTACCTAGGCGCCCCGGCCGTCACATACTGTTGCCAAAACTTCACGATTCCTTGTCACTACTACATATACCCCGGTTGGATCCTGTGCCTCGTCGGGCTCCTGAGCAGTGCCTTCTGCCGCGATGTCAGATCGCTGATCGCCACGCAAGGGCTGCTGTTTGGCGTGGGCCTGCTCGTCGTCGAAATGCCCACGCTCATCATCCTGAATACGTGGTTCGTCGAGAGGCGCGGTCTCGCGTTCGGCCTACTCTGCGGGTTCACAGACCTCTTTGGCGTGGCTTGGGGGTTTCTGGCTAGCTCGCTCTTGAACCGTCTCGGCATCAAGACTGCGTTCCTCGTTTTCACTGCCATCTGTTTCGTCGTTCCCGGGGTTGGAATCGTTTTCCTCCAGGAAAGGCCCTCTGTTGCTGAAGACTCGCGATCTGAGACCGTGTCGGTCAAGGGGTTGACGGTCTCCACAGACGTTCTACATGAGAGCACATCAGCCAACAGCACCTTGCCGCCACGCCGTTATTTTCACCGCGCCAGCTTCTACATCTTTCTTGTGTCAAACCTTCTTCAATCGTTTGCTTTCTACTTGCCGTTCATCTACCTTCCCTCCTACACAACAGCGCTCGGGTACTCGGCATCGACAGGCGCCGTTGTCCTCGCGATTGCGAACGTCGCGCAGGTCTTTGGCGAAATCGGATTTGGCAGGCTTTCCGACAAGGTGAACATCCACACGCTGGTGTTCTGTTCGGCTGCGGTGGCTTCTCTCGCGGCGTTTCTGATCTGGGGCTTCGCCGAATCTCTCGCATCCTTGGTCGTCTTTGCGCTGCTTTTTGGAGGCTCCGCGAGCGGCTTTCTCACGCTGTGGCCCCGCATGGGCACCATGTTTGCCGAGCGCGATGCCAGCATGATCTACAGTTTCATGTCGCTGGGACGCGGATTGGGCGTCATTGCATCGGGGCCGATCAGCGCCGCATTGCTGCGGGCAAATGGCCACGTCGGAGACCATGACGACGACGATCGGGTAAGGCACCATTATCGGGGAGTCGTGCTCTTTGTGGGTTCTTGCATGGCTGCTAGCGCGATCCTGGGGCTTCTCGGGTGGACATGGTCGTATTTGAAAAGCAAACATTTAATCTCGCGCGGACGGGACGCAAGCGTATAGCGATCATAGAGTTATACATAAAATGATGTTCCTTCTATCGGCAATTATTGTATCTTTTTCGCTGGTCGCACCTGTTCGCCAATTTGTATCTCTTCCTGCTTCAGGACAGTCTATAACCCAACACCTTCGCCCTCTCGGCCTCACTCAACTTTTCCACTCCGGCCGGAGGCAAGATCGGCTCCAACCCCTTGACGAAATCAAAATGCCCCATCCTCTTCGTCAAGGAAATGTCCTCCGGCCCGCGTGGGCCCTTGGGATTATTCCCCGCGATGAAGTTCATGGGGAAGCCGACGTCGAACGGGTACGCGGACTCGATCTCGTCGATTTCCGCGGCCGTCAGACGGATGGTCAGCGCCTCGATGTTCTGGCGGAGGTGCGACAGCTTGCGACCGCCCACGATGGGCGTCACGTAGGGCGTCTTATGCATGACGTACGCGAGGGCGATCGAGGTTAAGGGAACTGGGGGGTTGCGTGCATTCGCGACTTTCTCAAGCACCACCGACACTTGGGCTTCCTTGCCCGTCCGCACCGACGCCATGTTGCGGCCGCCGCCCTGCTGCTGTTCCTCGGTCGGCCGCGAGGGCTTGAAGTAGCCGCCGCCCAGTGCTCCCCAGGGCGCAAGCCCCATCCCCTCGTCCCGACACATGGGGATGATGTCCCTCTCGAAGTCCCGTTCCGCGGCTGACCACCTCCCCTGGTAGACGCTGAACGGCCTCAAACCGTGGTGTCGTGCGTATGCGTTTGCTTTCGCCACCACCCACGCCGGCGTATCGCTTATGCCCAAATACAGCACTTTGCCCTGCTGCACTAGATGATTGAGCGACTGCATCATCTCTTCCACGCCTGTCGTGAAGTCCCAGTAGTGTACATATAACAAGTCAATGTAAGTCGTCTGCAATTTTTTAAGGGATGCCTCGACACTCAGTGCCAGGGACTTGGTGCTGTTGGCGCCAAAGTTTGATTGTTGGAGCTGAGGCTCCGAGAAGACCTTGTATCCCGAGGAATACTTTGTCGCAAGGACCATCTCGTCTCGCCTGTATGGACCATGGAGGGCGAGCCACTCGCCGATCCAGGTCTCGGATTGTTCGGCTTGGTAGTTGTTCGCCCTACCGGCCAAGGCACATTCTGTCAGCGCACCCTCACCCCAGGCAATACTAAGCGATCGTGCAGGGCCGACAGAATGAAGAAAGGCGAACGGGATGTATCCGACGACCCCCACAGGGTATGACCATCAGTTGCTCCAAAGGGAAGATGAACTTACGTGTCAATAAAATTGCCACCCATCTCGTAGAAGTGGTCCAATATCTCGAACGCCGTTTCCTTGGTGCACTCGCCCATGACGTTGGACCAGGCATCGCCAAAATTCATCCCTCCCAGGCACAGGGGACTGACATGGACGCTGGCCGAGGGGGCGAGAAGGCGATGGCGTCCGAGAACGGACCGGGGAAGGGGTGCGGAGGGAGTCGTCATGCTGAAATTCGAGATGATTACAAGCCCTCAAGACTGGACATATGGTGAATTCCTTTGGCTTTTTGGACGTTAGAAAGATTGAAAGGGTTCTTGTGGTTGGGAGACGTGTTACCCCTGTGTGAATTGTGTCGATCGAGGAGATTGTGGACAGCTCGTCAGTAGGAATTGCGAACGGAAAGCCTTCAAGTTTATATAACAGTCACATGTCCTTGCGTTCCGCGTCCCGATAGCAGGGCCATCAACTAAGCATTCCAAGGAGAAGACTTAGGTCCATACATGTACGGACGGATCTTGGACCCCAATCCCCGGATGAGGCTTATTCACCGCACCGGGACTTCCTAACGGGGTCTGTGAGGCCCTCTTAGCACGGTGATAAGTGCCCAATCACCGCAATTTCCAGACCAATGTCCAAGATGTCATGGCTGTAGGGGGAGTGAAAGAACCTCGTAGGTACGGTAAAATATATCTCCATGATGCGGTTCGCGCCTGGAGGGGCCTCGCATATAGAGCGGGTAAGACACGGTCGGCCTGCTCAGAAAAGGCTTCAAAAGTTGCGAGCACCGCCGTGTCAACCGGGCCGGAGATAAGGCAACTACAGCCTTGTCTTTCTTGGCAAGGCTTTATCCGGCCTTTGGCGCCAGGGGTAGGGGCAACACGATAGAGTCGAGCAGGTCAGTCAATGTCATGCCTCAACGAAGGCCATATTTGAGAAAGCTATGGGCGCGCTTGAATAAGGATGCCACAGTAATAATATTTCACTGGCACTGCCTGGAGGGTTTTGACCAGTTCTTCTCAGCCCTTGGCAAATTTGCCTGCTTTGGCGAAGTGAGTTGAGCTGCGACGTCTCCAGCGAACACGTCGTCTCGCACCTGCCTGCCAAGTGTCTCGAAAACTTAAATTTTATGTCGGCGATGCCAAACGCATGCTCTACGGGCTTATCAGGTTTGTTCGAGAGAAATGGACGTATTACTTGTGGCTACGCGCTTATTAGATACCAAATCTCCATGTCAGGCTGAAACTCCAAAATTTCCCAGCACTTCGTTCGCTGGCGGTGTCAGTAACCAGTCGGCGATCCGAAGTGATAATTGGACTACACTGCTTGCCTCCTCAGCATGCGGAGCGTTATCCGGTATTGTCGCCTTCTAGGTTGGGATTGAAGAGAACGCGTCCTAAAGGGGCGGCGCCCACTTACACTTCCTACGCTTTATCAGCAGCTGCCCTCTATCGTATGAGGCTTAGCAAAACTTTCGACTAGTCGGCCAAGGTGCTTGCATGGGACATCCCCCAAAATGAATCTCCCTCGTTACAAGTACATGCCTTTAAACGCTTCTGATGAGATCCGCGTGTTTGAGCTTAGTCCAACTAAGACGCGCATCGAAATCCGGATTCTCCATGTTCCAGCCTCTGCCCGCTGTTTCGATGCGCTTTCATACGTGTGGGGAAGTCCAGCCCAAAGCGAGAAGGCCACTGTTCTTGATAAACTTGGAAGACCAACCGGATGGATACCTTTGACGAGGAACCTGAGCAATGCCATGGCTGACCTGCGGGACGCCGAACAATTAAAAACCAACGTTTTCTGGATCGATCAAGTCTGCATCAACCAGAGAGATGAGGAGGAAAAGAATGATCAGGTTGCGATGATGAATCAGATATATACTCAATCCAGACGAGTGATTACCTATCTTGGACCTGCCGAACTAGAAGTGAAGGAGAATGGAGGAATTCGATTGCTGGACACAGTTTGTAAGACTGTTCCGGAAGGTACTTGGCAACAAATGCACGAATCAGGGAGCCTCCAACAAATTCAGGACCAAGTCTTTGATGGAAGTATAAAATTTAAACGACTTCCCTCGAACTTAGAGCTGCGTGTCGACAGGTCATATTACGAAAGCGAAATCTCAGAACGATACGCCGAGCAAGGCTGGGAATGGTTGGTGCGCGTTGCCTACGGCGAATGGACTCAGCGGCTGTGGATCGTCCAAGAACAACTACTGAACAAGGAGATCATAACACTTCGTGGGCACCGACTAATAGATTGGGACGCCATCACCGCTATACCTATCCTCTTTGCAATAAGCCACCTTCCTCAGGAGTATCGCGACATGGGCCGAAGAAACTTAGAGGGAAAGGTACCTTGGGATGAGGTTGAAAAAACCATGTATGGCATCCGGTGGGACAGACATGCGCGGCTAGTGACTGAAACCAGCTACACCTGGTCGTCATTGTTTCACAACCTACAGTGGTACCAGTCACTCCTGTGTGGAGATGCCCGAGATCGAGTCTACGCCATTCTGGCTATCTCTAAAGACGCAAAGCGCCTGGATCTTAAGCCTGATTATTCGCCTCTTAATACTGCTGACATGTTGTCTAGAAAACTATCAATCCGCGTGCTCGAAAATGCACGTAACCTAGAGCTCATCAGCTTCGCTTTCTCATGGCGTCCACCAAACTCGACACTTCCTTCCTGGTGTTTCACACTCGACAGACCCGCCAATCTCACAACACCTGATCTCCTCCCTCTCGAAGTGTATACGCCGCATCCAAAACAGCACGGTTTTCATCTTGCACGCTTTCACACAAACGATTCGATTCTTGTGGTCAAGGGGCGAATTTTGGACTACGTGTCTACGCCAAATCCAAGCGCCGGCTGGCCTCACGTGGGTGATGTACGCCAAACATCACCGGTTGACATTATTTCTAGCCTTGGATATCTTCTACACGATGGATTTTCAATTGAGGATGTTGTCAGCCTACTCTGCACGATTACCGCAAGAGCTCCTTGGTCGCCACCTCCAGGCATTCTTGGCAGGATAGATGAAACCATGGCTTTCCATTTCTGGACCTACCTTCGACACAAGTCGCACTTGCTAGCAAAATGTGTCGAAACCTCATCAACTACCATTAAGGAGCTGCTCCTACGCTGTCATCACATTATGACGCGGATCCAAGCGCTTACTCCGGGCTTTACATATTCAGAGCCCGAGCGAAATGAGGATGTGGCCAAAGAAGAATACCTGGCTTGTCAAAGAGTGCTGCGGTACGCTTTGGAAAAAGGACGCTGTCTTGGTCGTACTCGCGCCGGGCGCTTTTGCAACGCTATGTGTCCTATTCAGGAGGGTGATGCCATTGTAGCTCTCCAAGGTGCTGACCAACTGTTCACGATGCGCTTGGTAGGGCATACCTACAGACTCATTGGAGATATATTCGTTGATGGGTTAATGCATGGGGAAGCGTATAAGAATCAAGATCCGGACAACATTGACTACGACATTGAGTTGGCTTGAACTGCAAGCAAGGAGAATCATATAGAGGAATGATGGATAAATACTTCAGAGAAAACCCTATGCCTTTGCTTCCTCCACTCCCTATGACAAGAATGAATAAATGAATCTCCCAAGTAGGAGGAATAAGCAGCCTATGTCGGGCTGCCCAGGGAAATCCCTGGTCTCTCCAACTGGGTCTACCTCAATAGCAAAAGACCTTGGGTCAAGGTCGAATATATTCCCGGACCGTGTTGGATTGTTGTCGCAGCCCTTGCACTGGTAGTCCAAAGTATTGAACGCCGAAGATTTAGCTCGAAGGCATATGTCGTCAATATCTCCGTCGTCTCATCTGGCGTAGCCTCAATTCTTCCTCTTTCCACTCTTCCCACTCTTCCATCGACATTACTGTTCCATCTTCTGTTACCTTTACGTCTACACATCGTCCGCACTTCTCATGGGAACATATAGTGAGGTTGCTGCAATGCCGCCATTCACCGTGGATGATAAATATCATTTTGCGGTCGATTGAGGCTGCGGCACTGGCTGCGTTGCGGGCAGTCCAGAGCGCTCCGCAGCACTGTAGTATTGTTAGCTTCCAGGACATAAATGTCGATGTTTTCTTTGGGTTCTCACACATATCCACATACCAAGCTCTACACCTTGTGAGGCTTGCGCGCGCATTTCATTTCGTGTTTTCCTACGTCCGTTTGCCCAATGTGTGTCTAGGTCTATACAGTTTCTACACCTTATATGACCACAACGTTGCGAGACGCAAATCTTCGTTTCTTTAAGGTCGCTGAGGTCTGCCTCCGGGTCTTCATGTGCAAGGTGTTGACATGTACACTGCAGTGTTTGTAAGCTTCCAGGATGCTGTTATCGATGTCTTCTTATGGTTCATACACATTTCCACGAATCAGTCGGTTCGCCATGATTTACTGTTTTGGCTCGCTATCGACTATTAATTTCAAACTTTGATAAATCTGATGTCAATCATTACCGCGCGACTCATTTCGCCGATATCAGCTGGAGCAATATTGACACTGAACTTTCCAAAAACCAGGTGTCTTCGAATATGTCTAGAGTCTCCCTCGTATTGGTGTATCACTTCGCAGTGAATCGATCTACCGGCCAAAGGATCCTGGTATTGACTTTCAAGGAATGAAATGCTTCAATATTGTGTGTTCCTAGAGGACTATTATTTGAGAGCGGGACGCCACAACGCAGGCAACAGCGCCCGATATGTACCACAACAGAGCCTTGGCGATTGGAGGTTCGGAATTTGACCAGCAGAAAAGCTGAACGCCCGAGAGAGCATAGCTCTGAGACGACATGCTTATCGAGTACCCAGCGGAAACCTGCGAAAACCATTCTCGTATTGATTCGGCGCGTCTCCTGGTAAACCTTTGTGTGTATAAGCTTCCTCGAATTGGAAAATAGCCGAACAGTGCGACCGTGGATTCCTAAGACAAGGTGGAAAACAATCCCGATCCTTCTACAGATCGACACTCAGGAATCCACTCCACGTTCTCTTAAAGATAACGTGTGCTCGTGGACAGGCATAGCGGGTGAGTAGAAAAACAAGTCAAACTATATTGAAATTCTAGCTTTAGGATGGGCTTATGTATTGTCCACATCGACTAGTAGAAATACATGGGGACGGAGTTGAGATGCTTCACACAAGACTCGGGACGGCAAAAAGACAAGGGCAACATGGGCAGCGTCCGGTTGCACTGGGAGACCATCAGGAGTTAGGTAACTCCTTTCTCTAAAATGCATTCGTCTTCCGTAAAAGGAAGTCTTATTTGTTCCCCAAGCCCTATTCCAGTGCCTTGTCACAATTTAACGGAACCAAGGGTGAAGGGGGGGGGAAGGCTCTCTTCTGCTCCTCTACTTCCCCGCATTCTTCTCACGAGGCTCTCGGTTATCCGAGACGAGCAAACAGCCGACGGGCATTCAATATGCTGAATTAGAGGGGTGCCATATTATATTATTTGGCAGCTGAGGCAGCAGAAAACACACACATACTGTGGAGCTCCCGCTCGACATTTGCTTTCGCGATCAAGAAACAGCGCCTCTCAGATCAAGAACGGTATTCGGCCTCCTGTGGCTAGCAGCTCCTCGACAATGGCGACTGCTCAACAAGTCCACTCCAATGGCATCTACCACGCCCTGCCCACTTTTCCCCCAGATGTCAAAGATCTCACAGCCGTCGTGACCGGCGCCAACGGCATATCGGGATACTATATGCTGCGAGTTCTTTCTCAGGCGCCACAGCGCTGGAAGCGCATCATCTGCCTGAGCCGTCGTCCACCATTAGTCGCGGGCGGCCTGCCCAAAAACGCAGAACACATTGCAGTGGATTTTCTGAAGAAACCCGAAGAGATTGCGGCCATGCTCAAGTCCCACGGCGTCGACCATGTCGACCATGTCTTCTTCTTCTCATACATCCAAGTCGAGCCCAAGCAGGGACAGGGCCTCTGGAGCGACGCCGAGGAAATGTGTCGCGTTAATACCCTGTTGCTGGAGAACTTCCTCTCGGCCCTCGTCCTTGCGCAGATAAAGCCGAAACGCTTCATGCTGCAAACCGGCGCAAAGAACTACGGCGTGCACCTGGGCCCGACCAAGCTGCCACAGGAAGAATCGGATCCGCGGGTCGAATTGGAGCCCAATTTCTATTACCCCCAGGAAGATGCGCTGTTCAAGTATTGTCGAGAACAGGGCGTGGGATGGAACATCCTGATGCCCGGACCGATACTGGGTGCCGTCCCGGACGCGGCAATGAACGCGGCCTTCCCCTTGGCAGTCTATGCAACCGTCTGTCGACACATGCATACTCCGCTCGAGTTCCCTGCAGACGCTGTGTCGTGGCAGGCGTATTGCAGCATGTCAAGTTCCATGATGAATGCTTATATGGAGGAATGGGCAATCTTGACTCCGGCGGCGGAGAACCAAAAGTTCAATGCCTGCGATAATAGTGCCTTTACTTGGGAGGCCGCCTGGCCGAGGATTGCAGGTTGGTATGGTATTGAATGGACAGGCCCCGATGAAAATGCGGAGCATGTCGAACGCGAAACGCGGTTCAACCCGCGTGGGTATGGTGGGAAAGGCGTCTCACGCAGAAAATTCACATTTGCCGAATGGGCAAAGAGAAAGGACGTAAGGGAAGCATGGAAGGAGATTGCAGAGCAACATCAGCTGACACAGAAGGAGCTGAGGGACGTTGATCGCGTGTTCGGCTTTTTGGATGGCACTGTCTGTCGTGCGGCGCCGCTCGTATTCTCGTAAGTGATCCTCGCGGTTCGGCATGTCTGCACCCGATAAACGCAAAGATTAGAAACACTGACAGATGGAAAACAGGACAGACAAGGCTCGGAAACTGGGCTGGCATGGTTTCGTCGACTCTTCAGAATCACTGTTGGAGGTATTTGAAGACCTGGCCAAATTGAAGATGATACCTCCTGTGCCCAAAGCAGAGGTCAGCTTCAATTGAGCAACGCTAGCCTGCAGTATAGCACTCGACCAAACCCGGCGCCAATTTTGCCACGAATCCAGAAAACAAAGGCTCTTCCGTCTATGCATGCTATGCACGACCAGAAGCTTTTGCAGCCTCCAATTTTTCCTTCTTTCTCTTCTTGGCTGCGAGTTCACGCCGCCTGGCCTCTTTTCTGAACCACTCGCTTTCGGGCTGCTGACTCTTCTTGCCCCTTCGTTCTTGCTCGCGATACATGGGGGCCATAGTACCGCCACCACTGACGTCTGCCAACAAACCAGCTTGCCTGCGAACCTGCAATTTCTGCGCCTTGGCCTTCGCCGAGCCACCTCCACTGAGATGACTCCATATATTGTCGTCGACTTTCTCAATGTCGGCGGCCGTTTCGTTCTGAAGCAAGACCTTCGCAAGCAACTCGTTTCTCTCCTCGGGCCTTGAGTACATAAGCTTGTCCATCTTGTCCATGCCAGCCAAGTGTGTGATGGTTTTGAAGGCATAGCCTTGGTCCACCAGAAATGCCTGCCTCTTTGCACTGTATGCCATCTCGGTTGTATCTTTGGAGACAAGAGAATAGAAGAATGCATTGAAGCCTTCGTCATTGCGGCGCTTTGCTCGCAAGATACGCCCGAGCCGTTGTGCTTCTTGACGTCGGGACCCATAGTGCGATGAGATTTGAATCAGACAGGTTGCTTCCGGCAAGTCAAGTGACGTATCACCGATCTTGGACAAGAATATGGTGCTGAATTCCGGGCGATCGTCGTGCTGAAACCTGTTAAGAATCTCTAAGCGTTCATAATTACTCGTTTCACCATAGATAAAGGCTCTCTTCATGTTCTCGGCGTAGTGTCTCAACGCAAATAAGTTGTCACTGAACACAATGATCTTGTCGCCTCGGTTCTCATGGTAATTGATGAGATACTGGCAGACACGGAACTTTTCAGGATTCATAATGTAGAAGAGGGGCTGCTTCCGTGTGCTTGCGTTCTGGTATTCTTGATAGAATTCCATTGACATCGGGCACCACACTTCAGCGCACTGCACTTTTGCGATGTGTCCTTGGTCGGCCAATTCCATCCAGTTGGCTTCGTATAGTTTCGGACCAATGATGAAGTTGAGATCGGTAATTTTATCGTCCTCACGAAGTAAGGTGGCCGTAAGACCGAGTTTGCAGTGGGAGCGAATGTTCTCGCCCACCTTTCTGAACATTTTGGCGGGGACCACATGCACCTCGTCGAGGAGCATCAATCCCCATTCTTTGCCGTACACCCATTCCATCATCTGCTGGGTGTCGTGGGCCCGCTTCCCGCCAGCAGTAATCATGGAATAGGTTGTGACCAGCACACCTGCATCTCCGTTGAACCTTTTCTTTTCGGTGGCAGAAAATACGGCGATGTCCTCTTCTCTGATGTCAGACCATTTCCTGAATTCATTGGCCCATTGATAACTCGACATGGCGCTCGTGCAGAGAACAACAATGCTTTTCTTGATATGGCACCCCGCGGTGATGCCGACAAGGGTCTTCCCAGCACCACAAGGAAGGACGATAATCCCGCTCTTGCCACGGCCGTTACCAAACATTTTGCTGAGAGCCTTTTCCTGATACGGCCGAATTTGAGTGGAGGGTTTTAAATCAATGGGTAGAGTCGGGTTTTCGAAGTCGTTAGCGAAGTCGTACTCTGAGATAGCGGGATAGCCGATGTCTAGACATTGCTTCGCCACTGTATCACGTTTGTTCGGCGCGATTTCGAAACTGGTAGCTTCCTTGTAGGCATCCTCTTCATCTTCTTCGTCTCTCAGAGCGGCGATCATTGCTTCGTTCTCCTTGGCCGGGTCATCTCTGGGAACTTCCACGTTGCCCTGGCCTGCTTGTGTCATGCCCTTCGCGTTACTGGTTCCTTGGATCACGGTCGCCTTTGTTTGAATTCTCCCGACTTGAACATCGGTCCCGACGGCTTTGCAAGGTCCAATAACTGGATCCTTTAGGAGCATGTCGATGATGGGGCGCTCATCAGATTCGACGAAGAACTTGTTGTTCCTCAAAACAAGTCGCACTTTTCCGTAGGTTTTGGTGTGGCGGTTGATGAAATCGATCACGGTGTCAGGGACGGGGGTTTTGGACAGCTTTTCTAGAGCACGTATTATATCTTCACCACGTAGACCTACCGATAGCGCAGCATAGAGACTATGCTCAGTGAACCTATATTCGTGGAGATAGGACGGTCTCGACTGAGGTTCTGCGATGGTAGTAAGCAGATCCGTAGCCTGTGCAGACAACGGAGAGAAGCTCTCGAGGGTGATCTTGGGGCCTTTTTTCGACCCGACAGAGACGTTTGGATCTATCCATAGCGGCCTGTTCTCGTGATCAGGCTTCAACGAGAGCCAGGAGAAGTCCTTTTCCCCAAAGATGGAGGGCTTGTGTTTGTGCTTTGTACCCTGGAAGGAACTGAAGTCCAACCTTGCTCTAGCCTTTCGGATATGCTCTTGCTCGCTGTCACTTTGTTCTTGAGAGCGTGCATCCGATCCTTCGAAGTATTCATCGTCGCTATTGAGGCTTACGGGCGTCGAGGGAGCAGGCGTGGAGCGCTTTGAGGATCGACCATTAGCAGCATCTGCAAGGGCTTTTCGTTTGAGTGACATGTCTGCGGACCGCAACCGCGATCAGTTATGGCAAACTGCGCGATGAGGAGGGCCTGGTCATCAGACAGCGAAGGGCTCCCAAACGAAGGACAAGCAGTGTGGCACAGAGAGCAAATGTTAGAGGAGAAGTAGAGGACAAAAATCATGAGGCAAGTGTTAAGACTGCGTCGAGGTCGCAGGCTTAGTTTCCGCCTGATGCGGAACAACATATCAGCGGGCTGCGCGTGGCGGCGAGAACAACGGTGACGCATAGCATCCAGTGGCGAAAAATGTACATCACACTTGGTACTCAAGTAACTTGCGCAGTTTGGGGGGAACAATTCTGCGCTTTGGTCCCCGAGTTCCCGCCCGAGCTTTTCTCAAGCGAGCTTTAATAAACTCGCGTTCACCCGTCTGTCCACTCTTAATTTTGGCATGGAAAGGTAATTCTGGTCGAGATGAATACTGTGGGTAGATTCTCTACATTAGCGATTTGACTCTAATGGCTGATCCTGTGCGCAGATAAGGTCGACTTGGTATGGTCTTTGAGTCCTGTGCTGCAGTACTCACTATTTTGAGTGTCCCGGGTTACTGCTCTGGACTACGAGTAATTGAAGGAAGCTCGCTAACAGACTATCTCTCATAGGATCGGCTGGGGGGTGCTCTGTGTCGCCGGTGGAGGCGCCTATTACTTCGCGAAGAGATCGATCAACGCCGACCGGGCTGCTCGATATGAGGCTGAGCAGCAGAGAAAAGCTCGTATGCAACGTCTAGAGGATTCACATATTACTTCCAATAAAAAACCTCCTACCACGAAACCGAAGACCAAAATAATCGACCAGGCCGATGCTTTTACTGGATCACAAAGCTCCAAAGGATTGGATCACGCGGGCAGCCCGAGCAGCGAGATAAGCGAAGATGCTGCACCCGTTGGACATGCCCCGGTCGACGGAGAACAGAGAGTACGAGAGAAGAGCAAGTACGAAGCAGCGGAGCCTTATCGAAGCAAGAAAGGAGACAGACTAAGTTGAGGGTATGAAAAAGAAGGACAAGATATGTTGTCAATGCCTGAGATATTATGTATGGGTAGGCCCCGGGTATTGATTTGGTGTGTACATTCATGACTAAATTCCTCCCAAGTTGAAAGTCGCAGCTCAATCTTCTGTTGCTCTTGTTGTTATTCCATCCATGACCATGGTACGGGTATTATGCTGACCGCTCCCCCAATCATTTCCAACGCCTCAGGTGTACCAAGTGACCTTAACGCCGACACCATGCTTCATTCAATCCTAATTCGCCAATACATTCCCATCATGCATGGCAGCAAAGGGGTGCATAGTGCTTTCTCGAAGCATTTGGGTGTCCTGAGTCCCGTTCGCGCTTCGACTCAATTGCAGGAGGGACAAAAGGTAAAAGGACCGCCGACGTTATTAGAGTCCCTGCGACGGCTGATTGTAATCTCGTAGCCGGCTTGGGTACTTGCGCTGAGAAATGGCGAACCGCCGTTTGTGTGAGGGTGCTGGTGACTGTGCCTGCGAGACTCATGGCTGTGTGTGTAGAGGTAGCGCGTTCTGTACAGCGAAGAACGCGAATTGTAGGGAGGTATCGGGAAGGGAAGATCCGAAATAGAGAGTCAACTGCAGAAATGTCCCGCTTGGTAGTAGGTATAGGAATACTCCGTTTAGATCTTTGTACTCCGTACAATGCAGAAGAATCTCAGGAAACCCGAGGAGAGGGGGAAGCGGGATGTTTTAAAGGGGCCACTGAGTGTGGGATCAAAGGCGTCGAGAGGTGGTAGGCAAAGGCTAGTGTTGAGGACCTTTGAACTCACAGTCAGGCGCCGAATCCGCAGGAACAAAGTCGCAAGGAACTAGTACGGAGTAGTAGGAGGCGATTGCGTGCTGAGCAATAGAAATGATGCTGCTGGAGGATGGGGATGCCAGGTACGGAGAACAAAGCGGCTGTTGGGCATCAGGTTGGAGGGTGAGTGGCCTGAGACGTCCATACCTCGAATGCTACCGTCCAGTGAATTTGTCTATTGTTTGTAAGATGTGAGCGGGCCCTCAGCTGAGCAAGAGGGCTTGCGGGAATCATCAGGCAGTACCTAGGAGACAATAGGCAGCGGGCGGTACTGAAGCGGTATACCGAGAATCAGAAATACACGCGGAAAGCGTGCCGGAAACCAATTCGCCTGGGATGGCAGGAGAGCATGTCGGTAACGCTGGCCTATCATGTCTGAGTCTTTTAAAGCACCTCCATCTTATAGGACGATCGCAAGGCTGGTGGCGTGGTGGCGTGGGTGGCGTGCAGAAGGCAAACGGACGTTCTTCAGCCTTATCCGAAAAGACCCTGTACTTGTACGGGGTATGGAGACGAGTAGTGTGTGGCGTTGATGCACGTGACTGTGGCTGATGTGGCTGGAGCTCCGCGGCAGCAGCCGTGCCAACCTTTCAAACATGTTCATGCCAATCGGCCACCATGGCGACGTCTCGGGAACCGAAACTACAACGCGAAGAACAAGTGTTGAAACTTTAATCTCCTCCTGTATAAATCAAATGGCTGCTCACCACATCTCTCTTGCCAAAGCCTCCTTTGGCGCCTCTCTCCTGCGCCCCGACGTCACTAAGGTTGCCCGCGATGATCTTCCCAACTTTCACAACGCCTTCGAGGCTGCCCTCTCTCAATGCTCGAGTCGCAATATACAGGTCTGGAAAACTCAAGAATGACGCAAACACCAGAGGTGGATTGACTGAAAAATTATAGACGTGTAAACAATGGCTGTTGGAAAATGTCGTCGTCTCTGCGGCAAGGACCACCGCTTTAGGGAAATATTTGGTCACCGTATGCAGACACCTTGCAACTCAGCCTGAAGAAGCAATACACACAAGAGCCTCCCGTCGGCGACTTCATATGCTCTACTTGTTAAATGACCTTCTCCACCATGCCAAATACCACGGTGCCGATGTCGCCCTTCGCAACAACCTGTCACAATCTCTCGAGCCATTCCTGGCTGACCTCTTCCAATTCGGCGCATCGGGGGCCAAGACACGCGTGCGGAGACGACTGTCTGATTTGGTCCAACTATGGAAAGAAGAGGAGTACTTTGGCAGACATGTTATCAATCAACTGCACGATGTCTTAGCTGGCACAACCACTGAGACGAAACCGACGCTTGAACCAGAGGCCCAGCGCAAACAGAGAGATACTGAGCTCCCATACCTCATTCCCTCGACGCACGGCGACCCTTCATTGCCGTTTTACGATCTCCCAGCTGGTAATCTGATGCGTCACATTGTCCCGAACAGCTCACAGCCGATACAGCCTGACGAGGTCCGGGCACTCCAGTTTTCTGCGGGCCCCGCAGATGAGAGCCTAGTCAATGCACTCAAAGACTTTTTGAACGATGTCAAGGGCATTAAGGACACCCTTCCCAACCTCGAAGAGTCCGGATTGTCTCCAGAGATTGACGAGATGGGTCAGATCTCATACCATGATGAGGCTGGAGATCTGGTCGGCGATACATATTATGGATGGTCTCGGTCTTTTTGTGACAAGATGAAGAAACGTGCTAGGAGGGGTTCTGATGACTCCTCTCGACGGACGAGATCAAGAAGCTCGGATCGCAGTCGAAGTGCGACACCTCACAAGCGCAGACGTCGCAGCAATTCGACCAATGGACGTTCCGGATCCTCAAGGTCGTATAGCAGGTCACCTCGCAGACGCACCTCAGATAGACTAGGGAGACGATGGAGTCGAAGCCGCAGTCGGTCACGGTCAGGAAGCCGCCCATATTCATCTGACGATCATTATCCGCGACACGGGCAATCTCCGAGGCTTGACCCATCAACGGCTCACATCAATGCGAAGGTCGCGCCAATTCCTCCGCCTCCGCCTTCTCTAGGAATGCCGTTTCCACCTCTGCCCCTACCTCCTACCGGTATACATGTACCTCCTCCAAGACCGCCCCAATGGGTTGGTCCGTGGCCTCCTCCTCCGCCCCCACCGCTTCCCCAAGGCCACACTGGATTCCAGAATGTTTCCTTCCCTCCTCATCCTCCGCCGCCGCCAACCTTTGCCCCTCCGCCCGACGGCTGGGCCCACTATCCCGGTGCACAAAACCAGTATGGAAACAGGCGTTGATGGATCTCCCACTGGTCGTGTTGATACTTGTTCCCTGTTTGGTGGACTCTTCAGGCCGTCTTTCTCCATCTTCCCGGACAGGATAACAGGGAACACAGTGACCTCAGAGACATCTACTGCACGCCAACCAAACCATTAATGACCCCAACCACGAGCAAACAACCAGCTCTACCTAGTTGACTATTGAATAAGTGCCGTCAAAAGGAGCATCGACTTGGAACTCGTATGGACACCGCTTATTACGAGGAGGCAGCTGCTGAACCCGATAGCTGTTAGAATATTACGAACATGCCGGGTCTCGAAGTGTCATCCACAAATGAGCCATTGCATGAGGCCCTAGAATCTAATAGGGTCAGATATGCCTCGCACAGTTGAATTTGACGTGCCCCTGGTAATCCACGACCTTTCTCTGCAGAAACCTTAAATATTGGAAACTTCGATTGGACAAGGAGGAGATAAATCTTTGCCTGGCAGACCCATGAGTGCTCGGATGGTCATGCGATTGTTTATGACGGGCGAGGCGCAGCTATCGAGGACACTGATGTGGACCATTCAAGGACATGTTGATCGCCAAGGTTTGTGCCCTGATACCGCATTAGGACTAGGTAGAGGGTTGGCGGGCTTGGCAGACGCAAGGCTGGGACTGCATTCCGATGCTTGTCCGACGTCATCGCTTCCACTGGCACAGCGAGACGGCAAAGGGTCGTCGGCTCTCCCTCTGTGGCAGATACAGACACCGTCAACCATCACTACGAGTACCACGAACCTCTCCTACACATTAACGAACATTGGAAAAGAACTTTTGCCTAACACCTCTTTCGTGTTTCCGCGTTGATTTCTGTACAATCTAACCTGCAGGTCCGTTGCTGGTCTTACCGTCGTCGACCGGACTGGTATGCAAACTCTCCACGACAGCATCTCCCTCCACCGACGATCACTCTTCAATAAAACCCCCGGCCTGCTTATCTTGAATGCCTAACAACGAGAATCCCTCGGCAGAAAGCGTTGAGTCTAGAGCCTCCTTCGCAATCCACATTTTTCCCGCATGCCGGTCGAATGCGAGATGTGATCATACTTATTGCATGCCTCTACCACCAGACCCTGGAAGACTCTGTCCTTGACTGATCGGCAGGGTCGTTCTCCACCTGCGAACAACGCTATCCGTGACCATTTGCTCGATGCCCACGGTCTGGTCGGTTTGGTCGCGTGAATCTTCATTTTCGCTGGGGATCGAAGGCCACCTCTGCCGTTTGATCACCATACCATTGAATTCTAGTTCGCCAGATGACCACTCAGCTTCGTTCCACTGACGGCAACCTGCATAACCTCTCCAGAAGTCTCACAACGCCTATTGGTCATGCCATACGCCATTCCTCCGCCTCCAGGCCTTGACTTTGCCCCCATTTCGTTGGTCATTATTCTCTCTTTTTTCCCCAATGGTGGTTCAGCCTGGCGCGCTGAATAGTCTTTGCGAAATATATAACCATATTGCCAGAATCCCCCCTTTTTATCACCTCTACCCCCAGATCCAGCAACATTTTCAGGACATTTTAGCGATCTGTTCGACCTCGAGCAATCTCAACTCTGTGTTGTTGAACTCTGCAGATTCCACACAACAAGTATCAGAAAGCTCTCAGACCTTTCCATACCATCACCAACCATGCCTTCCGCCGTTGAATACCTCACCAGCCCTCACCAGAGTTTCAACTACGAGTCTGACCCTATCGCGGCAATGACTTCATATTCTCGAATGATGCATATGCACACGAAACAACAAATGGATGCAGCAACACAGTCAGCACGCCGACGAAGTCCTCCAGTCGGTGTCGCTGCCCACGCCCAAGGCGGACTCTCGAAGCAGAGCACACATAGCAGCAACTCATCACGATCATCCTTTTAAATCCTCCCTGCAGCTTTTCCTGAGCTGAGCGTTCGAGCTGTCAACTTATACTACAAAACAACTTTACAATCACAGAAGTGGTGCTGCTGTCACTGAGCAGACTGAGAAATTTGGGTGATTGTCCGGGGGCTGACATGTCACACACCCTGCTCCACGCTCACAAATTCGAGTTATACAGAGGCCTCTACCTCCAAACCTCTGACAATCTCCATTTCACGGCTTTCCTAGGCGTCCTTCTTGGTGTTTGAGCTTCCATCTAAATTCACCAAAATAACAAGCTCAGGGTTATTTCTCCCTTTAAAAAAAGCACCATCGACATTGGGCGGCGCACTACTACTCTCTACGGCCACATATAGAGCTTACGATATCAAGCTGAAAATGAACTTTTACAAAACCTGGTTCTACTTCCATGTAGACCATCCTGAAACTGAGCCAGTAGGGCCGATTTAATTAAGTTTTCTTAAACAGGTGTGCTAGAATCATCTTTACACAAATCATTCTATTGAGAATGCCATAGTTGCCCGATGAAACAGGGGCTGTATGATCATTCAGAGTAAGTGACTTGAGAGCCTGTTCTCAATAGGATACAAGACTTCCCACCCAAATCTGCGAAATCAGCGAACGTGGGGGCAGTGGGTAGCAGCAACTGTGTACGGAGGACAAAGACTAGTACTGTGCATGGCACGAGCACCAGAGGGCGCTGACAAAAAGTCAGTCTTCTCCTCTCGTGCAGCCTGGATGGGTGGCTTGCATCCACAGCCCTGCGTTGGGTAACAGCCTCGTCGATCGCTTGCATCATACCTTCTTTGCTTCTCTCCCGCAAAAGCACGTCATGGAACATTGCCAGACTCCTTCAACAAACAAAACAGTCTCCAGACCCCCTTTTCTCCACAAATTGCCCATCACCGTCGCCATGCTGTTGATCGACGGGTCTGGTGGCATCATAGCCCCATTCTCGCCTCCCGCTCCATCATGGGAATTGTGAAACCAGAGATGCTGAATTGTGATTGTTCGATAAGATTCTGCCATCATATCAGCGGGCGAGGGATATTGCTGTATCTACCTAGTATTCTTCCATCGACGATAGACAGAATCCGTCCCCGATCACCCTCTCCTTTGAGGGATCTGGATTTTTTTTTTAAAAAAAAAAATAGAGAGAGAGAGAGAGAGAGAGAAAGAGAGAGAGAGAGAGAGGGAGGGATGTTTAGCACAGTGTGACGTTACAGCCCGTGGGACATGTCGACGGGACAAAGGGAGCCATCCTTTGACCTCACTACGCGACCACTCGATGAGTCCAGGAGGGGGCAAGGTCACCGACTTCGCCTCGCCCCAGTCAGGGTAGGACGCCTCCATCATCTGCGACAAAACTCGCGCTGATGCTTTGTTTTCGTGATACGTCCCACTTCTCATCCTAATTACCTCTTCCACATATCGCAGACGGTAGTACACATTCGACACTCACCTCATGGCCTCAAGAAGATGTTCCTCTCCTTCATTGTGTGCAAGTGGCTGTCCTGTCTCTTTTGCCTCCCTAGACCAAGATCGAGATCGAGATCGAGAGTCGGATTGTATTTTGTCTCCCATCGTTGGACGGTCTTGACACTTTGTCCGCTGTGTCACTGGGAGCGGAAACGGGGGGGGAGGGGCCCTTCTCGGCAGTATGTAGTCAGAGGGTCTCGGACCGGCGAGTCGACATCATCGCGAGAGTCGTTTCGCCGTCGAGGGTCGTTGCTATCCCCATCTCAGGCGCACTCCCAGCGGATTTGACCCGTGGCGACGTTGTGATGATCCCTTCCGTAGGTGTCGATGGCTTGTCCCCACGGAAAGAGAGCTTCTCATCTGTAACCCGTTGATCATACCTGTTCGAGTCCAACTTTGCGACGCAGTCTTCGGGCGCTCTCACTGCTCCCCAATTACAGCTGCCCTAACCAATGTTGCCCTCTTACCCATTCCGTCTCGGGAAGCTGCCCTTGTGTGGCCATGTCTTGCCCTTTGCACGATCTAAGCTTATGTCCAAGCAGCAAAACTGTCTTCACTAGGGCTTGTTCGCTCTTGACAACGCTATCTCCATCTCGTCAGCTCTTAAGTCGTTGCCTCTCCTAGAGGGCAGATTGTGGCAGATTTTACCTCTTCATTCTGAGCAACTGAGACTCTTGTATATTTGAAAAGTCCCCAAGGTCGCTCGCTCTCTGATAACCCACGAGCCGTTCCTGCGAATTCAACTGCTGGCCACACGCTATGGAAGGAGGGTCAAAAGGATTGTTCAACGGACAGCTTTGCTAGACCTCATTTCGCCACCTGCTCTCCGACCGAGGACTTCAGGATCAGCGTCTTTCTTGCACCGATCAGTTGCCCCTTAATGTCTGATTCAGGTCATCACAATGGGTATAAGCCCTTGAGATTGTGACGACTATCCTGGGGTCATGACGCAAGGTTTTCTTGCTCTTTAGGAGAGCAAGACAGATACTCCCGGGTAACACACACGCAGAACTCACGACCGGAGTGCTGTGCGAGAGAGTTCTGGACCCGTTTCTTTTCCCTGAGAATGATGTTCGCACGACATGACGATAATCTTTTCGAGCAAACAGACCCTTGTCGCCGTTAGTGATGAAGTAGTCTCCCCACCTTTTCTTCCCTAGGCATCGAGATCGTGCAACAATTTGACTTATCGAGGCTGGACCCATTGTGTCTTCAAGCAGAGAGTGCTTATCCTTCTCCCTCAACCCCCCTCTGCTGTGGGGGTTCGTTCTCGATTGATCGATATCGCTGAAGGCGAACGCCCTATCTCTCTCTCTCTTGTATTGTAACAGAGCACTTCAGGGTTCGGCGTGCACGTGCAACAACGCACAGAGGCCTGTCCAGCAGATCGGGAATCGAGAACGCGGTTCTGGTTGATACTGACAAGACAACACCACCACCAACACCACCCAGAAGGGCAGCGGCTAGGGCTACGAACACCTAGCACAGCGGTAGCATCGAGGAACAGGACAGAACTAATAAAACACTCAAGAATAGAGGTAGACGGCGCCAAAAGCCATGGAATTCATGATACTCTGCTCAATCTGTAATGAATGGCACACTACCAGCACTGTAAACTGTCCTACACCCCCCTCTCTACCAGCCCATTTAGGTTTGACATGTGACTAGACAACTTTTTTTTTTTTTCACTCTGCCACCGCTCTACCAGCCCAGCACAGCCCATCACAGCACAGCCACCTCGCCTTGTTACAGTATGGCTGAGTTGAACCATCCTGGCAATTGGAAACCCTGTCATCCTGTCTGCTTGTCAGGATCGAGATAGATTCGCTCTTTCATGCTGAAACTTATGGACGGACGGATGGGCGATATGCGTCGCCACATGTTGAGGGGTCTGACCCTGGGCAGCCCAAGGCCGAGCACCTCGCTCCCCCGCTCTGAATATCACAATGAACTCACGCTCGCTCCGTTCTCATCCCCGGTAACTCCAGCGAGACTCGGGACACACCATTCCTCGATCCCCGTAGCCGCTGACATGCCGAAACGTACCGTGTCGTCGGCGTGCGCCAGCTAAGATCTCGAGACACGCCCGCCAGCTCCCCGTAAAGGCAAAATCGGCAGGCAAATCGGCAGGCATATACCAAGGCTTCTTGCTGGCATCATATGCACAGGGGCAACGCAATTCGTAGATAGAGCACACCGGAACAACAAATCCCCGCATGCAGCACTTCTTCCCGGCCTGTCCTAGGAGACATCCATCAAGTGATCGAAATCAGCGAATTTTCAGCGTTATATACGTACCTGTCCCCTGAATTCCAATGGCAATGTCTGAAGTTGAGATTGAGATTGAACTTGGACTAGAATCTAGAAAACCCCCGGAACCCATGCCTGCTTGCCCACATGCTGCACGCATGAATGCATGCAAGCAGGCATGGGGCCCGGATGTTTGAGCCGGCAACTGGGGATCTAGCCTCGCTCGCTAGCTTCGCCAAAACCTGGCGACGCGGAATAAAACTCCTCGTACCCAGTAGCCACTCCCTGCTCCCTGCTCCGTACATGCATAGATGTACATGTTACCCGGAGGCTTCCTGGAACCAAGCACTACTTCCATTACTCGCGAAGGAAAACCTGCTTGCTACCTAAATACGGTTGGATCCTCGAGTGTGAGCGATGGTCGCTTTAACCTAAGCTTGAACTAAGGCTAGTCACTAGGCTACAAGCAGTGGCCTCATTAAGCACTCCCGGAGCACCTCCCGAATTAAGGCTGGCCAGGGCTGGCCAGCACTTCTTCTCTCAGTCCGAAAAATTGTCTGTCAGATCCCCTTACAAATTAGTCTTGCCAGCACAGGAGGAATCGACCGCATTGTTCTCTGGTTTGTCCTCGACAATATCGAGAGGCGCGTCAATGGATTCCGTGAACTCGCTCTTGGGTTCCCGAAGGAATACAGAGCCTGTTTCTCGTCAGCCTGTCGGTTCGGTGCAAAAGCATACGGCGGGGGCACCCACCAACCAAAGCGACGAATGTGAATGAAGCCGCAGCAGCCCAAACATGGCTGAAAGCAAGACTATATGCCTTCCGCAGTGCCACTTCTGCTGCTGCGATAATTTCTGGAGTTGCTTCCGGTACCTTTGATAACGAAGCTGGATCGCCCGATGTCAAGGCTCCGATCAATGACACTAATGATGTCTCGGGGAGTCCGAGGGGTAAGGTCGCTGCGGCGATCTTCGGTACTAGATTCTTCGAGATCCCGGCACTGAAGACGGCTTGGTAGATCACCAGTCCTGTCGAGGCTCCCAAGCTTCGGACTGATAACACCAGACCAGATGTAATAGCGATGAGCTCTGGTGGGGTCGAGAATTGTGCTGCAACAACGAGAGTGGTCAGAAGGAACCCCAGGCCTCCTCCAAGAAAGATCATGTAGCCCCAGAAGTTGGCTTCAGGAGTGCTTGCTTTTGACGAGGCTGCAAGAGCAAAGAATAGGAGAAACCCAAGGAATCCAGTCATTGAGGGGTATCGGACCGATCTTTTCTTCCAGATAATCAGCCCGGCAGCCAGAGCGGAGACGATGAATGCGAAATAGGACACAGCATAGCAGAGTCCCACTCGGAAAGAACCCATCGACGGGTACACTGTGCTGAGCTGAAATGGCACAAAGTAATTGGCTGCGAAGGCACAGTGGCCCTCAACATATATGCACACCAGTGTGATAGCGAAGTTGCGGTCGATGAACAAGCTGTGATGAAACAGGCCATCCTTCTTGAACTTCCACTCATACACGATGAGACTCAGCAGGATGACAACTCCGACCAGGAATGGACCAAGCACATGAGAGCTTTTCCATGGATATGGATTCTCAGCCCAGGAAAGGCCTGTGCAAAGAAGAGATACTCCGGAAGCGACCATGGCGTATCCGACCCAGTCAAGCTGCCGTAATTTTGCCCGGAAACTTGCAATTTGGGTCTCTCTTTGTGGCGGATTGTACAGGAGGGCACATGCAGTTGCAGAAGCCGCATAAATACCGGCGGAGATGTAAAAGTAAATGCGAAATCCCTCAGGGTTGGACTCGGTGAGAGCCCCTCCAGCGAGGAGTCCGTATATGGCACCCAGGCCTACCGACACGTTCACACTGGCTTGAGCCCAAGATCGATACTTCCGTGGCAGCACTTCTGATACGACCGCGTGGAGGAGCGGCTGAGCAACACAAGACAAGCCCCCAATCGTAAAGCCCGCTATGGCCATTCCCATAGAGCTTGCTCTTGACACAATGATTGCACCGATACATCCACAGGATGTGAAGCCCACCAACAGCCACTTCCTGCCCCAGAAGTCGGCAATCTGGGCGGCAGGAGGACCAAGGGCAGCGACCAAGATTCCGAGGACAGCCGTAGGCCATGCTGTGAGGGAGGGGTCACCAACGACAGCAGCAATGCTCCGAGCGAGTAGACCTCCGCCAACCAACAAGGTCAACTGTCCGAAGTAGATGCTGCCGACGGCCTGGCGATCTGAGTCAATGCAGATTCTGTGATCAAATTTTTTTTTTTTTGGACAGGGTCTTGCCTACCACCACCAAAACCAGAGTTTTGAGACGATTCCAGTAATTTTGTGAGGGCCGCTGAACAACAGCAGCCTCGATGTGAGTGCTATCTGGGCTTCCCATATTGAACTGAGAAAGTTTTGTTGGTTGGAGAAGGTTACAAGCCTTATAGAGTGTCCTCTGGGCGTCCGGTCAAGGGTGGTCTGGGACTGCTGGACTCGACCTTCCGTGTGGTGCACCCGTGGCTTAATGTATATACTACTACCGCAAGGCTGGAACTCGTGCCCCGGGTACCCACAACACCCCGAGTCTAGGTCTCCAGATCCACCTTCACCCTCCAGCCGGAGTCTGCATCTCTGGAGGGTCGCTAAATCTTGTCGGAGGACCGATGGCTGTCAAGAGCAGTGTCCGAACGTCGAACTCTCTGGCACATGCCGAGGACTAGTTATCCGCTCTCTACATCTCGGCCCGAAGTAAGTCTACTTCTGGCATGCCATACAAATCACAGGTCGAATCGAATCTACCCATACCTCCTGCTTTTCGAAAGCAGAACGAAATTGTCTCATGTATCATGGTTGCTACTTCATTTCCAATATCGGTTTCTAAGGACAGCCCTTTCGGGCTATATAACATTCCTTTTGGTGTTTTCAGCACATTGCCAGGAATCGGTCATGGGGTTAGCTCCTCCATTTCTGTTGGACCTGCCGCCCATACTGACGCAAACATTTCTGTTTAGCCCCGACCACGGGCTGGCGTCGCCATTGGAGATCTCGTCATCGAGCTCCATGTGTTGGCGGACTATGGAGTATTTGGTGCAAGTCCACAGACTTCAAACTCATGGGGAGAAATCTTCTTGGAGGTATGACTGCTCGATAGTGGTTCTAGAGCGCGATCGCTGACCGACAATAGCCTGTTCTGAATTCGTTTGCGGCCTTGCCTGCTGAGGATAGGAAGCGAGCCAGATCTACCATTATTGAAAACCTATCCAAGGTGGACTCGTTACTCTTCACAACCGCAGAACTGAATGAAAAGGCTTTTGTAGCCGCGAAGGATGTTCAGATGCATCTGCCTATGAAAATTACAGACTACACCGATTCCTTTTCGTCCCTTATTCATGCTCAAAATGTGAGCCCGGTTGCCAATTTTGGTGTCGTTTGTCACTGAATGGTTGTCAGTCAATGCATCCGCTGGGACTTGAGCTTCCTCGAGCCTTCACCGAGTACCCAATGGGTTACAATGGTCGCATTTCTTCCATTCGGCCATCCGGCACCAACGTAGTTCGCCCTAGTGGCTTCTACCTCAATGACGGGGATAACAGACCTACCTTCCAGCCGACCAAACAGCTCGATTTCGAGATAGAGCTTGGAGCATTGATTTCTAAGCCTATCCCTTTCGGCACCACGGTAGATGCCAAAACTGCTGCAGATCACATCTTTGGGTATGTCTTGCACAACGACTGGTCAGCGCGCGATATACAAAAGTACGAGATGCCGCCCCTTGGACCGTTGCATTCTAAAGGCTTCATCACGACGATCTCTCCATGGGTTGTGACAGTCGACGCTCTGGATAGCAGCAAAACCGGACCACCCACATCCAACGGAACAAATATCCATCCATCACTTGTTGCCGATGAAATAAACCACGGTGTCTACGATATTGAGTTCACTGCCACTGTCAAGCGTAAGTCTGAATCGCTTCCCCGGCGCCCGTTTAGTGCTAACGCCTACGTAGGTGGTGTCAATGCGAGTGTAGAAATCGTACGATCCAATTATGCCTCGTCGTACTGGAGTATGCCTCAGCAGGTAGCATATCAGTCCTCTGCCGGTCACGGCATCAACACTGGCGATCTGGTGGCCAGTGGCACTATATCGTCCCCGGCGCCTGAAGTGAAAGAGGGTCTGGGGACATACGGCTGTTTGTTGGAGGCTCTCGCACAGAAGCACGTGCTACCAGAAGTGGGCGGGAAGCCAATGTCATGGATCAAAGACGGTGATGAGTTTACGATCGAGGGCTGGTTCAAGACCGAAGATGGCAGCAGAGCTGGGTTTGGAGGTTTGACGAGCCTTGTCTTGCCCGCCAGACCTTCTTGGCCATAGTAGAAATATGGTAAGGCTGATATTGTCTATTCACGGCGGAACTGAGTTCACAAGAGGGTAACATTGCAACAATATGTTGACGTACACGGTGCCGAAGAAGACGTCGTTCTGGCTAGCATGTTTGCCTTTCGCCCGTACATAATTGTGTGCTTTTCATAAATGCGGACCGCCTTTCTCCATCTCTTTGGCCATCTTTTCAATCTCATAGAACCTTTCAAACCACTTGATTTGCCTCAACTCCTCCTGAGTCAGCTTCAACCTGGAAAATGCTTGTCTACCTCTACACAGCACCGCCTTGACCTGGATCTCCAACTTCTTCCCATTAGCGTTGTACGGTACTTCCGCAGTCTCGAAGATGAAAGCGGGGACATGCCTCCGACTTAAGTTGGCGACGATCTGCTCACATATCGCCGACTTTACCTCTGGTCGCGGATGCCGCGTTCCAGTGCTGACATGCGGAGTGCACTTAATGAAGAGCACGACCCGTTCCGCCGCGTCAACAAATGGCGGTTCAACACGTTGCTGACCGACCACGATGGCATCCGTTATAAGGCCATTGAACTTCGGTGTCGCCAGGATGTTGTAAATCTCGGAACTGCCAAACCGCACACCTGATGGATTGAGCACTCCGTCGCTGAGATGCACTCAGCTTTGTATGGGCTATTGAGGATGTTGGGATAGTGAACAAACGTACCTTCTGCCAAGAACGTAAATACCTTTCGTCTCTCGATTGACTTGAATGAAGTCTCCGTGTGTCCACACATCTAGAAATTTCATGTGAGTCTTCCATATGTGCTTCTCTGAGATATCTAGCAGCACTCAACTTACGGTGGAAAATAGCAAAATATGAGTTGTAGTATCGCTTGCGCTCAGGATCATTCCAGAACTTGGCTGGCATGTTCGGAAATGGTTTTCGGCAGACGAGCTCGCCGCTTTCTCCGTCTTGGAGCGGCTTCCCTTCAGCAGAGAAAACGACAACATCCATGCCGAGAGCCTTGACTGCCATCTCTCCAGGATATGAAGGTAACGAGCGAGTGCCGTGTAGAAAGGCACCACAGAGCTCGGTCCCTCCAGACATGGAGATCTGACAAACAGGGCCGAAAGCATCCGCGAGCCATTCCGCGAGAGGAGGTGTCAGAACAGCCCCTGTGGATATTATGGAGTGAAGGTGGTGACAGTATTTTCCTGGACCCAAACAGCTTAATAATCGAGATAGATGAGCTCCTGAGGATATCCGTGAGCGACTTACTTGGCTGGACCTTCAGTTTCTGTAACTCCGAATAATACCGTGGCCCAGCACCAAACGAAGTGATTCTAAATCCTATAAGTAATGGCCACGTATGCTCGCTAGGCACAAGAGACTGCCGAACCTATTCTTGAAAAGGACCTCCAGAAATTTCTCTGCACTTGGGTAGAATGGACTGCCATCGTAGAGAATCAAGCTGGCGCCGACGAACAAAGCGCCAATTGATATATTCCACAGAGTCCATCCGATCTGAAAATTGTTAGACGCGTCTCGACAACAGAATCGTAATTCCTTACGTTAGTATACTGATAATGCAAATCGTCTGGTCCAAGGTTGTTATGGAGAAGATACTCTTTTACGCCGTTTATGACGAGTCCCTATAACCAGTCAGCTGTAATCTCCGGTTAATGGCCACAAATCTTGAACACGTACTCCATGTGAATGAACTATTCCTTTTGGAGTGCCTGTGGTTCCCGAAGAGAACATGACCACAAATGGTGTGTTGAAAGAGACTTGCTTGAATTTCAACTTTCTGCCGGTTGCCCGTTTAAGGAAGGTGTCGAAAGAGAACCTAAGGCTATGTCAGAATCCTGACTTCATCAACCAGTCTTCTTCGGACTTCAGACCATTTCGATGTAAGGTTCTGGCATGGGCCAATAATGATCGCCTCACACTCATTTATCTGCTGAAGTTTTTTGATCGACGAGTCAAGTTTGTCAGAGATATCGTGCCTTTTCCCCTTGTAGGAGTATGTAGACTCTGCAACGAGTAAACGCGGCTTTAGTAACCGAAGTCGATCGTCAAGGGCCTAATTAGTAACTCAGTAAATATCTGCCGAGCCTGCAATCTACAGTGCGAACCTTTTCCCCCATGTCAGTTGCAAAAGAGCTGAATATGCCTCCTACTGCAGCTGTTGCCAGTAACAAGGCAAGTGAACGTATGCAATTTGATCCGACAACTGCCTCAAATCAGTACCGATATTTGAGACAATATGACCGAGAGGTGTAAATATACGTGCGACAACTTCTCCCTTCTTGAGGCCAGAGGACTTTAATGCATCGGAATATTGTTGCGTCAATTCCCGCAAATCCTGCCATGAGTATCGCTCCGGTTGCGAAATGTTGCTTTCGTTCATGTCGATGACGGCCACTCCGTCAGTCTTTCCTGCCAGTATGTTCTCACTGAAGTTCAATCTGGCGCCTTCAAAGAAGGATGGAAATCGATCGATGACCGCATTATCATCTATAGCCTAATTTTGTCGTAAGCAAGCTTGACAATGTCAGTCAGGATCTAAACTTTTACCTTGACGGGATGTGCTGACTCTTTGATACCTGCAAAGTCCCAAAGTGTTAACCAGAAGTCGTTCAGTCGATTTGTGGAAAATGCATGTAGATCGGCGTAGGTAGCTGAAATCAAGAGACGTTAATAGGACTTTCCCGGATGTAAGCACCGCTGAGCCTATGGCTTCAATAATCCACGATCTGGAGGATGAAGCTCTTACTTAGCTGTTGACTGTACTTCTCGTTCAGATATTCTCGGAAATCGTCTAGCTTGGTCCTTAAACCAGGAGGCGGTACGTAGGTTGGAATAGGCGCCATCCGTATCTGAAGCCCGTGGTAGCGATCTGGGTCGGTAAGTACACGATTCTGTTGGGCTTGAAAGTACTTTCTGCGGATGCGAGCAACGGCATCTGATGAAAAACTACAGTCTACCTGATCATCAGCAAGATGAATCTCTTCATTTCCAGAAATCAAAGCCTCCTCTAGCGCGTCGACTATCCC